CCCCGCCACACCCAGTGAAGGGCATGAGGTTCCACAGAGGGAAAGGCCCGGCCGGACCAGTACACGCGGTGAGGCGGACCGGCCAGCCAGGCCCAAGGTTCAACTACGAGCTTTTTAACCACAACAACTTTAATATACGCTATTGGAGCTGGAATTACCGCGGCTGCTGGCACCAGACTTGCCCTCCAATTGTTCCTCGTTAAGAGATTTAAATTGTACTCATTCCAATTACAAGGCCCAAAAGAGCCTCGTATCAGTATTTATTGTCACTACCTCCCCGAGTCGGGATTGGGTAATTTGCGCGCCTGCTGCCTTCCTTGGATGTAGTAGCCGTTTCTCAGGCTCCTTCTCCGGGGTCGAGCCCTAACCCTCCGTTACCCGTTGCGACCATGTTTGGCCAATACCCAAACATCGAAAGTTGATAGGGAAGAAATTTGAATGAGCCATCGCCGGCGCAAGGCCATGCGATTCGAGAAGTTATCATGAATCACCAAGGAGCCCAAAGGGCATTGGTTTTTAATCTAATAAATACATCCCTTCCGAAGTCGGGATTTTTAGCATGTATTAGCTCTAGAATTACCACGGTTATCCAAGTAGTAAGGTACTATCAAATAAACGATAACTTATATAATGAGCCATTCGCAGTTTCGCTGTATAATTGCTTATACTTAGACATGCATGGCTTAATCTTTGAGACAAGCATATGACTACTGGCAGAATCAACCAGATAACTATCGTACGCCGGGGATGGCCACCAGCACTCCGAAGAGCGCTGGAGAGATATGTAAGTTATTACTGGGTGGTGTCTAAAGACACGTCAAGCGCAGCGCCTGCGGCAGGTGCCGTGAGCGCCAGGCTTGACAATCCGCTTTTCCCCTCTTTGTTCCCTAGAGCACCGTCCGCCACACTATCTCAGTGAGATGTGTGACCTAGGTGCCCCAGACGGAGGACTCACCGCCCAACTTCAACCATTTCGGCGTCCGTCGAGCGCGGTTGCCCCCTGTTGTTTGTGCAAGAATCGTAGCCAGAGGCCATCCATCCAGTTAACCCATCCCGTCGCGACGTGCGCCGAAGCACTCGTCCCTTCAGGGCAAACCCGGTACGCGGTGACGCCGTAGCGCCCCGTTTCGCAGGAGGCGAACCAACTATATCCTACGGGCAAGGAGATCAAGGGATCTCGACTTATCTCGCGTTTGATACTAATAGGTTCTTAAAAGATAAGGTACTATGTTCCGGACTCTGCTTTTTTGCTTCGCCCTTCACGTAAGTCCTCCGACCATTTTTGCGGGGCGGCCGTGCGTTTGTTCCTTACCTGGCGGATTGTTTTCCAAAGTGGACCGATTTACTATGGCAAAAAAAAATAATCCGCTCACGGTCATACAAATCACAGTACGCATACGGGGTCGTAAATGACATATTGAACCCAAAAGATGCGTCTTAACGAGAGCTTTCGAATAGTATATGGGAGCTTATTTGGAAACGCTTCGTTGTTGAGATATGGGCGTTGGAAGGGGCGGCTGGCGGCGGGGGGCTGCTGCTTAGGTAGTTGCGCGGCTGTACAGCGGGTTTCAGCGCCCAACCGGTACGCTACAGCGCTCTACGTATGGCTGGTTTACAGCGCCGCCCAACTGTTTTACAGCTACCTGACAGCTACCCTGTAGTAAACAACAGAAATAGCAGTATCTCAACAAAACGTCTATATTGTGTATATATAGTTTCCATACAATACTAAAATTATTCTCCATCGATTGAGCCTATTTTGAATGGGTTTCCGGCCTCGAAGCGGGCTGGATAACTTTTTGTTGTTTGGGTTGCACTTGAATCTGAGCGACGGCCAAAAGTCGTATGGTCCCACCATACAACCTCGACCAACCCAAATCAATACACTAAAGAGACGTATAATCACGTAATAAAAATAGCAATAAATTACACAATAAATACCATCCAGTATATATACAGTCTATTCTAGATACTAAACACTAAACACTACTTACAATTTATATCCATCCCTACAAATCGCTCACCAACTATTTTGCACAATCTTTGTTGGATTTTCACCCAAGAAATTTACAGCTACCCGGTAACCCCACTTTCGACACGAAACAGCGAGCCTGTTATCCCCTGAAGGACCCCTCTATAATCAACTCTACAGCGCACCAAAGGCCCCCTAAATCCAGCTATACAGCACACCAAAAAAAAAAAAAAACCCTCCTCTCCGCTACGACCTGTTGTCCCGCGCCTTCCTTCATCAAAGTAATTGACAGATAACCTGCTCCAAATCTTTTGGAACTGCCGGGCCCAGGGGCTTATAGGCCTACCCAGGCACCCTCAGTGGACCTCCAGGCGGTGTAGCGAGCCCTCTCTTGCCGCTGTAGCTTCCCTGGCGGATTTTTTTCCAAAGCGGTCCGTTTTACTATGCCAAACCCAAAAAATCCGCTCACGGCCATACATACAACCAACAACACCAACACAGCATCCAAAACAACACGCCCAATTCGCCCTTGAATGCTGCGTTTTACTGCCAATAATGCTTTGGCCAAAACATTTACAACTACTACAGCTGGTTAATCCTTATTCTAGAACTATATATCTCATGTGTTGATCGCAGTTGTTACCACGCGGTCTATACAATAGTCTACCTTTCTATTGTGGTATGTGAAGAAGACCAAAAACAACGCCTCACCAGCCACAATATTCCATACTACAGACATTAAATTTACGAATAACGCCCTCGGAAATGTGGGAACAGGTGTCACCGTGTTAATATCCTCTTGTTCATCTGGCATCAATTGTAAACGGCGTTTGCCGGAGACGGATATATATATCGAACAAAATCCCACCTCTCTCGGCACTTTTCTTCCTCTAGACCAAGTCTAGCCTCTTTAACGCTTTCTTCATCGAACCCGCTCTCGCTAGACCTACCATCGTGGCTTTCGTAGACGTATTCTTTATCCCCGTTCCACTACTTGACAGTGTTCATGGACAATAGGATAATACTAGCATCTTCTAATCGTTGCATTACCCGGTACAACACATCTAAAGACTTGGATAGTTTCCATAAGAGGCATTGTGCTATACTACTGTAGCTATCATATAGTCTGTAATCCTCGTAGTTCAGGTTGGTATTGTTCAAAACACAACTAATCGATCAGTGTAACAGCACTAAAATATAGAATAACCGTCCCGTCCGTTATGTAGTTAGTGGTAATCCATATATGCTCATTTATAATCCAATGGATCATTTATTCAGCTTAAATTTATTCCGTTACGCGGTAAACTCGATGGCCTGTCGCTTCTCCGCAGCCTGACCAAATTCCCTCTTGACAGGGAGGTTGCTGCAGACTGCAGATGGGACAGGGATGTTCAATCGCTGGAAGAGAATCCCTAGAATATCGGATGGAACCCAAGCAACAGCGCGGACCTGGTAGATTCTGCAGTTTACATTGAAGTCCAAGTACACGTCGGCGTTGAATGTGATTGGGAGAGGGATAAGGCTATTGACACCGAGAGTCTGTTCACGTAGTTTTAGCACAAGTCATTATGGGGGTTTAACACCTAAAAGATCTACTTACCACATTGGTGTTGATAACTGCAGTCAAGTTTTGGGGGAAATCGGTGTACTTGCCAGTCACCGAGGAAAAGGCCTGACGAGTCTCAGTGCCGAACTGGACAACACCAGCGCCAGTCGTAGCAACTGGAACGGGGCAGAGTCCATTGGCAGCACTTTTAAGCAGTTAGCGACAACGTTTTGTGGCTGCTTATTGAGTATTGCTGTGGTTGTCTAGAGCGATACTTACATGGTGGTGACGCAACCGCCAGCCTTGTTAGGAACTCCGAAGGGAATCTTGTCAAACTCGCCGTATGTCGCCAGTGGATTAGCTGCGTAAGCAACAATGACCTGCTGCGCAGACTTGAGACGCTGCTCGGCGCTGCACGAAGGTGTGTTAACGCCTTCCGCTACAGCAAGGCCAGCCAAAGCGAGGATGGAGACGAAGGTGTTGGCCAACATGGCTATTTTTTGTGAATTGGTATAGTTAAAGATATACAAAGAATTCTTTTACTATGGTTTAACTTTCTTCTACTCTTTACGATGAGGCGACGGCTCATGTATATACACAATCGCTTGGGATTGCCTCGGCAGACATCCAAATGGTGTTAGAACTTGATAATTGAAAACAACGACAGCTGAACAATAGTTAGAACTCACTAGCTAGAACATATGTAGCACTTTGGCGTAGCAAATATGTAATATTGCCGAGGCTGCGCTTAGAAATACGCTATTTTAGTTCGACAGTAGCCTGCAACGATCGACGACGCTACAAGCACCGCCAGCGCCGTGCGAAGCTGAACACTGACCTTGGTTGATGTAATTAGACGGTCAGGATTAAATTATTAGATGAATATTCTGCCGAGGGTGCTAGAAGCATGTTCATCGTGCAGTATAGAGCACTACTCGTGCAAGTGAAGAGTAGGAGGTGAGTGTTATGGTAGGAACCATCGGAGCAGCATCGAGGACCGTGGCGCGGAATTCCGGTTCCCCAGGTTTCAGTACACCAAAATATCAGTAGCGCTCGAATACCGGCTAACTATGGGCTTTACCTACATTGCATGACCTTGAGAACGGGTCCTTACGTATTTCGGCAGTGGTTCTAGCTAGACCGACTACGTCGTGGTAGACTCATGGCGTATGCGAACCAATCGTTGAGCCCCTCTTCTCTGCCTGGAGTGATATTAGTAAGTGCATTTGTGTTTGTTAGTCGGTTACTAAACATGCCTCTGGTATTCAAGAGAAATTACAATTCTGCAGTAGCTCCCAAGAGCTCATGGGCTAGCGTCATTGCCTAGTTGCCGCGGCTGTAAGTCTGGCCTGTACGTATCCTAGTCCAGCTTAGATACAAAGTATAGTAATACATTTTCAGGCTAATTGCCTTCTTCTCGCCCGGTACTTACTCTAACATTTTACTAGTGCACATCTGATGAAATTGCCTGTTGTGGCAAATTTATGCCTCGCATTCATACATCCTGCCCTCTAGGTTCGTGATGGCCTCGGCAAACTTTGGCACACTCAGATAAACAGCTTAACGCGTTGAAAAGGTCGCCATAAAATCTATGAAAGGCAGATTATATCTATAGTATTGAAACGATGATTTTTTTAAGGAATATATGTTATTTAGACCCGGATAAGATTGTGGCTAAGGCTAGCCCATAGTGCATAAGTCTGGCGGACGAATGACAGTATTGCGCACCAATGCGACTATGGGATTTGCAGTGGTAAGTCATGTTCATTAAATCTGTACAATTGTGTCTACAAACGAGCCTCTACTCTCTTTTGGCTATCGGCCAGTGCATACTCGCTTCTGTACTTTTTGCTGCGCACTCTGGACGCGTCTGCCTCGCTAAAGGCGCGAGCCTCGACGGCTGGATTATAGCCCAACCAACTCTTCTTAGCAATTTCCTCGTTACTGAGCTTATCATTTGCCTTTCCATCAGCCCTTTTATACACCGTGACAACTACAACGCCACCAAGTCCAAGATTATGCTGTAGGGCAACGTCGGTCTTGACTAAGCGGTTGTTGGCCCAGCCTCGAAGTTGCCAAGTAAGCTCGGCGCATTGCGCAAGGCCTGTTGCACCTAGGGGATGACCCTTTGAAATGAGCCCGCCGGATGGGTTGATGACCATCTTACCGCCGTAGGTGATGTCGCCGCGGCGAACCATCTCGTGTGCTTTACCAACTGGGCTGAACCCCAGAGATTCCAGTAAGATCATTTCATTCGCAGAGAAGCAATCGTGGAGCTCGCACACTTTGATGTCTTGTGGTGTCACGCCTGCCTCCTTCATTGCCATGGACGCCGCTGCCTTGGTCATATCGTAGCCGCAGAGCTCAATGTCGCTACGGGAGTATAGCTTGGGCGTATCCGTGCACATTTGCTGGCCAGCAATGAGGATGGCCTGACTCTTCAAGTGTGGCCGTGCGTCTAGAAACTTTTGGGAAACTACAACAGCGGCTCCGGCTCCATCCGAGGTCGGGCTACACTGTAGTTTTGTGAGCGGTGCGTAGATCATTGGCGCATCGAGAATCTCCTGAAGGGTATATTCCTTGCGGAATTGAGCGTATGGATTGCGCTGTGAGTGTTCGTGGCTGATACGAGCGATTTCGGCAAAGTCTTCAACCTTTGCGCCGTATCTGAATGGCATTACTGTTAGCCATCTCGGATTCCCATCAGCAAATCCAGGTACTAAATGGTTTACTTACTTTTCCATGTACTCGCGGCCAGCATTGCCAAACCATTGAGGGTTTGGCGACATTTGCTCAGCCCCGCGCATGTCCTTCATCATCTTGAGACTCAGTTCGACGGCTGGGGCTCGGTCGTCCCAAACACTCTTGATGCTGCCTGGCTTCATCTTTTCGAAGCCAATGACGAGAGCACAGTCAATGTTGCCGCCCTGAATGAGACATCGGGCAAGATTCAGGCCCGCGGACCCCGTGGCACAGGCGTTTGTCTGGTTGTAGATGGGAATGGAGGACATGCCGAACTGGTAAAAGACGCGCTGACCAGAGGCAGAGTCGCCGTTGACAAAACATGCAACTCCAGTTTCCACTTCATCGTAGTTGACCTGTGCATCCAACATGGCTTTAATGCCAGCTTCATATCCCATCTCGGGATAATCACGTAGGCCTCGGGGCTTGATGAACTCGGTCATGCCCACGCCCAAGACATAGACGGGAGGCTTATTTGCAGGAGTCATGGTGAATAAAAGGCGGCGATGATTTTCTTTGACGGGCGTTGTAACAGTGGTACAATGAATAGGTCAGGGCTTGAATCAAGTTGGGGATATTTGATGGCAAAGACTCATAATCTAGTCTAGTACAGCCAACATATTTCGGTACGATATAGCCGACAACCCCGCAAATTGGCAGCAGACGCTAGTACGATGTAGCCGAGGGGGAGTCGATCTTTAGCGGGCGCATGGCGCATCGCCACCTCGGGAGGGGAGCGGACATTAAGGGCCAGCCAACCAGTCAAGCTGATAATAATACGGCCGTAGCATGCTCTCGCTTATAATAGCTGCAACATGATAACGTCTGTATTTTACATATTTCAAGACAGCAGTGTACAAAACATGAATCTTGACCACCGAGTGCTTCCAACTTTCACTACCAGCAAGCAGAAAACACTACGATTTAGCGCTAGTGGGGGCCAAAAAAAAACAAAGAAACAGGTAGATTGTTTTATCAGTTGGAAGAAATGCAAAAACAGAAGAAAGAAAAACTCCTCCAATGTATGATCAGCACCTCACGCAGTGCACAACTATTGCTTGGCTTCGTCTCCAGTCACCACAGTAGATCTCAACCCACGCATTGGGCTTCTCCCCTGCCAAAACTCGCGCCAGCTAAAGTCCTTTATCTTTCTTTGAAACTGAGCAATACCATGCTCCCCCTCCGAGCCCGGCGTCATCATGTTATAAAACGTTGATTCTACCAGCTTTGCTTGCTCATCACTCTCACCATCCCGCCACGCCAGGCGGACCAACTCTTTGTTGATGGCCGCAGCCCGCGGGGCACATTTCTGCAGCTGGTCAAGGTACTTGTCGAGCGCGCGTTCCAGAGCCTCTGTGTTTTCTTCCACCGCATGGATGGCGCCTTGAGGACGAATCTCTGCTGGATGGACGACTCTTCCCGACAACATGGCCTCTCGGGCAACCGATGGGCCCAGCTCTCGCACGAGGTACTTGGAAATCACGGCTGGACTTACACCAATCTTGACCTCGCTTAGTGTCCACGACGCGTCCGACGAAACCAGACGCACGTCACAGACAAAGGTCAACCCGACGCCGCCGCCAAAGCAGGGGCGATCCACCAAAGCAATTGTGGTTTGTGGGCTTTGGTCAATTGCATCGTATAAGGCCAGGACTCTTTCGTAGTAACTCGATTCGGAGTTGCTGCTGGATGATGTATCCGTGCTGCCGCTCAGGTCCATGCCCGTGCAGAAGAATTTGCCTTCAGCGGCCAATACAATGTGGTATACGGACGGGTCATTGGCCAAGTCGCGGTAGAGAGCCGTCAATCCATCTAGCATTTCGAGTGTAAGTGCGTTGCCGTTTCGCGGCCGCGTCAGAGTGATCTTGATGGCTGTTCCAGACCGCGCCGTACGGTAGGTGCCTCGATCCTCAACAAGGGTCCATGATCTCGTAGGCGGCTTTGCGTCTGTAGCTGCGGTACTAGTAGTGGTGTATGGATGGACGGAGTTTCTCTTGGCGGCTATAGCCGTACCTGCCCTGCTGCCGTATGGGATGGATAACTGCGACGATATCCATTGACCAACATCCGTCAACTTGTCCAAGTCTACGCCTGTGTTGGCACCAGCCCTTTCCAGAGCGTATACTATATCTTCCGTCGCAACGTTGCCCTTGGCACCAGGCGCATAGGGACAACCCCCCAACCCAGCGACGCTACTGTCAAAGGTGCGAAGTCCCATATCGTATGCTCGCAAGACGTTGGCCACTCCCTGCCCGTACGTGTCGTGAAAATGGCCGGCCAGCATATCTGCAGGCACATCTCGCAGTAGCACCTCGAGCAGCTTCTGGGTGTCGTAGGCAGAGCCAACACCAAGGGTGTCTCCAAGGCCAACTTCATAGCAGCCTATAGCCAGTAGCCTTTTTACCACGGGAAGGACTGTTTCTGGCTGTGTCGGGCCAGAAAACGGATCTGAAAAGATGCATGACACAACGCTTTTGACCGAATCAGTAGCTGGTTTATAGTTTAGACTGACACTCACTGGAGACGTATACATACCCTCGAACCTTGAGCCCCAGTCGAAGGGCCTCGCCGGCTACATTTTCCGCATGATCGAGCCCTTCCGCGACTGTACAATTCTGGTTCGCTTTACTGAAGGCTTCGGTTGCAGATGCAAATACAACTACCTCTCGGGCCCCAGCGTTGTGCGCGTTGAGCAAGCCCTTTAGGTTGGGTGCAAGGACCGGAAAATTGACCAATCTATTGTTCTGCTGGTGCTGCTTCTGGAGATTGGCAACGTCTTTCATCACTTGTGCGCCATCTGCAAGCTGAGGCACCCATTTGGGAGATACAAAAGAGGTAGCTTCAATATCTGCCAATCCGGTGTCGGCAAGGCGGGTTATGAGTTCAATCTTGGTCGCAGTTGGTACAGTAACTTTGATACTCTGAAGGCCGTCTCGTGGACCAGCTTCCACTATTCGAACGCTTCTGCTGCTCCTCAGTGACGAATATAACAGCGCCGGAGGTGGCGACTGCAGAAGCGACCGTCGCAGAATAACAAGTTGCGCTCGTGTAGGCGGTCGCATCGTGGTAGACGAACTTGGCAGACGAACCAGCGATAGGTTCCACGAGCCTTATTCCAGACTTTTACAACAGCAGTTTATTGTACGTCTACGAATGCAGCGCAGTTGCAATGCAGGTTCAGGACAGGCACGTTTGCCGAGGGTGTGGCGCGCTAGTACAGCCTTAGTTGACTCAAGGCTGCCTCGGCGATTTCTTAGAGACAAGGGAAGCAGAGCAACATCACCATGGAGCGGATCAGACGAAAAAAAAGGCAATAATTCTTCACCACAGTTTTCAAGCTTGTTTGCTGTCATTGTTCTTCTTAGGAAATAAATTCTTGTGATTTTTGTCATGTCTACTTGTGAGGTTAACGAACGGTAGTAAATGATAACCAGAACGCGCCTCACCAATGGGACACAATGCTCTTTTGTACACAAAATCTATTATACTCTAGAATGCAGAGGCTTCACTAGCCATATTCAAATCACACCTTGCTCTCTCAACTTGGCCACCTCGTTACTACTGAGCCCCAGCTCTCCCAACACCTCGTCTGTATGCTGCCCGAGCACTGGTGGTTCGCGTCTAATGCCCGTCTGACTCTCGCTAAATTTGATAGCAGGTCCAATGAGCTTCATTTTGCCCGACTTGGCCGCTTCAACTGCTACAGAAGCCACCATATCTCGCGCTTCAGCTTGAGGATGATCAAACGTTCGTTGCATATTGTTGATGGGTGCAAACGGAAGCCCTGTTCCTTCAAAGACTTGCAGCCATTCATCTGTGGTTTTCGACCGTAAGACATTGTTAAAGATCCGGCTCAACTCATCCCGATTGTCCACCCGCTTTGGATTGGTAGCAAACCGTTCGTCGTCGGGCAGCGAGTCGAGGCCTAGAAGGCGACACAGGTCGCCAAACTGAGCATCATTAGTCGCGCCACATACCAGATATAAATCTTTTGTCTTAAAGGCATCATAAGGCGCAATACTTGGATGTTGGCAACCCCAACGCTCTGCCTCGATCCCCAGATTCAGCCAGGAGAGCCCGACATTTATGAGCATACTCATCTGCGTTTCAAACAGAGACCCGTCGACTCGCTGGCCTTTGCCGTGAATGCCTCGAGCATACAAGGCCGCAATAATGGCCCCGTGGAGGTAGAGACCCGTGGACATGTCGATTAGACCAAGGCCAGGGCGCACAGGCGGCCCGTTTCTCTCTCCAGTTACGTGAAGAAGCCCGGCTTCGGCACCTGCAATCGGATCGTATCCCCCGCGAGAGCTGTAGGGTCCAGACCTGCCGTACCCTTGACCAAGTTAGCAAAACATAACATGTAGAAATAATGTCTTATATCCATACCTGAAATGCTGGCGTATATTAGGTGCGGGTAAGCTTCCTTGAGACTATCATATCCAAGACCAAGTCGATCCATTGTTCCCGGTTTAAAGTTTTCAACTCTGTAAAAAAAAGGATCAGCGGACTCATAAGTAAAGCGCTTGCTCTAGAGTACGACTTACAAAACATCGGCTTCGCGTAAGAGGTCACGCAGCACCTGCTTCCCGCTTGGTTTCTTGAGATCTAACGTCAGGGATCTCTTGTTGCGATTGACGGCGGAAAAATAATTGGACATTGGGCCGGCCGACGGTTTCCATGCCTCTTTTTCGCCCTGCATCATCCAATGGCGGGTATCATCCTGCCTGCGTTAGTAGAGAATGGCCATAGACTGTGAGGAGAGAGATTGGCCTACGCCTTTTCCTACCGCCTCAATCTTGATCACATCTGCTCCATAATCTGCTAATATTTGAGTGCAGAATGGGCCCTATAAGAGCTGTTAATATTTGAAATTGGTATTTGCATTAAAGAAAGGACCAGGTCTCACAGCTAGGACTCTCGTCAAGTCTACAACTTTGACGCCCTTCAACGGCCCTCTATTTTGACAGCGATCCTTGGTATGCGAATATTGTCGTAGGTGGAGTCGTTTGTGGCCACTCTGAGAAACAATACGAAGGACGGAAGTAACGGCTACTCTTTTTGTATCAATTGCTGCCAGTCTGGCGGTATGAAACATGATGAAAAGCCGGTAAAGTTGAAGAGACTGGGAAAATGCCTACTGCCATGTGTAGTAGATTGACAAGAGGTAGTGCGCAACCCAGCCGATAAATGTCAATTATAAGACCATGCTATGTTTATCTTGTAAAGCTCGTTTATGAAATTCAATGCATTTATTTCACAGCGACGTTTTGCCCGTGTCTCATCACGAGACCTCGGAAGGGTTGTGGCTGCAGCTTAAATGTAGGATTGCCTCGGCGACTAGTCAACGTGCTGCAGAAAGCTAGCCAGCCATGGCGAGAAGCCAATACGGGATTTTTGCTGCAATTTACATATTTACGATTTAAATGCACCTTTTACAGATGGTGTAGCGAATATTTGTGATGCTGCAAAAAGAAAAGAAAACGTCTATCCACCGAGATTATATTTCTCTATGTATATTCTTCTACGTACAAATTAGACCTAATAACTTCTTGGTAGCCCCAGCACCTTTTGCCCGATATAATTTTTTATCATTTCCGCGCTAATTGGTGCAATCCGTGACAGTGTAGCCTCTCTCAGGTACCGCTCAACATGGTACTCTTTCGCGTAGCCCATGCCTCCCAGCGACATGACCGCCCGGTCCGCCGTCTTGAATGCTGCCTCGGCGGCTAAGAATTTCCCAGCATTGGCATAGTCTCCATCTTGGTAGCCCTGATCAAATAGATTTGCAGCCACGTTCAAAGTCAACCGTGCACTCTCTAGCTGCATCCAGCACTCTGCCAATGGATGCTGTATGCCCTGATACTTGCCTATTGGATTGCCAAACACGACTCGTTCGTTGACATAGTTGCAAGCACGCCGCAGGGCCGCATATCCAATGCCAAGTGCCTCCGAACCAACGAGCACTCGCTCTGCATTCATGCCATGCATAATCATTTTGAACCCATCACCTTCTTCGCCAATCAAGTCCTCAGCTGGGACCTCCCACCCATCAAAGAATAAGGCGTTGGAGTCGACAGCACACCGTCCCATTTTGGGAATCTCGATCACCTGGACGGCAGATCGGTCCAGATCTGTGTAGAATAGGGATAGACCGTGACTCGCCTTCTTGACTTGGTCGAGGGGTGTAGTTCGCACCAGTATGAGGATCTTCTCGGCAATCTGCGCAGTTGATATCCATATCTTTTGGCCCGATAAGATGTACTTACCACCCTTCTTTACGGCGCTAGATTGTAGCTTCAGTGTATCCAGGCCCGTGTTTGGTTCAGTCACGCCAAAGCAGGCACGCTCCTGGCCTTGAATCAAGGGAACCAGCCAGCGCTTCCGTTGTTCAGCAGTGCCAAACTTTGCCACGGGGGCGAGACCAAATATATTCATATGAATAGACGATGCGCCGTTCATACAGGCTCCAGATTCGGCAACGGTCTGTAGCATCACCGCTGCTTCGGCGAGACCAAGGTTGGCGCCGCCGTACTCTTCAGGCAGGCATATACCGAGCCATCCATTCTTGGCAATGTCTTTATAAAATTCCCAGGGGAAGCTGTGATGTGTATCTTTTTCCATCCAGTATTCGTCGCCATACTGAGAGCAGATCTTCGAGATGGCTTCGCGAACAGACTGCTGCGACTCGGTCCATCCTACCAGACTGGTGGGCAAGTAGTCTCCTGCTCGTGTGTGAACATGTCTGTGCTTTTGGGGTCGCGGCTTCGGCTGAGTTTTTAGAGAGCTCGTCACTGGTTGCACGGTGCAATTTAGCGTTTGTAGCAGCTTGTGGCCGAATGTACGCCGTCCTATCGCGGCGGCAGTCATTGTTGATGATCAAGCTTGACTTGCAGAAAGCCACATAGAACCCGTTGCTTCTACCGGGCTTCTTATTCTAATAAGCCCGCCATAAGTTACAGAGACTAGCACCGAGGTCACAATCTAAATTTAATGCCCGAGTAGAAATTATCTAGCATTTTTTTACGGGAATGGCTTCTGGCGCCGCTGTTCATGCATCCTCTCTCCCCCGAGGCAACGCAGCCTTGCCGAGGCGACGTTTGCACGGCTTACACTTTGTTGGCCACGCTAGTACTGGGTAGGATAAATATGGCATCTTCGTTATTACTACGTTTATCTCGGCGATATAGAAATCAACTCGACAGATAGCATGTATTTTCGAAGCTAGAATTCATACGGCCTGTCCCGCGCGGGTAGACGCGCAACACCTCGAGCTTCACACATCATGAGCCTCTCGCGAGATGCCCGTCCGGCTAGCGCCGCTGCGAGCACACTGCACGCTATGACTCCCTTTGCTGTAGCCTGCGGATCGGGCATGATTGCGACAATATGCATCCAGCCTATCGACACAGTCAAGGTGCGCATGCAGCTTACAGACCGCATCGCAGGAAAGCCATCTCCATGGGGCGTAGCAAAGGGCATGGTGTCAGAGGGCGGGCTCATGAACCTGTATCAGGGCCTTTCTGCCGGCCTCATGCGGCAGCTTGTATACGGAACACTACGCCTGGGTCTGTTTACGACATTTGAGCAGCAACTGGAGGCGCGAGCTCAGCGTAATGGATCGACTGTTGGCTTCCGAGAGCGTACCATGGCGGGCTTGGGAGCAGGCGCTATAGCTGCATTCTTTGGGAATCCGACAGAGGTTGTTCTGGTTCGTATGCAGGCCGATGGCATGAAGCCGCTACAAGATCAGCAGAGATATAAGTCGGCCATTGATGCGCTTCGAAAGATGACACACGCAGAAGGCATCTTGTCGCTGTGGAAGGGCTCCGGGCCAACCATCATACGAGCCATGTCGACCAACTTTGGGCAGCTAGCATTTTTTTCAGAATCAAAGTTCCAGTTAAAGAAGAGAACAACATTGGGCCCCAAGTCTAGAACAGCGGCTGCTGCTGGAATCGCCGGGCTAGCCGGTGCACTCATCAGCCAGCCGTTCGATTTTGTCAAGACGAGGCTGCAAAACCAAGTAACAGCATCAGGGAAGCCACCTACATATTCCAGCATGCTAGACTGCTTCATAAAAGTGGTTAGGCGAGATGGCATCATACGGCTGTATCGCGACATTGGGCCGTACTTTTTACGCATTGCGCCGCATTCGTGAGTCTTTGTTTGTTTCTTGTTATAACAACAACCCGTTCTAACTGTTTTTGATAATAGCATGATTGCACTCTTTCTAGCGGATAGAATAAACGAGTCATTTAGAGCTTGGAAGCAGCCACAGACGCAAAAAATGGACACCTAACACTAACAATGACACGAACCGTTGGAACTTCTGGCAATACATGTTTTCTGAAACCATGTATCTACAGGAGTAGTTACCGATATTTATGACGAATTATTTGTGCCTCCCATAGGAGATGGCTTTCGTCTCCAGTACAAGATGGCGCCGTGGGTGATGAATATTGTTGATACTCTCGCATAATAACCCCATTTGTAAACTAGTCTTTCTTCCAGTGTGCAGGCCGGCCAACCAATAAAATTAAAGTCAGCTGCCCTTTTTTCTCGCCTATCTTTTCATCTAGAGCCTTGTTTATTTGTATTTCAACGTGGCAGGCTCAGCTCTCCTAGTACGTACCTAAACCTCCCATGCAGACGTGCATAACCGAGGGCTGCTGTGTGATAGGCAGCATACATTAGCCTAGCGCTTATAAATGGGAGAAGTCCCATTCGCCCAAATATTGTGTAGCAGTGTAGATACTGTTTGTTCTCTAGGCCCTGTAGACAGTTCATCCCATCATGCTTTGGTTTACAGCAATAGCACTCTTTGTAGCGCGGGTGGTTGCCCAACCCACCGACAACCACGCCTTTCAGGCTCCGGGTCCCGGCGATGGTATGTATTCTTCTTGTGTAATGATTTCCAGCACAACGCTAACTGGCTGATCTATAGTTCGCTCTCCATGCCCAGGACTCAATGCTCTCGCTAACCACGGTACGTAGTAGCAAACTAGCTCAGAATCATCACTAACTCCTCACGATACAGGCTTTCTTCCCCGCAACGGAAAAGGTGTAACGCTGCAGAACTTCATTACCGGTCTCAAGGAGGGCATCAATGTTGGTATCGACTTTGCCCTACCTGTTGGCCAAATGGCTCTTCAATCTGCACCGCTGCCGCTGGCCTTGTCGGTTGATCTGGACAGACTAGCCGAACACAACTACCTTCTTGAACATGATGCCAGTCTGTCTCGTCAGGACTTCTATCTTGGCGATGATCTCCATTTTAACCAGTCCATTTTTGACCAGGTCCTGGCCTATTACAAGGGTACGGATACCACCAACATCCAGGCTGCTTCAGATGCCCGATGGGCTCGGGTCAAGGACTCTCTTACCACCAATCCCAAAGTCGTGTATGGTGTTAGACAACTTGTGCTTAGTTACGGAGAGACGGCGCTGTACATGGCCGTCATGGGCGATCCCCTGACAGGCAAGGCCCCGATTTCATTTGTCAAGTCACTGATTGGTATGTTGCTTGTGTTACTGCTCATAGTAACCCTGACTCATCTCCTTGGCCTTTCTTTCTATTCTAACACATCACGTCTTCTAGAAAAAGAACGGCTTCCCTATGAACAGGGTTGGACCAAGCCCGCCGTCGAAGTTAACCTGGTCACGCTCGGTGCATTGATTGCCCAGCTGCAGCTAGCGAACCCTGATGCAGTACCGGAGGGTCTAACACTTGGTGCAGGGACACTAAAGGACGTATACAACTTGATTGATCCGCTGACGGGCCAGGCTCTCAATCTGACCTGTGCTGTGCTAGGACTCTGCTGAACACTGGAATATTATCTTCCTTGATCACGGAGCGCGGATGGCAATGAGAACCGTTGAGTACATGTTTCCAGCAAATAGTGTGTGTTGATTTCGTTTTCTCCAATTATATCTGATCAACTATATACGCTTGGACCAGGCGCCATGTGACTAGTATCTAGCCTTGTAGAGCCTGATGAGGAAACATTTTGCCATTGTGGCCCGACTACGCAGAGCCTAGTCTAGCCTTCCAGAGCCCTGCATAGCAAATTGTATGGACAGCGAGTTCTATAACTTTATATCTGCCTTCTCCATACGGATCAATCCCTATAAAAGGTGAGCCAAAGATGCGCAGCAAAATAAAATAGAGTACTTATCTTACCTCTTGCATGCATGTAGCCAGCAACAGGCCGCTCTGGCTGTACACGTGCTGTTGGACTAAAGCCCTCCCATCCCCTGCCCACGGGCTCTCCATTTCCATAAGGAGCCAGTCATCGGCGCAATATGCCGTAGGCGAAGCGTGAAAGTAGATGGAGTGGTCTAGAGATAGCATCATTTGCACGCGCCGCCTCGTGTCGTCTGGCCTGGGACCATCTAGCTCTTCCTCAGGGTCTATGCCGTCGTTGAGATCATGCACCCGTGGTACGGTACATAGAAAATAATTGTCCGTCATGTATGCGAGAGCAGCAGCGTGGGCTTCTGGTTTTGCATCATGGCCCAAGGCATGCCGTGTCTTGGCCCACTGCGTCGTGCTCTTCTTGTATGCTTCGCCCAGGGAAGTTCGCTTGATTCTTGTACAAACAAATGGACAAGGAGTAGCATTGCCTCCAGACATAATGTCTGCGACTGGAAACTCTGGCCTTGGTATAGGCTTGATTATCCTAACCATCCCAGAGACTGCGCGATCCGTTTGCGCGCGGAACCTCACCATGGCAAGAAACACTACTCTGCCATTTTGCTGAGCCGCTACCTGCCTCACATGCGCATGGCGATCTTCCTGAAGTCGAGATACGTGGTATGATAGGGGCACATCGGGCTTTCCGCCTACTATAAAAGTGCAGTGCATCGACTGAACGAGTTCAGGCTTGGGGACGGTTCGAGACGCTGCAGCTAAACTCTGCGCAATTAGGACACCGCCGTAGATGCCGCGGGCACGATGTGGTAGCCATGGCTGATGTACATTGACAAAGGTATCCTTTGCTATCTGTTTCAGCTCAAGTGCTTGATTCATAGTCGAGGTCGCCATATCGCTGGCGTGGAAACGGCGTTGTGAATACCATAATGCTACGTTTTGTGGTGCAGTATGCGCCGATTGCAGCGACAAAAGGGCTTAATTTACCTGTCTTACAGTGACGACGCGCTACAGGACAGCACCCAGAGCTACAGTAGCGCCGCAGGATTCCAGGCGCCGGGCAAAAATGCATGGGGTCAGGCAGTAGTGGATATCGGAAGACCGTGACAATGACGACTTTGACTCTCCATACGAACCCCATGTTGCGTCCCCTATTTGTCATTGTATTAGGCTGAGAGCGGCATGGTTTGCTTTCCTGAATAACACGGGACAAAAGACGCCAATCGCTGGTGGCCCCAGCTCAGCTGTGCTACACGCTGGGCTGCGACAAATTTAATAGCCGAGGCGACTTAATCTAGTGTCCGTCTCGTCCTGTCTTTGATTGCCGAGGCTTTCAACGCAATACTAGTGAGAAGGTATGAAGGCGGGCTGCAGGGAAGAGGCGTGGCACTGGTTTACTGAACTTGTCCGCCACCACGGCAGATAAACGACAGAAATCTGTGGGGATGGATTATCCCGAGAGAAGGATGCCGGTTGTCCGGTGTTCCCTTGGCCTGGGAGAGCATGGTCTTTGCCCCGTTTGTACCGTGCTCGCTCGCTTCCGCTTACTGTTGAGCTACATTAGTGAGGCACTCTTCTCCCCGCACTTTGGCGCACTTCAAAGACTACATCTGGCTTAGCGCTGTCCATGAACTCGGGATGGTGGCCCACCGACCCTGTATTTGCTTGGCGGGCAAGTTCGAAGTGCTGGAGATTGTAGATTATCAATGTTTCTTAGAGCACGTTGAGAGTAGCCGATGAGTCTGTGTGACGTGCATTTAGAGGGCGAAGAGTCCGGTCAATCGCCGTGCCAATCTCCTGCATAGCATAATTGATCTATGTATCCGGAAGGCGTATTGTACGCTAGATGGACTGTTGACGCTGCTACGCGCCGCTCTTTGTTCTTCAGCAACTGCAGGCTCGTATGGAACGTGTCCATGCACAAACCTAGAACTGCGTGACAATGGGTCCCAACCCCATTCTTCGGACTAGTTGTGCCGCTAGTCTACAGTGCAGTATACCTGGGTACATAATTCTTCATTAGCTTGGGGAGGGTGCGCCACTGTGAATACCTGGAACCACCCATGCCTCGCTCTCCAAATACCGTCACATAGTGGACTAATTAGCCATGATTTGTGGCGGCGCCAGTGGATTGCTGAACGTCCTCCTCATAAAATCAACAGAACCCTTACTTGCCCCGTCTCTCCCGCATCTGATCGCATAGTATTTCCATTACAGTGACGAGGAACGACCCTATTTGCTGCAAACACAGCCGAAAGTAAACATCCCGGCGTCTATAGGCTTCCAACCTCATCGTCAGCTTGGACCAGTCGCTGCTACATACGGCTCCGAGCTCACTACAAGCTCCCTGACTACATACTTGGTGCCTGAGATTGTGTCAAGAGGCTCGAGTTGACTACATCCCATAGCAAGCATGGTCATTACCGAGACGGAATCTGCGCGGAATCGCGCGGCTGGTCGGGTGGTCAAGCGCCGGTCTCCGAAGGCATGTGTCTCTTGTCATAATAGAAAGGTCCGCTGTGACGTCGTCAATGGCGGATGGCCGTGTACAAACTGTCGTCTAGATGGTGTAGACTGCCTCCTCAAGGAATCAAACAGAGGTAGGAAGCCCGGCTCGGTCAACCCAAAGAACACAGGGGCTGCGACTAGGCGGGCATCGCGGCCTGTTGCTGCTACAGTTACGCCGACCGACAACCGAGCCGAGTGCGACGAAGATGTATTGGATAGCTCTATGAACGACCAAGCCCATACTATACCGCGGCTTTCCCAGCCTGCATACAGAGAAGAACACCATCTCTCTCCGCAGTCAGACACATCGCGTCTCTCAGAACTCCAGGAGCAACCGCATCAGTGCACGCATTCGCCGAATCAACCATTCCCATCCAGCCCCGGCCCAGACACGGAGCCGTCCAGTGCACCAAGAGACTTTCTCTTTGCATTGGCGTTTGAAAGTAATTAAGACTCTATTTGAGCCCAATAGAAATGTGCTACAGATGCTAACCCAAGTCACAGATGGCTCACAGCAACAGTCTCCCGGCCAGACAACCACCAACAGCAACAAACGAGCCCTACATGGCTCACAATCTTCAACTCATTCAACATCTCCAAATGTCTTACCACATACTACTTCGGAAAGAAACCAGTCTGAAGCCGGTCGCATGTCATCGCATTGCTCAGTTGCGCAAAACAGTCCGCGTCATCATATACTCCCCCCTTACATCAAACCACTCCCTGCTCGCATCAAATCCCGAGATATCGATTACTTAACTGAGGGTGGCTGTCTCAATATTCCAGATGATGATCTTCGCGACGAACTGTTGCGTGTATATATACGTTTCGTATACCCATTTATGCCAGCCATCGACATTGAAGACTTCATCACACCCATTTTCAGCCCAGATAGCCGGCGTCCCGTCAGCTTGCTGCTATTCCAAGCCATCATGTTTGTCAGTATTACATTCATCGACAGCGAGTTTCTCAAATCAAGAGGCCACCAGAGCCGTCGAGCAGCTCGTGAGGTCTTCTTTGACCGCGTGCATTCGTTGTATAGCTTCAAAATTGAAGATGACAAATGCGCCTTGGTCCAGTCTCTCCTGCTCATGACATACTGGTATGGCTCACCCGAAGATGACAGAGACACCTGGCATTGGATGGGCATCGCGCTTGGCACAGCCCAAGTCGCCGGATTCCACATGGATCCCCGGGAATTAAGTATATCGCCAAAAGAGAAGCAGTTGCGCCGGCGCATCTGGTGGTCATGCGTAATACGAGATCGGCTAATTGGCCTGGGCATCCGTAGACCGACACGAGTGCGGGATGAAGAAATGACAAATCCGCTTCTCACATTAGACGACTTTGACTTGGAGCCATCATCGGCTTTATTAGTTGGTGTATTGGGCGAGTCAAAGTTCAACTATGTCGACACGGAAACAAAGACGGGTGTCGCCAAGATGTGCATAGAGCTTAGCCGCCTAGCCATCATTGTTGGTCACGTTTTACATTCGCAGTATACCGTTGCCGGAACAGACAACAGCAGCTCAGAGTTTTTGCTTCGAGCTGTTGTTAGGCCCAAACAATCGCCCGACCAGGCCGCCAGTCTAATTCAATGCGACACCGAACTCAAGAACTGGTTCGACGAGCAAGGTTTAGGCCCAATGCGAACGGATTCACCCGAGAATGACTCGACAGATATTCTCAGACTCTACTATTCACTGCTGCAAACCATTTATTTCACCACAGTGAGCGCACTGCATAGACCACAAGCATTCTACACTGGCTCTAGCCGGAACAACAGCAGTAGCATGAAAGAGCACTCTCGGAAAAAGGTGCAAGATGCGGCCATCTCGTTGACAAAGCTGGCCTTTGACGTCCAATCACGCAATCTGCTACGCTATTCTTCTACAAGCAGCATCCCAGCGTTTCTTTCAGCGACGCTCATCCATCTAATCAATACACGGTCCAACGACGAAGAAATACGCAACATTAGCGTCGGCCGCTTCTACCACTGCCTCGGGGCGCTGCAGCAGCTGCAAGATATGTATGCGTCCGCTGAATATGCCGTCAACTTTGTCAAAACTGTGCTCCGGACAGCACACCTGGACACACCACTGCTTACGGGCGGATTTTCTCGAGAATGGGGTGACCAGAGTCAATGGCACGACTCAGCAACATCGCCAGCCAACGCGGCCACATCGTACCCAAGCCCCTCTGCATCCGGACGTCAAACATGGCACGGTCTAGCTACTGCAAAGCCGCACATGGAGAGTAACCAGAGGGGACCGGGAATGCATACCTCGGGTGCCACCTACTCTGGCGTGGCCACACAGCCGCCGTGGCCGCCTATGGCTACGCCTCATTTCAGCGCTGGACCGCAGTTTGACGTGGACTTTGGATCTCCGTACCTGGGAATTCTCGGAGACATGGACATTTTGGACCCCAGTCTTGCTCTTATGAGCTTCGACACAGACCCTAGCTTTCTCTTAACAAAATGAGAAGTCTACGTCGTTACTTGCCTTATACGTTTTAGTCCACACATGGGTGGACCAGTACATACGAAGGTGCCCTCTCACCATCAAGACGGTCTTAGAAACTCCTAATAAAATCTGTATAAATAAACCTGAATTTCTACTTCTTAGTACCTGTCCACCACTGCCACCATTGTTTCGAAACTTTATGCTCAGAGGAATTGATTGGAGCATCAGATGCAGTGTCTCCGCAGGCTGCTCCAAGCTCCATCTCGCTCTGCGTCTCAACGTGTATGCTAAACATCCTCTGCACATATATTCCTCCGTCGCGCATAGAGTTTCTATGGGCATCATCCATAAGAATAGACTCTATCCGCATCACAGTGTTGGACATGGAGCCGTGCGCATATATGACATCCGTGTCCAAGTCGCTCTCCAATGAAGCTTCGCTCCTCTTCTGACTTGCTCGTCTCTTGCGTCTCAGACGAGACAACAAGCCATTGAGCGGTGGCAGGGAGCCAATGATTAGCGCAGTACATATTTCGACGGCACTCCAAATGTCCAGGCCAACAACATCAATTTTATCATCCATGAGTATCTGCGCCATACGCAAGACAGCTACACAGACAACAAACAGATTTAGCCCAAATATAACACCCAATCCGATTTTCTTGCGTCGGTCAAGGCTAAGTACTGGCAATACGGACAGCTGGAGCCCGATGATGGCCACATTGGACACCACATCCAAGACTGTAGAAAACAAAATGTTGAATCTCTGGCGGTGTATATCAGCCGAGCCTTCACACTTGCCAGCCTGGAAATAGTCGCCAGGCCTCTCACAGTTGAATATACTCGATATGGCACAGCCCAGAAAGGCAAGCGTAACGAAAATTGTCACAGTATACCACAGGGTCCTCTGGATCCGGAATGGATAGAGCACCTGGTAAAAGACGGCGAGGAAGCTGGCCTTTACACACCACAGCGCCACCCAAAATAGATATACCAGCGCAAAGTGCCATCTTGCCTGCTGCTCCTCGTACCAATCCGCCTTGGCTTGGTCCTGCACAACACGGCCATCCTCAACAGCCGCCACATGCCATATCGACTGCGACTGTAGCATGCAGAGTATCGACATGAGCAGCATCGAGATCCATCCCAGGATGATCCATATATCATCCGTCTGCAAACTTCGGTGATTATAGCTGCGTACCGTAAGGCGAGAGGCGACAAAGACGGTGGAAACAGCGAAACAGACCCAGACTATAGCAGCCAGACCCTGCTGGCTTACATGGCTAGCGTCGTCGAGGTCCGTCATTCTCGGCTCGTAAAATGTTATGCGCCAAAACAATATAATTTCATTGGAATCTTGGCTTTCTAATCGGGATTTTTTTTTTCAAGTTGTCTTCCTTTTTGCCCCTTCGCGTATTTGACGGACTGTCAGAGGGAGGGGGGAAGATGCCTGCTGTGGTGTGGTTTACTGCATAGTTTGGCGTTTCAGATCTAGTTCGCCAGCAAAACCCAACTTGTCGGATAATTGATATGGCTCGTTCTCTTTTTTTAATATTTTGAATTGTCGGGCATAATAATTATATACAATGTATGCACAACAAGAGAACAGTTGATACAGGAACATATATGTATGAACACGGCCTTACAGCGAGCGATGGTGACTTCACGTAAGCTGACGGACAGAGCGCCACACAGCGCAAAGGCTGACACGATGCGACGTGAAGCAAGCGATCATTGCCCAATCTATAGCCACGAGGAGGCTAGTTGGTATCGCGTGGCATATTTACCCGGCGTTGAGATCCTTGCCTTGCAGCATTTCAGCCACGTACCAGCAATCACAAGGGTATCCAGCTGTGTTTTATTGGACAGCTCTTGCGTGGTTTGATGCGTCGGAGTTACTGGCCGGCCGAGGATGGCTAAATGCACTGACAGCGTCGGATATTGTATTAGATAGCAAAAGGAGTCGGTCGGCGCCTTTAATACACTTACGGGGTCGTCATAATCTGCGTGGCTTACTTGGCCGTAGAAGCAAACTAGAATCCGGGGAAGAAGCCTGCTCAGAGGCGGGGAAACGACAAGTCGGCCGGGTGTAATGGCCCGCTCAAAGCATGCTCGGCACATACTTCAGGGAAGTAGTGTGGACGTTTTATTCGTTGTTGCAGAGAATTTATTCAAACCGTCTATTTAGAGTTATCAAGGTGTCAAGATGTCTATTATGCGCTGCCCTTTCCGGAGTGTTCCAGAGATACATATGGCTGTTCATCATCACTTGAGCATGCTGTGTTTCTCTTGGTTGCTTTGATTTGTTTTTTGTTGCAATATTCCGTTCCGCCAATGCCTGTTGGAGCCGTGAAATCATTTAGAATATAAAAAGTACAAGTGTTGAAAGAATTGAAGTCGTGGTAGAGTGGATGGTGTTGTGTAGTGTCTCCAAATGAATGTATAATGGCAAACAAACCCGGCCATTGTGTTTGCACAGCCTGCGTGCTGCTTACTCTTGCTTCTTCTTCTGCTCTTCCGCAGCAGCCTGCTCCTTCTCAGCAGCCAACATCTCGTTAGCTTGAGGGGCCGCAGCTTCACCGGCCTTGGCAATCACCTCTTCCTTCTCGTCAATATCTTCGACATCACGAGGAGTAGCCATACCAGTGCTCTGACTCTCTTCATTCTGTTCGTTCTCTTCTTTGATCAACTCCTGCTGTTCGCGCAACACTTCAAGACGCTGCTTGTTCGTTGCGGCACCTTCGGCATTGTGAACCTCGAGCTCAATCTCGTGGAACAGCTCCTCAGGAATGGAAGACAAAACGCCAATGAGAGCGTCAATTTGGCTCGAACCTTCTCCAGACCCTTGGCCGTACATGTAAGCGTTGCTCAGGACAAGAAGCGTGGATGGAACACCCTCACGAAGACGTAGATCCAACCAAGTTTGCATATCGCTGCGCATTCTGGCGGGCGACACACTATGGGTTCGGATTCCGCGAGCGGCACAAGCCATCTGCAGCTCAGCAACAGTCAAGCTATCGACACCTTCGTAGCTAATAGCACGGTCGTCTCTTTTAATTTGCTTCATGCGGTGGCGAACCTGGTAACGCAGCATCATGTCGGTACCAAATGTGTTTAGGTTCATGTAGCGGCACATGGAAACCAGCTGCGGGCGTGACAGATTATCAAGAGTCAGATCATCGCGGAAGACCTTGCAAACCTTGATAACATCCTCGTTGGTGGGAGCTTCGCCAGTCGATCGAACCTTACGGAAGAAGTTGGCGAATTCCTCCTTTTGGGCAGTGGCCGGGCTGAGTGGCAACCCAGATTCACGCAGCGTCTCCTGGAGGAACGTGCTCACATCCTTGCGGGTAGAGCGTAGCAGAGCCGCCTTGGCCTCCTTAGACTTTTGTCCTTCAAAGGTGCTCGGAAGCATATTGGGGAAGAGCTTCAAGGCAATGGGTAAAAGCGCTTCAGCGAAAGGCACAATGATAAAGACAGAAAAGGGAACGAGGCGACCCAGGTCCTTGACTGTGCGCTGCAGCTGCTTATGTTCACGGCGTGTGAGCTCATAGCCCGCTGTCATCTTGAGGGCCAGCCTCCAGCTGATGCGAACCTCGGCGGCCAACAACTTACTACCATCCCAGTAGTGTTGGACCTCCTTCTTGACCTTTTGCCACAGCGTCAATTTCTTCTCCTCCTTTTCTTTCTTCAAGACCTCTTTTTTGCTGGCATGTTCATCAAGCTTGACCTCCAGTTCAGCCAGCTTGGCATCGTCCTTTGTTGTCTCGGATTTTGTCAAGTCGGGCTTGGATGCTTGAGTTTTAACGTCGTTGCTAGCCAGGGGCTTCTTGGCTTGGTCGACATTGAATCCCGGGGGTGGCGCTGATGAGGTATCGGGACGGTGCTGCTCAGTCCCAATGTATCTTACGGGGACGAGGAGGGCAAGAGCCGGGATATGTGTGTTGCGGGCAATATGACGTGAAAGGAGGGCAGGGGAAACGCCACGGGCGAGCGATCGTGCTGCATTAAAAGACTCACGTTAATATGTTTCTTTGGTTGAGGTATCTGTATATGCAAGAGACTTACAGGCCAAGCCAATCTGCTGGCGGCTCGCGAGGCGAGCGGCGCTAGATGCGCTCATGGTGCAGGTTGTGATACAAGGAGTAGCGGTTTTCAACGAAAGGGAGAACGATTATTGTTACAAGAACATGAGGCTGTTGCTGACAATTGGCGACTGCGAAAATATTAAAAGTACGCTTCCCACGAGTCGTATTTTGCGATGATGATACAGGTCGAGGGGGTTTGATAATGGCGATGGTGATGATGACGGGTTGTGGAACACAAAAGAAATGCTTGGAGCAACAACCTTATGGTTCCAGGGCCATCGTTTCCGCCTCTCACAGCGCAGACTCAACGCGGATGCGCCGGTGAAAAACTCCCGTTGGCGCAGCTGGCTTGTCCGGTTGGTTCGAAATAGTGGGGCTTGGAAATCCAACAGCTCACATCGTTGAGATCACGTGAAGACTACCCTGCAGACGCAACTCCTAAACAAAAATCCAATAATATATCATAGTAACTATTATTATTATGTTTACAGCAAAGAAATTATGTATCTATATGCATTAGATTGTTATGGTTTTTTTTTTAAATATAAATCATATGCGTTAATGGCCTTTGCCCATGTATGGCTTGCTAGGTAATATACCCGTTTCAAAGCGCCAGGTTAGAGCTTAGTGTAGCCTGAGTAAGGCATCCCGTGTAGAACTTTTACATAATTCATTGTCATTATTTATTCGTAACTCGTCTATTTCAACCAATTTTTGAACTTCCTCTTACTATACCCCTTGTCTCCATACCACCTATCCAGGCTTCCTGTGTCCCAATCATGCCTACTACTCCTGTCACTCAGCAGCCTTGACCATCGATTTGATGGCTCAAAGACAGAAGACTTTCTCTTGCGTCTCCGTCGGAACATATCCTCCGGTGGAATGGCTTCGACGACTCTAGGACTAAGAGCGATTCTAGCAGGATAAGATTTTAACGCCGAAGGTGCTGTTGTCTCCTCAGCCCGAGCCGTGTCCAACAGAGGACTCTCAGGTGGACTGATATCCCTAGGAGGAGGACTGTTGCTTCTGCTGCGACTGTGACTTCCGCGGTTGCTCTTATAATATCGGGGAGAAGTCTCGCGACGTTTGGCACGGGGCTCCGGGCTATGGCTTCGGCGGGGAGGACTAGGGCTAGGCGGACGCGGACTCAAAGCCCATTGTGCCTTGTCTCTGTAGTCGTTTTCCTTGTCCTTGAAGTCATTCCCTTTAGAAGACATCTCAGGTGGCGATTTGGACCTCTTTTCGCGACGGGAATATGCTTTTTTGGGTCCCGGGGGCAGCGGACCACTTTCGTCACCGGGCCGGGTCACGTAGCGAGTCTTCTTGATGCGTCCATCATCGTCCGGCGAAGCGACAATAACAATCAAGTTGGCGAAATCACCTTCCTTGAACATGACATGGACCTCATCCGAGCTGGATATCGGCGGCAGTCGCCAGATACGGTCACCAGAAGGAATGGGATTGTTTTCCTTGGGAACGTCCATATCAAGTTGTGGCCGAGCCGTCATCATGCAGAAGAGTTGGCACAGTAGTGTTGGGTCACTCTCGGGTGTTTCTGAGCGCCATTTCCAGCCGGGATAAGGTGATTTCGTATCTTTGGAACAAAAAGCCTCCCAGTTGCGATCCCAGATACCCAAGGCTTGCCACCTGCTTCGAACACGAGACGGCGCAGTGCTAGTGATTTTGGCCAACTCTTCTTCAGGAAGACGCTCCAGGCGTAAGCTCTCTTCTTCAATTTCAAGATAGTAAGTAAACCAGGGGCGCGAGGAGAGGAAAGAAAGCCACTGAGCACGACTAGCGTCCGGTGCAAGATCGGCGCGAGGCGTAACGGGGCGGTGCTCTCCGTAGCACAGGTCACGACGCGACTGGAGCATTTGTTCCAATAACTCCTTGTCGCTTCGAGAGTCAATGCCGCTTTCTGGTTGCCATTTCCACTCCCATTTGCTCGCTGGTGTAGCAAAGCGAACCTTTTTCTTGCTCTTCTTTGGTGACTGTATGTCCCATGAGGGGTCCCAGACACCAAGTCGTTGCCAACGTAGTTTGACAAACTCTCGGGGGGCCAGTGCTTGCTCTTCAGGCGTAGCCTGAGTGTCCCACCAGAGCTTTAACCGACGAGCATGAGGAGTATCAGTTGTGAGAAAGGCCTTGATGCGGCCTATTTCGCTGAGGCATTCCCTTTCAAAGCGGAAAGATGGTGGAGCAAATCTGGAGACCACGAAGTAAAGGTCCTCCAGCTCTTCGCTCTCCAAAGGGGCATCTAGAAGAACTCGGTGCTTTGCAAAGATTGCTTGTTCATCCTCGCCACTCAGTAATGGCGTTGTTTGAGGCGGAGCGGACCATCGCTTAGATGGAGCCGTAGGTTTGGATGCTGTAGGTTGAAAGCGTTCTCGAAGATGTGACAAGTTGTCCGGTGAAGAAAGTTCAGACGATTCCTCCTCTTCTGCCGTAGAGCAGGTGGAGAGAGATGCGACACTAGCTGGTCGTTGTTTGGGGATGGCTCCAGGGCGGAAGGCGTTATAGTTTAGGCCCAAACTGTCGACTCCTTTGCTTTGGGACTGGTCAATGACGGTGTCTTCATCTTCAGCACTGGGCCAGCGCTGGTGTGACTGAGAATAAGAGTGATTAGACGGCATATTTAGACTTGGAAGTTGCTGATGACCAAGTGTATGCTGTGTAAGTGCGTTGCTGGCGTCGGCCAAACAGAGCTACGGCACACGCGCATTTTGTATCTTTGTGTAGCAAAATTAAGCGCTACAAGCTGTGCCAGCAATGGTGTATTTTCTCAAGCATTTTCTATAAATATCCTGCCTTGCAATGCCTTCGAAGGGAAATTGTATGGGAATTAACCGCCGAGAACGACCGACCCGGCGTTACGGTCCTTCATTGCCCCTGGCGGGAACGCGGGCGCTAACAAACGCCGTGGTGGGGTTTGTGGTAAGGCGAGCTGTCGACCACTGATTACGCGCCGACGGATGGAAAGTCTGAAACGAGCCAGGGTTGTAGGAAATTAGCCTCACTATGATCTGTAAAGCAGCCAATAGGTCATCTAAAGACGACACTTCGAGTTTTTGGGGTGGTCGCGCAAAGGTGGCCGCAGTTGGCCGGCGAGGCCGCATATGGTGAAGCAGTTTTTGGTTTCAGTGGCTGTTGCCAGGGGTGGGCGCCATAAGTAGAGGGCGGGTAAGCGGTGCTGGATTATTCGCGTGACCATGCCATCGCATATTTCTATGTGTAGGTGTACTGCGTGAGAGCACAATTCTTTTGTCTACCTTGGGTTGTAGGCATGCGTAGTCGTGGTCTTTGTGTTGGAAATAACGATACGGTTTGATTTTCAGATGCTGGACAGTGGCTGACTGCCTCTCCATGAACCAAAATGCATAAACCGTTGCGTACCTGTATGCCCCTTGTCAGAAATACTGGCTGGTTGAGATTGAATCCCCCTCACTCTGTTTAGCGAACGTGCCAGCTACTTGCTTTCTAGCGCAGCGTTGGTGCACATGCGTTTTTTGGGAAACTTTTCTTCCTTTTCGTCGGGACAAATCGGGGGACGATCCCAAGGGTGCAAGAGACATTTCCCCGGATTCCACGTCAGATTGGCATGTGCAGGCCGTAATTAGTATGTGCGCCAACTAAATTAACAGTCTGGCCGTGGGACACCTCATATTCCCGTACCGGGCCGCCACGCGTTGTTGCTAGCTGCCAGAGAGATATCCACTAACCAAGGTAGATGTGTGTGTGTGTCTAGCTGTGAGCGGGAACAAGGGTGTTAAAGCAAGGCAAGTAAGCTGGGAGAGTAAGCCAATGAATATTTGGATGTCGGGGACCAAGTTCATTCTTCAAAGTATCTTGAGGGTGTTTCCTGGGGCAAAATTTCTTCTTCAGTTGCACGTAGAACAACTGGTACACCTTCGCGCAAAGATAAAATATGACACAAAAAAACAGAGAGAGACACGATTACTCCTTGCCGCTGCTCTTCCAGAAGCTCGCCACCCCTCGGTCGGTCTTAGCGGGGAAAGGCCAACCTTTTTTTGTTGAATCCGAAAACCGGAAGTCCACTGTACCCACCGGAATGCTAGAGCGCTTCAGTGGGCAATAGTGCACTGTCGGACTGCTTAGTTCCCCAACCCAGCCATTGGACCGGAAGTGGGTGGGCAACCCCAGCACGTGTGGAATCTCTCGTCCTGGCTTATCTCTTCTACTCCTCCTCCATCCTTCATCAAACTAGATCAATAGTCCAGTCTTTGCCTTTTCTTTCTGTCGCTGCGGTCTACTTGATTTCTCGCTGCTGCTTGTATTTTCTACCAGGCGCATTGCTTCCGACGATTCCGTCTATCGAATACTCCCCCAGTGTATCATGCAACTCCGTCGAGCTGCCCGCGTTCTCCTCGTTGGTGCACCAGGTGTCGGAAAGGGAACCCAGGCCGAGCGACTCTTGAATCGCTTCCCCCAGCTACAGTCTATTTCCACAGGCGATCTCTTGCGCCATAATGTCAAGTCTCGCACGCCTCTCGGTATGTATTCATTGCTTGTTCGGAGGGGTCGGCTCGCACACCCCCTCTCCCCCGATCAGTTGCTAATGCTTGCGCGCGCGACCAGGCATCCAAGTCGAAAGCGTCATGAAATCAGGCGGTCTTGTAGCAGACGACCTTATGCTGCGGCTGATTTCTAACGAATTGCAAAACCGCGGCTGGCTCGCCCGTCAAACCATGACACTCTCCATGGCTGCTGTACACTCTTCCCATGACGCCGAACACCACCTGACGTCCTTGCGCGGTCAACCATCGGAAGACCCCGCTGCTTCCTTCATTCTCGACGGATACCCTCGAAACGCTGCTCAAGCCCACAGTCTCGAATCTATTATTCCTATTAATCTTGCAGTCTCGCTCAAAACACCCTTTGAAGTTCTCCTCGGTCGCATCTCTGGCCGCTGGGTTCACCAGCCGTCAGGGCGTGTCTACAACACATCCTTCAACAAACCCAAGGTCCCTGGCCATGACGACATCACCGGAGAGCCTCTCACCAAGCGACCGGACGATACGGAAGAGGTGTACCGCGCCCGCTATGACCAATTCCAAAAGGCAAACGAATCTCTCCTTGAACATTACCGCCAAAAGGGTGTCTTGATTGAAGTCGAAGGCATGACCAGCGATGAGATTTCCCCAAAACTGTATGCCGAATTCGAAAAGCGCTTCGCCTAAGTTGTCTCAGAGCTTTTGTTAGAACGCACTTCATATCCATGGCGATTAACGACAGCGAGCGCTTGTTTTATTACCCTTGTCTTTTGCTCATTTTCTTTCTTTCTTTTATTTGGGATACCAGCCGCCACAACTTCAGGCGCAATGTTGTATGATTAACTTTTTCGTCGCTCTTATGCTCGCCTATTGAATCGGGCGCGCCGGACCTGTGAATTAGGGGCGAGCTTTTCTATCTTACAGGAATTAATATCGGTTATGTACTGTACATGGAGTGATGGGAACTACAGACCCAGTCGTTGGTACAGGTAGTTGGAAGGTGGATGGCCAACAGTATTACACAGGCGTATATTTTATAGATAGCCTTTTAACTGAACAGGTTGTAGAGCACATCAATCATAAAGTTGGGCTCTATAATAACATTCAATCCGTTCAATTATACAAGTATGTAAACTTCATCTGATCGCTGTAATACATATCTTCGCCGACGGCGGTGGTGATTTAGATGGGATATAGCATCTTCATACATAGTTAATCTCGCCACTCCTCACCACTGCGAACACCCGGGGCTGCACTGTTGCTGCTGCCCTGAAGGGGAGTATCCTCGTCGTCGTCGTCGTCCAGTGCCTTGGCCAGATCATCAGGATCCTGCATCCTTGCATCAGGGTCCACCGCACCTTCAATACCTTCGTCTTGCTCTTCATGCTCGTCAAGCGTGTCATCGGCACTAATAGAGATCCCGCGAGAGCCCCAGTTAGGGCGACCACCTCGACTGGTACCCTGACCTTCAAAGGCGCCACGCTCCTCGTCGAGATCCTCCTGTTCAGCACGTCGGCCGAAAATACGGCGCAAGAGCCAGCTATGGCGTAGGTCATCTGCATCCACAACACCGCCGCCCCGAAGCTTGACGCGCTGGCGAGTGTAGTAGACCCAAGCAAAGTCAAGGTAGAGCAAGGTCTGGATGACACCAAAGATCACAGACACTGTTCTGACTGTGTGATCATCGGGGTCGAGCCCGCGGACCAGCCAGTTAATGCAGTAGAAGCCACGATAAAGTCCAAGAGCGAGAAGGTAGTATGAATCGATGACGGTTGGGATGGTAGTTTGACGGAGCAGAAGCAGTTGGGGGAGGATGCAGACGGATTCGAGAATCTCGGAAAAGTCCCACATCAACTATGCTTCAGGTTAGCGTACTTTATATAATTTCTTGAATTGAAGGGAATGTTTCCGTACCTTTCGGAAACCCCACGTGTTCTCGAATATCATCATTGTGAAGGGTGCTAATGCTGCTGAGCCGACAACAACGACAGTGGTAATCTTCCATGCGAGTTCACGCTCGCGCGTGCGTGGATACTTCCACTGCATAATGCATACGGTGTATATCGACGAGGCGATAAAGATTATCTTGAAGATGACATTCCAGGCTGAATGCGTGGAGAAGAGGTCGAGGTAGCGGGTTAAAAAGACGACAGCGTAAAGCCCCTGCGAAATGAGCGACACGCCCTCTGCGCTTTGGTTGCGGTGGATGGCGAGAATAAGGATACCGATAGCTGCAAGGTGGGAGAGATCTGCCGCAATTCGGAATATCTAGTATGGTGAAATTGTTAGCATAGGCTGGTGGCAATCTGCAGGAGGGCTGCACAAAGGGAAACGCACGTTCCAAACTGCCATGGTGACGCTTTCAGGATGCAGAGCACCGTAGTCGATGTAGAGCGTGGATATGCGAATATCGGAGAACACCAATCAGCGTCGACAAAATCACTAATTGATTACTATTTCAATACCAAGTAACAGATGGCTGGTGACTGGGTCGTGGAGGCTTGGTTGGTGCAGCTCGAAGCGATGGCAAGGTCAAGAGGCTGGCCAGCTGGAGTGGTGATGCAAGCTGTGTTCGGCGGTTACGTGGCGCCGTGTGGTGTTGGCGAGGCGCCCGCTCAGCTGGCTACCATCTGCAGGTAGCGACAAACCGTCGGCTGACACTACCAAAAATAACATATTTTAATATAATAAAAGTGTGAAAATATATATTTAAGACTAAAAATATTTAAAATAATTTCTTCTACTTTACTTTGATGTGTTGCGCACGTAATTTGCTGTCGGCTTGGCGCCTATTTAGTGCTGCGCGGAGTGACACCAGGCTGAAGGCTAAACGGATGCCGACGCGTCCTATCGATAAGTCGCGACTTGTCACTCGAACTATCATCATCGGCCGACAGCGAATCACTTCCTGGCCCTTATATACTTCTCGCCTAAACGGTTTCTTTGGTACATGAGCAATTATGGCCACTGGTAAGTCTACGTGTTGGTCGCTTGCATAACCAAAACTAACGACGCAGGTCGCGATCGCCGCGCCGATAACCTGAACGAAAGACTACGAGGAGCACAGTATGTTGAGCTCACTTCCTATTGCACCCCATTAACTGACAGTTTAGGCGGAATGTTGTTGATAATGACACCTTCAATCTTGATCTTAACATAGACGGAATCGCACAGCCATTTGGATATAATGCCACCAGCCCGGAACAAGCTTCGTCAACCCCAGCAGCGAGAAGAACAACATCGAGTCCACGACCGCCGCGACAGTCATCGATCCCCGTGCAACGCTCCCCAAGCGCTGTAGCACAATCTCCAGCTCTTGTACGCGTCAAATACACGGAAGAAGTCGCAGAAAGCCCAACCGATGCTCCTGGAAGTGGGAAACGACGCCGCGTCCCAGTTGCAGAGGCTGCAGTTGTCACATCTCAATTGCAGAATATTATCGACACCCCTGAAGGGCCGTCGCCCATTAACGTATCCATATCTAGACCTACGAGAGGATCGCCAGTGGCTAGAGCAAGGCTTTCAACGCGCCCATCAAGTTCGCCACGCCCTGCGCCTCAGCCTTCAACGTCCCCAACATCCAGCCAAGACGATGGTGGCTCCGATGGTAGTTTTGTGTCGCAAATTCAGCGGCCATCTCCCCACACTCGACCAAACGTATCCCTGCGCCAGGCTTCAGAACATGCATCCGAGGAACGTTCTCCTGAGAGATCCTCGCCTTCCGTAACGGACCCTCTGTCGCCACCAGCTCCTAAGCGGCGCCTTGTTCAACCCGTTGCGGCACGCGCGCCCGCAAGGCGTCAAGCACAACAGTCCACTCATAAGAGGCCGGCCAAGGCCAGAAGTGACAGAAGTACTGGGTCTACATCTCGCCGCGGCGGCGAGGGGCCGATCGATATTAAAGTCCAACGCTTCGTGGAAGATGACGAGGACGAGCGCAGCGATGAAGATGTGATTCCGTTCGCCAACGAATCAGGAGAAACCGTTGTTGATGTTTTGATGCATCTGTGCGAAGAGACTGTTGAAAGAACAAAGGACCTATTTGAACAGCGGGTGGAACAGGCCCCAGATTCAGAGACTCGTAAAGAGTTTCGCAACATGGGCCGAGCTGTAGAAGCGTTCCGTCAGGAACTGGAGTCCCGGTTGTTGCAACATGTAAGTCTGCTTTCTACTAATATACGATTATTCGATACTGACCGTATAGTCAATTCACCTCAACCACTGGCATTCCCTTCAACGCCGTCTGGCACAGATTCATCGAGAAAAGTTGGAGCTCCGCGAGGATATTCTACGAATCAAAGGCGAACGTGAGCAGATGGCACTTCGGATGGAAGCTTTACGGATGAAACACGAAGCTGAGAACAGGGACTACAAGGTACGAACTGCATATCTTTTGCTGTGATTGTTATGTAACTGACGCTCGTTTAGCGTGTCCTCGGCGCATCCAAAGTTATGTTTGACGTTGATCTGGCGGTTGCTCAAGGGCGCGTCGAACCCGACTTGACACCAGAGGATGGAAAGCAAGGTGAAATTGCCAACCTGGCCATTGCTATCGCGCAACTCGCCGATCAAACTAGCTCCAACAGCGGTACGGGCGGTCTGCTGAATACAGTTCGAGACTTTAACGACTTCCTAGAGCGTGCCGCATTTGCTCTCGAATCACGCTGAACGATTAACGATATGAAATGACATTTTATTTCATGCTCAACGCCTATTATGACCACTGGTTCCATATGAAATCTCTTCAGCCTAGTTCATTTTGGCTTTACTGAAGTCCATCTCGGGATGCTGTGCCTGGAACTTTTTAAGAATATCCAGCTTCTTCTGTTCTTCGGAAGTCGGTAGACCCTGCTCTTTTTGACGCTGGTCAAACATCATCTTCTCCACCATACCACGGGTGGCGCCGTCAAGGTCCGAGAGCTTCGAGTTTTCCGGTGTGATCTTGGTTACGTCGATCTTCGGGGCAGTAGTTATGACGTGTGCCCACCATTCCATCTTGTTAGTCTTATCAAGGTGGATTTCCACCGTCTTCGTATCGGGCGTTTCGTTTGTAGTTAGTGTCCATGTAGAGTCATCGACTTGGACAGAGTGTGGGAGATCGCCCTGCGAAGGTTAGCTCTTGCTATGGCCTGTCGGCTTTCATCACGCACAGAAATGACGGGTTCTTGGCCCTTGACTCCTGCGACTAGCTTCTGCTTGCTGATATTTATGGCTAGGTCTCGAGATTTGAGGTTTGCAGGGACATTGAAGGTCACGACTAGGTCGCCAATTGTCTGTGTCCACTTGTAGGGAAGAGCTCCTTGTTCTTGCTCCTCCCTGGCGCGGGCAGCAGCCTCTTCGACGGGATTGGGTTCTGGTGCTAGTCAGCTCTGTAATATGGGTAATGCACCAATCTTCTGTGCTAATAAAACTATTAAACCACTACAAACCTTTATCATCCATTATAGTTGCTGCCAAGCTGTGCTGTCGTGCTGAAAGAAGATTATCGAAGGTTGCGCAATCGAAAGAAGAAAGCTGCCTCTCAATGGAGGGGCAGGTCGCCACCCACCGCCCCCACAGCCAGCACGCGCCGCCTGCCACGCAAAGCGGATCCCCTGCAACCTCACATCGAAACGAAAACCAACGTGAATCTGGCATTCTGCATCACGCCTCCCAACCATGCCTGCAGTTTCCGCCATTTCGATACGGCATGGCGCAAATGCCGGCCCTGGGCCAGGCGAAGACGACGAGACATGTCCCGTCTGCAAAACGACCCGCTACTTCAACAAGGACATGGAGTTCCTCATCCACCCAGAATGCTATCACCGGATGTGCAGAACATGTGTCGAGCGCATCTTCAAAGACGGACCCAACCAATGCCCCTACGCTGGATGCCATAAGACGCTGCGCCTACGAGGCTTCAAGTCAGCATACTTTTCCGATCTTGGTGTTGAGCGCGAGGTCGACATCCGTAGGCGCGTCGCGACCGTCTTCAATAACGTAGAAGACGACTTCGAATCGCTCGACGCATACAACACATATCTTGAAGAAGTCGAGACCCTCACTGATGATCTTGTTAACGGCAACGACTTGCAGCGCAAAACGGCAGAGGCAAAGCTTGTTGAGTGGGAGGCCCAACACAAGGCAGATATTGAAAGGAATAAGAAGCTCGCACGCGAGGGTGATGAAGCACGACAGAAGCGGCTGATTGCTGAGAATGAAGCGTCCAGGCAGCGGAGGTTACAAGATTTGCAGGATGACGCTGATGAAAAGGCGAAGAGCGCACGTTTGCGAGAAGAAGCATTGGACACACTTGTCAATTCTGATATCGGCCACGCGACAGAAGTCATGAAGAAGATTGAGCTCAAGAAACGCGGTCAGCGCAATGTTGTAGCTACCACTGCGCCGATGTCTGGTCTCTCTATCCGCGGTCTCCGCGATAAACAAGCCCCTATTGTTGCTGATAATGGCCCATACGACCCGTACGACGGCCTCAGCCTCGCTCCAGTACGCATCGACCTTGACCCAAGCAGACTGCCCAAATACACGAACGAATGGATGGTCAAGGTCCGAACATCGCCCGAGTTTACAGCCGGTGGCTACTCCTCCGAAGAGTACCTGTCTCGGGCCCTCTTCGAAGCATTTTCAGGACTGGGTGTTTTCGTTGGCGATGAAAAGGATATAAAAGAGCCAGTTAAAACGACTGCAGTGGGAGGTATGGATGTTGACGATCCATTTTAAAGCAGTTGGTGTAATAGTAATTGTGGTGGTAAACTGTTGCGCGGAATATTAGCATACATTACGGCGTTTTGGTAGAAACTAGTTAGTTCTTTTTTAGCACGTGGAGTTCTGCATTAAACATGACATTTTAACATCTTTGGTATAAGGACGTGCTCTCGCGGGACATAATGTTATCTCTATTACAATTAACGCGGCGAACGACACCGCTCTAAGAATGGGTAATGTCGCTCTGCTCGCTTTTGTAGAGCGCCCAAAAGAGCGACGGATGATATGCACCTAAATCAGACTAACAAAACGCCGCGCTGTACAAGTTAACGAATAATTTCCCAAAAGAAAGACAAGCACTAAACAAAAATGAGTAACGACAGACATGTGGGGATGCTTGTTTTATTGCTGCCACGGTGTCTGCTGTGTAGGGCGCGGGAATACAGGGACAGTCGGAATCTGGTCGAAGCCGCCGCCAATGGGGGCCTGGTTATGCTGCCACCCCATCCCAGTATTGTGATTGACAAAGTCGCCTTGGCGGAAGGGATTCGTAACGCCGGTCGGCTGAGGAGCAAGTTGCGCTGGCTGTTGCTGCTGTTGGGTCTGCGCAGGGGAACCCATGCTCCGCGCAAATGGGTTTGTGCCCGTAGGTTGAGCCATCAACGGCGCAGCAGACTGGAATGGCGACGAGGACCCTTGCGAGCGAGCAAATGGATTGGTGGATTGCTGTTGCGGCTGCTGCTGAGGCATTGGTGGCTGGAAGGGTTGGGCGCCAAAAGGAGAGCCAGTAGGCATCATCGACTGACGGAAGGGGTTTGTGGCAGCGGCTCCAGTTTGTTGAGGGATTAAACCTTGGGGCTGGAATCCCATCGGCTGCTGCTGCTGCTGGGGCATGGCTTGGAAGCCGGTTGGCTGTTGGCCAAACATGTCCACCGGTGCACCAGTCTGCATAGGGAGCTGCATTTGGGGCTGCTGCTGCTGTTGTATCATGGAGAAGTCAGGCATAGCAGGAACTTGCTGCTGAGGCATTCCATATGGATTTGCAGCCATATATCCCGTCTGTTGAGGCATCAAGCCAGGTTGCTGCTGTTGGAACGCGAGGGGCAAGCCCTGCGTGATGACGCTCGTGGCGATGGGCTGCTGAGCAGTGGCTTGCATCTGCAATGCTGTGGGCTGCTGAGGCTCAATAGAATCGAAAAGGTCGATAAGATCAGCATTGGCGGGCGGCGCAGAAGCAGATGCGGTAGGCTTAGCAATAGGCTTAGCAGCAGGTGCTGGTGTATCCTTGGCATTTGGGGGTGGTGCTTTTTCGGACTTGAGTGTTAGCTTCGGTGGGAGACCGTCAGTTGAGCGGCCGGAAGCCTTTTTCGCCTGCTGTTCAGCGAGAAATTGACGGCGATGGACGTCAAAATCAGCATCGTTCAAGTAATCTTCAAGCTGCTGGCCTAGATTGACCGGAGCATGCTGCAAGGAAGGGATGTCGATACCCAGTGAATGTTCATGCATACGCGCAACAGACAAGTACCGGACAACATATTCGGTGCATTTGGTGAAGGCGCGGTAGATGTTATGGGCTCGTTCTGCATCGGGCTTGGACATTTCGAAGAAGTGGCTGAGAATGGCAATCATTCCCTGGTTGAGAACCTTGAACAATGACAATAGGTCCAAAACGAGAAGACGGAAGACGGCGAGTGTGATTTCGGTCTCGGGTTCGGCATCAAGAAGCTGTTTCTGTTAGTCTCTTAAATAGCACTTCGGGGGAAGTACAGTCTACTCACGTCGCATTTCAGCAGAGCCATGATTTGCTTCAGGACGACTTCCGTTTCGCGGAGCAAGCCTCTATCCACGGACAAGCTCCCCAATCTGTCCTCTCGTGTGCGAACCCAGTCAGTCTTGGTATCCCGATATGCTCTAGCTCTCTCTGTAAGGTAATTGGCGTAGCGTCTGATGTTTTTGCCTTGCGTTTGGGCTATCCCACTATTAGCAACAGGTAACGGCCTCAGCCACGTCTTTGCGCCACTTACCGTCGGTAAAGCTGCTAATGGCAATGACGCTTCGGTGCGCAGCGATGAATCCCAAGGTAACATCTGGCGCGCCTTCACGGATCATGATATGCACTGTGAGTAGGCCTTTGAAAACAACGGTCCATGTCGAGTCGCGCAATCGGTACTGCAGAGTGCGGAAGACCTCGGCGATGCCGGCTTCGCCAGAATGTGTGGCTACCAAGAGGTGTTCAATATATTTTGCTTTCGGCGGGGCATTCTGTTTCAAATACTGTTAGTCTGCAAATCCAACCAGGCTTTGAAAGCATAGAGGTAGGCGGCGCCGCGACCGAGATACTAGCCGTAGCACGGTGGTGAGGGGAAGGCCAGTACCTTGATTTTTGTTGCACCCTTAACCGACTTCTCAAAGGACGACATGGTGCCGGTGAAACGCCAGGAATGGCGTTGTTAAAGGTACTATTTAAGGACGATGTTCTTTTTGAATCGGCCTAGCGAGATTTATGAAGATTGGCGACAGTACTAAGACGTGGTGTTCTTTGTTTGCGGAAGAGAGAAGGCTGAGCGCGCGTTGGACAAATTAATCGCGGTGGCGGGGAGTAGGTGAGTGGATGTGACCTCGTTCCAGGGGCCGTAGTGGTGCGCTTCAGGGGTACGTCATTGGATGTAGTGGGTGAGCGCGTTAAGCGTTCCGCTAAAGACATCAGCCAACAGTCGCTGAAGAGCTTTTGGAGATAGGCACGAACGCTACCGGAGCGGAGAGATGCTGATTTTCCCGACGTTCAAAGACTAAAAGGCGTTTGGTTGTATAGGCGAAAAACGTCGGTGTAGCTTAGAATGTTACACATAATCACACATACTGTTTAAGATTATACTTTTTTTTCTGCAACACAGAGCGTATCATAGTAACCAAATAGCAGTATATTTTGGCTGGATTTGGGGCGTCCAGAAAATCAGACACCTTCCACTCAAGGTAATGACCTGAATTGTGATATTGGAAGAAAGCTGAAGGTGAATAGACATAGTATGTATTGATAGAAGACTACAATTGTAACAACACCAGTGATATGTTATGGATAGCAACTCGTGGGAAGAAATGAAGCGGGACCAAAACCAGAACGCAGAATGGGGTTCACTTACCTTGGACAGCGAGAAGCGTTACGAATAATCCACGCTTTCTTTGCTATCCTGTTTAGAAGCCTCGTCCTTTGTTATAAAATCAGAGATTTTGCCATCGCGTCCGATAAGTAACAAGGCCAATGTGTCAGACGCCTATTTCATTGATATCAACGCTCCTGTCATCCTCCCACCCTGAAGCCCCGAAGGGAGAGTTTGGAGGAATCGGGTGGCTAATGTCAGATCATCTTATCCACGAAGTTCTCATCATCTGTCGAAGATATGTTAGCTAGTTGAAACATTTGACTTCAATTGGTAAAAGCGCAAAAGCAGCTACATACACTTATTTGAAAGGAGAGGTCATGAAGAGAAGAAGAAGAAGGAAAAAGTTTCCCAGCGGTCTGCAGTATTTAATGGAGCCCCACCGGAGTTACGTCGGGCCACCCGCGTCGCCTCGACTTTCCCTAGAGCCTTTTGGCTTGCAACTGTTAACAGTCGACATCGGCGCAATAGCTTGCTTCTGGCTTTCTGGAAAGATGGCTCTGCGGCTTGTACGTTCGCCTTTGGTGCATTGTTCTGTTTCTCGCATGCCCAATTCCAAATACACCCTCTGGAAAAGGAGCCTGTCCTCGACCGTCCATCGCAACATTGCTGCGTTCTCACCCAGCTCGACAACCCAGGATACAAAATATACAGAGCTGTTGAAATTATGGCAAAAATGTACGGCGTATTTGTCATATATCAATTCCTTTGAGCTAACGTTTGTAGATCGCGGTGTTGACGACCTTCTGCATTCTGGCGCAAAGAATGTTCAGATTGGGTTTCTAGGCAAGAAGCGAACCATATCCAAACAGCTCTCATTCGCCGACCTAAACACGTCATCGGGAGAGACAATACAAATATGCTCCAACGCGAATGTAAACAACGACATACACACTCAATTCCGCCAGATTCCTGCCTTTAGTCCCGTTATCATAGAGACCCGACAGCCCACTTCCGAAGAGCAATCCCTGGACACCTCCTCGAAAGCTACTGTCTACCTCGAAGCTATACGGCCGCTTAATAGTGTCCCTAAAGACCTAATTGTCACACCCGAGGTTGTTTTCCCTCCGGATAAGCGCCACTTGCAATTGCGTTTCCATCCAGAATTACGCGCTCGTCTCGAATTCCGATCATGGTTTAAGAATACACTGCACAAGGGCCTTATGGCCAAAGGGTTTACCGATATTGAGACACCAACTCTATTTAAATCAACATCAGAAGGGGCCAGAGAATTTCTTGTGCCTACGCGGCAAAGGGGCAAGGCATATGCTTTGACACAAAGCCCACAACAATACAAGCAGATTCTAATGGGCAGTGGTGTTTCTCGTTATGTGCAATGGGCTCGATGTTACCGCGACGAAGACCTTCGCGCCGATCGCCAGCCCGAGTTCTCTCAACTCGATATGGAGTGGGCATTTGCTGGCTCTGCAACAGTCCGCAAGGATATTACGGATCTTATTCTAAGCGCCCTAGCAGAGCTTAAGCCGTCGACTACGTATAGAGAGATTCGCAGCCAGCGAATTCCTCTCGTTCGTGAAATTACATTGGAGCAGGATGCCGGTCCTGAAGCGCACAATTTCACCCATATGACTTTCGAAGAGTGTTTAAACTCGTATGGTACCGATAAGCCCGATCTCCGTATTCCCAACAAGGTAAATATATGTCTGACCATTTTCTATTTCACTTGCTAACAACAATAGATCCATATGATCAAGGACTTGGAACCATATCGCAATTTTGTTGGCATGATTACTCATTTGCCCAACCCCCGCATTGAAGCCTTCGCATTTCATCTTGAGAATAGCACTCCTGAAGAAACTCGACAACTCATCTTTGAGTTTATGGAGAACTTGCCTGCGTCTATCGCTGAGAATACTGATGGAAAGCCCCAGATACTCGTCTATGACTCGTCCAAGCCCCTCTGTGGGTTCTCGTCGCTTGGATTCGAGTTTGAGTCACTCCTTGACCAGATTACCGAATCAAAGCCCCTCAATGATGGTGATCTTGTTGTCGTTCAGGCGCGCCCAGAACCAGAGGGCCAATACTGTTCGGCTTCAACCAAGATTGGCGACATCCGCAGTGCCCTATGGGCGCGCTTGGTAGAGGTTGGCCAAATGACTAAACCTCGTCTAGGAGAGCCTGGCTCTTTACAGTTTCTCTGGGTCACCGAATTCCCTATGTTCAAGCCTTCGGAAGAAGGTGAGCCGGGCCAGGGCGGCGCCTCAGGCTTTGCTGCAGCACATCACCCGTTCACTGCACCGCGCTCCCAGAAGGATCTAGAGCTTCTCTTCAGCTCGCCCCTCGATGCTAAGAGCGCCGCGTATGATCTTGTCCTGAACGGAGTAGAGATTGGCGGCGGCAGCGAACGTATCCACATTGCTGAAATTCAAGAGTTTGTCATGAAGGATATTCTGTTGATGGATGAGGCCCGTATCAAAGACTTTTCGCATCTTTTTGCGGTTCTCCGGTCTGGATGTCCACCTCACGCAGGCTTTGCGCTTGGATTTGATCGCCTGACTGCGCTTCTGACAGACACGAATTCGGTTCGAGACGTGATTGCGTTCCCGAAAACGATGAAGGGCGAGGATCCCTTTGTTAAGTCGCCAAGTAAAATTACAAATGAGCACTTGGCCTCGTACGGATTGCGTATTGGCTCTACCAAGGAATGAAGCTAATGCAGCTCGTAACATTACTGTATTATAGAATGTAAATATGTATACTAGAATCGCCCGATACCCGGCAAATCAAAGGGAATTCGTAGTTCACTGGGATGCTTTCCAATATTAGACGGCACTTAATTCTACCAATGATTAAATTAGAACCCTGCGTCCTTTATTGAAGTTACCCGTCAGAAACAATCGAACACATCGCAATCAGCATTTTGAGGTGCATAGTAAGACTGGTTGTAAACAGTACTTGCATCATCTATTAGCCGAACAGCTGGGCATGTTGCAGTGCCAATCATAAGTTAATCATTTAAAGTGCATAGTTTTAATTATGCACTAATTTCTTTTTCAAAATTATTAATTTGATTTTTACGATTATTTTCCATGTCTAAAAGATTGGCAAATCTCGCTAACCTGCCTATGCCTATCGCACTGAGGACCAGCCAGGCTACTGTGGCCCCTCCACAGCTCACCGCCAAAAATTTCAGGAATTCTGCCACGGGCGCAAGTCCAAACTTTGCTCCAGCACCCAACCACCCACCAACCTGCCTTACAAAACAATACGTCCGCAAGCACAGTCGCCAAACGAATTTAAAAATGTCGTCGATGCGAAATGCCGTCCAACGGCGTAATCATAAGGAGCGTGCTCAGCCGACAGAGCGCGGCCGCCTAGGTCTTCTTGAGAAGAAAAAGGTTTGTGCCACTACAGCCTCTTGCTGCGGCTAACGGAATACTAACTCTTGCTAGGACTACTCTGCCAGAGCCAAGGACTATAATAAGAAGAAACAGCAACTAAAGAACTTGCGCCAAAAAGCGAGCGAACGAAATGAAGATGAATTCTACTTTGGCATGATGTCCCGCAAGGGCCCCGGCTCTCGCCTCCAGAATGGCAAGAGTTGGTCAGGTACGATCGAGGGCGACCGCGGAAACAAGGTGCTTGATCAAGACACTGTGCGCCTATTGAAAACGCAAGATATCGGCTACGTTAGAACCATGAAGAACGTCATAATGAAGGAAGTCGCCCGCCTGGAGCAGCAGATCGTTATGACCCGTGGACTCGACAATCTGGATGCCGACGAGGATGAAGACGATTTCGATTTTGACGACGACGACGAAGATGCCATGCCTACATTTAGAAAACTAAAGGCTCCTAGAAAGATTCAGTTCCTTGATACCGAGGAGGAGCAAGAAGAAATTGCAGACGAAGCGGACAACGGCCACACGGACGATGAAGACGACGAGGCGGATGAAGCAAAGGAGGAACAGAATGCTGAGCGTGAAAAATCTGCTCGCTCATTACAACGACGCCTGGAAAATGCACGCAAAAAGCTGGCAGCACTCGCAAAGGCCGAGGCTGCTCTGGAGGTGCAAAAAGCCAAGATGGCCAAGACAGCAACATCGAGCGGCACATCGAGAAGGGGAAAGAAAATTATGGTACGAGCACGAAAGCGATGAACAGAAACCATCTATATTGTATGCGTATATATTATTATCATAGGCTCTGGGCGTTACGGACATCAATTTTTCTCTTGCTCAAAATTCACGTCTGATTCATATCAACTTTCGAACATTTGTCTCACAACCCGGACAAACTCGCAAATGGTAGAATATGCAAAATGCTCATATCATTACTTCGTGATTTTCGTGCACGCTATCCAGCACGAACCCCCTCTTTTAAAACTAAAAACAAAATGAACAAAGAAATACTAATGCAATATATACAAGGCTGGCGCATTAGTTAATACTTTGACCCAAAGCACTTTGCCAGGATCCTAAACGCCAATGTCAAAATCCAAATCACAAACTTGAATACGGTCTTGATTATCTTGACAATCACTCTGAGCAGGAATGGCAAACCATCCTCCAGCTCCTTGACCTGTGTGCCGATCTTCTTCACACTGTCGTCCTGGCTCTCAATGTCCATCTCAAACTCCTCCATGCGTGTTTTGCTCTTCTTGGCCGTCTTCTTGGACTTGTTGGCCTCCTTGGTGCTGGAGCGAGACATGCGACTGAATCGCCCGCTACTTCGGCTGTTACGACCGCTAGGCACGTGGACAGACGGCGGGGGTGCAAATGTTTCAGCAACCGTGCCACTAGGTGTATTGCGGTCATCAGCAGCTGCGACTAGCATCAGTGCTGTAACGGCGACATCAATGATGTAGTAGGCTTCAATCTGGGACGCTACCAGTGTGTCTATCTCGAGCCAACCACCGCCAGTGCCATCTTTCGTGAGCTTGGCAAGGTGGCGTGTTGATTCGTGGTGCTCGAGGGTATACTCTGTGCGCGACCATGCGGGCGACTTTTCCACAGTAATGCAGAAGGGTGCAGCTAGCGCCTGGTGCACCATGTAGTGGCAGCTGCTGTCGTTATCCCAGACAAGTCGAGCGCATTCCCGCTCGGCCATTTCAACGGCGGCGGGGTCGTTTGCCTTGTTCATTGCCATCCGAGCTGCGGGAGTAGGCATGAGCAGAGCAACGAGGCCATCGTTGGGGGGTTCTCTTCTAGACTCTTCTTCTAACGTGGTAGCCAGTGCTGTTTGCCAATGCTTACTATCGGTCACTCTGCTGTGGCCCACAACGCCACTAGGGGAGCCCGACGTGCCGGACTCGCCTTTTTTTGGCTTGTATGTTTTGGACGGGTCATGGCGAGCAAGCATGACGTTGGCAGAGGCCGAGGTTGGATCGAGGGCCATGTTATAGAAGGGTTGAGTATCAGAAGAGAGCGTATACACAGGTGCATCCTTGAGCTGCGTCAACCGCAGACAAAATACTTTTGCTTCGGATGGGGACGCTTTCCAGCCATTCGCAGCTTTCCAGAAGCTGCGGAGTTCTTCTGTTGTACTTGTTCTTGGAATTACAGGAGCGTCGACAGTGGTTACTGCGCGGCCAACCATTGTGCCCATTTGGCCGCGGTTGGAGAACGCTGCGGCAGGGACATCATGTCTGGCTGGTGGGCTGCGTGCGCGTTCTGGACGACTGTCACGGTCGCCTTGCTCAGCAATGGCGTGCGGGTCGTAATAGCTCTGTCTGCTAATGACGGCTCTGGGTACTGTGGCCGGCTGCGAGTGTGTCGGCCCATACGGCTGTTGTTCCAAGGGAATATCAGGGTTGTAAGTTGGGAAGATGGATCGGAACGGCTGGGGCTCTGGATCGATCGAAGACTCGTCGATGATGGGGGGCTTGGCTATGGAGCTGCGACTAGCACTTCGCCCGTGGCTAGGCGCTGATGAAGCGGGAGTTGACGCCGAGGGCGATGCTTGCGATATCAGCTGAAACTGCAGAGGAGTTGCACGCCCTTGTGAAGGAGTGCTTGAGGCGTTTGTATCTGGTGATGCAGCTACGGCTGCGGCTGCTGTGTTCCCGGTGCTCTCAGGCTGCTGGTGGTGAGGTTGGATCACTGGCCGAGCAATATCATTTGTAGAAGGCGAGCGACGCCGAGGTCGAGGATTGGGATCCAATCGAGGAACAGAGTTTGGCGGAGGCGGGGGGCGAGCAACCTGGGGATTAGGAAAGAGAGAGAAGCCGCCTTGTGATGAGACGGGCTGTTGATGCGAAGCCATGGCGATGGATGTCTGTTATATTGGGTTTTGTCCCTGGATTGAAAAGTCTGTGCGAGACCTGCAGGCTGGTCGATATGGCTCGACTGAAATTCCTGTACTGTCTTTCCTCTACTAAAAGAGAAAAACAAAGAAAAAAGAGAAAGATGATGCAAAGCACCGTTCTGTGAACCGCGTGGGCGTATGTCAATGGGACAGAAACAGCCAAACAAACACAGAACGCAAGTAAAAAGGTACTTGGAAATCGCGGGAGAAGCGAAGCTGCGTTTTGCTCGGGGCCTGGGGTGCGGCAAAATATTATACAAAAGACACTCAACGGAAGCCGTGTTTGTCACCCAAAGACGGGCATCCTGTAGCCAGCGGCCGTTAAGCGCCGGGCCCTGGGACGGACGGCGGCGGCTGCGCGCTGTGATTGGCTGGGCAGTCGTCCACTGCTATTTTGGGAGGTGGTGTGGAGCTCGCAGCTGGCAGACAGCGGGCCAATCAGCGTCCAGTGTTCCCGGCAAGCCCTGTGGTGGTGGTGAAGAAAGAGGGGTTACAGGCTGCAAGGATGGGATTGGCTGGGTGTTGGTTCAGGGCTGGCGGGCGCTTAGAGAAGGGAAACAGAAAGTGTCGACGGTTAGTGAGTGTGGAAAACCGAAAAAAAAAGGTGCATGTGCCTGTTAGTGGTGGTGGGAAAAAGAGGATTGGGTAAAAGAGGCAGGTTGTAAATGTGCGTGTGAGTAGGAGGGAGGGTGAGCAAAGGCGAATATACCAGATGACAACGGTTGGCTGGTACAGGCGACAATGATGGACACTAACTAACACAGTAGATTACTGTTCTTCTTTACAACAGGCTGGTGGTGGTAGTGGGGAGAGTGCTGCCGCTTAGGCGGGCTAGGCTCGCTCCTAGCACGCCATGCCTAGCCGATCACATCACATATAAGGTAGTTGGAAACCACAGAGTAAAAAGCAGATAAATCCGAAACTCCGATGCCTAAATTTTACCATCACCGCTTCGCGACGAGTACAGCAGCCGCGCGCCAGTTAGGTATTGGCTTTCCTGTAGCATCACCCACTTGCACGGAGGAACCCGTCCCGCCGCCTCACAAAGCCATGCCGCTGCCCAGCTCATCTTGCATACTTGTGGCTATAAGCTGATCAGGCGGCTGTATCTGGCTGGATGCCACCAATGCCTTGTAGGCAGACAGTCATCAATTCCGTATGATGATGAGTGCCCACGGGCCATTAACAACCACACAAACAACCACGACAGACCACGGATTAAAACAATGTAGTTTTTCAAGACATTTATTCGATTCTCTTTTTCTATTTATTTACAGTCCATTACATCATATCGTCAAAGATAGTAATACAAAAGCCAACATACCAGCAACGCGTCGCTTAAATGTTGATGCTGAAGTGCATGCCGTGGATGACGGTGCCGTCGTTGTCCTTGCCACCAAAGGCCTTCCAGAGGTCAAGGCACATGTCGATGGAGTGGTCATTGGAGAGGTTGCGATCAGCAACAATGGCCTTGCGAGTCTGGCCGTTGTGGGAGATGGTGATCTCCTTACCGCAGAGCTTGTTGTTCTGGGCAGAGCCGTACTTGTCAAAGACATCGGAGGGCATGGCAACAAAGGAAGCCTCCTGGTTGACCTTTTTAAAGTAGGTGCTGATGCCACAGGCGCCAGAGTCGCGCAAGATGTGGTGGCACTGCTTGGCATCACCGAAGCGGTAGATGGAGCCGTTCTGGTTGTTGGAAGACACGGTCTTCTGGGGAGCAGCAGAGACGGTAGCGGCCAGGGCAGCGGTGACGAGGGTAGTGGTGAATTGCATCTTGAAAGAAGGAGGGAAGGATTTGAGTAGGTTGTTGTATAAGTGATGGGATGACTTGATTGAGCAATGGAGTGGAATAAGACGACTACTACGAGGAACTGGGCCAAGACAGCCTTCTTATATACTTTACTGGACGAGGCATATTACGCATGGAGGCGGCTATCGAAGACTCACTGGAAACACCCCGTGCTGAGGACTCCGATGTTGTTGCCGAGCCGGCCAATAATTCCACAGCATCTTGCGATGTTGCGAGTGTGGCCCACGTCCCTTGGGGTCTAGTGCAGCGCACCGTAAGCTTATCGACCAAAAGGGTCAAGCTAGTAGCGTCTCGACGCGTTTCATTGGCGGAATCAAGCTGCACGCTCGGCACTTTTTCAGGGGAACTGCTGGTTTTGTCATTGTTCCTACACAGTTATGGTTACATGGGCTTCTGATTTCATCTGTGGGCTGTTGGTAGAGTGCTCTGACCGTGGTCTTTGATTTGTCTGCTCGGGACATCGGCGCACGAACCAAAGTTCTGATACCCAACATTAGACAGCCTCCTACCTCAAAACACGCCTTGCGCCAACCCTCGCCTTGCTTCTAGCAGCGCAAATGTTTCCGGGGAGCGTGGCCGGTGCGTTGAGATGCTGACGATACCTACAACGTAGCATGCAGGTAGCCGAGCGGCGGCTTCTTTTGTTTCTTTTGGTTTGTCTTTTTTTATCGGTATTTGGTTTTACAAATAGCCTAGAAATACGCTGAGCTTCATCATCATTGTATTGCCTGAGAAACACGGAAATAAAACAATTAGCTAGCTATCTGGAAGGGAAGCTAGTCGGACTGGTGCGACATTGTCGCGCTAATATGGGTGGAAATTTATTTCCGGAGAAATAATCCTGCGTGTACGAGGTGAAGAGGTGCTCCGCTGCGAAGCCAACGCTACAAGATAGTAACCGCCCCAAAAAGAGACCAAGGCAACCATCCCTCAAAGAATTGTTCACTACGCATGGGGGCTGGCTGGATGTGTGGGGGGTCAGTGGGAAAGGCCACCGAATGAAGCTCTACAGGTAGGTGCTGTGCTTTCATAGTGTCGGTTACAAAGCTATTGCATAAGGCCTGGGTATTGTTAGACTCTTGCATTGGGATTAACCTTTTGGCTACCGTTTCATGATTAGAGTTTTGTTTGCTAACATGATGTGTTAAACGACGGAATGGGCTTGTATGATGGTCCGATTAGCTGCGCATGAAATCGAGATTGAGAGCTGGCTGGTACTTATGCGAAGATTGGGCAATTCCGACTACATTCATGTAGAGGCTAGGCAGTGTTGGCATAATGATGAGGGAATGGTGCATATTTGAATGGGGAGGAGGCGAGCATGAAGCCACGGCTTGCATGCATTGACATGGAACAGCGAGAATGCCATGGGATTTTCCAGAGCGCGCCACTCAATCAAGGTCTCGGCGACTTTCACCTGCTCGTCTGCTTTGTGCTTATGGCGCCGAGTCAGGAGCAGCATTCGCATTAGGACGCTGTAGCTCAGATCGACAGACACGCCCAAACATCGAAAGACAGCTATTGTGATCGTCTCCGTGAAATACGCAGCCCAACCTAACGAACCTTAAAAAAACGTCATGGGCAGGCAATTGCCGTGTTGGAATCGGTGCTATGGATCCGTAGGGCTTCGAGGAGATGGGGCAGCAAATGCTTGGCCATTTTGTCCACTAATCACATCATGCACGTGGAGTAGCTTCACAGTTGAAATTCAAGCTAGACGCCCACGTCGCTTGGGTTGAATGTCGATCTCAACGGGACGGCCTCCGCAAAAGAAACACGAGAATGCTTGATTCGTGCGAAAACAAGGAACTGGGAACGTGCCAAGATGTGCAATGTGAGCATGATTCGGAGGACACTGTACGCAGGAAGCCATTTGCAAAGCAACGAGTACAGCGGCTGGAATATGGTCAATGCTGGTGACCACATGCTTCAATTGGCAGCACCTCCAGAGCGGCGGCGCAACGCTGTCGACTTTTTGGGGGCTTGCCCAGCAGATTATGCATAATCATCGTCCTGCAACCGACAGGCACCACCAAATAGTCTCGATGCAAGTTGCTGCGCTGGAACTCAGCCTCTTCCCCATCCCGCACTCACTAGCGCTTACATGGCCCGAACCCAGGGGGGACCAGGGACCCAACCGAGCGCATAATGGAGCCAACCTAACCTGGATGGATGCGACTCCAACATCATACCGAATGGGATATAACGAAATAGATGTGTGCTGGTCCGTGTATTGTCGGCTCATGAAGATGGCCACCCATATAAAGACGGCGCCCGTGCACATGGGAGAGTAGTGACTGTTTATATCATACAAAACAACAATCACATAATCCATCATGAAGTCTGCTATTCTTGCTACCGTTGGCCTTTTGGCTGTTGCCCACGCCAACCCCGTTGTTGTCAAGCGCAACGTCCTCAAGTCTGCTCTCCCTGAGAACGCTGATGATACCGAGAAGAAGTTCCAGCCCCTCGTCGACTTTGACAAGGACGGTTGCTACAACACGGCTGCCATTGACCCTGATGGCAACGTCAACGAGGGCCACAAGGCCACCGGCACCCCCCAGGGCGATTGCCGCGATCCTCACCAGCTCGAAAACTCCAACACGTACTCGCGCAAGCGGTGTAACAACGGCTACTGCGCCGTGATGTACGAGTACTACTTTGAGAAGGTAAGTCACAGCAAGGCGTTCCCCTAAAATTGTATCTTTGTGATATGAGAGACAACCCGCTAACACCAGCAACAGGACCAGTCCGTTGGCGGCTCTTTCGCTGGTGGCCACAGACACGACTGGGAGAACGTTGTTGTCTTCTCCAAGGGCGACAATATCGTCCGTGTTGCCCCCTCTTGCCACGGCCACTACAAGAAGGCCACCAACAGCCCCCTCAAGGACGGCACCCACCCCCAGGTTGTCTACCACAAGGACGGCCCTGCTACCCACTGCTTCCGCATTGCCAACGACGGCGATGTCAAGGAGCCTGAGAACTACAGCGGCCACTTCTACCGCTCTCCTCTTGTCGGTTGGGGCGGCTACCCTTCGGATAAGATCAAGAACAAGATGCTCAGCAACTGGAGTGGCGGTGTTGGCCCCAAGCTTGACGACGAGTTTGAGGGCGCTCTCCGTGATGCTGCCGGTGACGGTGTTCCTGGCTTCGATCCTTCCAAGGATGAGTAAATAATGTAACGAAGATCAGTCAGTGGAGTGACAAAAGCAAAACTTGCAGTATTTATGTATTTATTTTTACTTGATTGTATATAGCTGTATTATCAAACTGTCGTTTTGCCATGTATCCATTCGTTCAAGTTAGTGCAGTATGATGATAGAAACTAGTGTTGAGATTCTTATGTGTAGGCTTATTAGTGAGGAAACCGATAACATGCAGGCTAGCTTTATAGACGAACAAAATCTATCAGAGTTTACGCAGTCTCCTAGGCGCTCTGCTCTCCATGTTGTCAAAGCTTGGCCACCGTGGTTCTGTTGATGAAATTAAAGTCGGGATATGAGTCACTGTTAAAATGCACCACAGCGTGCAGTTTTATGTGGCGAAGCTAGCGGCACTCTTCACACTGCTCGCACGCCTTTTGAGCCGCTGCGACACATCTTATCAATCTGATAAGCCACACCTCTCTAACCCAAGCCTCGTTTGTTTAAATTAGCTGCACATGCCTGTCCACCATGCATCGCTCATTTCTAGTCTTCTATTTTTTATTTGCGCCCCTAGAACAAACATTTGACAGTACGCCTCCAGACTTTATCTTGCACCATGGTCACCACCACCACGTCCGATAATATCGAAGTCGCCGGTGAGGCCGCGCACACACTCTCGCCCGTGACAGCCGCCAAATCCGCCAAGGAAGTAGACCCCTTTCTTGTTGAATTTCAGCAGCCATGCGATGATGACAACCCGTTTGACTGGAGCGCCGGTCGTAAATGGATGGCCACAGACGTCCTATCGGCCACCGGCTTCAACCGCATCATGGTGTCGACCATCATGGCGCCCGCCCTGGGGACCATTGCCACGGAGCTCAACATGAACGCTACCGAGGCAGCCATGTCACTGTCCATCTTCCTACTCGCAACGGCTTTTGGACCGCTGGTGATGGGCCCCTTGTCGGAAGTATATGGGCGGCAGGCGGTCCTGCACGGATCTAGTGTCTGGTTCCTCGCCTGGAACCTTGCCTGCGGGCTCGCCAAGACCAAAGAAGCCCTAATTGCATCGCGTTTCATGGCCGGGTTCGGAGGCAGTGCTATATATTCCCTTGGCGCGGGTGTGCTGGGCGATATCTGGCGACCTGATCAACGGGGCAAGACGCTCGGTATATATCTGCTCATTCCTATCCTTGGATCAGCGGTTGGTAAGTATTCCTTTGGAGTATTCATTATACCTTCCCATTTACACGTTATTTTTTAACATCCTTAAAGGTCCGATCATTGGTGGCTTCATGGCCGGCCGGACTACATGGCGATGGATGTTCTGGTCTACGTCCATCTTCCAGGCCGTCATGCTTGCTGTCACCATGGTCACGTTTCCCGAGACCTATGGACCAGTAATCTTGCGTCGCCGTGCAGCCAAACTTCGTAGAGAAACTCGGGATCCGCGCTATTATACGGCTGTCGAGCGCCGGGATGGAAAACGGTCTGCTGCCCGTGTTATTGCCAGGGCCTTGGGTAGACCATGCCGGCTTCTTCTGCTCCATCCCATCATCCAGCTTACCTCCATCATGTCTGGATTTGGTTATGGCACTCTCTATGTGGTTCTCTCGACGTATTCTACGCTATGGACCGACCAGTATAACCAGTCTGTGGAGATAAGCGGACTTCACTATATAACCTGTGCCCTGGGGGAGATTATCGGGGCGCAGATCATGGGCTGGTTGATGGACAGATATTACAAGAGACAGGTACGGGCTAATTCTGCTCCTGAAGACAGATTGCCTCTGATGCTGCCGGCGATTGTTATTGGTTGGGGTGGCATGCTTGTGTATGGGTGGTTAGCAGAGCGTCGTCTACATTGGGCGCTTGTTGATGCTGCTGTTATCTTCATGATGCTTGGCCAGCAAATGGCTGGTATGCCAGGTAAGCTATCATGTTGGTGGCTGGAGGGCTGAACTTTCTGGACTAACACGCACGTAGGAACAGCATATGTTATTGATACGTATGCCGAGCACACCAGCAGCGCGATGGCGGCACAGCAGTTTGTGCGAAGCCTCACAGCCTTTCTATTCCCGCTATTTGCTCCTAGCATGTACTCTAAGCTTGGATATGGATGGGGAAATACGGTTATGGGAATATCAGGCATCCTTGTCTTGGGGTTGCCCACATGGTACTTGTATAGGCGCGGCAGTCACTACAGGAACAAAGCACGCTCCGTCTACTAAGCAGAGACATTCGATCTCATCTAACGGCGAGTTGTGCGACTCTGTAAATGTTTGGATCATGAAAACTGTGTCGGATGCTAGATTAAATTCACCATAGACCACTCTTGATATATACTAAAAACTCCGTTTCTAATACGTATATGCCAACACTCACCAAAACTACCCAACACAACGCCTGCCTCTAGATATGCACCTCACCTCGCCTAAAACATCACGTCCCTCTAAGAAACACATATATACTGGTAAACACACGGTACATTCCGCCACTTATTGTCTCAAGACGAGGCGCGGTATTGCTTCCAGCTGCTCTGCATGCGCTGGATTTGGCCCGAGGTAAACTCGGTGCGGCAGTAGTCATCGCTGTAGTCCATATGGTTGTAAATGGGATCCAGGCCCGGATGACTCGGGCAAGTATCACGACCAGTATCGCAGCCGCTGGCATTATAGCCCTCGGCGGGGGTATCATCGACGTGGTCATTGGGACCGTTGCAGTTGTTGCCGTCAAACGTGTGAATAAGGTTGTGCCAGAGGCCTACCTCATGGACCGTGATCTTTTCCGTGCTGAATGCGATGTTACCACCACCAGGCACAGTCCAAGAGCCCATGATGCAGCCGTCAATGTAAAAGTTGTCCTCGGCCGGGGAGACGGGCGAGTATGGGTAGTAGCAGTAGCCTGACCCGCTCGTGTAATCGGATAGATAGTAGAGGTTGAGGGACTTGTAGTCGCTCTTGCGCAGCTTGCGCTTCATGCTCATCTGGTCTTGGTTGCCCGACCAGTACGAGTTGATGGTCTAGTCGATGTCAGCGAGCCTGTATTGGAAGCCGGTGCCTTTGAAACCTGCGTTCAAGATGTCCATTTGCTTGTTCATTGTGTCGCGCTATAAATAATGTAGTGTTAGAGATCCATATGCTTTACATTGGAATAATACTCTGTTCGAGCTTTGAAACGTACCGAAAAGTAGCCAGTTCCAGTGTTGGATGTCACCAGATGAATGTAAGTGTCAATGACAACGTCGGAACGTCCCAGGATGTGAGGTGCAGCAGCCTCGGCTTGGGAAAGTGCTTATGCATCATCTTTTGCTCCTCGCTAGGTGGTGGGTTGGCACAAGCCATGGGCGCACCGGCAAGGGGCATGTATTCAGACATGCTGGAGGCCGAAGCAGCAGCAACAAGGCCGCTAAGGAGGGTGACTCTGATCAACATGATATAGAGAGGGACTGAGATGGATGGGAAAGAAGAGGGCAAAAAGGAAAATGAGAATTGGGTCAATAGAATGCAGATGAGCCCGAGAGTGAGGTTTTGACCATCTCAGACAGAGCATGCTATACTCCTTTTTATATAAATGGACGTGGACATTGCGTATGCTGCCCGGTTTGGTCGATGCGGGCCAACTTGTATCGTACCATGGCATCCCAAGTCAGCTCTTCTTCGGGGAATTACCTTAATCACCTTCCCAAACAAGAAAATCTATCAAGTAAAGTAGTCAGATTGGGTACGCCACCCCTCCACTTGCTCATGCAGCCTGCTATCCCCGGCTAGGTGTAGTGCATCACAAGCCGCTCCAGCTTAGGAAGGCGACTGGGACTTGATCCCCCGGTTTGTACTTGCTTAGTGGGGATTCACTACAAGACGAACTAATCGGTCATTGACAGCAGCCTGCTGCAGGCTAGGATGCGGGGGTGAGTGAGGGATTGCCCGCTAAGACTGGTTGGCAGGAGACTATCCAGTCGGTAGCCAAACCGAGGAGATTGCTGTTCGCCGAGGGACGAAACGGATGTTGGCTAAGCAAACCAACGAATCCTTCGTACTAGGTCTTGGCCCCTCTGCATCAACACGGCAATTGCAGGGCAAAGGGCCTTTGCAACAAGTCTAGACTATCTCATTGGTGGTGCGGAGATGTGACAGCTCTCTCCGTGCCGAGCAAGCCAATACCAAAGCATAGTCGTTGACTAACTATACAAAGTCGCCCGCACGTTATCTCTAGGAGAGTTGCATCCCGAAAAAGCAAGGACGAACGCGGGGTGACATTGAAACGCCTGTGACTGACAAGACGCTAGCAACCTAATTGCACCAAGTTTACGTACTGGACACTGGCTCCATGTTGATATGGGGCGTGGCCCAGATTTGCGGTTGGCCGATCGGGCTACTTGGTATCAGTGGAGTCTAGGATACTGATACGTTAAGAAATTGCACATGAAAAGGGCTATGCGAATCCTCTGTGGCAAGTGTGCTGGTCCCCGTGCTATTCCATTCGTAGACACGCGCCATGAATGATCTGGGGTCCGAGTATCTGTAGACTTGTGTTTTGACTGTACAGAGTTTCTGGCACGTAATGGAAATGGAAGGCTCTCCATTTCGGCGGGCGCTGTGTCTACTGTAGTGCCATTAGCGTTGGTGAGGTTGCGTTGTGCACCGCGGAGGTAAGCCGGATCCGCAAACTGCTGTTACTGCTACTGGTACTGTTGTTGCTGTCGCTGGTCCTGCTAGCACAGCAAGCGAACCCGGGATGGCACTGCTTGGCGTAAAAGACGAGCCGCTGAACTGGCCCGCGGTATCATCCGGGAAAGAAACAAAGCATTGGACACCAACGTCGGTGTTCGTAGTCTATGATTGCAGAACAGGACAGGGGGAATAGGTTACAAAGAGGATGCTGCGACTTGTTGGCCGAGCTAGGCGACGTCAGCGAGGCTGCCCATGGGTGTCGGTGAGATGGAATAGTGTGTGAGGTGGGGGAGAGCTAAATTAGTGACGAGGATAGAGTAATAAACAGCTACATGCAGCGCGGCCTTCTCAATGGCAGCGCCAAGTCAATTTATTACAGCAAACGAATCATTTTCGCATCCCCCCTCAGCAGCCTGGTGCCAACGAATGGAAAATGACAACCATGAGAGCTTTAATGGTGGCTTGAATTATATGTTTCAAAGAGTATACAGAGGATACCGGCAACAGCTACATAAAGGTATTCTGACACTATATCTTATATTCCAGTCTCGATTACAAAGTTACAACCCTCTAAACTAGCTTGGCTTAAACTGTGATGTTGGGATACTTGCCGGAAGCCACGCGCTCTGGATCCGCTTCAAAACTACCATTTACCCGCTGAGGGAGCGGATTGCTGAGTACAGAGGATAGCTCGCTGTCAAGGATCTGCGGCTGCTCAGTGTTTCGGAGAGCCCTTTGAATGTAATCGTCTTGTTCTCCTATTGGAACGACGTACCGCAGGGCGGCTATCGCAGCTTCAGTACCGAATAGTCGACGCATGAGCCAGGTAGCAAGGTATTGAGAGGCGAGGCATCCACCAGCAGTAGCAACGTTTCCACTGACACAGAAGGGTTTATTTACAATATCAACCCCTGCGGCTATAACCCAAGGCTTAGTAACATCGTCTGTGCACGCCAGGACGCCGTCAAGGAGGCCGAGTTTCGCTGCGATTAGGGTTCCGGAGCACTGCGCGGCGATAAGCTGACGCTCTGGGTTCAGACCCCGCAGAGTTGCCATAACCTGAGCGTCGTCGATGATCTCGCGCGTCTTAGACCCACTGCCAATAATCACGGCGTCGGCAGTGCACGCGTCTTCAAGAGTGGCCATAGCCTCGACGACGACGCCATTCATAGAACGGACTCTTGGTGTAGGGCTGGCGATGGAGATGCGAAGGTCGTCTCGATAGAGACGATTAAGTATGCCGAGCGCGATTAGCGAGTCAAGCTCATTATAGCCATCAAATGTGAGAATGGCGATATGCATGTTTTGCGGACCGGATGGAGCTGGCAGTTTGATGGGATTGTGCCTTTTAGCTGGCAGATTCTTCCGCGTGTGTGTGTCGGATATATATCTGTTCTGTGTCGTTGGTTGGTAGCTGTCAGGTTGGTGATCCCTTGTTACAGATACGTGATCCTTAGCAAGTAATGACACCGATAAGTGATAGCGAATATTGGCCAGTAGCCCCAATAACGTTAACTCCCGTCTTATCTGTATAACGGGCTTCTACGGCGCTAAGAAGGGAGCGGGGTTGGGGGAAACTGAACTGGGCGCTCAACGCTGCGGAATTTGGTAACTTACTCCGAGAGAGCGCCACAGGTTCTCATGGGCATTCTAGCTACTACTGATGACGGCTGGTATTGGAAGATCCGGTCGGCTGATACAAGGTGCATTAATCTTCTTTGCATGAATCACTGACTTGTATACCTCTCTACTGTAACAGTACCCTCATCCTGAGTTTGTTGTAGCAACTTCCTTTATGCTTTCTTATGTTGCCCAAAAGATGAGGCAAAGCGCAACATAAACTAGAGAGTATGATGCAGCAAGCAGTGGACAATGCTCGCATCGCTCACCACCAACGCAAGATATACAGTAACACCACGGCGCTTTGCGACCTCCTGTATAGAGTTTAAATTAGCATTTCTGCCTTTACAATATATTTCCAACCTGCACCAACACATTGGTCTACCCCGTCCATCGCTTAGTACAAAGGGGCGCCGCGCCTTGCAGCTGTGGCTGAAAAGCCGTGTAACCGTACACCGGAAACTAAACACATCGCATCGCGGTCTATGTAAGATAGCTACATTAGATGAAAAACACAAGCAGCCAACTTAGTCCCGTCACTAGTAGCAACTGCGCTGGAAGACCGAGTTACCCACTAGCGCCTCGTGGGCTGGACCCCTATCCCCCAAAACATTGATGGTAAAGACGGTACTTTTTAAAGCAAGTCAAAAGCGTCCATGCTCTTTTCCAGTCTCGTCTCCGCTCTCTCTCCCGGATTCTCCGGAAACACCATCACGGAAACTTTACCTGGGCGTGTTTGCCAATAGCCTTGCCACGCCTCGACCACTATGTGATGCCATGACATCAGTTTGTTCTGCTTGGCCCCCAGATTACGCTAGTATTTCAGAGAGGGGTCGCAAATTCACAGGAGCCGGCTCTGGTAAGCATACGCGACAATCACAATAACCAGCAGGATATTTTAAGCAGCACACAATGACGACAGAAAATAATACCAAGGAGCAGGCCATTGGCTTCTCTGAGAATGTCGATTGGCAAAAGTACATTCTCTTCCGGCCTCTCTACGCGCCGTCCTTTTACAGTCGCATCTTTCAGTATCACTCCTCCAAGGCATCACCTCCCTCCCCAGCAGCAGCACCAGCACCAGCAGCAACTGCATCATCACCGTCATGGGATACGGCGCATGATGCCGGTGCGGGCTGCGGCATCGTCTCCGGCGTGCTTGCGTCTAAATTCAACCATGTTGTAGTGTCCGATGCCACAGCCAGCTTTGTAGAGCTGGCCCAAGAGCTTCTAGTGGGAAAGGCCGGTTTTCCCGCTTCAAAGTTTGTCTTTAAGCATGCGCGCGCCGAAGAGACCGACATGGCGCCGGGCTCTGTTGATCTTGTCACAGCATGCGAATGCATCCATTGGATGGATACAGAGGCGGCGGTAGGCGCATTCGGCAAACAGCTCAAGTCTGGCGGGACGCTCGCCATCGCCATCTACTACATTCCCTCCCTGGGGAATCCAGAGGCCGAGAAGCACTGGCAGAGTATCTGGAACAAATGGGTAACACTAGATACCTCACCGCTGTACCTGCGCGCCTACAGCACGGTCAACTCCGGTCTCGAGTCGATTGGATTCCCCGAGGACGCCTGGACCGACGTCAAGAGGGTCTACACCAATACCCACGGGTCCCTCGACGTGTTTCGGTTTAGCGATGAGGTCGGGGCCAGCCAGGTCAGGGATGGCGAAGGGCGTGAGTTTGTGGAAGGTGACCCAGCATGGACTATGCAGCGCGATATCGCATGGCTTAAAGGCTATACCGGTACATTTGTACCCCAGCTTCCCGAGGAGGATGTTAGTGAGCATTGGGACGCCATCGATGCGGCTTTGCAAGGGGGAACTGTCACAGTGGAGTTTCCAGTCGTAACGATTCTAGCGACAAAGAAGTAGAGAACCCTGAAGGAATATCTATCTATATAGATAGCTACAGAAGGGTACGATATACATACATAACGGCACATGTCTATTTACTTTTTTTTATTTCGTTTTTGTAGCAGAAAGAGTAAATGAACAAAAAAAGGCCCAATATCAAATCAGAAAAGGTAACCTTCCCACGAGGTAATTGCACAAAAGCCGCACACGCGGGCATGTGAACATATAAACAGCCAAGATCGGCTGAGACAAGTATTTCAAACACCCACAAACAACGCCAACAGAAGCAAGAAGCACATAAACGACAAGGTGTTCTTCTCACAGATAACGATAGGACAAAGCATAGCATTTATAGCTTGGTTCTGGCAGGCGTCTTTGCAGCAATCTCGGCATACATTTGCGCAATTTCGTCCTTGAACGCTCTGCCAGCATGCACTCTCTTGAGCTTGAGCGTAGGCGTCAGCAGCTCGTTTTCCACCGTAAATGGCTCAACCGCAAGCAGCAGGTTCTTGATCTTTTCATAGCCGTTAAACTTGGCCTTTGTGCCAATCTTGTCAAAGATCTTGAGCAACTCTGTCTTGACCGTAGGATGCTTCGCAGCCGCCTCGAGGGCCGCAACATCGCTCTCGGCAATGGGCGAGCCGACAAGCTTGGATGCCCAGGGCGCAAAGGTCTCAGGGTTGACGCCAAAGACACCAACAAGCGTGGACTCGGTGCTGTCGCCATGGACATAGGCCATAGCAATCAGGTTGCAGTTTGCGCTGTAGACGTTCTCGATGCGCTCCGGGGCCACGTACTCGCCCTGGGCCAGCTTGACAATGTTCTTCTTGCGGTCAATGATGCGGATGCGGCCAACCTCGTCAATCAGCGCCACATCGCCGGTATGAAACCAGCCGTCAGCGTCAATTGCCTTTTTGTTCTCCTCGTCGTTCTTGAGATAGCCTGTAAAGATGGACGGACCGCGCAGGAGCAGCTCGCCACGCGGGTTCGGCTTGTCGTGGACATCGTAGCCCATGTCCGGGACGCTCTCGAGGCAAATCTCGACGTTGGGGGATGGCGGGCCACAGTTTCCGGTCGAGTAGTCGCCGACGAGCTGCGTGGAGACGACACCAGCGCTTTCAGTCAGACCGTAGCCCTGGACAAGGCGGGCGCCAATGGCGGCCGTGAGGAAGCGCTGCACCTGGGGATCGAGAGGCGCGCTGCCGGAGCCCATGACCTTGATGCGCTGAAAACCGAGCGCCGCGCGCACCTTGGGCGTCCAGAAGCGGTCGTAGAGCCAGTGGCTGTGGTAGGCCTGGCCCATGGGCAGCGACATGTTGGCGAGCTTGGAGGCAATGGCCTGCTTGGACAGGTTGCCCTTGAAGCCGTCCGCGTCGATGGTGGCCTGGCGAAGAGCCGAGTTGAAGCGGTTGAACAGGCGAGGCACGGAGATGAAGCCCGTGGGCTTCAGGACCTTGATGTCGTCGAGAAGACCGGTCAGGTCGCCCCGAAAGTATCCAAAGGCCGCGCCCACGGCAAAACCGCCGTGCTCAACCAGGCGCTGCAGCATGTGCGCAAGCGGCATGTACGAGAGGGCCACGTCGTTTGTGCTTCCCTCGCCGGCACCGATGCGGGTGCCGCAGTTGGACGCCACACAGGCGGCGTGTGTAAGCACAACGCCCTTGGGCATGCCCGTTGTTCCGGACGTGTAATTGATGGTGTAAATATCCTCAGGGTGAGCTGGGTTCATCGGGCGTCCCGAGTCCTTGCCAATCTGTTCCACCTCCTTGAGGGAGCAGATGTGAATGCCGGAGTCCGCCGCAAACTGGCGCAGCACGGCTCCCTTGGTTGTGCTCTCGACCTCACCGGCATCCAGATCGTCAAGGCAAACAATCAGTTTGAGCAGCGGTAGACGCGGCGCAAGTTTGAGGAGGGCGGGGATATGGGTAATGGACGTGGCGACGCTGGTCAGCTCGGCGTGGTTGAGGATAAACTCGGTGGCATCGGGGCCCAGCGTCTCGTAGAGCGAAACCGTGTAGAGGCCTTGCGAGGCACAGCCCAGGTCGACAATCTGCCACTCCGGGCGGTTCTGGGACCACAGCGCAATGCCCTTTGCGTCCTTGGGCAAGCCGAGCTTCTGCTGGACCTCGACCAGGCCGGCGCCAAAGTTCTTGCGGCGCTCAGCCACCTCGCTGTACGTGATGAAGGAGAACTTGTCATCCCAGGCCTGTTTGGCAGGCAGCCACTTGCGCTCGCCGAGGCATCTGTTGCGCGGGAAGGTGTCGGCGGAAGACTGGAAGAGATCGTGAAGCGTGCGGACGTCGGGGTCCATTGTCGTCAATAGCGGCTTGTCGGCAAATCGCCAGTGTCTGTAGATTGGCGATCGGCCAGGCCTCTCGGATCCGGGCAGCGGTACGGCCTGCGGCGAACCCTCGGGGGGTGCTCTCGCGAGCTCCGCGGTGAGGCGCATGGCGGCGGCGTGGTTAGGCATGGTGTCTGGTCGTTGGAATCAAGGAGGACAAGATGCAGGGCAGCGCAGGGAGAAGGGACAGGGTGAGAGAAAGAGCGACGAAGGCAAAAACGACGACAATATAGAGTGTAAGAGAGAAAAAACGGGGGAAGAGTAAGCGGGTGACGTTCCCTAGAAAACCAACAGCTCTAGTTGGGGGAAGAGGGGGTAATCACAAGAGTGTCTCTATGGCTGAGTTGTCTTGCTAACGCGGATGTTCTGCCTCGGTATGCATTTGCAGGCCGTAGTTCAGAAAAAAAAAGTCTGGGGGAGAAGCAAAGGCTACAGCGGCCCGATGGGGGCGGGTGTCACCAGGGATGTCCGTTTGAGAAAATAGACAAAAAAATTAAAAGGAAAGTCGAAAAATTAAAAAAGAAATAATCCAGTCATATAACCCAATAGAAACATAAGCATTGTTTCTCTTTATTGTTTATTCCTTCTGCTCTACTCTTCTCCCTCTGCTGTTTCCGCTCCGTCTTCCTTTTTCTGTTGGCCCGACTCCCCGCCGGAATCTACAGTATAAGCCCAGCCCATCGCAAATCGTGCCTCATTTGGCTATTGCTTGATCCGGCTAGTAGAGGGGTTCGTAGCCTATAACGTCGCTGTGGCTGACACCAGCCGAGGCTCCCCCATGCGGGACACAGGCGCAGTCCGCGTGTCGAATGAGGGGAAACGAAAAGCCAACGTTTTTGGTGTGCTCCACCGCGAGCGCCAAGAATTTTATTTTTATTTTTATTTTTGGGAGGTTTACTGCTTCTGGTATTGCTTGCTGGTGGATCGCCCGCAACTGTATTGTACTGTACTGAACGTTTGCTGGGCATTGCACAACCCATTTCTTCTTCGTCTAAAAAATGCTTGCTGAATGAGGCAATGTCGGTTGCATGCATCGAGTGATGCGTTTATTGTTGTAGCCGACCACGCAATGCGAAGCAAGTGATTCTGCGCTGAGAGCCACCAAGTTGACGCCATCCACATCCGTTACTGGGAGATGTGCTGCTATATGGGCTAAATCCGCCGATGCACGCACTGCCGTCTCGTCTATATTAAGAAAGTGTCAACCAGCGGTCGTTGGACAGTTGGCAACCGTTCACCAGCTGGTCCTATCCGCACCCCCTGCACTGGTACACCCGCACCGCTGTACAAGTGAAGCAATTGCAAGAAACAGGACGGCCTTGAAAAAAGAAAATGCACTACTTTCCAGAGGAATTCTGATAAGAGCGGCTCTCACATGACAATTGTATATATATCTAGGTGACTCTATTTACTGGACCAGATATCTCTAGTTGCTACTAGAAATACGTGGGCAGCCACTTGTCTGTATATACATTTGCAATACACAAGTAATCAACAACATCCCCTCCCTTCTATGTACTCAAAGCAACGCGGAGCTTGGCAAAGTCCATGGACCCAAGCCCAGTGACAGGGTCCCAGCCCTTCTCGACCGAGCAGCCATCGGTGTCGCTGCCAGGGTTGGAGCCGACGGTAATATCGTTCAGGGCAGCACGGACATCCGCCTCGCCATACAGCCGCGGGTTAATGAACCCCAGAGTCGGCTTGCCAATCGTGGCACGGTAGTCGTTGATCTGGGACAACAGACCAGCCCACATAGGCGTAGACGCTGACGTGCCTCCCGTCATATCCGTCTTGCAAGCACCGTTGCCCTTCTTGGGCGGTCCGTAGATGGGGATCCTCTCGCCAATAAGAGCAACATCAGGATACGCACGGCCACCGGCATTGTATTTGCCGTCGTAGCTGGCCGGTACATAGTCGCGAATGTAGTCCGCAACATCTGTCTTGTGGTACGCAGGCACGTCAAAAAAGTCGGAGAAGCCGCCGCCAGAACCAAATTTCGTCGTTGCCGTTTCGTTGGTGCCAGACCACTCGGTAGCACCCACAGCAAGGACCCAGGGGCACGAACCCGGAAAATGGTTCTCAAAGCGGCCGTTGGAGCAGGTCTCGCCCACGCCGTTATCGCCGGTGCTAAAGAGCACTGTGATGCCGCGGGAGCTGGCCTTCATAAAGTCGTTGCAGATGCGAGTGGCATACTGCTTGGTGAAGCGGGACTCGACGGCGCCGTACGACGTGGACATGATGTCTGGAGGAGAGTCGGCAGAGGCCAGGAACGTGCCCCGGCTAATCATGCTGTATTCGAATTTATCGAGGCTGGCATTCGTGCGGCCGATGGTGTAGAACCTTGAGTTGCCAGCGCCCAGGACAGTAGACCACTGGATATCAAGCGTGGTCTCTCTAGTGGGTGCTGTTTCATTGTTAATGCCGTCAGCAATAGAGTAGTTCTGGAAGGTGTTTGTGTTTTTCGGGTCGTAGGTAGCAAGGAACTGCTTGAGGTCGCTGTGGGAGACGTGGGCGTTCTTAGGCCCTGAGATTCCGTAGCTCGTCTTGCCTCCTTTACCTGCATGGTCGACGTTATACCAGTTGAGCACACACTGGGGGGTGGTGGTCTTGTCACAAGGGTTGGCCGTCTTGACCTTGGTGGCCTTGGGAGCCTTGGCAGGCCGCAGCGGTGTCACAGCGTCAGCCGAAACGCTCTGTTCATCGCTCTGGAAAGCAGTGGTGGGCTGGATAGTGTCGATATGGTCCAGTAGTTGCTGGGGGATGGAGTAAGCGGTGGTGCGTACAACAGACGACTGGTCCACAGCATGATTGTAAATCTTATACTCGGCCTCGAGAAGCTCCTCCGCCTTGCTCACGGGGATTCTGACATGAAGCCAGTCGGGTGAAGGGCTAGCAATGTCCTCATCAGCAATACCGGCGGCCTTGATCCAACTTTTGACGAGCTTGATGCTTTCGTCAGAGGGGGCTGCATAACCAGTAACCTGCTCTTTGGTAAGCCACTTGCCTTAATCGGCATGCCTATAGTCTGAGATTTCCAGCAAGCGCTTCTGGAGACCGGCCATGTTGCCCTGGGTGAGGCCAATCTGCATTAACATCTTAGCCTCGGGCTTTGGAGAGCCCGGATGATACCAGTATGTAGACGATCAGCGCAGGGCTGGAAGTCCAAAGTTGGTGCTTAGTGAGAGCGATCTTCAGCCCTACGCTACGCGCTAAGGGGCTGCCTTGGCTTCCTCATCTTCATTAGCAACCAAGCCATTTCTCTATTACGCCAAGATAGTCGGGTTTACTTCCCCGCATAATGTGCCAGCTGCCATACTCCGGTTGGACTCTCTTGGCATATGTTCAAGATAGTTAATATGAGGGGATTTTCATGGGGATACGTTTTCTCCGCAAGAGGAGTCAGGGAATTGACAAGCACGGGTCGTGGGTGAGTAAACCAAGTGGGTAAATAAGAGCGTACCGGGCCCATGTAGTAATTATTGTAGAATTAAAAGCGGGTTCTAAATTACGCTGAAAAGTAAAAGAAAAAAGCATTACAGTATGTACACCGACAGTAACAGACGCGTTGTGACTGGAGGGAATTGGCCGCAATATGTAATTCTTCTAGATGGCATGGTAAGCGGCGCTCGAGAGCATCAGGACAGCGGCGAGCATGGCATTGGCCTCGACGCGGCCACTGGCATTGTCGTTTCCATCCTTTCCTCCATTTGTTCCCTTTCCACCCTTATCCTTGGCAATGTTGACAGGGTTGGTCTTGTTCGTGTACGGGGCGACGGCCTTGCTGGACATCAAGCTGTTGACCATGTTGAGCGCGCTGACCTGGGACATGGCATTGGCAGTTTTGTTCTCGCCCTTGCCGCTCAGCCAGTTGAGGCCGCAAATCTGGCCATTGTCGCCAAAGGCGCACTGTCTGGCAGCGGCGACGGCAGACGACTGCAGCAGCTCCGTCATGTTATCGTTGGAAATGAAGGGGGCAAGCTGCATAGCCTGGCCATAGTGCTGCGCAAGCATGCCTTTCATGAGATCTACACTAGTAGAGCAGGAGTTGATGCCCTCGCAGGACGTTTCGGTTAAGATGCTCTTACTGAAGAAGCGGTCGGTCGCTCTCGCAGTCAGGTTACCGAGGCGAGCCTGCCACATCTTTTGCTTGTCGTCCTTGGTGATGTTGTACAGGTTGGCGGCGCCGAGAGCCAGCACCGAGTTGGACATTGTTAGTTCAGTCTTGAGCACCTTACCACAGTCATCGGTGCTGATGCCATCATAGACACTGTAGGTCTTGTTGTCGACCAGGCCAGACAGTTCGAGCCACTCCCATGTCTTCTCGGCCGAGTCAATGTAGGTCTGGCTGCCAGTGTAGCGCGCCAAGCGGGCAGCCAAATTGAAGAACAGCCCATTGCTAATGGCTAGACGAATCACAAGTTAGTCAAGGCCTGATCTCTTTTGTTTTCATTATACGTACAGTTCTTGTAGTTGTAGCCCACGTTGGCTGCGCGGAGCTGCCAGCGCAAGCCGCCCTTACAGGCAGTTTCGGCGTCATAGCGCTGTTGCTGGGTGGTGTAGACCTTGATAGCAGCATCAACCCACTTGGGCTTACCCTTAGGGTCGTCCTGTCCTCTCTCAGCAGCAAGTAGTGCCGTGGTGGCCCAGAAGGCCTGGTCGTCGTTGCCCTCAGTCAGAGTCTGCTGCTCCGGAGCAAAGTCGGCATTGTCGCCATATTGGGATGCAATCGCAGCAAGGGCCGTGGAAGCGTAGGTTGAGTCGCCCGTGTTGTGACCAAACTCGATAATGGAAGCCCACAAAGCAGCGTTGCTGAACCAGTCGTACTGGTCCTCAGGGAGCAGAGAGGTGCCATTCTTCAGAAAACCGACGAGATTCTTGGCCATGCTGGTGGCAGTCGTTCTAACTTCATCTAGACGCGAGGTTGTTAGCAGTTGGACAAGCGAGGCGGTAGACTTTGTGTCTTACTCTGGTTGGAGAGTGTGTAGCTGGCGTCAGCAGCAACAGTGGAGGCCAAGGCTGCCGCGGCGGCGGCTCCCAAGAAGTTGTTTCTCATTGTAAACGAGAGTCGAGGTTCGTGCCAAAGGCAAAAAGAAGCGGAATGGATCGAGTTGATCAACAAAGGCGCTCAGCCACAGCTTTAAGGACAGGAAACAAGGGAGAGATGAAAAAAAGCAAAAGCAAAAGCTAGAAATCATTCACGATGCCCGTGCCCTCTCCGTTAGTTGAATAAGAAACAAGAAACAAGGCGCCGCCCCCACGTGACGGAAATTAGCTGCCCCATCGCAAACAAGGGGAATGCTCTTGGCAGGAGGCTTTGGCGATTGGGTCAACCAAAGTCCAAGGCAGAAGAAGAGAGGACGATATGAGTTTGAAGCGAATAATAATGGTTTGCTTGTTGAAAATTGATCCTAAACTGCGTGGTTTTCGTCGAAAGAGTTCAGGTTGTTGTTGTTGCTGTAGCAGGGCAGCCTCGAAAGTCAAGAACAGAACGCCACCAACTAACTGGGGAACTCTCTCGCGCCGCAGCCCGTTTTCAAATTATTGCGTCCAGGGATACAGAAAAAGATGCACATGATATATATCCTACATCGGGCATCCTGACCAACGGGATTGATTGCTTATCACAATGCAGTCGATCAACGCTCATCCTTTAACACAAAGTTCGCTTTCCTTTAGCCTCAGATCGATGATGTCATAGTTCCCACTGGTTACCCCTGATCTCACTTGTGGATCGCCGATGGTGTTTGTTATTCCCGCCGCGCAGAGTCACTCACGACTTGGGCCACCCACCCGTAACAGACGGTACAGGCCCGTAGGGTACAAGCTGGGTTTGTAGGGCCAATGGCCCATGAATAACATCCGACGGACCTTCCTTTGCAAATTCATAGACTCTCCCATGCAATAATACCTACCTCGCTGTTGTAACTGCCGTCGTAGTCGCAGTGGCCAGATGTTCTAGTACTGGGGTTGCATGTGACCAACACCCAAGCAAGCCTTGCCCAGCCTTGCCAATTCTATAGACAGCACAACACAGACAAACGCCAAGATAACAATGGGGTCAACTTGAGTATATATTCAGTTGATAATTAAGGGGTGAAAGAGTTGAACAAAAGGAAAATCAGCCCAGGCGGTAGCGGGGAATCCTATGTAAGTCGTATATACGTAGACACGTCAAAACAGAGCAACCACACTTAGATGCCGTTGAAAGCCAAGAGGTTGACAGTATCGGCAACCTGGTTCGTAATGGCACCCTTGGTAGCCATGCCGCGAATAATGTCGCAGGACTCGGGGCCCGCTCGCTTACCAGTGACTGAGGCAAGGTAAGCTGCAAGACCAGCAACGTGAGGAGAAGCCATAGAAGTGCCAGTCATGGCAGCCTATGGAATATCATGTTAGTTTAGGTTTGTGAAATAATCATCTTGCCGGAAAGGTTACTTACAACTCGGCCGCCGGGAACGGTGGAGATAATATCAACACCGGGAGCGTTGATGTCGACCAAAGGACCGTAGTTGGAGTCCACGTAGCGGCGATCATTGATGTCAGTGGCTCCGACAGTGCAGACCTCGGGTTCCGAAGCAGGAGAGTAGTTGATAGCAGGCTGGTTCTTATTGCCAGAAGCAGCAACAACAAAGATGCCCTCTCTGGAAAGTGACCTGGCGGCATCATTGATGGCGCGCGACTTGAAGCCACCAAGACTCATGTTTAGAATCACACCGTTGGGGCAATCCTGCTTCTTAGAGTCAGATGACACAAAGTTCATAGCCTGAACAAGAGAACCCATAGATGTTGTGCAATAGATGCCTTCCATTGCTAATGCCTTTATGGCGAAGATCTTTGTCTTCTTAGCGACACCATACGTTCTACTGCCAATAGTGCCAGCAACATGAGTTCCGTGAGCACAGTCGTCGGCGTTCGGACCAGAACCGAATTTGGCAACAAACTTAGCTCGGCCCTCAAACTCCTATATACACGTTAGCACCTAGCCTGGTTTGTGACATACTCGTTGAAACATACCGGATGATCAGCATCAATACCAGAATCAATAATGTAAGAGCAGGTGCCTTCACCGGCGCGCTCGTCGAAGAGGTACTCGTTCTTGCCCTTCTCTCTGTGGGCAATGCGACCCAGACCCCATGGGGCGCGAGCCTGGGAAAGGACACCGTCAAGATAATACTTGCCGTCTTGTTCAATGTATTCAACCTATTAGAGTCAATACTGTTGATTTCTGCATTCGGTGTTGGCAGGGCTATATTGACTTACATCTGGGTGATTCTGAATGGCTTCAAGGTTAAGTCTGTTCACCTTGCCAGCGAAGCCCCGGAAAGCGCCCTTGAACATGTTCTTCTTGGCCTGAGAGTTTAGAATGCCAAAGAGTCCATCGGCTTTAGCCATAGGACTGCCCTCCTTGAACTTGACAATGTAACTGTCAGCAATCAAGTCATCTTCACCGCGGGGAGTCAATAGCGGCGCTGGCTCATCGCGCTTCATAACAGCAGGGCCAGCTGCTACGAGTGGCAAGATAGAAAGGAGCAGAGACAGACGCATATTGGGTAGATTTTCGGAATACTGGCTTATTAGTTGGGAACAAGTTGAGCTGGTTGGTTTGATACCTCAGTCCTGTTCAAAAATTTCTGTAAAACACGGACGAGTACCGCCGCCGTATTTATTCCCGAGCATGCCTTGCACACGGGTACAATGTGTTCTCATTTCTGTTGCATAATCAATTCGCTCACAGCCCATACTAAACATTCCAATGTGACCTCCTCGTGCGTCGTCATGGATAGTGCGAACTGATAGGTAGTGCTCTTGCTACAGTGCGGCATGGGGTAGTATGCTAGGTTCAGCCGATGACACTTCGGTCCGTTTTCCCAGCGCAAAGCGTTAAAGGGGATCTGCCAGTTTCCGCTTATCGATCGTCGATGATCCGAAACAGCTTTCTCTTTCCCATTAGCCTCATCATTAACGGCCCTATGCGCAGAGTATAACAACATCTTTCTAAGCCCGGAGAGAGAGCACGCCCTTGGTCAGCATGCGTCCACGACCAGTACCATGACCAAGACCAGCCACCGGCATCACATCAGGCTTGGAGGCGTTTCAGCTACCATAAATGCTGTAAATACTGTAACGTTTGGGTAACGCACGTTCTCTTCGGCTGGAATCTAGCTGCCGGATAGCATGTCGGCCACCACCAAGCGTCCAACGGAAAAGTGGCCACTAGTGCCCAGTCGATAGCAAGGGCCCGATGCAACCCTTCCCACCAAGGTCAGTCCTAATGTGGAAATTCCGTTTGCAACCGTAACTGTCTTCGCAGCTCTCTAGACATGCTGAAGCATTAGCCTGGGCAATACTAGATGCCTCAATCACCCTTAACAGTGCAGCGATTGGCCGAGGTATCCTACAACGAGAACGCTCCACCTCTAACACCGCGTCACGATGCTCACTGTCTCCAGTGCGCAGTCTCGGAATAAAAAGGAAAGCATTTCCGAGACTTGGTTTTTATACTCGATAAAAAAGAGCTCGATTTAAATAAACAACGCATGCAAGCTTTGTCGCGAGGGAGTCAATATGTTCCGATAGTGGGTTTGGCGGTGACTTCCATGAGAAGGATTCTAGTGCAAAAAGACTAATTGAAGCGTGAAATTAGCCGTTTTAAGAATTTGCCACGGTTCATCAAGCAAATTACCGCTGAAGAAGGTTTTCTGGTGACAGAAAAAGTGAAGTTTGAAGAGGCGAGGCGCCGAGTGGTGTCCAGCAAACTCGATGCAACCTTCGTGCCTCCTACCATACGGGCCATATCGCCGGACGGTAAGGGACTATCAGAATCGAAAGAAGATAGGTTTAATATGCGATATTAGGAACTTGCAGCAGCGTAGTACCTGAAAGGTAGGAAGCTCCCGGTGGTGTCGCCGCGAAACGTCCACGCTTCATCAACACGCCGTTGTCCTGGCCGCTATGCCCATGAGGATCCTCTCTACATTGGCACGGTAAGCGAGCTAACGGTTGTCCCGCAGTCCCCAATGAGGAGATGATCTGTCAATATGAGGTGATTAGGTGCATATCATAATATCATCATAGAGTAGGGATGAACTTTCTTTTTGGCTACATCAAAATCATGGAACAACCTCGAGTTCAATCTTGGTTCCGTCTGGGAGGTCGCGTAACTTGACGGCGAGCGGCCCTCTGATTTTCATGCCCTCTACAGCATCTCGAGGAACGAGATTATTCTGATCGTATGCTCCTCCAAGCATGAAGAGTGTCAGTGGTACCAATCGTTGGTTCATCTCCAGTCCACCCTTGGCATCTTGGTACTCTTTTGCAAATCCCGCAGCGCCGTTCACATTTGGATCCTCGAGTAGCCACGCAGCCCAATCCTCTAAGGAATCAAATGACTCTTCATCCTCGCACGTTTCTGGGTTCCATACCACGACATTTGCGTTATTTCTTACCGCAAACTGCATCCCAAATATGTCTTGGCCAAAGCAAAACAGGTCGTCTGCGAGTCCTAGATACGGTTGCTTCCATGTCGCCTCATCGTTCCAAGTAAGTAAATCCGTGCATCTCTCCGAATCTCCAACATGAAATATGTGAATGCCAGAATTAAAGGCGTAGAAGCCGTTGAGTTTTGTCAACATTTTGCCGAGGTCTGCGAGAGGACCGTCATTGAGACCAAAGCTGACTTCGCAGTTAGCGCCTACTGGTCCGTAGCCTCGATCCAACAGCTCCTCTAGCTTTGTTTCAAACGTTGGTTCGTCTTGCATATCGTCATGTTCAGCCATCTCGTAGGTTTTGATGGTTATGGTTGACTTTTTAAGAATTTGCGCGTCGCAGCGGTCAAGCTGGAAAATTTGCCAGCTGCGACAGCTGTCAGCCGCAAATGAAGTGGGCACCGTCGTAACCGCCATGCCTTTGTTCGGAACGAAGCTAGAAAAAGAAAGAAAAGGCTCTTTTGCACCATATAAAACCGACACCCATTTTTAAGCTACATTATTGTTGGACTACGTGTGTGACTTCGCCGAGTAGCATAATCAACAGTGAAGTGTAGCACAATAGCCATCTGGCAGATGGTGTTTGATCAGTTATATATGGCTCCTGCTCGCTTCTGTATTGATTGCAGTTTAGCCTCAATTATAACCCAAAAGTTGAGTATATTATATATAATAGTGGATACTATCTAACCATATACTTAGTTCTAATTGTGTGATTCTAAATTATGACGAAGCAAGATGCTGTCGATGCGAAGCCGGGGCTCAGCGCGGCACAGATTACGCCCTCTTTGATATCTGGATTTATACATCAAACTCGCCCTTGAAACTGAATTCTTTTAGACTCCAGCCCTTCATGGAAGAGTATAAAAACCGCGGAACAAATACAGAGAAATTCATTGCACGATATTCAGAGGTCGAAGTTGAGACAGCTGATGTTACGGCATGCGACGACACAAAACGAATCTTACACTTCTCCAAACGATATCCCTACAAATATACCAACATCTTCTTATCACCAAACAGGAGATTGTCTGACAAGTTCAGTGCAACAGTTCTCTCCCGTCAACCAAGATCGACTGCCCGTGTCACCACCAAAGAATATGGGCACAAGCATATCAAGCCTGGGATGAAAGCATTGGCCGCTAATTAACCATTGCAGCACCAGTCTGCAATGGCACCCAACGAAACGATTTATGTGAGCTTTGATTTTCACGCAAAACTAAAACACAGTGCGCATGTACGCCCGGCGTTACTCTCGGTAGACCTTCCTTCTATAGCTGCTCGATATGCAACAGCATCAACACAGCTGCACTAGCTTCTGTAAAACTATGGCAAAAGCGGACCGCGGCTGCAACGCTATGTACGCCCCCTGTTCCACTGAACGCTCTTTTTCTCGCATCGATTTTCCCCATCTAATGACCTGGTCGGAGTCAGCACCTTAACAGGATGGACCCGCGAATCGCGAGGGGGGTGTGTGCATTTGGTACGCAATGTGGCTTTGCCTGCACAGACGAATCATTTCACCAGCGACATGACGTACTCGCTACGGGCGCAGCTTTCGTTCCAGTCTGGTGACTTGGATGCCACGGCAGCGCTTCAAGCTACAAGCGGGATTCGCCACTTTTTCGCGCTTCTTCCTCAAATCCGTTCCGTGCGCCTCCCGGATTGAACTACGCATCCAGCAGCGGCCAAACAAAATGGGAGAAATTTCGCAAGCCTTACCACGACTTTTCCGGATCGGTTGGATCGCAGGATTCCCATTTTGATCCAGGTGCAATGAGTGGCTCATCGTGCTGGTCGAAAAGCAGTCAGACGTTAATCGGTCCTGGCGGAGACCCCAACGTCGTAGAGAGCAGGAATGAGTTACTCTATTTGGCAAGAGGGGCCGCCTACGCGGGCCGGAGAAGTGTGTTGGCGGCGGCCCGCGCGACCTCTCTCTTCGGATCTTGGCAAATACGCAACAAGGAGGACAACAGCTTGTTTAGTTTTTAGTCAAAGGGGCGCATGCATCCTGAATATGAGGTTACATTTGGCGTTTTTACCAGGGTAGAGAGGTCTCTTGACGGGGGTTTGCGCGGAAAAGCATGCCTCTCGATCCCTAGCAGGGGAGTGTGTACTAGACGGCGGCTCGAGATCGAGCACGCAGTAGAACAAGGGGGAATTTTAAGGTTCTCAAACACAAGGGGGAGGCAGAAGCAGACAGGGAAATGAAAACGTTCAAGGTCATATTCATATTCATAAATTACAGTAGTTCGTCAAAAGCTAGCCAAGTTTTCATGTCCCAGAACCCAAACAAATACAAGCAAAGCGAGTATGTACATAATGATGATGATGATGATAAAATCCGAGCTTAATGTCTGCGAACAATGTTCTCAAACCAGTCGAGGATGATGCTATTTTGGAAAAACGAGCCACCAATGCCACAGTGCTCGCCGGCACCATCCTCGGCCTTGAAGACGTAGTGGGTAGCCTTGTCACCAAGAGCATCAGCAAGCTGCTTCGGTTGACCAGGGAAGAACATCTCAAGCTCAGCGTCAGCAACAAAGGTAGGAGCCTTAATCTTGCTAGCAACTTCCGTCAAGTTATACTGCAAGGCGCGGCCAAGCCACTCGTAAGGGCTCTCAGTGTTGAAGGACCAAAGACCCTGCTGCAAGCTCCACTTGACGCCAGTGGGAGTGTTGGGGTCTTGGAGAGAGCCCTTGATGACCTCGTCAAACTGCTCCTTGTTACCCGAGCGGAAGAGGCCGATGAGAGGAGGAGGGAACTGGGCCAAGATGGCGGCGCCAAAGTCAAAGAGGCCATCAATGGCGAGGACAGCAGCAATGCGATCGTCAAAAGCAGCCGCGCGAGGCATCAAGTATCCGCCAAACGAGTACCCAAGAGCACCGATAGCATGGCGGTCGACCTCGCGGCGAGAAATGGCCCAGTCAATGACAGGCGACACGACCTTTTCCCACTCATGCGTAAAGCCAATGTTCTGCTCGCGGCGGACGGTAGGCTGGCCAGGGCCTTCAAAGGTGATGGCGTTCATACCACGCTCGGTGACTGCCTTGCCGATCATATGGTACATTTCTTCCTGGGCGCCGTCATAGCCATTGCACATAATGAGGGTTGGGCGACGGCCAGGAAGGCCGCTTCCGTAGAAGATGGCGGGGATCTGGAACGAGCCGTCCTTGGATGGAATAGTGACGCGCTTTCCAGGAACGGGAAGCATGGCAATGGCATCGTCAAACGTGCTGCGCTGCTTGGCCCAGAGTGAGGTGAGGCGAGGATCCGACCAGTTGCCGTGCAAGTAAAAGTCAGCAGAGCGGTAGTACGTGGAGGCCTTGAAGAGGCCCTGGCGTGCGGAGACAGGGAACCGGCGGGCGTCAATGGCACGGGCGTTCTTCTCCGTGCGGACGGCAAGGGTATTGAAGGCGTTGTAGAAGCTCTCAAAGTCGCCTGCCTTGATGTTGTGGGCAGCCATGAGGACGTCGCCAATGTCAGCGCCCTCGTAGGGCGTGGCGGCCATGGCTCGCAGAATCTCAAAGTGGAAGTTTTCGTCTGGGTTGAGCTGGAGCATGGTCGACGTATCGTCTCTAGGAGCGACAGAGGCCTGAAATCCAGTGTGTTAGCGAAAAAAAGGTGGACAGAGAGTGCAAGACAGGGCATGACTTACACAGCACAGGCTGGCAATGCCAGCGGCAAAGAAAGCGGTGGTGACCTTCATGTTTGTGTATATAATGGAGGGGGGAAGAAAGATTAATGATGAGAGGATGAAGAATCACAAAAATAAACGACGGACGATGGGGGGGTATTTAATGTTTCTGGGATTTGCATCAACGTCACATCTCCTCGACCCAACGATCGAGGCGAGGCGGCTCTGCCCTTGCACGCCCTCTCCACCAGCACAATGCATACCCCCCCCTCCCAGCATCTTCGCATACAGTGCAGCAGTGTGGAGGAACATGGTTTGCCGAAAAGAACAGACCACTCTATTACATCACCTGTTCTTTATTTTTGCCATGCCATGCACTTTTTTAGGAGAGCTTGCGAACACAGTACGCGACATATCTGCTTCTTCTCCTTGTCGCCCGCCTCGGCCCCGTGGGTTGGTGCGCGCGGTCCCCTCGGCGCCGTCGCGAGCGGGATTCAGGACCGGAATTGGCAACTTGGCGCGGCGGCAATGCAACGGGCTACGTACGCTGTCTCGGGACGCCAGTGAATCGGGCAGCCGAGCCAGCGATGGTTTCGCAAGCTTGCTCAGCCTCTTTTTCCGCAGTCCGGGATTCGCAAGGGGTTTATTGGATATAATGACATCATTGTGTATTTGACAGATGCGCTACGTCGTCTACTCTTTGTTCCTTTTAGTTTACTCGTTTGTTCACAGCCTACGTATGGCCGTAAAGAGAGAAAACGCCGTGGGATGGGCGCGTGGCGGGCGCTAGCGTTGGCGTTTCGCTGGGGGCGAGACCAAGCAAGCCTAGCTAGCTACCATAATGGGTTGGGATATAGGAAAAAAAAGTCACCGACACCTGCAGCCTAGACAGAAGCTGGTTAGTACTCCTTGATCCGACGAGGTAGCGGTCTGTAGGTGCGCCCAACTAATCTCTCAATGTGCAAGGTTAAAGTCGGAGCACGAGACATATGAAAAGGACGAAGATGGTGTCCGCAAAGAAGGGCTGGGGGGGCAAGGCAAAGCAAAAGAAAAATATAGCACGGCTGTGCGTGTGTGTATGTGTATATGTGTGTGGTAACGCTACTCAATCTCGTGGGATATATACATGTTGTGCCTCTCTACTTATTTATTCTTGTGCGATTGGGTCCGCATCTGTTCTCTTTTTTTTTGCCTTTTTCCTCTCTTCCTCTAGACGTACTTCACTTCATCAAACAACCCAGCGCGCACCTGCATCAGCGCCGCAAGCTCCATCAAAAACGACTGAAAGACAATAACATTCGTCAAGATATGCGACACCGTGACGGTTGCAGTCTCCTCTTCCGCCTCTGGCTCCGCATACTCTGATTCGTCTGCTGCAATATTCGCATTCACAGCATCCGCCTCACTGTCCTCGTCCTCGTCCTCATCGTCCGAGAGCGCCATCTCTGGAACCTCCAACATCGTGCGCCTGCTCGTCAGATCTAGCGGAATAGGCTTCATTTTGCGATCTGGCACCCCGACGCGCTTAGCCAGAATGGTCTGGTCCATGGCGGAAAACTCGGCCACGCGACTTGCGCTGAGATCCTCGTCTTCATTGTGCGAGCGTGTATCGTCGTGGGGTGTGCTGCTTGGCGACATGCTACGCGAGATACCTAGGCCCACGCTCGACGGCGTCGGGGGAAGCGCCTTGTTGTAGTCACGGGCCTCGGCAGGTGTCGAGGTACCAGATGAACGGGGACCCCTTGGGCTGGAAGCCCTGCTGGGTGTTCCAAGCTCCGATAAGAGACGCTGCGCAAATCCTTCCAACGCTGAAGGCTTTGATGGAGAGCCTGCCCTCATCACTTCATCCATGCTCGGCCGGTCGGGCGTTCCATGCATGGCGGCGTGTTGCACCGAGCCCTTCCTAGCAGGGGCCGGGTTGTCCAAGATCGAGTCCGCAGTAAGGAAAGCCTCGCGGCGTTGCTGGAGCAGCTCGTCAAATCGCGGAATGGTCTCTCTGTACTTGAGAACCTGCTTGGTGAGGACGTGTATCAAGCTTAGAAGGCGAGGGATCGACTCTTCATCCCAGAACGGCCTCTGCCTGCACCGCTGCAGTGACTGCAAGACGTGTTCCTCTTTCGACGCTGACGATTCTTCATCGGCAGCCTTGTTGCCATTGTCGGTTGTGGACATCTTTTCCACCTCGTCGTCGTCATCATCCATGTATTTGTAGCCTGCTGGCGAACGCACCAGCCATCCTTCAACACACATGTATCCGCATACGGCAAGATCTACAAGCGTCTCGGTAACGGACAGGTTCGCTTCCACCGGATTCAAGAAGAACGATTCCATCAAGTCCAAAATAGCGTTGAGAAGAGGATCATCCGGTCTCAGCGTGTGCTCTCGTACCTCTTTTGGTGCGCCAGGCAGACTATCAGGCAACGCCGGCAGCTTGTGATTGTTAGTCGACACCTTTGGCGCCACCAATCTCAACGAGCACGGGTGGCTTTCCAACCGGGCCATGGTATCCTTTAGGATGTAATCGTACGTTGCATCAAAGTTGGCATAGCCACCGATAGAGCCCGCTAGCTCCATGACGTAGTCTACTTCCTGCTCATGTGCGCCGACTGTACGCTCCGCTGGCTTGCTCGGTAGTAGCTCAGTACGGAGTAACGTCAGCACTGCATATCGGTGGTGCCTCTTGAGAATCGCCGATACCAGCTGCAGAGTAACATGTATGGTTTGCTGGTTGCGTGAACGCAGACAGGCGAGTATTAGATCGACGAGGTTGAAGAGCAGTGGCGTAGCGCTTAGATCTGTTTTTTCCGCCATCATTGTCGCCAAGTCCATGGACTTGCGTCTTCTGGCAGCACTTATCGACGGCCGCTCAGTCACCGGCTTGCTGGGGAGGTTATCTGGCAGCGCCAGAAGGTAGTGTAGAATTAGGTTAATCATATCAGGATGGTCGAGAGATTCGAGTATACGGCGTAAGTAAGTCAATACCGCGACGGACGAGCCGCCGTCAATGTCAGATGACTCCAGGAGTGAGGGGTATCTCAAGCACGATTAGCAAACAGCCCGACAAATCGTATCGCTCTGGCAACTTACAATAATTGTTGAAGGAAAATAACTTGAAAGTGTTCGAGGAGGGTAGACTTGACCTCGACCGAACGACAGTGGTTTAAGACGTCTTGCCAGAAGAGCAAATGCGACAGAAACGTTTCGAGATGCGACTGAAACTCTGAAGAGCACGAGCTTACAACCTCATAGCTGGATTGTGGATGCTCATAGTCAGAGAGTGCCAAAATTGGGGGCAAGTCATGTGGCAAATGGTCAATCACCAGCTTTCGGCTAAGCTGGCTGTACAGCGCGCCAAGTCCTGTTGCCATGAGCGTCGACAAATCGCTCTCAACAATCCACTGCTCCAGGGGAGCCGAGTTGCTTGCCGCTTCAATAATGTACAGCAGACCTGTTCTGGCAAAATCGCCCACCTTACCCTCGTGGTGGATGTAATCCATGAGGATATAAAACAGCGGAAAATCCGCTCGCTGTGTCAACCCAGTAAATTTATCATTGTTCGCCTCTGTGCTTCTGTCTCCTTGCAATTGGAAGCCCCCAGGACTCTGGGCAACCTTGAACCATGCCGGCAGGATATCCGGATCGAGACGTATCTTTGTCGTAATGTTGAAGGCGAGCTCGACAACACGCGACTCGGTGTCGAGGCCCAAGCGCACGCTGTTGACCCCAGTAATGCGGACCAGTAGATTTGTCAAGCTAGCAGAAAAACTAGGATTCTCGACAAACGCCTCCTCTTCACTCTCAATCAGTGTAGCGAAGAAGAGCACAGCCTCTTTGATGATCCATTCGTTGTGTGATGTCGTGGCAATCTTGCCAATCGGGACGTAGATTTGCTTTATCGACGCATACTGGATGCATGGGTGTGGCAGTGGTCGGCGACTCTCATCGCTAAGAATATTTGTCAAGTCCTGCAGTCGAATCTCAAGAGTCTCTGCCGCGTCGCTGTCTCGCGACAAGTTGGATGACGTTCTCCATGTCGACTATATCGGTCAGCCGCTGCCACCGCTGGCTCGCTCCGTCTGCTTGCTGCTATGTATACTTACCAGTAAACTCGCGTATTCTTTTTCGAACCGATGCAACCGCTTTGCCGGATCTTTCGCCTGGTCTTGTCGAGTCGTGGCCGACGACAAGGGGCTAAGTAACCGTGACCACTATCAGAGCACACGCGTCAGTCACGGCAGCGCGCCAGAGACAAAATACATAGAATCATTTTCTTTATTCTTCAGCATGCAAGAACAAAACGAATACTTACAAAATCCATGGCTACGATGGCCGCATTGCCGATGGCGCAAAAGTCTATATGGCGGAAGGGGAAGCTTTGGTGTTTGGCTAGAGCAGGAGAGTTTCCCCAGTGTAATTTACGAGACCTGCAATCTGGGCGAGGGGCCCGCAGTTTCAACCACGCACGGCTTGCAACGACGTGCCTAATAATCAAGAGACACAAACAAATAGAACAGAGAAAAAAATTAGGAATGAATTGTGGGAAATTTTTACCATATATACTAGAGAGGTAGACAAATCTATCAGATGAGACTTGGAATTCTCTCTCATAAGACAACCTCTCTGCGGCGGCCCAGCTGCAACGCTATGACGGCATCCCGGTCTACACCCCTGCCTTGTGTTGTGTATAAACTCTTGATTATGGTACTTCACAGGGTTATCATGGCCCATCAATTAGTCTACTTCGACAGGATACAGTTCCTAGACTTGACAGAGCTGCTAGACATCAGCTTTCACTACTTCACATAGCATTGCGTAGCACCTAGAACTAGAACAAACGAGTCACTGCATCATACAACAGCCCATTCTATGTAAAGAAAGAGTCAAAAACTGTGTCAATTCGTCCGCCTTATTCCTCGCCAAGGCGATGATATATTGCAAAGTTCGCTGCAAACGGAGGCGAGAACAAAAGCTCCCAGACCAACTGCAAGACCCTTAGACTATCAAAATAACACGCGGAACAACTACACAACTAGCTAGAACTAGATGGGGCTGTCAGGTCCGATACTACCGTGGCCGCTGCCGCTGCCGCTACTTCCACTGCCTCGGCCATTGTGGAACAACGCCTGCATCCGGGCCATCTGCGGCTGCGACTTGTAAAACGGTGCGTTCATGCTGTCACCGCTCGAATGCGAGCCTCGGCTACCATCACTGAGCATGCTGGCACTACGATCGCGCTTAGTCTGGACGGTGTGCTGGTGTTGATGCGGGGCCGCATTCCATGGTGACAGGCCCGGGACATGCGAGGGCGCGATGGTGGGTATGAGGTCGCCAGAAGTTGTCGTCTGTCCCCAGTAACTAGCCGGGTAGGAACTCATGGCGACGCCGCCGTTACTGCCGCTCCATCCACCGGGTGATCCCTGGTAGCCCTGGGCCTCAGCCGTATCCAAGACTGCGCCATTGGTCATGTAGCTTCGCGCGGCTTCAACCTGCTGTTGTAATGCCTGGACATTCTCGGCCTTGGTCACATTCTCAGCACTCACGACAGCAATGCGCTCCGCGTAGTTCTTTTCGATAGCGCTGTTGTTGTTGACGAAGCTGACACGTTCCTGGTTTCGTCGCTCGGCCTCATTGATGCCACGGTTGTTAGCATCCGTCAGGTTGACAATCTCGCTGTCGACTTTGGCAATTCGGGTTGCAATCTTGTTTCGCTTCGAGTTAAGGTTCGTCTGGTCGAGCTCGCGTTCTTTGATTTCGTTGTCAAGCTTCGTCTTGTATGCGTTGAAGTTCTTTTGTGCCGTCTCAAATAGCTTCTTCTCGGCTGCAAACGCTCGTTCCGCCTTCTTTTTACGGTCAGAAAGCTCCGGTTCGGCATCAAAGTGTTTCAGCTGATTGGTGATCTCTTTGATTTCGCGTTCGTAGTGGGACTTGGTCGTTTCCTGCTGGCGAATCTTGGCCCTCAGTTTATCATCACTGTTGCCAGCCGAAGAATACATGTTCTCTGCACCATCAACATCCTTTTTCAGAGCATTGAATCGAGCCTTTTGGTCCCTCCGCAGCGCCTTTAGCTTGTTTCGTTCCTCTGCTAGCCGCTGCTGGGCCGCTTCGATAGACGTTCGGACAGTTACAATGGGCGAGTCGGGTTCGAGCGGCTGCGGGTCATGGACAACGGGCGGATCGGGTAGAATTGGCGCGCTTCCATCTTTGCTTCGAATCGACTCCTTGACAGTGCGAATGCTGGCGCTGAAGATGACTTCGTCGGTTCGGGAGTCGGCAAATTCAATGACATATCTTGAGCAGGGTCGTAGGCCATATATGTCGCCTGTCCACTGCGTCTGATAGCCAACAGAGATTTCGCCTTGGCTGATGTTGACAGGGTTGATTCGGGTCAGTTGCCATGGTGCGTTATTGACTCGGACGTAAAACGGTCGTAGCTTATCCGGGTTCGTCTCACCGCCGGCCTGCGCCCACATAACCTGCGTGTTAGCTTTGGGGAAGTGGCTAGTGCTAAAGGAAACTTCTTCAGCGCCCACGTAGGAAATCCAGATCTTGCCGGGCGTTTTGTCAAAGGGTGCATTTCCGAGATTGTGAATATCGACAGCGTTGGCGTTGAGAGAGTCTGACACGCTCTCGGACAGCTCGTACTCTTTGACGACTACAATTTTGGTACTGGCGAGAGCTGCCCACAGCGGCTGCTGAAGGCGCACCTGGGCGCTTTGCTTTCGCTTCTTCTTGGCTGAGACTACGCTGGCCGCGTGGGCCGTCACAACATCGGTGTCATGAGCCGCGTGCCCATTTTCCTGCGCTCCTTCACCCGCAGTGGATGACGATGACGTGTTATGTTTATTGGTTTCGCTTTCGGTTCCGTTGACAATGGCGCTGGCTCTTTCTCGACGGAGATACCAGTCTCGAATATAACGAATAATGCCTTGGGTAAGAATATGTACCGCCAAGCCGCTCTGCAGCCAGAAATAAGTATCTCGTTCTGCTGGATATGGTTCGGTGGAAATCGAGAAATCTTTGCCGAAGCTAAGAGCAGCACTCCAGGTCGGCGGGATATAGGGGGCCAGCTTGCTCCAGTATGCCTTTGTTCCTCGTATAATATGATGCACAATGACAAAAAAGAAGCAAGTAAAGAGGCCGCGCGGGGATCCATTTCTCGAGCCGGCGCCTCCGCCAAGGGTAATCGCAATAATAGGTTTAGCCAAGTCGAGGACAACATCCTGCAAAGGCTCCCACAGAAAGAGCCATATAAGCAGGAAGAAGAGGTCCATGCACCAGAGGGTAACAAGAGATGGGGCAGTGGTGCTGCTCTCGAAGAGTTCAGCAATATTGATATTCATTCCAGAGCTGGTGGTAACAGGGGGGACAAAGGTAAGGCATGTGAAGATGGCGTAGATTGCAGATAACGATAACGATGGCACATGCATAAGAATAATAAGGATGGCAAGCGTATCCTGCAGAGGCAGCGTCCGTAGCACAGTCGCGGCGAATTGAAGTGGTCCTGAGTCACGGTGGACGTCAACGTTCTTGAAGGCGTTGACGTCAATCTGACGGTGACTGTCGTCGACGGAGCCATTGGCTGCCTGGTGGGAGTTTGCCGAGTCGGATGATGTCTCTGAAATGCCGTCGAGGGAGTACCTGCGAACCAGATTGTTGTTGGCGCCGTGTTCAAGAGACGCATCCGAGTGTAATTTGGCCTGAGCTGCGGCACTGATGGCGGAGCCATGGTCTGCCTTGTGGTTGCCCTGCGAAGATCCATGGCTCTTCCTGCTGGATCGTTTGCCCGACGACGAGGAGTTGTCGTGCCTTTGATCCCGCTGGACGGCGCCGCCAGAGTGCCGCTTGCTTGAACCCGATGCTCGAGCCATGCGCCCGCCTCTTTTTAACTCCCTGTTTTGCTAGCTAGTCCCTGGGCCCTTGGAATCAAGGCCCGGACCAGGTAGCAAAATGGGGAGGTAATACCTTGCGCCGAGGCAGCCCGGTTGCGAAGACGAGCAGCTAGTGGCGATTGCTTCTAGATAATTCGATCGGCCAATTCGGCTATGGTCGGATAAACATTCGATCGGCTATACGTTTCGTGTATGCTTTTATCTGGTCTGTAACACGTTGTGAAGGGGGAGGGGGCAGGCAGCGAAAGTTAGTGCTGCTGTTGGTGTTGAGAAAGCGGAGAGAGGAGGCCAGAGCCGAAAAGTATCCTCTGTCAGCAAAACACAGAGAAGATGCCGCCGTGCGCCTATTTCCGCCGAAGTGGACGAGTTTGCAATTCCTTCGCTGGCGAATCGGCGAGGGAAAGAGGAACGGTAGCGGATTCGACGGAACAACTGTGGCTGCTTGTTAAGAAAAAAAGAGGCGGTGGTAAGGTGGTGGTGGAAGGGAAAAATTGCGGCAGCGAGGGAAAAACTCGGGGAAAGGAAGGGAGTGGAACTGGAGTAGGCGTTGCGCTCAGGCAGCATGGCATGTGCAGCGTAGCTGTAGCGCACCGAAGCTTTCGCGTTAGGCGGTGGAAATAGGCGGCTTGGGGGGCCAAGTAGTGGTGGGGAGGGGGTAGGCAGTGGCACTGTAGGTAAGATTTTCGGCGCACGGTTCCTTTCTCTAGCAGCGCTGAACGTCGAAAGAGGGTAAGCGATCGTCATCGTCACCACCAAGTGGTAGCAGCAACAACGCCGGTGCTCAATGCAAACATAAATGCAATATCTAACAAGGCAGCGGCATTATAATAGGCGCACTCGTCGTACAAGAAACTAGAAGCCTTAAGCCGTGATGATACACCGTCAGCCACTAAAACCATCGCCAATTCCAATTTCAGCTTGCCCGCCCCGCTAGAACCAGGCCCGATCGACGGAAAGCCAGTGAGGCTTCCAGTGGCTTGTTTCCCCCGAGTGGCCCTATTTGGGCATTCCTGTGCATGGGTTACAGCGCTGTACGATCAGCGCTAACGGGGTTGCCACACACACTTGTAGGGCACCACGCACCAGGGCAAGTCCAACGCATCACCGCTTCGCCCAAAAAATTGTTTTAGTGGCTTGCAGGCTGCCGCAATAAATCTTGGGACGGTGGAGAAAGAAGCCCCTCGTCTCCGATCAGCCCGCGACTCGCATGCCCAGCAAGTGCCGAACAAATCAAGTCAAGCACTCCGCAACAAGACCGTAGCACCTGTGCCAGTATTGGCCCTCATTTCGTTGAATATGGTTTAGGGAGAGCAACATCACCCCGTGCATGCCGGTGGTCCCGAGCCGTCGGCCACGCAGGACTGTTACGTGGGGTCTGCTTGGCGGAGGCAGAAAAGCTTAGTTTGGTTTCTGCCTGAGAAGCAACAGGCACCCAGCTAGCAACAGCTAGCAACAGCTACTGTAACAACATCCAGGCACTAAAATGATCTTCTTCGTAGACCAACATGCAAACACCAAAAGGGGGCCACCTATGCAGCGATCTGCCTTGATCCAATTGCTTATGTCCCGAGTGCAAGTAAACCCCCAACTTCGTGACCCCATCAAAAGGGGTGACACATGTTGCAGTAGCATAATAAAGCGACGTCTAAAACATATCGCATGGCTAGGGTCCCAGTCTTCACACAACATGCTGGACATATACCTGAAAATCTCATCCCTTTTTTATCTTTGTTTTCCAATCCTATCGAAACAATTTCATGCGTCCCTTCTGCAGGTCGATCGAGGGTTGCCCATTCAGCGGTAAGTCAATAGAGACAATCAAAGTGCCGTCCAGCACCGAGTGCATGAGTGGGCCTGCTGTGCTGTAGGTTGCACTGCGAGCAACGACTTCCATTGGGGTGTCATGTGCACGTAAAGGCGCCCTATTGCTAGGTGTCAGGTTCGGGAATAAGATCGCCACAGACGCAAACCCACTGTCGTCTGGAACGTAATTACTGGTAATTGTATATAAAACATATAAAGAAACGCTATGCAAGTACACTTGGGCCCTTTTTCTGCAGAATCGCTAGGCGGTCGGCCCAAACCTCCCGCTCCAGTTGCCATAGCGGCTCTAGCACGCTTGCCGTCACCTCCTTCGCCAGTGCCGTCTCCTGCTCTTTAACCTCCAAGCGGGGTGTGCTACTGTCTAGCCTGAGCTTGACATGCTCCATGACGCCGTTATCGTGCCGTTGATATGCTGCATATGTAAGTTCTGCCGAGCCAACGAAATATCCCGTCCCGACAGCCCAATAATCGACTTTTCCAACAATGTTGCCTCGTCGTGCGTCTGGTTTAAACGTTGCAAAGGAGTTAAGCTTGAGCGGCCGGGTGCCCGTCGCCGTTTGCTATGTCTGTCTGTCAGTTATCTGTCATGTATTGGTTTGGAAGCTGCTCGCTTGTTATTTGCACGTACCAACGCTGTCTGCTCTCGGAATGGCTGCGCCGGGATAACCACCTTTGTCTGTCGAAAGCGTGCCTTTTCAATCTTAGGCACAAACATGGACATCATATCCTTCAATACACCTCCCAGTGTCTTTTCTGCCATTTCCACCAGCACGCTGGGCTTGACCACGGTAATCTGTACATGATGCATGTTAGTGAAATGTTAACAACTTCAATGAAGAGATGTGGAAAACACCAACATGGCCAATTGTGTTGCATTCACTCTTCTTCACAGCCTTGAGTTGCCCGCGGGCGGTCCTCTCGCCGCGCTGTCCATCAAATAGGCTCTTCATGCCTCCTGGGCCTCCTTCACCTACTGTACGAGCAAGTACATCGCCGATCCGCGCCGCCTGCTTTGCAGAGCATCCTGAAAATACAAGAACACCTAGGTCATGGTATAGGTGTCTCATACTATGGTCAATTGACTTCTTATCAAGTATTGTGCTGTCCTGTCTCCCGATAGGGACCGAAATGCCTGGGCGCGGCCGGATGACGGGCCATCTGCGGAGCGTAGGGAAGACTTCCAGTGCCGGCGCCGCTGCTTTGCTAGCCATTTTGGATCCTCAATATATATGAACTGGATTTATCCCAGAGGAGCGCAGGGAGCGCGCAATGGTGATAGGCGACTGTTGGGATCAATGTGCGTGCAAACGGAGAGGTGTGGTCGTGTGCTGTGGAGCTTCTCCGTGACCACCACCTCTGGCGGCTTGCCAAGTGGGTGGAACCGTTTCGTCCGTCCAGCTACATAACCACGACCAAAACCATCACATCAGCAACGAGTTGCGGTCGGAGTGGTGTTTTCCCGTATTTCAAACAACTAGAATGTTCCATTAGAGTCGATTTAATGGCTGGCCCTAATCCTGAGCTGCGACGCCAGGTCATCGCCATCTACAAAGGCAAGCTATAGCCCAACAGCTGCTGCGCGCTGAAACAGACGATTGAGCTGTTATATTAACGGAGATGCCAGAGCTGCTCTACCTTGGCCGTGAATACCCCCTTGGGTTTGGGTACTTTCGACCTCGTTTGCACAAGGCATTCATGGCCAAAGCCGAGGAACGAGACGAGGAAAAGATCAAATACGGCATCAAGCACGCCGAGTACGTAAAGAAGGGTAAGCCCGCTGGATTGTTCAGGCTATATTTTACGAGACGTAAACTGACGTGGTATTTTAGAGATTGAAGCGTTGTAAGTGTCGACCTACGGGCCCCATAAGCTTCAAGATTAAAAGCCAATGCATGAACTAACATGGGCCTGTAGATATTATCTGAAGCGATACAGAACGTTGCGCAAGCGATATAATCCCAACACATAGGGGTTGCCTCAAGATGGAACATACTGGACTGTAAGGTATTGATGAAGAAGTAACTGTAAGATAAATGGTCTGGATATATGAAAGATTTCAAATATATCGGTATCTCGTAATATGCATATGTAACTAACCCGCCTGGGTCCAAAAAAAATCGCCGCCTATGAAGTAATCGCTACAAAAACAAAAAAGTCCAAATTCGCTGATAGGTGATTTCATTTCATTATCCTCTTGGTAGCACACCAGGCTCCAACTTCGAGACATTCTCCCCAGCTGGTGCCGCTTTCGCTCATCAGGTCGCCCATCATCTTGCCCAACCAGCTGTCCCACTCATCTTGGCTCTTGGATGAAACTTCGCGCAGGATAGGCTCCAGTGCCTGGACTTGCTGAACAACCGTCAATAGCGCTGTGCGCCGCAGGGCATCCTGGCCGGCGCTCAAGGTTCTCCTATCATGCTTGCCTTGACTGAGCCTCTCCTTTCCATCTCTGGATGCAGGGCGATCTCGTTCCCATCGAAGCTCACTAAGCGGGATTGCCAAGCGCTTCGATTTGAGACTTGTGAGCATCTCCGATTCTTGAAGAAGTGCTGGGCCGACCAACGTGCAAGGTACAGCGGACAAATCACGCGTTTCGAGTGCCCTTGAAAGCCACTGGTTGTATTCCACCAGAAAGACATTCAGTGGCGCGGCCAGTGGTGTGTTTGCGTTTATTACATACGCTCCGAGCTTATTTGCTGCTTCATATTCCTCAGCCTCATCTCCAGCTTGCTTTGTACCGGGAACGTGCGGTCGAAGCATGCGTATCAAATGGTCAGACTCCCAGATCTCGAGTACGCCACCGGGGCTGAGCAGTCGTATGTATTCGTCAAACGCTTCTTGGCTTTGTGAATTTGGCACGGCTAAGCTCATATCCTTGGCCATGATAAGGTCATATTCTTCTGAGGGGAGTGGCCACGGGCTGTTGCGCAGGTCGTGGGCCACAAACTTCCACTTCATCTCGGCATCAGGCTTGACGGCTTCAATACCGTTGTTCGCCGTGCTCGCTGCTACAGGGGCAATATCGATTCCAGTAAAAGAAATATTTTCATGGCCGCGGCTCTTGAAGTAGCGGTGACACATCATACTCCAGAAGCCAGAGCCGCAGCCGATTTCCAGCACCCGTAGAGGTGGCTTCTTCTCAAATCTTGCGGAGGTTACTGGTGCTCCAAATATCTGTATCATGAGCAGTGTTCGCATCGACTGTCGATGCAGCTCTGTTAGGTCGGTAGGGAGGGGGTATGGGAGGGTCGTATCGCTGAGGTAGGTGCGGCCATTTCGAAGGACAAAGGGTTTAGCAGAGATGAGGTTGTCATCAGAGTGCGTGGCGTCGGTAGAGGTTGTCGTCCGGGCAGACAGCGAAGCAGTGCCGCTGTTGGACGAGAGTGATGCGGTGCGGGGGGCGTATCCCGTCATTGACGAAGTAGTGCGCTGCACCTTGCTTCCGTCTTGGGGTCGAGAGGGTATTGGATGCGAGGACGGGTCGTGTGCATATCTGGATTCGTGGATGCCTGACTGGAGAGCTAAACTGGACCTGCTGAGACTGGCGCCCGGGGTGTTAAAGAAACCAGCAAAGGTTGCCGGTGATGATGTGTCCGGTGATGAGGTTGGCGAGGAGAGAAGCGTGGGCTGGTGCTGTTTTGCTGCATGCGCGGGGATCTCTTGCCCCACGATGGCGGCTTCAGCGGAGCGGACCGGTTGTAACGGCAGCTGTGACGACGATGGTGCGTGGCTGGCGGCGCTGTCACTGCGTTTGCGAGCCTTATTATTTCTTTTGGTGTTGTTGGTAGATGAAGAGCCGAGCCTGCGTGGTAATAAGTCGATTGGGTTGACGTGGGTGAAGCGCTCCACGGGCACGGGAACGGCGGCCCCAAATAGAAAGGCCGAGTTGAACCCATCCGCCATGGCAGCTGTTGTGGGCGGCCCAGGCCAGGGCTTCACTGAACTGGGGGGCTTGTGTGTCTCAGTGCGGGCCAAAAAAAAAAAAGGGCCTTTGCGCAACTGCAACGCTGAAGATGCCCCCTGCTTCTTCGCCTGCAGCAGTGGAACCTGCAGCCACGGGTAGCGAACTTAAGCGGCCGAGCCTCGCTGCAGTCTGACCCAGGTCAGGGTGCCCCTGGCGTATGACAGACTGTGGAAAAAAGAGAAATGCAGATAAGAAAGAGAGGGAGGCAGCAAATGATGCTGTACCCGCCCAAGTTTGCGTCTGTTTGTTACAGATATGCTGGTTTTTCTTTTTGCCGCGGCAAACAACCTGATGGACGACAGCCGCAGATGTCCTGAAGCGCAGGCAGGGGTTGGCTATTGTGGCGGATTTTCGGGTATCTAGTCCACAGAAAAGCAGGAGCTTTCTTGCCTGTAGTCTGGTTCAGTCTCGCTTTCTCCAGTTGGTTTCTTCAGGCTCTCCCGTCGGGTCGAACGCGATTTGTGTGGGCGAGTAAGCTTGATGTTGCTTTGGCGGCCCCTCTTACCTCGACTGCTGTAACCTTTGGCCGGTAGAGATGACAGCCAGCGTGGAGCGAGCCCTAGTCAGTTCGTTTTGCGCACCGTAGCGTAACCGGGTAGCTTTTCCTCCGAAAGCGATTCCCCCGTGGCGGTTGAAGCAAAACGCAAGTGTCGCGGCAGTACCGTGACGCAGTGCTGCTGGCGGCAAGTCTGGCTGGTGTACAGTCGGTAATCAGCAATCGAAGCCGAGAGCGGTGATTGGCATACGGCGCACGACGGTCAGGGGCGGATGCGCGCAGTAGATGTCGGCGTTAATGTCTTAGCCGTTTGGTCAGCGGCAGGCATCGTTTTGCTGAAAGCTACACTGGAACGGTATACCACCCTAGTGGGCGCTGTCATGCACCAGTTGGAGAGGAGTCCCGTTGGAAATGCGGCCAGTCACACCCTCTGGGTAGTACCGCGGGCAAGCTAGAGCGCGAGGGGTGCTTGCACGGGCGGCAGCTCTTGGTAAAGTCGATGCTGGTGATGGTTTTAGAAAGCGCACACGACGAGCAGCAGACGGGACAAATCGCCTTCTTGTATGTTGGCGCGGAATCGGGACGGAATGGGCTGCTGAAAAGGGCGTCTGGGGAGCCCATTAGCACTCGTCTTTTCCCTAAACCAAGGGCCGCTGTGCTGGGGTGGGACCCGTCTCGTCCAGCCTTCCTGGGGTACAACAAGTTGGCGTTCTGGGCTGGAATCAGCGCCTCTTGCAGCGTCGCCTGTGAGCAAAAGTTGGTGCTAGTGGGGAGCTGTACCAGGGTTCAGCGCTCAATGGGGAAGCTGGAAGATTGATAGTCGCTGCCTTTTGCCAAGCAGCGACTTGGGGTGGGCGGAGACTTGGGGGCTTGCAGATAGATGAACTAATCGCTCCAGTAATTACAGCGCGTACTGTACGACAGAAGTCTACAGGACGGAAGGCGACATCCCATTTGGATGCTGTGGTCGGGATGTACAGGAAGGCTTTGCAGTGTGCATGCATCGGGTACGTTTCCGTCCATTAATTACGCCCTTGCTGCAGATGCGGCGAGCGCTGGTCCCTTCCACTTCACAGCCTAGTATTGTCACTGTCGGCGGCTAATTAGCAGGTGTGTCGCAGTATCATAATGTTAGCCCAGCACTCGCATCAAGGATATTCTCCTCTCGTAAAGTAGAACATTCGTTCCTAAGACTCAGCGCCCCTGTCTTCCTCGAGTACAGCACTGTGCAGTACAGTATCTCTCAGGCTACGAAAGCCATATGCAGCCACTGTGTTAGTTGGAGCCGCAGTTGGTTAACTGTGTGGACCATGGTCTCGAACTAAAGCCTAGCGCATTGGGTTGTGAAAGGATGTTTAGGCGGGACACTTCCCGTTAACCGACTTTGTTACTGGGTAGAGTAAAAGTAGTATCTAGAGTCAAGTGTCAAGTAGCACAGCCGGTGGCAAAAGTAGTTGAGTGCGCGGACTACGTTGCCTGATGGCAGACCTGAACGTTACCTGCAAAGTCGTGCACCGGTTACGCATTTAATTTATGCGCGGCTTGGACGTGGCGCTTGTGGTGCAGCTGTCTTTTAAGGGTGGCGTTGGGGGGCTACCCTTGACTTCGCTTGCATTTGCACTGTCTAAGGGCGGATGGACTAGAATTTGGTAACAACAATTGATTGCTGAGGCTCCCAAGGCTGGTTGCTTTGTATCCATACCTTGCATGCATTTTTCTCTGTTGTTAAACTGTGGAATTTGCACTTACGGATATGTGCTTGTTCAGACTTGTGTATAATGGTGTAGCGTATACAGTCAGTGGGGGGCGGTACAGCACTGGCTGGGCTCTGTCTTGTGCCTCTCAGACACCCAATTTTGTTGACACGTGTGCAGGCGATCCTGTAAAATAAGCGAGCATAGATGCTTAAAACCATAATAAAATACTACCAATTAGAATACACCTGTTCAATTCCAAACAATTATGTATAACGACCTTTGTAACTCCTTCTGTTTGTTGGTACGAATCAGCCGCCCTAGCACTTTACATCGAGGGTAGATCTGGCATTGTAGCCCACGTGACTTGGCGGCTTCCTCTTTCGGCGCGCAGCGGAGCTTGACAACACGTGACTCTTGCTTTGCGTCGTTCGTCTTTCACTTTGTCGCAAGCTTTAGGCTACCAGTGTCGAAAGCAGCCATAGCGCCTTATCAGAGAATCACCACACGAAGCATCGACTACGAGTACTTTATTTCCAGTATCGATTGTATCTTCGGCCACGACAAGAACTGCCGGTTTCCTTCATTCGTTTTTACAACCCTTTTTCGTACGTGGCATCGCACCCTGGGCGGGGAGCTCTGCACCCCAACCCTCCGCATTTTGCCCTTCGTGTCATCTCGACCCAGCCCTTCCCGTCTAACCTTTTCCTTGCAGGCAATTCTCAACCAACGGCCTGTGGCAGATGAACATGCCCATCTAAGCACACAAGTCGCATTCTTGCTTGTGAAATTCTTTTCCTCAACCAACCATTGTCCTCCAGCCTGTCCTCGCCAGCGACTCACCGACTCGTTTCGCCGCGCACACGGAGCTCGACCAACATCTCGAGGGCATATTCCTGAGCTTCGCTACGGCACATGCTAAAGACGCCTCTACCTCCAAACTACGCTGATGCGCATTGGCAAATACTCCTGACATTCTCTCATACCCCCTCAGACCGCAATCGCCGACGCGCACACCGGCAGCCCGCCTCGCTCAACGCTCCCCACTCCGACACGTCGTAGGTAACCGATGGTTCCCAACGTCTCATACGCATCATCGATAATACTTGAACTTGCCCCGCCGTACCGCCGACTTGCATAGTTTGCTGTCGACGACGACGCTGGGCCCTTCCGAAACTCACCACGTATTACCGACCAACGGCTAACACTGACGAACCACCGACGCCATACCCATGTACTCTCAGAATCATCAGCAGGGCCACGGCGCCCGGCTGAATGGTGGTGCTGGCCGAGGCATGCCCAACATGCTCTACGGCTACCAGCAACATGCACAACACCAACACCCATCCCAAGCGCAACATCTGCAAAACCTCCAACACGATCACGGCATGCCCAACTCCAACGGCCTCGGGCATCACTCTGCCTTTGGATCTGGCACTCTGTCTTCTACAAACCAATTCTCATCCAACATACAAAACGGTCACTCCTCTAACTCGAGAGGCAACTCAGGCCCTCACAACGAAATGTGGCAAGAGCAGCTGCGTTTGCATAAGGAGGCTGAACGAGCTCACTCTGCCATGACTGATCAGCAACAGCCTCACTACTATGCTCGTCTTAAAGCGTCAGAGAACCGAGGAATAGCTGGCCCTGTTAGCACTAACGGTCGAACACAGGCAGACGGCGAAAACGACCAGGCTGATAGAAGAGTCCCCGTCGCTTTGGAAAAGGATATCGCACGGCAAGACTGGCTCAACATGGATATGAGCGGTCAGGGCCTGCGCAACCTTGCTCCAGAACTCTTTCGATACCAATTTCTAAACGACCTATACATTGCATCCAACAAGCTCTCGCGACTCCCAAAGGCCATTGGCGATCTTCGTCAGCTCCGACTCCTCGATGCCTCATTCAACCAAATAACTGTATTGCCAGCCGAACTGGGAATGTGCACATATCTTAAGCACCTCTTGATCTTCAACAACAATATCCAGGAGCTTCCATTTGAGCTAGGCTCCCTCCACCTGCTGGAAGTATTGGGCATTGAAGGTAACCCGCTGGAGCACACCTTTAAGCAAGAAATCATGGACAAGGGAACCAAGGCCATGATCAATTCTCTCAGAGAGAGCGCACCAGGTAAGAACTGCTGAAATGCCTCGACAGAGCCATCCGCTAATATAGTCTTTCTCAACAGTCCCCCGCGAGCCCGAACCCCGCAAAGAAGTCATCATTCAAGAAGACATTTCAACCAGCGCCGAGCGTGTCAGAGTATTTTCATGGAACATTCTATGCGACAAGTATGCGACAGCCCAAACATACGGCTACACACCTACACGTGCTCTGAAGTGGGACTACAGATTTGACTGCATTATGAAGGAGCTCCAGCTCCGTGATGCCGACTTTCTCACACTTCAAGAAGTATCGACCGAAGCCTTTCGCGACAACCTCAGCCCCGAGCTCGCTAAGCTGGATTACAAGGGTGTCCATTGGCCCAAGTCACGCGCCAAAACGATGGCAGAGAAGGACTCGATTCAAGTTGACGGTTGTGCAATTTTCTACAAGCACAGCAAGTACATTTTGCTCGACAAACAGGTTATCGAGTTTGCGACGATTGCCATTAACCGGCCGGATATGAAGAATCAGCACGATGTATTCAACCGTGTCATGCCCAAGGATAATATTGCCGTTATATCCTTTTTCGAATCGCGCCTCACGGGAGCTCGCATGATTGTGGTCAATGTGCATACGACATGGGAGCTGCTACTAGCCGACGTCAAAGCCATCCAGACGGGCATTTTGATGGAGCAAGTCGTCAAGATGTCGGAAAAGTATGCCAAATGGCCTGCCCTGAAGGAGAAAAAGATGATTATTCCTCCTTCAGATGACGGCAAGCCGCCTGCGCCACAAGCCGACCCCGGACCCAGTCAAGAATACAAGAGCAACTTGGATATTCCACTCATCATTTGCGGTGATTTCAACTCGACGTATGACTCCGCAGTGTTTGAGTTCATGTCCAAGGGCCGAATCCCCCCTGACCATCCGGACCTCACAGACCATCATTACGGAAACTTTACAAGAGATGGAATTGAGCATCCCTTTAGCCTTCGTGACTCGTATGCGCCGACGCGCGGCACTGCGGATGAGATGCCATTTACCAACTATACACCGGGATTTACTGATGTCATCGACTATATCTGGTACTCTACTAACACACTGGAGGTGGTTGGTGTGCTAGGTGGCCCTGACCCCAACGAGCTGAAGCTAGTCCCTTCATTCCCATTCTGGTGGTATCCCGCGGATCACATCCAAATCCAAGCAGACTTTATCATCAAGAGTCGCAAGGACAAAAAGGACCGCGACCACGGAAGCGGTTCGGGCACGCCGAGAGGATAAAAGGTTTAATACGCGGCACCAATCTGATAACAATGAAGAAGCTTGAGCGCGTTGGAATCTGGATGCGATTTTGGGTCTCTCTTACTACCAACGGAGTTTAATGGATTTCACATGGAAACTGGGTACGGTTCAAGGTGGGAAGAAGGTGAGGAAGGGTGAAGGAAGTGGCGGGCAACAAAGCAAAGGACGAAGACGAAGACAAAATGCAAAGTGTCATGACGATACGGGAATCCAAAAAGAAGAAGAGCCAAGCGGGGCACACTGCGAGAGCGACTGGATCATCTCAACTTTGTCGCTACTACCACAAGCCTTGGAAGATCTGAATCCTACCAACGGATTCAACGACCAACGTTTCCCTTTCTTCCTTTTCCCGAGGCAGCGAACAACACAAGCGTCTTTTATTTGATTTTTTTGGTCTTGATCTTTTTTGTACTTTTCTTACGTTTTGTCCTCTCTTCCTGCGTCTTCTTCTTGTTGGTCGGTTTTTTTCTGTAGCATTGCTGTTTTTCTGTTGTGTTACTTTGTATCTTTTTGTACTCTTTTTGTCTTCTTTTTCATTTTTGATGCGTGTGTATGTGGACGGAGCGTGGTGGTGGGAATTCGTTGGACAAATAGCGTGAATATGAACCATCTTGTTCAATGCATAAACTACAGTGGCCACAACGGCGTGATATTCATTGTTAACTTTTGTAACTATAGAGTTTACAGCTCGTCTGCTGCCGCGCTCTCATCCAGCGTGCGGATGAGATGGAATTCGTTCTGACGGCCGTATACCCATTGAAATCCGTCCTCTGCTGTCCAGTACACGTCTTCCTCCAGCGGGAACTTGTACTCGTTTTCTAATTCGGGGACATAGTGATATGCCACCAGTTCAACGCTGTACCAGGTGTGGTCGATAAGTGGCAGGTCGCCCAGCACAGGGACGTCTTCCTGTAAATTGGTCATGCCTAGACAGCGCCCATTAGTTAGCTCTCCTCTGGAGTCATCGAAACTCTTGCTGCACAAAAAAAACATACCAATTACTGTTCCTGCAGAATGGCCCCAGTCACCAATAGCATGGCAGTAAATCTTGCCCTGGATGCCCTCGGCCTCCATCTGCTTGTGGATCGCGCGCAGGATGTCGTTGCCAGTCATGCCGGGCTTCATATTCTCGCGTGTAATGTCCTGTAGTCTGTTGGCCTTCGCCAGGCCATCCCGGAAGCCCTTGGGGACCGCGTCATGCGCCGTCTCGCCCGGGGGCAGCACATATGCCAGATGCTGTGTGTCTGTATTCATGCCCATAGCCGTCACGCCAAAGTCGACGTGCAGGTAGTCGCCGTGGCCAATGGCGCGACTTACGGGTGCCACGTCGTCCTGGGGCCACGGGGTGTCTGGAGTCACAATGCTCACATCGGGCTGAAACCAAGTCGTGTAGTTGAGGGCCTGGATCTGGTCGCGCATCCACCACTCCACATCCTTGGTTGTAGTTTTACCTGGGGTGATGACATTCTCGCTAAAGGCCTCCGAGATGATAGCCCATGCTGTTTCCTGCATCTTGCGGTACCACGGCAGCCGTGCGTCGATCTGCGTGCCAATGTACTCGACGGCCAGCATAGGGTGCACGACAAAGCGCTTTGCCCACTTGGCGCCGACACCGTCCTCGACGGCTTTGAGCTCGCCAGCGTGCATGCCGGATGAGAAGGAGATTTCGGGATGCGCGTTGACTGCAATGGTCTTGGGGTTGTGGGCATCGAGCAGCGCCGTCAGCTCATCCCATACCTTGGGCGTATTGTCTATCCATGTGTATGCCGTAGGCTTGTCACCAGCGACTTTGGGAGCTAGGAACAGATAGGTTGTTCGGCGCCGGGCAGAGAATTGCTCGGCCGACTTGAGCGACCAAAAGACCGTTTCTTCGGCGTACTCGCGCTGGCTGATCTGTAGAGAGAAAGCTGTTAGTTGCAGTCCACGGAAGTATACTTGGACGATTCATACAAGCCATGCATCCATGTGATGCTTCTCCAGAAGAGCTGGAATTGCTGCCTTTCGCTCCGCAACCCATTGGTTTTGTAATTCGGCTTGGTCTCGCAGAGGCGGCAGCCTCTGGTAGGCTGGTGTGCGGGCGAGAGCACTGTAAACAAGACAGCCTACGATGGATACTAGAGATAGCTTCATATTGTGATTTACTCTCTGCGTTAATTTGGCGATGTTGAGCAAAGTCGTGATGACGGTGCAGTAACAAGGAAAAGCAGTAGAGCTGAGTGTGTCGCCAGAAGCCCCGCCTCCGCAATGCAAATGCAACGCCCCCACGGAAATCCGGGGCCGTTGGGAGCCGGCCACAGCCACTGTACCGCAACGGCACAGTGCAACAGTCCCCGCCGTGTGGTTAACCGCTAGCGCCTGGAACAAGCAGTCTTTATTAGGCAGGTAAATTTGAGCAATAGCACGATGAGCTTTCCGCAGCCTTCAAAAAATTACAAAGAAGGTAAATAAATAAAAAAAGCAGAGAGTATGAATCCTATATAACATCCCACCAGCTGTTGCTATATCACCATATATACAAAAAAGCATCTTGTCGCGGTAAATACGAATGCCAACTGTTAGTAATAGTACATCCATGCTTGCTCTATGTCAATGCATCTAATTCACCAAAATATCATAACCGTCCTTTGTAATACGGACTTCTTCTGATCCGAAGCCGTACTTTCGTCTAATCAGCTCAAAGATAATTAACCCTGCGCTCGTACTTGGTACTTGGCGAATGGCATTCCACCAGAACCCGCGGTACAGCCATTTGTTCAAACTCAAGCCCTCGCTGGCTGCCTCGGCAGCACAGCTTGCAAATGTCTCTTGGTATGCGTGATAATATGCTCGCATCATTCTAAAGCGAACTCGCGGCTCCGCCGGCGCCGATGCTCTATATCTCGCCGCCTTGGCGTCTAGCTCTTCCAAATGATCCCAATACTTGACTTGGAAATGCGTAAGAGGGTGCAGAAGAATCTGCTGACCTAGCGATGCAGACGAGCCAGCTAGCAGCAGGAACATAGGCTCTATAGCATAGTGTGGCCGAATGACCTTTTTGTCCTCGTCGTCTTTATTCGTCGGCCGTTTGAGGGCCAGAAGGTCGATAATATCGTCATTGAGGTCCGCATAGTACCATTTGATAAAGTTGTAATAACCCTGTGCTTTGATATACTCAAAGGTGGTGAAAAACATGGCGCTGCCCAAGCTGTCTTTGGCAAAGGAGAGCCCCCATCCAGCAAAGACTCCTCGGGCTCCAATCTCGCGCAACTTTTCTCCGCCAAACGCCCACATATTGCGTGGTCGGCCGCTACCATCCTTTTCCATGACGTCTCTGTGGTCGTATCTTGCCTGAAGAGCGTCCAACGGGGCTGCAAGAACACTCTGGATGCCGCCTGCGAGGAAGCCTGCTGTGAATGTCTGCGACGGAGACGGCGGGGGGTATACGCGCTTCGTGGCCTTTTTGCTCTCTTCATGTAAGTTGCCCAGTATGTGTAGGTAGCTTGTGTACAGGACAGCACCAACGCCAATGTTCGCCAGCAGCGGTGGTAGGATTTGGTTCGGCACAATGCTCCAGCCTTCTTGTCTGATTGCAGATGTGAGCACGCCGGGAGTGGTGCCTCGCATCCACAGCCATACCTGGCGCATGCACGATGTGAATCGGGAGCTCGACGTGTCGTTGGCAGCCGCCTTGATGAGTTGCTGGATCTGCGCTTGGTGGACGGTTCGCGCGTATGCCAGATAGTCGACACGTGTTCGGAAGAACGCCTTGGCTGGCGCACGGAAGTAGAAGGCCACGAGCTGCGCGCTTAGTGCTCGAACACCTGCTGCCGATGCCGCCGTTGCCGCATTGCTTCGTGGCGCCCGATCGGGGAGCTCTTCGGGGAGGTAGGGAAGGACGCCTGTGCGAGAGTCAGGGTACGGTGTGGGCGTGGCGATGGCCTCGTTGCGGAGGCGGCCAGTGCTCATGACGCTGCCAGACCCATCATGGGGCATCCAATAGGCCAGGAGGGATATACTTTAGCGACCGCTTCAAGGTCGAATAGGCGCGGTGGTTGGAGGGCAAGCCGGTAGTTTGGAGAGTTGGAGATTGGCGATGTCGAAGCTTGGGGTCGGGGTCACGTGGTCCGGGTTGTTGCAGTTGAATGAACGACGATGTCGTTGCGGAGAGTGAGCTGATGACGAACGAGTTTACCAGCAAAATGTACGGATTTTATAATCTCGTAACTATATATGCGTTAAGATTGGAAGAAATAGGACTGCGCAGAGATAGCCTGCTGTTTGGGCGTTGTGCATATGCGGCGTGACTTAGACTACGCATGACCTCAAAATGACACTTCTGGCCCGGTGCCTATATTAAGGCAGAAATTCTTTGTGAAAATTATAAGAGCAAAAGAACTTTTTCACAAACCAGCGGCCGAAATAATGCATTCGTAATCTTACTATTTGCGCAGTCTCTTGGTACATCCTTCTTAACTACCGAGCAACGTCATCTCGTCGGTCAATGTCCTCCTTCAACCCTCCCCATCGACTCTTGTACACTCTGCCATTCTTCAAGACAGCTAGTACGTTGCTTCTTGGATCGTCGAAAATGGAAACATCTTCCAAAGGATTCTTATCTAAGATCAGCAGATCTGCTGCAAAGTCCACCTTGACCTGTCCCAAAAACTTGTCTTGTCGAAGCATTCGCGCTGCGTTGACCGTAGCACCCTGAAGTACAACCTTGTTGCTAAGCACTTGGGAGCGGATACCAAATTCACGGCTCTGCTCTTCATGTAATGGCCCAAGCAAATCAGAACCATGACAGAGAGTGACACCCGCATCATGGGCAAGTTTCAAAGAAACCAGCCCTCGTTGCAGCACCTGTTGATTCTTGTCCTGATTGGCAGGTGGCAGAAAATCTCTATACTTGTCTTCGCCCATGGCCTGGTAGGTAACTAAGGTCGGGGTGAGCGATATGTTCTTCTCAGCGAGGTACTTGGCAGTGTCTGCATCTATCAGGTTGCCGTGCTCAATACCCTTCACGCCATTATCCACAGCGTGTCTAATCGCCTTTGGCGTATAAGCGTGTGCCGTTACATATGTGCCATAGCTCTCTGCGACGTCTACGATGGCGCGGATCTCATCTGCAGTGAACTGTGTATTTTCCAGCTTATCGGCAGGAGAGGCAACGCCGCCGCCCACCATAATCTTGATGAAGTCGGCCCCGGTGCGCATCTGTTCTCTTGCTTGGGTCAGACAAGCTGGAACGCCATCAACAACCGTAGACAAGCTGCCAGACCCGCCGCAGCATTTCGAGTTGTCGTGCTGGCCACGATCATCACCGTGTCCACCAGTCTGCGAAAGGGCTTTATTAGCAATGAAGAGCCGTGGTCCGGGGAATACGTCGTCTGCGATGGCCTCTTTAAGTGCTAGCGTTGCACCACCGGTATCCCGAACTGTCGTGAAGCCTCGACTTAGAATCTGATTGCAGAGGAAGGGCTGTCGAAAGTACGAAACAGCAACGTCGGACTCTGAAAGCTGCGAACCTAGACCTGCCTCGCCCGCAACAGCTGTCAAGTGAACGTGGCAGTCGATGAGGCCCGGGCATATATAACGACCCTTCAAGTCGACAATGGTGTCTTTAGCCCAGACGGGCAAGTCTTTTCCAATGGCAGTGATAATGCCGTCAGCAGTATGGAGGTCCTGATTTTCGATGATGGCTCCATTCTCAGTGTCTACAATATTCGCGTTTGTGAAAACATATGTCTTTTGTCGAGGCAGCTTCCATGGCTTGACATTCGGAACTTGGTGTCGTCCGGGCGGTCCTCCGATGGGCGGGTTTCCTGGACCATCTATTGGTATTATCTTTCGGGCCATTGCTTCAAGTTTCAAACACAAAAGAATTAGAAAACGAGGAGAAAAAAACAATAACCGATGGTGATCCGAAACAACAAGGTTGGCGGGTGAAGCACTGGTGATGTAACCCGTTAAAAGTGCGGAGTACTGACAAGTGCAGGTGCCGTGTCCCCCACACTTTATAGCGCTTTCATGGCGGGGAAGTGCTGCTGTGAATGATCTACGCTAAACACATCACCGCAGCGCACAGTACGTAATAGATTGGCTGGGCCATTGATAGCCGAAGTATGCTCGAGTGCTTAAAACTACTATACGCTAAGTGTGCCTCTATATCCTGACACTATGTAGCGAATTTTGATCCTTTGAGAATACCGATGCACCGTCCTCTCTCTCGACTGCTCCAGGCGATTCTTGAATCAGCGACGGCACATTGAACTTGGCCTCTCGCCTCTGTCTGGTCTAATGCGAAGAAGATATTAGCAACAAGCTGGAACCAAGACAATTAAAAAGAATACACTTACGTCGATGCGCATCTGCTTGATCCGCTGACTAAAATCCTTGGTGGTTCGCTTTGCCTCCTCGTCTGGCTTATCAGTAGCAGCGCGAGACAAAACATCTCTGCTGAAAAATCTACCACCAGAATCCAGGAGCGGAATCCGAGGCATCCTAGGGGTTCGGAAGCCGCTGATGGAACGCTGCGATTTTATGGATGGCGGAGCAGCAACAGATTCAGCTTGATTCTCCAGCAAAGTCAACGGCAGCGGGAAGTCAGGAACCCAAGTCTGTGTGAAGGATTCAGACGGTCGGTGTGAGATGACGCTTGGCGGTCGAGGAGATGCTTCAAATGGCCGCTGGGATGCTGCACTGGGTGAACGGGTATCTTGTATCCGCTGTGATAGAGCGCTTTCAACGCGTGTATTATCGGAAGATGTTGATTCCTTGACGGCATGCTTTGCAGTCTTGACCTGTTCCGATGCATCTGCTTCATCATCGCCATCGACAATGACAATCATCCACACGCCTACTTTGCCATTGTTTCCTACCAACGGTGTGCAATGCAGCCAGCGAGACTTACCAGCACGCTCTGGGACATGACCTTCAGCACCTTGTCGGGAGTCTAGAGGCCGATGACTGGTGCTGTTGGCCTTGTTGTTGTTATACCAGTTGCCACTCAGCCACTTCACCTTGGCGGTGACGGCTTGGCCTCCCGCCAGTGCCTCAACAAGTTGCTGTCTGGTGTGTAGTGAGCTGCCAATGCGGTCCATGAGCGGTGATTGCAGAATGCCCGGAATGCGCATGGATGGACTGGTAAAGAGAATACGCAATGAAGGATATGGCCGTACTAGGAGATAGTGCTCATAGACACCTGTCAACCGACCGTTGTGATTAATCGCCAAAGACGTGGGGAGAGTAGGGATATCCCCTTTGTCGAGAGTCACTGGCGCCTGTGTAGGTGAATCTGGATCCCGAAGAAGGACACGCTTGGCCTTGGGAGCAGAATACTTTGGAAGGGCACCACTATCACCGGATACTTGGTTGTCATTGTCGTTTTGGCGGGCATGTTCCATCTCAGCTTGAAGACGAATATGTCTGTACATGTCGCCGCCATGATTCGTCACAGCATCAAGTTCCTGTGGTCCTAACGTTTCAGCAAGTAAGACAAACTCATCTTTCGTGTGAGATGTCTCAATATTTGTTGGGCCTCTAGTGAGGTCTTTCAAGGCGTCTAGGCCAAAGCAATCCATGGCCAGTCCAGACACGTCAACCTGGGCACCAAGGAAGTATCGGATGGTTCCTCGACTATCATACAAAGGAGCCAACTATAGCGTCTATTAGTATAAGGTAGTCGGGATGTAGGGCTTTGTACTTACCATGACGAGATTCATAAATGGCGATCCGTCGCGTCGATAATTCAGAAACGTCTCGTAATGCTCCATGCCAGCCGCCAACTTTTCCCGTATCCGCGCGACGCTAAGCAAATTTGTACACGGACCCTGCAGGAAGCGACAGTTTCGACCAATCACATAATCAACACCATACTGGGTTGTCTTGTTGAATTCTTCCGACATGAAAACAATCGGATTGTCAGTCCTCGATGGATCTGTCAGACAGAAAACCTCGGCCAATCCCTCGTGTAAGTGACGGGGCGGTGTTGCGACGATGCGATGGCGGATGGACACAGACACAGTCTGGATCCAGACATGTGTAATATACATTGGCAGATCCTGTTGTACCATCATCTCAAAAGCCGCGTTGACTGTGTTTCTCAAGTCGTCGTTCACTGTGCAAGGCGTCTCATCGCCAAGGGTCTCTGGCGGTGACCCGTTGAGCTTGTTGGGTCCCGGCAAAAGCCCGAGGCCACGGACAACAGCATTGCTGTATTCTAGCGCTCGTAAAGCTTTTAGCGCTTCAAGATAATACTTCAAGAGAGGAATAGACGTCTGGCGGTGACGGTACAAGTAGTCGGAAAATTGGTGTAGACAAGCTGGCCGATCAAAAATAGCTTGTAAGTGGGAAGTTGAAAAGAGTAGCTCTGATCGTTGCTCCAGCTTATGTTTACCGACAGGCATGGACTGTCTGTTCTGATTCGGCTTCACCAGATTGTAACTATCGGCCTCTAGGCCATCCTCGCCACCAATCGGGTCAAGCCCTTCTGGTTCACCATGCGAAATCTGGAGAGGTGCCAGCCCAGAGTCGCTGCCCTGAGCGATGGTGGGACTCATGTGTGGGACGGCAGTGTAGTTGCCGTGGTCGGAAAGGTCTAAGCTGAGATCGCTACGGCTGCTGTACGTAATAGGTTGTGAGCCCTGGTGCGCTGTGTTGGCGTACGGTCTGGGGGCACGTACCTGGAAGCAGAGGACAATGGGGGAATAGGAGACATGACCGGGGAATAGGACGCTCTCTGTCAACAAAGGATACTGCTCTCTGTATCCCTAAAAGGACGATGAAGCAGAAAACATTGTAGAGACATCTATCAACGACTATATACATTATTGTGATGACCGACTTACACGGGCTGCATCGAACATCTCGATCCCCATTCCCTGACCAGGGCCTTTGCGATCGAAGCAGTACTACAGGATCGAGACTCTAAGCCATACGATATACATTCAGCGCAGCATGGCAGGAGAAAGAGAAAAAGAAACGTGCATCGTGCATGGGCTGATCACTGTTGTGGCATAGCGTTGTTGTCTCGGTGTATTTATCCAGGACCCTGGAGCGGGACCATCGACGAAAACCGTTGGAGGAACCACTGTGCCGGTACTTGCACAGCGTATACCGGCAGTCAAAGATACCTATTTTGAAAGTCCGAGGGTTGCTCTCTGCCTGCAGGGGTCTTTTGCGTTGGATTGCTGCATTGTTACGACCCGTCTGGTGAATGATCGGCGCTTGTATTCTCTGTGTCAACGGTTATTGAGAGAGTTTTTGCTTTTTGTTGCTTGATCCGCCGTTGGCTACAGGCGTTTTATTTGCTTTGTTGGGGCGAACGTTGGTCGTACCAAGACTTGATTTTTTATTGTAAAGAGATGCTAGTGACATTCTCATTTCCACGCTCCAGCTCCTGGCCATTGTCTGCCATGCTATCTATTACTCTGATGAAAGGCGTCGCATACAATCGTATAAGCATTTTGCTGGGCTCGCGTGCCTGTGCTGTGGCGTCGGCCTAATCCAAGCCGATCGCCATCTATTATATAGTTAGGCATTAGTCGCGATCTATTCCTGGCGAAAACGATTTTAGTTGACGCTTTCCTAATGACTAGATAATTGGCCACGTAGTAGGTACCAATCCATTATCAAGTCACTCTATGACAGCGACATTTTCCCATCGGCAGAGCGTCAATCTTTGGGATCGGGCCGGCAGCCGGATGGGGGAGGGAGTGAGGGGACCTTCGGCGACAATCATCCCCTAGTCGTCTGATGATTAGACCAACAGAACAATGTCGTTGACCCCTGCAAAAGCGGTCTGTAGGCTACCACTCTCCCATTGTGCGCGCACCATCCTTCAAGAAACAAGGACGAATGCCGTTGCATTGTATTACGCCGAACTTTCGCGTAAATCCACGCGCTCTCTCTCTTCTCCGACAACCCAAAGTTATAGCCAGGCTACAGTGGCAACGCTTCCAGGAACACTGCTAATCTGTAAGAAGAAGCCGATGACGTGTCGGAGCGCAGCGTCGGCCATTGTCAGGTTGCTGAGAAATCAATAAGAGCCCCAAAATCCTGTTAATACCAATATGCAAAACTGTAGGCCTCCCCGGCCTTCAACCTTGATGGGACTGGCGCAGGTAGTCCATGTAGCATCGCGGAGCGCGTTTTCCTAGACTCATAGCTTGGAAATGCCCTTCATCAGGCTGAAGCTGAGCGCAGCCGGGCGAATCCTCACGGTAAGTGGATTATCTGCCTTGTGTTAGGCGGATATGGACGTCTCAGTAATCACCATTGTGCGTCCTGCGTGGGGAACAACAGGCATGGAGATCCGCTAACAGCCTCGTTCGCCACCAGCGGCACATGGAGCCTGAGGACATCGACAAAAACCTAAAAGTATTTAAGCCGAACTTTATTCCAATAACCTCTCAATTGCTACCATCCTTACCCCTCATCCAACCCAAAATCCCCATCAATCGCAATTATGCAGTTCAAGACTTCTGTGGCTCTGGCCCTTCTCCCCCATCTCATCGCCGCTCGCTTCGTTGAGCGTCGTGATACTACTGCTACGCCTACCTCACCTCCTGGTCCCTCTCCTACCAAGCCAGGTATCGCTCCTGACTGTGACAAATTCCATCAGATTATCTCAGGCGATGCCTGCTTTGTGCTCGAGGACGAGTACAAGATCACTGATAAGCAGCTCCATGCCTGGAACAAGGGCATTGACCAGTGTAAGCCATGTTAATTGATATCGAAGCAAGTGTTCCCTACTGACGAGCTATACAGACTGCTCGAACCTTGTCCCTGGAGAGTATGTCTGCGTTCATGTCCCCGGTGCCCTTCCTGCGCCCCCTTCTCCTACACTGCCAGGTACCAAGGATGACTGCAAGAACTACTACAAGGTTCAAGGCGGTGATACCTGCCCCAAGATTGAGGGCCAGTATGGAATCACTCATGATCAGTTCCGCGCGTGGAACCCTCACGTGCAGCAGGATTGCCAGGGACTCTGGGCTGACTACTACGTTTGCATTGGCGTCTAAACTTTTTCTATTATCTTGTACATAGTTTTTTGATTACAGATTTTCTATTATTAAACCAATTGATTGCCATATCCTCGTTATTGCTGGAGGGTTGTTGTGGTGGATCGTTTACGTCAACAAGAACAACGGATGAGGACGACTACAGTTAGGAGGTAATATCGCACCAGAGACGGTAAATAATTATCTGAAGCAGTAACATACAATACTGAGCAATTTTGGACACGATTTCCGATTTTATACAATAAAGCTCTAGTGCAATGTTGAGGACAACCGTTAAATGTGATCAACTGTGCGGGGTTGCTATTTGCTTATATATATAAATAGCGCCTTTCTCTCCCATCGAATAGGCGGCGGGATGGCGGAGTGGTTAACGCGATGCCCTGCTAAGGCATTTCCCTCGGGAGCATGGGTTCGAATCCCATTTCCGTCGATTCTTTTTGCATTTTTGACCACCTCACAATCGAGTCTGGCAATGCATTATTTTTTGGCAGCTGAGAAGTTGAGTACCCTATCTAAACAACGCTTGTTGCTTCTATTGTTTTTGTTTTCATCAATGCGCCTCTTGTGTATCGCCAGTGCAGGCCCTGTGATTTAGTGCCTACGTACAGGCGAGTAGCGGAAGTTTCCTACCAGAATGCTGCTACTTACAATGATCATTCCATCAAATACAAGGTATCCGCGTGAAGTATTTATATTTTTCCAGTCTATGTATATGACCTTAATAGTGTACGCCTTAAGCACCAAAATCCGTAAAAAAAGACAGTCCAACTCCATATATGCATCAACTCGTGAATCTCCGTTATACGGGTCTATTCCTCTGGCCCAGGACGGCCATCGAGCCATTTGCTCATGTACGGCCCATCTAGCCAGTAACCAAGCTTCTTGTAGTAGCTGCGCACGCCGACACCCGAGATGACGCTAATCTTCTCGCTACCATGTTCGTCACGGGCAATCCGTTCCGCTTCTTCCATGAGAAGCGTACCGAAACCTTGGTGCTGAAATTTGCGTGGGTCACGGGCGTGAACGGGCACAGCGGTACCGTAAACATGTAGTTCACGAACCATGCTTGTTGGTTGGCCAGTGAGCTCTTCGCGGAAGGTATACTTCTCTGTACACTTGCGCAGGCGCAACAAACCTACAAGGATATCCTGCTTGGGGTCCTCGTAGGCAAGGAAAGTTTCCCAGCCACCGTTGGCAGTGTAGTCTCTTCGTACTAGCTCAATCTGGTTCGGGCGAATCTTGTTCTTTACTTCATTGACACCGACTTCTCGGGTGCGCACATCGCGGCATGTTGTTCCAAAGTCCTTCATTCTTGCCAGTGCAAGCTCGCGCAAGTTACCGTTCTCAACACCAGAGGTGACTAGGGGCATGGGAATATCTCGCTGCACTCGGTAGATTCGTGTCCAAGGCGGAATCAGCGCTAGGATTCGCGCCACCAGGTCGATGAGGCCGTTTGGGGTATAGTTTTGGTAACGGCCAGTACGCCAGAGTTCATACAGGCCTGTACCGCGAATAACAAGCGTAGGGTAAATCTTGAGGCCGTCGGTTCGGAAGGCAGGGTTCTCAAAGTATTCGCGGAACTGGTCCAGGTCTCTCTCCATGCCCACGTTGGGCAGATCCGGCATCATATGCGAGACTACCTTGAAGCCTGCATCCTTGGCAAAACAAAATGTTTCAGCGACAGCGGCAACGGTATGACCACGGTTGGTGTCTCTCGCGACGTCTTCGTACAGCGACTGGACACCAACCTCGAGTCGTGTGCAGCCGTAGCGCAACATGTCGGACAGATGAGGCGGCAAGCAGTAGTCGGGTCTCGTCTCGATCGTGATTCCGACACACTTGACATTGCTCATTTCGCCGGCTTCAACAGCTTCGTCGACATTGGATGTCTGATATCCGCTCAGGGCATTGTGAAGCTGTGAAATGAAATCGCCACGGTATGACTCAGGCAGTGACATGAAGGTGCCGCCCATGATGATGTACTCGACTTTGTCGACTGAATGTCCAAGAGACTTGAGCTGGTCGACTCTGCCGCGAGCCTGTTCAAAGGGATCGTATCGCGCTCGGATCGCTCTCATTGACGTTGGTTCGTAACCTGTATATGATTGGGTGCTGTATTCAAAATCGGAGTCGGGGCCGCCAGGACAGTAGACACAGATGTTACCAGTGTATGCGATATGCGGACATCTGTGAGGCTTGCACATAACAGCTACAACAGCAATACCTGATGATGTACCTATTTGGTTGTTAGCGATTTGCGATTACTGTCGAAGAAAGGCGTGATGCGTACGGATAGGCTTAGCAATGAGCTTAGGCATGATGTATTTCTTATAGTGTTCGGGAATAGCGGCAATAATGGCGGTAAGAGGCGGAATGTTGGCGAGCTTATGCTTCTTGGCAAACTTGGATCGGAGGGAATTCAAGTTGATATCACGGCCTGTTTTGCCATTCTTGGTGGCTTCGTGGTCCTCGATGAGGGCGTTGGCCACGTCGGCACAGCATCGTAGGAATCGTTCGCTCTCGGGGAGAATATCCTTCTTCTTTGACGGCTCGGTGACCGTAAGAGTAGCCGTGGCCATGGTTGGCAGAAGTTGGATTGGGCGGCTTGTAGTTGGGTGAAGAGTCAAGCGGTTTGATGACGTCCAAAAAAAGTTGCTGGGCCTTTCGTTGGTGGGGCTTGTCTGTAAAATGCAGCCAGTGGTAGCGTGTGGGTTAGCTAGCGAGAGTTAGTGGGCTCGTGGCGCTGTGTTATAGGTGCGCGTCGGTGCAGTCTGGGCCTGTAAAGAAGGAGAGCGTCTCTGTCGATGCATTATTACTTGTTGTATCCCATCGAAAGCATATAAATACTTTTTAAAAAATGCAATTGGATCTATTTGAATATTTTCTACAATTTTACAAATCCATCTAGTCGTCAAAATAGCGATTCTCCGTCTCTCCCAAACCACGTGCGGCCATCCCCAACACTGACGGGGCCACGAAAACCATCGGAAAAATCTACCACCGCTTGGCCGGTTGCTCCCGAAAATAACCCGCGCAAAGGACACCCATTTTCCCTCGCCCAAAGCTCCAGCTCATCCCCCAAAAAGCTCCTCTCTCTATCTCTTTTCCTCCCCCAAAGACGCTCGTCTCCTTTCCTTTTCGTCCGTTTTCTCGTCGCCACTGTGCCCATAGTCTCATAATGCAGGCCATTCCCAGAACAGCTCTGCGCTCTGCTGCCGTCCGCAGCGTCGCCAGCCGCGCCTACAGCACTGGTGCTTCGTCTCCCTACGCCGCTACCATTGACAACCTCCGAATCAACGGCGACACCAAGGTCATCTTCCAGGGCTTCACTGGCAAGCAGGGAACGTACGTACATCCGTTTTCGCGATTTCCGCGGCCTCCAAGCTGTGTCGCGACGCTCAATGGCTAACTCCTTTATGCTGCAGTTTCCACGCCACCCAGGCCATCGAATATGGTTAGCAGAGCCGCATCCCCCCCGATCCCTGAAAAAGCACACCGACTCTAACGATTTTTTTTTAAATAACATAGGCACCAAGGTTGTTGGCGGTACCAACCCCAAGAAGGCCGGCTCTACCCACCTCGACCTCCCCGTCTTCAAGAACGTCTCTGATGCCGTAAAGGAGACCGGCGCTACTGCCACCGCGCTCTTCGTTCCGTAAGCAATTGACAGCTCAACAATGGCCAATGGCATCGCATTCTAACTGCCTTTCTACAATAGTCCCCCTCTGGCTGCTGCCGGCATCGAAGAGGCCCTCGAAGCTGAGATCCCCCTCGCCGTCTGCATCACCGAAGGCATCCCCCAGCACGGTAATTTTATCCCTGTGTTTGAAACACTCCACAACCAAATTGAAAACACGAGACTAACGACTTTCTGCAGACATGGTTCGCATCACCAACATGCTCAAGACCCAGTCCAAGACCCGTCTTGTTGGTCCTAACTGCCCTGGCATTATCGCCCCCGGCCAGTGCAAGATCGGCATCATGCCCGGCTTCATCCACAAGCGCGGCCGCATCGGTATTGTCTCGCGCTCTGGTACCTTGACCTACGAAGCCGTCAACCAGACCACCCAGGCTGGTCTCGGTCAGTCTCTCGTCGTCGGTATCGGCGGTGACCCCTTCTCCGGCACCAACTTCATCGACTGCCTCAACGTCTTCCTCAAGGACGAGGAGACTGACGGTATCATCATGATTGGTGAGATTGGTGGCTCTGCCGAAGAGGAGGCTGCCGAGTTCCTCAAGCTCAACAACACCGTCAACGGCGGCAAGCCTGTCGTCTCCTTCATTGCCGGTATTTCCGCTCCTCCTGGCCGCCGCATGGGCCACGCCGGTGCCATTGTCGCCGGTGGCAAGGGTGGTGCCGACTCCAAGATTGCCGCCCTCGAGGGTGCTGGCGTCATTGTTGAGCGCTCTCCCGCTGGTCTCGGCAAGGCTCTCTACAACGAGTTTGTCCGCCGCGACCTTCTGTAATTTAACCATCCACGCGCTTTTCTGCCGGATTCCTTAATCATCATCATGCCGTCACCGGCACCCCCCGCAAACATTGTGTGTCAAAAATAGTGTTTCTTTTTTTTCTATTTCAGTATCAAAACACCCTATTTTAACTTTTATCGTGTACGAGGAAGACGGGGAGAAGCAAACCAAAGGGGAAGAAGACAAGGGGCAGCTATAAAAATTGGGCCAAGAGGGACGACGGTTGAGCAGGATGGATGTCTAGCCTTGAGTACTTGATGTCTGTTTATTGTAATGCTCGACGACAGAATAGGAAAATAGAAAGACGTGTATTTGTTCTCTTTGTAACAGGACGACTCTATCTCTCGTGATGGTTGTGTAGCAGATACAGTACATTGCGTGCCGCCGCACTCTGCCCGCGAACTAATAGCATTATTTCCGCACCATGACCACTCTTACGTACCAAAAAGCTCCCCAACCGATCGATTCATGTAAAAAGACATATCCATATGAACTTGCCTGCTTCTTGATTTACTCACAGCTTGTCCGGGGTGACTCACAAGGGCCACTTACTGCAGAATGGACCCTCACGCTCTAGCGGCGCTTTTTCTTGACGTCAGGACAAAGCGGGCCGCTGAGCCGCTCAACTAACTTATAAACCGTCCCCCGCACAACAGCGCTACAGTACGCAAACCTTGAATTTGTACGGCGCAACAATGACACGGCCTCATATTCGCGATCTTGGCTACGGCCCAGGTTACTTTACCCCGGGCAAGCGCAACTCCATCCTCGACGTGCCTGGCTGCCAAGTTGGCCAAAAGACCATCCACGACGATGAGCAGGGTGTCCATGTCGGCGTGACGCTGATATATCCCCGTGGAACAGTCCGGACTCGCACCCAGCCATCCTATGCCGCTATTCACACCATCAATGGCGGTGGAGAGATGACTGGTACACACTTTATCCACGAATGGGGCTTTACTGGCTCAGTACGTATCTCACACCGTCTTCCTACCATACAAGGGTATACAAGACTGACACGGCGTAGCCCATTGCGTTTACAGACTCGCTAAGCTGCGGAGCTGTATACCAGGCTCTAACAAACTACAGCTTTGCCGAGTCCCGCCGTCTCAAGGAGAACGTAGAGGAAATGTCCTCGCACCATGGCTGGCCTGTTGTGGCCGAGACTTGGGGAGGCATGAACACTGATATTCATGACTTCAAGTCGACCCTTACAAACGACCAGGTCGTTGAAGCCATTGAAGATGCAGCAACCCGTGACACAGTTCTTGAAGGTAGCCATGGCGGCGGCTCAGCAATGCTCTGCCTAGGACACAAGGGCGGCACTGGCACAAGTAGTCGTCTGGTACCTAAGGCTGGCGGTAGCGGCGAGCACTACACAGTTGGCGTGCTCGTACAAACTAATTTTGGTAGCTTGGCCATGCTCCAGATTGGCGGGGTGCCAATTGGCAAGCTACTCATCCGGGACCAGCTCCAGAAAGACGCAAAGGCTACTGTGGAGGAAAAGGCCGACAGAACAGGCTCAGAAGGCAGTAAGTTCTTCCAGTCTACCACTCCCCTGTTTCAATTATATGTTGTTTAACCAGAAAATGTACAGGCATTGTTGTATGCATAATCACAGACGCACCTCTCCTTCCACACCAGCTTCGCCGTCTTGCGGCTCGCTCCAACCATGGCATCGTATCAGTCGGCGGCCATGGCGTAGGGTACAACTCCTCTGGCGACATAGCCATTGCTCTATCGACGTCCGAAACCAGCGCACCACAGGTCATCATGAAGCACGACTGGAAACGCATGGACGCTGAGACGGCCAGTAGCATGGGAGGTAGGCCGACGGGCAACCCAACTACGGTTAGCGGCGGTGGTGTCCGTCGTGATGTTGAGACACAGACAGTTGAGACGGTTGTGCACAGCACGATTGATGCCCTCTTTGTAGCTGTCGCTGAAGCCACAGAGGAAGCTATCCTGAATTCCATTTGCCAAGCAGAGGAGCTGACTGCGTGCGATGGCACGGTGCACAGGGCCCTCGACGTAGATAGGGTCAAGGAGCTCCTGGCCAAGTACCGAGTCGAATAGACACTAATGTAAAACCCTTTCTTCTTGAATACGCATAGCTACATAATAGTGCTGCTATTGTAGAAAAAACACACTGAGTGCAAAATGTTGCTGTGAATACTATAGTGGGTGGCCTTTTCTAGTTGCCATGCACCCGCTCCCTCGTGACAAAGGAAAAGGAATCAATAAAAAAGAAAGCTCCTGCCCATCCCATCTGATGTTCTATTAAAGAAGCCAAAAACACTGTGCAAACTCCCAATCCATGCATGCAAAGACACCACGCTGATCTCTTGTGGTGGCTATTGCTCGCCGAGCAGCCGAGCAATAATGTCGCCCGAGTACGCCTCCTCCAGCTCGTAATCTATGCCATTATTTCTGCTGACGCCCACAAACAAGAGCGCCTCGACGACGGCATCGACACTAAAGCCCATGCCGACAAATCTATCCACCATCGGCCGAGGATATCCCTGGTATCTGTCTCATATGATTAGCACACGCCAGAGTCCAACAAACAGTCCCAAAACACACCTAGCTTCATCGTTGCTCTCCTGCTCAACAGCGGCATTCTTCTTCCAGTCGGAATAGTCAATCTGCTTCCGCGCCGCCCCGGCATACTTGACGGCCCAGTCGTGCGCCTGGCGTGCAAACCGCTCCGGGTCCTCCGTCAGCATCTTGGCTACTTCTGCGTCTTGAGGGTCTTTAGGGTTCGGGAACTCGAGCAGCATGCGCAGCGAGATGAGGGCCGTCTTGATGGTCTGGACGGGGGACCAAGCGGTGGTGAGTGTATCGAGACAGATGGCGCCCTATAGCATCACAAGGTTAGTCCTCTGTTCTACTATAACGCAAAGGTGGGGAGAGATGGGAGACGCCGTACTGTCTGCGAAGACACATTGGGGTGCCAGATCTTGGTGCGGAACTTCATCTGGGGCGGCTTGAACGGGTATGTGTCGGGGATGGTGATGTCGACTTCAAACGTGGCGCCGGCGTAGGGCGTATCGGGCGGTGCAGGGAATGTGCCGAGTAGTTTTGTGAGGTTCACGCCGTCTATGGGCGCTGCGTAGACTCCAGAGCTGTCCCTGTCAGCCTGGAGGTCCTGCAGCTCCTTGGCGATGCGGCGGTCTCTGCTGCTCGTCATGGCGGGCGGGGGATGGTATCTGTGAGCGAGACTGGTGTGTGGATTTCGTCGGCGAACAGCCAGGCTGGGATTAGAGCGGCGGAAAACAACGGTAGCGGGATTTGGTGAAGATGATTTAGTGGTGTTTGCAGGCAAGGCTTTTTATTTTTTGGCAAGTGGTGGTGGTGGTGACAAAGGCTGAGGGGCAAAAGGTGGGGGAGATGGAAAGCTTCAGTGCAACGGTGTGTGTAAGCGGCCACACAGAACGAGCGATACGAGGATTTCAATTTTGTAGAATAAAGCAAATACGGGAAATTGAATACCTGGGAGGGTACAGTGTAATGTACTGGGGCACCTTTAGAGATGCGCTCGGCGGCCACTTTTGCATGGTGAACAGCGATTGAGTTGGACAGCTGCCGCTGTGACCCGGATAGACGCCGCACTGGTGGTCTACAGTAGAAGGTATGTTTTGGGCACTATGTATTGTTCATCTATTTCACCAAATTTACAAAGAGTCTTAGCATTCATTTATTTCTCTTTTATTTCACCGTTGTCTTTGTTTACTATTCACTATTCACTAACCAACCACCTGTTACACACTGCCTATGACGTCAAAATAGCCCCAACAAGCTGTCGTGTGACCGCTGTATGTCTTTCTTCTTCACAACTGTTAGCTTTCACAGCGTTCTTCCCATCGGCTAGCAACTTCTTTGGATAAAATGAAAGTCATATATATGCTGTCAAACCGCTACCGCCATTCTTAATCCATTAACGTAAATGCCACTCTTCCGCCAGTCACACGTGTAGCTCCCCAAATCACCCCTGGCGAGCTACTCGACAACAAGCCTTTGAGGTTTATTCACTATTCTTTTTCTCATCAACGACCTGCAAACTAACCATTTTAGAATAAACAATCCGGACGAAGATGTATTTGACTTCAACGGCACTGTGTCCCAAATCACCCTGTAGACGATAGACCCTTCGACCACATAGACAAACGCACACTCATCTGCAGCGAAATCGTACAAACACACCAAATCTCTGTTACAGAAATACAAAATATACTACAAACCGATAATCAGAAACCGCTCTTTCGCAACCGTTCCTTTTCCTCCAATACACTCTCGTAATGCACTTCAACCTCCTCCTTTGCGTCTGTCTTCTCCACCGACACCTCTACTCTACCAGCCTCAGCACCATCCTGTCCTTCTGTCCCCGACTGACCCTTCTCCCCGTCGTCTCCCACCGGTGCCATTCTCCGAGTAGCCTCTAATTCTCTCAACACCTCAAACAGAGGCTTCGCATCCTCCGGCCACGCAACATCGCCCGTCAAAATCGTCTTGGCGGAGATACCGCGCTGGTTATACAAAGCAGCATTTGCATCTGCACGGCTCAACATCACCGTCCCTTGAATCTGGACGCCCGCCCACACGCCTCGGCTCTTTATATAACTCCACACGGGCCTTGCGCTCGCCGACAGTGCCGCGCTCACAGCAGCCCCAGACCCTACAGGGCCGACCGCCACAGACGCATCGCCGCCGAGCGACACCCTTGGCCTCGTAAAGGCCGCAACCTGCTGCGGCGTAGTGAGGACGCAGACACACTCGTACAAATCGATGCCAAAAACGAATCCCGCGCCAAGCGTGCTCACTACGAAAGCCGACGGCGGCGACCAGCTCCCATCTGCGCGGCGGGCAACGACTACGCCCGATCCACCGGCCAGTGAGCCGTTCATGTGGCCGACACGAAGGACGTTGAAAATGGCTAGCCCGGCACAATTGCGTAGGATTTCGTCAGGGATAGTCACAATTGACTTTTTGGTCAGACCGGTCGGGTGCAGCGGTGCTGCGGCCGTGGGAAGCGGCATGTTCTGGAGCTTGGTGAAGGAGTAGAGGATGCGTGCGGCCTTGCTGCACTCGCGGTGCATAGTGCTTGGCCACCAGCCCTCGGCACCAATGATATTGGCGGCTTTGTTGAGAGGGCGGCCAATACTGGAAGAGACTCTATGGAAGCGATGACCGAAACGGGAGGGCTGGGGGGTTGCAGTGTCGCTTGGTGTTGCGTCAGAGGGTGGCCTACCATCGTCACTGGTGGCTGTGGTGTATGATGGAAGAAGGGGATCTTCTTTGGACGAATTCTTGGTATCCATGATTTTTAAAGTGTTGGGTAGGTTCTCTCTTGTTGTTAGAAGTATGAATATAACACTACCCATCCCTCCAGGAGACCATGCTTTTATACATCCTGTGTCGATGTTGATGCCTATGGCCATGAGTGTCAGTTCTTCGCTTGTGCTAAGCCTCCATTATGCCCACGCAATCTCTCCCACACTTAAGCATAACGCTGCGTCTCCATCGTCTCGTTCGTCTGCCCTCTCGCCTCTTCGGTTTTCTTGCGAGAACGCGAGGGCGTCTATTAGAGGTGATTTGCCTATTCTGGAAACCCCACAGCCTAACCAGCAGGGCCAGGTAATTGGCTGGTTCGCACAACGGCTTACGCAGGCCCATCAGGCGCAAGGGCTTGATGATGTTGTCGATGATGTCCTAACGTGGCGCAGCTGTTCACCATCCTCTCCTTCTTTTTTCGTCTTCTTCTTTTATTCGCAGCTTTGGCATTATTAATGCTCCGGTGACCAAGCCTCTGTTTTTTGGAGCACTATTTTCATATGCACTAAAGGTGGGCTCTGGCCTTGTCGCCTTACCCATCCGCTACAGTTGTTGTATATGTACCCCATACTTTGGATGGCTTCTCCAGTGGAGCAAAACGCCATAAACCCAAAAACAAAAGATGGCACTGGAAATATGATGCACCAGCTCCTAAACACCTGTCCTCTATATCTTGCCTCAAAACACCGCTCATAATAGTGCCACCATGTCTTGTCGCTGGAGTAGCAGTAGCACTATAGTACGATGACGCTGCTACAGCTTCCCTTGTACTCGATACCTTCACATGCCAAAAACCAATCTAATTAAACACGCCAGCGACTCGCCATTCCCCCTCTTCCGGGCAATACCATGCTTCAAAGAGAATATAAAAAACAACAAAGTAATATAGAAGATTAAAAACAGTCAAGCTTCTTCTCTCCCCTTCTCTTTTGTATTTTGCCTGTCCACGTCGAGTCCACTCGCTTCCCCGCTATCCGACGAATCCCAGCACTGCATCCATCCCCACGCACACATATCGACGACATCACCACCAACCAGTCCATCTCACCACAGCAATCCCACGCGCGCACTCTTCGCCATTATCACAACACAGCGCCACAATGACTGCCGAAGCAAATATAAAATCGGCCATCACCGCCCACGCCACCAACGCCTATACATACGCCCAGACACGTCTCGACGCTGTCATCCCCCCTTCTACGCGCGGCAGAACATATGCCCAGACAAAGTCCTTTGCTACCACGCGCCCTGTCCTCTTTGTACGATTCGCCCCCTCCCCGTAGCGATTCAAACTAGCTATACGCGAATTGCCCATCGTGTATCCTTAGCCTTGCTACTGGAGCTAACTACCCTGTCACAGTCCCTTGTCGCCGCTCAGATCGCTTTCGCTATTATCCCACTCACGGCTTTTGCCACATTTGTAGTCTGCACCGTTGCCTTCTCCTTTGGCGCCGCCGTGCTTTCTATCCTCTTCTGGATCTCCGTATCCCTCTTCTTCCTTGTGCCTGCTCTCCTCCTTAGCTGTGTCGGAGCGCTGCTGGTTTGGGCATGGGCCGTGGGCTGTTTCCTAGCCGCTAGAGCGCTCTACTCGTACGTCCCAGCCGATATTCAGGATCAAGTACAGACCCGCATTGCGCAGGCCAAGGATGCAATCCCCGCTGTCAAGGTAGAGAAGCAAGATTTCAATGGCGTCAAGCTTACGCCTCACAACTGATATACAGAAAACTAAAATGGGGTGGACGAAGTAGGAACAACAGAGCCATGATTCAAACAGAAAAGAGCCGAGTTTTAGGATACCCAAGCATAAGCTCCAAATAGTTTACCGGGCGGATTGGCTTTGTTTAGCCTAGGAAAACAAATACTTAATCACAAAAAGGAATGCATAACTTTTCATCAAATATGAGGCAACATCAGGTGATTGCTTAAAACATCTTCTATTGCTATGGACCAGCTCTATAAGAGGCCGATGCCACTCTTACAAATACAGGCCTTCTGGTTCTCCTTCTTGCTTCGTCTTGAGTACACGCTCGCGGGCGGTTCTAAAGTCTGCCATTTGCACGCGCATACGACGCTCACGCAGAGCCATCATACCCGCCTCAGAACAGATAGCCTTGATGTCAGCGCCAGAAAGATCGTCCTTTTGCGAAATAAACTCCTCCAAGTCGACGTCGTCTCCGAGATTCATCTTCGAGGTGTGGAGAGTAAAGATCTTGCGCTTTGTATTGGTATCGGGGTTCTCAAACAGAATCTTACGGTCAATGCGACCAGGACGGATCAGGGCCGGATCCAGAGACTCAATCTTGTTGGTGGCCATAATCACCTTGACGTCACCCCGGTCATCAAAACCGTCCAGCTGGTTGAGCAGTTCTAACATAGTTCGCTGGACTTCTCTCTCACCACCGGATGTGGAGTCGTATCGCTTCGTACCAATCGCGTCGATTTCATCAATAAACACAATCGATGGCGCATTTTCACCAGCAACCTGGAACAGCTGTCGAACCAGTCTTGGACCGTCACCCAAGTACTTCTGAATAAGCTCGCTGCCTACAATGCGCAAAAAGGTTGCCGACGTCTGGTTTGCTACTGCCTTGGCTAGTAGCGTCTTACCGGTACCAGGGGCACCGTAGAGGATAACACCCTTGGGAGGCTTGATACCCATTTCTTCGTACAGCTCTGGATGCAGCAGAGGTAATTCTACCGACTCTCTGACTTCCTGAATCTGCTGTTCCAGTCCACCGATATCGGCGTACGACTCTGTGGGCGCCTTGTCAAGCTTCATGACGCTGACAATGGGGTCTGTATCGTCTGTCAAGACACCAACAATGCTCACACTCTTGTGATGTAGAAGCACGCTTGCGCCAGGCTCCAGCAAGTCCTTGTCAACAAAGCTCATGATGCTAACATAGTACTCGGGGCCTGTTGTGCTGCTGACAATAGCATGGTCGTCATCAATCAGCTCTTCCAGCGTGCCTACACCCATCGGGCTGCCTCTCATGTCGTCAACGCGGCCACGTTCGTCAGCGTTTCTGTCGGCATCGGCTTCGGGCCCGGCAGCGACAACAGCACCTTCCTTGGTCGCCTTGGCCTTGCGGAGGCGTTCTTGGTTCTCCACGTATTCCTCTTCCAGTAGCAAGTGATCGTGGATTCGCTGCATTCGTAGAAGGCGTAGCTTGCATCGACTTGTAGGGAAGACAGCAGGGAGCTTAGCAGCAGCGCTGGTGCCGCCAGCCTTTCTCTTCTTGCGCCCAACGCGGGTCGTAGGTCTTGGTGGGGGTTCGTACTTGGGCTTATCCTTCTGTTGCTTATTGTCAATTGGGATGTAAAACAACAGAGTGTGAGTTCAAAACCAACGTACCTTCTTATCTTTATCATCCTTTCCATCTCCTCCCATACCAGATTGTCCTTGACCCTACAAATGATTCTGTTAGCGGTCCATCATCTCACGGCGGACTGACGCCTGCAAGCTTACCATCTTGGCGATTCTAGCTCAAAAGAGCTACAGAATATAATTTATAAGCTGTGTTTATATGATCGCACCGCTATCTGCTCGGTTAATTCGGCCGATTGTTGTGCAGTGGTGCGAATTCCTGGAGGGTGACGGAGATCGAACAGCGTGGATGACGAGAGATGCGTACCTGTTGCCATCAGGCGCCAGCGGACCGCGACAGCTCCCTCGACAGTCACGTGCCACGTCTGTCCGCAGCTTACATAAGGCTCAACCACCGTCGTACAACAGCTGCAACATGTTACTTTAGTCAAGCAGAAAAAAAAGTAATTTTACTATTTTATTAAATGGGATTCTTTAATGAAGATTGCTCATCTTGGGGAACATTGCGCTACACATTGACATGGGAGTGCGAAGAGACATTGGTGTGGCAAACCAGCCATGGTATTGTACAATTTATTTGATTGCTCGAAAACTATTAACCGTGAACCTTCTATGGTTCATCTTTTGTACTTGCTAAAATCCACACATAGCATTCATCGACTGTTTACAGGGCGAAGACGGCGCCAGCAAGAGCAGCAGCGCCAATGGCTAGGCCAGTGGCGGGAGCTCCGCGGATAGCGGCGTTGTCCTTGTCGCCACTGCCAGTCTTCGAGGGGCTGATGGCAGATGTGGCAGAGGCAACATCCTTGTTGGTCTTTTCAGCAGCATCAATGCGCTTTTGGCATTCTCCAGAGACGCTAGAGGCCGACTGGAGCTTAGCGCCCTTCCAGGCGCAGGCCTTGGCGGTCTTGCCGTTCTTCTTGTAGTAGGAGTCGAGGACATAGGCGAGCTGTTGGTCAGGCTTGCACATGCCGTAGGCACCGTAGTTACCAAGCTCAGGCTTAGCAGCAATACCAGCACAGGCAGGGTTGTTGTGAGCGCAAATGTTGCCAAAGAGCTCACCGTAGCTCTTCTCATCCAGATCGGAGTCGATGGTGCACTCAAGAGACTTCATCATGCAGTCGCAAAGATCCTTGTCGGGGCTAGGGGGGAGACCAGAAGCGGCCTTCCAGGCCTTACCAATGGCGGGGCAGGATCGAGCCTTGCCGCTGGGCTTGTAGTCGTTCTGGCTAACACCCTTGGGGTCAGCCTTGAGGACCTGCTTCTTGAGGGCACCAAAGTTCTTCATCTTGCTAGCCTTGTCACCGTCGATCTTGACGAGGCCGTAGTCGTTGGCCTCCTGGTGGAACATGTAGACGATACCACCGCTGAAGACGTCAGTCATCTCCTTGCTGTAGAGGGCCTCGGTTTCCTGGAAGATACGACCCTCAGCGCCGCTGGGCTCGTTGCAGCCGTACTCGGCGAAGAAGACGGGAACATTGTAGTCCTTGAAGAAGTCAACCTGGTCAGAGTATCCAGAGCCCTTCATGGTGTTGGTACCGCACCAAGAGTAGATGTTGTAACCCCAGAAGTCAATAGACTCGTCAGAGTTGCCGCAGTTGAAGTAATCAGCCATCTCAGCACGGATGGCCTTGTCATCGTTGGCGGCGTAGCCGACACCCATCCAGCGCTTGCTGTTCTTCTTGATGTAGGCCTTGGAGTCACGAACAGCGGCCTTAACGTAGGCAGAAGCAGGCGTGTTGGTGGCATTGTTGCTGACTTCATTGCCAGCGAAAAAGCCAATGACGTTGGGGTACTTGGACATGGCGTCAATGACCTTGGTGTAGCGCTCGTACAAGTGCAAGTTCCAGGCAGGCTGGTCACGGTTGATGGAGGTCTGGGGCTCCGAAAGATCAGAAACGACATAGATGTTGTGCTGCTGAAGGAGCTTCATGCAGTCGTCGTGGTTGGCATCAGGGTCGATGGCGTAAGTACGGATAGTGTTGGTACCAAGCTCGGCAAGGAGAGGAATATCACGCTCGCAGGTCTTCTTGTCGGAGAGGGGGTCAGTGTATTGCTTGGAAGAGCCAGTAGCACGGGTAGAGTGGCTGCCGCCAGTGTATTCGCGCTGGTAAGCAACACCCTTCATGAAGAACTGGGTGCCGTTGGGGTAGAAGAACTTGGAGCCCTTCATGGTGATGGAGGGCATGTCAGCGGCGATGGCTGTGCCCGCGAGAGCGAGCATGGTGGTGGCCTTCATGGTTGCGGTTTCGAGATATCAAATAAACTTGTTCAATGGATAGATAAAACGTTGGAAAGTTGAATATTGAGGGAGTGTGGTCGGGGCTAATAAAGCTGTCCAAAAGTGATTTCAATGTTAAAAAAGTAGTTGTGCTAAAGAGTGTGAGAAACGGCCAAGACGAATGAGGAGGCCAACCTCGATGAAGATGTGATAAAAGAAGAAAGAAGAAAAACAGTAGACGAAGAAAGTTGCATGAAGGAGGAGGAGGAAAGAAGCCTTGCTGCAAAGAAGCAGCGACCAAGTGTTATTTCAGTCTGCCCATAGCAAGGGCCCCTCGCCCCCGGCCAAGACCTCCGTTTACTTGGTCGTGGACAATACCGGCACTGGTACGCTGAGCCTTGTAGGGGACCGTGTCGTCTCTGGTTCAAGGTGGAGCCGTCGCCAAAGGGGGGCGTATTCTTCACTAAGGCAGGGGCCGCTGCGACGCTAGCGCCTGTTTTTAGTGGCGCAAAGTGCAAGACTTTCCGCCATCATCGAGCATTGGGCCCACTGTCCCGGTTACCTTAAAATTGGTTCCAGCGAGGCGCAGCGCTGTCGAGTGCTCTCAGGAGGTGCTGGGGTTGCCTGTGACGGCCAGCCAGCAGGCACTGGATGCCCTGAAGGAGAGACTTGGATCGTCCCCTGGCCTGCTAACGCGCCCAGGGCTCCAATTTTCGAATTTGCTAGCCAGGGACTGACCCAGCACGCACGGTCAATGTGCACTGTTTTCAGCACTGTTGTTCTCCTGTTGACTAACACGACCAGTTCCATTGTAACCCTGATGGCAGCTGCCACCTGCAAGCCTCGTTGCGCGCTCGTATCCGCACTGTACGTTCATCTTACCCACGGCGCCATTCCCTGTTCCCAACTGGACCAACCTCATTAACTCAAGGGGATAGCGAAATTGCAGACCGCGGTACGTACTTTTGCACGCATCACCACCAACACATGCCCCTGGAACCGAAACGCAGATTCGATCCAAAACAGGGAGACTCTGCTGCTGAACGGCTTCATCGCATGTTTGGATGGTTATCTCCATCCAATGGCCGGTGCTCCGTTAGTTACTGCCAACGGACGCGCTGGATCCCGCCGACGTATCTCGACAAGAACGGCGTTCCGGTGGATTCATACATACTTCCCTGTTTACGGCTTTCACTTTCTGCATATGTGGACTCTGGTCAACCTGGCTGTTTTGGGCGGTGGCAGTAACATCGTAAACTTTGCAAGTCGGCGCGAACACCAGAGGAACGGTGGCCGACGTCGTGTGCTTGCTCGACAATTCCTGTCTTGCCATCTGCCGATGTCTGGAACATCAAGAACTCAATTAACTCACTACCTTTTACAAGGGGGAAAAATGGGCATAAGCACAGCCCAGTGGAAACAGCATTCTCGGGGGAGACTAAACGAGGGCAATGGACAGAAAATCCAGACGTCACATAGAAGCCGATCATTGTGCCTGTGTGCAACTAACGACACGGTCAGTGTTCACAGCGGTGGTAGCATCCCCTAAACCCGCGCCCCCTTGTCCAAAGACTGCGACATGGCGTTACGAAGCGGTTCATTGACTCCAGTCACAGTCGCGGTGGACGCTAGGCCCACGGCTGATCTTGCATGATCACAATAAGGTGCGGCGCCTATCCATTTACACCTTGCGCTGCCCAAAAGAGCGTTGGACGAAACAAGCCCGCTGTGGATCCTCTAAATTTGGGCGTGACAGCGCCAGCTTGCTTGTTCCACGCGGTTGACTGCATTCCAGAGTCAAGCCAGAGAGCTATCGCGCGATAAGGCGAGTTGTCTCGTGTTCTCCTGGAACGAGATCACCTCCTCTCAAGAGCTGCAAATGGCAAAAGCCTAGAACCCCGTGGATTGGATTCTTGGCGTGCAATAATTACGGGCAGAGCTCTTGGCGCTCGTCTCTTGGTGCCACTTGGCCCAAGAGCCTCCAATACGGCAACTTAGTTCCGCCACAATGGCTTGCCGCCCGTACGATCAGATCAAAGCAAAGCTAAAACAGCCTCGAGAATTAAGAATTCAGCTTAACAGAATATATTGAACTTTATGGGTATCAATTACGCGTAATTCAAGCGTCATATCCCCTTGCAGTTCGGCGGTCGGTATCCTCTCTCTACAGCTTTGAAGGGCGTACTGGGTTGTCGCAATCTGCGGTTGTTGTAGGGTTTATTGGCAAGATTTGATGTTGGGGAACTCTCCCTGCTGTTTGCAGTGCTTGCCCTTAGGGCAGTCAGCATCAGAGTGGCAAGGGCCAGCAGCAGCGACGCCGAGGAAGATGGTGACGAGAGTCAAGAAAGACTTGGTGAACTGCATATCGGTGGTTGTATGTGTAAGGACGATGAAGAGTGTTGAGTGGGCTGGTGTTGATTTGTGGTGTAGCTTCGCAACAGTCACCAATCGCACTCAGTCGGCATGGCTCTTTATACATCATTATTCGCCGGAGACTTTTTATTTAGTCGCAAAGTTGGAAGGTGAAGAAGCTCCCATAACCTTGGATGATCCGCCTACCTGAATGTGCAAAATACAGACGTCGACAGCACCCTATTGGCTCTCTGTAGGCCGGAATTGAGACGCCCTTTGGTCTCCTAAGCCTGAAAAGGAAGCTGCTGTCAGCATCTGGCGCGCGCTAGCAACTTTTTAATACCCATTGTGTAAGAAAGCACTCCAAAACGGTGCAGCTCGGAGGCGGGGTAGGTATCATGGGCACGGGAAAACACGCCGGTCAAGTCGCCGAGATCTCAGTCCAGCCGCCAGTAGTGAGGCTATCAACGGTGTTTATAGGCTAATACCCTGGAGCCCCGTTTGTTTATACATTCTTTGAATAAAGAACCCGCTAAATACTAGGCTGTTCTCTATATATTATAGGAAACCAACCCTACCAGCGTCTCTTCTTTGGCCTCGCATCTCTAACCCTGCTCCGTCCAACAGCCCAGCACGTCATACACAGATGCTGCGCTGGATAGTCATATATCTTTACTCTACAGAATTCGCCCAAAATATTAGACCACCCTAAATTTGTTGGCTCCTAGTATGTGGCTTAGTGTCTACTCTAAGGCACCGCCACGCGCCATGGCAGTCATGATGTAATGCAGCCACACACATCGTTGCTGATCATGCAAGTCTTCCAACTCTTAAAACAAGTTGAAGAGGGTGGTGTGAAGGGCTTGAATATGCACCGACTATGGCTTAAATGATGTCATGCAAAGCATTTTAATAGCTATATAACCGTGGGCTTTATCAACCCGTTCGTCTCTAATTCTTCTATCACCAAAGCAAGACCACAATGACATCTGTATCCAACTCTGAACATCCTTCTGGCACCAAGGTACGTTCTTGTCTAGATTTTTTGGTGTATAGCTCTGACACACATAGGTTAACCTTGGAAATGATGCTCCTGCTCGTCGCGAGGCGGCCGGTACCGTAGCAGCCGACTCGCTCGCTGCTGAATCCTACAACCAGGGAGGCGACTTCAGCAAGAATCGCGATGCTGCACCAGAACAATACAGATCTGCTTCTGACATTTACGATGCAAAAGTACCACGCGCGTCCGAAATCAATGAGGCGCCTACCTATGTCAACAATGTCCTCAGCTCTGGTCAAGGCAAGCCTCATGGTAAAAACATCACCGAGGACGACCACATTCACACAGGTGAGACACGAGATGGTCTGCGAAGGGCACTACAGTCGGAGCCCGGGTCCATGGATGACCCTAGCCGTAATGTCGAATATCTGTTATCCAAGGAGACAGCAGGAGCTGTAGATGCGGAAGGGACAAACAATAAATTTTACGGGTTGGATCACGAGGCTGAAGCTTAATCTAGAACGTTAGCTCGTAGTGCGGAACCTATTTACTTCTAGAACAATGCAGAACACATGCACTGTACCCAAAACAGTCGTAATTAGTATACGTTGCCAGCGCCTCCTGAATTCTGCTGCCTGGGTACCAATAGTCTCGGAGCACCAGCACATCGACGTTGTCGGAGCGAGCGGTTGTGAGACGATGGGGCGACTTCTAGGCATCAGCTTTTCCGACCACTGGTGAGATGCAATATAAGCATACCAAGCCAGGCCCATTCAAACATAACTCAATAATCGAAACAAAGAGTGAGGGAAAAAACAGCACATCGATTATTCCATTTTTAACCGATATCAAATTCAAGAGAGATTCTTCTATAGCCACCCAGCAGAAATGGGCATCTGGTAAGGCACGCCGCAGAGTATGTAGCACTCCGCACACGATGATCGCTAAACAAAATCTCACCAGGTGCATGAAGCCGTTGGTGCAGGCGGCAAATTCTTTTAAATCATGGTGTAGAGGAAGCAGCACGCAACAAGATCCCCGAGAGAGTGTGTCCAGAGATGGCACAGTAACAAGCGACGCGACCGCTGTGGAGGTAGACGAGACGAATATGAAGCTATCAGGGTGCTTCCTCAACACGCCACCAAAGGAGAACCCGAACTCACCACACGCAAAGACACCATGGAAGCGGGCCGAAACCGATGATATTGTGGGTGAAGGGGCAATGGGCGATGACGAATTGGCTCGAAGACTTTGGGGGGAGACGCAGCCTCAGTGCGTGCCAATGGATATGGTACAGTCCAGAATGGTGGTGGCGCATGGATGATGCACGACAAATGCGGCAAAAGAACCGTACAAAATTGTAATAAAAGATACCCCAGAACTCGATATAGATTATCCAGTGCATTTCTTAAATCAAAATATTTATTCCATTATTGCTATTTGCGGCAATTAATAACAACTCGATTGGTGGCTGATGCACTCTCGGGTAGCAAGTGACACCTAATTATCTGACAGGCTAACAACAATACCTGTGCTTGGGTCAACTTTACGGTTACAGAGGTCACTCCAAACTCCTTCTAATCCGGATTGGCCCTGGACTCCTTGAACGGATTTTATAGCCATATAGCGAAATGTTCCATCCGCTAGGCATCGCTCGCGAGCCTCGTCCAGGTCACGGTTAGACTCGACGAATCCTTTGGCGGCTATGGCCTGATCGCGCAGCCCGCTGGCGTTGACTTGCACTTTCGAAACAGATCTTTCCAGTCTAAGCTTGAGCTCCTCTGGAGTATAGATCTTCGCTTCTGAACCGACAGCAAGAATCTGTACGGTAATGCTGCCCTCCTTCAACGATTCCACAGTGGATTGTAAGACGGCGTCTGGAGCTCCAAAATCTACCACGACGGCTCGAGAAGGCTTGCACTCCACAACCCGATTAAGACCATCATCCAGGTCGCCATACGAGACATTAGAAATGGGAAGAGCACTAGAAAATTTAGACAAAGTGTCTGGGACGGAGGTCACTTGCAAGAGTGCTAGAGGCCCATCGTGCTCCACGGCCCGGTTTCTCGCCAGCTCCCAATGGAAGCAGCGGCCTGTCTTGCTGGATGCAGAGAGACTAACGACGACGGCATTTGTCAAGGACGCTTCAGCTTCAGACCATGGGCCCCCAAATCCTAGTGGGTGCACTTTATGAGTCGCCGAGAAAGTAATTTTGTTCAATAGATGTGGCGCGGCGTGCTGCGGCTTGCACAGTGTTCGAAGCTGCATTGTTTGTATGTCGAGTGGAGCTGCGACCTGCTCGTAATTGCTGTAGATTGTCATGAGAGAAGCACGATGTGCGCTGGTCTCGATCCAATTTCCCGGAGCCTCGGGCTGCGGCTTCAGTTGCAAATCAACGGGATGAGCAGACGTTGGCCACATACCCCAGAGCAGGGAGTCCGGGACAATGCCGTCTACAGTGCTTTCTAACACGCGGCCATAGCCCCATGCTGGAACAATGCCCCATTCTTGTTGATTGTTGTACGGTGCAGGACTGGATTGCGGCACAGGATATGCGTCCCACCAATGTAATTGGTCGCCACCTCGAGCATACGACAGGTTGTTGGAGGTGAGCGAGATGAGCTTCGTCTGCACTCGGACCGACGATGGGGCTAGCGGCGAGGTTGTGGGATCAAAGGTGAATGGATAGGAGGCATGCTTAGCATTGTCTGATTTGGAAACGACGTGAATGAAGTAAGTGTTGGCCATGATGTCAGTTGATTTGGAAATACTTGAATGGTATGCGGTGCGTGTGCCCAACTGGTCCAGTTGGCAGGCGGCTTGGGGAGATAAATATTCACGGTCTGATAACGCAGCCTTACCTTCAACATAACGCGTAAGCCTAACGCATGTGACTCATAATGACAGTCTATATTACAAACGCTTCATATTTTATTAAACGGGAGAAGGAAATATGTCTTTGTAGATTCATAGAGTGTCTGGGTGTTTACAGGACGGAGACTGCCACTAGTAATACGAGCGTGCAGCTCTGGTAACTGACAGTGACGACGCTATGGCAGAGTACAGTGGACTTGCCAGGGCGAATTATGGGCGGCTTATAGTGCATGACGTCAAACTTGGGGGGGTTGATGTGTACAGATAGAGGACTACAACGCATGATATTGGTCACGATAGAAGTAAAGTGCAGTGAAAATTATTTTTACTATTGCTAATTCCCGGTAAATATTTAGGATATATTTAATTACGGATGTGCACTACTCTTTACCGTACAAAACGGAACAGCTCTCCCTCGGAAGAGGCGACGAACGGTTGGAATGCTGTGGCCTCCCATTGGCCTATTGCCTGCATGGTCCCCACTCTTTTGACGTACCTTTTGAAAAAAAGACTCTGCCCCACCAAAAAGGAAAAAAAATATGCGGCCGCAAGAAAAAAAAATCACCCAGAAAAAAGCACCCCGCCTTGGCTGCCTGACTTTCTCATTGTTTCTCTCTTCTCTGCAAAACACGCATCATCAAAGGAGGGCTTTCTTTTACTAGAACAAAGTCCGCTATCTATTCCTCCAAACCTTGGTGAATAGACCCTTTTGACATTCTTCGACACCTTCTTTTTTTATTATCGTCCCCCTCCCCGTGTCGACCCTGTCCCTCTGTTGTCTCGATCGAAACGACAGCCCCGCGATTTCCACAGAAACCCCTCGCCACAACCACCACAACCACCGCTTTCAAGATGCCTTCTGCTTCCAAGGAGAAGAGACTCGCCAAGAAGGCCGCTGAGGGCAAGCTCGGCAAGAAGAGCGGCACCTCTACCCCCAAGGGTAAGAAGGAGGTTGAGCTCGATGCCAACGGCAATCCCATTGCCGATGACTCCCCCGCTACCACCGACCTTGACGCCGTCAAGCGTCTCACCGAACAGATGGACGAGCATGGTATCTCTGACAGAGTCACCACTGGTGTCCTGGCTTCTACTGCCTCTTCCAAGGATGTCAAGATCAGCTCCACCTCGCTCGTCTTCCACGGCCGCGTCCTCATCACAGATTCCACCCTCGAACTGAACTACGGCCGACGATACGGTCTTCTCGGTGAGAACGGTTGCGGCAAGTCCACTTTGCTCAAGGCCATTGCTGCGCGTGAATACCCCATCCCTGACCATTTGGATATCTACCTTCTCAACGAGGGTGCCCCTCCTTCTGAGCTCGGTGCTCTTGAGTGGGTCGTCACTGAGGCTCAGAACGAACTGGACCGTCTCGACAAGCTTGCCGAGAAGCTTCTTGAAGAAGAAGGCCCCGAAAGCCCTGTTCTTATTGACCTGTACGACCACATGGACAAGATGGACCCAACCACCTTCTCTACCCGTGCTTCCCTTATTCTCACTGGTCTTGGCTTCAACAAGGTCACCATCCACAAGAAGACCAAGGATATGTCTGGTGGTTGGAGAATGCGTGTTGCCCTCGCCAAGGCCCTCTTCGTTAGACCTTCCATCCTCTTGCTCGATGACCCTACTGCCCATTTGGATCTCGAAGCCTGTGTGTGGCTTGAGGAGTACCTCAAGAAGTGGGATCGTACTCTCATTCTCGTCTCCCACTCCATGGATTTCTTGAACGGTGTCTGCACCAACATGATTGACATGCGTGGAACCCGTCTTCTCTACTATGGTGGTAACTACGACTCTTACCACAAGACCCGCGAAGAGAACGAGACCAACCAGATGAAGGCCTACCACAAGCAGCAGGAAGAAATTGCTCACATTAAGAAGTTCATTGCCAGCGCTGGTACCTACGCCAACTTGGTTCGTCAAGCCAAGTCTCGTCAAAAGATTCTCGACAAGATGGAGGCCGACGGTTTCATCCAGCCTGTTGCCGCCGACAAGGTTTTCACCTTCCGTTTCGCCGATGTTGACAAGCTCCCTCCTCCTGTCCTGTCCTTTGACAACGTTACATTCTCCTACTCTGGTAACCCCGAGGATGACTTGTACCGCAACATTGATCTCGGTTTCGACATGGACTCCCGTACCGCCCTTGTCGGCCCCAACGGTGTTGGCAAGTCCACCCTTTTGCGCCTCATGACTGGCAAGCTCTCCTCCACGGAGGGTAACGTCGCCCGCCACACTCACTTGAAGTTGGGTATCTACTCTCAGCACAGTGCTGAACAGCTCGATCTCACCAAGTCTGCCCTCGACTTTGTCCGTGACAAGTACAGAGAGAAGTCTCAGGACTACCAGTACTGGCGCCAGCAGCTCGGCCGCTACGGTCTCAGCGGCGAGTCCCAGACTGCTCTCATGGGTACCCTGTCTGAGGGTCAGAAGTCTCGTATTGTCTTCGCCCTTCTCGCTATCGACTCTCCTAACATGCTGTTGCTCGACGAGCCTACCAACGGTCTCGATATCCCCACCATTGACAGTTTGGCCGATGCCATCAACGCCTTCAGTGGCGGTGTTGTTGTCGTCTCCCACGACTTCCGTCTGCTCGACAAGATTGCTAAGCAGATTCTTGTGTGCGAGAACAAGACCATTACTGCCTGGGACGGTACCATTGGCGAATACAAGAACTACCTGCGCAAGAAGATGGTTGCCTCTGGCGCCGTTTAAGAGAACGAAGCATACAAGTCCAATGAATAGCATAATCATGAGTCGCACATTATAGAGATGGAATATTAGGAAGCCGTCGAAAAACATGGAATGAAGGCCGAAACAAGGCTTTTAAATGGCTAAAAAGAAAGGGGTGCGTGTTCATCAAGGTCTACCATCAGAGGCGGCCGACATGGAGCCGCGAGAGACGTTTATGACGAGCATTAGAAGCAACACTTTGCTGCAAATACCCCTTGGAAAAGTGAAGCCTTTGTAACGGCATGAGATGGGATATATACTTGATGATGGGACTTTTGGTAAAAATTTCCGTTTGTTTTTTGATTTTCAATGTGCGTTTTTTTCATGAGATAGACCAGACCTACTTTTGATAGTCTTTTTAAGAAATAAAAAAGACGAGACTTCAAACGCTCAACTGTCCACTCCGTCCCATCGCTGTGTAAGGCTGTTGAATATTGATCACAGCTAAAGCTTAGTTGTTGTCGCGTTGCCCGCGTGAGTCAGCCGGCAGCTTCGCCGAAACCCCACAATGTCGCCGGACTGGTGATGCTATATATGGACCGAAACCTTTGTTGTAGAACGTCGTTTGCAATTGAACAGAATAAGACAATTCAAAAGTACTTTTTATTTTGATTAAACTACAGATATGACATTTTCGATACGAAAGGCGGTCCCGAGTGACCTTCTCGAGGCCCGTGAGACGCATTTTACTGCCCTCGAATACTTTCACGCCTTCTACGGGTTGTGGTTTGTCAATAAGCCATGGGACATCATATTAGGCGGACAGGAAAACATGATCAATGACCCGATTCGACAATTCTTCGTCGCTGTTGACGATGATACTGGAAAAGTAGTCGGATCGTGCGTGTTTTCCATCATCCCTGATGCGGCGACAGTCAAGGCTGAAAAGGAAGCTAAAGAAGCAGCTGAGAAGAAGAAGAAAGAGGACGACCTAAACAACGGCATTGTTGCGGAGGAGAAGCCCTCCCTTTATGCGGTCAAGCAACACCTCGAGCCACTGTGGAAGGAATTCGGAAAACGCGGCGACAGGATTGATGCTTCGCATGAAAAGGCAATGGAAGGGAAGAAGCACCTCTGTAAGTTTCAATCTGGTATCGAAAAAGCTCTTGTATCATGACTAACTGGTGAATTTGCAGTTATTTACCAGTGCAACGTGCATCCGACGTACCAGCGACGTGGTCTCGGAGCACGCCTCCTGAGCAAGGCTATTGAAGTGGCCGACAAGGAGGGCCTTGATGCAGCGCTTACGTCGAGTGAGGCCGGGCGTAAACTGTATGAGTCCTTTGGGTTTGAAATTTTGGATACGGTGGATGTACCGGGTGGGTTGGTATCGTGGATTTCAAAGATGCGCGAGGCCGATACCGACGGTGTTGAAAGCCCGGCTAATTACGATGAAGCGTTGGCCAAGTACAAGGATGTCACGGAGATAGAGTACCCCATGATCCGAAGGGCGACCTCGGCATAGACGAAAAACATATACATAGAACTATTTCTAATCGTATTTACGGATTGCGCGGTAAGGTTTACTTACGATTTGCTCCGGGGTGTGGGTGTCGGCGAATTTGGCCGATTTGGCCGACTAATCACTTACACGATGCATATAAACTGGCATACCGAGGTGCGTATATTCAAGCAACCGCCACTTGAGACTAGAGAACACATCCAAGTTTATCATCTTATATCTTCTTACCGTCATGACCGAATCTACTTCCCCTGCTCAGAAACTACGCGGCCTCCTGGCTGACGAGTCTAACATCGTCATTGGGCCTGGTATCTACGATGGCTTTACCGCACGGATTGCGCTCGCTGCCGGCTTTAGCTGCCTCTACATGGTACGTTATGTCTAATGGGAAAACATGTAGTTGAAATATCCTTACTGACAGAAATTTTACGCTAGACTGGCGCTGGCACTACCATGTCTCGCCTGGGCATGCCGGATCTTGGTATTGCTACCCTCAACGACATGCGTGACAACGCCAGCATGATTGCCTCGCTGGACCGCTCTATCCCTGTCATTGCTGATATGGACACTGGCTACGGCGGGGCCCTCATGGTCGGCCGTGCCGTCGAGCAGTACATTGATGCCGGTGTGGCGGCCTTCCATATCGAAGACCAGGTGGTGACCAAGCGATGCGGCCATCTGCGTGGCAAAGAGCTCGTCGATGAAGACGAGTGGTGTACGCGGATCCGGGCGTGTGTGAATGCCCGTACAAAGTCAGGACGTGATATTGTCATCATTGCGAGGACGGATTCCCTCCAGGGCTCTGGGTATGACGCGGCGCTCAAGAGGCTGCGCCTTGCCTTGGATCTTGGCGCCGATGTTGCGTTCCTCGAGGGCATCGAGACAAAAGAGCAGGGAAGACAGATTTGCAAGGATCTTGCGCCGAAGCCTGTTCTTTTGAACATGGTGCAAGGAGGAGTCACGCCGCATTATACAGCTGCGGAGGCCAAAGAGGATGGCTTCCGCATGGTGATTTACCCAGGGCTGGCGCTGGGGCCGGTGTATAAGGGCGTTGCGGAGGCTTGTGAGAAGTTGAGGAAGACAGGAGATGTAGAAAAAGCAGAGGGAGCAACCGTACGCGATGTATTTGGTATTTGTGGTCTGAAGGAGGCAATTGAATTTGATGTGGCGGCCGGCGGCAAGCTGTATAAGAGTGGTGTTTAAATGACTTGGTAGAGTAGCGGAGATGAGAGATGATTAATAGACTATTTGTCTTTATTTGATGACATAATTACTAGTTTGAAAGAAATTACAGAATGGACATGTGTTTGACTGTTGATACCTACTAAGGCTCTACCAAGCTAATTCACTTTCAGTTTGTCCCTCCAAACCCTTACCTGTTGCCTTGGTTCCCGTCATGGCTGCTAATACTCCTTTGCCCCATTGCTGGAAAGCCGCTCCAATGCCACCTTGTTCCCAGAGCCGCACCTCCAGAGGCGCAAGCTTGAATCCAAACTCGCGCTCTTGGACGCGAACCAGTCTAGCGTCAACGTCAATCTCAATGTCGCATCCGTTAGTGGCCAGAGTGTAGAATTCATCATGTTCCATGACGATGCCCAAGAGGCCAAGATTGGGCTGATTTCGAGCATAGATGAAGGCAAAGGAGCGCGCTATCACACACTGCACCCCGGCGCCCTGAAGCGCTGTCACGGCATTTTCACGCGACGATCCGACGCCGAAGCCGCGGCCGGCGACCACAATATTGAGCCCTTCCTTCACGCGAGCACGAAACTCAGGATGGGTGTGGTATAGACAGTAGCTACCAAATTCCTCGGCGGTTCTGGCGGTTGTGAGGGCTTCCGAAGGAGCCAGGGCGTCAGTATCGATGAAGTCACCGAGAGTTTGGACTTTACCCATGATCCTGTGTGACTTTGAAACTGTAGACTGTAGCTCGCTATTTTCTGTACCGCTGACTTGGGCTGTGGTCTCTTGTACGGCGGGCGGTTCAACATATTGAACTTCGCGAGCTTTTGAAGCACCACGACCAAGAATCGAGTATAGACGGACAGTGTCAATTTCTTCCAATAGCGAAGATGGATCTTGAATCTTCATGTCAAAGCTGCTGGAAGCCACAGTAACTGCGGTGGTGACATGGCCAATTGAACCTGGGCCCATACGATTCTCAAAGTTGCGGTTCTGGCTGCTTATCCAGACCTCACCTGGGGAGGCTTTGTCGGCGGACATGCCAACGCAATAGCTGCATCCAGGTACACCAATGACAAAGCCCGCGGACCGATAAATGTCTGCCAGACCAAGCTCTTCTAGCTCATGCATGATCGGACGAGAGCCAGGAACAACTTTGCGTTTGCCATGGCCAACGGGTTTCATACCGCGTTTGAGACCGGCTTCTAGAACAAGGGCAGCCAGGACAAGGTCCTCTCTGGCGGTAGTGCATGCTCCAATAAAACAACCATCCAATGCAGTGTCCTGTAGCTCACTGATGGGAACAACGTCGTCAGGGCTCGGGTAGCGTGCTACGAACGGCTCGACTTTATCGAGGTCAATGATGTAAGTCTCAGCATACTGTGCATCGTCGTCTGGGCGGTAATATAGAGCATCACGCTTGTGTTTCAGTTGTTTGCGACGATTAATAAAATCGGCTGTAATGGCATCAGGTACGCAAATGCCGGTGACACCACCAAATTCTGTTGTCATGTTGCAGATGGCAAAGCGGGCATCACAGGACAGATGCTGCATGCCAGGGCCAGTGTACTCCACGACTCGGTCTGCCGCAACGGTATTTCGCTTCAGTTCTTTCAAGATGTAAAGAATGACATCCTTCCCGCCGAGCCCTGGTTTTGGCTTGTTGATGAAACGAATCTCTACCGTCTCGGGAACCTTGATCCAGGTCTCTCCCGTAATCAACGGTAGCGTTACGTCTGCGACTCCAAGGCCGATGGCGAGACTAGACACACTTCCAGCAGAACACGTATGAGAATCGGATCCGATAATCAGCATACCCGGCTGTGCCCGCTCCCGACAGAACTCAGTATGCATAATGGTGTAGTTCATGCCCTGGTACTCTGTCAACTTGAAGACTTGTCTAGCTTTCTCACTTGACTCTACAAGTGCCTTGATTTTGGGCACTTGCATGACGCGAGGGTCTACGACGTGATCACCAGCGATCCAAAGTCTGTCATTTCGGAATATGCCAGGCTTTCCCATGGCATCATAAGTCTTGGACATGCCGTGCCAGGACAACTCAGAGGCAATGACCCAATCGACATCCAGACGGATGACATCCCCAGGCTGTACTTGGCCTTTACGGCTGACATCATGCGCGGCAAATATCTTTTCGGCCAAGGTCATACCTCGACGGGCTGCTGGTCTCGAGGTGAAGGCAGCTAGTTTCGCAGCGTGCCGGTCCTGGTAATTTAGGGCTTCAAGATGGGCGGTGACGAAGAAGGCGACTTCTGCGACATCTCCGTCAGTCAGAGCTTTTTCAGCGGATAATCCTAGTCCACCAAAATCTACTGCTGTTGTGCAGCGATCCAGGACTTCTTGGAGAGCATCAGATTCTCGCGGGTGCTGCTTGGCGATGAGGAAAGCCAACTTCAAGATGTCGGGCAGCGGAGAGCCTGGCCACTCAGTGTCTGAGATATTTTGTTAGATTTTCGAATAGAGATAGAGTTGGATAATATAATATACCTGGAAGCTCAATATTTCTGGCTTGCTTGACAGCGTCCAGTAAGCTGGCGGACGAGTAGCTTTGAGCAGTATGCGCCATGCTAGCAAGGTTGTAAATGTCAAAGTGTAGTAGGATGCTCTAACAAGAACCCTGGAGAGAGCTATGTAATTGAACTGAAAAAATAAATCCTTAGAATTGGTATACCAAGTCATGAGGATTTTATAGACGTATACTTGATCCGTCCGTTCTCTGTATAAGCGCATCACAGTGGCTCCGCTCGGGGGAAGTCGGCCAAATCGGCCAGTCGGCCAAATGCATGTAAGTCGGCACCTCCGTCATTGCCAGTTTGTGTAATTCCACTTTTTGAGGCAGACTGATCGCGATTTGATCGTGGAGAAGTGAAGTGAGAGTGATGCTAGTGGTTGAACAACTACCAGGTGGCAGACTGGCGGAAATCAACTCTCTGCACCGTCACGTGCTGGCTAGCAACTGTAGGTTGGCAACCACCGAATTTGTCAAACTTCTCACGTTACAATCACTTCAACAATCTTCACAATATTCTCGTCTAACATGAACCCTACGCTTGTATGATTAAAATGCCGACCCAACGCGTCAATCAAGACGGCAGTCCGTCGTGCCGACCTATGGCCTGCAACTCTTGTCGCATAATGAAGGTTGGCTCTCTTTGGCATTTCAGCCTGGCCATTGTTAACCAAGATAGGTAAAATGTGATGCCGACGAACTGGGCACCGGTACTTGTTCCAGGTGTCTTAAGATGGGCCGCAAGTGTTGTATTATCAAACCAGTAGGGCGGCGCATCCGCAAAACGCAAGTAACACCACTTCCTATGAGTGGCCACTGCTAACAGCTTGTAGCAAGATGCAACTTGAACAAGAGTTGCAGCAGCTCAGAACCTCTGTTGAACAGGATTCAGATCAACCTATTGGCGATTCTGGGTTCATGGAACCTAGCACGCCAACAATCTCAGCGCCGAGTGAGGCTCATACAATTGCAATGCCACCCAGATATGAAAGCACCCAGCGTGCTGGCATAGCAGCAGATGCATCGGTGGAACGAACTGTCTTGGGGACACTGCCCCGAAAACTTGGTGACTTTGAACTCCCTCCACGCAAGATTGATGGCTGTATCAAAGAGTAAGCATGCCCATTGCACATTGTCAACACGTATTGGAGACGGTTGCTAATTGAGCTAGATTTTTTGAGTTCTATGCAGATAATCTAGAAGGGCTCTTTCATGGGTTACAAAACCCAAACACATTGTACGAATACTCTCCAGTACTTTTCTGGACAATTGTCTACGTTGGCTCGCGCAACTACACGAGAGACCCAACTATCTTGGAGCGAATCATCAGCCCTCTTCAAAGTGTATTCCAACAGTCACTGTTTGACCCGGAAGATGCGATACCTAGTATTCAATCGGCATTACTTCTCTGTCTATGGCCTTTTCCAGTGGATACACTGTTCAAGCTGCGCACTCATGTTATATCTGGGGCGGCAATGATGCTGGCCATGCAGAAAGGATTGCACATTTCTGGAAAGGCTCAGGATTTTGTCCGGGTCCCCCTTTCACAATCAAATGTCGAAAAAGAGTTCCGCAAAACTCTTTGGATGCATTGCCAGATTGTTTTTCAAAGGTAAGTTATCGAGTGAGATCCCTTATCCGTTTGATACTGACTCTATAGCAATTCAATTTACGACGGTTTGCCGCCCAGGTTGGAAATGCAAGAGGAGCATCTCGATGATTCCGAAATCGCGGCCGAACACAGCTTTCTTGTATATCATTATCACCTACATGTCCATTTTATGAGAAGATATAGGTTGATTTTGAGTATTTCAGACCTAAGCACCGAAATTGGTCTTCGTATCATCGACCATGCAAAAATATCATTTCAGCAAGACATTTGTTTGCTTGTTGAACTTATCGATATTAGCCCATTGCGTAAGTCTGCAGCATCTTGAAAAAAAAGGAGACACTGGCTAACTCTTTTTCTTTAGGCAAGTTCGCTTATCACAGCGCGATGCTGCTTTTTGGAGTGTTCTATTTCTTTTGCGGGCCCGGTACAGGCCGTGATGACGGTATTAAACAGGCGTATACATCTGCTATTGCCATCCTCAGTGATGCCAAACGATTGGACGAACAGCGAGGCTTTGCAAATCATGCCACTCATGCCCATTTGCGTATTGTGTCGCTGGCCGCAGTTGTCGTTCTCCGTGTGATGCGGAGTCATCTTGCGGAGTTAGTTGAGGAATCTCCAGAGTTGGCTGAGTCCCTTTACTTCGAAGCGATTCAACTGTCGAAAAAATCAAGTGTGCGCTTGAACGACCTTGGTGGTCGAAACGCAAGCATTCTTACTCAGCTGTGGTCTTCAGCCCGCCTCTTTCAATTCAAAGACGGATCTGTAGATGGATTGAAGTTACTTCTCAGAGGTCGATTGGTACGTTTTCATCCCTTTGTACGCTGCGTAATGGCAATCTAAAATCAGCAGTGTATGAGCCTCGTACTAGACACGCACTGGTGGTGGCGTGCCGAGTTTGGAGGCAAGACAAACCCGTATTTAGAATCGGAGACTGCCAAAAGTCAGGAACCTAGTCGAGCAAACCCTGTATTGCAAGAAAATAATGATACGGCGCTGGAACCACAGCCCTTGGCTATTGACCCATCATTGCTTCCGAGCTTCCTGGACGACGCTCTTCCAAATTGGAATATGGACGACACAGCGGATTTTGGTCTAGAATGGTTTTAGAGCGGTTTGATCACGAAAGGATGCGGAATTGGAGTTACAGGCGATCACATGAATTTGTTATAACTAAAAATGTTTCTACTGTAGTGTAATGTAATCAAGCAATAGGGTTCTTAGCCAAACGACCCATGAGCTCATAGAGCCCTGAAACATCTTCTTGCGTATCCAGGGACAGGATAAACTTCTCTATACTGTCGGTCGTCTCTTGGTCAATTACATTCTTTGTGAGTTGTCTCCATTTATCAACAATCTCATCATTGGTAAGTGGTGGGATAATGCCCCGCGCGCCGTCCTTTGCATAAGAGATTTCAGTGCTATCTTCAAATTCAATTCTGACGTTCTGGCGCGAAAAGGGCCATTCGGAATCTGTAGCAAGCACACACTCGGTCAAATCTGTTAGTCTCCAAGTGTCCTCGTTCTCAAGTTGCTCCGGCGTAAACTGAACGGGCATGACTGAGCCATGAACGATCTGGGTAGCCGCGACAAACGAGTTACTCATCTGTGCGCCGGTGCTGGTTAGTGGCCGCGTCGTCTTCCAGCCGCCGTGGTGAAAGGCTGCATCTCCGAGTGTAATGGTGACCTTTTTGATGGCCTTGATATCCTTCATCTTCTCCGGGTGCTCCTCCTGGAGCTGGCGAACGCAGTCAATTGTCGGATGCGTGCCCGCCATAGCAGCATACGCCTTGATGCAGATATTCTCCGTCTGCCACGTCTGGCCTAGTCCTTTGACTAGCTCATCGGGGAGATACGCCGGTGTCTTGCCATTTCCAGCGCTGAACTGGGTCAAGAAGCCTCCATAGTCACGCTCAAACACCTTTTTGATGCCGATGTAACCATCCCGAGCGAGCATTGCTGCCATCAAACCGTTTCTGGCCGCGAAGCCATGCTGCATGCGCTTGACCTCACTTTCAAACTGAGCTGACATGAGGCCACAAGCCTGGGTACAGGCGATGCCAAACGCGTCTTCCACCTTGCCGGCGTCGAGCCCCAAGAGCTTCGAAACACTGGCTGCGGAGGCGGCAGGGCCAAAGACTGCTCCAGAGTGCCAGCCCTTGGAGAGTACATGTGACCCATATAGAGCAAGACCGACTCTTGGGCCAACTTCGTATCCGGCAACAGTGGCTAGGATCAGATTCCTGCCGTCGATGCGAGTGTCGGATTCTTTACCTGTGACATGCTGGGCTGCAGCAAACAAAGCAGGTAATAGGATGGAATTGGAATGTAGGGGAGCACGGCTGTGCCAGTCGTCCAGCTCAAAGCCCTGGATAAAGGTACTGTTCACCAGCGCGGCTGTCAATGCAGTGGCCTTGCGGCCCTCCCAGCCAAAGATGGTGGCGTCGCCAGCAAAGGGATGCTCTAGAGAGAGGAGGGCTGTAGCGGCCTTTTCGGACCACGGCAAGTGAGAGCCTACAAATGCGCAGGCTAGGCCGTCAAGAATAAGGTACTTGGTCCTGGTGATGATGGACTCTGGGATCTCATCGTATGTAAGAGCTGAGACCCATTTGGCGAGGGTTTCGGTTGGGCTAGATTCTGCCATTTTGATGGGTTGCGGGTAAATGTGATGAGATTGGATAATAAAAGGGATCCTGCATGAGTGGTTAGGCCCGATGTATATTTATATTGCTGCATGCATGACTATTGCATATCCAACTTACTCTGCTTGCCCAGAACGGCGCCTTGGAGTTCGGCGCCGGCCTCGGCGAAATTGGCCGACTTGGCCGACTGGTCCGGCAGAGAGTTGGTGGTGCGTCGGCGCAGCGACCGACTAATAAATACCAAGTTTGACCGGTCGACTCCAACATTAGCAAATCATACTATTCGCCAATCAACCAGAGAAGAAGAAGAAAAGACGGAGTTGTCATAGAAAAATAGCATATAACTTTGTTTCAAAATGACAGACTACATCGAAGTTGGCCTTAGCTGGCTGCTATCATCCTCCAAAGCCCACGATGCTAAAGGCTTCATCAAGCTCCCTGTGTTTGCTGGACACCCTCAAGCAACTTTTACGGTGACTTCGCCGGACTGCGGTGCTGAGGGATCTACCATGGGCCCAGAGTACATGTTTGGCGGCGAGGGCAAGTTCCCCGAACTGGACTGGAGCGATGCAGTGGCATCAGTGCCCGAGGTGAAGGAATGGCTGCTCGTGTCGGAAGATCCAGATGCGCCGCTGCCCACACCAATCTGCCATGGGTGAGTATTGATTTTACCGGCTACTACGAGAAAGACAAGAAGCTAATGATCGAAATTTTGGTAGAATCTACATGGGCATCCCCAAAGATAAAACAAGTGTTGTTCATACAGACTTTACCGGAGTGGAAGACAACTTGCTCCAAGGCGGGTTTCGATATGGCGAAAACAGAAGAGGTACTGTGTATATCCCTCCGCGGCCATTGCTGAACCATGGCACACATCGCTGTAAGTGTATATCCTCGGATAGCCCGAAAATGATGACTTGTTTGGCTAATTTGTTTGCTTACCAGACTTGTACTTTGTCATTGCACTTAGCGAACCTCTTAGCGAGGAGCTGAAGGCGACAAAGGCGTCACGTAAAGAGGTTGCCGCAGCGATTGAGGGCAAAGTGCTTGGCTGGGGATCATGGATGGGTCAGTGTGAGAGGAAGTGGAAATAATGAGAAAGGAGGATTTTTTTTTACAGAGGACTATTAATAGTGAGTGTTTAGATATATATGTTAGCTGTTGACCAATGTGGCTGGCTGGCTTGCGGGCTGGTTGGTTGGCATGTAGAGAGGCGAATATGAGATTATACTAGCAGCCGATATGTGATTTGCAATATACATATGGTTAAACACCAGGAATACGATTGAGTTATAGAAATGAAGATGTTGATTAATATTCGTTTTTTGTTTTTATTTTCTTTATTTTTTATCAAGCTATACATATATATATGTACATTCTGAACCACACAAGCTACACGATGACGGGCCCGCAGAAACTGAAGTGGGGCCGGCGAGTGCCAGGCGAAGGGTTACGCAACAACTCTCGTCATTTGAACGTTGCCCGCCGCCTGCCAGCATCACCACCCGCCCGTTGCCGCTGCTCCCCATTGACCCGGCAAACCACAAGCACCACCACCTACCATGGATGTCGAAGAGTCGCCCTGGGCTGATGCCAGCCAGAAAACCACTTCGGATGCCTCCGACAAGCCGCCCACCCAAGCTTCCCCAGCTTCGCCCAATCCCTCACAGCCGTCCTCCGCCCCTCGCCCTTCCCGTGGCCCTCGACGTCTCATTGCCCAGCCTACACGCCTTGAAGCTGTAGAAGATCCCCTCGGTCCGTTGAGCGCCTCCAACAACGACGGTGGCGCTCTCAGCGATGCGCCGCCCGCCCCCCCGCAAAAGGAGCAGATGGTGATTCGAACCACCATGGGTGCAGCTTCCCAGCAGCCCCAAGCCCGGCAACCGCTGGATCCTCATGGCTTCCCGGACGACGGACCTGATACTGGTGTAGCCGCCGCCGCAGCCGCTGCTGCTCGAGGACCCCGTGTTCCTCCTCCCGTGGATGCCGCCCAGCCGACAGGCTTGCAGACCACCGTTCCCCCGAGCGTCAGCGTTGAGCAGGCGTCCAAGCCTACCTTCCATATTACCGTGGGTGACCCCGTCAAGATTGGCGACTTGACGAGCTCCCATATTGTCTACTCGGTCCGAACGCAGACTACATCCCGAGCGTACAAGCAACAAGAATTCGAAGTCAAGCGAAGATACAGAGACTTCCTCTGGCTCTACAACACACTACATGGCAACAACCCGGGCTTCGTGGTGCCCCCTCCACCAGAGAAGCAGGCTGTTGGTCGATTTGATACCAACTTTGTCGAGGCTCGACGTGCGGCCCTCGAAAAGATGCTCAACAAGACGGCGGCACACCCGCAGCTACAGCACGATCCCGATCTCAAGCTCTTCTTGGAGAGCGATTCGTTCAACGTCGATATTAAGCACAAGGAGCGACGCGACCCGTTGCCTGTCGAGAGCAAGGGCATGTTTGGATCGCTGGGTCTGGGCGTTGGTAGTAGCAACAAGTTTGTCGAGCAGGACGACTGGTTCCACGACCGCAAGATCTATCTCGACGCCCTGGAGAACCAGCTGCGGGGCTTGCTCAAGGCCATGGAGACCATGGTCAGCCAACGCAAGATGATGGCTGAAGGAGCCGCCGAATTCTCTGCCTCGCTGCATGCCCTGTCCACTGTAGAGCTGTCGCCGTCGCTGACTGGCCCTCTGGACGCCTTGTCCGACCTACAGCTAACTATCCGTGATGTCTACGACCGCCAGGCGCAACAAGACGTCCTAACCTTTGGCATCATCATCGAGGAATACATCCGCCTCATTGGCTCGGTGAAGCAGGCGTTTAGTCAACGCCAAAAGGGCTTCCATGCTTGGCATGCCGCTGAGTCGGAGCTTCAGAAGAAAAAGGCCACACAGGACAAGCTGCTGCGCCAGGGTAAGAGTCAGCAAGACCGTCTGCATCAAATGGACGGCGAGGTAGCCGAGGCTGAGCGCAAGGTGCACCAAGCGCGACTGCTCTTTGACGATATGGGCAAGTGTATGCGTACGGAGTTGGACCGTTTCGAAAAGGAAAAGGTGGAGGACTTTAAGAGCGGAGTTGAGACATTCCTTGAAGGCGCTGTTGAGGCACAGAAGGAGGTAAGGCCATCACCCATCGTTTGCACTTTGATGTCACTACTAACAGGTTCCTTTTTTAGCTCATTGAAAAATGGGAGACATTCCTGATGCAGCTAGACGCCGAGGACGACGCATCTGCCTTTTATAAGCCTCCCGTGGAGGAGTCTTCGCAGCCCAAGCCCCCAGGCAACACGGCCATTGACCGTGCCAGGGCTGGGCTTGACGACGATTCCGACTAAGCAGCATTTGATAGTAACTGTTACCAGGCGTTTTCATTCTTCCTAGCTTCTCCGTACCATCCCTCCACTGTCTCAAATAATACACATATATGATGAATGAGAGCAAAATAAGAGATTTCCATGTATTCCAACCAGTTAATTGTACACCTGTATGAAGTTACGATATAATACATATGCTATGCAATATTCCTCCTCCGTCAACCGTCTCCCATCACTTTTATCCATTTCTTATTTTACTTTCGCTTGACTGCATTCTTCTTGGGTCCCGATTCCTTCATGGCCCCCGTATCCTGCGGCGCATACGCGCTCAGCAAGTCAGCGTAGTCGTCCGCCGGCGCGCTCTCCTGCTGCTTCTGTTGCTGCTGAGCCTCGCCGCCCTCCTCGCTTGCCTGCGAGGCATCAAAACCACGACCGAAGCGCTGTCTGAAGGCCGCCAAACGACCTGCCTCATCAAGTTCGACACCGCGCAGAGAGCGCTCATTGGGCTGCCATGTGACCGAGTTGCGGGAGTCCTTGGCCGTGCGGTACACGGGATGTGGTGACGTCGTGCGCGCCGTGTACGTCGAGCCGTCGGACAGAGTGACGAGCTGTGTGAATTTGTATGGTCTGCGAGGGCGCGCGACAAAGCTGGCAAAGCGGCACTGGATGAGCGATGATGATGTCGAGGAGGGCGTGAGGAGGGTGGTTGCGCGCGTGGGTGCTGCGGCGAGCATTGTGAATTTTGCCATCGCAAGTTGTGTGTGATTTTATTCTGTGGTTCTTTGTAGATTCAATTGTCGTATTTCAAGCGTCGACGAGGTGGCGGCCGACGAGAGATGATGGGGTGGTTGTAGAGAGTTTGTCTCCTGAGGGTCTATGCTTGCTGCAAAATTTCCCGGCGCCGGCGTTATCGATAGGCTCGCTGGGGGGTTCAATCAGCTGCCAACCACGAGAAACCTAGGAGTTGCACTGCACCACCACTCGTTGAACCGCGGCTGCCGCTTATTTTTTGCAGACGAAAATTTACCAATTCCTAGATTGTAGCTACAGAGCATGCAATAACGATGCGAATTTACCAGACATTGCGCCCGCGTGGGCAGCGCTTGCACAGGGCCGCCATGGCCAACCAGATGCTTCTGCGAGGCGTCTTTCGCCGCTCAATCTGTATGGATCGAGTGATTAGAGGGGTCCGTGATGGGCTTGCCGTTGCTTCGGGGCTTGGGGAGACGTTTGTTGGCCGCCCGATAGCCAGTATGCTCCGACGAGAGCTTGTTTCAGCAACGAGGCGTTTTCACGGTACGTTCCAGCGCACGAGGCCTTTGTAATGGACAGGAAGAGAGCTAATATGTCTCTTTTTTATTTGGCTATAGGTTCACGGATAGCCGAGTTTAAATCATCCACACCGATCGAGTGGCACATAGCAGCGGCGGCCGCGCCGACAGCTGTCTTGACGACAAGGACGACGGCGTCAGAACACATGCGATCTGTGATGCGGCTACTAGCGCAGTCGGTTGTGGTATGTACTGTTACGCATGGCTCGACGCCAAGAGCAATGACCATGTCGTCTTTCACGTCGCTGACGCTGTCGCCCACGCCTGTGATTACGTTCAATGTGGCGACACCTAGCAGGACGCTGGATGCGATAGCGGAGAGCCGAGAGTTTAATATCCATGTGTTGGCGGGTGATGCTGATGGAGCGCGCGTGGCAGACCACTTTACAAAAGGAAACATGTCAGATAATGTGTTTGAAGGGCTTGAAGCCGTAGACTGTGTGATGGGCAGCAGCAACGCAGCGCCTTTACTAGTTGGCGCCGGTGTCGTCCACGTGCTCAAGTGCAAAGTGCTGGATGATGCGCCGGAGCTAGGGCTGATTCGAGTCCGTGATCATGTCATTGTTGCAGCGGAAGTCGTGGAAACAGCGCCGGGTGAGGATACAAGAGAGTTTGGTCTGGCGTATGCGGACCGCAAGTATAGACAGATTGGGGCAGTCATTGAACGGGACTAGGGCGGTAGAAGATGGAAACACATCTTTTGTTTGTAATAAAACGTAATAGAACACATTTAAGCTAGCATCTCATTTATTTCCCTTTTGTCCACTTGGCATGTTCTAATTGCCTATAATAGTAACCGCCTCTATTGTGGTCTTTTTCTCAGTCTTGATGTCGGCTAATATCTGGACCTTGACTCTTGTGCCGTGTGTGATCTGGGCTTTCTCCTCAGTTCGATCCCTTTACCGGACGTCCTCGCTTCAACTGCATCACATGGAGTTGACTTCGTCTGAAAACGTTTATACGGGGTTTGACGAAATCGTGTCGGGTTTGGCTCATCTCGAGAGCTTCGACTGGATAGAAAACCGATCCACCCAGGTGCACGGCATTTTGGAGGATTCTCAACAAGTCTACTGTCATCACTTGGCCTTGAAGAGATGGCTCTCCATGGTGTCTGACCTGTTTGGAACGATTTTCACTGGAGCTTACATTTTACTAGTCTCCTCCAAGAGCACTAGTCCTTTTGTTGCTGGTATTGGCTTGTCTCTTTGCCTATACATGAAGCTTGCCATCGGCTATACTATTGAGAATCTGACAACTCTAGACAAGTCCGCCACGATTGTACAACAAATGCAAGAGTTCATGCGGGATATGCCACAAGAACCAGAACGGGCTTTGGCGAGGATTGAAGGAGAGTGGCCATCGCGCTGTATGATTGACTTTGAGAATGTCTCTATTGGATACAAGTAAGTTGGCTTACTCAACCAATTCAGTATATGCACTAACAATATTTACTTTTCTAGCCTCCCCAACAGTCCACCGCTAATATCGGGTATTAACCTCCGCATTTTTGGACGAGAAGCTGCGCTGTGCGGCACGTTCAATAGGTATGTTGTTCCAGTCTAGGCACTGCATTTATACAGTCACTAAATATGTCGAATAGTGGAAAAACCACCTTTTTTCTCTCAATGGTTGCCAGGCTTCCATACACAGGTTCCATCAAGATTGATGGCATTGAGGCTCGGACAATCCCCCGAGAGCAATTCAACTCGGTCTTCACTGTCGTACCACAAGATCCTATTCTCTTCCACAATGCAACCATCAGGAAGAACCTGCTTCCAGATGAGATTATGGAAGCGCAGGACCAACAAGGATGTGAGGTAGTCCTAGAGCGTATCCTTGCTGGAGTCGGACTGTCTGCCATTGTCGAGCGAAATGGAGGCATACTTTCACAGTTCTCGACTCTCAACCTGTCATACGAGCAAAACCAGCGATTTTCTCTTGCTCAAGGCCTTGTCCAATATTTTTTCAACCCAACGAAGATGGCGTTGATTGACGGTGTCACTGACAATGTCAGCAATGAAAGCTTGGATCGAATGACATCCATGATGAGGGAGATGTTCCAATTCGGAGAATGCAGCATTATCAGCACTACTAATCGACCCCCTTCGCACATCACAGCGCCCTGGTTGGCTGAAATTACTCGACCTGTCCCAACTGCGATGACTTCGGCTAATTGAGCACACATACAGTGACGCGGGTTCACGTCCACGGAGAAGTAATAGCAAAGAATTCTGATTGCCGGGCGTTGCTAAATGAGATGACAAAAGAAATGCGCATCTTAATAACGAGGTGTAAATCTGGGCCAAAACAGGCACTTCCCGCTGCCTTAGAGTCGACAGCTTGCCTTCCTCTCTCGTCAATCTCCGGAGACACGGAGAACACCATTGAGAGGCCGAATTTAGATTGCGTTGAGGATACAGCGCCAACGACGATAGCGCCAGGATCTCAAGGTTTACTCTCTTCCAGTAAAACAAAAGAAAATCACAGAAAGGAACATCCTCGAAAACTAACCATCAAATCGCTGCCCTGTTCATCTGCGTTTCGGTCGCCATGCGGAGGGATCCGCCTTACCCTAGATAAGCTAGTTATCTGCTTAGTATTTAATCCTGCATCCTTCTTACATCTACAGTGGGTATGGGCTGCAACGTTAGTGCACCTCATAATACCCACATAGTAATCGTTAACAACCCCTATCTTATGAAAGAAATAGATATAGTACACGGTTGTTGTATGACTCTCCTCGACAATCATGACCAAAACGATAGGTTTATTACTTTTCTAGTTACATCCTCCCTGGCAACCATCTCAAGCTGCGTATATTTGTTTAATAAAAAAAGTGTGATCAAACCCAAAGCAAGCGTTACTTCTCCGGGTCAAAGCAGCCGCCAACAATAACAAGATTCATGCGGGTGAACTTGACCTTGGTCACCGGTGTCTTCTTTGTTGCAAAGGCACTGATTTGATCCGGTGTAATCATCACCTCCTTCGTCTTCTTCTTTTGCGTGCCTGTTGTCGCGCCACCTCCCGTGGCCGGCGCTGCTGCCACCGCACCTCCTGCCGTACCAGCCGCACCCGTAGCAGGTGCTGCATCTGGAGCCGAGGCAACATCGACACCAGTCTGGGCAGCAGCCTTCTGCGGATCAGCTGGCGACTCGACATCCCACAGACGAACAGTGCCGTCCTGGCCACCCGAAGCCAACACATTGGACTCGACGCTGAAGCTTAGTGACCAGATGCCACCCTTACCGTGGCCGCGCGAGCGCTTGATCAGGTTGCCTGACTCGAGGTCCCAGAAGAAGATGTTGCCAGCAACGTCGGCACTCGCAAGTAATCTGCCGTTGGGAGCACACTCGAGGGCCGTAATGTAGTCAATGTGACCAGCAAAGACGCGCACGCAGGCTCCCGTGACGACGGACCACATGCGGATGGACTTATCCGTCTCGTCAGATGCGGAGAACACATACACGCCGTTGGGGTGCCATGCCGTGGCAGAGATGGAGGTGTCGTGGCCAACCATGAGTCGCTGTGGCGTGGCGTGGTCCTGCATCCAGACCCTCAGCACCTTATCATAGCCGCCAGAGAGGAAGTAGTGGCCGTGGGGACCCCATTGTGTGCGGTAAACAGGCCCGTCGTGCGACTTATAAATGCAGAGACATGACCACGACTCAAGCGACCAGAGGCGGATCTGGCCGTCGGCAGAGCTAGATAGCAGCAGCTTTGACCTTGTGTTGATAGCTGGATTTCCAGCGCCTTCTTCGCCAAAGAGACGCCGGGCTGGGCCAGAGGCTGAGTCGGAAAACGATACATCATAGACGGGGCCTGAATGGCCAACGAGCTTTCTGCTATTAAATTTGGAGTGCTTCTCGTGGGCGTTCATGGACGGCAGAGCCTTGCCATCCAGAGACCAGATGCGGATGTACGAGTCTGTGGTACCAGCCGCAACAAGTTGGCCATCTTCGGAAAAGTCCATGCTGGAAATGCTGCCTAGCGTGTTGTGAAAGGTAAACATGCATGCACTGACGGCGACGCCAACGCCGCCTGTGCGGCCCTCAATCTTGAATCTGTCTCTGTTTTCGCGGACTTTTTGCATCTCAAGCATGATATCGCGTGGCCTTGAGGGTGGGAGAGGAAGGTCTGATCGATCGGGTGCATCAGCGCTTTCTTCACGCTTAATCTTTTGATCGAATTCTTCGAGAAGCGTACTGGTGCCAAACTGAGGAGGATGGCGCCTGTCTTCGTCCTCGAATTCGGCGCGGATATCTTCCCGCAGATCAGGGTCCATCGGCAGGGATCCGAGCTGCAGAGGAGCAGCTGGATCAAGAATATCTTTGTTGGACAGGCCTACGTTAATGCCGGGGATGCCTTCCATGGCGTCAACCTCGTCAATGTCGAGATTCTTTGCTCGGCGGAACACTGCCTCAAAGCTGTATGGTGTGATGGGTCCTCGAGCAGTTGAATCAATCTGGCAGTGTGAAACGAGGAGCTGCCGAATAACAGCACCGCCTTGTTCAGACTCGCGCTCGAGAAAGGTGAAGAGATCTCCCGTCGCATGCTGATTCAGTGGGATACGGTACTTGTGTTCACAATACAACTTCGTTGTAGGATTTTCGGTGATGTGAATTGGCAGAGTAACCGTAGCCAAAACCTTCAAGTCGTCTTCGTGCAACTTCTCAAAGTCGCGCTGGTACTCGGTAAGAAAGACCTTTGCGTCGTCGCCATAGTTGTGCTTAATGAGGTCCAAATAGGAATACACGTAGATTGGCCACAACAGCTTCGACAACTCAAACTATTTATCATTAGCATGCGTTGCTGCAACAAGAACTGGGTTGTCCTACTTTGTAAAGATCGAGATTGTTTACGACCCAGGCTTTCAACAACTTAAATGCCTTGCCATATTTCTTTGGGCCTGATGTCTCAATCTGGACAATAGGCTTGCCGTCCGAGCCTAGATGCTTCGACTCTTGGCGAAAGACTTCTTCGGTGCGGTTGAAACCTCGCTTGAGCAGGTAATCTGTAACCTATAGAAACCAGTCAGTATCAGTAGCTATTCATAAGTCATATTGTTTGGGCTCAAGACGGTTTGGAAGTGGCGAAGGTCCCTTTCCGAAGCCATTATGTATGGTTTATTGCGAACCAACTCGATAAAAGTGAAGTGTGTGGCAGAAGGTATGGATCAACTAACAATCTGGTTTAAATTTTGATTTGACATGGTGCCACCAGAGTTGGTAGCAGCACCAGTTCCTGAGGCGGCGGGCACAGCAGGGGACCCGGAGGCGCCACCTGCCTGACCTGCAGCTTGAGCGGACATTTGGAGCGTTTGTGAATTAAGAATCGGAGGGGATCGGAGGTATTGGACGTGGTGACTGGGCGGTCACGATGGACGGTGACGGTTGGGTGAAGGGACGACTCGTCGCGCGCGGGCTGACGCGCGGGGATGGTGAATTGCGTGCACGATGAGAGTAATTAGCGTTTCTATCACGATGCAGTGGTAGAGTCGAGGCAGACTATTCGAAATCGGATTCGTAGCGATTGATTAACGAAGCCAGTTCGTTAATTCGGGATGATTGTTAAGAAGGGTACTTGGCGGCGGAAGGATGGAGCTTCACGCTGCGCCAGGCAATAGCCGGTGTTTAAGCGGCGCATTCCGAGTCCTCGGCCAGCAGCTAATCGCAGGCGCAAGTACGCTGACCAGAATAAATAAATTAAGATGCAAAAGCTTGGGACGATCTGCAAATGGTTTCATGTAAAAATAAATTCCCAATTTAGTCATTTCCCGTGTGGAATTGCTGAATGGTGCGCCATCGGCTGCAACGACCAGCCTAGATCTTGATCTGGAGATACCCACATCAGTAATGTGAACATCTCCCCATCATCCAAATCATCATCAACTACTCATATTGTCCGTAAATCGACCACTATATTGTTTTACTGGATCAATCGTCTCTATCAATCTTAGCTACGCTCCATTCTCAAGCCCGACCGCAGCGTGCCACCAGAAGCTGTTGCCCCATAGCTCGCCACCATGGCATCAGAAGACATCGCCATGAGCGACTCGGAGAAGCAAAGCAGCAAGCCATTTACAGTAGAAGAGAATATCCAACAGTTGAATTCTATCGACAAGCGTATCGTGGAGCTTATGAAGCACACGTCTACTGCACTCAACTCTCTCACCACGCCGACAGTTGGCGACGACTCCCCCAACTCAGAGACAGCTACCTTGGACCCTGCGGCGCAAAAAGAAGCCTTTAAACAGGCAACAGATTCATTCGTCACAACGCTTCATGGCATAGATGTGCATTTAAAGCGTCAGATTATGGCCCTGGAGGAGGCGGGCATCATCAACCTCTCGGCGGCAGACAAACAGCCGCAAACCGGGCCAAATGCAACAACAAAACCTTCATTACGGCCCAACGGAGTAGGAACCGTAGGAAACTTGGATGTTGGCTGGCTCAACAGCCGAAGCACAAGGGTAGAACGAGACATGGAGGCTGAACTCTGGGGCCAGGCCAAGTCGCTGCTTGAGCGCGAGACGGGGAGCTCGTAGACAAACATTTCACATATGGCGTTTGGGGAATATACTTTATGTATTTTTTTATGAATTTTTGAAGCCTAAAACTTTGGTGGTTGGTGTGAACTTTGACGAAATTGGCATGGCGAACTTAAATAGGCTTCTTCCACCGATCTCTGGGTTCCCCTTAGCTACTCTTCAAACATTATCAACAACAACATCGTCATAATAACCATGAAGCTCATGTTTGTGACTTTCCTGGGGGCTGTAGGAGCTCTAGCTCAGTCTATGCAGATGCCCGACAATACAACACACTCACTAGGCAACCCGTTCCGCTTGGTTACCATCCAGCGACCCGTTCCCAAGTGTCAGCACAGCCGACCAAGTATAATCAGTTACATCGAGAATAAGAGCTTCAATTTCTCTCAAGTTATTTTCCCAACTGACCTCAAGGCTCCTGTTTACGGCTACACTATTGATAAGGAGTGGCTTCAGGGACACGTGCTTCAAGACTCCATGGTTAGTACTTAGCCGTGACGTTGAAGCGGACTTCCATTAACAGCGGCAGCTATCTGTTGAAGGAACACATAATGAAAACGACTTTCGATGGAGATGCATGCTTAAATGCCTAGAAAACTACCGTTGCGCATCGTGGGGGTTTCTAATGAGTATGTGGGCATGATATACCCTGTATGATATTGCTAACTGGCCCAGGCCGCACTGCGACGACTAAGAACGGCTTGATGGTCTGCCAGTTTTACAATGCTTTGTAGGTAGCTTACAGCGTGTATTTTGAGAACTGGCTAACAAAATATAGGGCTGGCGGAATCTTATTTTTTAAGCATGAAAAGGACAAGACGGGTTTGGAGCTTGTCAGCGTACATAATTTGGTGTGCCCTTCTGATGTACAACGATATGTGGATATGTCAGACGTTGGGGATCAGATGGATTATGCTGCAAACAATTTTAGAGAAATGGAAAAGGACTCGGGGCTGACCAGAAGCTCTGATGGCGAGCTAACAGAGGCGGAAGAGGAGTGGCTTCGTATGCGGGAGGAGAAGCGGATGAAGGAGGCTGACGATAACCAGAAATGGGTGAAGCCAGTAAATGGAGTGAAAAGACACTCAGAGAAGAGGAGAGCGAGAGGATAGTTAAACTTTTGCCTTGGAGTAGACTACATTTTTTTCTTTCATGTAGACGGGATATTTAGTATTAGAGGGTGGCCTGCCATCAATAGCCACATAGGTGCTGTCAATGAGCGAGAATACTAAAAAATACACATAAAAAAGACCACTAAAGAAGCTGGGCTATGTTTACTGTTGACAATGCCATGATTGTATCTCTCCTTCCAATGCGGCTTTGTTTCTTTATCTTGTTATACTATCACCACATGCCGTAAAAGTGCATGTATGGTGGGGGATGAATAGCAGCCAGCTGGACCACCCACTGTAAGGGACTGCTACGACACAACCCACCGAGACCTGCCAACCCATTTTCAGGCCCCCCCTCAGGCCCCCAGCAGGCCACAGCCACAGCCAATCACTGCCACGCCAAATGTCAAGCGGGTCGTGGGTGCCACGCAGCATCTTGTTAGCGGCGACCCTTGAGCCTCGTGTCGCCCTCCCCCTTTGAAAGCGTGCAACGCACAAGAACCAGAGCCTGGCTTTCTTCCCCTCCTTTGCTCAAAGCAAATTCATCTTTGGCGTGGGAATCTCGCAGACGAAACAGAGAACCCGAATCTCTCATTCGTATTGTTTTCGATTGTAGCAACTGACACCACCACCCACACGGGGTGCCCTTTTCTTCCCTCCGATCGACCCGAACACCATCGAACTCCCGAACACCACATATCCCAGCAATGGCCATGACATCTAGACGGACGGCCATGGCCTCGCCTGCAATGCTGCTCCCACTTGTAGCATTTGCGGCCGTTGCGCATGCCCACGAGCACCACGGCGACAACATTCCGCCAGGAGAGGCCGTCTCCAAGGAGCCCATTGTACGAACGGAGCCTTTTTTCAACTTTACCACTCTGAAGACTAACAACATATAGGATACGACGCTGTGGATGCACATTTTCGTGCAGATGCTTGCATATGGCATTATTTTCCCCATTGGCATGGTCCTAGGCGTATGTATCTCTTATGCGACAACCGTTTGTCCATGGACTGCCTTGCTAACCCGCCCTAGATCTCCAAGAACCGATGGCACGTTCCTCTCCAGATTTTCGGATCCTGCCTCGCCCTTCTCGGCTTCTTCCTCGGTCACGCACATGGCGGACGCCAATTTGTCGGCGGCAACATTCACGAAATCTTTGCCAACATTCTCCAGCTCCTCCTGATCGGCCAGATTGTTCTGGGTCTGTATCTCAAGGGCCACTGGGAGCGTGGGCTCAACGGCGCCATCCGCAAACTCATTCGCCCCTGCCACTCCGTCATCGGCAAGGCTATGCCTTTGCTTGCCTGGGTACAGATGGTCTTTGGTGGCATCACCACGCTGGGCTTCTGCCAGGGTGACCATCTCGGCCAGTGCGCCGCACACTTCATCATGGGCGGCGCCTTCATCGCCTACGGCATCGTGCTGACGCTCATCCTGCTCGTCGGCCAGTCGTGGATCCGCAGCACCGGCCGTTCACAAGAATTCTTTGACAGCGCCATCATCGCCGCCTGGGGCTGCGTCAACACGTTTACCGAGCATCGCTGGGGCACTGCCTGGGTCAAAAACGACTGGCAGCACACCACCATGGGTATCATTTGGTGGTGCGCTGGTTTGGCGGGCATGTGGCTGAGCCGCGACCGCGACGGCAACCCCAAGCGCAACTTTATTCCTGGATTTGTTATCCTCATGACCGGCTGGGCCATGTCAGCGCATCCCCAAGAGCTCATGGTCAGTGCCATGACGCACGCCACTTTTGGCAAAACCCTTATGGGCGCTGGCGCTACCCGCATCATCGAGATTGCGTTTGTCCTCAAGGACAAGCAATCCATTGCCGAGGACGGTCGCTCCTGGAACAGCTTCCAATATGTCCCCGTTTTCGTACGTCATTTTATCTCTATTTTCATTGTCCATCGTAGCTAACATGTCTGTCCGCAGCTTCTGTATGCCGCCGGCTTTCTCTTCATGGGTGCCACCGAGGAGCAGATGCTTCTCGTCGCGCAGTCCGGCATGGACGGCGTCTCGTACGTCCTCATCATGTACTCTGTCGCCTTCATCATGTTCCTGTTCAGCAACATGCTCATCCACCTGTATGACCGCCTTGCCAACCCCAACTCGACCAAGGGCTACACAAGTGCCAACGGCCACATCCGTCTGGACAGCAACGTCGAAGCTGGCCGTGTACGCGACGCCGAAGAGTTTGAACTCGAGGGTCTATCCAGCGACGATGAAGGCGAGGGCCACGGCATGCTGCACGAGCAAGCCAACGGCAACCACGCCCACAAGACTACACAGAACTAAGGTGAAAGTTGGGAGCAGTGCTGAACACAGCGCAAAATGGCATTGGTTCATGGCGTCTAAACGGTTGTTTTTTTCTGGGAACTTTTCTTTCTCTATGTTTCGAATCTCGTTCATTCGCATTCATTAGTGTCTTTATTACTTTTTGTAGATTGTCTAGCACGATGCATTTATTCATCTTGGTCTCGTTTCGTTTCTTCACTACACAGGCAGCGGGCCCTTCCCTCTCCACACCCCTGCCCGCCGCCATGCTAAAGTGACAATCGCATGCCCGTTTTGGGCCTAACTAAATTTCGGCGGGGCGAAAAAGTTTCCAACGACACCGACTTGCTACAGAATTTCCAACCTCTCTTCTCTCCGCCCCAATCTACAATTTTCTTAATCCGTTTTCGAAGCAATCTATCACCATGCCCTCCGGAGGAAACCTCAACGGCCTGTCCAAGAACCGCCTTGCGGCGCGCGCCTCCAAGGCCCGCAAGCAGCGCACCAAGAAGTCGGTTGCCGGCAAGCACAAGATTGAAAAGGCGGATGTGCGCCGCGGCGCAAAGCCCGGCTTGTTGCCTACCAGCGGCCCCAATGCCCGTATCAGCTCAAAAAAGGCGAAGAAGCTCGAGAAGAAGCTCGGTTATGCTGTGCAGCGAAGCATGGCTGCGTCGGGAGAGGCTGTCATGAAGGGTGAGTGTGGGCAGCGAGCGAACAATGTATGTGCTGGGGCTAACTGAGAATAGATGCTGCCGAAGAGGATGTCAGAGACGGCCCGGACGAGAACGAGATGGAGGGTATTGCTTAGAGAGTGGATTGGGAGGCGCGATGCTGCACACACACACACGTACTGAGTTATATGGATTTTGCTTTACATGGTTGGCGTTTGGCTTGTCACGTCTTTAATGAAATCTTATTTGGCCAATAATGAAATGACAATGCGAGTGAATTGGTGAATGTGTGAGGTGACAGTATCGTGTATTGGAGCAGGTGGCGGAAAGAGTAGCCCAACTAGATGGTAAGAGTAGCATCGAATCGCACGACGGGCTAGATCCAGCAGGTCAATTTACCGCTCGACTTCCGCTTATAATGAAGTTTGCTTTAGAGATAGCCAGTGTTCCCCACAGGAGGTCTGCATCTGGTCTGGAAGAAATGCCGTCATTTTTAGCTGTAAACTTGTGCTATCTTCCGGACCCCAACAATCCTCGAGCACGACTAGATCCTCAATACGCCTACCAACTCTTTGTACTTGATCAGTGAACTAAATACGACGGCACACTCCATCTGTAATACCCATTATTCCATTTATATACCTTCCCAACCCCGTGTCAAGGCATCTTGTACATAGACAAGCATCTCCAGCTCGTCAACTTGCCCTCTGCATTGCCACCCGGCTTGCCACGATAGCTGCCAGCTGCCACCAGCTGCCACACTGCACAGACCGCACAGCGAATCATTACCAAAGTGACACCTTTGGGCTTGGCAGCATGATTCAACTCTCGTGCAAACGCCCATCTGTTCATGCTTGCGCGTCCCTGTTCCACCTGCAACTCTTCCCACGGTCGTAGGTACGGCATCTTGCGTCTACACTGCACTCTCCAACCCCAACCGCCACTTACAATGCCTCGCCAGCCAAAGCCCAAATCCAAACGCATCGAATTCATCACCATTTCCGACAGCGATACTCCGTCCAAACCCAAACGGCGCACCGTCAAGAAGAAACGCCCCTCTCGATCCAAGAAACAGGCCGAAGTCATCCACATAGACAGCGACGCCGAGCCATCCCTCTTCAATCCTCACCAAACCCTCTTCGCAGAACCTATCAACTGCTTCTTCCCTCCCGCACTGAAGCCTGTACTCATAATCCCACCGACTGCAAACAAACACCTCACCTCACGCAGTAAAGACCGCCTGTCCTGCGCAAAGTCCCTACATCGACCCCTCGAGAACCTATGCTACGGTCTTGACTGCGTGCTCACATGGACCGACTACGTCGCCTTCGGGGACCTGCAGACCGAGATCCACGAGCGTCTAGAAGACCATGATGTCGCAATGAGTCTAGGCGTGGCGCTCCGCAACAGACTCATCAAACTAGGCAATGACAGACTGAAATACTGCCAAGAGCACAACATACCCTTGGAAAGGCTGTTCATTGGTCGAGGCGGACTCCCCGTTATACTTGCTGCTGATATGCCAGCTGCAGCGCCACAGAGCATAGTGTCACTTACAAGCGCTGCGCTGCAGATCCCGTCTCCAAGCATCGTCTTTAATGTAGAACCCATGTGCTACTCGTCGTCATTCTCCTCGTTTATGGAGACAGACCCCCATGCCATCCTGGACATCGAGACTACCCTTCAGCCCCGCGACACACGCCACATTGTGCACGATGTTGACGTCTATGGTGCTGGTGATCAAGTTAACAAGATGGACTTTGAGGTGTACCTTGCGCCACCGGACTCGGAGATATGCGATACCCAAGCCATTGAAATGGTAGTGGACAATGTAGAGGCCTTGGAGGCAAAGACAGGCGACCTAGGCGGTGTTGACATTGAGGTGTATGATGAAAGTGCGACGTCCGCAAGCGCTGATTCTTACAACAGCATGTATCAACATGGCTTGGGCGGCGTGGATGCCAACATGCACGTCTACGATGGCGTTTATAAAAGTTGCCCTACGCTCCCTCAACAGGATATGACTACAGCTATCGATACAAGCATTCATACAGCTATAAACAACGGGCTGTACTACAACAATTGGATAACGGCGTACACTGGCGATGCTGGGCCAGACGTAGATCTGTATAGCGCAGACTAACATGGCAACAACTCCGGCCAAAAGAACAAAAGAATGGCTCATAAGAATGGATCATATCAATGGGAAAGAAGAATTATGTCATCAGGATTTTGGGGGAAATACCACGTACACAAGCAGATTTGGTCATCATAAAGATCTACCAGTAGCATTAAAGAGTTTAGCAGGCGAAAACACAAAACGTTTTGAATTGACTGCGTTGCCAAATATTGCGACGCCAAGTCTAGGTCTATACTCTATAGTTTATTTGCATAAAAGTCACCATTCTCTACAATACCATTCTTGATGCCTCATTCAATCTCTTCTATGCCACGCTGACTAGGCAACATGATGGCACGGTCAAGCTGATATGGTAGTCCCCTGTGGCGGCCACGAATCATCATTGCACAGATGACAACCTTGCTGAACGTGTTGAATTGGCCAGACAGCGACGTGGTCACTGTGGGATAGCCCAAGCTTAGACCAACATTGCCACTACACAATCAGTATCATATTCTCATACAGCACAAGAGTAAACAGTCAACTTACTATGCGGAAACGACTTCGAAGAAGATGGGGAAAACGGCAAACGCCTGCAGCCGTTAGTGGGCGCCTATACTACAGCGTTGATGACAACTTACCGGCTCCTCGGGATCCATAACCCGCTTAGACTCCGACACGAGAATGCAAAAAATGCCCAGGAATATATACCACAGGTCAAAACTCAGCTGATTCTGCATGTGAGTCAACAGGTATGAGCTACCGTTGTTCTCGTTTGGATCACCTTCGCGCTCGTACACTCCCAGAGACTTTTCCTCATACGTGTTGGACGCTCGCAAGGCAACAGCCACAGGAAACACGGCAATGTACATCATAACCAACAGACTGAACTGGACGGCTGGGTTGACGTTGGCCAGGTTGAAGGTAGCAGTTCCAGTATGGCGTGACGAGGCTGCTTGGAAAATGGCCGCCAGGATCCGTGGGCCTATCGGCAGAGCATTGACTTCCGGATTATCCAAGTCCAAAACAATGATGAGGAGAGTGTCGATAAAGTTGAGCGCAAAGATGATACCGAACAGAGCCCATGTGGTGCCAGAGGGGAACAGCAAGGTATAGCATCGACGAGGATGATCGAGTAAGAAGGCGAGGGATTCACGGGTGGAGGCCGATTTGGGGTACAGCTTATACATGATCCAGATGACGAGACGTAAAAACACGGGGTAGAGCGTGTTTCCTGCAAAAGCCAAAAACGACATGACAAACATGGGCCATTCCGCGTCTCGAAACGAAATCATCGAATCCGGGGTCAGGGTGAAGCCCAAGTTGCTGATCATGGTTTGGGACGAGTAAAAAGCCCTAAATACTTAGCAGGCATCGACTTAAAGGGACAGAAGCGTACTCACCACCAATTCTTGTCTTGTCCGCATTCCGCAAGATATTCCCTATACTTTGGGTTTGCATACTGGATCCAGCCAACCAGGGAAATGGCACCAAAAATGTGAAGACCGACAAAATAGCCTACAGTTATTAAGATACATTTAAGGAATGAAGATTCAAGGGTGCAGCACTTACCGGATGCAATCTTTAGAAGCAACTTGAGCGCACGGTACTCAATACCGCCAAGAGCGGCACGATCTGCAGACGTCAGGTTGTGGAACTGTGAGTTGCGGCCGAGAGTAGCCTGGCTGGAGAGGAAAGGCCTGTCGTTTAGCTCTGGCTGCTGAGACTGCGCTGAGGGCCTACGCTGCAGACGACTGGGCTCAGAGCCAATAACAAACATGGAGGTGGCCACATTAGCCACTCGCTCAAGAGAGCGTGCTTCAGATAGGCTCGGGGCATCTACGCGGCGGCGAAGGCCAGATTTGGACGAGGGCCCCGGAGCAGGGGCCTCTCTAATGGACAGGTCTAGACAAATAATAAGTTAGATGCCGTGGAATACGGACCGGAAGGGGGGTGTGGGACATGGCGTTTAACGGCGCAAGGATCCCACCGTTTTTGTGGTGGTGAGCCAACTAGGACGACCGTTTTGAAGTCCAACGGCCAAAAGAGGCGCGGCCGATGGATGGGTGGAGACTAGGAGATCTTACCGTCTTGGCTCTCGGCATATTCTTTGTCGAGCTCAACCAGTGGATGGCCATTATCACGCTCGCGCGGGCCTGGGATGTAAAGCGCGGCGTCCATTTTGGGATGATTATCCTTTTCGGCTGTCGCATCAAATGTGATTGCGCGCTGGGGTTCAGCAGCTTCGCCTCGCGCCTCACTAGACCTCGTCTCTGACCTCGAGATGGCCTCACCAGCAATGGCATTCGTACGAACATTTGGCTCTTCTGGCGCGCGAGCATCTACAACAGTATTGGCACTAGTCGAAACCGCGTAGCTCTTGCCACCCTCGATATCACGAGTGGTATCTTCATCCCGCCCGAGCAACTGGGGCGCTGGTGCAACAACCATAGGTCAGCCAAGCCCCTCACAAAACAGAATTAGAAAATACTCACCGACATTGGACAGATGTTTCTTAAACCAAAATAGTCGTACTACGACAACTATAAGGTTGACAAAGGCCAAGTTTGTCAAAATCGGGATGAAGTAGATGTAGAGCTGCTGGTACAAGTCAAACGACTTGATATCGATACTGCACAGCCTCACCATTAGCAAAGAAACACGCTTGTAACAAGGCACTTATACGGACGTATTGAGTCCCGATTCAGTCGAGGCGCTTGCTCCAAAAAAGTAAGCGTCGATAGCAGACATGTTCCCTCTAGGATAGAGGACCACAATGGCCAGCAGGCTCATGAAGATGATGTATGCATCTACACACTCGTGTTAGCCACCGTTTTGAACGCCGCAGGAGGGCGTGCACGCAAGACGATACTCACAGTGAAGGGTGACGAAGTTAATGGGAACTCGCCACATATCCGATATTCGCGCAAGCGTTCCTAAACAAGACGGCCGTATTTGACGATAGACAACACGGGAGGTGAGATTGGCTCAATGTAAAGGAGGAGGGGTGGGCGTGAAGAGAAGAAGAAGAAGTCAGGGTCTAGATCCGTCTGCTCTTACAGGGCACGCCACCGAGGGGGGTTCTTGTCTAGGGGCAAAAGAAAAACGAGGACAAAATAGGAACAGAGAACTTTTGTATCTAGTATATATTCTAAGGAATTAGAGGGTCCCAGGGTACATGCAGCCTGATCACAGGCACGGGGCATGGACTGTGAAGGGCAAAGGCAAGGTCATGGCCGTTTTGGTTGGTGTTTTTTGGTGGTGGCTTGGGCGGCCGCCAGTCTAGACGAGACGCGGCAGCTGCCAGGCAAGTGGCAGAGCTGGCAAAACGGTGGGCAGGAGGGTGCATTCATCCCCGGAGACCGTAATAAACTGACGCTTCTAGAGATCGATATCTACCCCCATCAGCCTGCACTCGTTTACTGCTCTGCGAATTTCGTTTTTTCTTCTTTCCCATTACCAGTTACTTCTCGATGCGCTGTTTCTTCTCTGCCGTCACAATGCCAAGACAACATGCTGCTCATCGTGCCCATCAGGCCTTGGCAAAAGCCTACTCTGTTTTTCCTAGTACTGTGCTGTAGCTGGTTGGTTGGCTGGCTACAAGCGACCGCCCCTGAAGGGCCTGTAGTTTAGCGGTCTCGGGGGGGATATTGTAGGCTCGTCAGTGGAGCAACTGTGCTGAAAAATGTCAGTGGCTGTCACTTGGTCTTGGCTAGCGTCCAACAGGCGCCGTTGAGATGCGATACTGCCTGTGCGCGCAAGGTTTAGTGAAAATGTCTCTACACTAAAGGATAAAAGGGACAAGATATTATAGCTATAGCTAGTTGTTGGCTATATTTTAGAAGCGAATGTATAGTGCTTGTGAGGACACGACTGATGCCCATTACGATGGCCTTTCAAGCCAGCCTCGTCCCTCGCACCCACAGACCATGCTCACTAATAATCGATAAATACCGCATCACACGTTGGTAATGTCACTAAGAGGCCTCAAACTTGATTGCCGCCGATTTCTACACCAATCAATCCGTCAGCTTTTCAAAACCTGTTCGAGGACTGTGCCGCCGCTCCACTACGCCACACCTCGCTTGCAGCGCCTGCATTTTCCAGCACGGACATCACATATGACCACGAACAGCACGAGAAGCGTTGTAGCCAATTACCACGATCTTCTTTGCAACTATAATAAGATTAAGGATGATGTATCACAAGAAGAAAGTTAAAAGTATTGAAAGTTTGCTTCAATTCTAATCCTACAAGTATACGGAGAAAATATCAAAGACCACCTCCGCCAAACAAGCAAACACATATAAGTTCCCTATCCCTCGACGCCCTTTCTAAATAAGAAACAGCCTTATAAAACAAACAAAAAAAAGATCAAGAAGAGCAAAACCCTCTTCTTTTCACCATTACAAAAGTGTCAGCCATTGCCCCTAAAGGGTCAGTGTATGCACTGGCTCGTCCCTGTAGTACATCGTTTGTGTTAAGACAGCAAAGAGAAAGAAACAACAAAACAAAAGGGCAAAAGCTGTCAAGCAAGAGCGCGAAAAAAAAACAAAAAAACAAAAACGGAAAACAATCCCACCATGCTATTTTCTCCCCCTTCTTTCTATTACAATTAGATGTAAATCAGCTTCTGCATTCGCAACTCCATTATAGATGCGGCTTTCAAGAAGTATCTAGACAGCTCCGTCAGCTGCGGCTAGGCGCTGCTTTGCAACCTTTGCCTTCTTGGACAAGCCACCCTTTGGCTTTGGTCCACGTTTCTTAGGCGCCGTCTCGGATGGCGTTGCTGTGCCAGATGCTCCAGGCTTTTGGCCGTCGTCAAAGTGGCCTTCGCCTTCATGGTACATGTCGTCCAAGCTGGCCGATGCTTCGGCCTTCTTCTTGCGACCAGGCTTCTTCTTTTGCGTGTCATATGCACCAGACTCGAGAAGCTCCTTCTCGCGCTTCTCAATCATCTCCGCTTGCTCGTCATCCGCTAGCCACATGGCAATATCGCGGTTACGGTTCTCAGGAGCGCGACGACCAGAGAAATCAACACTAGCACCGCCACCTTGGATGACAACGCGCTGCACTTCTTCCTTTTGCATAGCACGCTTGCGAATACGTTCTTCAATAGTACCCCGGGTGATGAGACGGTAGACCGTGACTTGCTTAGTCTGGCCAAGACGATGGGCTCTGTCCATGGCCTGCGAGTCAATCGTAGGGTTCCAATCGGAGTCGTAAAAGATAACGGTGTCGGCAGTTGTAAGGTTAATGCCCAAACCACCAGCTCGGGTGGACAGCAAGAAAATGAAGATTTCAGGGCGAGTCTGGAAGTCATGCACTGTGTCACGACGATCCTCGAGCTTCGTAGAACCGTCAAGACGGCAGTACTTGTAGTTTCGGTATGTCAGATACTCCTCCATCATGTCAATCATACGCGTCATCTGGAAGTAGAGCAGAACGCGATGGCCCTCAGCCTTGAGTTTGGTAAGCAGCTCATCCAGCTTGGCAAGTTTGCCACTATCCGTGACAAAGCGTTGCATAGACGGCACAGTAATATCGGTAAAGCGCTTCTTTTCGTTGTCAGGTCGGGGTAGCACTGCTGCAGGTGGGTACAATGCAAGTGGCATCTTCTTCTCCACGAGGGCAGCCTCCTCTCCGTCCCCGATGCCATACAGACGTTTGCGCAAGGGCACGTTGAACATGACGTTTTGACGTTCCCGGCGGGCGTTGGGGTGATTGCAGAGCACCTCGATAGGCGGCGCCGTGGCACGCGGCCGGCCAGCAATCTCCAGACGGGTGATGCCCGAGTCAGTATAGCTTTCGGTCGCAACGTTCAGCAGATTAGACATGACGCCTTGTTCGGTAATGTCAGCCAATGGCTTACGATCCTGACGGTCGCAAATCTTGAACATTGCATGGTTTGGAACATAGTTCTCCTGGTTCTCGTCATCGTAGCACGCCTTCATGTAGCCAAGGCGGGGACGCCTCTGCAACTCATCTGCAGCCCGATTAAACACGTCCGAGTGGGTAGTGTTGTAGACTTCACCAGCTGACATGTCAGCAAATCGCAGCCAGCTAAAGACCTTGTCCTCGCTCGCATTGTCGCGGACATGTTCCGGAGACCAAATGTTCATCATGTGATTGAGCGCCTTGTTTCGCCATCCTGCAGTGGAGTTGTCGGGGCCGGCCTTGTCCAAGCGGCCGCCATCGGTCCAAACTAATGACGGTAACTCATACTTGACCAAACTGCCCACTGAGTATCCAACATCTACATTAGTGCCCTCACGCACAAACGAGGCGGTTTCGGCAAAGTAGCTGAAAGAGTATGGTGACTGAACATCAGCGCGCTCAAAGAGGTCAGGGTGGTTGCAGACCTTTCGGAACTGCATGACCAAGTTCATGAGAGTGCCAGAGTCCTGGTCATCACCCATTGTGGCCTTCTCCACAAGATCCATGAGGTTAATCTGATTGCGCAGGTTGGTGTAGTACGCACGCTGGCGGTAGGTCAGGTTGCAGAAGATGTCTAGTTCAATCTTGTCGCCCAGCTCCTTTTGCACGTGCTTCTTGACACGACGCAGCATAAAGGGCTTGAGAATCATGTGCAGACGCTTGAGCTGATCTTCGTTGAGTTTGGTGTTACTTTGTGCGTGCGACTCAATATCCTTGGAGAACCACTCGCTAAACTCGTCGTGTGAGTCAAAAAGTGACGGCATGATGAAATGCAGCAAAGCCCATAGTTCTTGCATGTTATTCTGGATGGGCGTTCCGGTAAGGAGCAGTCTGTTTCTGCAGTGGAAGCCTAGCAGAGACTTCCAGCGAGAACTGCTGGAGCTCTTGATAGCCTGGGCTTCGTCCAGAATCATGTACTGCCATCTCATCTTTTGGAAGTAAGCCACATCAGACACAACCAATTGATATGACGTGACACAGACGTGGAAAGCCGCATCCTTACGGTATGTGCCGTGCTTGCGGTCCCAAAACTTTCGCAGGACCTTACGGTCACCGGCACTGCCCCAGTAAGGCAGAATCTTGAACTCCGGCACAAATTTGACGATTTCTTGCTGCCAGTTGTGTAGAGTAGAAGCGGGGGCTACGACAAGGAAAGGGCCCCAAATGTCGTGTTTTTCGGCCAGGTAGGCCATGACGGAGATGGACTGCACCGTCTTGCCGAGACCCATCTCATCTGCCAAGATGCCGTTGATACCCTGCTCGTAGAGGTTGACGAGCCAGTTAAGGCCCTTGAGCTGGTATTCTTTAAGCTGAGCATTGAGAAGCTTGGGCTGTTCAATCTCGACATCACCGAGGCCGGTTGGGTTCTGGAAGTTCATTTCACCTTCGTCGTCCATGTCGAGGCCTTGGTTGTTGAAGTCACGAGCCTTCTTTTGTGCCTCAGCAATGGCATTTTGCGCATTTGCCACGGCAGCCTGCTGCAAGACAGTCTCGTCCTCCTCGTCAAAATCGAGATTCTCGAAATCGGTAACCTTGCCCAGGGGTCCTGTAGGTTCGGCAACATCGAGCTTGGCTTCGGCGATGCGGTGAGGATCCTTGGCAATGTCGGGGTTATCGGTGCTGCGTTCGACCTCGTCCGTCTTGATCTTCTTGCCGATAAAGTGAGAGTACAGCTCGGTTTGGGAGATGAGGAAATTGAGCTTTCTCTTTTGTCGGGCGGATTCACGCTCGGCTTCTTCCTTGCGAGCGTTTTCAATCTCCTGCTTCTCGGCTGCCTTGCGCAAATCGCGCTCCTCGCGTTCGTTGCGCTTCCAGAAGCCCATCATATCACGCATGACACGTTTAGCACGCGCTTGGAGATCTTTGGTGCCCTTGTTAGTGCGTAGCTGCCAGCGCTTCGCTTCCTTGGAGGCCAGGATGGCAGTCTTTTTGAGATTGGAGCCCTTGGTGGCGTATGAGTCCACGGCCAGCTTAAATGTTTTGTTAACATCCTTGCGTGCAAGATCTCTCCAGATCTGGTCGTAAATCTGGTTGTAGCCCTTGGACTGAAATCGCTTCTCCGTATCGGGAATGTCGTCTTCCTTTGGACCATCTCTCTTTGACTTGCCCTTGATTTTGATACGAACACGGCCCTCTTCCTTAGGAAGGTCGTCGCCGGCGTCCATGGCGGCTTGAGCAGCTTCTGCAGACTCCTTTTCAGCCAGCTTCTGCTCCTTTGACTTCTTAAGTCTTCCGCCCCGCTTGCCTTTGGGTTTGCCGGACTCGGTGTCGGAGGTCAGAATGCTGCCGTCAAAGCTAACATCAAAGTTTCGTGCAGGGCCCTTAATACCCTTTTGAAGAATAAGCTTGGTCTGCTGAGCCTTTTTGCTGGCACGCTCGGCATCCCGCAGATGCTTGCGTCGTTCCGTCTCATCCTCGGCGGCATCGGCACGGGCGAGAGCGGCCTCCTTCTGTTCAATGGTGACAGCCATGGACTTTTCACGGCGGCGCTTGCGTTGCATATCCTTTTTGCGTTCCTTTTCAGCATGTACCTCTTGTTCCCGCACCTCGTTAAGGGCGTCATCGTAAAATACATCATCGTATCGTCGCTTGCCAGCATCGGCCGGGCCGGAGAGCTTCTTGCCCTCGACGCGAACAAAATGCTCGCGGCGAAGGAGTGTCTGAGATGTTTCGAGTTGGTGCATAGCCAGCTCGCGCTTTTCCGCACGTCGCTTATATTCGTCCTCATCAAACTCATTTTGGTCAAGCTTAGAAGCCTTACGGTCGATTTCAGCCTCTTCGTTTTGAATCTTGCGCTCCATCTCGTTGGACCAAGTCTTGACTGCCTTGGGCTCACCATTGGCTTGCCTCTTGCCAGATCGAGAGTTTGGCGATTCTTTCTTGATGGAAGTTCGTCGACCACCCTTGGGGCGCTCAGCCTCGCGAATGTCAGAGGCTCGGCCCTTAATAGAGCGACGAGCGACCTTCTTGACAGGGTCGGCCATGCTACGTCTGCCGCCGCGCTTAGGCTTGGCATCCGGCTCTGTATCAACATCTCTTTCCGGCTCGGTTTCATCATTGGCTACTGCGTCAGGATCCAGTCTTCGCTCGTGGGCCGATGCCCTAGGGGCAATGGTAGTGGGCGTGGACGACGTGGCAGGCCTTGACGTTGTGTCGGTAGATACTTTTGACGAAGGCTCTGCGCTTGAGAGAATGTTGGAGAATGACATGGGGTCGGCACGACTCGGCGTCTAAGAGGCATTGTTAGTAGGCAGGTCATCAAAGTTCATCGGAGCAATGGTGGAAACTCACGCTGACTGGCGGCGGAGCAGCTGGCTTCGGGGGTGACGACATGTGCATCTCGGGCTTGGCCAGGTGCGGCGTGGTCGAGCCATTTTGCGTGGGCTTGACGGAGCCATGAAGCAGTGTGGGTGAAGCCATGTGAGATTGCCTATTGGGCGGGCTCATAGAGCCAGCAGGCAGATTAGGATGCGAATGGGACAATGGGCTTCGAGGATGGTTGTAATTTGATGGCGAAGGGCGAGTAGGCGACGTGTAGCTGCCGTTGTAGTAGGCGTTTTGTTCGGCGGCCCCTTGCGAGTAAGGGTACGCCTCTCGTGGCTAGTGGAAGGAAATGGCCAGGTTAGTTATTTTTTTGATGAAAGAGAAATAAAAAAGGAGCGTGGATTGATGAAAGGTAGGCAAATGCGATGCCAAGGAGCAAGATAGAAGATGGAAAATTGTGGACGTGTCACCACCCCCAGTAAGCGTTTGCTAAGATTGCCACGAAAGCAAGACTGGTGGTTTCTGGGGACGCGATTTTTTCCCGACCCAGTTGATAGCGAGTGGGTGCGGATGCATCACGGCGATGAAACGTGGGCAACCTCAAAAGGGAAAAAAAGGGAGGGTTCACTTGAAAGGGATAAGGAATGGATTGGGGTTTGTAAATTTGAATTACCATCATCAGATAGTAAGACGGCGATGAAATTGCATCGTTTTGATGATGGAATTGGTGATGCACGTCGCGGTTGGTCACAGTTGGGGCGATGAGGGGATTGAAGAGCGCTGAACATACCTTTGGTGGTGTCGCTGCTGGGGCGCCGTGCCATCCATCAGCGGGCCGTCTATCAGAAGTTGTATCTGTTAAAGGGTCATAAACGCGGCCGGTCGGTGGTTTATCGCGAGAATGATGAGAATCCGCAGGATTATGCGCCGGCGGCTGTTGATAGTAGGATGTGGTGGCGTGCAGGGGCGACCTGGGCCTGGGGGGCGGCGGGTGCTGTTGCTGCTGCTGCTGCTGGCTGTGATGTGGTTGGTGATGATGGTGATGATGATTTGGGGACGAAGCATGCGGCGCCAGGGGAGGGGCGCCGTTGCTGGACGTGCCGTTGGGAGGCATGTTGGCGATGTCCTGCTCGTCGGGGTTGGGAGCGCTTGGTGCGCTGCGGTGTTTGTCGGCGCGATTCAAGTCGAGTGGTTGTCGCGCCGGGCGATGGTAGTGGTGGTGGTGGTGGTGGTGCTTGCGCTGGGCAGCGGCGGGAGACGCAGCGTCAGTGGTAGGGGGAGTGGCGCTGGTGCTGCTGGGGTGGTGATGGTGATGGTGATGATGGCGATGGTGGTGATGGCGATGGTGATGATGGTGGTGGTGATGGGGAGAGGCGGAGGAAGGGGAGGAGGCCTGAAAAGGAGCAGCGCCCGTCATCGCAGCAGAGGCACGGGAAGCACTGGCACCATGATGCTCGCTCGCTGGGGCGCGCAGGCTGAAGGTGGAGTGTTGGTGCGGCGGCGTGCTGCTCCCTGCGTTGCGCATGTCGCGAGGAGGATTCTGGGTGCCGCGCGAGTGAGAGGCCGAGTCCGGGGATAAGTCATGTGGTGCGGTATTCCCCATTGCGCCGGCTTCTTATGATTATTTTTTCTCAAGTAAGCTGCTCAAATATTGGTATTCGTGTTTTTCTTACTCAACCTCGTCTTCCTTCTGCAGCGCTATTTGGGGGGGGAGTGGGTGGTGTGAACCTTTTTTTTTTTGCTGCTAAGCCTGGCCTGGCCTTGTTTGGTAGGGCGGGCCCATTCGCTGCCAGCGAATCTGGAGGTGTCTCTTTTTGGTGTCGCGGATGGGCGCGCGTAGCTGGCACCGGTCTCAAAGAGGCAACAGAGGGGAGATTCAGGTACCGATTGTATGAGATGAAAAGGAACGGAGGAAATAAAAAAAAAGAAAACGCCTGGGAGATAACAGTATGAGTGAAACAAACCCGGGTGGATTTTTTGCCTCGTGCGGCTGCTGGATAATTAATTAAACTAGATCCAAAGCAAAACGCTATCCGAATCAAACACGCCGGATTCTTCGGGGTTGCTTTCGGTTGCTTTTTTTTCTGGGCTGCGCTCACCAGAAAGTGGGTATGGCTCGGCTACAGGCGTCGATGGTGAGAAAGTGCCCGCGATGTGTGGAGGAGAACCACCGGGCAGAGAACAGCGGACAGAGCTGGGCAAGGTATGAATAAAATATCTTCGATAACAAAGAGAAAAAAAAAATCATCAAATTGAAAATTTACAATCACGGAATGGAATAGAATGATGGTAATTTTATACAAGCGATTAGAGAGCTGCCAACGGGACAAACAGCCAAGCGCACTCTCGGCAGACCGGGGCCAACCAATTTTTTTTAGCCGTGACTGTGCGGTAGTGGCCAGATGTAACGAGATAAAAAACACACTTGACACCGAACGGTTTTGGTGATGTTTTCCTACCTGGGCTACTCTAGGGGCAAAAAAGGGGGGCCGGCTATACGGGAAGTGTTTGGCTGCGCCACTTACTGTAAGCCATTGCGGCTGGTTGCATGATGCATTTGCTTCGTGCACTAACCCAGCCAAATGGGAGTACAGTGTGCATATGTGTGTTAGGACAGTGCCATACTGTACAAGGCTTGGACTGTCACCACCACATACGGCCAGCTCGTCGAATTGGTGCACGCAAATCAGTTCAAGTATTTGACAGAACTCAACATGTCTAAAACTAGAATCAAATTTCATCCTTAATAGTGAAATTAAAGCCTACAACACTCCCAAGAATACGCCATGATGTCCCACAACGCCATCAGACGTCCTCATTGACATCTGTTGTGAATGCCCATCGCCCACGGTCCTCCACCAGCTGAACCTGGATACTCTTGGCTTCATCATAAAACTCCGCCGCCCGCTTACCTGCACTTGAACCACGGCCTCTGCCGTGATCTACGGCTCCTGTAAGCATTGGGAGCGTTGCGCCTTTCCAGTCTTCCTGCCACGACTGGTTACGGTTGCTGGCTGCAAGAACGGCAACAAAAAAGACCAATTCGAGGCCCAGCATGGCTGCTAAAAACGACAGAAACCCCCAGTGCACTTTTATACACGGTTGCAGGTCGTGCATGTCTCCCTGGGTTCTCATCAAACTCGCTGGTAGAGGGCCGTCACAACCCTTACTAGAGGATAGCTCAAAGCAAGTGTCACCGTTGCGCCGCATCTCGCTGCCAACGGCAATAGCCAGCCCTTCTGTAAAGTTGTTGACTGTATCCATAGTCATCTGCCCATTGTTCCACAGCTTCTTGACCCAGCCATCACCCTGGAATATAAACCCGGGTTGGGCTGTCAGACGTACAGCCCGAAAGTATTTGGGGAAATATTCACCCAGAGCATTCCACGGCCCGTAGCCAAATAAATGAGTGCATTCGGGGCGTTGCCAGACAGATGGATACTTATCACCCACAGACGGTAGCGGATTCATAGCTTGTATCTGTGGCAACACTATTTCCACCGTGTTTGTAGAGGTCGCGTGGTCCTCTGCAACACAGTTCTCCCAGACGCCATTCAAGAAGGTCCTATTTAACGCGAGCTGGAAATACTCCTTGCCTGGAACATGATGCAGATACTGACGAGAGAGCTCCTTCTCTGCATATCTACCGTTGGACACCTTTGCAGAGTACGTCTTGGCGCATGGCTGAAGACTACAGTCGAAAGCAAACATCTTCCAGTCGCAGTCCTGACGCCCTTGACAGTTGACATTCTTGGTGACATACGCTAAGCCTTGGAAATCAAACATCCCTGTTCGTTGCCAGTCACCATCTGGCCACATTTGCGTTGCTTTCCAAGGAGCCGGACCACCGCCACTGTCCATGGCGATCGCGCTACCATAGTTGGCAATCTGCCCGGAGTTCAAAGCGCCAAAGTTGCCCGTAAAATTGTACCCGTCGAGAGTATACAAAGTTCCATTCTGTACGATCTTGTCTGTGATATCCATACATGAATGGCACATATCAATCGTCACCACTGGATCTGCAAAGGTACAGTTGCCTGAGGGGCAAACAACACTCTTGGCAATGCCCTCCGATGTGTTCTGTGGTTGATTGTAAAGACCCTGCATAAGGGCAAACTGCATATCAACAGTCAATTCGCTTTGCCCTGCACCAGTGTGGAACGATGTGGTGTAGTTGTAGTGGCGGGGGATAGCGGCATCTCGGGGTCCAACAAAATCGCAGAGCTCAACCGACACGCTCGCCTGGGAGAAGGGATCGCTAATTACAGCAACAAGTGTGATGAATGCGCCGAGACTGGCAATTGTACTGCACCACTATGTTAGTGACACAAACTCAGAACCATGACAAGGTTTAACGTACGAAAGTCGCTCGCCACTAAACTGCCTCGCCAGCAATGTTAGGGATCCCCAAGCGCCATGACTTGCGAGATCAAATGTGTCGGCATTGGCCAGCCTCTGTCTCTTCTTGGCAAATGATAGCCACTTTAGCTGACTGATTCCTAAGCGGGGTGAGAAATGTGACTGATTTAGGTATCCCCTCGAAGAAGAAGAACGAAGGCAAAGGGCACATACCATTGGAGATTGGCACTGCTAGCGCTGCCCGGAAGATCGCCGATAAAATAGATACAACGGCGTTTATGGAAATAAGCGCTTTCCAAGCACTGAGGCCCTTATTTTCAAACTCCCGCAAAAGGAGGACAACGGCGATAAACGCTAGGCATCCAAGAGCTAGAAAGATAACCTCCCACGTCCAGATGAACCCTGCGCGCTTTGTACGTCCTTGTGAGTCCTTGTTTACCACGGGATAACTATCCGTAGGCCGATCCAGCGCTTCCGACGCATACGGTACAGGCTTGCGGGCAAATCCTTCGTACTGCGGCTTCGATTCAAAAGTCATGAGTGGCTGCTGTTGGGTATGAAGGTCACCGCCCTGATAAAACGCTGGAGAAGTGGTGTGTTCCATTTCTTTCGTACTCTGTTGGATAAATATGCCGCCAGCGCCATACACATGGCTCAAAAGAACACGACGGACACCCTCGTCCTTTTAAAGAAAGAGGCATCGCGAGAAGGGGCCTTTACGCAGGACAACAGGTGCTTTCCCATACTAAGACAAATCGCGAGGTGTACCAAGCTATGAAATAAGGCTGGACTTCAGCTGGCGCCAATATTGTTCAGTGAAACCCCGCAGAGAGCTCCAATGTTGCATGCCGTCTTTTCCGCGGCGATTCAACGGACGTTTCCATCTCGTCTGCTTGAACAACTTGCATGACGCTGTTTGGCGCTGCTGGCGCCACCGGGTTCAGCCGCTCCAGCTCCCGTCTCTGGATAGCAAAGCTGAACAGGAGGATTGCGATTCTAGAGCCATGCCACAGATATATGAAGAGCACAATTACGCGGCAGCAAAATAACAAACATTTTTCGCGGCGAGCAGTGTCTCCCTAAGGCCATAGTTGTGGTTATTGCAATGTAGCTCCAGCATATGTCACGGCTCGAGCCGAAATTATAGTAGGGACCCTTAGCGACACTACTGTACGCTGGCAGTCCGATGCCAAGAGATGCTAGCGCCGCCCTACACATGCTGCACCTACGTATTTGATCCGCTGCGGTAGTTCATTGCATTGGGTGATTACAATCGGGTTTCATTTATTTCACTAGTCGTCAGAGTTTATTTTCCTTCCTGCGTGCATTATACTGTTCATCAAACTAAATTGTCTGTTTATTGTATTTTCTCTTCCAATTACCTCTTGATACCTATTTCTTCTCTCATCTGTTTCCACAAGCAATACACTTCTGCTCTTTTTTTGATCTTATCGAGAAAAGTGTCTATTACTTTGGTCTTTTTTTTTTGTTGATTTTTGTTTTTCTTCTTCGTCTGTGCGGTCCTTACTACCACTATTGCGTAGGGTTGAGATGCGCTCGATACTGGTCAAGGCAATAGGGTAGAACAGCACTTCAAACCCCTCGCTGACGAATCCAGGTTGCCTCTGTCAAACGGGAGCCCGTAATAACTAACACAATATGGTTGATTAGACTAGTTCTTGGTCTATATGGATATCCAAGATACTCGTATGTGGTCCAGAGAGTTTGGCATTCTTCGTTATGAGAGAGATATTTATCACATGAATCGGGTCTATGTCTTGCCACGACTGGAGCCATATTAGTGCATGTATGTGATATTTAACAATAATTCAACATACGGATAACAGGACTCTCGTTTGGTATTTCCGTAAAGCATGACGTTTCTACGAGAGGGTTGCGTCAGATAGCTGTCTAGTTTTTGGAGCATGTAGAGTGATGTATCGTCGTTGTTAGATAGAGCATAATTAGAGAAAAACAGGGTTTATGCTTCGGAATTAGTAATTCATAGGGATTATGATAGGTGTCCAGTTAATTCATATATTTCATCTTTATGGATGATTCCTGGCTTCCCGCTGAGCTTGGTTAAACACTACAGTTGGAACTATAGAATTTGCAAAACCCGTGTTATTTCCGTCAGCACGACTGCAGTAAGCCTGGGGAGCGGCGAGTGACTGAACGCTGTAGGCAAACACGGGCAGCTGTTTCCATGGGCTTCCATACAAACGCAGCTATAGCAGGTGGCTGTGGAGCCCAAGAGCGCTTCCCCACCGCTCTGGTGCACGCATCAGGGTGCCCTGTACTTTTTCTGTGGCCTGCTGGCCAGGCCCCTGTAGAGAAGGCTCTCGCCCTCTGTAGAAGATTCCCCTCCCACTGAGCACAGCCCGCCAGCCCAGCCTCAGCCTGCCTGTCCGCCTGCCTGCCTCCCCGCCGACTGGGGCCAATCAGCGCCCCGCCACTTGCGTTGCCCGTTGCCGTGGAAGGCCACCGCCCATAGAATCTCATGGAACCTGGTGAATATCGGTGGCACAACCAGCTTGCCGCAACCCTTTTTAGTTTCTCCTCGCTTTCACTTTTTTCTCTCTCCTTCTTCTCTCTCTCCATCTCTCTCATCTTTTTTCCCTCCCCCAAAACTCAACCCTTTGCACAGCTCTCTTTGCGAGAAAGTACCTTTATACATTTCTTGAGCTTGTACACTTCTTGTTTCAGGTAAGCTTTTTCTTCTTCTTCGCCCTCCCCGCCACACCGGGGACGACATTGACTTCACCGGTGCCGTTGGGAACCATGAGAAGCTTGCAGCCTAGGCGGATCAGTGAATTGGCTGTCGGAACGTAGCCATTGGCATCGTTAGGCAGTTCAATTCATCATGCTCGGTTTGCTTGCCGCTGCGCCCGCTGTTACAGCCTGCTTCCCCAACCCCTCCACCGCCCGCCGCTGAATTCTGCTGCCTCGTCTCGGTAGGCTTTGCCCAAGAAGACCTTTGAGCTAACAATACATCTTTCACAGTCACATTTTCCTTTTGATACCCGCCCATCATGTCTGAGACCTTCGAGTTCCAGGCTGAGATCTCTCAGCTTCTCTCCCTTATCATCAACACCGTCTACTCCAACAAGGAGATCTTCCTCAGAGAATTGGTGTCCAACGCCTCCGATGCTCTTGACAAGATCCGCTACAAGGCCCTGTCCGACCCCAGCCAGCTCGACTCTGGCAAGGACTTGCGCATTGACATTATCCCCAACAAGGAGGCCAAGACTCTTACCATCCGCGATACCGGTATTGGTATGACCAAGGCTGACCTTGTCAACAACCTTGGTACGATTGCCCGCTCCGGCACCAAGCAGTTCATGGAGGCCCTCACCGCCGGTGCCGATGTTTCCATGATTGGTCAGTTCGGTGTTGGTTTCTACTCTGCCTACCTCGTCGCCGACCAGGTCCGCGTCATCTCCAAGAACAACGATGACGAGCAGTACGTCTGGGAGTCTTCTGCCGGCGGTACCTTCAACATCTCTGCCGACACCGAGGGCGAGCAGCTCGGCCGCGGTACCTCCATCATTCTCCACCTCAAGGACGAGCAGGCCGAGTACCTTGATGAGGCCAAGATCAAGGAGGTCATCAAGAAGCACTCCGAGTTCATCTCCTACCCCATCTACCTCCACGTCAAGAAGGAGACCGAGACTGAGGTCCCCGACGAGGACGCCGAGGAAGTTGAGGAGGTCGAGGGCGACGACAAGAAGCCCAAGGTCGAGGAGGTTGACGACGAGGATGAGGACAAGGAGAAGAAGAAGAAGACCAAGACCGTCAAGGAGACCAAGATTGAGGAGGAAGAGCTCAACAAGCAGAAGCCTATCTGGACCCGCAACCCTCAGGACATCACCACCGAGGAGTACGCTTCCTTCTACAAGTCTCTCTCCAACGACTGGGAGGACCACCTTGCCGTCAAGCACTTCTCCGTTGAGGGTCAGCTCGAGTTCCGCGCCATCCTCTTCGTTCCCAAGCGCGCTCCCTTCGATCTCTTTGAGACCAAGAAGACGAAGAACAACATCAAGCTCTACGTCCGTCGTGTCTTCATCACCGACGATGCCACCGACCTCGTTCCCGAGTGGCTCAGCTTCGTCAAGGGTGTTGTCGACTCTGAGGATCTTCCCCTCAACTTGTCTCGTGAGACCCTTCAGCAGAACAAGATTATGAAGGTCATCAAGAAGAACATCGTCAAGAAGTCTCTTGAGCTCTTCCAGGAGATTGCTGAGGACAAGGAGCAGTTTGACAAGTTCTACTCTGCCTTCTCCAAGAACCTCAAGCTCGGTATCCACGAGGACTCCCAGAACCGCAACATCCTCGCCAAGCTTCTCCGCTTCAACTCCACCAAGTCTGGCGATGAGCAGACCTCTCTGTCCGACTACGTTACTCGCATGCCCGAGCACCAGAACAACATGTACTACATCACTGGCGAGTCCATCAACGCCGTCTCCAAGTCTCCCTTCCTTGACGCCCTCAAGGCCAAGGGCTTCGAGGTTCTCTTCCTTGTCGACCCCATTGACGAGTACGCCATGACTCAGCTCAAGGAGTTCGAGGGCAAGAAGCTCGTTGACATCACCAAGGACTTCGAGCTCGAGGAGACCGAGGAGGAGAAGAAGGCCCGTGAGGAGGAGGAGAAGGAGTACGAGTCCCTTGCCAAGAGCCTCAAGAACGTCCTCGGCGAGAAGGTCGAGAAGGTTGTTGTCTCCCACAAGCTCGGCTCCTCTCCCTGCGCCATCCGTACCGGCCAGTTCGGTTGGTCCGCCAACATGGAGCGTATCATGAAGGCCCAGGCCCTCCGTGACACCTCCATGTCCAGCTACATGTCCTCTAAGAAGACCTTTGAGATCTCTCCCAGCTCCACCATCATCAAGGAACTCAAGAACAAGGTCGAGGCTGACGGCGAGAACGACCGTACCGTCAAGTCCATTGTCCAGCTCCTCTTCGAGACCTCTCTCCTCGTCTCTGGCTTCACCATTGAGGAGCCCGCCGGCTTCGCCGAGCGCATCCACAAGCTTGTTCAGCTCGGCCTCAACATTGAGGAGGACGAGTCTGCCCCTGCTGAGCCTGCCGCCACTGGCGCCGAGCCCGCTGCTGCTGCCGCTGACTCCGCCATGGAGGAGGTTGACTAAATGGTTAACACCCAACCATTGCCTTTGGCAAAAAAAAAAAAGTTCTTGGGAGTTAATATGGCTTTTCTAGAACACACATGACTGGGTTATGTGTTGTGATGTTCTTCTTTGTTACTTAATGAGATAACTTTTTCCCTTTTTTGCGATTCGTTTTGGCTCTTCATCTGGCCTCAATGATTCGGTCCCCCGCGCTTGTGTCGGCTCTTCTCAGAGCTGGTTCAAGGACATAGAAGGGGGTTTGTACTCTAGCTAGATGTCTGACGAAAACCTGCAAATGAAGTTAGATGCGTCAATGAAAAAAATATTCAAGTTACTCTTCTGTTCACTCTACCCTGTGATTGCACCGACTTAAATCGCTAGCCTTAGATAAAGAACTGTTATAAAATTCCACACTACGCGACGCTGTAACCAGCAACGTACTGCTATATGTGACATGACTATGCAAATTGATACAAACATTTTGGGTATTTTTTCCCTTTCCATTTCAAAACACTGCTCCCTTCGAATGTAGTGTTGCCACCACACCATCACCGACCAAGACCCCCGTTTATACAAGTACATAGAGCGCGCAAATCTACGTCACAAAGATAGTTAGCGAGATTCCTCAAAACATTCAACTTATGAGTAACGTACCAACGATAGTCCGAGAATCATGGAGATCCAGAAACATACGTTATTCAGTGTCTCATGGCCCCTTACCCACTTTGTACGCTGGAGCATGACAATGGGCAGCTGGAGCATCTGGCAGACGAAACCGTAGCCACGAATCTTCTTGGAGATGCAGGCCATGACAATCTCGTGGCCAACAGCCGAGATGAGAAACGTAATGACGGTGGCGAGCATGCGGCCCGTGTGTGGACGCGATGCCGAGTAGACGTGGCGCCGAAGGAAGCTGTACACGGGGATATTCCACTCGCGCGAAAACTCCATCCAGTCGGTCGAGTTCCACCAGTCCGAGTAGAAGTGGCGATCTGCAAAGCGGGTGATTTCGGCCATGGCGCCGAGCACATACTCAAAGATGACAAGAAAGACAAGCAGGAAGGTCAGCATGAAGGGGAAGAGGAGCCATGAGATGGTCTCGGCCAGGATGAGCAGCGGCTCGTAAATGGATGGCGTAGGAGCTGCGGCGGCAATCTCAAGGCGCAGATGCGCATCTTGCAGCACGGGCAGGATAAACTCCTCCGAGGTGATGATGAGGAGGAAGATGCAGCCAAAAACGGCGATAATCTTGGACACGAGCGATGTCCAGTTGATGGATGGCGTGCGAGGATACTCAATCTCATAGCAGAGCGTGGGGCACAGCAGAAAGTCGATGTAGTTTGCCCATGTCAGGTTCCGCGGGTACGTGATGTTGCCAATGGGGGATGTGAGCTCGCGGGCCAGAGCTTCACGAAGAGACTCGACCTGATCCTGACTGTCATCCTCAGCGTCTACAGCAGTTGTGGAAACGTCATGGTCCGAGGGCACACGAGCAACGACACGAGATCCACGGCGACGCTTCGGGGTGTTGTCGACAGCAGGATACTGGTACGCGGGCTTGCGGTCGTCGTCGTCAGTGGCAGCAGGGTTATCAAGACGGCGCAGGCGCTTCTCTGTCTCGGATAAGTGGCCGTTATAAAAGGCATACGAGTGCATCTTCATCAGCAGGACCATGGTGTGTAGCAGCAGAAACACCTGCGACGTCCATGTCCATTCAAACACAAAGGGCACGACAATCCAGACGGAGAGCCACCCGACCTGGTAGATGCTCTGGATGGCCATGCCACCGCGCTTCCAGGTCCACGTCGACTCAGCCGGCCTGCTGCGAATCCACTGGTGCAAGGGCAGCGAGACAGCACTACCGGCAACCATGAGAAAGTCAGCAATGGCAAGATGCCACAGCTTGACGGTGAAGAGGGTCGATATCTGGAAGGACATGGGGTACCCGGTGTCCTTCATGTTGCGCAGGATCGTGGTGATGCCCATGATGGCGAGACCGATCCAGAAGAGATTAAAGAAGCCGTGGAAGTCGCGGTAGTCCGATTCGGGATCGAGATGCGACACGCGCGAAGCGAATTCGACCGTCGGGAAGATGCGCCGCTTCTGCTCTGCGCGGGCGAGCTTTCGCGCCGACGACAGCGACTTGGTCGAGGGCGGAGCATTCTCGGGCACGGGTGTCGATATACCACTACAGTAGAAGAGAAAAACGAACAGTCAGCCTTATGCTTGTATCACAGAGTTTGTAGAAAGGTGTAGTTTGTACCTGGTTGCACCGCTGCGGGTTGGGCTGTCGCCGGCGCTTAGCAGGGAATCTTCCTTTGTCACTTTGCGTTCTCGCAAAGCGCTGCCATTTTCCGAGGCTGTCGATGCCATTGTTTAGAAGTAGAGTGGAACCCTATGTTATATCTGTGTAGGTGAAGAAAGAACACAGTGTATCTTGTCTCTCACGCCGCACGCAGATCGGTCAACATGGAAGCACAACAGGTCGAGATGATGCTGAGAGCCGCAGCAATACACAGGTCCTCTCCACGTTGTGCGTCAGTCAACGGCAAGCAAAATGCAATTCCGCCTAGAAATGCAAAAAAGCTAGAATGGAAACACGAAGTACAAATGAGATGAAATGTTGCTGCAATTGCCTGGCGTTACGCAAGGTGATAACGCTGTGGGAAAGGAGAGGGGGTGGGAAATACGTCACTTAAGCGTCCTGCTGCAGATCGGGCTGGCTGTCCGTCGTCCCAAGCTTAGCGCCACGTGATTGCCTACAGGGCGGGACGCCACTGTAAACGGGCGCTATAAGTTGCGGCGCGGGTCCACTGAATATGCCTCTGCGCAGGACGGGTCGGGGCGTATCCCACCTCCGATGCTCCGCCTCCGCGTCTTCCGTGACGCCGTACCATGTCTGTATGACCTTAGAGTTGAACATGTGTGGCAAAAGGGGAGTCCGGATCAACGGAAGATCCATGTTATTACGAGACAAGAGTCATCTTGTACGGTAGACGCGGAATAATAACATGTGGTATTTTTGTTACAAGGCGCTAGGTGCATCCCCGTCCCTACCTAATCGCTTCTCTCGTGGAAGACAAACACAACCGCCCTCACTGCCCACATCCACGGTCTCTTAAACCCATACATATATATATAAGATCAAAGGCAAACTCTGCCAAAAACAAATAAAGAACGCCATGTGGCCTAATGCAGTCCCAGTATCCTGGGAACAGTACGCTCGCCCAGTCCAGACTCCGCCCAAAATGTTTGTTCGCCATCGGCCAACACCAACAGTATTCATGTAGAAATATGATTCCTAATCAACGGTTATTAATGCTCAGACTCCATGGAAGCGCCAACCACCAGGCTCCATCCAAGAACTGCAAGTTTCGCGTCCACCACTGCGGATCCTGCTTCCCCAGAATCAGCATATAGCTGCCTTCAGAGTGTACCCGTTGTGCAAAGCGCTGAAGATTGTCAAATGCCAGCACGCGACGGTCTTCCGCTTTTCTGTTCTCTTCATCGTCTGCCTGCCACCCGGGATCCAAAACTTCATCCAGATCTCGAACCACGTGCAAAGTAGATGTCTGCAGCGACTTGATAGGTTTGGGGAACAACAGTTGTAGATACCCGCCGGAGCTGCGCGATCGGCGATCGCGAAACGGAATCGACTTGGATCGCAGCGCCCTCCGGGCAAAGTCTTTGCCACGATAAAAACACACCTCATCCAGTAGGTTTGTCATCATCCACATACCAATAACGTTCTCCACGCTGATGTCCATGTCCGATTCTACACGGTTCAGATCGCTGCCATAGACTATGTGGTATGTAAACAACTTGTACTCCAGCTCTAGCATATGCAGTTTCATGCGCATGACAGGTTCGTCACTAGCAATCTGAGCATCGCCCAGTTTTGGCGTCGATGGCCGCCAACTGGCAGTCTTGAAGCTGCGCATCGATGTCGCCGACATCATAGAGTCGTTGGAGCTTGTCGACGGGGCAGGGCTAGGATCTCGTCCAACGTCCATGCCATCAGCCCAATGGGATTCACGCGTATAGTTGACGCAGATAAAGTGGTCTTTACAGAGTCGGCCACCAGAGACTGTGGGCCGGTTGCGGATTTCGTACCTGCCTGCCTGTGCCGCCGCGTGGAACTCAGTCCCCTTGAGAAGAAGCTCCACGTAAAATCTCTCGAGATATGTTGCCACTGTTTGCCAGTGCACGAAGTACCACATTGCTGAGACATTAAAGATGCCTCGCTGCAAAAAGATGTGCGATAGGTTGGCTGACGAGTTGGTGCCATTGTAAGCCGATAGACAGGCATTCAAAACCACATTTTCAATTCGATATTCTACAAGGACATCTGCAACTACAGATGCCTTGGAGAATTGCACTTGGGGGGTTTTGGGTGTATATCGTTGGAATCGGGCTTGTCGTTGCGCAAACAGCAGCCAAGGAACTGGTACGCCATGCCTGACATGCGGTTAGTCTATATGGACATAGAACCGAATACAATCGTCGTTGCCACTTACTCATCTTCCATGATTCGCCCATGCAGATCGAAATGTACCAAGTTGAACTGGATCCCATCTGCAGCTCGCTGCTTCAAGTGTCGTTCCAGTTCCTCCACACTCCCCGGCCGCACCACCTCTAGTAATAATCTGCTCTTCAGCTTGCGTTGTATCGTCATCAATGGAAACTGAGCTAAGTCCGGTTCAGGATCTCTCTGAGCACCCATTCTTTGGAAGTCTCGCGCCACAACTAGTAAAATCTTAAACGTAGCACCAGGGTCCGCCTGTACGAGGCTGAGCGGCAAATGTAGATTTCCTGACCTTCGCATCTGGCGAATATTCCGTGATGACCTCGTCATTGTGATATCGACCACTCTAGTAACACGCAGCTGTATCTTGGGCATACGAGGTAGGCCTACCGACTCAAGAACCTCCCATGCCAAGCAATGTATGCCACCCTCCTCGGCAGCTTCAGCGCCAGCCTCGCATTCCTCCACGACATTAATTTGCAGTACCGACAGCTGTGGTCCCTTTGTCTTCAGTCCCAATGGTCCATTGAGCAAGCTTGGCTTAATATCCAGCTGTCCCAGCAGCGTCTCGGCGTACGCCTTGATGAGACTCTCCAGACGTGATGCATCTATGAGTCGACCCTGTTCCGGAGCCGGGCTCCATCCCTCCTCGTCTGTATTCCGCAGATATCGTTCCAACACTGTGTTGTACTGCGTCTCGAGGAATGGGTCGATGAGTGTCGTACGAATCGGCGGCCGATCGTTGAGTGTGATGGTCACAGGCCAGCGGCGGTGCGACGCGGCCGAGGGCTCGCTAGCAGCCGACAAGACGCTCTGCGGTGGTGGCGTTACTTCCAGAAGGCGCTGCCTGCCGGTTGTTGAGCGGATAGTCAAGATGTCCATCTGTTGCGCAGCATGTTCCGAACTCGTGGCTGTAGATCTGGACAAGGGCGGGATCGGGGTGATCGAACCAGGCGTCGTGTAACGATGACGCACAGTGATTCAAGACGATGTTTATGATGCGACACAGACGAGACGAAGAAACAAAATCCCAGAGTACGCCGAACAATGAAAAACGCAAACCAAACCAGGGCAGGGGAGTCAGCGTCAAATGAAGAAGAAGAGCTGAAAAGCACAAAGGTGCACGCGAGACACAGACAAAGGGGGCCGCTCTTTCATGCCAGGGCCTCCCCCGGCAGTGGCCGCCCAGCCCAGTGGACCCGCGGATCCTGCTCTGCTCCCCCAAGCCACCCGCTACAGGAAATCTGCCTGCACCCACAGCGGGTCAGACGGCCTCTGCAACGGGCTACCCGCCCCCCAATCTCGCAGCCGCCCAGCGCTAAAGCAGGACCGGACGCATGCACAGCTTCAACGGCAGCCTGTCCCGCCAACCTCCATGGTGCGTGTGCGGCGCAGCACCAGGCGAGCAGCACAGTTACTACGCTGAAACGCGCAACTGCTTCTAGGCGGCAACAAGTGACCGCTGGAGCCGCGAGCAAACTCAAACGCCATTGTGCTCTTTGGCCGGGCAAAAGAACAAGAGGCCGCAGAAAAGAGCCGATATGCCGTCGAAGCCTGCAGAACGAAATGAGAATGGATACCTATTTTAAACTTTTTGTTGATGGCGAAGGAGAAGAAGCGCCGGAGGGGTATTAGTGAGACATGCAGAAGTGAGACTTGACAACCGAGAGCACCACTACGATTCTGGGTGTTTTTTTGTTGTTGAGGGGAGGAATGCAGAATAGTCGAGAACAAAGGACCATCAAGACTGGTGGGGTTTATTTATAGTTCCATTTGCAGAGAGAAAAGGGTATGTAGTCTCGATGCAGACGGCGTGCAAGAGAATATGGGTTTCAGAACAGCTGCCTACCTACTCAACACGTCTCCAAACGCAGTGGACAGAATACCAGGGAGTCAATCTCGCCGTCATCACATCCTCCTTAGCCGCTGGTCTTCTTTCCCGGAAACCCTTACCCGCCACTAGGCCTGCACGCCACCTGCACGATGCCGTCCAAAACGACCAGGGGTTCTTGTTCCGGTTGCACTGCGTGTGACTCGCACATAGAATACAAACGCTGAATACAACTACGAAGTTCTGGGTAAAACAATTGTACTGTAGATTTCAAGCTTCACAAGGAGATTACTAGACGTAAAGGTGCGCGGTACAAGATTTGTTCTTTCTAAACCCTACTTAAATACCAAAGCAAATCTGAAAAAAAAAGCTAGCCCCTACCCTCCAATAAAGCATCAGCCCTTGATGCCCTACACAAAGAGCGTGTGCCCGTATAACTAAAAAGAAATGAGTGGCTAGAAAGCCAGAGGCCATGAGGCGCTGTAGCGTGTGTATCCCACCGAGCCATGCCAATACCGACAAAGGAAAGAGAATTGATAACAAAAAGCGTACAAAACAAGAGTGTTCAAAGTTTGGTTGCCGCGTTGGCTGCTGATTTCAAAACAAAAAAACATCATTCAAAAGACTCCATCCCAAATGCTTGTAGTGCTGCAGGTACGGCGCGCAGAGTATCACTGCTGTCGACCCTTAGTGTGGTGTGTATGTTGTATGTTGAAAAGAAAACAAAAACGTTTCATAAAAGTTCGTTAAAACATGTTCCGTCTTGGAAGGAGGCAAGGAAAGCAATGAAATAAAGCACAAAAGCAAGAAACTAGAAGCGTTGCAAGGCCCAAATAGCCATTGTCGCAAGTTTACTTGCACCGCCTAGTTTGCGGCGGGCATCGCTGCTCGCTGCTGGTACATCTCACCGTAATCAGAATAGTGAATTTTGTGGTACTTGCTCATGCTGGGAGAGCTCGAGTAGCCGGTGTCGCGGTGGTAATGGGGATGACGTGTCTCCGAGACGTGGATATGCGGAAAATGGTAATCCTCAGTAAAGCCATTGACAACATAGGTGCGGTCTCCCTCAACCTGATAGCGTGTCTCGATCTGCTCAGGCGAGTGTGTTCGGCGGCTGCGGCGAGATTTGCGATCGGCGCGGCGATCGTGGTCATCTGAATCCTCTTCACCTGGCACATCATATCGCGTACGGTAACGACCTCGGTTGGGCACATCTGTGTTGGAGCGCGTGGGAGGGCCGCGGGGGGGCGCCACACCCACAGGCATAGTCTGAGAGCGAGGGAGCTCCCAAGGAGGTGAGCTTGACATGTGAGCAGTAGTGCCAGCGGCTGCCTTTCTCAGCGAGGGAATGCTGCGGGCGGCGGGGGACGAGCTTGCGGGGATCGGGTCGTCCAAAACATCGCGCGACGATTTGCGGTACGTAGATCGCTCTCGGGATAGTCCAGCAGATCCGCGGCGAGCAGATGATCGACGAATCTCCTCATCGCTAGGCACGTAATCCTCTACTGTAGGAGGTGGATACGCCGACGCCTTGGCAGGGGTCGGAGGAGTAGGCGCGTGAGGAGGAGGCATATGTGTGTTAGCGTATGAGTTGGAGCGCTTAACGGTTTTGGCAATGTAGCTCGTAGCTATCTCAGCTTTGTATTTTGCCTGCGTCTCGACGTTGCTGTAGCCTCGCGTCGTCATAGAGGGTCTAGCAACTGGGGGTGGGCGAGCAGCCTCATCCCTGTGGCGTTCATACTCATCGTCGTACTTCTTTGGGTTGATCGGCCCAGACGAGCGCTTGCGCTCAGGCTTCGAAGTGACAATGTCTTCTCCTTCGTCAGACAACTTGGAGTAGCGAGTGTACTTGTCCTCGCTCTCGCGTTTGATATCCTTGGAGCGGACCTTGTCCTTCTTACGCTTTTCCATACGCTTGACTTCCTTTTCTGCGCGCTGAGTCTCCTTCTGTTGGGCTCGCTCTCTCCGTTCCTGCTTCTCGATGCGGCGTTCCTCTTCCTCACGCGCTTCACGCGCCTCGCGTGCCTTGCGCCTCTCTCGATCCTTTTCCTTCTCCATATCGCGCTTAGAGGGCTTGTCGGAGTATTCGCGTTTTGATGACCGAGTTGTTTCAAATATGCGGGCGCCATGCATATACTCGTCATCATAATAAGCGGTAGCGGTATATGAGTACATTCGGGCTGCAGATGGTGGCGAGTCCGCGGCAGAGCGGCTGGGGTAGCGGCTGGGGGTGCGTGCGTCGAAGTCGGCGCTATTGTGTCTGGATGACTGGCGAGGCGTAGATATATGCACCTTGGTGTGTACTTGCTTGCGGAGTTCCTCTACCTTGGCCTTGTCGTCATACTTGCGGCGTTCCGTATCGTCTGTTAACAGTTCGTAGGCTTGCTGAACGCGTTGGAACTGATCCGCCTTTTCAGCCTTGAGCTTAGGATCCTGCACCTTGTCGGGGTGGCATTGGAGAACTAATTTGCGGTGGGCAGACCGGATTTCAGGGATCTGAGCATCCTTAGAGACACCCAGAATTTTGTAGGGATCCGGTGGTAAAGGACTCATGGTATGTTGGTGGGTTGCTGGCGTGTTGATGTAATCCTCACACAGGCAGGTTGATGCTTAACATGAACTAAAAGCGGTCGTCGTCGAAAAGATGGACGAGGCGGGTGCAAACTCAGGTCGACTTTAAATACAGTGGTTGTCGAAGAGTCATACAAGAAATCGGTTGAATTAATAATGCGTATTTGTGAAGAGTGTTGGCAGCGTGAGCGTGCGTGGGCGAATCGAACAGTGCGTGTATGAATCACAGGTGCAGACGTGGTGCGAAACAGCGGTGGCTTGTTGTTGACTAGTCGCAGGCGAAGAATTGATGACGAAGACAAAATATGGCGACGCAAAACAGGCTGCCGAAAGGGGAAAAAAGGCGATCGAGCAAGAAATATAAAAAAACGGAAGATAAAAAACACAGCAACGATCGGTAATCAGAACAAAGAGTTGGTAATCCGGACAAGAGGTTTTTTCCTTGTCCCGTAAGTGTCGGCGTCCCGGGGTTTTGTGAAGGACGAGAAAGGCACGGAAACCAAGTAGAGCGTGGGAGGCTGCGCCCTCAAGACGTTATGTATGGAAGGCTAAAGAACACAAGAGGAGGCTCTAGAGTGTGAGGAGAGAGGCTGGGGGCACTGTGTTGCCCCCTGTGCGGCCCTTGACTTGGCCTTGTGGGTGTGTCAGTCTTGCTGGCGGTAGGCGGGACGGTGAGGTCACGCCTGGGACAGGCGGGGTTGCAGCGCTAGGGGGGTGTAGCTATGGCCGTGGGCGCCAAAATGGGGTGGGTGGCTACCCATGTACAGCGAAAGTACGTGTCCCTGCCCCAGCTGTGCGAAGAGGGGCTGAGTAACTCTGTCGTCGCCGCCATGGACAGTCCCGTCCACAGTGGACTTTAACTTTGCAAAAAACACTCCACTCCAACTAATTCCTCAGCAGGTGACGGGCGCTAGAGGTGTCTGTTGATAGTTCCGTTGTGCTTGATTCAAATGCCTTCTTCACTCAGTGGATCAACGTGACAAGGGGGAAAGGGGCCTCCCGTGGTGGATGATACGTCGTCCACTCGTTGCTGGTGCGGCCACGCAACTCTGAAGCACCACCGCCGGGGTTCTCTGCAGAGGCAATCCCGATTTCTGATTTCCTCTGATCGATGCTCGCAGTTCCATGACGCGGCCGATGGCCTCTCAGGATTTCCGTCGCAAACTCCGTTCCGGGCGGCCCCTCGGCGAGCGCGAGAGGTAACTAGATTCTTCCTGTGCATCGGACATGGCCAGGCAGCTGTGATTGTCAATTCATTGTAACCACGGAGAAAATTTTAGTGCAAGCTGTGGGAAAAAAAGGCGCTACAGTTTCTACTACGGGCGGGAGGCCCGTACATTCCCGTCAGGCAACATCTAGCGAGACAGTGACGTATTGGTACCCCGACCAAGGTGGCAAGCCTACAGAGTTACATGTACCTTTCCTGTTTCAGAGTGGCCAATAGTCGTCCGCCACAGGCGCTGGGGCGGTCCGTCCAATAGAATGTTGAGTGGAGGGACCAACCGGTGCGGAGCGTGGAGCAAGCAGAGTCAGGTACCAGAGTTGCAAGGTTCCTTTTTTTGGCAACGCAGTACATCAATGACCTGGAAATGTTACCATGATAGGCGTGTGTCGCTTGTGTGTGCCCCAAGACGAAGAACTCAACATCTACGATCAAATAGAACAAAAACGGTGCCAGTAGCACGGCTTTGCTAGAAGCTTCCGGCTGCCTCGGCTGCACGAAAAAAAAACTAATGAAAAGCATAGTCATGACAGGCAACGGTCTCAGGTGGCAGCGCGACATTGGCCAACACAAATAGCCGTTGACTCAAATCACGCCAGTGACAAACGGGCTTAGACGCTGACGTTGTCCCGTTTCCAGAGGTGCCGAGCGCCAGACAGGAAATGGCTTAGACCAATATCGATCCAAAATGTTGCTATACTGTGCAAGTCGGGGCGTTTATGGCGCTCGGTGCGCAAAGCTTAGCCAGTTACAGCCGGTTTGATTAGTGCGCAGTGGCCAGCGCAAGTTAAACCCTCAATGGGCGAATGGCAAAGGCTTTTGTTAATGAAATGTTCCACATAGCTAGGCTGCGTCCCCCAGACTTGGGTACCAGTTGCAACTATATCCCAGCACAAAGAATTCTTTTCGAATTCATGATAGTATCGGTTTGCCATGATCCAAAGATTGCCTAGACAACCAACACAACAACTGTGCTGGCGGCAGCTCTGAGGAAGCGGTGAGCTATGGCTATGCATCACTATGGAGATCGTGCTGGAGGTACAGCGACCTAGGTGGATTCGACTTGGCAGACTGGAGACGGCATGCATAGGTCAAGGACGCAAAGACTGCCTTGGCTGAGGACAATTGTAATTAGCAAAGCAAAATCTGCTCGGACAGTTCCGAAAGATAGAACTCGATATAGGCAACCGGTTGTCCTCTTGTGCTCTTATTTGCCATACTAGAGCCTTATCGTCCGCGTTGCCCGACCTAGCGCCGTAAATGGATTGTTGCTGCTGCTTTCAGAGAAATACGAAAACGCAGGGCCACCTGGTACCAAAATGAACAGTACACACTGTCTGTGGCACAGTGGAACGGCGTGCTGCTCCATACGAAGTACAATGATGGCATCGTCCAGGCCAGGGGTGACTTGTCTTCCCCGCAGCGCATATAGAACATGGCTTGTGGCCCCCTCCACCACGCGGGGCAGCGCAGCGCGTCTCGTCATATTTCTCTGTTGGTAGCATGGGAATTGTGATACAAGGGTGGAGGCCACGTCTGGGTTGCACGCCCTCAGCCAACCTGACGATGGATGGGCTCTTCGGGGAATACCAAATGAGGCAGATCACCTATCGCTAGGCAACTGACATATGTGAGACAGGCCAAGTCGGCGATGGAACAGTACTAGCACAAGCTGGAGCTCACAGGTCGCTTGATCCATAAGTTAAACTTTTTTTTTTCTTGCACAGGAGACACCGACATCTAGACTAGCGGAGAGATACACCCGAGCAACGCAGCATGGTGTCATCGGGTGCGCATGCTGAGTCCTGCATAAGATGAAAGCAGCAGAGCAAAAAGGTCAAAAAGAGGGGCTCCAGAATCCGCCGATATGCTGATACATGATAATGCTCCCCTTGTTAATAGCTCTGCACCATATCATTCGTTCGGGATGGTCCCCGGGATGGAATCGACCCCGTCTCTGGAGCTACTATTTATCAGGCGACAGCGCACTGAAGACCATCCATTGATTGGCGTTGGCATGGATCTGCTAGCCGATTGCGGTCTGCGTGACGGGCCGTGGCCGGACCCCTCGCGTACCGTCCTAAGAGAGGGGTCGCCTGGAAACCCAACCAACGTGGGCATCTCCTGGCTGTACACCAGCTTGATGATCCCTAAACTGCCGGTAAATTAGATTCACACCGGGCCACTGTGACCTAACCACAGGCTACTGTGCGGGCAGCTGCATGAGATGAATGAGGAGCAAGCAGCACCAACTGTAGAGGGAGGCGTCTTCGCGATCCCAGACATGAGGCCTCGCGGGTCGTTTTACACCTGCAAAGGTAGGATGAAGCGGCGGAGTGCTAATACAGACTTGCAACTTTAATTTTACGCTACATTACCATCCGGGTCTAGACAGAATAATTGAATGTTTCCTGTATCTGCTATCGCTGTGCTGCAACGCTGGAACCATTGGTCAGACGCCAGCTGGCGGCAGTGCCATGTCACCTACTGTGCCTGCCCAGTTCTGCATTGGAGACGCGGGGCATTGGTTCTCCTTTGCATCACCTCGTTTAATATCGACCAATATACGATAAATGGATCTCGCAAAAGCCGACTTGCAGTCCCTTCTCCAACATGCGGGACAAGTGATGCGTGGTTCCTCAGGCAGGAAGCTTATTCTTGATGTCTAAGCGCCTTGGACGGAGCAGCCACGGAGAAATAACGGTTTGCTATTCGCTGCCGCTACACCATCCCAGACAGAATACATCCCGAAGGGGTGAGGCTTGCAGCATTGTCAGATGCAGCATTAGCCAACCAAAATGCATTTTCTCATTCGTTTGCTTTTTCTCCACGCTGCTCAACGAAAAGGGTCAAGAAAAGAAGCACCCGACGTCGATCACGAGCAAAGCAGACGGTGTCAGCTCGTGGTAGACGGTATTCCCCTGGAGGGGGCTCATCTGATGGGTCTTTGTACACGCCAAACGGCACGATCCCTCCAGTAAAGCGAGCTGTGCACCCTCACGTGGAACGGGATACTCTCCTTGCCTTGCGCCCAATAATCAAGGTCCACACGTGCGAACGGCGCCCGAGATTGGTAAACTGCGCGATCATGCACTCGAGCCAACGGACAACGGATGGCTTGTCGAGATGCGAATTCCGCCCTGTGACGACTTGGCTTTGCGAGGTCCGGCATTTGCCACTACAGTGATATGCATTCCCAGACACTCAGGGTTTCCAGCTCTGCGGACAGCATTTGCTCGGCAACTTAACAGAGCCAACCACGCAAGCTGAGAGGCTACGCAACACCCGCGAAGTAGACGCAAAAAGGAAAAAGAAAAACATAAATCACACGAAAGCGGTAATAATACAACCAAGAAATAGCCATGGCTAAATCCGAACAGCCCTTTTTACCCCGCTGGTAAATGGTTGATGTCACAGCTTATCATTTAGGGTAGGCCAGCATAAAGCAATCGAGATGTGCGCCGCCCGACATGACCCCGTGAGCTTGCGCCGCAGCGCCATTTTGCTGGCCTGTGACGAATGAGATGCACAAGAAAAATATCGATAAACATGTCATAGGTCGTTTCTGTTCGAAATGGTGCACAGCTGCGTACAGAGTATCGCAGCATGGGCTGCCTCTGCGTCACCGTTTCCCAGATGCTGCTAGTCATTCGTCTTGACTCGACGACTTAGCTCCAAGGCTCGTCCCGGCGCTAAGCAAGGGGACTTAACTTGGCTGCCAGCACTGCCAGCGGGGTCTAGAAGCGCCTTTGCCCATGTCTAAAGGCTTGTGCTGTGGAGAAGGGCGTCTGCAGCAGGCGAGATTTCAGCTCCCCCAGTTTGCGGCGTACGCGACGCTGGCAAGGATGTGCCCTCCAGCGACGCATGGGTGGTGCGGCGACAAATTCGAGATTGGCTCCCTCGCCGAAGAAGGACGGCAATAACGAGAAACATGGTTCTCGATACATTGGGTTTTTTTTTTCGTCGGTGTCTAACTGTCCACGGCTGCATTTCTCAACACAATGCTGTTATTTTGCTCCGCTGCATGTGTCGCGCGGCGGTCGAAAAAAGGGTGGTTGCCTAGTCAACAGAACGGCGGCTAACCACAGTAATGCACAACATGGCAAAACCGTTAACACGTTTGTCGGGACGCGACTCGAAAGTATCATCTTTGCCTGGGTAGTCAATTTCAACACCAGTTTACCACAAAGCTGTAGCACATATTCGCTTTTAGTACGCATAATTAAAATATCATGGCTACTGCTGCTCTCGAGGCTCGTCTCAGCCGCCTGGCGGTGGACGACAACAATCTGCCCAAGCCGGCTTCGAAGACAAAGGTAGACCAAGTGTTTCTTAGACCACAATCGCAGTCTGTCATTGCTGACCATACCAGATTGTCCTGAAATCTTCACAAGTATCGCACGCACAGTCCCAGCAATCCGCACTTATCAAAGCCGCCATCTACAAGCAGCATCACAAGGCCACTGCCGCCAAAGAAACGCCTGAGCCTGAAGCCGATGCATCCAGCTCGTCCGTTTCTCTTACGCGTCAGCCTACAGCCGATAAGTTTCATTTGGGCATGTTTGAAATCGGCCGGTCTCTGGGTAAGGGTAAATTCGGGCGCGTCTACCTTGCGCGCGACCGCCGCAGCGGCTTCATCTGCGCGCTGAAGGTGCTACACAAGGACGAGATCCTACAGGACCGCGTGGAGAAGCAAGTCATGCGCGAGATTGAGATCCAATCGCACCTCCGTCACCCGAATGTGCTCAAGCTCTACGGCCACTTCCACGACTCGCGGCGTATTGTACTCATCCTAGAGTTTGCTGGCAAAGGCGAGCTCTACAAGCACCTGCAAAAGGCACGCCGGTTCCCCGAGTGGCAAGCCGCGCAGTACGTCGCCCAGATGGCTGGTGCACTACGCTACCTGCACCGAAAGCATATTATCCACCGCGATATTAAGCCCGAGAACATTTTGGTCGGCATGTACGGCGAGCTCAAGATGTCTGACTTTGGCTGGAGTGTGCACGCGCCGAGCAGTAGACGCCGGACCATGTGCGGCACTCTCGACTACCTACCACCCGAGATGGCCGATCCGCGCCGCGCAGAGGGTTACTATAACGAAAAAGTCGATGTATGGTCGCTAGGTGTCCTCATGTACGAGTTCCTTGTTGGTCAGGCACCATTTGAAGATACACCTGTTATGACCAAACGACGCATTGCCAAGGCCGATATGACGATCCCGTCGTATGTGAGTGCGGAAGCCAAAGATCTCATTCGACGCGTAAGTTTGCAATTTTACAATAGATGGTGCTGGCGATTATAATACTGACTTTCAATACTAGCTGCTTGTTCTCGATGCCGAAGACAGAATCCCCTTGGATGACATCCCCAAGCATCCTTGGATTGTCAAGTACTGCTCACAAGCAGACGGATACACATCGCGCAAGAAGTCAACATAGAAATCTCTCTAACAACATCTTTCTGGCTGTTTTCTTTTTTTTCAAATGGAGTTTTTAGGGCGGACCTGGGGGAGTTTTACGGCATTTTAAAACGAGGTGTACTATTATTCATTGTATTTTTTTTATGAACCAGAGAATCTAGCAACGAAAAATAAACAACATGTTGCTTTTTGACTACGCCGAAAACAAATACGCCAACCGAGATTCCATAAGCGAATCATGTACCAGTCCTTCGCGGCTTTAATGTATCCGCATACTTGGGCAGTGTGTCTGCGCCGGGAGATGAGCTCAGCCGGTGCATAGGAAAATTTGTGATGGCCATCCACTTGAAAAACAAGTCTGTTGGGACGACTTGTCGTTTTGTTCCTTCTGGCAAAGGCTGGATATACGGCTCCCAGTCCTTTGCTGTCTTGAGCAGCTCATACGCAACGCCCAAGCATCCGATGACAGTAATGGCCTGTGCCGGCGACCCAATGATGCCGTGAGCTTTTGCAACCAGGGGCTTTGAATCACCGTCCATGTCGAGCGCCCGATCTAGCAGCTCTTCAACACCAATCATCTCCACCGCTGCCCTGATGGATTCCTGCTCGACCTCATCTGCGTCATCACCGCCAAGCGCCACATATGCGCGGTTGATGGCAAATAGGTAGCCGTCGTACACACAGATATGATCCATCAGACACCCCGGCTTCAGTTCCTCGCCCGTGTATATCCGCGTCCGTGGCGTACCGTCCTTGTGAGTAAGCGAGATTAGGTCACCACACCACTTGTTATACCAGGCGTTGAGGTTGGCGCGCTGTTGGGCAAGCCGCGTGAGCAAATCTTGTCGTCTTGATGGCACCGGCGCATTAAAGTAGTCCACGCAATCAGAAATAAGACCGGCGTGGGCTGTGCCGATGGTAAAGAGCGATATGAAGACTTCGGATTTGTCGCTATATTTGCCATCACTACGGTCGATGATGGAACGGATTGTGTCGTGCCAGTCTGGGGACTCTAGGAACGAATGCTCACCGCGGTAGTAGTCGTTGACAATCTGATAAAAAGAAGCATATTAGAGTACGGAACCAGGCGTGGTGGAACAAGGTAATGAATGAGCGCGACTTACCATGCCGGGGAGTTGGGATGCGAGGAGGGCCTTGTCAAAGTCTGACTTGAACATCTTTGCGCCGCGGTGCCTGATAAGCTGGGAGGCGCCGTTGACATGGTGTAGAGACAGACCCTCTGTGGCCTTGACAACCGCCTGCGAGGGCAATTAGTAGGGAAGATGAAAGTAAGCGTGATACAGTCTTCATACCTCGAATGTGCAGAGGAGTTGTGTGGCACAAAGCGTCTCTGCGGTTTTGGACTTCTTTTCGTCATACAGTGATGTCCGTAGACTCCTGAGAGCGTCGCCGTAATGTACAAACGCCGGGGTATTATCTACTGGACGCGCAGCTGTGTTGGTTACGCGCCATCGCAGAGCTGCTGCAAGACTCTTGATGGCGCTGTCAAGCGTGGTGTCGTAGCCAGCGCGTTTGGGCAGCTCATGGAAGAAGGAGGAGCGTTGGGCGAGCCCCAGCTGCATGTCAAGGCTGTAGTCGTCCTCAGTGAAGGATATGGGCGACTCAGACCGCAAAAGGGTAATGATATCTCGGACATCTGCTGTACTGTGTATCCTGGGTGCTAGGGCTGGCTGGGGTGCAATCTTGAGCAGTGGTTGCGAGGCAAGCTTAGGTGCAATGGCTACGATGGGGCGCAGGTGTGATGGCATACCGAGTGCTTCATATCCAGCACACTCACGCTTCGAAGCAATGCATTTACGGCATGACGGTCTACCCTCATCACACTTGATCCTTCGCGCACTGGCAGCAGGTTAGTGTACAAGTTCAAAATCGTTCTAAGCAGTGGTCTGTGCCTACCGACACGTCTTGCACCCAGTCCTCCCTTTGGTAGCCCAGCGCTTCTGGCGCCCTTCCTCAGTCTTTGCCGTCTTATCCTCCATTCCGTATTGCCCTTTCTAGGCGTGGTTAAGCTGGTGGTCTTGCGGAAACAGAATGGTGGCCGTTGGGCAAGGCTACGAACCATGCGCTTATGTTAACCCCACAGTGGACGATCTAGCATTTTTTGGCAGGTCGCTCTGTCACATGACACCATCGTGAGACTCTAGGAACGGTATTGGCAGAAGAGGATATTTTCAATATTTGTCGTGGTTTATTTGTAAAGGTATTTCATGGATTGGTTTTCGTGAGCAGAAGGGTTATCCGAACAGTATGTGACTCGTGGTGGCATATGCAGCCTACACTAGAAACCGCGAACGCTGGGAGGGGTTTGAGATGGGACAGCTTTCTATATTCGGAGACGTGCTGCGGAAATACAATCTTTCATTTACCATTTCATCTGTAAATAGACAGCAAATAGATAATAAGCCTGAGTTGATTGGAGCCCCATGGTACTTAATTTTTCGTACTAGTAGGAAACGAGCATGTGGCGTAGGTCACAATTGTAGGTAGTGGCTTGCGGGCTAGGCGAGGGTTTACCAGCCTGATGTCGTCACGCTAAGGGATCCCGTGCAACTGTTTTCATAATTCAATGATTCGTAAAATACGTAAAATATCATATCTCCCTCTTATGTGAGCTAATATTGGCGTCTACCTGCACTCGTCTCTTTCGTCCCAAACAGGTAGCATGACGTCGACAATGATGGGCTTGTTGTACTGCTTACCGCCAATATGCGGATATTTGCTCTTCATTATTGCTGCATTGACAATGCAAGTTTCATTTCTTGAGCCTTCGTTTGTTTTTCCAATATGGCCTTGCTTGCCATCCACTTCAAGGGCATAGACACGGCAGCCGTTGGTGAAAGAGCCGTCATTGTCAAGCGGAGATCCAGTGCGTCCAGTAAGGTCGATAAGACTTTGTTTATTATTGCCAGTACCAGGGTCTACCCACTCTCGTGTCTTTGATTCCTTGTATCGACTGTTAGAAGAGTCCCAAGTCACGATGTTGGCACCGCGGCCGTCGTGAATGTGGCCACACACTGCCAGAAGTGGTCGAACTCTCCACAGAGCGCGACGCAGAGCCTCACAGCCGCGAGGCCGATCTAGCCGTGTCAATGGCGTATCTCGATGGTTGCGAGGCGGCGTGTGGGCTACAACGATATGACTGTCTATAGGGATCCCATCCCATAGTGATGTTAAATCATGGTCGTCGATTGCGGCATGTGCATCGCGACATGGCGTCTGTGGTTCTCTGGGTGTTTCGTAATTGAATGCCCAAGCCCCATCTCGCGGGCTATAAGGGGACCCAAATATTTTAAACATGGTATGGGGACCATCTGAAGACTTGAGCCTTATTTCTGCGGCGTCATGAGATAGATATGTCAAAGTCTTTGCGTTTTTAAACAGATCAAGACAGCTGGTATGCGTCGAGCGCCGTCTTTGGATAGTCTCGTAATCCTGAGGACTGTCATGGCCGATGTAAAAGTCGCCATCAAGCGTCAGATCATGGTTTCCTTTTACCAAGTTAGCATCAGGTATGACCTGATCAGGTCCGACATACCACCAACGACAATCTTTGCCTCGAAATCTGCGTCCTCTAGCCACTTGACAGTTTTTTGCAGCTATTTGACCCGTTAGCTAAGCTTTTGTAGCTTTGCAGCTAGCCAAAAGCTGACCTCGGAAGGTGACCCTTGGTTGGTAAGATCTCCCGCATGAATAAGAACATCTCCCTTCGGCAGCTTGAAGGTGTAGTTGTGGGTGTCCGAAACACAGACGAACCTTGTCTTGCGTCTTTGGGCTGACATGCCGATGGAATGTGGATAAACTTCTTTTATGTTTCTATCTTTAGATGCCGCGTTTCGCCGACTGTCAAGCTAGAGCGATGTCTAAGACACTAGTATTGGGTACGCCTGAGACGCCTTGGTTATAGCGGCACCTGTTCGGTATCGGACACACCTCTGTAGAAGCTTCGGAGTTTGGGACCAAAGAATAAAAATAAAAAATTGGGTGTGGCCGTAGCACATTAATGGCCTAGTGTAAGACTACAATGAGACGGTGGTTCCGGATAGCTTTTTGGGACAAATTCGAGGTGGCTTGTCGTACGAGCTGCTTTGGTGTAGGAAAGGCCGCTTAGCCGTTGGGATGATGAGCAGGTCGATTGTCAGACGTTAACAAAACGACTAGTTGTATACTGAAACCCAGAGGTCTTGTAGTAGAGTGCTGTCTTTATCGTTTACCTGTAAGCCCTGATTAGCTTCATTTTTGGCGGCGGCCACGGAGGGCCGACTGTAACACGTCAACAACAGCCGCTAATGGCGATTGAAGGCAGCATTGAGCAAACGGGCGGAAGAGAGAACGCGGGAGACTAGAACACCCCTGCTAGTAGCCGAAGCCGGCGTGTTGAATTGTTTGTGAGAGGTGGTTGGCGTACCTGCAGCTCTAGCGACGATTCGATAGCAGCCCCGCTGCGGAAGCAGACTATTGATGATGTCCCAGGCTGTCGGTGGTGTGGCTGGCCAATCGGTGGGAGGAACGGAGCAGGGGTAATCTTGGAGAGTTGTGATAATGGGCCTGGATTTGGTGGGAAATTAATAATGATGAGAGACGCTACCGCGCTTTGGCCTTGGCCGAATTTGTGCGTTGATCAAGCCGGCCAAGTGCAGCGTCTTGGATATCCAAGTTGAATGATTGCCACCAAACGAAGAAGCCTGATAGGTGAAAGGAAAAAGGATAAAGCAAAGGCAACGAACAGGAGGAGATGTGCTCGAGAGTGACGTGGTGGAGGAGAGAGCTCGGCCGTGGGTTCGGACGACAAGGACAATCGCCGGTTGGGAGCAGCCCCCAAGTTAGCAAGGTGGCTCTGTTGGGTGCTGCTGGGCGCTGAAGAAAAAGATGCTGTAGGGAGCGTTTACAGGGCACTTAGGACTTCCTCTAGGGCCCTTTTGGATTGGGGAAGTGTGGTTGGATCGCCGGGAAAAAAAGGCGGCGGCAGGGGTGGGTAGCAAGGCCCGCCCAGGTAATTTTATACGGAGCTCCACTCCGCGGCGTCTTTTACAGACCTGGTTTTGACAGTAAAGAGATTGGTGAACGCGTTTGGAGCGCTGATTGAACGAGGACGCGACGATGGGAAGGGGATTGTGCATGTAAATATTGCCACCAAGTATGCATGTTTTCTGTTTGTGGTGGAAAATACCCTGTCTAATATTTGTTGAAGTCTACCGTTGTGGTCTCTTGCTGCCCGCCCAAAATGACTGACTGGTTGGGAGGTCGTGCTTCTGGTACTACTACTGTTGCCGCCGCTAAAAAGATGCCACACAGGACGCGTCTCTAGTGGCTAGGCGATCGTACAAAGTACAAAAGAAAATGTTTCGTAGCGTGGGTATGGAGAACGCAACCGATTAGTGGCAGAGGGTAATTACAGTGCTGTATGGTGCTGTTCTGCATGCACAGTTAGCCGCTCCCGTCTTCAGCGCACAGGTACTAGCCATGTCTTTGCTTGACACAAGCTCCCAGCACCACAAAGAGCCCCCATCCCCACAGCTGCACTGTCACTCATTTTCCCACGCCTCCTCTTGGCCTACCACCCTGCCCAGCTCCTCTTCTCTCTTTCTTGCCTGCGCCTTTCCTCTCCATCTTTTTTGTCGGGTGGCTTTTCTGTCGTCTTTTCTCACCATTCGACTAAGCACCAGTCCGGCTCTATTTGTGCTTTGCGTCTGCTCGTCCCTGTATCCCGCATGTCCATCACAGCTTCTACCCCCTGAGGCCTCGTCTTGACCAGCCGCTCCTCTCGCCAGGACACAAAATTCAGGGGCCTCCCGCACCACTCGCTCCCGTCGATCCCGCGAACCGGCGCCACTCCCGACTCGATCAAATACTTCCCATCATATCGTTTCCATAGTAGAGTGAAGCTGTACACAGCTCACATGCCCTCTGTTTGTGATATCCTGCAAGCTTCATCGTTGTGGTGAAGAGTCGGCCGGCTAAGCTACACTACCCCATCACCACTCTCAACACAGCAGTCCTCATCTACATACCTCGACCAGAAACAAGAATCTAGACGAACGGAACCATACCAATGGCTGCTGTGGCCTCTGCCCAGACGGCACTGACCCCGCCGAGCAGTAGCCATGGCGAGGCACCAGCTCACCAGTGGGACTTTTCGCAGCGTGATCGAGACGTAAGTAGCTTACTGTTGTTTGATGACGGTTGTGTGTGTTGAGTACGGGCTAACGCAACATATTAATTAGACCACGACAAATCAGGTCGACTCTCAATATGACCAGTCGAGTAGAAACCCACTAGGGGTCCTTAGCCCCAGCTCCAACACCAACACGCCGCACCACCCAGGTGAGATGTATGCCAGAAAGATGCGATCGGCAGACAACCTCTACGGCTCCCGCATGAGCAAGACATCCGACCACAGCCCATCATTGACTCCATTCAGTGAAGAATCCAAGGTCAACAGAGCTAACCATCCCAATTGGATCACCAAAGGGGACATGGTCCTAGACGAGACCAGCTCCAAGTGGATTCACCGCGATAAGCTTGCTCGCATCGAAAATGCAGAACTACATGCTGCTGGCTTTGTGATCCCCAAATCAAGGTCTACCAGCCGTCTCAAACGCGAACGTAGCGATAATCGCCTCGACGCAGATGCTCGTCGTCCTAGACATGGCTCTGCTACTTTCGACTCGCCGTCTCTTTCATCTCCACCTTCGTGGGATCTCCGCACTCCTGAAGAAATCGCCGAGGTCGAGGCCAACGCTTATTTCATGTCCACCGGAGCTGGAGGAACCCGGATCCCTCTCGCAAAATCCAGCCCTGTACCGTTGTCTCTCGATTTCTTGGAGCGTGGCTCCTCCGCCGTGCGCCGATACGAGTCGATGGATAGTGATATGATGGCGTACGCCAAAACCAGATCAAGAAGTGCTAGCGCTAGCTTCCGCGATTCGCCCAAGAAATTTGGCAATAGCGCACCGCGTAAAGGATCGGTGACCTCCAAAGGAAGCGCCACCTCCAACAGACCCAGCACACGATCCGGGCCTACCGCCAAAGAATCTCCATCCCGCCCAGGCACCCGATCCGGCCGCAAGACGTCCCGAGCCAAGCACCCTGAAGGTGAGCCACCATGGCTGTCCAACTCTTACAAGCCAGATCCTCGCCTACCTCCGGATCAGCAGTATCCAGCCGAGGTCGCCAAGCGCATGGCCCAAGAAGAAATGGAGCGAGATGGAGCATTCGGCGATGCTTATGACACCAACTTTCGCCCTCTTAACCGAAACTCGCTGCTAAAGACAAGCGAGAGCAACGGCAGTGGGGGATGGGAATGGCCGCTCAAGCCTTCCGTTACAACAGCACCGCTCCAACGTCAAGGCTCGACCTACTCAACCATGCCCAAGATCACAGATAAGGTCCCCAACAGCCCAATGGCAAGTCCACGACCAAATGCATCTGGCCAGATGTCACCTGTACCACAAACTGTGCATCAAACGGAGATGCAGACATTTGAGATGGCGCAACAAACTGCCGACCTCGAGGACAAAAAGGGCGGCTGCGGGTGCTGCGTTGTTATGTAAAGGCTACCTTTATAAGCAAACAGTATTTCCCGACAAGTCCCCTGTCCCCCAAAAGCATATTACGACGTTACGACTCCGACAATATTCACACTGTCTTTTTTTTTCAATCGAGATTTGTTTCCAGCCTCTGTTTTATCATACATTATACCAGTAGCCAGCCACCTTTAGCAAGAAAGGCCGCCTCTTTTCATATGTGGTTTTCTCCATTTGCAGCATTGGGCAGATCTAGATGCCCGTCATTGCCGCCGCATTCGCCGACACCCCCTTCTTTAATAGCATCAAGCTCTTGAGTCTTTCACCAGCGGCGTAGCCCGCCTCCTTCACTTCAACACCAGTCCTCGGGTTACCTTCATTTTTTTTCGTTGTAGGACGGTATTTTACACACTTTATCTGTTTTTTGTGGTGTTAGTATTGGGTAGAATAGCACAATCAACGAATTGTATCTAAGCCGAAAGCGCCCTTGTGACTGTGCAGTATGCAAGAACGAGATGGTGAGTACATTGTCGGTTGACCGGTATTCACGGCAGTCGTCATTGGAGTCGGTATACGAGCCAAGCGAAGTGACTCACTGGCGTGCTAAGTTATTATCTTTTATTTCCTTTCCGAGGCTGACCATCTGGGGGCACTTTTGCAGCTTGGGGGGCGTCTGCGTGACTTGAGCGTGCACCATGCGTGCCCTCTCCGTGAATTTCTTTCAAGATGAACGGTGTTTGCCACTAACTAGCAAAATAATACAGGCGTTTAGAAATAGTCTTACCACTATGCTTTGATTTTCCAAGGGTCTCGCGTGCTAATGCTAATTACTTAAGAACTTCGTGCCGTTTCCAAGCGGTGGCTTGCATGTTGTTGGCGTTGCGCTAGCACCGTTATGGCTGGCCGACCACTAAAAACGTGCTGGAAGAAAAGCGGGCTGCCCCCGCACTCGAGCAAATAGCCCGATGACTCCTCCGCACGGGTTTTCGAGGTGGGCCAAGCACAGGAGAACCCATCCATGCCATGGTGGATTTTGCGTCCGGTGTTTTGTTTTCTTTAATGCCGTCGTCTTCGTCTTGAATAGGCGTTCTTTCTTTTGCATCTTTGACTGCAAACGTTTGTTTCGTCATCATGGCTGGCTTCGCCCATTGCCCTTTGCCTATCTGGCGGACCGACGACTTTACAAAATGTTTCATACGAGAGTCTGTCTCCTCACGTTTCCCCAACCCGCCACAATTGCTAACTATGCCTTTAGCTATCTCAAAACACTATTCCCACTGACCCTTATCGCGCTTTCCATCCTTCAGATAGCCTGGTTTAACATTCGACGCTCAATTGGCGACCGAAAGAGCGCTGCGTACGCCCAGATTGGCAGAGATGCTAGTGCTGTTGCTGCCACCGAGATCCCCCCCAGCCCAATCGATTCCGAGTTTAACGAGTCCGAGGATTTAGAAATCAACACCGGAGGCCGCCTGGTTCTGGCCAAAACAACATCACGCGGCTCCATTGTTCAGGCTGATACTCCTCCTGGCCAGCGAGCCTGGGAGATCGTCGAGGAGCTTGCCATTGCGGCCTTGGTCGGCACCAATGCCGTGGCTCTTGTGACTGGTACCTACGGCAATGGTGGCCATATGCCTGCCATTGCTGGCCTCATCTCCTGGATGTATGCTCTGCTTCTGTGCTCTCTACGACTGTTCTTGGGCCAGTCCAAGTGGCGGGTACCACACCTCTGGAACCATACGGCCATGATCTATGCCGTCAATTGGTTTCTGCTTGTTGTTGTCCTCCGATCCGCCATCATCCACCCCAGCTCGACCTTGACAGAAACTATTGCCATTGGCGAATTTGCTCTGGTTACTCTGCTGTTTGGCATTGCGCTCACCACACGAAAGGGCAACAAGACGGTCCTTATGGAATGGGAGAATGGCCTAGAGCCGTCTCGCGAGCCCCTCGCGAGCATGTTCTCCATCCTCACTTTTAGCTGGGTTGACCGCATCATTTGGCAGGGCTGGCAACAGCCCCTTGAAATTGGTGACGTCTGGAATTTGGTGCCAAAGGATAAGGCTGCCCATGTCTTGTCCGACTTCCGCGCTCGCGAGACCTCTTCGTCGCTGGTTTGGCGAATCTTTCGCTACTTTAAGTGGGAAATTACCCTCCAGTGCTTGTTTGGTGGTATCGCTGGTATCTTTACCTTTGCCCCAACTCTTCTTGTGAAGAAGATTCTTGAATACGTCGAACATCCTGATGCTGCCCCCAGAAACGTCATTTGGTTGCTCGTCATCATGCTCCCAGTGTTTGACATTGTCCGATCGCTCGCTGAAAATATGAACTTGTGGATTGGCCGCAAAGTCTGTATTCGTGTCCGAGCTATTGCAATTGGTGAAATCTACGCCAAATCCCTTCGTCGGAAAGCCGCTACCACTAAGGCCAATGCCCCAGAAACTCAAGAGGAGGCTACCGTCGCAAATGCGGCCTCACCAAGCTTTTTCGACAAGCTAAAGAGCATGCTTGGCATCAAGCTTGCAGCTCCGGATGATGCGTCCGCAACTAAAGACACGGCAGCCCCAGTGTCGAGCGACGATGATGAGGCAGATGATGAACAGGCCAATGTTGGAACCATAATCAACCTCATGTCTGTGGATACTTACAAAATCGGAGAACTCACTGCTTATCTACCTGGTACAGTTGCTGCTGGCCCAATTCAGTTGATCGTGTCAATTACTTTGCTCTGGAACGTTATGGGCATTAGTGCTGTACCAGCTCTGTTCGTCATGGCCCTACTTATTCCTATCCAATACACCATCGCCCAAGCGTTTAACTACGCCTTTGACAGGGTCATGGCAGCAACCGACAAGCGTATCAACATTACGAATGAAGTCCTGCAAAACATCCGTGTCATCAAGTACTTTGCTTGGGAGAAGCGCTTCGGTTTCATGATTGACGAGAAGCGAGAAAAAGAACTCAAGGCACTTCGCTCACGATATGGGTTGCTTCTCATCTCCATTGGTGTGTACAACGCCGTACCAATTCTAATCACCTTCTTCTCGTTCTTGATTTATACCTTGGTCGAGAAGAAGCCCCTTGTACCATCTGTCGCCTTTACTGCCATTTCTCTCTTCATGTTACTGCGTATGCCCCTCGATCTTTTTGGCGAGATGTTTTCCCATGTTCAGGAATCTCTTGTCTCTCTACGTCGTGTAGATGACTTTCTTAATGAAGAAGAAACGGAGAAGTACGATCAACTGGGTACGGACAATTACGATGAAAATGGTGTCAAGACCATTGGCTTCAAGGATGCCACATTAGCATGGGGCTCAAAAGATGCCGTTGCAGACGATGGTACCAAGGCGTTCCGATTGCTTGACCTCAACCTTAGCTTCAAGCTCGGCAAAATCAACATCATTGCTGGCGCTACAGGATCTGGCAAGACATCCATGCTCATGGGACTCTTGGGCGAGATGACCCGTATTAGCGGCCGTGTATATTGCCCTGGCGGTTCCAGCCGCGAAGACATTCGAGCTGACCCCGAGACTGGCCTTGCCGACACAATTGCCTATGTTGCTCAAAGCGCCTGGCTCATCAACGATAGCATTCGAAACAACATTACATTCGCCGCACCATTTGATGAGAAACGATACTGGGATGTCATTCGCGTTTGTGCCTTGGAGCGCGATCTCGAAATTCTCGAGCATCGTGATGACACTCTTGTTGGAGAAAAGGGTATTGCTTTATCTGGCGGACAGAAGCAGCGTATTTCACTTGCCCGCGCTGTCTACTCCAGCTCTGCACACATCCTCATGGACGACTGCCTTAGTGCCGTTGACCCGCATACAGCCCACTGGATCTACCAGCAATGCATTCGCGGCCCGCTGATGACCGATCGTACCTGCATTCTCGTTACACACAACACGCAACTTTGTGTTCCCTCAGCCGACTACGTCGTCGTTCTTGACAATGGACGCGTTGCTATCGAAGGCTCCCCTGCTGAAGTTATTGAATCTGGAAAACTTGGCAAGGATATCCAGTTGGCTTTCAAGAAGGACAGCGTTTCCGCCAACCCATCCCACGTGCCGTCTCGAGTTCCGTCCGATGTTGGTCAGGAAGACGAAGAAGCAGATGGCAACGATGATATCAAAAACCGCCTCGCAAAGACAACGAGCAAGGTGCAAGCGAACCCCATGGACGAAGGTGTCGCCACTGGCGCCGTGAAATGGCCCGTCATGAAGCTATACCTCACGTCTATGGGTTCAAGGTGGTACTGGATTGCCACCGTCGTCGTCTTTCTGCTACAGCAGCTGGCTCCCATGGCCACAAACTTCTGGGTACGAGCATGGGCTAATCAATATGTCGCTGGAGCCGGGAATAGCGTCAATATTAACTCATCACCTCCTACATGGTACACACAAATGCACCCCAAGGCAGCCTGGGCTACCATTGCCAACTTGGCTAACATTCAACGTCCTACTACCGGAGCAATGAAAATTCAGGCCCCAGGCGCAGCTACTGCTTTCGATTCAAAAGATGGTGTTGACGATCTGTACTACATCACTGGTCTTGCTATTATTGGTGTATTTGGTGCCTTAACTGTATTCATGCGAGATATCTGGATGTTCTTTGGCTCTCTCACTGCCTCGCGCCGCCTCCACAATCGCCTGATGGCCGCTGTCATGGGTGCCCAATTCAAGTTCTTTGATGTAACCCCTCTCGGCCAGTTGATGAACAGATTCAGCAAGGACTTGGAAGCTGTCGATCAGGACATCGCGTTTGCAGCCAGCGGCTTCATCGGATGCATTTTCGGCATGTTCACAACCATTACTTTGATCGCCTTCATTACTCCTGGTTTCTTGATTCCCGCATTCTTTATTTCAATTGCCTTTTATTACTTGACCATCTTCTATCTTGGTGCTTCGCGCGACCTGAAGCGTCTTGAATCCGTCCAGCGAACTCCTGTGTTCCAACAGTTTGGCGAGACATTGGCCGGTATTACTACGATCCGAGCCTATGGTGATCAGCGCCGTTTCATTCGCGATAACTTGACAAAGGTCAACGCTGCCAATCGACCCTTTATCTACATGTGGTCAACGAACAGATGGCTTGCAGTCCGTGCTGACTTCCTGGGCCAGACTGTCACATTTTTCGCGGGCATGTTCATCATTCTCAGTCTTGGCAAGATTGACTCTGGTGCAGCCGGTATTTCGCTGAGCTACGCCATGACATTCATGGAGAACGTGTTGTGGTTCATTCGTCTCTATGGCCAAAACGAACAGAACATGAATTCTATGGAGCGTGTGAAGGAATACCTCGAGATTGACCAAGAAGCGGCAGCCGTCATTGAAGATAATAGACCTCCAGCTACCTGGCCAGAAGGCGGAAGGGTCGAATTTGAAAATTACACGACACGGTACCGCGCCGATCTGGACCCCGTATTGCGCAACGTATCTGTTATGATTCAGCCCAAAGAAAAGGTTGGAATCGTGGGTCGAACCGGTGCTGGTAAGAGTTCACTAACACTAGCCCTCTTCCGCGCTCTTGAGGCCGTATCTGGCAAGATTGTCATTGACGGCATTGATATTTCCAAAATTGGCCTCCAGGATCTGCGAGAGAAGATTACGATTGTCCCCCAGGATCCTACGCTATTTATCGGAACCATCCGCAGCAATTTGGATCCCTTTGACCAGTTTTCAGATGCTGAAGTATTTGAGGCGCTGCGTCGCGTACACCTGATTGCCAAGGAAGAAATGAACCCAGCTATTCCTATCGCGGAAAGTTCGTCTTCTGATGAACAGGTTGCCACGAACAAGAACATCTTTCTTGACCTATCTTTTGCCGTGACCGAGTCGGGCGGTAACTTGTCCCAAGGCCAGCGTCAACTTCTTTGCCTCGCGCGTGCCATGCTCAAGATGCCCAAAGTTCTGGTTATGGATGAGGCTACCGCCTCTATTGACTATAACACGGATGCCAAGATTCAGGAGACGATCCGTGAGATGACTGGCACTGTCATTACCATTGCCCATCGCTTGCAGACAATTGTTGATTATGACAAGGTTCTGGTGCTCGATAAGGGTGAGCTGGTGGAATTTGCGCACCCGTGGGAGCTGATCCAGGATGAGAAGTCCCAGTTCCACGGCATGTGTGCGTCGAGCGGCAATATGGATATATTGATGACTGCAGCAAAGAAGAAGTGGGATGAGAGCCACTAGGGTTTGTATAAAAGGAAAAAAACGTCTTGTCACTTGTCACACATATATGACCATATAAAAGTTTGCTACTTACCATATGTTGGATATTCGCATATATGTACCTTTTTTTGTTATTTCATAGTAATATATTGGCCCTTGACCCTAATGCGCTTTGACAGCTGCGGATCCCCTCAGCTTTCAAACGAGGCTGTGGCGGATAGATTTCTTCGGCATGGCGTTTTCTCCCATCTGACAAGATTTTATTTTATTTTCTACATAATTCCTTGTGCACCATGGCTCCTACAGGTATAAAAAATGATGGAGACCGGACGAGGACGAAACTTTGGGCGCCGAAAACGCGAACAGGTTGCTTCACCTGCAAGTAAGGCAAACCATCTTGGGCTGAATGCCGCACCACAGCCTGACACTAACACTCTCGGAATTGTAGGTCACGACGTGTGAAATGTGACGAGACGAGACCGAGATGTAAACGCTGCGAAAAGGGACATTTTGTCTGCCAGGGCTATCCCGCCAAACCAGCAGTTCAGCAAAGCTCAGCGGCGCCGCTTGCACCGAAATTGACTACTCCCCCGTCACCGAACCATACCGGGGCATTCCAGGACATCCGACAAGCGATTTACATGGCGCCCCGGGTTGGAATGCTACTAGAAGAGCTAAGCCGCATGGAATTATACCACAATGAGCTGAATATGGGCTATATTGGTTCTGTGATGTCCTACCTGACTCACCTGCCGATAAGAGTCGACCAAGACCCGACACTGGATTTAGCTATCCATTGTGTTGCATTCACTTTAAAGGGTTTTATACAACACGACTTTACGGAGGCTAAGTTTGAGATGACCGATACCAAGCTGTTGGCGGCGTATTGCCGCGCGTTAAGCGGGCTCCAGAGAGCGCTACAGGATCCCCAGCGGTCAAAGTCCGCAACAGTGCTTTGCATTACAAAGCTTCTGATGTTATTTGAGGTACAGTGAACTTGTAACACCTTTTGTTTTTAAAACTATTCTAATTGAGTGGGCAGTGTCTTCGGGGGACAACACGCGCGGAAGACCTGGTCAAGCACGAACGTGGCGCTTCTCTGCTCATTCAACACCGTGGACCAAGTAGATTTACGACGGAGTTTGAAAAGTGTCTTTTAGCCACACATGTTCCGTTAATTGTAAGTAGCCTGAGAGCGTGATATGTCTTGGAGATGAGCGGCGACCTGACTATTTCGACGCAGTTCAACTCGACATTCTTCACCTCACAGATCTGCTTTCTTGGCGAGCCTGAATGGATGGCGGCTGTGCAAGGCTGTGTTTCATCTGCACCGCAATCTGTAGACCGTGCAGACTTCTGGCTCATGTACTATACGCACGCAATCCCATTTGCCAACAACCTCGTCAAAATCAGCCGGTTGATAACTTTCCCACCTGCTTGCAGGGAAACTCGGGCACTCCAACAAAATGTACTCGCCGAGGAGACCCTCAAGCTCTACGAGACTATCGAATCATGGCATACTTTTATTATCAATGCAGAGCCAACAGGGAAGATGAGGACTCTCTGGCACATAAGGTGGTTGAATCGGGTCCAAATCACCGTCGTTGCAATGATTCTGCAGTGCCATGCAGTAGTCGCCGTCGGCGCTGGTGATATTCAGGCGGCATATAATCATGCTTTAAGGCTGACAGACTCTTTGATTTTGGCAAATAAGACCCGGACAAGCGTGAGCAAAGCCGAGTACCAATTCGTCACGGGTGTGTGCCGGCTGGTCAAGATGACCAAGAGTGAATGGGTAGAGTTTGTGATACAGGCTCCGCAAATCGATGAATCAGGTAATGAAGTTCGGAAACTTATGAGTTCGGATATGTACTGGAGATTCTTTCGGGCGTGTGGATGTATTCCACCGACGGAGCCATAGAAGTTCACAGCGGCCACTTTGCTCCATTGGTTAGTCATAGTTGGTAGCCCAAACAATACAACATGAGTCTAGAGTGTTATGTTTTCACATGGATATTTTCTTAGCTTCTTATACTTAGACATGAACCTGTTACTTCCACTAATCTTGTGTTTTATGGGACTGCGAATCGGCACTAAGTAATCCAGGCGATCGATACGGTCGACGCTAATGCCCCCGCCTGTGAGCTGGGTCAACTAGAGGCCCTCGTAAACTTTGTTCTTGATGACTGTCTAATAGTTGAGCAAAGTTGCCAGGTTTGTATTGACTGAGTGTCACAAATCGTTTATGTGGAAACCTGAGGCAGAAAGTTGAACTATAGTGCATCTGCCACCCGCGCCAGGTGCATTGCCAACCCATTTTATTAACCAGTTTACCACCCAGCATGGATTTGGCTGGAAAAGTCACTACTTTATCGAGGACAAAGCGCTGAGCCCCAAAGAGTAAGACGTGCTGCATTACCTGCAAGTAAGCATGGTCCGACTCGTCCTGTTTTTAGTCTACATAACCTGTTAACACCACCTCTTCAACAAGGGTCCGTCGTGTAAAGTGTGATGAGACGCGGCCAGGATGGCACATGAATGATGAGCATTGGCGCTAACTGTACATATAGCATATACCCATGGTGTAATTCACCAGTACATATTACCACGTTATGAAGAGGCCATGTTGATCGGAGTACATATAAATATAATGGATAACTAGCACGCTTCTATCACTCTGACATCGTTTTTTATTTCAAGTTTAGCTACTAAACCCTCAATTTTATGGAAGGGTAATATGCGGCTCATTAGGGTCGTCTAGCTGGTCGTCTTCAAGAGGAGGCAGTTTCGGGTCACAGACTGGTCCTACACCAAACGAGCTAGGCCATGATGTCTTGGGGCAAGGCAGTGTACCTCCAGTCTTGTAGGGGCCATCGAAGTCCATAGGAGGCGCCTGATACACGGGCTTGCCATCGGGTCCTAGCGTGCCAAGGCGAGAATCATCAGGAGGAAAGTCGCTATCATTCTCAGGCGGGGTTCCTGAAGCCGGCTGATCATCGTAGTACTCAATAGGCTCTAGCCTCTTCCTGCTGTCGTTGGTGCGCTGGCTGCTAACAGGCTCCTTGGGGTCAATCTTGAGCGGCAAGATTTCGGCCGTGTCCTCCTCCTCATGGTCGAAGATGATTGTGTCAGGCGGCGAATCGCAGAGAGGGCCAAACAGGCCAGTGTGATAGCGTGACTTGGGGCAAGGGAGGCGAGTAGGGTTGCCGTCTTGCAGAATAGGCAAAGCAAGTGTCTCGGGGATGAGCAGCAGCAGAGTTGCGCCAATGTTGACGAGTTGCATGTTAACGGTTGGTGGTGGTGGTGGTAGTGGTGATGTAAGTGGAGGAGAAGAGAAGGTAGCGGGGTGAGGAAGCGGGCGCTACAGCTTGATTTTAATATCGCGGCACTTGCAGACAAAAGAGAGCACGGGGACGCAGCAAAGTAACTATATTTGGCAAGGTTTGGGGTCCTCTTGCGCGTGCCTCTGTTTTTGACTTTGTTCCTGCAGGGAGGCCTGGATGAGATTGGAATGCAACACCTGATCGCCATTGGTGGACAGCGGGGACGAGGAAAAGCTACGAGCTGAGAAAAGTGTGCTGCCGAGTTAGCCGAGCAGTATCAGGTCTATTTTATTATTGTTGAAGGGAGCTTATTTTACTTTGCGTTTTTGCAGGCTGTTGCTGGTCTACTGTCTGATTGTGATTGCTTCGGTGGTGTTTAGCAACAAGGCTGGGCGAGGCTCACGATGATCGCGTACTGCCCAAAGAGGCAGGAGCCAAGCTTCCCTTCAGATATGGCTGACATATCTCAGACCCTCGTCACTTGCCCAATTTGCAATTAACAAGCTTTCTACTCGTGTACCAAGTCATGTGCAATTTCAGTGCTGTTATTATTACTAATATATTTTTCTTGCCAATGGCCTACTTCTTAGCATCAGCAGCCATGCCTTTCTGGATCCAAGCCCTGCTCGGCGCAGCCTTGGCCTCAAGCTCCTCCTCCGTCAAGTCGAAGAAGTCAAAGGCTGTGTGAGGCGTAGGGACACTAGCGCCCTTCTTAAAGCCAGGGCGTTCGCGAAGGGCAAAGAGCCACTTCTTAACGTTGGGGAACTCGTCAATGTCAAGGCCAGACCATTCTGTCACACCAAGTTAGCTTCTCACTTTTTTAACAGCAGAGTACAACAAAACATACTAGCAATAGCAATCCAGCCCCAGCATGAGATATCCGCAATGGTGAGACGGTCACCGACAATGAAGCCCGAGGAACTCTTGGCGAGATGGTCGTCTAGTGTGCGGTACAGGCGACGGCTCTCGTTGACGTAGCGGTTGATGCCGTATTCAATCTTCTCAGGAGCATATCCTGCGCAATCGCGTTAGTTCTCACCATCATATGCAGCCATACCAGTAAAAGACTTACGCTTAAAGTGGTTAGCCTGGCCCTGCATGGGACCAAGACCGCCCATCTGCCACATGAGCTATACGCACGCATTAGCTAACAAACTTCATGTAATCCGCAGCTACCAAAACTCACCCAGTTGGTAGTCTCCCAGTGCTCGCGCGAGCCAGCTGGGTACGACACCTTGTTCTCCTTGTCGTAGCGGTCGACAAGGTACTGCAGGATAGAACCGCTCTCAAAGATGCGGATGGGCTTTCCGTCGTCCCAGCTGTCGGTTAGAGCAGGGATGCGGCCATTGGGGTTGATTTCAAGAAACCAGGGCTCCTTCTGCTCGTTTTCGCCCATCTTGATGGCATGGACCTGTCCATAATGTATTAGAAATGTATCATGTACCGCATTGGGCGACTATGCGCACCTTGTAGGGCAGGCCAAGCTCCTCAAGAAGGATGCTGGCCTTGATGCCATTGGGCGTGTTGACAGTGTAGAGGGTAATGTCGGACTTGGTAGCCATGGTGATGAATTGTGATGCAAATTGGCGGATGCGCGATGTCATGGACTCGGAGAGAGCGGATGTGAGGAGTATTTATTTTACACCACACAGGTAGCAGCGTAGCGGCAGCTTAAACGTGAATCAAAGGCGGGCGGAAGCACGGGGAGTGCCTGCTTAGAAATCGACCCAAAAGACGTCACTGGGTTACCCCGCTGTTCAGCGGGATGCGCCATGGCAGCGGAACTCATCAATGCAAAGCTATGGAATCTTGGAGGCGGCTTATGTGAAATATTACAAATGCGTATTGCGATCATAAAGTGCATGGCTTATACGCACACAGCTCTCCGTTACAATAAACGAGGCTGTATTCGTCGCGCCCTGGTGTTGGCCCTGTTCAGTCTCGGTACTTGGCCTGATTGAGCCTTGCGGAGATCGGTGCGGAGAAGCAGGCAGACGCAGACAATTCCAAAGCCATTGCAAAATAGGGGACCTTAAAGTCATTAAAGTGAATATTGTCCGGAAAGAAAAAACAACACTTAAATATATAAACATACTCGAAATTAACTGCCAAAAAAAGAAGCAAAATTTTTCACCAGCAAGCCACTTTTCAGTGGTGGTATTTGGCAAAAAATGAAGTCAAGCTCGGAGCCGGATTCGAACCAGCGACTTCAAGATCTGCAATCTCGCACGCTAACCACTGCGTCACCCGAGCTTACTGTCCTGTCAATTAATTTGCACTATAAACATAGCCTCACGGACCAAACTTCACAACGCCAAGGTATTCTTTGTACCAATGACTGCACATTTACTAACAACGATTTATATATAACTTAACTCGCTAAAAGTCACTCATATATTAAAGATATTATTCTAAATCATCATCATAAACCCCGGGTCGCGATCGTCGCCGCAGCCATCATATTTACTATACTTGCCGTTCTTCTTGTCGCGGTTAATCTTTGCGCACCAAAGCACGTTGGCCAAGATTCTATTTCGGTTAGCAAATGGTTTAATTTTCATCGGGTAAGTTAAAGGGGCCTTACGCTACCCATGCATAGCATAAAAGTCCTAGAATGATGGTATGTCCGCGGTGAAAGTATGGCCCATCACGGGCTGGATACACAAAGGCTATCTCGAGTCAGCGCAGAACACAACATATCCACAACGCACGGGCTTACTCGATACAAATCCGCCGGTATTGGCGACAGCCAGCTGCAGCGCCGACGTCGTGGCGCGCTTGTAGTGGCCGGCAGAGTTGTTTGCGTTCCACACGAGAATGGGCGGGACGGCGCAGTACATGCCAATCGCCATGAGGCAGGTCATGCCGAAACGGACAGATGGAGACGGGACATTGGCAATAGTCGCATAGCCTGCAATAGCAATGGGAAGGACACCCAGCACAATGGGGCCGCGCATGCGGAGCTTGTCTGATAAAAGGGCAACGAGGACGGTAATGGGCGTGGCCACAGCATATGGGATGACGGTCCACAGCTGGGCCAGGTTGGCGTTGGGCGCAATGCGCATCTCATTGACAATAGTAGGGAGCTGTCTAGTTAGTAAACCCCCAGCGAACGAACAACTTAGGTAGACGTACAAAGAGGCCAAACGAGTATAGCCCAGACAGGATGGCAAAGTAGGCCGTTGAGCTTAGCCATACCTGGATATTAAACACGCCGCGGCGGACTTCGGACCAACTAAACGCCTCCTCACGTTCCTTTTTGCGGCTGCACCTTGTTAAAAAGGGGCAAAAGGGCCAATGGCGCTCAAAAAAATAAGTACATACCTGAATCGTCCGCCAGCATCGTCTTCCAGACGCTGGACAGCCCATGCGCGTTCCTCGGGGGTGAGAAAGTGCGCTGTTCCAGGCTCCAACGGCAGCATAAAATACGACCCGACACCAACAACGACAGTCTACGAGCCATACTAGTTAGCCACGCCACTATACTCTACGACAGCAGTGCGCCGTGTTCAACTTACAATGATGCCCTCCATGATGAGGATCCAGCGCCAGCCCGCTATCCCGCCAGCCGGTCCAATAGCTGAAAGACCTCTAGCAAGGAGACCGCCAAAGGCACCGGAGAGCGAGGCGGCCGTATAAAACAGACCAAAGCGCAGCGCCAATTCTCCACGGCTATAAAACGTCGTCAGATACAGAATCATGCCGGGGACCAAGCCGCCCTCGGCGAACCCAAGCAGGGCTCGCACGGCAATGAAGCTGCCATAGCCACGGACAAAGCCAAGGGCCACAGTAATGATGCCCCAGGTGACGGTCAAAACAGGTAACCAAAGCTTTGCTGAAAGCTTTTTCAGAACAAGATTGCTCGGGAGTTCACTGTCTTTATGTTAGCCTTTCCCTCTGTTGAGCCATCCGTCCCAGCGCACGCTCACCTAGCGATATACGTAGCATAATATACTGCCAGCCCATGTGTATACTGGTCATCGTCGATATTTAAGTCCTTCTCGAGCCCCAGAATCTTGGCGTTGCCCACGTTTGTCCTGTCCAGGAACGAGCAGAGAAAGAGAAGCGCCAGCACCGGCAGCAGCCTAGAAACATTCCACCAAGTCAGCACATGTTTCCAAAGCAAGTTTTCTTTAGCAGCAGCAGCACTATCTCTTACCTCGTGTCCATCTTGAAAAGCACTGTCCGGGACATCTTGGCACGCTGGACAGTGCCTTGCGCGACATCCCATCCCTCGTGATGGGCTGCTTTGGCGGCCATATCTGAGGGAGCTTTATCTGACATTGGGGCGTTGACCAGGTAGTATATGTGTATATGTCTATGCCACGTACTAACTTTCTTTGAGTACTTCAATTAATCTGCCGCAATGGATGTGAGCGCGGGACCAGCGGCCCTTTTTATGTAGCACCAGCAGCACCCGCGCAGGCAGCCGAGTGTGGCATTCGCTAGTCGTTCGGCGCCTCTCTTCTAGGCCGAAAATTGGGTCTGGCGCAGAGAGTGCAACAGTAAAAAAGAACCCGGCGGCTTTCCAAACGGCCGTGGCACTTCTTCCGGCGTTGATTCTTAGCGTCTCGTTGCGGATGGTTGATAAGAGAGGGAGAGAAAAAAAGGTTGCTGGGCTGGCTGCTTGGTGGCGTCTGACGCTCTCAGTTGCCAGACGCCACCCCCGGATTGGCACTGTACACTAAGCTTGGGGAAGGTGCTGCGGGGGCGGCGACAGTGCCCTGTATGTAGAAATTACAGGGCTGCAAACATGATAGTCGGACTACTCTAGATTGCGCTCCTTTAATGTAACACTGGCTTTTCCATCTGCACAACCAGCAGCTATAGTGAAAATACACCAATTTACTAAACAGCCATACCGATAGAATTTGGATTTTATTATTGGTATGTCAACCACCATCCATACGTCACTGCTCCCCTTTCTCACCGGGTCCCGGCATCTGAACTGCCCACTGCGGCAGACACGCGCAGCGCCTAGGCGCGCCCCGTAGACCCTCCATCGTCTCCTGTGGGGCGGACTACAGAACTACGCCGGCCGATGCCCGTATGACATGAGCCCTTTGAGCCTCACGCAATTTACAAGCAAGCATCTGGGCACCAATCAGGACAAGAGAAAATGAAGCAGATACTCTACGCCTACCGCTGCTTCTCCTCTTTTCTGCAAACAGAGTCTGGAGTGGCTACCGGGGATAAATGCAAACCACCTTTGCGGTGGAGAACATCGCCTCAAGCGGCTCTGTGAAAAGGCAAGTCACCACGGCGTCATAAGCATTAATAAACATTAGTTTGCACGGCTGCTAGCGAGGTCGAACTCCATAGACATGGAACCTAAAAGTAGACTCCGTTACACAGCTGTATTAAACAACAAAACAATATACAAAGCGTAGAGTAGCTATCGTCATATCAAAACAAGGCGTCCGTGGCGCTTCCGAATCATATCCCTCGCTTCCGTCGTCCCCAGCTCGGCCATCCCCCGCAATTTCATTCTCCATTGCGTTTCTTTGCCTCCCTCTTCCGTCCATCCGTCCTTCTTTCTGTCTTTCTTTCCTTCCTCCCTTTACCTCTCCCTCATCGCCTCCATCCAGCCATGACTGGGCGGCATGCTAAGGCTTGGTCTTGTCCTACATAGGAATCTGAACAAGCCATGGGCTCAGCAACAGCGTATCAGCAGTGGGGCGACGGTCATAGCTCTCGTCAAAGCATTTTTCCAAGAATTCAATGGCAGCCTTACTTGTGCCCTCGGGTGCTTGAGGTGTGATTCGTTTGGCCAGTAGATTGAAGAGCGCCTGAAGCTGGCTAAACTCTGGATATGGATGGCCGGCTGTCATCATCTCTACCACAAGACAACCCAATGACCAAATGTCTGACGCGCTAGTAAAGCCTGTCTGCTTAAGCACCTCGGGCGCCATCCAGAACACAGAGCCTTGTAATGACACGCGCGGGCCACCTCTGCTGCCCATGTGTGCCGACTTCACTACTCCCTTGATCAAGTTGGACTTGTCCAACTTCTTGGAGATGCCAAAGTCAGAAATCTTGACGCAGCCCTTGTTATCCACCAATACGTTAGCGCCTTTGATGTCACGATGCACAATGCCCCTGCCATGCAGATATGACAGGCCGCTGAGGATTTGTCGGACAAAACTGCGAATCAGGGGCTCTCCAAGAGCGCCATACGAGTCCAACATCGTCTGCACAGAGCCTCCAGGTACGTACTCAAGGAAAATATTGAGCATCGAGCCTCCACTGCTGCAGCCAAAGTACTGCACAATATTGGGGTGGCGCAGTTCTCGCAGAATCACAATCTCTCGCTTTAGCGAGTTCATCATGGACTTCTTTCGAGGCCGTTCATCTTCATTGCCCACCGAAGAGTCCACCTGCTTGACTGCCAACAGCTCGCCCGTTACTGAATGAAGAGCCAAGTAGACCTTACCAAAAGAGCCCTTGCCAATAAGCGCGCCCTTCATCCATAGGCTGTCGTCCCAAGATTCACCCGCCAAAAATGTTGACAAGTCCACATCATCCGCGTCATCTTCATCCTCATCCTCCTCCTCATCATCATCATCTTGAGCCACGTCATTCTCAGATTCATCACTTGACCGATGCACAAGCTGATTCTCCTCTCCGCCCTCCAACGGCTGACCCACATCGTATGAAACAATTGTCTGCTCCTGGGAGTGGCCGCCTGCAACTTCGCCATCAGCATCGCTTCTGTCTCGGCGGTTGAAGGTGACTTCGTCGGTGCGGATCGCGACCACGCGATTGCTACTGGCGCCTGTAGACAGTCTTGTTACTGTAGGAGCTTGTCGAGCCTGTTGCAATCCACCGTCGACGCCTAGCTCTATGCGGTTATTTAAGCCGTTTCTGCTTTGGCTTGTCAAGAGACTGTCGGAAGCATCGCGTGAGTGTCGTGCTCCCGCAATAGTTCCATCATCAGAGCTCTCGTCACAAGTATCGTCCTCATTATCTGCCGCATCTGTTTCAGAGCGCGCGCCATGGCGTGAATATGATTTTTCGGACAGTGTTTCCTCAGACTCTGCGTCCGAGTGGGTATCAGAGTAAGTCATGTTGCTTTCAGTATCTTCCAGTTCGCTCTCCATCAACGATTCAAGATCCGCTCGCTTTCCGGTTCTTCGCTTCAGCGTCTCCAGTACTGAGGCAGATATGGATTCGCGCCCGTAGATGGCGTGCGAACGGTACTTAGCCTCGCGGTCTTCGCGGAGCTTGGCAATGTGAACGTTGCCTGAAAGCCATTGGTCGGCAATGGATGGTATGGGTGGTACATCGTGACTGCTGGAGGCGAAGCTGCCACTACTCGCCACACTAAGCCGGCTGTTGATCTTGCTAAGACGCTTCGATCGTCTGACAGACATTCGAGCAGTGTTCTCAACATATTCAGGATCGTGCTGGGGGAAGTACATGCCAAGTGACGACGCAATCAGCTCGCTCGGTGGGCGCATGCCAGCAAACTGTGGTATAACGTCATCATCCTCCTCCCCGGAGTCGTACCTGCTGCTAAGCTTGAGCCCCTCAATGTTGGAGCTAGACGGACTGACGAAAGACATGTACTTAGACCTGCGGTTGCTTCGCAGCTCAATGGGTGCCAGAGGTGGCAGAAAGCCATCCCATTCATCACCTAGCACCTTTCTGACCTTCTTGTGGCTCTTTCTCTCCATTGTCATAGGCTCCATGTCATCCTCATCGTAGATGGATATGGGGATGTACTTGCTAAACTGGTCAGCCTTTGGCTCCTCGCTTTGGACACGTTGGAGAATCAGACGGTTGCGCTCCGGTTGATCCTCGCCTTGGAGGATATTCCACAGCTCCATGTCACCGAGTCTACGGGGTCCAGGGTCACCTGGAGCCTGCGCCCAGAAGCAATAGTTCCCGGCTTGCTCTTCGGGCAATGAGAACTTCTTAAGCGTCAGGCGCATGACTTGATCGACGGTGACGCAACCAGCAATGCTTATGACCTTGGTGAGCGTGTCGCCATACAGAACTCGCATCATGCCCTTTCCAAGAGGAATTCCCAGAGTAAAGCTGTTATCCAAGCTTGAGTTATTCCTGTTGTGTGCTCTGTCATAGCCTCCATGCTGACGGGATGAACTGGCTACAGCAGGGCGAATAACAGCTTTGCCCTTGTCTTTGGCTTGTTTGCCACGTGAAACTTCACTTTCCGTGTTTGGCGACGCAGGCGTCGACGAGAGTTCACCCGCAGTCATAGGGAAGGAAAGGTCAATATGACGCCGGGGCTTTGCAGGAGCTTCCCTATATTTCCTGGGTAAGCGAGAGGCGTACGTGGGACGCTCTCCTCCCAAATCTTCAATAGGGAAATTCTGGGTCACAAAGTGGCCCTTCAAATAGACCAGTATTAGCATATAGTTCATAGTCAGAGAGAGGTAGACATTTCACAACTTACCCGTTGCATGGGACGGTCTTCATGGTTGACAACCTTGTTCCGGAGACGTTTGATAACGACATAGAGGCGGATCCTGTCTCCTAGCTTTGGGATTCCAAAATCTCTCATAACATCCTTGTCAAGATCAAGAAACTGCTCGCCGGTGATGTGGTTGTCTCGAAAGGTATCTTGCAGATGACCAAAGCCAATGCTGTCAAGAAAGGCGCAGACTGCATCCTCTGTCCAGTCCTTGGCAGCTGCATACGTATCCGCGATAGAAAATTCCGAGTCGGTAGGGGATGATTCGCTAGAGGAGCTGCCCGCCATGACGACGTGTTGTGTATTGATGGGAAGACCAACGGCCATGTTTCGCTTCGGCATGGCTACCTCCACCCGATAGGCTTTGTTGTGCATCGCCATGTTTCACCCGCGCAGTTGTTGTAGAGGAAGCGCTAGAGTAGTGATCTATAGACCTCAGATGGCCAACTTGTTGCAACTGGCCAGGGGCTGTTGGCCGTCCGAGGGCGACGGTTTTTTCGATTTGCGCAGGTCCTCACGGTTTGGTGGAAAGCGGATCGAGGGGACCGAGCGTAAGAGTGCGATCGAAGGAGCGACGCCGAAAAGAGAATAAAATACAGTCGACAATTATAAACAGATCAAATAAACCGAATATATCGAAATACTTCACAGAAGTATGTAGAACGCAAATAAAGAAAATAAAAACTGTTGGTGGTGCAACAGACCGGTTGGTTGTTGAAGAGGTGCAGGGGAAATGAGATCAGGAGCACGGATGGAAACAGGCCTGTTGCACAGCGGGAAGAGCAGGGGCGGGGGCTTGCGTTGCACCTGGGCTCAAGGTGAAGCAGTGCTGGCGATGTGCTTCAACGGCGGGGAGAGGGGAGTTGGCAGTGTGAGAGGGGAATAGATACTGTACCACCCATAGTGTGGCGCACCACAGCTCACAGTCTTGTTGGCGCCGCCGCACTGGAGGAGCCACAATACCCAGCGCTAAAAAATAGCCTTTCCACATGCTGACTGGTCACTTCACAGTTGAGCGCCCCTCTTTATTCTGCGCAGCGAGTGACGCCGTCCGCTAAGACTTGCACTGGAGATGGTGCCCCTGCAGCCACACCGGGCTTAATTTAGCACACGGTGTGCTAGAGAAGCGCCGTCACCCTCCCATTCGCCAGCGTCGGTCACTAGTGCTGGAGCCAGTGTGTGTGTGAATGGGACTGGGGCACAGAGGAATAGAGTTTGGCGATTTTCATAGAGGTCACGACTCGGGAAGCACCAGCAGGCGGCGTGACTTTGCTGCTAGCTTTTCTTTTTCATCCCCTGCCTTGCCGTCTCTTTGCTTGCCGTATTCAGGTTGGTGCATATATCGCTTGTGCCAGCCGTCTTATAGTTTGTGCGCCAGGTTGGCGCTCAGGTGATAGCTGGTGAACGATGCAGTTGGGCAAGTAGAAGCAAACCACTGAACCACACCTACCTTACTGAAATTGGGTCCAATATGCGGCGTTGGCGAATGCCTGTACTCTAGACTGTCACGCATGGAGCTAGCCAACGCACAAGCAATTGTTTGCTTTACGCTAACATGGAGAGCGCATTCTAGACTGGTTGGCTGACCATCTCTTCTCCGTCCCCTCTCCACCTGAGGCGTGCTAACCGTCCAAAAACGCTAACTTCGCTCTTTTGACCCCTCGCAGCCTTGTTTCCCAGTGGTGCATAAGAAAAATCGGGGCATGTGGGCTTGAGTGTTACAAAGTTTCATCTGGGGGAACTATTGTTTGGCCACAGGCAGAGTACCTTGTATTCTATTCCGTTGAGGATGGGGTGGGCTGTCACATATGCGAGATTTTGGCCATTTCTGTACAAGCCTATTCGTTACTACGCCATGAGTTGCTCTTTGGTATTCCGAGTTTGCCGGAGAAGTTCCCCGACGGCGTTGGTTGGCTGCCACGAAAGATTTGGGTGGAATGCCCAACCAACAACGCCCCTGCTGACCTTGGTTTGGTACAAAACTTGTTGAATCAGCTTTCATCTGGGGACCGTCTCCTGTAGATATCGATAGGTTTGGTCAAGAATTGCCCAGTGTTATCGTCAACTGAGGGTTGAGGTATTTCTCAAAGAGGCGACAGCAACCTGCTGTTTCATGCTGCGACGGGTGGCTGGCCACTGCAGATCATGAGTTGGGGCGCAAGACGATGTGAACCGGTCGTGAACAGTCTGGCTCGTGCTTTGGTCTTTTATCGTCGTCATGACCATCTCTCTCGTTTCAAGGGCTACTGCAACTGTAAACCCTGTAGGAATCGTAGCCAACCAGCCTCGCATCACTGCAATGTAACTCGGCCGATCCTGGCAGCTGTTGCTAGCCCCGTCGCTCTTGCTAACTTACCCGATAGCATCGACCATTGGTGTAACTTCCTTGACGACCCCATATCGTGCGCAGAGGTCGCAAAATAATTTGCTTGTATTTATTCACTCATCAAGCTGTTATGGATATTTACTATTCTCCCATTAAATGCCACCGGCGCAACCCCAAGCATGCGACACAGCCAGCAGTATCTAGCTCTAGAGAGCTGAAAAATGTATTCCAGAGTGACAGGAAAGGGCTGTAACCTCTTAAAGAATTATTAAAAATATTTCAACGCCCTCTCTCTATTATACCTCGCACTACACAAAGGAAACTACTACGTTTACTTTTGCAATCTGGCCCAAGATCTTGCAGATGGCACCGAGTTGCGACTGTAGATCGACCCCACCATAACGCCCAAACCTCTAGTGGCCTAGCAAATACCGCGACGCCACAAAACTTTTGCCTAGGTGCGACTTCGGATCTTGGTCTCTCTTCCAACTCCATACTCCTTTCGCCTAGAAATGGTATTAGATCTAGCATCTTCCACCTTATTCAATATGGCAGCTAAGCCAATTGTCAGCTATTTGGGCCCGACAGCCTCATACTCAGAGCAGGTAAGCTCTGCCGCGCCGAATGACGCCATCACCAAACCTAACTCCAGCCCAAGGCGGTCCGACAGGTCTTTTCCGAAGATTATTGGCAACTAAAGCCGGTAGTAACGATTGATGGTACTGTGATAGACCACAAGGATTGTCCAGATCCTTAGCATCCGCAACAACACCCAGGCTAACCCATTGGCAGACATTTTTGACGAAGTCCAGTCTGGCAGAACGCTACTCGGTGTCGTGCCTTTTGAAAACTCCTCCAATGGCCCTGTCGTTTTCACTCTCGACGATTTTGCCGACCGCGATAAAAAGTACAGCGACATTGCGGTGAACGGCGACATCTATGTCGACGTTCACCACTATCTCCTCGGCCACATCGCCAGCGCTGCCGCCCCCGCCGCTGAGCACGACGGCACATCTACCCCAACAGCTTCCGACCCGAACCCAACGAAGCCCAAGGCTACGCCGCTTACCAACCTGGACAAGATCAAGCGAGTGTATTCGCACCCACAGGCTTTTGGTCAATGCAAAGCCTTCCTTTCAACATATCTCAAAGGCGCCGAGACACTTGAAGTGAGTTCTACGAGCAAGGCTGCCGAGCTGGTCAGCAACGACACCTCGGGCGAATCTGCTGCCATCTCGAGCGAGCTAGCGGGCAAGCTGTATCATCTGGACACACTGGCCAAGAGCATCGAAGATCGCGATGATAATAAGACGCGCTTTCTTGTCATCTCCAAAGACTTTATCATCCCTAAGCAGGCTGCGCAGTTGAACTGGCCCCGCGCCGAGAGAACGGGCACCAAGTCGTTGATTTCCTTTACAGTTCCACACAACGCACCTGGCGCCCTGGCGGACGCTTTGGGCGGGTTCAAGGAGAATGGAGTCAATCTGACGAGTATAAACACCCGTCCGACAGGCAAGGAGGCTTTTCAGTACATTTTCTTTGTTGAATTTGAGGGATCAAGACTGGACGATGAAGACGGCAGCGTAAACGCCGCTTTGGAAGAAATTAACAAGGTTGCCGAATCATGGAGATGGCTCGGTAGCTGGGACACATATCAGTAGAAATAAGAGTGCACTATGAAAAGTCGTCCATTACTTTACATGGGATGGCAAAATTGGTCACAGACTCATACATAATATCAACTCCGATTTGTTATGGTAATTTAAGCCTGCGAAACTCTATAAACAGGCGACTACTCTACTACTGGTCAATACGACATAATAAACATCCGCTATCCAGATTCTAAATGCGGGAACAAGTTCGCGTCACCCTCACTAAAGCTTCATCAATTCACCATGTCGCCGAATTTTTACTATGTACGAATGTCAAAGAACTGATGTCATGATTGGATAGAGACATATTATGCAACGGACCATCGGTCGGCAAGTCGCATACTCTGTCCGCGAACCCAGAGAACGAGCTGTCAAATTAATAGTACCAGTGTACGTAGGTGACCGTTTTGTTCCAATCAGGTTGCCGCTATCGCCCATGACGTCGCTTTATTGGGCCGGCAAGCCGAGAATGGCACACTGGTTGGTGCATTTATAGCGCATCTGCGGGGGGACAGGAGCCTCAATCCGGGTCGTCGGCGTGGGCTGTTGTGAAAAACGGGTGATAGGCAGTTGGCTTTCCCCTACCCCGAAAAAAAAAAGCTTTTCCTTTTGCTCTCCCCTTTTCTCCTTTCTCTTTTTTTTTCACCTCTAAAGAATCATACTTGTTAGAATAATTACGAACAAGATGGCCCCTAAACCGATTTTCACTGCTACACACCCCAGGGCTTGCTCCACAGCGTTTGAGCGTGTAAGAGTTGCGCCGACGTCGATAGAAGGTCACATGGGAGTCTAACAACGCATTTTCTAGGTATTTTTGACGCGCAGAGACATCATGGACACTGCTCATGAGCCTTTTGGCGATCCTGCCTACTTTGGGCCCGAACGCCTCTGCGACAGGTTCAGAAACGATGTCGAGACGAGGCACGCAACCGGCATGGCCGACATCACCTACAAAGATGTTCTCGATTCATTACAGGAGCCCGGTAAAAGAGTAATTACACGTTGAAGCTGTCCGTATAGACAACTAGATTCTAACATTATGCAGGGCCGCCGAGTCTTTATCAAGGACATGGCGCAATACCTCATCGCTCCACATGGTAGACCAACATCGATTGCTCAATCGCTAGGCGCAGCCCAAGAGCCCGGCAATCCAACAGTCCTCCCCATCGCTGAGCTCAAGAAATTCCATTTTACTTTTCTTATTCGTCATCCCCGCCGCTCTATCCCATCTTACTGGCGCTGCACAATCCCTCCCCGCAAAGAGGTCACTGGCTGGGACTACTTTGATCCCGCCGAGGCTGGTTATGCGGAGCTTGTCACCCTGTTCAAGTTTTTAGATGAGCAAGGAATCATTGACAAGTCAAATGTCACCGTCATTGATGCGGACGATATGTTGGATAACCCAGAGGGTATCATCCGCGCCTACTGTGATAAAACCGACATTGATTTCAAGGATACCATGCTCAATTGGAACAAGGAAGACGACAAGTATGCTCAGGAGCTCTTTGAGAAATGGAATGGCTGGCACGATGATGCCCTCCAGACATCATGCCTCCAGGCTAGAGCCCACCCCAAGGTATGCCCACCCTACATCAAAGTCCGCCCGGGCTAAGCTAACAACGCCATATAGAAAGTTTCTACCATTGAAATGGAAAACAAGGAGTGGGAGGAAAAGTTCGGCTCTGCCGCACAAAAGGTCATCCGCCAGACTGTGGACGACAACGTCCCACACTACGATTATCTCAAGCAATTTGCTATAACGGTGTAACGAGATTGGGCAAACTAAGCGCCATGCTCGCCGATTACGAGGTCATGATTTCACTATATTCAGTGTAGGGGTAAACCCCCCAGAACCCTCTATGGGAATTATAACGATTGTTTTGTTTTCCTGCATCTCTTGTCCTGTGATAAACATGTGTATTCAATCAGTATGGTACAGTATCTGGCAGTCATAAAGCCCGCTAGTATCATGCCCCTCCTCCTCCTCAATGCTATATAATACAATGGCACTGATATCAGGTGCCTCTATCGATGTTCCATGTTGCTTTTTTATGCCGTAGTGGCTTCAGGTGCCTTAGGCGGTGCTGGCTCAGCAGTTCCGCCCACATATGTAGGTGTTTCTAGCAGACCATGTGTGACATTGCTGGACCACGTCTCAGCATAGTTTTTATCCTGGTCATTCGCCCAATGGACCGTGACGCTGCTAAGCGTGCTAGCACCATCCTCGCCCTGAGCAGCAACCAGATTACCACGGCCCTGGCCGGCCAAGATTGCGGCCAAGTCCGCAACGGCGTTTTGTTTCTGTGCATTCAAAGCAGCACCACGTTCCTTCTTGTTTCGGGCGGGTCGGAATTCGTTGCCATTGGCTTCCGCAGCGTTAACTTCGCGGCGCTGGCGGGCCGTGAACTCGTCTGTCGTCTTGTATCGGATCTCGTCGCCCCAGGAAACCTCGTGCAGGTGCTTCAATTCGCGTAGTTTTGCATAGATAGATCGGCCAACGCCGCCCTGGCCTTCGCCGACATCGATTCTGGCCAATTGTGACCAGTAGTCCTTTCGCAGGCCCGCCGGCTTCGACTTTTTGCCGTTAAAGGGGAGTTGCTTCAATGCGTGGAATTGCTAGTCAATGTTAGACCACATGATATAAAATTATCATCCATTTTGAAATACAAACCTCTAGTTTCTCAGAAAAGCTGTAGATGATCTGCTGTGTGCGGCGATGGCAAAAGACCCAAATCTTCTCGCCGTGTCCCTCGGGACCTTGGAACCCTTTGCGGTTCCCTGATTGTCTCTTTTGCCCGTGCAATTGCCTTGAGACTAGTCGGAAGACGTCCGGCACGCGTCTGGTACTCGTCCTCTGTGTCGTGGAGAACATGGTTGCTGTGTCCCTTTTCAAGAGTATGGCTATCAAAAAGTTTGGATAGGCTCAAGGGAAAATGCGCCTGGTCTGCGATCGTGGAGGTCATGTGACTCCCCTGGCAGCAGTTGCGCTAAGCGGCGGCGCTCTTGGAGGATGGCCGCGGGGCGCTGGGGTCAGGTGATGGGTTGCCTGTATTTTTACAGCTACAGTGACTGCTTTAGGTGCCTGCCCCGCTAAACGGCACTGAAGCCGCCAGTGACATCAGGAAGAGTCCACCACCTTCTGGCATGTTCCAGGTAGCTTCTAGCTGTTTTGGGCAGCCACTGGCATCATCACCCCTCCTTGTTCCCAGGTGGTTAAATTTCCCACCTTGATTCTATTTGCACCTGTAAAGATTTTTTCTCACACATCCTCTTCAAACAACTCTAGTTTGCTCCTACGATCGACTGAAAGCACTCAAACAACCTGAAAAGGCTTGATCGCTTTATACCGAATCACATCTACAGTCATCGACATCCCATCCGTTCATAGCCCACCATGACGGCACGAATGGATTTTACCGACAGAGCCCAAAAGGCCGTGGAAGATGCCATGGCCTTGGCTGAACAATACGCACATTCACAACTTGTCCCTGTACATCTTGCAGTCTCGCTATTAGAACCCCCGATCGACCAGTCCAAGGACCAGCAAAACGCCCCGGCTGGCGCCGTCGTCACACTCTTCAGACAAGTTATTGAAAGAGCTCATGGCGATCCTCAACAGTTCGATAGAGCGTTGAAGAAGATGCTGGTACGACAGCCTAGCCAAGATCCTCCTCCAGACCATGTTTCGCTATCACCACAGTTTCATGCCGTCTTGAGGAAGGCGATGGAGCTGCAAAAGGTGCAAAAGGACTCTTACATTGGTGTAGACCATCTTATTACAGCCTTGTCCGAAGATTCGACAATGCAAACCGCTCTCAGAGACGCAAATATACCCAAACCGAAACTCGTTCAGGAAGCTGTGCAAGCTATCCGAGGCACCAAGCGTGTCGATAGCAAGACGGCTGATACTGAACAAGACAACGAAAACCTCGCCAAATTCACAATAGATATGACGGCAATGGCCAAAGACAAAAAGGTCGATCCCGTTATTGGTCGAGAAGAAGAAATCCGCCGAGTTATCCGCATCCTGTCCCGCCGAACAAAGAACAATCCTGTACTTATTGGTGAGCCGGGTGTTGGTAAGACGACTGTTGTCGAAGGTCTGGCGCAGAGAATTGTCAACCGAGATGTTCCTGATAACCTGAAGCACTGCCGACTTTTGTCGCTTGACGTTGGAGCCCTGGTTGCTGGCAGCAAATTCCGAGGTGAATTTGAAGAGCGTATGAAGGGTGTCCTCAAGGAAATCACAGAATCCAAGGAAATGATTGTTCTCTTTGTGGACGAAATCCATCTTTTGATGGGCGCCGGATCCTCGGGAGAGGGTGGCATGGATGCAGCTAACCTACTCAAGCCTATGCTTGCGCGTGGCCAGTTGCACTGCATCGGTGCTACCACTCTTGCCGAGTACCGAAAATACGTTGAGAAGGATGCGGCCTTTGAGCGCCGTTTCCAACAGGTTCTCGTCAAAGAGCCCTCCATTACCGAGACTATTTCTATTCTCCGTGGTCTCAAGGAAAAGTACGACAGACACCATCGCGTCAACATTCTCGACAGCGCTTTGGTAGCCGCTGCCAACTTAGCCGCCCGATACCTCACCACTCGCCGTATGCCTGACTCCGCAATCGACCTGGTAGACGAAGCAGCTGCTGCTGTGCAAGTCGCCCGCGAGTCACAGCCCGAGATTATCGACTCTCTTGAACGTAAGCTGCGCCAGTTGATGATTGAAATCGCTGCCCTTGCAAAGGAACAGGACGAAGCATCACAGACCAGACTTATTCAAGCAAAGAAGGATGCAAAGAACGTTGAAGAAGAACTTGCACCACTTCTTGAAAAGTACAAGAGCGAAATCAAGCGCGGTGAAGAAATCCACAACGCCAAGGTTAAGCTTGATGACTTGGAGAAGCGCTTGGAAGATGCCATGAACAACAGAGATGATGCCAAGGCCGCTGATCTCAAATATGGTGCTATCCCCGAACAAAAGGCTGTCATCAAGGATTTGGAAGCGAAAAAGGTTGCCGCTGATGCTGCTCTGAACGCCTCTGGGCAAGATCTGGGCACCTCAATGGTTACTGACATTGTCACTGCCGATAACATCAACGAAATTGTTGCTCGATGGACTGGTATCCCAGTGACTCGCCTTCGCACCTCAGAGAAGGAGAAGCTCATCAACATGGAGAAGGGGCTAGGCAAGATTGTTGTTGGCCAGAAAGAAGCGGTACAGTCGGTAGCAAACGCTATTCGTTTGCAACGCTCTGGTCTTGCAAACCCAAACCAGCCACCCAGCTTCCTCTTCTGTGGTCCTTCTGGTACGGGTAAGACACTCCTGACCAAGGCTCTCGCCGAGTTTCTCTTTGACGACTCTCGCGCAATGATCCGCTTTGACATGTCCGAATACCAGGAACGCCACTCTCTCAGCAGAATGATTGGTGCTCCCCCAGGCTACGTTGGCCATGATGCTGGTGGTCAGCTCACAGAAGCTCTCCGCCGTAAGCCATTTTCAATCTTGCTCTTTGATGAGGTTGAGAAGGCTGCCAAGGAAATCCTGACGGTCCTCCTCCAACTCATGGACGATGGCCGCATCACTGACGGCCAAGGCAGAGTTGTTGACGCCAAGAACTGTATTGTCGTCATGACATCCAACCTTGGTGCTGAATACCTCACTCGCGCTGGTGTCAAGGAAGGCCGGGTCGATTCGTCCACCCGGGAACTTGTCATGGGCGCGCTGCGCAACTACTTCTTGCCCGAGTTCCTCAACCGTATCAACTCTGTCGTCATCTTCAACCGTCTCACCCGCAAGGAAATTCGCAAGATTGTGGACTTGCGCATATCAGAAATTCAGAAACGACTGGAGGACAACGGCCGGAAGGTTCATATAGACGTGTCAGACGAAGCAAAGGACTACCTCGGCAACTCTGGCTACTCCCCTGCCTATGGCGCTCGCCCTCTTGCAAGACTCATCGAGAAGGAAGTTCTCAACAAGCTTGCCATCCTTATCCTGCGCAACAACATCCGCGACGGTGAAGTTGCGCGCGTTGAGCTGGACGATGGTAGAATCATTGTTCTATCAAACCACTCCGACAGCGAAAGCGGCGACTACGACGACGATGCCGTTATGGACGACTCGGATGCCGTAGAAGAGATTGCCGGCGATGACATGGAGGAAGACTTTTACGATTAAAACATAATACCCTGATTTCCCTTTTTCTTATTTTTCATATGGCGTTAGCCGGAGCATTTCTTAGCAACAGTTTTGAAAGTTGCATTGCATGGCATAATGCCATGAATCTCTTTTGAATTCCACGTTTTAGATTCAGATAGAAAGAAAATAAATACTGTGAAAACAACTGTCCCAATTCCCACTCCATAACACCGTGCATTGTCAACATTCGATAATAAAAATGGCACCAACAGATAGTAAACAACTGTGCCAAATCAAGGTAGGCCCAGGAGGACACCTTTCTCATTAACCCAGCCAAACTCCTCCATAAACATATTCCAGTCGATCTCCATGAGGTCGACATCCGATGGCATCGGGGGATCCGTAGCCACAGGCGCCGTCACTATCGTAGACATGTCATATGATACTACACTCGTGTCAGCTAAATTTCTAATAACTCTCAACACTAGGGGGACAACGAAATAACTTACATATAGGCTGATCCTTTTGCGCCGCCGCATCATTACTGCGCTGCGCGGCCTGCAGTCCGACTTTGAATTTGTCGAGACACCAGCAGGTAAAGCCAATACTTAGTCTCGACGACCACGTACAATCACCAAGTTCCAGCTTGGGCAGTGAGGTATGGTATGTCCAGAACGTCTCGATAATCACACCCGCTCGATGTGGCAGGTCGTTCTCCTGTACCGAGCACCGGTGGATCGCAGCAATGGCCTGCTGTGCAAGAACAGCGGCGTCGTTGGGGCTAATATCTGGACATGTAGGTGAGTGCAGCACCGCAATGATGATGCAGGCTGCATCAACAACTAGTCGGAAGACCCAGTGAGCGGCGTGTGTAAGGAACTTGGAGCGGGATTCCTGCTCGAGAGATGTAGCGATGAGGTTGCGTGCCGTGTGGAAGGCCTTGAAGATGTTGATTGGTGCTGGGGGGTTATCGATGACATTGTCTGGGTTGAAGTAGAAGACTTGCATTTCCAACAGAGCAGCCAGTTCGAGAAACACGCTCAGCTCGGTCGGATGCTCGGCGAACACGGGCTTGACAATCTCAAGCTCCGACTCCCACATGGACACAATGGTGTGCGAGACACCGCCGCAGGACGAGACATGGGCGGCCATGGCCGTGTGGAAGCGGTTCATGAACTTTTGCATGCGGAACATGACAATGAGATCTGTCCAAAAAGGATTGTCGAGATTTGTGAGACAGGATCCGTCGTCGAGGCGGATGCTTGGTGGAGGGTGGCCACTATACGCGGCGATTCTGAGACATTGTTAGCTGGAAGTGAGGTGCATGTGGGATCGGAAGGAGAATTACTTTTGCGCGAGCATGCAACACGCGAGCCATGTCGATGAGGCTTCTTCGTTGGTAGACTCGCAGTACTTGCGGAGCCCGATGCAGAATTCGCGGTGCGAGCCACGGCCGGTATGTAAACCCATCATCATGGCGTTTGTCATGGCGATGGAGACAAGTGTAGTTGACGGATCTGTCACAAGACGGATGCTAGGCAGTGGCCAGCAAGCGAGATAGAGCAGGGCGTGGATAGCGTCGAGGTTCATGACGGGGTCGGAGAGCAGCATCCAGATCTCGCGGTTCACATGGGACGCTAGCCTTGTGAAGAAAATGCGGTCCTTCGTGTAGCGCCTGCATGTGATATAAATAATGACCCAGAAGAGAATAGGACATGACTGGTAGCAATCGTTGGGAACTCGCTTGCGCAGGATGGGCAGGAATGGGTGAAAGCAGTGAAGAAATCTAGGATGTTAGCGGGATTGGCGGAAATGAGAGTAGCATATAGACGTACTTTGTAAAGTACGAGTCAATGTCTTCACCAGTTACAAGATGTTCGCCAAGCATGCGAGGCTCCGTTGGCTCAGTTCGTAGAGGGATATCCAGAAGCTGCGACCTGGGTATAGCCGGCCCAGGTGTGTCGGAGAGTGGCGTGTGTGTTTGTATTGCGGCTGTCGGTGTCTGTAGAGCCGCTGAGAGTGTAGGAATGGTAGATGTAGGCACTGGGAAGTTGGAAAAGGGCAGCTGCTTGCGCGGGCTTGGTGGCGTGTGTGTTGTTACAGCTTCTTTAGTAGGGATGCTGACGGCTTGTTTAATGGTCTCAAGTTCCTGTTCAAGGAGCTCAAGTTTACTGATCTGGTTAGCATCGCGTATACCTAAGAGAGCAACTCTCTGCCTACCTTCGCTTTGTCACCCGCTTATGGGACTTGTCAACGATGCAGGTGAGGTGCAGCTTTGCGCATCGTTGGCAAGCGTCGCCTGTCCCGGGACTAGGCTTGCACCGGACCTGTGTTTTGCGAGGTTTGGTCAGCTTCTATTTACTTGTTTTTTGGGGGGTAATATGTAAAACACACCTTGGAATTGCGACAGTTTATGCAAGCCACATTACGTTTGGCTTTGTCTTCTGCCTGAGGTGACGTCGGGATCGTGGAGGGTGGTGACGCTGTCATGATGGTGTCGATGCGCCCATACCAATACGGGACGTGGCAGAGGTTATACTGAAGAAAGAATGTCGATAAAAATGAGCCCAATAGAAACTATAGCAAAAGACTTGGACATAAAGCCATTGTTCAATTCTCCACGCTGAAGAAAGAAAAGACAAACAGCAACATCTACCTCCGAGAGTTTAAGCCGGAGCGGAGCGCACTAATGCTATCGCCTACCGCCACCAACACTAGCGCCGGGGAGGCGCACAACGACGGGTTGTCAAGGCTGCGCATCACGTGCAGACTAGCGCTCCAGACAACTGCTGAATCGTTCCAACTCCACAAAGTTTAATTTTTGAGGGTTGTTATTAAGGGCGAGCACTGAATAGGTATAACTTCGGGGTGGAAAATGTCATGCTGAATTTACATGTGATTAATGTATCTGGTTGCGGCGGTATCAAGCCTATTTCGTCTTCTTCTTCGATGGGACAGCGCTGTTGGGATTCTGATATCCATGTGACACGAAACCAGAGACCAGCTTCCATAGGACCCAGCTAAAGCCTAGCACAATCACTGCTGAAGTGCCAGCGGCAATGTACGATTCAAACCCTTGCTGTAGAACCGGGACAGTCAACGCGCTCGTCAGACGTGTACCTGATACAGCTTGCGGGTTGACGTGCCAGAAAACGGTATGGGGTTCGAAGAGCCCGTCGTAGCCAAGATGAGAGCGGTCAAAAGGACTAGTCGAGAAGTCTACATCCTGCGCAGCCTTGCAGGCCCAGAAGACAGCAGGATATGGCAATTCCACCAGACGTTTGCCAGTCTCGGACGGCTCAAGATAGCGCAGATGCAGAGGCACTTCGGCAGTCCAATCGGTATTCTCCTTTGGCTTCAGCAATTCCAGAAGAACACTCGATCCCCATGCCTTGGTAGTATATGCTGGTGCTTCCAGGTCGACAGGTAAGCTGGTGTAAGGTGATGCTGTCAGATTCTTTGACGCCAAGAATAGTGCGTCGGCAAGCTGGTATCTGTCTGCAAAAATAGACTTTGGCAGCGTAAGATAGACATAAGGTCTACATCCATCTCGGCCGTCTTGTCTAACACTCTCGTTGGCGCTCAGTGAAAGCCGCAGGGTCGGATGTAAACCTGTTGGTTGGACAAACTCCGCTGAAAACGAGCCTACAGAGCGTCTATGTCTGGCCGGGAAGGCAAACAGTACAGCAGATGGGTCTTTCTTTTCTCCAGCGTACGCCAAGACTCCTGAGATACCAAGCTCGTGTGGTTCCAACTGTGGTGGCTTATCGAGGCCCATGACACCAACCTCGCTGCGCTCTGCCTTGGACTTCTGTACCGAGATGGACCGTTCAGCAACGGGCCATAATGCGCTGAGTTTGGCTTGCTTCAGAGATGAATCAAATGAGAGGTCTAGCGATGATGCGGAAGATAAACTCGCAAGGCGACCCCGGCATTGCACGTCAGATCCAGTGCAGAGATGGCTCGTAGCAGATACAGCAAACTCACCCAGGCTCTCCAGGTGGCTGTAGAAGTAAAAGGTGTCCTCACTTGCATCCGTACTATGAACCGATGTAAATACCTGTAGAGTTAGCCTCCCATGTTTCCTATATGGCGGCACATAGCGTACCTCTTGCGAATTACAGTCCAGTGGGCCAAACGCCTGGAGAAGTTTACAGACGTCGTGCCTACGTCGATTAGGCAAAGTTAGTGGGGATTCTTTTGGGGTTTGGTAACCGGTTGTACTCACGAAATATCTTTTCCACCTTTCCTTGTCGAATACCACGCGTGCAAACCCGGCGAAATCCTCGCGGTCAATGGGTCTGTCGTCTGATGCCCGTCCGAGCTTGCCCACTTGACTTCTACACGCACCGCATCATACAGGACCTCCTTAACCTCTAGTGGAAGCTCCTCATAAGCAATATTGAGTCTATCTTGACGCGCAGCTTGAATGCTGGGCCCTTGAATACCAGTGGTGCTGAGCTTGAGCAGCTGAGGGTCAACGCCCTCGCCTTGCTCGTGGATAAAAGCAACGCGCTCCTTCATACTACCAAAAATTGAGAAAATAGACGCAGTGGTGTGGGGTTTGGTTAATCATAAACGCTTATCCAATGTTTCTTCGTTGATGATGATGATGATGCTGCTCTGAAGTTCTGACAGGTTGACGTTAACGTGTTCGATTGGCATTGCAAGGGGCAGCTGGCGCAGCTGGTGAGTTGGCCCACTCTGATCGCGACTAACCTGGGGCATCGGCCGGGCAGCTCTCAGCGGTTTCCAGTTGCAGCTTTATATTAGCAAAAAATGATACATTTGAAAAAAGAAAAAGAAAAAGGAGCGAGTTTGGAAACAATTTTAATTGAATGTGAGATTCCTGCTTATGTATATATATGCACTTTTATTCTCATATTTGTTTCATAGATACACTCACTGACATGATGGCGCCTCACAGAGATGACATCAGAAACGTTGCGTTCAAGCTGTAAACAGTTATATCGTCAAATTCAAAAACTAGGGAAATGAGAGCCCAAACCAACACCAAGTACGCCCAACTATCACTATGCTGTGCACTATAATACATAAAAAAATCCAAATATTTACAAGACTAATCGTGACGCGGCGTTGTTTTCCGAGAGTCCCAAAAAGTGTTCTCGCTGTAGCCATCGCAGTCGCCATCCTTTTGTAGGACATGTTCCTCTTCCATGGTTCTGAGAGTATCCATTTCATTATCTTCAGTGAAGAGCTCGTACTGTTTGCGCTCCTTACGATTGGAGCGCTTGCTGTCGCTCATGGTGTTGACCTTGTGCGATGTGCTGGGCGATGCCGCAGGGGTGGCAAAGACCGAGGGGAACAAATGGCGGGTAAATCGACGGATTGTCGGCATAGAACCGCAAATGACAAAGAGGTTTCCTTCGACAAATGTCCAGACATCAGCGGCAGCAGCGTCCCAAGAAGGATCTGTGCTCTTCAGTGTGGCTGGTAGATAAACGAGTCTGACGATAGAGGTTGCGATGGTCATGGAACCAATGCCAAATATGACAATGGCGCCAATTCTTTGCGCTTTGCTCATTTCCAGTCGCCACACCATAGGAGTTGGCAGGATAAACAGGATGACATCGGTAATAATGTTGGATACAGCCGTGGCCATGTATAGCACGCCCGCATCCATACAGCTACCCTCAGCAAGCTTGAAGTCAAAGGCTTTTCGGATGGGGCTGCAATGGAAGAACATGATAGCCGTGATAATAGTGGTGTAAAGTATGACAATGACGATGCTGATCCACGTCGTCACTCGGAACCACTTTTGAGGCGACAGTTGGAGGTAAATGGTAAGGAGAGACAGCTTGCAGAAGCCGTTGCATAATTGGTACACGGGGGCTGCAATGTACGTTATAACTGAGTATCGCTCAAACCTCTCCAGGGGCATTTCCCAGGAGTGAGCGCATAGGCCGCCATCAACAATTGATTCTGCACCGTGTCAGTAACCGTTCAACAGGGAGTATCGGTATTGGAGCTCACTGGTTAGGACAGCTTGTGTAACGATGGATAACGACTAATGAGATGTTAGCTCAATTCAGAGTAGCTCGCATGGCCTGGCTTACCCAGCCAATAAACATGAAAACTAGGCAACGTTAGCATCGGTACGACTGGTGGTCAAACATGATATACGTACAGTCGTCTATTTGTAGGCCCTTTGACAAGTAAATCTTAGTGTAATAACGCTGGCAGAGAAACAAAAACGCCAAAGGAGCGCCAATGGCAAAGACCAAATAGTGTTCAAGCCACTGCTGACGCTGGGGGTGTTCAAAGTCCACGACATAGCCTGATGGAGGCGGCCGTAAGACCTCAACATCGTCTATCATAAAGCCCATCTTGAAGCGCTATTGGAGAAATTCAGACGCATAGATCCGCAGGAGGGGCCGCTAGAAATGGAGATGAGGAGCCGGGAAGATAGCACCATTATAAGCAAATCCATTTGTCAAATTCTTTAATCCGAACCTGGGTCTCCGCAAGGCTGCACGAAACCAAAAGCGGCCCGTTAAAAATAGGTGGGAAAATGAGCGGACGACAACGTTTGAAGCTAACAGTTGCCCCTTGTCCTAGCTCGAACTCTGTGCGTGGGTATCCACGCCAAAGTCGGAAAACGGCCGAGTTATGAGCCCATGCAGGGGAATCCAGATAAAGCCGATATATGATCTTAGGAGCCGAGACTTGAGTGAACGACGCCCGAAGCCAGGCAGAAGCGCCAAAGTAAAGACATAGCAACCGCGGAGATGGCCCAGCGCTGGATCGGCCTTCATGTGGAAAAGCGTCTGACCCAGTACACTGGAGACTGAGTGCATGGCAACTGGGGACGCTAGCCAGGGACGGGAGGAGTGGTGTGCCGTCTGTATGGTGGGAACAGGTGTGACAGCCAAGGACTTAACAACGCTAATGGACGGTTAGTCGGAGCATTTGGCTCTTGGATTCTGCTATTTTGAGTTTAGGGTCATGGCTCGCCGGTCCAGCATTCAAATGGTTGCGACACTGTGCTAACCAATGGTCTTGAGAGTATTGATTTTTGGCTTCATCACCAATGGAGCGCTCCGTCTCTCCTGAATCGGGCAAAAGGCGACTCTGCAGATTTCGAGGGACCTCCCATCTCCGCGGTGCATGATGGCGTCAGGGCAGTGGATCGGATACGCAGGAGAGCAGCTTGACGGGTCACGGCGTAGTGCGACTCGCTCGCTTGCTCCATCCAGTCAATAGGACGGACAGCTGGTGCCTAGCTGTTTGCAAGCGGACAATACGCGATGCGTTGTGACATCCAACCCATTCAGGCTCACAGGCAGCCCGGAAGACCAGCCGCGAGTGGGACGTCGGCCGAGCAGATGGTGCGATGGGCAGCGCAAAACAACGCCAACAGTGACATTTGAGGCACACGCGATCTGAGCCGAAAAAAAGAGGGAGCTTCGGGGAGAGATAGAACGATGGCTTATAGCTGAATACGTTGTCGTAATTGTCGGGGTAGTAGACAGAGATATATTTTCTCTATTTAGATTCGGGAATAGAGAACTCGCGCTGTTCGTTGGGCCAAGCTCTTCCCAGCAACGTGGGCGTCAGGGCTGTGCTTGGAGGTGGCTTGGATCAGCTTAGGGGTGCATGCAGCCACCAAAACGAGGTACTATCGATGCATCGCACAGTAAGTGGAACTCCAGAGGTACGGTTTTTAATAGAGCTTGCAGAAATACTGTTGACGCTGAACAGATGCATGATGGACTAGAGAAGGGGCACAAAAGGTAGCAGGCAGCTTGTGCGCTGATAAAGCTGCTTGTGCTACACAGAGCACCTGATCAGGTCCTGCACAGCAACGTGCAGCGTTTTCTGCCAAGCGTACACTGGGTCAGTTGAAAACTCCAGAGCACGCACGTCAATTGCCATATCGTTGGGCGCTCAATTCCGTGCTGAGCAAAGGTTCTTTGTCTTTGAAACGCAAGCGAAATTGGTCTTTTTGCTTCAAGATGGCTGAACACACGGTAACCACATCGCTGGGTCTCGATATGCATGTACAACGCCACCGACTAATCAGGCTGGGTAGTTGACGACAGCAGTGTCTCGATGGTTTCTCCGCGGGTGATTGCCATGACATTCCCGCGCCGCATGGCTAAACATTGCCCGAGTTTTCGGGGCCTCTAGTGACAGATAACATCGACAACGACGATTGTTGTGAAACAAAGCCTCCTGGTCAATGTCTTGGACAATACTGAGTTGGTTCTCGTGGGATAGCCTTCCCATAGCAAACGGGAGGACACTGCTAAGCGAGCCCAGGTTCTGCTTCATTTCAACGGCACAACTGCGCAAGCCTCTGGGTTTGGTGGCCTGCGGCGGGGACTTCATTTTGCCCGTCCTCGAACCAGGAAGCATCGTACGTTGGTGCCATAGCAGGGCAAAGATCAACGTACTTTGGGGTATTCCCGGTTGCGTTTTTAGAAGGCCAATACTAACCTCTATCCGGACAGTCAGTGAATGGCGCCTCGTTTTTTATTCCACCAATACCTGGTATTACCTTTAATTGCTGCCACGGGAAGGCGAGCGCCGGGATCCAAGAATCCGTAACTGGATAATCGGCCGCCAGCTCATTTCAATCACACGAGGCTCTCCTGCAGCAACCAACTCTTAGCGTCGTCACAGTGGGCTCCATAGTGGGCTCTCCGCCAAAAAGGTGGGCAACCTTTCCGTGTGAGGGGCAATTCTGTCTACAGGAAGAGGGCCCGTAGCGGCCCGCTGCCTTGTCAGCCATTCCCGCTGGAGCTCCAGCTTCGCGTCGCTTAAGTGGACGCGACGTAATGGAATAGACAATCTCCCTCTGCAGTACCGTGCCAGTCTTGCAGGTTTGGTCCTTTGCTTTCCTGACTCAACTTGGCTTTGCGACAGTTCTTTCCATGAGTCAATTGACGCCGCGCTTCCCCCTCTTCTTCGTCCAAACACGATCTATGTCGCTGCTCCAATTGGCAGTGTGATGCTACCCAATCCGCGAAACATAGTCCCTAAAGGAGTATAGAGGCTAGGCTTTTGTGGTTAAGTCTTGGTCATAGATATACGTCTACAGTCTTACTCTTCTACCTACATTGGCATGTTCAAGTCGGCTATCAAAGGTACAGAACGTGGACCATCCACCGCTCGCTACGTACAAGAACTGGGTCAAGCAAAGGAAAACAAACTTGCACTAAATTTTCGACATCTTCCAACTCATCACCTAGCCTGATCTCACTGCTCCATAATTTTTTTTGGAGGTCTTCCACCAGCGCAAATCTCCCCAACGTGGAGGCCCCTTGCTTCACTACCGTTGCCACCGAGCAGACGTCAATTAATTTCTCATTCTTCCATCTTCCCTTGTTACAACTGTCGGGTTCGTCTTCTATTCGCACTTTTTTCTGTCTTCGAGACGCCCTCTACTACGTAGGAGACTCGCCTTGAGAACTATGAAGACTGCCGTTATCAGCGCCTTATTCGGCGCTGCCGTCGCCGCCTCCGCCTCCGATGCTGCGACACCGGGCTCCGACGCCGAGCACTCTTGTGTACGTCAAACGCCGCGTATGAGCGTTTAAGCATTAGTACATAAAGAATCTTCCCTTACTAACTCAAACTGTTTGCAGTGTTCTGCGCTAGCCACCCATGATGCGCTGCAAGGCAAGGTCCTCGGCCCCGACTCGGATGCCTACAATGCGCGCCTAAAGACATACTATTCCGCCAACGCTGCGCAAAAGGCTTGGTGCATGGTCCTCCCTCAGAGCACTGCTGATGTACAGGCGCTTGCACAAATCATCAGTTCGCATGATTGCCCATTTGGAATCAAGGCTGGTGCTCACTCAGCCTGGAAGGGATCCAATGGCATCAAGAACGGTGTCACCGTCGACCTCGGTAAGCCAATTGCTTCATAACCCGCATACAACATACTCAACGTTCTTCTATAGGCTACATGAACCAGACCACATACAACCAGGCAACAAATGTCGTTTCTATCCAGCCTGGTTCGCGATGGGGTCCTGTCTACGAGACCCTCAACCAGTACAACGTCACGACAGTTGGTGCGCGAACATCCGTTGTGGGCGTCGGAGGCTTTACTACTGGTGGTGGTGTAAGTAGCTTATGAACCATGCCGACTTGGTACTGGCTAACGTAACCAGTACTCGTTCCATAGCAACGCTCATGGCTTGGCTGCTGACATGGTAGTCAACTGGGAGATTGTGCTTGCCAACGGCACAGTTGTAAACGCCAACAAGGATGAAAATGCAGACCTTTGGAAAGCCCAAAAGGGTGGATCCGGAAATCTGGGTTTCGTGACGCGAATCGATCAAGGTTTGTATCTTCCTATGACTTGCTTTTGATCCTGCTAACTAGTCACAGAGGCCATCCCTGGCACTCTTCTCTGGGGCGGCTTCACCCAATACCATCTCAAATACACCGATGCCGTCTTTAACGCATATCTCAACTTTACCGAGCACACCGAGCCCAACACGGCTGACCAGAACATTGTGGCCCTCTTCTACGACAAGATCAATGGCACTGGTGCATACGCCATCCGCTCCATCCTCACCAACGCCGACGGTATCGCCAACCGATCTGTCTTTGACGAATATCTCTCGATCCCCAACCTAGGCAGCACACTGACTGTTGGCCCGGAGTCTGAAATCATCCCACAGTTCACTGGCCCTACACCCCTGGGTCTCTATGCCAACTGGTTCACAGGCATGGCAACCAACTCCATCGAGTCGCTAAAGTCTATCGACGAGCTACACAAGAAATATGTACCCTTGATGGAGGCCGCTGCGCCCGATGCCACCTTCAACACACTTATCGAGTTCCAACCCGTTACGGACACCATGGTGGCCAATGGTAACAAGCGTGGTGGCAACATCATGGGCATGGAGCCTCTTGTCGAAGGCGGTCCCTCACTCATGTGGCTCCTTTCGCTTACCGTGGACACTGAGGAGCACCAAAATTCCATCCTGCCTATTGCGCGCCAATTCATCGACGCCATCAACGACAAGCAGCGCGAGCAAAATACGTTCCTGAACTGGATCTACCTCAACTACGCGTGGGAGGACGAGGCTCCCTTCAAACACTACGGTCAGAAGAATATTAAGCTTCTTCACGACGTGTCGCGCAAATATGATCCTCGTGGTGTCTTCCAGAAACTGCGCCAGACAGGCTTCAAGCTTGCGACGCCCCGATGCCCAAAGGCATAGACATCAACATATAGTCACTATAGACTATTACAAAACAAAGCACCCATAATGAATGAGTAAGAACAAATTTAACATTATTTTCCCTAGATATATTCATTTTCTAGCAAAGCATGTATATAGGTATAGCACATAGTTTTAGCTTGCATTAGATGCATCTATATATCCGCAACGGCCCATGCAGCTGCAGCAACCCCCTATTTGGCATTTCGTCCCCGTCCAACCCAATACGCAAGGAAAAGAAAATGCCAAATAAAATTTTCTCCCACCTCTTCCATCTATTTTAATTCCTTGGCTGTTGTTTCCGTATTTCCCTTTACGCTGACCGTGGCTTCCATTTACCGATAGCCAGTGTTCCCGAAGCAGCACCGAAGCTGCTGATCAGCCTAAACCGCTTTGGGCGACCGAGCAGCCCTTCTCAACGTCGCCTCACCATACTCGAGCCTCACGGCCACCGAATTTGATCTTTGTTTCCTCACTTGTACATGGCACAATAATTGCACAGACAAAGAAAGAAGCATATTCTAACCGAAGCTACGAGCCGTCGCCGATTTTACGCTCATTTTTTCATTCGCCTGCAATCCGCTACATCCATCGTCACTGGGCATGGCCCTCTGTGCCACTCTATTGCCTCGCCTAACCCCACGTCAGCACTCGGTCTCCATGAATTTCCGTGGCCTATAGCGGCGTTCATCTTCTCCTTCTTCTTCCTAGATTCTTGTTTTGTATCATTACAGAGCTGATTCGCCATCACAGCGCAAAGATGGGGGACCAGCCGAGCTACTTCACTATCCGCTCGCGAGAGCCGGCGCAGCCTCAACGGTTTGGCGCACGCAACACGCCATTCGTACGTTGTAGATCTAAGCTTCACGTCTGATATCGCCATGCTGACCAGTAGACAGATTCCGCAGCATCTAATCGATGCCCCGAAAGCAGCTACCCACGATATCAGCCGCACAAGCTTCCACATCAAGCATCTTGACCAGTTTGCGCAGCGTCTTGAAGATGTAGGACTCTCCCCGTGCCACACTTTTGATCCTTACTAACAACTCGTTTCGATAGTCTGCGACAAGAGCATTTCCCAATAAAGGACGGTCAACGCAGCGGTATAAGAGTGTGCAGGCCCTTCTCGTGCATTGGGGCTCAGATGACCTCTTCGTCTTGCCAGAGTTGGAGGACCTGGAACGATGTCTACGGGATGATTACGCCTTTGAGACGGACAAGTTCGCTATCCCGTCAGAGAACTCGCATCTGGAGCTGATGATGCGCCTGGGCCAGCTGATCAAAGAACATGAGTCTCCCGACACGCTCTTCGTCGTCTACTATGGCGGCCACGCTCGCATCGACGAGTCCCGTCAAAGCACTTGGTGCGCTACAAGAGAACCAGACTCTCCTTGGCTACAGTGGTCTGCCATCCAGACGCTACTGGAACGCTCCAAGTCGGACGTTCTCATCTTACTAGACTGCTGCGCTGGCGCCGCATCCGCTACCTTTCCCACAGGTAATTCCATCACCGAGACCATTTCGGCGTCCTCGTGGGACGCAATTGCTCCGGATCCCGGCCGCTACTCCTTTACCAATGCTCTGATTGAGGTACTCACCGATTGGCGACGCCGTACATTCTCAGCAGCTATGCTGCACGCTGAAGTCCTCGCGCGCCTCAAGCACCCTCGGCCCATCACCATTAACGGCAAGCACTTTGAGGCACGGTCCACGCCGGTGCACTTTATGATGACAGCAAACCACCGCGCACCAAGTATTGAAATGTCAAGGGTTGGTCAGGCCCTCGAGGTCCAGTCGCCAGCTATCCTGCCAACAGTCATTCCCTCTGAAGTCCCCGGTGGCCCTCCACTGATCACAGCGCGAGGCCCCGGCGGCGAAGTTGCAGAACCCTTGGCAGAGCCCAACGAGGACACGCCGCACGTTATGATCTCGCTCGCCCTGGAGGATGATCAGAAGCTCGACATCAACGCCTGGGGGCAGTGGCTGAATGCCTTCCCAGCGCTAGCAAAGCACGTCAAAGTGCAAGGTGTATTCAAGAGTCACTCGACGTTACTTCTCGTCTCTATGCCTGTCATGGTCTGGGACATGCTGCCCGATGATCAAGCCGTCTCCTTTGTCGCCTTTATCCGCTCCAACAACCTCGCCATTAAAAATGGTGCTGCTGCTCCTCGCGCAGTCGCATCATCTAGTGTCCCAGTATCCCAGAGTGCCCCCGCCATGCGTACCGCCCCCGTCCAAGACCTACAGTCAGACGCAACATCGTTTATGACTGGCGTCACTGGCACAACCTTTGTCCCTGCTGAGAGTCAAATCTATCCCGGAGCATTACGTTCCTCGCCGCGCACCTTTGCTCAGCCTGGTCCATCCCGCCTCGCGCGCAACACGGGAACATGGCATCTAGGCTCCTCACAGGAGCAGTCTAGCTCGACAGAGCCTGCCACTCCTCCACGATACATCAAGTCGAGCCGCTCTGCTGTCTCGCTATCGAACATGCAGCAGCAGCAAGACCAATCGCTGCCCTCCGTCTCAGGCATCGCGCAGCAAGTCATCCTCAACCAGCAGCAATCTATGCGCCGCACCACCTTCCGCGGTGACGTACCCCCTCTCAAGAAATTCTCACGCCACATCGAGAGCCGCCTCGAAGGCTACTACCAAAAGAACCCGTACCCTAACGACGCCGAGCTGGCTATGCAAGCGTCCAACCTAGGTATCGAGCCAGCCCATCTCGCTGTCTGGTACCACCACCGCCGCGAACAGGGCCCATCAGATGAAAGCCCGACGCTACTTGCGCCAGAAGACTTTGCCTCACTGGTCGCCATTAGCCGCCACGGCGAAACACTCATCTTTGACATCCGCCCCGAGCAGGACTACACCACATCACACGTCGCCAAAGCCATTAACCTGCGCGCGCCGCAGTCCTTCCTGGAGCACGCCTCTCTTGACCTGATCCAGCGCGCCGTGCCTCAGTCATCTGGCCAAGAAGACTTTTACACCTGGCGCGAAGCCCGCGCTCTCGTCTTCTACGGCACTGACATCCACACCAGCGCCGACTGTCCTGCCGCGCAGACCATCCACGCAAAGCTCACGGAGCAGGGCTGGCGCGGCGACTGCTTCATCGTGCGTGGCTCATACACAGACTTCCCTTCATCATTGAGCAGCCTGCGCTCCTCTCCTACACCACTAGATGACGGCTCCTTGCGCCCCTTTACACCGACCTACAGAGACCTTCTTGCCAACTTGACCACGTTTCCAGAGGCACCAGCACAGCTGACTTCGTCGTATGCCGCGCAGCAGGCCCTATTGGAGACAGAGCTGCGGTCGCGCGCCGAGGACGTCTGGCTCAAGGCACAGGCTCTCCGCGCAGAGCCGGCGACTGCGGAGTTTGTCGATGCTCTAGATCGCGGCCTCGACAAGATGCGCGGTGAAATGCAGAGTCAGACGCCGTCGCCGCGGGCCACGGGCAAGGCTCCTGAGGGTTACTTTGAGGTTGACGAGTCGGGCGACTATGTCAAGGTTCACCAGAATGAGGGTGCTTCGTATGAAGAAGCGCGGAGAGGCAGGGGCGGATTACTAAATAAGATGTTTAGAAGGTAGATGATGATGCTGACGACCTTTTTTGTATATTTCTTTTTCATTTTCGTCTTTTTTAAATAGCTTCCCTTTGTGAGTTTTTGGGACTCGGCGTTGCGGTATCAGATAGCAAATATGATTTCAACTACACTCCTTCTTAGATACCATGGCTTTGTTAACTATTAACGTTCCTTCGTCCGTAGTCTCAATATCACGCAATCCCGTCCGTCCTGTTGTCCATGTCAGAGCGCGATCAGCAGCCCAATCCGGTATATCAGACTCACACTCTCGCACAATAAAGTGTATTTTGCTTCATACAAGCAAACACTCCATTGAGAAGTTACGTAGAGCATGGTTGAGACTGCAGCATACTTTGTTTCAGACCATTAAAACATTGCCTTATCGCCGATAGACGACACGAGTGGTATAACATCAATGTCGTCAAACCTCCCAAATCTAGATCAGTATCCGCACAACCGCGGGTCATCTAATAATCTGTAACACATGGAATGATAATTCTAATATATATAATTTGATCGCAGCTTAAATTCTCACTCAAAATGTTCGCACCCAGATATTGCGGCGCTGTGCCGGGTAGTAACCTGGTGCTCCCAACGCTACCTTGCACAACATGTACATGTGCATACGACGGCAGCGTAAAACCGTTCCTCAAATCATCTAGCCGCGTCGTACGCCGATTCTTGCACAACGCAACGGTTGTGTTGAAACCGTATTAACTCAAAATGTACACTTACACCCGCTCAGGAGCCGCAGGTCGCTCTCATTGCCTCGTACGTCGCGCGGCCCAAGAGTCAGCCTGCTTGCCCTTGCACGACCGTCTTGTTGGCCAGCTTAAACCACCCGTGCCGACGGGACCTAGACGCTGAAGAAGTGTCGGATATTACAGAGCTCTCCTTATGGCGGTTGGCTACAGCGGCTGTAGGCCTTGGTCCAAGGCTGCCAGGCGGAGATCCATGATTCTGTGTGTATGGTATCAGCCAAGTTGGATACACGATCGAGCCCAATTTACTTGGCTTCCCTGCTGGACGGATATGAAGGAAAACTGATCTAGTATGGATGTAGGGGTATGCCGAATTAGGAAACATAACCGGCAGCTGCGCGGCCAGCGTCTCATCGTCACTGGGTGCGTCCAGGGCTGCGTAGTGAACCCGCCTCTACCGCCAGCGCATAAACTCCCCTCTCACCCCCGAAGGGACCACCGCAACCCCAAAGGGTACGGTACGCTAATAAACGACGCTGTAATCCGCTGTTAGTGACGGTAACTTTCAGTGCTAGGGGTGCCTGTACCCATTCCAGCGAGCTCCTGAGGAACGGGTGTGCGGTAACAAGTCGGTGTGTGTGCAGCCAGCGGAGGAGAGTTGTGTTGTAGGGAGAGCACAGATGTAGTAGATGAACTCAGTCGGGATGCGCCATCGTACGAGCGGCTTTAGCAATAACATTGCACACCAGTTACATATCTCCAGACTGACCATATACAGCCATCGGTATTTACACCTAGTACAAGCTGCCGCAGTATTTTTTTTGCCTACCGATCATCGTGCATCAGTTGTTGTGATGGTAGTCTTTGACCTACTCCCTCAGAACGCTCGTGGGATCATTAGTAGCATGGAAGGCTTTGGCGTTGCTCGAGACAAAATGGAAGGCACAGCCAATTCTCAGTAGTCCCGATTCTCTCCCATCAGTGGCGACTATTTGCAGTGGAAGTGGGCACCAAAGGGGACCTGGGTCGAAATATGGGACACCAGTCGCTCGACATCGTTGACGATTTGCTGCTCATCGCTCGTAGCTTCCACTTCCAGTGGGACTCTTCATCGTGACTCGCGCACGCCCAGGCTGTCGCCCAAAGATTCAATAGATTGTCCCGATCGCGGCGGGTAATTCTAAAGCTTATCTTTCCAACTTGGTATCAGTTGCGTCGTGCAAGCTTCGTCTGGGATGAAGTGTGATAAATACGCCCCCTCCATATTTGACACTGAATGTTGCCATGTTCGCAAGCTCAAGTCCAGCGGTATTGCATGTCATCTGTAAGTATGGGTTGGCCGACTGTTATGGATCCGCGGACGCCGCCCGGGCCCATCAACTACTGACCTTCCGGTTGTGTCTTCCAACTGCCAAAAATCGACTAATCTGCATCCCACTCCTAACCGAGCCTTGAATCTCCTATGTGGGCCGAGCCACCAACTGACAGTTGGCAAGAGAATTGCAGGAGCCCCAGCCAACAGTGTAAACGTGCTGACCCTGGTCATGCAAAAGGGCTGAGATTTGGGTCGGTCTTCGAGGATCCGCCAAAAGTGTCAATGTTTCATTTCCCAATCGAGCATATGGCCCGTCACCACCACCTTCTACTGCTTGAACTTCCTGTAGGGGTGCCATTACCTGTCAAAGTGTGCCACACCTTCTAGTTGGCTACTTCTGCCGACGGTTTTCAAAGAAATGTGACAGAACTTTTAGTCTCACTATGCGGATGGGCGTGCTGAGGCTTCTCGGTCGACCCGTTTTGTTCGAGAAGAATGCGTCGTTACGCGAAATGAAACTGAGCTCTTGGCAGGATATTCTCGCTTGGAAGAATAGCAACGACAGGACGAGAGACACAATAATGTGCTCACCGTCGCTACACTTGGAGCGGCTGCGGTTAAACCAGTCTACCGCGGACGAAGCCCGTGTACTGTATAACCAAAGGGGTTGCCGTTGGGTTGTAGGCTTCTAGACTAGACGGGACGACGGATGACAGCTAGGCATAGCACGAACAACTCTGGGGGCATGGCAGCCACGCCTGGGGTGGCTAATACACTGTGACCGATTGACACGCTGTGTGGCACGACAGCACCCGCGTGGCAGCGGTACTAAGGCTGTTTTTAGTGCTACCGTGGAAGCTAACAGGTGGGTTGCTGCCCCGACTTCTTGAAATAGCGCCGCCCCCAAAGAGAACAGCATGGCCAAAGCCGATTATACCCATCAGAGTGACTGTATCGCAGGAGCCTACCACCAACTGCATTGGGGAAAGAAAATGGTTGGTTTGCATTTTTGTCTCGTTGAAAGGGAAAAGAAAGGGATAGGACTTCGCACAAAGGGTTTACCACGTCGACGACTGATCTATGCTACTCTCAAAGGACTTGGTCAAGGATATCCTCGTTGATAGAGTTGCATGGCTCCTACTTTCTGCCATCATTTCCGAGCAGGTTCGATGGCAAGTGACGGATCAGCCCGTAACCCTCGTCGCCTCTGTGGGCAACAGCGGTAGACGGCGCTTGTTAGGAAGGTAGCTGGTTCGGCACCACTATAATATGTGGTGCAGGGGGGATGCAACGGCAGAGACAAGTGGTACCTGATGCGAGGCGGACATCCCACGCGTTGCGCGGAACCGGTCTAAGCTCACAGCGCTCCGAGGACGATGACGAGATCAGCTTTGCCGAGCTTGACTATGCGCTGACAGTGGTGAATCCCGCTTCTTCTAAACCACGGTTGGTTTAATGCAATCCGCAGGTCTATTAGGTGGTTGTAATTAGACATCTTCCTGTGGGTGGCCTGGTCATTGACGTCCCTTGCCGCTGATCTGGGGCTGACAGTTTCTGCTATAGCGCCAACAGCTATACCTAGCGCATCCACCACGGCTGCAGGTAGAACGCCAAAGACGCAGGCTTTGTTGTATTTGAGTAAGAGAAAATGCTAGTGCCTGCGTGGCAAGTATTCAATCTGGAGCCAGGGAACCCAGACCCAGGGTCATTTGCTCAGTTGGCGCTCTGCCATTCGGACGCCTTGACGGACAAGTGGCTCGCTCCCCACCGTCGACACAGCGCCTGGTTGTGGAGTTTGAAGGACACAACGATGGTAGTTTGCGAGAGACTACAAAGGAGAGCTTGTTGTTGGCCCGCGTCTTTTGATTGGAAGCCCCAGCGAATAAGCACGTCAAGTTGTGACAGCTAGCAGGCATATGCAGGATGTCATGGTTTGGGCTACGCGATGCGATGAAAGAGGCTGTGGCGGAGCCCGGCAATGATGCGGTTAGGAAGCGAAGCTGTGCTGCCTCGGCTGTTCCGTCAAACCCCTCAATTGGCGTGCAGCATGCCGTGCATAGTGTAGGATAATAGAGAGCTGTAGAGTAATATGGTGCATGCGTCCGCGTGTGCGTGCGTGTGTGTGTGTGTGTGACGAGCGTGGATGTCGCAGAAAGTGGTCTGGCAGGTTCCAGGAAGAGCGTGCAAGTGCCGTAACCGCCCTGCCAGATGCCATGTTGCCAGATGCCATGTTGCCAGGTGCCAGGTGCCAGGTGCCAGGTGCCAGCCTACAGTTTAGGAGGTCCCGCCACGAAGGCCATTACAGTGCCTAACGCCCACACCCAATGCCTAACGCGCCTTCGGGCTGGGCTAAACGCAACGGGGGAGCGGCTAGTACCTGTCCCATTGTGGTAGCCCACGCCCCTAGCATAAGGATTTACTGGTCCAGGGGGATTGCTACTGGCCTAGCCTACCTCCCCTCTTTAACTTGTTCATGCTCACTGGACGAGGATGTAACAACGGCAAATTCCATCTCGTCTTGTTATATGCACATACCCGGGCTATTTCCCACATTCATTCCTCATAGAAGCGTCTGTAAATGGCTCCTTTTTTCATTGCTACCACTTTCTCGCCGCTTGTATAGTTCGCTGTTCAGCAAGTTTCAAGGGACCGAGACACAGACTACACAACAGTAGCTAATCTACCAACCGTTCCGTAGGCTTTAGATTCTGTAGTGTTGTCCCCCTTTGAACAGGCTCATACTGCACAACATGCACTGGTTTTCTAAATATCAACTTCTAATTCCCTTATGATACCTTTTTGGATTCATTCTGCCCCCTTCCTATCTCTGGGCATGGGTGCTTATTTTTTTCATGTTTTATCTTCATACCTTTTTTTCTTTTCTGTTTGCCATTGTTGCAGGCTCAACTCCCCAGCGCCAAGTTGCATCTGAACCGGGTTTTGGGGCCACCCCACTAACAATGCGATCTCCGCCCCTATGTAAAGGGCGATCGTAGTAAAAGCAGAGGATCGACAGCAGAGCCCTTGGTTTATGGACTACGGATGGAACGCCAGCATGTTTTACGGTACAGCGCAGAAAGGCAACTGGGGCGATGGAGATCATTCAGCGGCATAATTGTGTGCCCGAAGTAGGAGACGACGAGGCATGCCCTATTCCCGCTGCTAAAAACCTATGTGGTACTATAGTACCGCGGGGTGCAACATATTGGTTGGTCCATTAAAACTGAACAAACCTGCTGCGATACCTCGCATCAGCTCTTGCGGTGGCCAACGGTTGGGCTGGTTGACCGGATATCGCTCTATTTGGGCAATGTTTGACATGTCTAGATGAATTTGGACATGTTTTGGGTTCAAGGCAAAGGCTTAAATTGTGCTGCTTTACGTGCGAGACTTGCCTCTCGCGCGGACCTCGCACGACGTCGCGGCAACCGCAGGCTTCTTTAGTGGGGACGGCGTCGGTGAAATAGAGAAGAGGGTCCCAAGCTGTCAACTCTGCCTGCCGAAAGGAGGACCAGCGCTAACGCCAGAAAAGGCAGGCAAATCCAGCTTTCAGTTGGGGCCAAATCACCTCTCACGGTGCATGCGTCGACTCAACAGCCGTCTGTAGTTGTTTGTATCGCCGACTTCTGACTAGCACAGACAGACGGCCATAATTTCGGTGGTATTTGAGGCCTTTACGGCTGGTGCTCTTTTACAAAATGCCTTGGTAAGTAGTGAAATTTATTTTTCTTTTTTTCTTTTTTTTGTCTACATTGAAACTGAACGCAAGGAATCAACCTCCAAAATAATAATAATAATAATAATAACAACAATAGGCATCATTAGAGGTGTGGCGCTGGACCCGACGCACTGGATGCCAGGTGTCCATGCGACGGGAATTGGGCCACCGCTGTATGTGGAGCTGATGTCCCGGCCGAGAAAGCAGGCACCTTCTCCGACGACCTCATATGCAGAGAAAACAGCATCTCCGGTTGAAACTAATCAACTCAGCCATAGTGGACCCTGATTGACATGGCCAAGTCAGTTGGCGCGAGTCTCCAGGACACACGCCAAAATCGGTCAGATCTCACTATTCAGCCATTTTCCTTCAGGTTGTTTTCTTGCAGCGTTTGAACCAGGTACCGAGTAAAAAACGATTGCTATGGGAAATTCTAAAAATATTCACATTTCAATACATATTAAACAAAGATTTTGTTAACTATCTTTTTAATCCAAATTTTAATTGCACTAGAAGTGCTCGACGTTCCGCCGCCGTATAGATTTTCGCGGGATTGGCAGCTCATCTCGTGGGTCCGATGGTTGGCCGACGCTGGAAGCACCGCACTCTTAAACAACGGTGAGTTCGCCTGCTTGGCCGATTCTCGGTCGCAAACGGCCTTGCTTGAAGTATAATACGTAAAACCCCCGGATCTAAGTAAAATTGTTGACTTTTCTAGCAGCATTGTCAACATGGTCGTTTTAATTGTAAATTATAGGGAATAAAATAGACGTGGTTAGAGAGGCTGAGAAACGCCAAAATAACGACCGCAGCCATCAGACACTATCGATTGGGCATTGGGCGCTGAGGGTGCTGTGCCACTAGCCAGGGTGGCCCCGCTGAACGTTTGTCAGGAAGGTTAAAAGAAGGGGGTGAGCAAGCTGTACAGCGCCATCGAGGTACCAGGCACTAACTAGGGTTACACTGTATTTTTTTTTATCTCCCGACGGCTCTTGCAAATTAAGCAGGCGCCTACAGGCGCGCCGTGTCGTTTATGTCAGTGCCGCGGGAGCCATGGCAATCATCTCTGGTGGTCATTCTGGAGATGCCAGAGCAGGCAGATAAAATAAACAGACTAGGAAACTCGGTTCACTCTCTCTTTTGAGATGTGAAATGGATCCAGCGAGCAACTCTACTGTGGCGGAGGCTTTCGCTCCCGCTCTAGGGCATGCATAGCGTCCACTATCGGACGCTTTGTTGTCCACTACGAAAGTCTAGCGCATCGTGGTTGTGGCATGTTGACCTTGGTGGTAACGAATGGCGACTTGTAAAACTAAAAAGAAAAACAAAGGAGACAGGCAGAGGACATTGGGTCTGGACGATCCTGCTAGACACCTTGAAGGAATGACACGGGGCCCAAATCTGCGCCCCGCTAGAGTGACAGATGGGCGGCGACCACCAGTTAGAGCTACAGACGAAAGGGGCCAGTTTTGCGGAATTACTGAGTACAAAGACGCAGAAGAAATGTAGATGTGCAATACCATGCAATATGTCAAGTCAGTTCTTTTGCCGACGGAGGCAAATTGGGGAGAAAATCCCTTCGCATCAGAGAGCACAACTAGTCAGCAGCTAAGGCCGGGCGAGTTTCCTGCCCCGTCCGGCCGGGCGTTGGCGATATCTATAGTGTGGCGCTCCAGGTGAGGAGTAGGCGGTAGGATGCGAGCTACAGTGCATTGCAGTGCAAACGCAGTACTGTGTGGTGCGGGACAGGTACAAGTTGGCCGACCGCTAAGTGCAGGTGCAAGCGCAGGTCCTGGCTGTTCTGTCTGCGTAAGTGTCAGTCAGTGCCAGCGCTGGTGGGTAACAAGAGTTGGGGTATTTTTGGAGATTAGCCTGAGCGCCCGCGGCGCAAGAATCTGGCCATGCCCTGCGTTTTTCAGCAAACCCGGGTACGTGACCAGCATAGGCGGCAGCAAAGGACCAAATTAGACGAAAGGACGGGAGACGAGGTGCAGTTGAAGAAGCATGTCTTGCACAGAGCAAACAATGATGAGCCCTCGGGTGTGTCTGAATGCCAGACTGTAATATGTCGAAACGTCCTGCTTGTGCCTTGTAACTTACGTGCTACCGCTCTGTGCTTCTGAAGCCGCTCTCTTCCTCCAGTTGGCCTTTTTCTGTGCTGACAGGCTTCCAAACCCCCTTCTACGCCTCGTCCCGTTGCCCTGGTTGGGGTTAACATGTCAGTTGATCGTAGTGGGCTGCTGGGCCTGCCTTGGTGTACGCTGGCTCGTCCAAAGGGTCCCCACACGCCCCCCCGAGAAAAAAAAAAGAACCCTGCTGTAGCGCCTTCTGTAACTTTGTTGGGGTGTGCAGTATGGCCACGCCCCCTCTCTGCGCAAAAACGTGCACTCCCGGAGGGCCCGCCAAAAAAAGGCCCCTCCTCCCTTGTCAGGTCTTTTTGCCTTGGGGTGGATGGCACGTAGCAGCAGTCGTCTGCCAACTCTTTTCGTCACTTTGGCTCTTATAATACATATGTGCCACGGCCACCCGTTTTCTGCGACATGAGCCACACAATCGAATCTTGCATCGCGGGACCAATCGATCTTCTGCTTCTTGCATCTAGTCTTTATCATTAACCTCCTCTTCCACCTCAGCTTCAACTCTCCTGCTTTTGGCAAACACCCGCCATCGGCCCCCCATCTGCCTACACGCACGCCAGCTGTCAGTGCGAAAGCAACCGCTCACCAGCAGTCACTTGGTAGTCACCTTGCAACGGCGAGCTTACAAACGCATCTCGGTTTATTTACTTCACCATCTTTCTTCTCCGCCTACACCTCTTTTCAGCTTCCTCAACTCAAAAAAAATGGCCACCCTCGCCATGTCACAGCCTCCCCTTAACCCCATCTTCAGAGAATCTGGCGTCGATAGCATGCGATCTCAAGATCAAGGCATTGCTTTGCCTTCTATCCGCCAGGTTAGTTTGTTCATTCAAGGAAAATGGTAGTGAAGATGACATCAGAACTAATTTTATTATGGTATAGGCTATTCCTGAACTGCACCTCACAACCCCTTCGTCGGAGATGCGCAGCAGATACTCTGTCGGTGCCTCACCCACGGATTACATCCACACCCAGGACCAGAAGAGAAGACGCATTTCTGATGAGGAAGAACGCGACAGCCTCAAGTCCAACATTGTCCCTAGACTCTACAGAAGCCCTGAGCAGCCTTCTTCGCGGCAGATGTCTCCCCATCACCAACCCTCTCCCCATTTCCCCCATGACGCCTACAAACCCCGCAACACCCAGCCTACCAAAGTCCAGATCTTGAACCAAAGCTCCCGCCAATCTCTGCCTAGCCTGTATGACTTTTCAGCATCAGTGGGCGTCGAGGCAAAGCAGTCTCCCCCGATGAAGCGACCTGCTCCTGAGATGGACGATTACAGACGGCACGACGAAATGGCCCGCCGCTCGTACGACTATGGCTATGCACACGCGCCCTCCCACCACTACCACTCCGCTTCTCCTTCTTCTTCACAGATGTACGAGCGTCCAATGACCTCGTCCTCCAACTACGCCACACACTACCATGATGCTGGCCGCTACGGCGAGCTCGGTATCATGGCCATGGGCAACGACACCAAGCTGCGAAAGCGCCGGGGTAACCTGCCCAAGGAGACTACCGACAAGCTACGCTCGTGGTTTGTCGCCCACCTTCAGCACCCATATCCTACTGAGGATGAAAAGCAAGAGCTTATGCGTCAGACCGGCCTGCAAATGAGTAAGTTTTTACCTAGTCCAGGTGCCAAACCAAAACCAGACACAAGTCCATATTAACCAGTCTTAGACCAAATCTCCAACTGGTTTATCAATGCCCGCCGGAGACAGCTCCCTGCCATGATCAACAATGCCCGTGCTGAGACAGATGCCATGAACGGTGGCATTGGGTCCTCCAGCAACTCACATCTCGGCCGTAACACTCTCAGCGATGGTGAGGGTGACAGCTACGATGATGTGCGTGATATGCGCCACCATCGCGGCGACGGCAAGCGAGAGAGCGTCTAGAGCAAACTCTCTGACGATGCATCCCCGTTGCATCGTACCACCCTGTACAAATTTGCATTGCTTCGTTTTTTTTTTCACTACTGAGATGCCCCCCCCCAAGCCGCGGTCCGCGCCGCGGCGACCTTTTCTTATTTTGTTAATTTTTTGCCCAAGGATTTCTTTTACATATATTGGGAACGGATACCAAGGCAACTCTGGTCACGATGAGCGTGTTTGATATTATTTTGTTACGAACGGCTGTTTCTCTTCTTCCTTTTTGTTTTGCTTCCTATTGGAACTTGTTGTATGAATGTTTTGGAAGCAATGGACGAGCAGTCCACGAAAAGCACCTTGAATTTACAATAATTATTGATAGTGAACGGCTGTGCCCGCCACTCAAATGAAGATACCATGTTACCATATAGCTTACTTGCGGGGTTCCCCTCCTATCGTCTAACTGTGTCTTTCTGTCTACCTCTTTCTTTTGTAGTGCTGCCGCAGAACAAGTGGTGCCAGGATGCTGCCACTGGAGAAGAGAGCGAACATCGTCTGATACCTATTCTTTTGGACCGCGGCACCCGACATCGCATCGCCGATGTAGAATCCCCCATCACGTGTGGACCTCATTAGCCTCCAAAGGGAATTGAGTCTCAATGCCCCAACTACAAAGTAACATTTTTGGAGATACAGAGCCTTGCAACGGGCGGCAGAGCGAGTCATGAAGCTTCGTCCCAAGGCGGAGCACATCATCTGCAGGCATCTAGATGGTCAAGTCAAAGCCCCGTCTGTGCCCTGGTCGTGGCCGCTGGTTCTCTTTCTCTTCGGGGTATAACACCGACAATGTCTACTAGGCGGGTCTGTCATCCATCCACGACAGAATAAACGTGGGTGGTGTTGGTTGTGCAAAGACGTGGCCGTTCTCAATGTCGTTTTCCGCCATGTTGCGGTGGAGGTTGCCTTGCCTGTCTCTTGTCTCTGTCTCTCTCTCCCCGCATTCACCAGTACCTGCCTTGCCCCATCAACTCCAATTACCCGACGGGTAGTCGGTTTCTAGCCGATGGGGGATAAGTCTAAATCGTAACAGAAAATTTGTTCTTCTTACGACGTTAGCGGGACGGAAAATGGAAGCCTGTCACAGAAAACCCTTCTTTTTTCCTTCCCTCACACACTCAATAGAGTTTATTTCCAGAACAGAAGGTCCCCCGCTGCCGGCGTCGGGCGATTGGCGCAGGCTAACCCCAATGGGGCGCACAGGGCGACGAGGGGCACTGGGCACTGGGCACGTTTTTGGGGGAAGGGGGGGCCGCTGAAGCTTCTTTTCCAGAATGGGGGGGCGTGCGCGATGGTGGCGTGCTGCTACTGGTGGTTCGTTATAGCGGGCGTCAGGGCAGTCAGTCGGTCGGTCGGCGGGTGAGGCTCGTCGGCTACCTGCTAAAGAACAACTCACTCAACACGCTGTGCGTGGCGCTCGCCGGTGGGCTAAGCAGGAAAGGAGCTACAGTACAACAGGTACACGCGGGATCCGTGGCATGTTAGTAGATGGAGTCCGGAGAGATCACGATGGACGGTTTTCAATGGTGCAATTTGTTATTAAGCTTTATTGTATATTTTCGGTATTTGGGGGCCGCTTCTTCTTTTTCTTCTTACGTCTTTTGTTTCATGTAAATGGAATGCTGATGCATTAGACAGGAAAGCAGCGTATTACACCAAAGTTGAAGAAAGTGCAGTGCTGTCAGTGCCTTAATTTAGCGCTGTTAGAGGCCCTGTGGTGCATGTACAGTGCTGTGGCTAGTGATGGCGCGTGCCTCTGGCGTCGATCGTTGCTTGTTGAGCACTAGAAGCCCAGGACACACCGTACGAGAGATGGCCGGCGCGTAGAAACGGACTACATGCCGCTGGAGGGCCGGGCTGGACGCCGCTCACCTTGGGATTGATATAGCCGGCGCTGTGCTTCTACGCGAGATGAGCTTGAGACAGAGCAAGATCAAGCCACGATGGACCACTGTAGAAGGAGACCCAGCGCAAGCGGAGGCACTGAAATCCGGCTATGGAGAATGCAGCGTGGGCGCTCGACCAACCCCCCTATGGGCACGCTGTGTTCCCGGAAGTTGGCCCCACGAAGGAACCTTTGATCGAGAGTACGATGTCGAAAATGGCCAATACTAGACACCAGGCAGCAACATTTAGGCCCGCCCCGCTCGCTTGGCCTACCGTTTCCAAGCACGGCAAAGATCATGGACTAGGAACAAGGCGAAAGAAAGTAGGAATACTTCTTTTTTGATGAGCGGGGCATGGAGGATGCAATGCAACGTTGGGGGGTTGGGCGACGGACGAACTGCTGGTTGATAGGGAAGGCTTGCAAAGGGGTAGGGTAGAGATTTGTGGACAATCATGATCCTCCTCCTGGTGGACTCAATTCCTCGGGCAAGACCCTTCCTTCGGACCCTGATAGCCTACTGGACGTGCCTAGCTTACTTGCCTGGCATGCGCAAGCAGCGTGAACTCGAGAGTGAGTGGGCGTGGATCTTTTGTTTCTGACGTGCTGGACTAAACAAACGTGGCTCTACTGGACGTCCATGTGTCGTTTTTTTAATCTATTTTGACAGGCCCCATCCACACACCATACAGGTTTCTGGCAGACAGGTGAGTCCAGCCTCCTTGGAGATTGATTGAGCAAGGGGAGGGAGGGTGTCTGGTCTGCCAGCCCGTCCCGTGGTGCTAGCCAGGGAGCTATTACCAATGGGAATACTGTCTGACACTTTACGCGATGGCCTGGGCTGCGTTTAATATAGATGCACCATGTCGGCTCGGGATGAAGGGTGACATCGCTAGCTTATAGCTGAATGCCGAGTGAAGAGGGGCAAAAGGCGTGACGTCGGCTAGCAGAGGGCTGGAAGAGATCGTCTAGAACACAATGTCCCTTTTGACGTGTTGTCCGCTCGATAATTAAAAACCAGGGTTGTGTGTCATTTTTTTGGCGTCCCGTTGGGGGCGGCGTGGCGAAACGTCGCTTGCGCTAGATACATGCCAGTCAGGGCGTGCGTGTCTTAAGCATGGCACTTTTCTTCCTTTTTGGGCGTGTTGTTCGCTTTCTTTGCCTCTTCGGTACCTCACCACCGCTTCTTGACGTTCGGCAGATTGTCATCTCGTCTTTTTGGACTTCAGGAGGGGGCGTGGCCAAGCCAAGACCACGGGCGTTCATCTGCCAAAATGTGCCAAGCCGGGAATTGGGGACGTGGAGAAAGTGCCAGGCGAATAAATGAATTGTGATACTTATATAGGCGTAAACGGTTTTTCTTGTTGGCGATGGGATGGCACATAGATTGCATTCTTATGCACGCGCAAACTTACAATCCAGCATTTTGAGTGGAGGAAGCTTGGCCGTGTTATCGTGACATGCTGTGCATTTGGCAACCAGGGATATTCATGACATTGTATTTAAAGGTGTAATATGCGTTTGATATGTCAGCGTTTGATGTGTCATGCTGCGTAACGTATGGTTCTTGAATATCAAAATGTCATCGATATCATTCTGCACTCTGAAGTCGTCGCATGGCGCGCCAAGTATGCTGGAATCTTGGGAGTGCCCAACAGGGGGCAAGTTGCACCGTTGGCACTGTAAAGTTGCGCTCATCCACTCTACTACAACGCCCATGGTTTTCAAAGGCGGAGAAGGGGATGGAGAAAGTTAAACGAGGGTCAAGGGAACCACCGTTTGCTTGTAACCTTGCGTCGTGGCCGTCATCCAAAGCGTGGCGACCATAACATCGCTCACTGTCACCGTTTCAATGTAAAATAAAATGGACCGCAAAGCCAATTTCCGCACAAACGACTCGAAAGGGTCCTTGAGATGGAAGCAGACAAGTGTATTCGTGCTGGGTCACTCGCATCCGTCGACGCTCCAGACAGCTTGGACTCGCTTGTGTACTGCCGGCATCAGTTTGAGCTAGCCAGTGTTGTGCAGTAGCTCAGCTCTTATTCCAGACTAGCGATGCTAGTTGGTGGCGTGCTTGGTGCAAATTCCGCTTGGTGGGAAAGCGGGCGTAAGACATGGCTCGAGATCTAATGCCCACAGCCTTACTGGCACCCGATCGCTATGGTTTGGCGGCCACCTTGTAGATCGTGAGATTGCAGTGCATATTTTTATTTCGTTCGTATCTTAATTTTGGCGGGCGTTTATCCTTACTTGAGGGGCGATTTCAAGCCACTGTTAGACAAAGTCGCCGATGATGTACAGCGGCGTTGATTGGCGCCGCTGACAGGAACCCGTCCACGTCATTTGGTCGTGTGCACTCAGCCCGCTGAATAGCCGGTGACTTTTCACAACGTCCAACCATCGCGTACTGCAGCAAAGCACCCATCATTCTCCGACGACATGAGATAATAACACCACTTTGAGATAGATTTCGTATTCAGCAGTTGCTTAGCAGCGCTCTGGTTCCCTCAATCAACCCGCCCGACCACAGGCCTCGGTCCTGCACGCCTTCGTCATTTGCCTATCAGCCTCACCAGGTTGATGCCGGGCCTGCCCTAACGACCATGTCGCCAGAAGAAATCGATGGTGATGGGGCCGTAGACTCTCAGGGCCTTGAGCCGCTTGCCTGCGTGTCCTGCCGCTCGCGCAAGCTCAAGTGCGATCGCACAAAACCAGCATGTGCGCGATGCACCAAAGTCAGTGCTGAGTGTGTATATCCCGAGTCACGGCGCAAGCCGACCTTTAAACGTCGCAATGTCAAGGAACTGGAAGAGCGATTGGGTATGTTGAAGAAATTAGCCATGGTCAAGTATGATGCTGACGTACGGCTATAGCACAAGTCGAGGGTTACTTGAAAGATATCACAAAGGGAAAGCCGGTTGAGATATCGGACGATACCAGCCCCGAAACAGATGGCGGCGGTGCCATGGACGACTTGACATTCAACGCTGCTCCTACAACTCCGTCTCAGTCAGTGCCCAATGTCCAGGCCAACGTCACCTTTGATGACTTTGGCACCACGAGTCAAGAGCTCGTGGGCTTGAACATGACAGAGGCACTGCCCCCCTTTGCATTAATGGAGGAACTGTACGTTCTATATTGCCCTAGCATCCAGGTATTCTGTACTAACAGGACAGAAACCGCATCTTCTTCGCCGCACAGTACAGCCATATTCCCATCATCCACGAAGGACGATACTATGAGGCCTTCTACGGTAGCCCCTTGCGCAAACCTCCCATGGCTCTACAATACTGTATATGGGCCATGGCGACACTGGATAACAGTAAACATGCGCACTATGGCGATATATTTTACAAGCGTGCGAGGCAGTATCTGGAGGCAGATGAGATGAAGGTGAGCATGACACATCAGTACACACATGTATGCAGCGACTAACCCTACCCAACCAGGGTCAAGGAGAACACTTTATTACGCTTGCGCACGCGCAGGCTTGGGCTCTTATGGTGACGTATGAAGCTCGTCGAATGCTCTTCACACGCGCCTGTGTCAGCTGCGGCCGCGCCGTCCGCCTCGCACAAATGATGGGATTGGACAGACTCGACGGCGGTACGGCCGATCTTCCACCAGCTCTGGGTCCGACAACATCCTGGGTCGAGCGAGAAGAGCGGCGAAGGACATTTTGGGGTATATTTTCAGTCGATTCCCACGCAAGCATATCAACTGGCTGGCCCAACCTGATGAATACTAACGATGTGAGTTGATCTTGGTCGGCTGTTCCTTTTGTTGCTAGTTCGAAATATACTGACCATGCTAGATTATGACACGCCTTCCAAGCTCAGAAGCAGCGTTTGCTTCTGGTCAAGAAGAAACCACATCTTTCCTTCACGAAGTATTCAAGGGTGCCCCGTACTCGAGCTTCGCAGGAACCATTGTCACTTGCGAATGCTTCAAGGCCATTCTGCGACACGTCCACCGGCCCAAGCCCAACGACAACCCGCAGGATATCATGGAGGGCGAGTTTTGGAAGCGCCATCGCGAGATTGACAACGACCTGTCAAGTATCTTCATGTTTCTACCGGACAGCTTTCGTCTGCCACAGAGCCGTGGCGATGCACCCGCCATCTATGCCAACCTAAACCTCCACGCCGCCGTCATCTGTCTACACCACGCAGCTCTCGATAAGGCTGACGAATTTAACCTCGGTGAGACTATCCGCAGCGCCAGTATCGCGCGACTGCGGTCTTCAGCCGATGAAATTGTCAACATTGTAAAAATGACGTCTCACAATGTTCACCTCTACGTATGTTTACTTGCATCCTCACTGTCGGCGAATAATGAGTACTAACAGACAGGGGAAACAGAGATCACCGCTATGTTCACTAGCACTATACTGCGCATCTACGGTATACATCTACATTGCAAAGATGACCCCAACCAAGGTTGTAAATCCCGTCGACTCAGCCAATCTGGAAATCATCATACGCGGCATGGAAGCCATCAGCCGTAACCATAGAATTACACAGGCCTTTCTACAGCAGACCTGTATCGATATTCAAGGCAATGGCCTTGGTACTACGGTGCACATTGCTACACTGAAAAAGTATGGGCAGCACCTGGGCCAGTTCTCAGCCAACATCCCGCTTGTCGCGCGCAGCCATATCTCCAAACACAGCACAGTCAGCCCTGTGCTGCCTGGTAAGCTACCACTGGGGAATCCGATTGGAACTGCGTTCCCGGCAGAACCGGCGTACAGCAACCAGCGGCTGCCACTCATGTCTGGATGCTCCGCGACCACCCCAACAAACCCCATCGATGTCGACTTTTACCAGCCCATGATGGGCGCAGTCAACCGAAACATGAGCGCGCCTGATGAACCATCACACAAACGCAAGCGGCGAAACGAGTCGTCAACAGCAACGGCAACAGCAGGCTGGACACCGGTATCCGAGGCTCTCAAGGCCGACTTTTTCAGCAACGGCTGGACCATGGACAGCACGACGGAGACGTTTGCATCGGGAATCACGCCGTCCAATAATCCCATTATACTTCCCGATCGATCGACGCCATCGAGTGTATCGTCACCGGCACACAGACAGCCTCCCGCGGTAGCAGAGCTCTCGAGTAGCAGCGACGCATCTGGCCACACGCCTACCGGGCTGGGTAACACGGCAGAGGAAAACAGAATTGACTTTTCGGCGTTCCAGGATAAGATTAGTGGCCCGCTGTGGCCACTAGAAGACGGCGTTTTGAACCCGTTGGTAGAAGGGGGCGGCGACCCATGGGCGTTTCTCACTGGCGAGAGTGGCTGGAACAACAATGCATAGGCGTTTATGACAATTGTATTATATATATTGTATTTATGTATATGGAAGCTGGAATAATACACATTCACAACTCTGATATCTCATGTCACTGATAGTTTCTTCACTAAAAAACGAAGACAGGTGCATGCACACAGGTTCACAACATACGTACGCCACTGAAATACCAAGAAAGAAGAAAAGCAGTTTTCATCTAAAAGTTTGTCCGTATCTTCATATCTCGTAAGCAGAAAAAAAGTAAAGCCACCCGCAGAAAGCAATTGAAATAACCGATTCGCTGGCTACCCCCTCCCAAAAATAGAACGCCGTAATGAATAACAAAAGATACACCCATATGCCCTAAATACACCCGCAGCCACAGCCACACGTGCCTTACAATGCAATGTATACAGCGGCTGCCAGAGCACCCATCATCAAGCCCATCCGCTTCTCTACGACAGCAGCGCCGCTATCTGCCGACGGCACCCCCGACTTTGCACTAACTGCCGTGGCAGCCGTTGTGACAGAAGCCGAGGCCGATCCAATCTCGACGACATCCGAGGTCGAGGACCCCGTGGTAGCGCCGACCTTGCTCTGGGCCAGCGAGATCTGGTTCTTATCGAGATCGTACACGACGTACGCGCTGCGGAGGAACGTGTCGCCGAGAATCATGGTGTTTTCGCCGGCAGGCGAGATGCCCAGAATACACGCGGCCTCGTTGTTGGTGAACGTGAGCTCGCGGCCGCGCGAGTTTGTCGCATTGATGACCATTTCCGAGATGGGCACGGTGATGCGGGCCGGCGACGAGAAGGAAAAGGTGAACGTTGTGTTGTACTTTGCCAGATGGCACGGCACAAAGGCCGTCTCCTGGCCCTGGTCCCAGGTGGCGCCGAGGGCGTCGTAGACCTGGCTGACAATGTTATTGGGCAGGTATGTCAGACTGGTGCCTGTGTCGAGAAGCACAGCAAGGGCCATGTCGTTCTGGACGGTGGTATCGTTGAGGGCAAAGCCCGTCATGGTGATGAGGAACTCCTTGTACTGGTTGCCGGCGGACTTTTGGACGGGCAGCGCAACGAGAGGCTCATGGTACTGCGCCTTGTCGATGCCGCCAAAGAGGATCTTGCCCGTTGATGCAGCCAGGTCGTTGAGCCAGATGGAGTATGCGTTGGACGCAATGGTGCCCTGCGCGGCTAGCTTGGCCGGGAAGTTCTGGTACGACTTGCCGTCGCCCGTGGAGACGGAGGCTTCGTTGGCGGTGTATCCGATGCCTAGGATGCCTTGGGCCGATGTGCTTCTGTAGCCGATGCCGAACTGTAAGTCTTTGAGCGTTGTCGATCCAAAAGCGACGGTGTCGGTGGCGTAGTCGCCAATGGCAAAGGTGCCGTCGCCGTAGGTGATGTTGAAGTTGCTGCTGAGGTAGTTGTATGTGGATGACGAGTTGGGGCTGTAGACGCCGGCTGCTGAGCACAGCGAGTGCTGGATCGTGCATGTCCGTGATGTCGGCGTGTTCACCCACATGTCGGAGCTGCCGGTGTCGATGGGGAGTCGGACCTGTTGTGGCGGCGTGCCGACGCTGACGTTGAAGAAGTAGAGGGTTTGCTGGTAAGCGGATATGTTAGCTTGGATGTGAAGATTAAAAAAAAGAAAGACAAAAAATGAGGGCAGATGCTGCATACTTGATTGCTAATGGATGCTTGGATGGGTGACGAGCGTTTCTGTTGAATGTGGCGGGTGGCAGCATCACGCTCAATGTCGAGGGCTAGCACGCGCGGCTGCGCTTGGGGGGCAGCATTGGCCGCGTCCAAGAGGAGAGCGAGGCCCAGGACGATGGCTGAATGCATCGTGAACGGGCTGTGGTGGTGATGCTGGGCGTGTGTGGGCGAAGAGTGTAAGCGGCAGCAGCACGTATAAGCAAGGCTGTGAGGTTGTATGAGGGCGATCCTCTTGTCGGGTTGTCGCTTCCAGTCGGATTAATATATACTCTCGCGTGTGTTTTTTATCCTCAGACGGATAGGGCGAATTCTGTTGGAACGCCTTCCAGTGTCGTGTGTTTTTTTTTTGCCTTGGGTGGTGGCTCGACGGCGATGCGTAATGCCTTGACGTTGGCAGTGGTCTGCTGGTGGTGGTAGTGGTGGTGGTGGTGCTATTGGTACACTCTAATGATCCGAACTATCCGCAGTGTATAAACGCCGATGAAGAAACGACGAGGCCAAGTCGACAATTAAAGAACAAAAAGGCAAATAGCAGCAGTATCAGTACTAGTAATAGCTTACGCAGGTCCGGGAAAACGAAAACGGTATTGTAGAAAAGCAAAACGGGAAAAAAGGGAACGGGCGAGTTGACGAACTGTGCTGGTGATGTCAGGGTTTTTGCTGCCGTCGCCCCGAATTAGCCGGCTACAGCGCGTTGGGGTGCTCTGAGGCGGGCGGATGAATGCACCGGAAGGGGGTGATCAGATATGCAAGGTGCGATGCAGGCGTATTTTTAGAAGCAAAGCAGCCATATTACCTATCTGTTGTCCAGTGGAAGAAGGATGACGAGGGCAACAGAGGAAGTGGTAAATATTGGCGGTTTTACTGGATATAATCAAATAGCCTTGGTGAAGGTCAAGTGATGGGGATGCCCAAGTTTGACGCTGTACAGTACTGTTGTTCGCTGCACGCGCACTGCTGGCTGTTTTTGTTACGGCAGGTCAATGCGTGCGCTCCCAGGCACTGCGACAGCGGAAAGCGCCTTCTGGCGGGTACCTTGCTGGACGGCGCTGCACTGCACTACACTGGCTACAGCGCACTCTCCAGCGCTATCTGCCAACGCAGGCAGCCCTATACGACTCCAACAAATCTATCTGCTTCATCTCTCTAACCCCCGTCGACCACCGCTCAATTAATTGCCCATTTAAAAGCGCCGAATAAATTACTGGCGACAGCCATAATAGCCGCTGCAACCTCCCGCCCCGTGCAAGCGAACCGCTGCGGCGGGCTTGCATTCTGCCAGAACGCGCGTCCACACTAAAACGACTTTATCCTGCTCGCCTGTTGCTGCTGTCTCCGAGGGGCCCTTCCCCCCCCCCCCCGCCCGCTATGGCGCACTTTTACCCTTAAACTTCTGCACTGTAAACGCCACCGCGGCGCGCCGAGTCACGCCAACGTGGGCTTAACCTGTGTTCCAGGCCCTGCGAAAATGGATATACGAGGGGAATAAGACGAACAGGACTGGCCATTTAAATTAGCTGGCTTTCGTCGCGTCAGCAGCCCACCGCCTCATGCTATAGGCTGTAGGGGGGGGGCATTGCGTCCTACTGCGCTGTAAGCAGCACGCAGAGTGCCCACCAAGGCTATTCGACAAACAGCGCTGGATAAATCCGCCGGGTTTGGCATTTTTCCCGCGAAATGCGAAACAGGCAGCTCGTAAAGGGTCCAACCCCAAAAAGGGGGGGAAGGAGTTGAGAAGAGACTCAGAGTGTCTCATGTTAGTGTCATAATGTTTGCCAGACGTGGCAATGAGAGACGCCATTGTAGATAAACGCAACCATTGGGGAATCGGCGATATTGAGATGTCGGGCCGACGATAAGGTGTGAACCAACACCAACCGCTCAGCAGACAACCACTCACAGATGACACGTTATTATACACAGCACGTAGTATAGCATAGTATACTTGAGAAAGAAGACACTTTGGAAAATAAAAAATTATACATCTGCTTTAATCTCCTATGCTACATACCTAGGCAGCTGTCCCTCTACAGCGCCCACTCGTCAGCCTCGCCCTCCTCCACAAACGGCTCGTCGATTCGCTTAATCGCAAAGTCGCTGCACAGGATACACGCCGATGCCACAAGCGAGTCCAACTCCGCCACCACAGCCTCCCGCTTCGCGCCGGTCACCATGCCCTTGTGAATCTGCACCTGCAGCTCCCGGATCCGGCTCGACTTTCCCACGCCCGCCTGTTCCAACACCTTGCGGCCCATGCAGTCCGAGTGGAAGGCGTGCTGGCACGGAAACACAAAGAACTGTCGGCTCAGCAGTGGCAGCACGCACACGTAGCACTTCTCTCCGGGCTCGACAATCGCGTAGCGTTGGTCCAGGGCCGCAATGTCCAGCTTGATGTTGGACGCCGTCAGCGACGACTCGTCCATTTCCTTCTTCAGACTGTCAATGCTGCGGCTGTACTCCTCCAGCGCGTCGCAAATCTCCTCTCGGAAGTCGTCAATCACTACAAAGTCCGGGAAGAACGGGATAAGGTCTTCAATGCGCAGCAGCTCGCACCGCTTCAGAAACTCAATCGCTTCCTTGATCCCGCTCGATTGTGAAATCACCTTGCGCGCAACTGCTAGCCACAGCCTCTTCCGTAGTGACGGGTTAGACATGGGTCGGTCTGCAATCACCGCAGCCAGCTCGACTTCATTGTGCGACAGCGCCAGGTCCACCGCCTGCAGGTACTGGCCCATGCTGGTGTAGATGTGTACACATGATAGTGTTCGGTGGTGCTGGATGCACTGGCGTAACGCAAAGTCAGGGTCGTACCGCGGCTCATCGCCTTGGCCCTGCAGGTACGACAGTAGCCCGGCCTCATCTTTGGACGGGTGTGACGCGTACATGGATATAAGTGTGTTGTGAATGGCCGTGTCTTTGGAGTTGAGCTGGTGGACAACATAGTTGAGATATCGAATCGCCTGGTTTTGTGCAATCGGTTCGCCTGCCACCTTGCGGTTATACTCTAGCAGCGCAGGAATCAAGTTGCGAGGCTTCAGGTCCGCATGCCGCATGAGAATCTCAACAGCTTCCAGCGGCGTATTGGTCAACAGCACAGTACTGTATCGGTAAAACGTGTCCGGGTCGTTTTGCTTCTTCAAGACATTGAGCACCTCGCTCCACTTCTCACGCTGAACCCAGTACGACAGTACGTACTCGTAGTCCTGAATAGTGTTGGCGTAGAATAGGAGCTCTTCCTCTCGTCCGTGGCTCGAAATGACAGCGTACACCGTCTTCTTGTCCAGGTCGTTCTTGTATGTCTTGACGAACTCTTGGTACTCTTTGCGCGTGTTGCCCAGTAGCCGCTTAGACTCGGTAGTGTTGAGGCTGTCGGACAGATCGGCTTGTGTCACAATGGTATCCTCTAGTGAGTTTAGCTTGGCCATAAACGTCTCAACAAGCCAGCTGGCAATCATGATGCGCTGCATCACCGACGATTTTGTCATCACGGCTAGCTTTGACAGCAAAAACTCTCGCAGTGCGTCTGGTTGGTTCTCGTCAATCAACCTCAGTGCAACGTCTTCAAACGGTCGGTTGCTGCGGCTGTAAAGCGATGCTGCTTCCATCCAGCTGCCCTTCTTTGCCAGGTAGTCGGCATATGACGCTGCCACGGTTTCGCGCTGCTCTTGCGTACGAGCATGCTGCATCGCAACATCAAACTGCTGCGAACCCATCATAATCTTCCAAATGTCTCGGCTCTCGTCCTTGACTTCGATTTCGTAAATTTCCTGTGACGTGCAAAGCCAAAATGTGTTTTTTTGTAAATCTGCGGCCAGCCCAATAGGCTTCTGGTTCAGTCCCAACACATCGTGCTCCGATATAATCTGGCCCGTGAGTCGGTTCACGGTCACAATACGGCCACCGATAAGATATATAATATGCCATTGCGTAAGAGCAATGTCTGAAATAGGTTCCGACGCCGTGATACGCTTCGTCAGGGCTTCCGAGTTGATGACATGCGACTTTGAAATCATTTTAGACTCCGCAAACACCTTGGTTCCCAGAGTCTGGTCTGTCGGTGAGCAGATTAGCTTGCCATGGTATACACCCTGGGAGGAGAGCCATGCAAAGGCCCGTTCTGGTTCTTGGATATCGTAGTTTGGCGATTCAGGGGCATCTGGAGAGACGACCAAGCATGAGTCTGGCCCTGTCGAGGCTCTCGAGATTTCGTGAATCACAGGTTGCTCAGCCTCAAACAGTCTTGTATATACGGAGCCACTGCCATCATTGGCATGGCCAATTTTCCCCGCAAGATGGAACAGCCTGCTCTGCGTAGCAATCATGACTCTGCGAAGATCCGACTTGCCCTGAAGGCTGTCTACCCAGAGGCCAGTCACTGGTCCATCCGGAAGCTTATGCAGGTTCTTCAGGTGTTTGACTTCCTTTTTGTAAAACTCGTTGGACATTTCTATAAAGGTTTCGTAGATGTTGCCATCGGACGCTCCGATCAGAATCTCCCTTGTAGATGCAGTTGGCAGCGCGGGGTTCCAGGCCACGCTTTCAATAGACACGCCGCGTAGGCGGCCCAGCGGACGAGGGCTTTTCGACTGTGAGTGTAGATAATAGTTTTCGCCAATAGAGGTGCATATCAGCAAATGCGATGCTGTCGGGTCTAGAAACATGCGTTGGATCACGCCAATCTCTGACGGTTTCTTGGGCAAGTCGATATCTGCGAGCGTTAGCCACGTCTCCTTCCTCAGCAGGCTGCCTACTCACCATCGATATCCTGTGGTCTATTGAGATCAAAGCGGAGAATCCTCCCGTTGGAGAGCGCCAGGATCAGCACATCGTTGGCAACCTGGGCGGCTACAAAGTCGGCCGCGATGGGGAACTCGAGCTCGACGGGCGCGACTTTGAAGATCGGGCCGACGCCGCTCTCCAGCTCGATGTCCTCGGCAGCCATGAAGCCGTCATGTGGATCAAGAGCCATCATGAGTCGCGGCGCATGGTCCGGTCGCTTGTGTTGACGAGTGTTGATATGGTCCGAAGCTGTGTCGTTGGAGAGTGGTGACAGCTTGGGTAGCGGAGCTCAGAAAGCTTATGACGACGGTCCCCACACAGATTGGAGACGGCGGTGGGCGCCTGCGGTGAAAATAACTGTCAAAATAACTGTCAAGAATTCTTGTAAAATAAAGATAAGGGTTTAAAGATCATTAAAGTCGACTAATGTATTTCTCTTGCCAAATTTTACTTTTGATGCGACAGCTGCTGGTTTTACCGTTAGCGTTGGGTTAATAGTACCAAATAAGGCGACAGTCTTCAACAACAAGCAATAAGCGGTCTCGTGGCCAAATGGCAAGGCGTCTGACTACGAATCAGAAGATTGTGGGTTCGATCCCCACCGAGACCTAATTTTTTTGTGCTTTTCAGCGATTTGCACGAAAGGCAGTTGATTTTTTTTGGCTTGTCCGAAGTTGAAACTCTTGCAGTATTTTAATGGTTTAGACAGTGCTTTCATAACCAGATTAGAGTTAACACAGGACCTCGCCAACACTTCAAACATGTCTCCCGTTTTGGGGCAACTACTCTAGGATGTCACTAACAGAATTTATATTCCCGAACAAAGCTCACATGTGTGTTGTAGTTGCCCCCTTACATGTTTCCAGCTAGTATCACTTTATCTCGTGTCGAATCTCTTGATAGAGCACCTAACGACTGTAATTCTGAAATGTATAACACGAATTGTACATTTCGAATAGGACGAGTGTTGGAGTCGGTTGACTCTTAGCCGCATAGTACAGGTTGATGCAAGTTGCAGTAACAGCTGTACTCTCCCACTGCCCGTATATTGTTCAATTTCATTGCTTAAAATAATTTTGAATACGAGTAGAATATTCAATTCCCCTGGCTCGTTAATCAAGAAGTCAGATATTCCATCGTATTTGTGAAGTGCTGACTTACACCAGCACCATCCGGCATAGGGCGATGTGTCTGTCATAGTTTACAATAAATGGAATTAATAGAGCAATTGTTGGTAAGTTTCATTTCTATATTTCTTTCCTTATTCTGAGTTTCTTTCTGGATTTTCAATTTCGAAAGTTTTCCATTACACTCCGCCATTTATTTGATATCCCCAAACAGGCTGCCTGTAACGGGCTAGGCCCGTGGAGGTCTCGGGTAGCCCTCGACCATCTGTCACGTAGCTGTCTAGGTAGTACGAGAAAAGTTCGCTAAACGTAATGCTATTGTTGACTGTTCTATATATGAGATAGAAAAAAGACAACAAACTTGAAGGAGGACAAATCCCTTTCCTCCTTCCACAGTTCATTTCTCTATTTATATACAAGGTTGTTGTGGTTCTGCCAGCTGGCGGCTTTCCTTTGCCAGCTGGCAAACACTTGTTGTTGAAACTTCTCTATTGGCCGGCTAGCCAGCGAACACGTTGCGTAGCAACTATTTCGACATTATAACTGTCGTAAGTATTGTGACCGATAGACCATAGAGCGATCCAGCAGGTCGTGACACCATCTAGGCAAGGGACCCATGTAAGTCATATAAAAGGCTATTCCAGCTAGCTGGAATAGCCCCTTTTCGATCCCTTCTTCTTCATCTTCGGATACTCGTAGTAGTCGCTCAGCTAGTTGTCAATATACTCAGTTGAGACGGTTACACTGCCAGCACGAAAGTTGGGCGAACTTGCGCGTAACAGATATAATATATTTAAGATAAAATACAAGCACATGCTAATACAATGAAGGCTTCATATATGTGTCCTAAATTTACTGCAATTTTAATTTTCTTTTTTATATGCACCGGAGAATCCCATCTTGGCCAGCGGTTGGCTTGGAGAGACGATGCAGATTTTGATGCTTCCTTTTTTTGACTAGCACTCAGAAGCACTCTTTGATGTAGGCTCATATATTATAATAACGGTGCCGACTTCCATCAAATAAGATGGTCTCGTGGCCAAATGGCAAGGCGTCTGACTACGAATCAGAAGATTGTGGGTTCGATCCCCACCGAGACCTGAATTTTTTGGCTTTTCTAGCGACTGTCTGGTGGGCCGAATATCCCCCTCTCTCTGTTTTTTGGGCGGCATGACAGCGGTTGACTCGCAGATCAGGCAGTTGGGATAAGGCTCTGCAGCTGCCAACCCCAGGCGTCCGAACACCGCCCCGGTGAAGCAGCTCCCATTCAACTCAACACTTGGCCACATTCTTTTTTTTTTTTTCCAGTTTCTGACTTTAAACATCGGCTAAATAATTTATAAACCCATCTTTATTTAATGATGAGCCACAAGACACCGCCCAACCCGTGCAATTCGCCTAAATATCAGACAAAACGCTGCTGCCGGGTAGCAAACGCGACGGACCGTCGCAGTAGGCGATGAACAGACGGGCGACATCCAGCACACGTGCCAAGATGTGCTGGAAAGCAAGGTAGTGGAGACTACTGAACGCCTTTTTCTTGTCTTTGCAAATAGAACGACAGGAAATGAGCAACTGCTCGGCGAAATGCTGATTGGACGGCTGAAGCCATTGACGCCAGCGGCTACAGGCGGGCAGGCTTGGGGCGTTTTTTTTCTCCCGTAGTCCCATGTCCGTTCAGTCTGAAGACTATGTAGGCGTGGTCGCCATGCCATGAGAGTGCTACAGGAAGTGTAAGAAAATACGAGATGGGTCTTGAGGATCGCAGAGGACGCGAAAAAAAAGAGTACCATATGTGGTGAGGTGCGTGCTTTTGAGTTTCGTTGTGGGAGGCGAGGCTATCACTACCAACTGCACTTACATCCGTACGGGCCAACCGACGGACCACGACACCCAGAGCGCAGCAGGGTCTATGGCATGTGAATGGTTACCGTGTATGGACGAAAAACCCTTTGTGTTATTTTCCCATATTCCAGAACATCCACCCTAACCCAAAAAAGCACACCATGCGCTGTCGTTCGAGTGGAACATCGTGGGCCATGGCAAAGCAATAAAGCGTCAAGCCGCTTTTTTTTTTCTTCCTCGGTGCAAGGCTTCTGGCCGGCCTATCAGGGCCTGCGAACGCCAGCACGTTGGGGCCATCTTTTGGTGTGCTGTGGGCTATGCGCATCATCCCCGCTAGAGTGAGCCTGGTTGCCCGAGGATTACAGCGGTGGTGAGGCGCTAGAAGGCGAGGTGCCAGGTGCCAAACGGGCCGGGCTGGTCTGCTGGACGGAGCCCTGGCGGCGCCTGAGTTGGTAGTGGTGTCCAGGCGTGCTGGGCGGGGTCCCGCACTAGCACTGGATTGGGACTAGCGGGGGCCAGCTTTAGGTTGCGCCGTCACCATGAGCAAGCGGCGCTCCTTCCTGGAGAGACAGAGAGCCCGGCGGCGGAGGGGATCCTCATTTTAAAAGGTTCAACTCGGCCACTTGCGACTCGTGCATGGTTACTCTGCCCGGTTTGTGTGCTTTGTGATTCTGTCCATTTGTTCGGGTTGAATTCTTTGGCCAGAAACAAAGCCCTTTCTTCTTCCTTGTTATCTGCTGCGGTCAATTGACTTGCCTTGTTGGTCTCACCACACGTGCACTGTCAACACTGCTCATGCGACAACTCGACGAGCGTATCCTCCGATCACATCGATAGTAACACCCCAGTCGGATTTGGTTCTTGCTACTGTTGTCAATTATACGTTGGCTGCACAGCGCTACTAATTTTGCAATTGACCTTTTGCTCGCCCTGTTGGCTCATTCCTCGCTCGTGTGACTTTGTGCCGCTAGCACACACCTCCCGACGAACCCTCACCTTTCGACACCATGGATCCTCCTCAGTACGCCAAGGACGAAAGCAAGCTTGCTGATAAGAAGACTGCCTTTGATTCCGATCCCGCTCACGACCTCGAAAGCCCCGACCATGCCTCCATCAGCAGCGGCCAGGATGTTCTGGCCATGCAGGACATTGATCCTGCTCTCAACATGAAAATGCACCTTGTCAACAATGTGAGTACTGTTGCACCTGGGCGCTGAAGTATTTGAGTTGGAATTGCGTTATACACCGGGGAGCATGCGCCATTCAAACCGCAGCGTACTAATATACTCGTAGGCTATTGACGAGATTGGCTGGACTCCATACCACATGAAGCTCTTCTTCCTCAACGGTTTCGGTTATGCCGTCGACTCTCTCATCTTGCTCGTCCAGTCTGTTGTTGCCGCTCCTGCGTTCCGAGAGTTCGGCAAGGTCGGCTACGGCAACGCCCTTACCATCGCCGTCTACGTCGGCATGCTTACCGGTGCCATTTTCTGGGGATCCAGTGCTGACATCATTGGCCGCAAGTTTGCCTTCAATGTGTCACTCTTTATCTGCTCTGTTGCCTGCATCATTGGTGGTGCCATGCCCAGTTGGGCTGGTCTCGGTACTATGGTTGCCATCCTTGCCTTTGGCGGTGGTGGCAACTTGGTGCTCGACACGACGGTGTTCCTCGAGTATCTTCCGGGTGACAAACAATGGGTGTTGTCTCTCATGGCTGCTTGGTGGGGTCTTGGCCAGGCCATCACCGGTTTCATCGCATGGGGCTTCCTTGTACCAGACAAGTGGAACTGCAGCACTGCGGACGATGCTCCTCCTTGCACCAAGGATGCCAACTGGGGCTGGCGCTACGTCATGTTCACCAGTGGTGCTCTCGTTTTTGTCATGTCGTGCCTACGCATCACCGTTGTCAGGCTCAAGGAGACTCCCAAGTACCATCTTACGGTTGGTGATGACGCCAAAGTTGTCCAGACGCTTCACGAGATTGCCGAAAAGTACAACCGACCTTGCTCGTTGACTCTCAACCAGCTGGAGGCTTGCGGCACGGTTCGTACCGCACACAAGGCGAACAAAGTTAGCGGCATCTTGCTCCACGTCCGCGGTCTCTTTTCCTCCAGGAAGTTGGCCTTTTCGACTTTGCTCATCTGGCTCTCCTGGATGATTGTTGGTCTTGCCTACCCTCTCTTCTACGTCTTCCTCCCGTATGTTCCTGGGTGATATCTATTAACGTTTTGCAATTTGCTAATCGCTCTCTAGCACGTACATTCAAGCCCGAACCGATGAACTCAAGTACAGCACTTTCGAGTCGTGGCGCAACTATGCCGCTACCAACTTATCAGGCATCCCCGGTCCGATTATTGCTGGTTTCATGTGCAACTGGAAGGTTCTTGGCCGCAAGTACACCATGGCCATTGGTGCCTTCATCACCATGGCATTCTTCTTCGCTAGCACCGAAGTGCGCACCAAGTCCCAGGACATTGCCTTTAACTGCGTCATTGCCTGCTGCCTCAACATCTACTACGGAACCCTGTACGCGTACACCCCCGAAGTTCTACCTAGCGCCCACCGCGGCACCGGTAACGGTATCTCGGTGGCTCTCAACCGTGTCATGGGTATTGTCTCTGCCATTGTCAACACGTACGCCGCCAAGACGACCTCTGCGCCGCTGTACATTTGCGCAGCGCTGCTGGGTGTTGCTGGCATCGTCTCCATCATCTTCCCTTACGAGCCTTATGGTCGTAGAAGTTCGTAGATTAAGCGAAACGCCAACGATGGAAAGGTAATGGTGTGGGTTTAGCACGAAGTATATGGCAGTATGCATTGTACACGATATTTTTTTTGCCGACATATATATGATACCAATATGATTTACATTCTAAGCCACTTGAAAAAAAATATCTTTGATGTATGGTGTGAAGGTTCTATCAGCTAAAAAGTAGCTGTTGGGAATGAAATCCACGTGCACGGCTCAATCTAAAAAACAAACAAACCCATTGCCATGTCTACTTATAGCAACGCATTGTTTGATGGATGATGATCCTAAGGCTGCCGTGGCTCAGGTGACAAAAATGAGCCGAACCCACTGTGACATCTACTAGGAACGCCACCCGGCACGGCTCACCAACCTCAACGACGGCCATTGAATAGCCGCATCTGCAACTAGAAAACAACTCTCGTGTAATGACTTATTGCGCGACAACGAAGCAAACATGAGTCAATGCGGGAGGAGCATATCGCGTCAGCTCTGCCAGCACTGCCAGCGGCCGCTTAGGAGCGTGCCTCGCCAGTGGTACTCAACGTCAACTGGTGCAAAGACATCTGGCTCACATTCGGCCAGTACACATGCGAAAGAGGACCCTAAAGCCTCCGAAAAAGACCAATCTACGAAGAAGATACATACCAAAGATGACAAAGCCGAAGAGCTCGGCCCCATGGCGCGACGGCTACAGGAAGCCACTGAAGAAGCCCTTCTGACAGGCGGGCGGGCTGGTCGTCAAGCCGTCGAAGACGCCGGCTTCTCTAAAGACCTCAAAGAGAAGCTGCTAAGCAAGATTGCCGATGCCAAGTTCCAGAACGAATACTCAAGCGCCTTTTCGCAGGCGGGCATCTCGTCGACGGGCACACCCAACCCCGTTGGCTCCTTTGGCGATGCTGCCCCATGGACCGGACAAGAAAGCACGCCCGACGCAGTGCGGCGCATGCTAGAAGACTCCAAGAAGCAGCTCAGCCCAGAACTCCGTCGCAAGTACCAGCCCGGGCCTATTGACCCGCGAATAAAGCGCACGCCTGCCGTCTCCGCCGGTCAACGCCTGTCGGCAGCACGAGACAAGGCGACAGTGTACAGCAGCAACAACAGCGGTCTAAGCGATGCCGAAAGGGAAGAAATGAAGCGCGAGTTCCGCGAGCGCTTCGAGCCCGCGGCCCGCGCTGTGCCCGCGACGCTGTCTGGCCTAGCAGCGCTAGCCAACGAGCGGATTGAAAATGCCATTGCGCGGGGCCAGTTCAAGAATATCCCGCGGGGCACGGGCGTGGAGCGGGACACGCGGGCAGATAACCCGTTTATCGACACGACGGAGTACCTCATGAACAAGATGATTAAGCAGCAGGATCTGGTGCCGCCGTGGATCGAGAAGCAGCAGGATCTTGTTCGGGAGACGACGGCGTTCCGGAACCAGCTGCGGACCGCCTGGCTGCGGCATGCGGCGCGGATGCTGGCGGCCAAGGGCGGATCGCTGGAGGACCAGGTTGCACGGGCGGATGCGTATGCTGCAGCAGAGAAGGCGCATAGTCCGACGGCGGCAGCTACGTCGCGGCTGTTTAGGGATCCGGCGTGGGAGGCGGCCGAGAGCAAGTATCTGACGCTGGCGGTGGAGCGGCTCAACAGCATGACGCGCAGCTATAACCTGATGGCGCCGGAGCTGGCGAAGAAGCCGTATTATTCGGTGGATAGGGAGCTGCAGCGGTGCTATGCGGCGGTGGCGCCTCTCGTTGGGCGGGAAATTCGGGATCGCGCGCTGAAGCTGCCGGGGTCGAACGTCAGGGGAATGACAAAGGCTGCGGGCGTGCTGGAGAAGCTGGGAGGAGGCGGAGGAGGAGGAGATGCGGTAGCGGTGCATGTGGAGGGGGACGAGAAGGCGTATGGGATGCGGGAGTTTTGGCGAGACCTTTGGGTCAAGAAGTAGGAGCCAGAACCAGAGCTACTGGTGGTAGTGGTGGTGGTGGGTGATACTGATGATGCGGCATTGATTCATAGCGATTTGTCTATATCATGGGGCATTTGTGCATCATTCGAGTTCAGCATGTATGTTATATTGGTGGTTTGGTGGTGTCTTTTACCTGTCCTATTAGCGTCGATCTTGCACACCATACATAGATTTCACTTCACATTTGTCCATCATGTCATTGCTCTGTGGTCAGGCACAAGACGTCTCTCGTTTCAGTGAGCACACATATCCATCCTCGCCACTTACACACACCTGTGTTGTCGTCATTGCGCCCCAATTGCACCGGCTGATGGATTACAACCACACTCGTAATCACTCTCTCGGCATTGCCTGTCACAACTACCAGCTACCCCATCATTTGTCCCTTTTTTCAATAGGCTATTCCATCGCCATCCGTCCCCCGCAATCTCCCGGCGCGATATCCCTTACCCCCCATCGCCAGACTAAATGACTGGGCTTTCTCCAAATAAAAAACAGACAGACGACTTGCAGCATCTCCACCATCAAGCCCCCAATCCAGCAACCACCGGCGCATGCCCCCTCTTCTTAGTCTGTCAGCCTGCTACCAAAACAGGCTAGTCCCGCCGTGTACCTTCCCAATCTGGCAATGTTGGCACCGCAGCCGCCCCCTCTTCGAGTGGAGAGGCCCTGCGCAGTCACTGCATTGCCTGAAAAACGGTTTTTGTGTAGGAGTGCAGATTGCAGAGCGGTAAATGACCATTGACACGGTGCTTAGTGGCTGGGGACCCCGGATTTCCCCAGAATTCTGTTGCTTGGGTTTTCGCTGATGCGCGTGGGGGAAAATGGAAAGGGCGGCTGGCGGGTGGTGACGATGTTTGACGGCCTGGTGTGTGTATTTTTTTAGGCCTCTGTTTTTTGTTGGTGTGTGCTGTAAACAGTGCTGGTGCTGCTAGTGACAGCGGCCAGTGGGCACAACCTCTCTCTCTCGTCTTCAACAACAACAACCACATCATCGTCACCATCGCCGGGCAACTCTCGCCGCCCTCTTGCAATATTTCCGTTTATTTACAGCCTTCACTTTCCCCTCATTGGGCTTGAAGCCACCCCCGAAACCAAGCCCTCAAACCCCCGCCCGGCCGCCCCAAAATAAAAGTAAACGCCGTCGGCTACTGTCCAGGCCAACGCCACGCCACGCCCTAAAAAGCACCACCACCAAAACCATAAACCCAACTCTGCCTTCTTCCTCCTTATAAATATCACCAGCTTGCCGCCCTCCTCCCCCTCCCCCGGCGCACGTGTGCTTGACACTTTACGCCCTCTATTTGCTATTGCTACTGCTTCTCTTCGCCCTCTTGTTCAACTCCACCAATTCCTCTCTTCCCCCAGAAGGAAAAAAAAAGCTTCATCTACCTTTCCCCGCCCTTGACCTCGTCCGAGCCATCCATCATGGGCACGGCTGCCGAGGCCACCGGGGGCATTGAGCCTGTCATCATGGACGACGACATGGCCGACTCCAAGCGCCCCAACATCATCGACAGCGCGCGCTCTGCTGCCGACAAGGAACGCAACATGACACTCATGCAAGGTATCAGGCTCTACCCCAAGGCCATTGCCTGGAGCATCCTCATCTCGACCTGCATTGTCATGGAAGGTTATGACGTATGCTTGATTAACAACTTTTGTATGTGCTTCTTCTTCCTCTCTTGCCCCTTTAGCTGTTTTGCACTTCCCGTAGCTAACCTCACCCGTCTTCTGTAGATGCCATGCCCCAATTCCAGCGCCGCTACGGCCAACCACTCGCCAACAACCCCGAAAAATACGAAATCCCGGCTCCCTGGCAAGCAGGGCTATCCAACGGTGCCCAGGTCGGCGAGATCATCGGTCTCTTCCTCAACGGCTGGATCTCAGAGCGCATTGGATACCGCAAGACGGTACTAGGCTGCCTCTTCTTCATTGCCTGCTTCATCACCCTCTTCTTCACCGCGCCCAACATCCAGACCCTGCTCGCAGCTGAGATCCTCTGCGGTATTCCCTGGGGTGTCTTCCAGACCCTGACCATCACCTACGCCTCCGAAGTCTGCCCCATTGCCCTGCGCGGCTACCTTACCACCTACGTCAACTTCTGCTGGGGTCTCGGCCAAGAGATTGGCATCGGTGTCCTCTTCTCCATGCTTGACCGCAACGATGAGTGGGCATACCGCATTCCCTATGGCCTGCAGTGGATGTGGCCCGTCCCACTGTTCGTTCTCATTGCCTTTGCGCCTGAATCGCCCTGGTGGCTCGTCCGTAAGGGCCGCAACGAAGATGCCAAAAAGTCTCTTTTGCGCCTCACCAACGCCTCCAGCAACCCCGACTTTGACCCCGACGAGACCATTGCCATGATGGTCCATACTGCTGCCCTCGAGGAGAAGATTGTCGCCGGCTCCTCGTACCTCGATTGCTTCAAGGGCGTCGACTTGCGCCGTACTGAAATCGTCTGCATGGTCTGGGCTATCCAGAACCTTTCGGGCAACGCCTTTTCCAACTACTCTACATACTTCCTCAGCAAGTCAGGCCTGACCACCAAGCAATCCTACGGCTTCGCTCTCGGCCAGTACGGCATCAACATGGTGGGTGTATTTGGCGCATGGGCTCTCATGTCATGGGGCGTCGGTCGCCGCAACCTCTACCTCTACGGCCTCTGCGGTCTCTTTAGCATGCTGCTCATTCTGGGCTTCCTCGGCCTCGTCCACAACGACAAGGGCCCTATTGCCACTGGCAGTCTTATGATTGTCTGGTCGCTCTTCTACCAGCTCACTGTCGGTACTGTCTGCTACTCCCTTGTCGGCGAACTGTCCTCGCGCCGCCTCCAGATCAAGACTGTCGTCTTGGGCCGCAATCTCTACAACATTGTCGGCATCATCACCGCCGTCCTGACCCCCTACATGCTCAACGAGGGCGAGTGGAACTGGCACAACTTTACCGCCTTCTTCTGGGCTGGCCTCTGCTTCTGCTGCATCATCTACACATACTTCCGTGTCCCTGAGCCCCGAGGCCGCTCCTTTGCCGAGCTCGACATGCTCTTTGAGAAGCGTGTCCCAGCCCGTAAATTTGCCACTACAGAGGTCGACGTCTTTGAAGAGTCGGTCGAGGAAAAGGTCATGCACCAGTACGAAGAGACGGTCAAGCGCCGGTCTACCAAGAATGCATTTGTTTGAGCGCGCATATTCTTTCTTCTTCCTTTTTTACACCCAATCTTAGCTTCGTCACGATTCCTTTCTTGCGTAGTCGTTTTGTTGTCGATATGATTTTTTGATTTGGGCTTCTGGAGTACATAGCAACACTGAGCGGATATAAGATATCTTTGCATTTACAATCTACTTTTATATTTACATGCCATTCTATTCGTAGTTTTCTAGAACAACTCTTCCCTGCCACCTGATCTATGCCATCAGTACATTAAGCTCAAGAACACACCCCACAGTAGACCGGCGAAGCTACCCACCAGGGCGCGATGCTTGAACGGGACAACTGTAAAGTTGAAGAGCGTGACGAATGGCCAAAACGAGTATCCTGCCGCGAGCTGTGGCCAAAAATTCTACATACATAGCGCCCTAGTTAGCACAAAAAACACCCCAAAAGAAGCAACGCCCTCTGCGAGCAGACTTGCACATGTAAATACGTACCTTCATGACGTCGCCATGCACATCCTCCCACGCCTTTGCCTGCAAAAGCCCCATGACGGCAATAAACATGGCCGTGTTCACCGACGCGCTGACCGTCTGGTCCAGCACAAACTTGGCCAGCGTGTTTGTCGCATCCAGTTCCACCACGTCAACATCCTCCGTCTTCTTCTCACCGTTGCCCTTGCTCTTGGCCGATCTCTTGCGAACAGTCGTGCTCGGGAAGCAGTCCTCCAAGTAGCCCTGGAAGGACAGGTTTGGCGGCGTCGTTAGCGCCGTGTACAGCGCAAAGCGCCACAGCATCGGGTAGTCGATCTGCTTGGTGCCCTGCAAACGCGGCGTTAGACAGACAAAGAACACGCAACTAGAAAAAGCGTCACTTTACATTTTCACGAACAAATACTATGATTTGTGCAAGGAGCCATGATAGCGCGCTCAGGGCCGTCGCCTGCACCGTGGCGGTGATGTATGCTTGAGTGGACAACTTGGGCATTTCCGGGTTGGCGTAGACAGTGGGAATCGCAATGAAATGACAGCGGGACGGTAAGAAAAGGAAATGAATAGATTTAACAATGGAGGTGACAGCGTCGCTTTATAGGGCTTCGGCGACCGCTTTTTTGATGTGGTTGTGAAGCAGCGGCAACAGGCACCGACAGCAGCAGTAAAGTAAAGCACGGCCCGCAACCCCGAGACAAAAGTTGTCGGTCCGGCTTCCCCGTTTCAATGTGACGCTACATTTTTATCATGACATGCATGGAAAATGCAGAGGAAATAAGGACGTATATTCAACAGGCTTAAAAAATTGACAAAAATACTTATAAAAGAATCATATACAAAAAAGATAAACAAGAAAGCGAACTAATCAGATGTACTTCAAACAAAACTCTTTCAAATATATAACAATAAGGTTAACGCAAACAAAAAGACAAGAAAGAACAAGGACATAAAACTACCATCGAAACAAACTTCATTTCTGCTTCTGTACCGCGCGAAGTCGCGGGTCTCGAATCACCATATCTTCAGGCAGCGGCATTTGAAGCTGTCCCTTGAACTGTGATACTGGTCCTAACCCGTCCAACCGCCGGATGCGCGAATGTGCAGACCTGAGTCGAGACTGTCGTCGGAAAGGTGTTTGTGCCGGTGTTGGTAGCGGCGCACCAGGAGCAGGCGGAGCTGAGCGCCCCCGAACTAGAAGAAGGGAGGCAAGTTCATTGCGTTTCTGCTTAAGAAACCAGCTCATTGGGAGATCCATTACCATGGTGTCTTTCAGAAGCTGCGCCAAACTAGGGTCTTCTTCAGCGCCACCCCAATTTTGCGGCACAACGTGCAACGCTTGAGCTTTTGAGAGCGTAGGAGGCCGAGGAGGAGGGCGCGGTTTTATGCTAGTGTTCTCCTGTGGCGACTCTTCTTGTTGCCCTCGGCCAGGAGGTGCAAAGTGTATCTCCTCACGCAACGGACTGGGCCTCGGAGCAAACAGGGGGGTTCTGTTCCGTATTATTGGCCGAAGTCTCGTTGTTTCATCAGATAACCCAGGAGAGGGAGGCAAACGTTGCGTGGATTGAGCCTGCAATTGCAACCGTCTTGTTTCGCGCAATGATGGGGGGACTTTTGGTCGTGACGGTGTTCCTATGCTGGATGGTGGTTTTGGTTTTGGTTTTGGCGGAACCACAAACTCAGCTCTTACCTTCCTTTCGTTGCCGTCCAACTTATCGAGTTCCGTCTCATAGGCTCTTCTTTTGGCGTCCAGCGTACGCATTACTGTTTGAAACGGCGGGCCACTCGGTTTCACCGGCGGTATGCGAGGTTGCCCCCTAGTCAAACCATGGACAAAGAGAATATCATGCCAATAGGCAGAGGTCTTCCTTTCAAGATACGGCGTTGTGGGATCTGACCACCGCAATTCCGAATACTCGTATATGAGCTCCTCGATTTTGCGCTCTCTTCGTCTCTCTTCTATCAGAGCAATTTTGCAGTGTATGATGTGCCGCAGCTTATCTTTTTCTTTTTCCGTTAACTTGCGCTTTCCTCTTCGCTGCGGAGCCTGACGCTTAGCCTGAGGCTGAGGCTGAGCTGCAGATGGTGATGGTTTCTGATAAGTCGTTGCCGGAAGGATATACGTGCCAGAGAGTTCATCAGATGTTACAGAAGGCTGCTTATAAGGCATTGCGGAGTGCGGTGGCGATTCAGGCGTTGGCTGAGGCTGCTTCTCGAAAGCACGGGATGGAAGTAGGCCATCGTCTAGCTCTGAATTAGAAGCAAGAGGGATCTGGCTGGATGCATTGGAAGACCAAGGTTCTGGTTGTTCCGATGTGCTAGCCGTTGATGTAGCTGACAGAAGTCCAGATGGTACATAATTTGTTGTATGGCGTGGCCTAGGTGTTAGTGACCGTGACCTGTCTTCAACCTCAGTTGACGATAGTGCTGAACGTGACGCCTTGGGTGTTAATGAGCGGGACCTTTCTTCGACTCCAGTGGAAGCTCCTCCCAACCTAGGCGATGCTTTCGGTGTCAATGAACGCGACCTGTGGCCGATATCATCAATGTCCTCTAATTGTCTGGCTGTTCGCCGTCGGCCACGGATTGGTGAAGGCGACCTGGGCTTGGATGGCAGACTTGCACATGGCAATTCAGGTTCTGGTGATGGCAATGTGACAGCATTCAACACTTCGGGAGCTGGATAGGGTGATTGTGTGGTGCATGGCCGCTCAAGGACCGGCGAAGATGGTCTTGCTTCCGTGTATGGACCGGGTATCGGCGAGGCGGATCTGGCTACTCCTGATGGCTCAGGCGTCGGTGGAGGTGACCTTGCTGCTCCTGACGGCCCAGGAGATGGTGAACGGGCTCTGGTAGCATGAGAGGTCTCGGCAGTAGCCGCGGCATGTGCCAGAATACGACGAATCGATGGCAAAGGATACTTAGGACTAGTTGAACGAGCCCTGGCGGCGCGAGAGGACTCGGCAGTAGCGCGGCGCCTGGGAGACCGTCGTGGAAGAGGATACGATGTGTCTCGACGGGCTATCCCACGTGAATGATATCTAGGACTTGGTGAACGGGTCCCGACGGCACGAGAGGGCCCGGCAGTGCGCAAATGCTTAGGGAAAAGTGGTGGCAGAGGATACGCCGTCTCCCGATGGGCTCTCCCCCCCGAAGAACGGGAGGGCCCAGCAGTAGCTGCGGCATGTGCCAGAATACGACGAATCGATGGCAGAGGGTCGCTAGGACTAGATCGACGGCGCCCGGGAAAAAGTCGTGGCAGAGGATCTGACGGCTCACCATTGTCGTCCCAACCAAGGCTTCCTCTTGGCTGAATGTGAGCGGTGCCGTCCCTTAGCTCTCCGACGGCGTCAGAACCGATGATTGCAGAGCGATGTTGGCCAACAGCAAGTACAGACCCATCATTAATAAGCTCCCTCATTGCCTGGCGCATCATTACGCAGTCACTGTGTGGCACTAGACTCGTGACATTGTCGACAAGTGTAACCTTGGATTGCGTAAAGAAGAATCGTGTCAGCGCTTGTGCAATGGAAAATCGGTATTCTTGGCTCGGAGTCAGAGGAATCTCTGACATGTCTGCGTCAAGACCGCCGCAACCTTTGATAATTCCCCACAATCCGAGTCTTTTTAGGATACGCTCCAGAATATCAGAATGTGCTTTTACTTCGCCCTCTCCTGGAACGACGATTGTCTTGGGAGGGGTGAAGAATTCGTCAGAGTTGAGGTTTTGTCGTACCGAACCGGGGAAAATAAGCACTTCCTGAGGGATGATTGTGAAGCGGGATCGGAGATCAGGACTTGGAATAGTCCTTACTTCGATGCCATCAACAGTGATGGACCCTTTGTAAGGCAACATGTTTAGAATTGCGAGCAATAAGGCGGTTTTACCGCTTTGGGGGTGGTTAGCAAGTTATTGTTAGGACCGAATGAATTAAGCCGCGTACCTTCCCACTGGTCCGTGGAAACCAGCCTCTGTATCGTCGTAAATGGTGAGAGATATATCCTTCAATACCGGACGATCATGAGAGCTGCCGAAATTAGTCGAAATTCCCGTATTCAGACAACATAGTCGACTTACTTGTACCAAATTGTAACATCTCGGAACTCAATACGGCCGCGCGCTGGCCAACTCTCGGGCACCTCGATTGCGGGGTGTGCATTACCTTCCATATTTTCCTTTTCGACGTAGTGCGTACCATTGCCCTTGGCAGTCTCGACCACCATGGGCTCCTCTGTGATCTCGGGTACGAGCGGTTCATCTGGGATTATAGGGAGCTCATTGTGCTCGTGGACCTCAGGTTGCTCATGCTCTTCAGAGACATGTGCTCGTTCCTTTCCTTTCACTGACTTGGTGCTTTCTGGATGTACACCTACCTCAATAATATCTGACGCAATGGAGGACCTGTCTGTTTCTTCCATAACTATAGTGCTAGGAAGACCATCAGATGTAACTCCAACATGTTCAGACTCTTCCCTTTCTTGTATAGTTGCTGTCTCATTGGTCTGCATTTCCTCTCTTTCGGCGACCACCGTATCGTCAGCAGAACCTGACGCAGTAGCTATGCGTTCCACAGGCGCTTGTTGATATGCTTGCGCTTGTTGACCGGCTTCCGGTTGAACAGGTGGACCAACAGCTTGTCCGTCACCTGTAGCGGCGTCTAGGCCAACAGGAACTTCATCGCCGGGCACAATAGGCTCATCTGTGGGTACCTCAGGTTCGTTTACCAAGACAGGTTCCGGTGTCATTTCAATCAGCTGCTTAACCTCATCCAAAGTTGTCAAGCCGTCGTCTAGGTGAAACCACGGTATCACTGCCCATTGCACGACATACTGCAAAAAGAAACAGCCAGCAAAGGCGATACCAACAGAAGCGGGCGAAGCACTCTCTGTAAAAACAAAGGCCAACAGGGGAATGCAAGAGAAGGTGATGAATGCATTCCCAGCAACGACCAGCCATTGCTTTGTAGACAAGGAATGGTACAAAAGCTTTTGTTGCTTATTGATAGCATCAAAGATTTCATCCACCTGTCTGCCGTGCCACTGAAACGTCTGAACATAGGTAGCTCCAGCCGCTGACTCCAAAAAGTGCGCCTGGAGCGACGCGTTAGAATCGAGCTGGAGGGAGTAGATTTGTCTTGAAGTCTCAACGTAAAAGCGCTTTACGAGGTATGCAGGCATGAGGATGAGAGGGAAAACAAATGAAACAGTGGGGTTTGCCCATGCTAGGATAGATAGTGCAAACAAACCGAGACCAAATTCTTTTTGTGTGGTTAGCCTGCTAGCAATGGACAAAGTGCTTAGTAGAGCCATGCATAAAGGAATACTTACGGTTTACCGTCTGGAAGATATATCGAGGTAGTTCAATGGTGATAATCCGCATGCCTTCATTAAATCTAATGCAAGATGTAAGCAGAATGGCTATGGGTGATTTGGATAAAGGTGTATACGTACAAAAGGATGACACTGGGGAGCTTATTTGGGTTAGATAGCGTCACGGGCGACCTTTTGGTGGTTAGTAAAGCTATTGCTCTCATGCTGTAATTAAGAAGAAGTAATTCTAACCTTAGGACAGCGTCCAGAAGCTTCGTATGAAGCTTTCCTGATACCTGAACGGCAAGCCTTCCGTAAAACGTACTTGATGGAGCTTAGTTTAACTTCATATACCATGCTATTATGGACTACTTACTAGCCAGAAACTGCCGTTACGGGGCCAGCTAAAAGACCAATAAATACAATTGGCGAGAAGTTTGACTCAGGTGTAGCGACATATCCCAACGTAATAAGTATATCTGTATTTTATAGTTAGCTCGGGCTGTGTAGATCAATCATCCAACTTACGAAGGGATATAGATAACAGCATCATCGGGATAAGTGCGATGAGCCAAAGGAATATCAACGACTTATCAGCAAAGTGAAAATAAAATGACAATGGTGCCATATGTAGTTTGCTGTGAGGTGGGCGATACGACAGCTGTAGTGTTGCTCCTTTTGGGGCGGCGTGAGGTTGGACTTGAAGGACGTCTTGTTCTATACTTCCAGGAATTTCCATTGACTTTTGTCGACGCTCCTCCGCCAATTGTCTGATTTTCCTTGTACTCTTTCGGGATATTTCACCCTGATCGTCTATGACGAAAAATCGACGGCCAATATTACAGAACGGGGCTAAAAGGATGCGTGAGTAGAGTCTCTTGCCATGCTGACACGAATAGAGAACTTACCAGGATCCCTAGTCATAAGTACAACCGTGGATTTATTCTGTTTAAGTTTACCCTCAGGCCCTAATAGACTGGTAATGATTGCATCAGCGGTAAAGCAGTCAAGGATATCAAATGGATCATCCAATATGACCAATTTCGCACGGGAATATAAAGCCCTGGCGATCGCCTAAGAAGGTTTCAGTATATAAAACAAGCACACTGTAATTACACAACTTACAATCTTTTGGCATTCTGCTTCATTCAGATGGAGTCCGTGCCGACCAAGAATGAATGAATCACCTCCAGGATACCTCAATAGGTCCTCTTTTAGAGAGCAGGCATCTAGAACTTCATTGTACCATTCTTGCTCAAATCTTTTGGATCCGATGATGTTCGCTTTGATTGAACGACTTTGCAACCAACTCCTCTGGCCACAAAAGGAGACCGACAAATTTCCAGATTCGTGGACAGTAATACGCCCCCCGGAAACATTGTTTTGGCCTAGCAGTGCTCTTGCCAAGACTGATTTTCCAGAGCCAGATTTTCCAGTAATCACCGTAACTCTTTGCTGTTGGCAAGACAATGTGATGTTCTTGAGTACTACTTGAGCCCCACGCTTGGCGGAAATGGAAACATCATGGAGCTCAATCATGCTACCATTTGACAACGTAGGAACAACCACGTCCTGATCTATATCATCAGGTGGCTCGTTGTGGGATGTATCTGGCTCTGCGAGGTTAAGAAACTTTGAAATGGTTAACAAATGGCCGAGAGCTTGCTTATATGAAGCAAATTCCATTAAAGGCTCAGAGGATTCAGCCAAAATGACTAGAAGAGCGAAGCATTTTAGGGTAGCAGCCAAGTTGTAGGATCCATTTTGCTCTGGAGAAATCCAGTTAGCAGCCAGGGCTAAAGGCGGAAAAAGAGTCGTAGCCGAATTCACTATGGAGGATGTTAATACTACACGATTCTAGTGAAGCTTTAATGCTTACAAAATGAATAAAGCCTAGCCTGTTTGCCATGAAATGCTGAATATGCTGTGAGCTCGTCATCACGCATTTCGTTCATAACTTTATGAAAAGCTGGACCTCGCTCGGTCATAGCAACCTCCTTCAGTTTATAGAGTAGGCGGCTCACATGCAACTCTCTTTTCTGTCTCTTCATGTGGAGTTCGCGCAGCATGGCCGGATTCTGAGATCGTAGATAACCCATAGCTGTGTAAATACCTGACGAACAAGGTAGATTAGCAAGATGGGCTTATTCGAAAAATTTATCTCTCACCTACCACCTGCAATTGCCAGGACCACTATAGTCATCCATCCTATATGTGGCCACAGCATCAATGGTATGAAACTAAATCTAACAAGATACATTGTTAATCTTGTATAGGCCGGGATAAGACACAAGGCCTCAGGGATGTCAGTGCTCAATAGGGAGACTCTAGCTGATTCGTTAATTGTTTCTTCCGGGAGACGCATTAGCTTTGTGAAGACGCTACCCAAAAGGGCGCCTTGAATTGCGGTGCTCGCTCGAGATTCGTAGTGCATGCCGAGGCCGCGGGATATCTGCTTCGAGGTTCGTTCAGCTCGTCATGGATTCTGTGTTAAGATGGACTAACCGTTATGCCTGAAAAAACAAGAAATGTCATGAACAATAGGCTAGACATTGTCCATGTTTCTGCCTTAGTCTTTGTTGGATCAAGCCATGACTGTTGAACAAGGACAGCCTGTTCCACCAAACGTGAAGTGGTCAACTCTAGCATAATGAAGATCAAATTGGCAATCGTAGATGAAGAAACATCCTTCCCAGTAAGAGCAAAACATGCTTTGGAAAGTCCAGAGGGAAGGTGTCGATCTACCATAAGTATCAGTATCCTGCTTATTCTGCAATCGCTTGGAGGCACTTACACCTAGCCACGAGTCGCTGGAACCTGAGGTGTATTTCGTCAATAAGGAGCTCATGGGGTAGACCGTTCATGTCATCTTCTGTTAGCAAGTCTTTTGACCCTGCACGGAAGATTGGATGTAACCAGATGGCAAGACTCTTGCCAAAGAGACCATAGAAGAATTGGACACCAGCATAGTGCTGCAGGCCAAGATTAACTTTGTTGATCTTGGGCATTTCATGAAGGCACAACATGCTTGCGTAAAACACCACGACCTGAGAAAGTCTAGATGATATGGCCGTGCTAAAAGTGGTTGATGGGCTGGTAACAAGAATGGCCGTCTTGTTGATGATGGAGCCAGCCAGATAGGCGCTCAAAGCAAATGATGGGGTTGGGGCTCGGCGATAGTTCAGCATGAAAAGCACGCCGACACATGCCGCTTCAATGCAATCCCATAGCCGAGTATCGAAGTCCCGATATCTGCATGGTTGGGGGCCCATGGCAGGGTCTTCGAACAGGTCAAAGCAATAAGAATACACCACAAATAACACGCCAATACACTCCGCCATATGTTAGCTTTTGCTGGCCACAAAGATGGTATTTCTGCTTACGAAATGTGTCCATGCCCGAAAATCGATTTTCTGGTCAGGCACGATGATATCAGGATGGCGGAGCAGTTGGTACAAGAGGATTGGTGTGGAATATAGCAAGCTGTTGTTCAAGAAGGTTGTCCAAATGGATGCATAGGAAAGAGTTTCACTTAATTCCGCATACGCTAAGAGAAGAGGCTCTACTTTGTCCATACAATAGAGCGAAAGTGGTCCCAGTGTAGAAGTGCCCAGCTGCGAAAGAAACTCTGCCAACGTCACAAGGGTCAGCCAAAGGCTTTCCAGGAACGTCATTGGAGCCATGGTTCAGAGATGAGAGGCAATCGCAGCGAGCTATCGCAGCAGTTTACCGTAGTGTCTTCTTGACGATGTTGATATTAAAAAGAATGTTGTGGAGGGATAGCCATTGTTGTAAAGAGCGAGAACGAGCGAGCAGGTAAAGGAAACAGTAGGAGGAGGAGGAGAAGGCTGTTGGTCCAAGAAGAAGCTTTGTTGGTCAGACGGAGCATGTGGGTGTTGGGTTTGTTGGTTGGGTGGGTGGGCGCAGTGAGGGAAATGGGCCGGTGCAGAGCTGTGCACAGACAGTGCGCATCCATCTCGGCTAGCGCCAGGTTCAGTGGATCACAGAGGCAGTAGTTAGCGTACCGTGGCGCTGTTTCAACGGGCCAGCGGGGGCCAGGCTTCGATTGTGGTTTGCTGGAGCCAGTGGCGTGCTGACGGGCGCACTCATCTGCAGGAGCAAACTCTGTCTTTGTGTGGCGTTTGTGACGAAAAAGTGCAAAAGTATAATCTCCCACCACTAGCTCTCATCACAAATCAGGCTGTGAGTCTTGGGAGGGGGAGAGCCTCGGGGCCGAGGGTGAAGGGGGAGCCTGTTTTCTTGCACAAAATTATGCTGCGCAAAATCGCACAAAAATACCCCATGAGTTGCGGGTGGTTCTTTGATCTACTTTCAATACTGTAAACCCTTTGATCTCGATGGAAGCATCAACAAAATATCGCAGACAAGCGCAAACCGTTTGACTTTCCTTCGTCGCATTGTAATCCTCGTCCGCTCTGCACATCCGCGTGCCGTCCACTCCGCGCCTCAGGGTTACATGCAGCCAGCACCCCACTGCAACCCACTACTGGTTTAGTGCACTGTTAGCGCAAAGCTTGCCTGGAGGTTTCTGCCGTTGGTTCAGCGAACGTGGGCTTTGGAAAGCTGCCAGTCTTTATCACCCTTCTCACCAACATAGTAGCACAGGGTGATACTGGGGATAGCATCATATGCAGCATTCAGTGTTAAGTCGCGTTCTAATCCTATAGTCGACAATTCGATGGTTAAAAGGCACAAACGCGCTATCGCCCATCGCCATCGCGACCTCGGGCGCAATCCGGCCCTATGCACCACAGTCACCTCAGCAGATCACAGTGTGACTCGGATACCCCGCGATGGTGCCGGCTAGCCCAGTCTCCGTTTCTCATTGGCTTATCACACCCAACAGAGTCATGGGGCACCGAAGTCTAAGCGCCAACGCTGCATTGGCTAGCTCCCCCACCCCCAAGGTGGATTGCCATCACCCGCCCGTCCATGGCCAGGGATCTTTGCCAAGCCTCTTGAAGTAACCAGGTCAATCTGCATGTAGGTGGCCATGTTTCTGATTTGTACGGTCGGGGCCTTCCGATGGGCGCTGTTGGTGGCGTTGGAAACAAAGCTCGTGTTTAGATTGCTTCTTGGTGAGAGCCACCAGGTGTCGCAGATCGATCTTCAACGCTCGGACAGCGAAACCAAAGACTGGACAGGTCCTCAAGACTCCTTTGCTAATATTCACCTGGAACTAGAAACATATGAATAGACACCAGTAGTATTAATTAATTAACCGTTTAAAGACAGACAATACAGGGACACTTTTGCTATCTACAGGAAGCGACTTGGGGACTCTTAACCCGTAGAATGTTAAAAAAAAAGCGTTGTTCGCCAACATTACCAACGCCAAACTCCGCTTGGATAAGAGACAAACTATAAGCAACAAGCTACTGAGATGAATCCGAACTTGGATGTTTCGCCGATAACGTACCATCAGCCTTTGACGGCTGATCCTTTGGCGGTTCCGCAGTAGGAGCCCCCGGGGATTTCTTGACAAGAGAACTGATTATGGCGGACCGCGTTTGCTTCTGCAGCACCTTCTTTCGCAGCGAAACAGCTGGCAACTTTTGTCTCTGACGTGCCGATAGCGTAGGATCGATTTCAACCGGTCGCTCTACGACTGGCACTAGCTCTGGCGCAGGCACGACCGGTTTTGCAGGTGCCTGCTTCTGTGGTTGGGTCTTGGGTTTGGACGGACCAGCAACAGCTGGTGGATTTGGTGGTTGGCTCGATGTGAAATGAGCAGCCTGAGCTGGACCAGTTGCTTTTGGCTTTGACTGGCTCTGTGAACTCGAAGGACCAGTTTGGTGCGGTTGGTTTTGTAGCTGGTTCTGCGGAAGGGTAGGGTCAATCTCGGGGACGGGATATGCCGTTGGTAGTAATGCTCGGTTACCCGGATCTTCTTCGTCATCTGGATCTCTTTGTACGATAACGCGTCTCCTTATTGAAGCTGATTTGTCTTTGATTTCACCAATGGCGTCTGAGCCAATGATTGCTGATGGGTGATGGGCAACCGCCACTGTTGTTACATCCCCCATTAGTTCTCGTATAGCTTGTCGCATTATGACACAGTCGCCATGGCTGACTTTACTCGTAATATCATCGATGAGTGTAATTTTGGTTTGGCGTAAGAAGAATGCCGTGAGCGATTGGGCAAGCGAAAATCGATGCTGTTGTTCCGTCGACATAGACACCTTGGCGATATCCACATCCAGGCCACCGGCACCTTTGATTATGTCGAGCAGCCCTAGCCGGTAAAGGATCCGTTCCATCATGAAGGTATACGCTTTTACCTCCTCAACTTGTCCTTCTTCGCCATCTTCAACAGGTTGTAAACTAACCTCTGCCGGGTGGAAAAATTCGTCCGGAATAAGATTTTGTCGTACACTGCCTGGAAAAATGATAACCTCCTGAGGTACAACTGTTATTTGTTGGGCGAGCTTGTCTCGTGGGATGGTCCGTACTTCCACGCCGTCAATAGTGATTGAACCTGTATATGGTAATTCGTTCATGACTGTCAAGAGCAACGCTGTTTTACCACTATACAACATTTATAAGCGATTTGGGTAAAACGACATGGGTGTGTGTGACTTACGTTTGAGGGCGCCCAAGTAGCCCAACTTCACTTGCATCGTGCATTATGAGGGTAATATTTTCAAGAACGGGAGGTTCGTTCCGGCTATTAAACATTAGCGATGCTGGCTGTTAAAACTGGCGAATTGCCAAACTTACTTGTACCATATGGTAACATCTTTGAGTTCAATTAAACCGGCCGTTGGCCAGTTCTCAGGAACCACAACCTCTTGCGTTACTACTTCATCAGGGATCATTTGGATGATTTGTCTCATCTCTTCTAATGTTGTTCTCCCATCATCCATACGAAACCAGGCGGCAAAACATGCCTTTAGCTCTGGTTGTATATAGAGGCAACCAACGAAGGCGCTTCCAACAATAGCAGGAGATGTGTCAGTTCCGAGAACAGCATTCAGAAACAGGGCCACAATTATGGCCACCAAGCCGTCAACCACAACATCCAGGCTCTGATCCAGAGAGTTCTTGTAGTAGAATACCCTTTGCTGCCGGTTGATGGCACCGAGGATACTAGTTAGATACCCAGCTTTCCACTGGAAAGCATGGACATATCCAGTTCCCGCTGCAGCTTCGGCAAAGTGAGCCTGGAGAGATGCTTTTGAAGCGAGCTGCATGTGATGCAACTGGGTTGAAGTCGGGTAATAAATCTGTTTTACAAGATATGCGACAATGCCTATAACCGGCAGAGCATAAATGACAGAATAATTAGCCCACACTAAAAGTATACATACGACAGCGATTAATGCAAGACCTGCAGGTAGGTGAGTTAGTTGAGGGTCTTAGTATATGGAAGGGGATGCCATCGGGCCTCACGATAACAGCTTTGAAATATCCCGTGAGATAAATCGGTCGTTAGGACACGCATGCCTTCATTAAACCTAACTACATGTTAGCAAATAGCGTGGAAGTTGGTGTTTCACTATTCTCACAATCGGACTGTCTTGTTCAATTTGGCTGGGGTTAGAAAGATTAGGTGTGAACTTGGCCAAGTTAGCATATCACTAACTATATTGATAATGGAGGACATGTCATCGACGTACCGGGAGACAGCGTTCAGCAGGTCGCTATATAGCTCTTTTGCAACCTTCGCAGCGATTAAAACATAAAAGTGACTACGGTCGATTAGCACTGGAGATAAAACCTTGAAGCAGACAATGCTCACTATCCCGCAAGTGCTAAAATTGGTCCATATAATAGTGCACAAGCTGCAGTGACTACTATAATCAGGCGGGTTGGGTCTGTAGAGTAGTATCCCAATGAGGCAATGAGTTCTAACAGAGCTTGGTTAGCTTCGTTGCAAATACTGCAAGCAATCGTGGTACCATACGGAACGAGAATTCTGCCACTGCTAGTAGAGCAACAATAATACCGAATCTGAACACGACGAATCGATCCACGTAACCAAAGTAGAATGTTAAGGGAGCTTTGTCTAGTGTTTGGTCTGTATCCAATAGCTGAGACAATTGCACATTGGCTTCCTTGGGAAGGGCTTTGTGATGAACTTTCACCGCATCTTGGTCAACAATCTCGGGATACCCCATTGAGAGCTCGCGGAGGCGCTTTGCCTCTAAGATGATGTGGTCTCGATTTGCCCAAGATAGAGAACCGTTGTTATCAAGAGTAAAGAAACGATTTGCGATATTACAAAATGGCGCTATATCCAACCATTAGACGAAAACCCCTGCAAGTGAGGTAATACATACCTGGGTCCGTTGCTGTGATAACAACGGTCGTCCTTTTAACGAGCAGACCTCTGTGGCCAAAGAGTCGGTTCAATATGTATTCCACAGAAAATCGATCGATTGCTGCAAACGCGTCATCTAGAACCAGCAGTGCAGGCTGTGAGTAGATAGCCCTCGCGAGTGCCTAGCTTAATTAGTTGCAAATCAAACTAGCAATCCAAGTATACTCACAATCTTCTGGCACTGCGCTTCAGTTAACTGCAAGCCACCATATCCAATAATATAGCTGTCATTACCAGGATATCGCTCAATATCTTGGCTTAAATCACAGGCGCGTAAAACCTTTCTATACCAGTCTTCATCGAATCTTCCTGGTCCAATAATATTACTTTTAATGGATCGGTGCTGCAGCCAGCTTTTTTGTCCACAAAATCCAATCGATTTGGTCGCAATATGTATGTTACCGCTCACGACATGAGGAGGACGAATTAGGCTCTTAGCGAATGTTGTTTTACCCGTTGCGGCTTTTCCGGTAATGATTGTAATAGTGTCGAAATCAATCGTCAAATCGATATTTTTGAGGATTGCTGGAGCGTTGCTCTTTGGTGCTACAAAGGCCTGTCGGAATTGAATCATGGAAGCTTTCGTTACTACCTTGCTTTTGGTCGCTCGGGCTGTAGAGTTTTCCGCCTGGGTGTTGAGAAATTTGGTAATACTAGACAGGCAGTCCAAAGCTCTATTGCAGTGCCAGTAGCTAGCTACGGCGAAGTCATATGAGAGTGACGTGATGACAAGTAGAGCGAAGCATTTCAAAACGTTGGCAAGTTTTGACTCAGCATCGCCAGATGGTGATGTAGACTGCGCATACAGAGACATTACTTGAGCAAAGATAGTACATGAACCAGCTGCAATTCGTTAGCATGAGTTACACACATGGTATTAACAACTTACTAATAGTGAACCGATACGATTGTTGGGTTTGGAATTCTGTATATACTTCCAATTCTGCGTCTCGCATTTCATTTAGGATCTTATGGAGCACCGCACCTCGCTCCGTCATCTTAATCTCTTTAATTTTGTATAAAGAATTGTTGACTTGGTCTTCGCGGGTTTGTCGCTTCTCTTCGAGATCCTTTTGCAGGCTGGGAAGCTTTACAGTAGGAATATTTGCCAACTTCGAGGCCCCTATGTTAAGCGTCGATTGTAAGTATCATGTGACAAATGCTGTTTGAGGAGTAGCATACCAACTAGTACTATACACGGGATGAGCGTTACCAATCCCATATATGGCCACAGCATTATCAGTGGAACGACCGCCTCGATGCCATAAAATACGGCGTCTTGAAAGAAGCGGATGAGCTGCATTGCCTCCGGAATGTCACCAGTAACGATCGAAAAGGACACAGATTCGTTGATATCTTCGTCATATAAATCAAGAAGTTTTGCGAAAACACTACCGAAAAGTGCTCCCTGCAGAATAGTAGTGACACGAGTCTGATAATATAAGGCGCATCCGTTAAATACCTGTGCAAATGTCAGCGGAAGATCATTATCACTGGATAAATCACCATCAGCCACTACTTACCGCGAGGGCGGAGAAAAGAGCAAATGTAATAGAGATTAGTGTGTTTTTACTCCAGTAGCTCGCATCTGATGTGGAGTCTTTGAAGCTTGAGCTCTGAAGCATAATCACTTGTTGTGCGAGGCAAGGGATATAAAGCTTTCCGGCCGTTACAATTGACTTTGCGATAGTAGAAAGAATAATCTCTTTCCAATTGAGGACTGCGCAAGCCTTGGCTAGGCCGCCACGAGGCAAGCATCGGTCTATAATTTATCAGCATACCATTGTGTATATTGTTACCGTATTGGTTACTTACATCGTAGCCAAAGTTCTTCAAACTGAGGCAACACCCTACGCGTAAGTAGATCAGGAGGCAGCCCGTTCAAGTCGGAGACTTGAAGAGCGCCCCAAAACCCCTTGAATAGTGTTGGGTAGAGCCATATCGCAGTGCTACGGCCGACTATACCAAATGTTGACTGCAGCCCAACAATATTCTTTCGATGCCGAGGCACCAAGTGCCATTTTGGGATTTCGTGAAGAATTAGAAGGCAAAAATGGCCAATCGCAACAACGGTTGGCAAGTCTGGTGCTGGTAGTGGTTCCATCCACCACTGTGCGCCGTGGATGGCAATAGAAAATGCAAGATAAACACTTAGCACAAACGATGGCTGAATAGTGTAGACATGGGAGAGGTATAAAAGCCAAATTAAACACCCGGACTCTAGGCAGGCGATTGCTTGAGGATCGGCGTCATAGTAGGGCCAGCGCCGGAGCAGATGGTTTTTGGTGTAGTCGTAGATGCAGCAGCCGGATAGCAATGAAGAAATAAGCTAGTAAAGCTATTAGAAGCAACGTCTAGTATGTATTAAACAATAACTTACTAATTTTGCCCATAGTAGTATATCGAGCTTTCCTTTTAGGCGATGTTGGCTCAACCAGAAACTGACGGACAGAATTGGCGCGATCGCAAGTAGTGACACTTGGACTGATGTAGCGAGAACTGCAGGGTTGAAAAACGTAGTAAGGCGAAACCGCAGCACGGCGCGCGCATTACTGATATCAGCGAGCGCCGCGACGACCAGGAACATCATGCTTAGTGCTGTATTGTGTTGTGTTGGTTAGTATGTAACTGGGGCTGAAAGTGGCAAGTTTCTGGGGCCGCTCTGCTATTTGGGCTGCGCTCATTTAAGCGCCAGGCGGAGTGGACCTCCACCTACTGTAGTGATTGTCCCGCGTCCACGAACGCGCAGCCTTGAGTTCGAAGCCATCGCTAAGACGAGGCTCCGTCTGCTCTTTTATTTAATCTAGCCACCGATTAGAAATATACAAGTTCGATTGACCGACAAAGGAGCTCTATGTCAAGATAAAAAGAAAAAGGCTATGAAACTGGTATACAACAAATGCTATGAAGACCCTAGTGATGAAAAAATGGTGTACCGTCTAGATCGTACAATTCAAATGAAAATGCAAGCGGCGACTCCAAACCCCCCAAAAGCAAAGGCTGGTCGGTGGATTTCGGTACAGATGACCTCCATCCACATGCTTTTCGCGCCTCGATATTAAGCAGCGCATTGTTCGGATCGCTCTTACGCCCAGGAACCACCTCGGTCAGCTTCCTGTTCGCTTCTCTTCGCCCAGGAGCCACCTCGGTCGGCTTGTTGCTCGCTTCGTTTGTTTCCCCAGGAGCCACCTCCGTCAGCTTGCTGTTCGCCTCTCTTCAATGCCCAAGAGCCTCCGCCGTCGATGTGTTGTTCACCGCGTGGCACTAATCAACAGTTTAGCGGTTATACACCGTTTATGAGACTTAAAACATACCAGCAACAGCATGCGCGACGCCGGAAACAGCCGCAAGTATCGTAAATAGAGTTGTGACTTGCATATTTGCGTGGATGTGATACCACCAAAACGAAAGCTTAATGTGTGTGGGGGTGGGAGACGATTATGTACCCAACTGCCGACAGCGCTGAACTCTCCGAGCAGCCCCCCAAGCCACCGATGGCAAGGAAAAGACTTCCACGACTTCCACGAACGACCCACTAGCAAATCAAAAACTCAGCTACCCTTACGACCTCGCGCAGGCCGAGCCATGACACCACCACGGTTTTCAATCGCAAGAGAGAGTGTTTTATACCTATCGGGTCTGTTTTCAAATTATTAAGCTAATAATAAAAAATATATATGCAAATACATGCCTTTGTTTACCGGCTTTATGCCTTTGTCACTGTTGCCCCCTTTGCGTTTTTTTTTGTCGGCTAAAGCGACCGCTACTCAGGCGCATGACCTTGCGAGTCGTTGCGCCCACTTTTGCCCGCCAACGTGGCTAAAGGACGACCTGCAGCAGTTCGCCCCTGGGCTGGGTAATGGGTCGTTGCGTTGACCAGTCAGCGTCACGCTGACGCCGCCGTGCAAGCACCAAGTTCAGCGCACTTAAACGTCATTTTGAGCGAGGGCGTCACCCCAATGTAGACACTGCCAAGTGAGGAGTGGCCAATTTCGCTGACCTTTAATTATCGAATTGCTCAGCGGCCAGCCCCGAACACGGCGAAAAGCATGCCTTATATGACAAGGATGTCAACATTGGCGTAGCTAAATATAATTAACGCTTCAAAGTAACCCATCTCAAGAGAGAAACGATAAGTCATCATCCTCAGGGTCGAACGTTCCTTCATCCAAGACAAATCCTGTTTGCGCGACCGATCGCAGAGGAAGCCCAATGTCGGCCCAAAGCGACTCGGACCAAGCGTCTAGTTGACTGAGCGCAAGGACATTTTCAGAGTGGTGCACAAGGGTCGGCAGCAGATGCGACTGTACCCCTCGGATGCAACCCAAGGTCTTGACAATGTTTTGCAGCAGATCTTGTGGCCCTACCGCCATCGCTGTGGATGGATGACTGATAAGCGGGCTAATATCCACTAAACTCATCCCTATGTCGAACAGTTTCTGCTCCTAGAGGCTGTCAGGTTATAGTCTTTGGTACAAGGCGTGGTGGACTTACGATAGAGATGCCGTGGCAATCCTTAGAACGGTTGCTTACTGAGTTGAGCGCCGCCATAATGGACTTGCCAGCCTCAAACGGCAGCTCAAACCCAGCGGCTGGAGAGTCAAGCCTCTGCCCGGGAGAATTGCCATTTACAAGGCGCCACATGGCCACCCGCAGCCACTGTTGCGTAACAAGTGTGTCAAATTGTTGGCTTTCAAGTACCGAATGTAAGGGCTGCACAGCGCAGATGGCTGATGTGATGCTATCGTGCAGCGGAATCGCATGGCTTACAGTTCCGTCCTCCCCTGCATCCCAGTTATAGAGCTCGGCGTGGAGTGATTCAAACAGGCGAGTGTGGTTGACGAAGTCGTTCATAATGAGCGGTGTCGACGACCCTTTGACCCGTGGTTTTGGGACTCTTCCACGCAAGAGAATCGGTCTTCGCGTTTGAAGAGCGTACGTCCTAGTATTAACCCATTAGTAATGATCTCACGCGCGCGCATTTCCCACATACCGTTCAGAGATGTATAGTAGCCAGAATATTCGGCGTCTCATATCGACCTCGTCCATGGACAGCTTTGCCGTCGCCGCATCTTCTCTGTTTAGCCCAAGCATAATGGCTAGAGTAATTGCCTGACTCAGATAGAACCATGCTTTATTACCCTTTTCCAAATTTCCATTGGCGGTAAATAAGAAGAATCCCGCCACAATTGCGTCGAGGGTCATATTGTCAACGACATTGGCCTGCAAATGCGCCGCTTCGGCTGCAGCTAGCAGCTGTGGCCCCGATACGGGAGGTTGGTTTTGCAAACTTGGTAAAAGGTTTGTTTCTAGAGCCTTGTCTTGGTCAAGCTTGAGCTGGATGCGGGTTGTGGCCGCCAGCGACAATAGGACGGCGTACTTTGACACTGGCAGGCTGTCAAGGCTCGCCGCGTCCTGAAGAAGAACTGGACCATCTACCACTGGCAAGATGGGGAAAATGTATGACATGAACACATGGATATGGGCTGTAAGAATGGTGGACAAGCTCTCTAAACCCAGCGGAAACATAGACGCCGGTCCAAAGGAAAGCGGCGTATGGACCGGCGAGAGGCTAGAGAGGCCTGCATCGTCAAGGTTAAATGCAACACCAAGACCCAGAGAGTTGGTTTGTATATTAGAACCTCCAGGTTGTTGAAACGTGAAGACCGGATCTTCGTTGGTAATAATTGGGTGAGTGGCAAGGCCCTGTTTGATCAAGGTGAGCCGCTTTCCTTTGCCGCCTTTGGGGCCTCGTCGGCGAGGATTGTGAAGATAGCTGCAAGGAATATCATGAATGATACAACTATTACATGGATCTCCACGGTCACATTTTGTCTTTCTGAGCCTGCAATTGTCGCAGACCTGCTTAGTATTTGGGGTCATATGGTTGTCATTGCTGGCACTCAATTGCAATGTGCCAGGGCGGTAATGGCTGCAGCCTTGATATGTTAGCTTTTCCGCTGATTGATTGATAACGAAGGATGCATTGGACGGATGACATACGAGATATTACGGTTTTCGGAACAGCAGGGTTAAAAATACGACGAATAATGTAAGTCGGGCGATGGATTATTTGGCAGCGGGGCCCTTCTACTCATCGGCCGACTAATATTACCCGCTCGTTCCCACCCAGCCAGTTGTCGCGGTATTTTCTGGCGCCTTGGCTGAGGGCAGCATGTTGTGACTGTTTTGGCATGGAAAATAAAGAGAACAAGAAATCGGATTCGAAAATATTGAAAAATAAAATAAAATAATTGTTTTACAGAGTCGGGTACAGAAGCCAAGGCGATCCCATACAACTTAGAGAACCAAAGCCTACCAAATACCTGCTTCCCCAGGACAGGGCTGTGCCTGCAGTGGGCTCCCCGCGCTGTGTTTGTCGCTTCCTTGGTACCTGAGGTCGGCAGGGACCGGAACCACGTGACAACCTGTCTTACTGTACCGGCAGCGTTCGGCGACACCCTTCAACTTTATTTCCAAAGCTTCCCTAACCTCGCATCTGCTTCGTAGTCTTGCGTCCTATTGTTCTGAAAACAGCCAGGCTGGTTCAAGACAACTGTTATTCATCTCTTCCATTAATATACCCTTTTCTTCCAACTGTTGTCAATTGTCACAATGCTTTCCGCTACTCTCCGCTCTGTCGCCAGACAGGCTCCCCTCAGGGTTGCTGTTGGCCGTGCCGCTGCTTCCACCTGGGCCGGTGTTCCCCAAGGACCTCCTGTGAGTTGCCAATTGATTAAAAGAAGCTTTTTGTCAGTGAAGTGAGCTAATCTATTTGTTATTTAGGATGTAAGTAACGCCTAATGGATGACCGTGCGCGACGTTGTCAAGCTGCCATGTGCTAATTGCGACTATTTCGCTCTACCAACAGGCTATTCTCGGTACGTCGCTGACACGAATCATCTCATCTCAAAGAATATTTTATTAACACATTCCATCGCAGGTATCACTGAAGCTTTCAAGGCCGACACTTTCGACAAGAAGATTAACCTCGGTACGCTACGAAACATGCCACGATGCGCCGTACTACGACTAACAAGACACCAGGTGTCGGTGCTTACCGTGATGACCAGGGCAAGCCCTTTGTCCTGCCTTCCGTCCGCGCTGCTGAGCAGAAGGTTATCGACAGCAAGATGAACAAGGAGTACGCTGGAATCACTGGTGTCCCCGAGTTCCCTGCTCTCGCTGCCAAGCTCGCCTACGGCGCAAACTCCCCTGTCCTTGACCGTCTCGTCATCACCCAGACTCTCTCCGGTACTGGTGCTCTGCGCGTCGGCGCCGCCTTCCTCCAGAAGTTCTTCAACGGCGACAAGAAGATCTACATCCCCACCCCTTCGTGGGCCAACCACAAGGCCGTCTTCACCCAGGCTGGTCTCGAGGTTGAGCAGTACCGCTACTACAACAAGGACACCATTGGCCTTGACTTTGAGGGCATGGTTGCCGACATCAAAGCCGCCCCTAAGGGCAGCATCTTCCTCTTCCACGCCTGCGCCCACAACCCCACTGGTGTCGACCCCTCCGAGGCTCAGTGGCGCGAGATTGCCCAGGTCGTCAAGGCTCAGGGCCACTTCGCCTTCTTCGACATGGCCTACCAGGGCTTCGCCAGTGGCAGCACCGACAAGGATGCCTTTGCCGTCCGCCACTTCGTTGAGCAGGGCCAGCAGATTGCCCTCTGCCAGTCGTTCGCCAAGAACATGGGTCTCTACGGCGAGCGTGTTGGTGCCTTCTCCCTTGTCTGTGCCGACAAGGACGAGTGCAAGCGCGTCGACTCTCAGCTCAAGATCCTCATCCGCCCCATGTACTCCAACCCTCCCATCCACGGTGCCCGCATTGCCAGCGCCGTCCTCAGCGACCCCAAGCTCAACGAGCAGTGGCTCGGCGAGGTCAAGGACATGGCCGACCGCATCATCAAGATGCGCGCTCTCCTCAAGTCTAACCTTGAGAAGCTCGGCTCCAAGCACAACTGGGACCACATCACCAACCAGATCGGCATGTTCGCCTACACCGGCCTAACCCCCGAGGAGATGGACAAGCTCGCCAAGGAGCACTCTGTCTACGCTACCCGCGACGGCCGCATCTCTGTCGCTGGTATCACCTCCGACAATGTCGGCCGTCTCGCCGAGGCCATCTTCAAGGTTAAGGGTTAAATCAAATCAGCCCATATGTCCCTGTTGAGCGACTGCCCCTGGCGCCACATGCTGTATAGTCAAGACGAAACAAAAAGAGACGAAGCTAGGCTAGATCTGCGTTGTTGCATCACGCCAGCCATGTAATTTTATGGTAGAGAAGAAAACAAAACTGACCATGGTGGAAGTTTGTCTTCCACCACGGGAATCTAGAGCATTTAATAACAAAACAACACCGCCTGTCGCCGTGACGTGCATGCCGTAGATTAAATGCCAAAATGGGGGGTATCATATCAACGCTAATGTTTTATATCCCGACTACCGCGTAGCAAGCCTCGCCAAATCCCGCGTTACTTCATCCACCTGCTTATAGATATCCCTCCTCTCCTGTGCCAACTCCCTCATCATATCCGCCTTTTCGCCGCCTCCATCCGGCCCCACGCCGTACTGCTCCAAATTCTTCTGAACGTGGCGTACACGCTCCTGCGCTCGAAGCTTGGCATCTTGAAGATGCGTCATATAGTTTTCTAGTGCTGAATCCATCTCTGGCGAGTACATACGGCGGTGTATAGCATCCACAGCGCTGGCAGCATCAGCCTGTGTTTTGCGTGCGGCAAGAGCGACCTCCTGCGCACGAAGGTCTAGCGACTGCGCAATAGGGCCATGTTTAGCTTCAAGCCGCTCAATAAGGCGAGCAATCAGTTCGATTTGAAGATGTCCAAGCTCTATAAGTGTTTCCAGGGTCCGCATGCGCGCCTGGATAAGCGTTTGCTCGGTGGCGCTGCGATCACGCTGGATCCTCGCAAAGTGGGAGCCTATCGTTGGCGTTGTCCGCGATACAGCGGAGGATGTAGACCTCGGCGGGCGGGCAACGTGCGCTAGGTCTGTGGCCCAAGTCTGGAGGTAGGTAGAGAGAAGTGCCGCCAGGTCGGGTAGTAGAGAAGACAAGTTGGCGAGGGGAGGGTTGCTGAAGAGGAGGGCTTCGTCATCCTTGGTGAGAGAGCTCGACTTGTCAAGCAGCGGGGGCAGAATGGCGAGGAGGGTGGTAAATTCTGAAGAAGGCGCAGGTTGGTGGGAAGAAGGTATTTCGTCAGGAGATACAGTACCAACGGCTTGTGCTAGGATATCGTGCTTTACTTGTCTGAAGCGGTGCTCACTAAGTTCCTGCTATGATTAGGACCTTTGCCACATAGGAAAGCCAATACATTGACTTACTCGCTTGATACTTTCATGCTGCTGATTATCTTCATTCTTGTTCGTCCCATCGGGATTTAACATCTCCGTCGTGAGAGTCTTATACAGCTTCGCAAAGTCTGGGTTGTTCCTCAGAACATCTGGGTCTACCGCAGGGAACATGGCGATCGCGCAATCAGCAACAATAACCCTAATAACCTATCCGAAGAACAATCCAATTTTATTTTTCAACAAGAATAAAAAATGACCTGCAATCCCATAAATTGTTGTTGCAGTTCATTCGATTAATGTCAACAATGGATGCAGCAGCAACACACGCCATCACATGACGCCCTGTACCTGAACAGCCGCCCCCCAAAAGCGACCTGTGGGCCGGAATATCCAGCGCACCGAAACCACCTCCTGGCATCAAATTTCTTAGGCGCAAGAGCATCACCACGACCACCTTTCGACAAAATCCAACGACCGCCCTTACGCCCGCCGCACCTCGAACCTGCACCATTCTCCCAGGACCTCTCGATCAATCCCCGTCCAATAAACCACAAGCCCAATTTGACGACCGCCCGCCTCAGTAAGCCGGGTTCCCTCCCTGGCGCCATCATGAACCATCACACAATAGCGTGCTCACGCGCGCTCCTCGCCCGCACCCCGACACATCTTCTTGCGCAGCAAAGCGCCTCACCGCTGCGAGCCTTCTCTACAACATCCTCCCTCGCCACAAAATCCATCAAGACGCACCGCCTGCCCGCGCAATTCATCCCCCCTTACCCATACGGCGAGCGCCGCATCTTCAAGCAGTCGAACCGGGGCCTGTATGGCAATGCCCGCATCCGTTTTGGCAATGTCGTGGCTGAAAAGTACAAGAACAAGACCAGACGATACTGGCGCCCCAATGTCCACCGCAAGACCTTCTTCGTGCCGGCGCTCGGCGCAAACGTCAAGGTCCGTCTGACCCTGCGCGTGCTCAAGACGATCCGTCGCGAGGGCGGCCTGGACAACTACCTGCTCAAGTCGAAGACGGCACGCCTCAAGGAGCTGGGCCCAGGCGGATGGAACCTCCGCTGGCTGCTGATGCAGACGCGCGAGGTGCAGGAGCGATTCAACAAGGAGCGCGTGGCGCTGGGCCTTGAGCCCCGTCCCATTGAGGACAAGAGCGATATTGTTAGCCTGATGCTCGACTATGCCACCCCGGGTAACCTCAGCTTGAAGAGCAAGCATACAATTGCTGAGATGCAGTATGCGCTTTCCGGCGAGTTTGTCCTCGGTGACGAGGACCTTGCCGATGTGGAGGGCGTCGAGGAACTTTCTGATGAAGAGGAGGCTAGATTGATTGCCGAGTTGGAAAGCAATGGAGCGCTTGGTCTTGAAGACGGCGTCACAGAACCTGTCAAGACAAAGGAAACTACTGTATGAAGTTGATGGGGGTGAAGAAAAAAAGATGGATGCGAACGGAAGCATCCTCACTTGTACAACTCTTGTGTGTTTATAGATATGAATATTCTTTTCTCATTGTCTCTTTTTTTACATTAAAATGGCAAGATATGCTAGTAGCATAGGATATTTTCCTCCTGTATAGCCCCAGTAAACGCCGTCCCTGAATATGTCTTGTTCCCTTTTTTTTGTAATGGTTCTATTAGGTGCCGTCTTGATTTATGTCGGTTTTGATAGCTGGAGAGCTTTGTTTAGAAGCGCAAGTCCCAGCCGATTTGAGGGCCGAGTCTTGGTAGCTCCTCTGCGACGCTCTGTACGTCCTTATCACCTCTACCACTGACGCAGATGACAAGGTCCTCATCCTTCTTCATCGTCTTGGCAAGCTCAATGGCACCGTAGATGCCGTGGGCGCTTTCCAGCGCGGGGATGATACCCTCCAGCTGGCTCATCAGACGGAAACCTTCAAAGGCTTGCGCATCGGTAGCAGCAATGAACTGGGCACGGCCGCTGTCCTTCCAGGCACTGAGCTCGGGGCCGACACCAGGGTAGTCAAGGCCAGCAGAGACAGAGTGAGTCTCGATAATCTGGCCATGTTCATCCTGCAGAACGTAGGTGCGCACACCGTGCAAAATACCCTTGCTGCCACCAGTAAGTGTGGCGCTGTGCTTCTCAGTCTCGACACCGTCGCCACCGGCTTCAACACCAATGAGCTTGACGCTGAGGTCCTTGGAGAACGGGTAGAACATGCCGGTGGCGTTGCTGCCGCCGCCAACACAGGCGACAACGGCATCGGGGAGCTTGCCGCGCTTCTCCATCATCTGCTGCTTGGTCTCCTCACCAATCACAGACTGGAAAGTACGGACAATGGTAGGGAAAGGATGGGGACCAATGGCAGATCCGATGATGTAGTGGGTGGTGTCGAGGTCGACGACCCAAGAGCGGAGGGCCTCGTTGACAGCATCGCGGAGAGTCTTACTGCCAGCCTCGACAGCAACAACCTTGGCACCGAGAAGCTTCATGCGGAATACGTTAAGGGCCTGGCGACGGACATCCTCAGCGCCCATGAAGACAGTGCATTCCATACCGAACTTGGCACAGATGGTGGCAGTGGCCACACCGTGCTGGCCGGCACCGGTCTCGGCAATAATCTTGGTCTTGCCGAGACGCTTGGCCAGAAGAAGCTGTCCAATAGCGTTGTTGATCTTGTGGCTACCAGTGTGGTTCAAGTCTTCACGCTTGAGCCAGATGTTGGCACCACCAGCATGCTCAGTCAAGCGGTCAGCCTTGTGCAGGCGAGAGGGACGACCCATGTAGTCGTAGTAAGAGCGGTATTCCTCCCAGAATGCAGGGTCGTCCTTAATCTTGTTGAAGCCCTCCTCAAGCTCGGACAAGCAGTCCATCAGGGCCTCGGAGACGTACTGGCCACCATATTCGCCGAATCGGTCGGGGATCTTGCCATGGAGAGCGGAGAGCTGGGCAACCAAGGCAGTGTCTTGTGCCTCAGTGATGACAGCATCGACGGTAGGAGTCTTGCCTTCAATGCTGCTCGAGGTGTCAGCTTGAATGGAAGCGATGGAGCGACCGCAGAGTTCCGAGCAGTACGCTTCGACGGATGCAGCCTCCGCACCAGCGGCGGCCTTGCTAATGGTTGTGATGATCTGGCTACCAACAACAATACCATCCGAAATGGGAGCGAGGCTGGTGAAGTGCTCGTGAGTGCTGACACCGAAACCGACAGCCAGAGGAGTGTTGCCGCTGAATGTCTTGACACGCGTGAGGAGCTCGGGGATGCCGTTGCCGAGAGAGCCAGTGGCACCGGTGACACCCATTCGAGAAACAACATAGATGAAGGAGTCGGCGAGCTGGCAGAGAATCTTCATGCGGGCATCCGAGGTAGAGGGAGCGATGAGCGGGACGTAGGAGAGACCACCCTTGGTGCAGAACTTGCGGAAATCGACAGCCTCCTCGGGGGGTAGATCGACAACGATGAAGCCGTTGACACCGGCAGCCTTGCAGTCAGCGAGAAGACGCTCCTCTCCGTACTTGAAGAAAGGGTTATAGTAGCCCATGATGAGCACAGGGACATGCAAGCCCTTGCTGCGAGCCAACTTGATCATGTCGAGGGTGGAGGTCATGTTGACGCCATTCTCAAGCGCAACCTGCTATCAATTAGTAACACGTTGTTGTATAATCTCGCTCGGGGTCATTCATACAGTGTTGGCCTTTTGAATCGTAGGGCCGTCGGCAATGGGGTCGGTGAATGGAGCGCCGACTTCGATGACATCTGCAACTCTATTAGCCAAAGCCATTGGCACTTCAACTGTCATGGCACATACCGGCACCGCCTCTTTGAAGACCAAGGAGGATCTCAGGCGTCAAGTCCGTGCTGGGGAAACCAGCAGTGACGTATGTGACCAGCGCAGGCTAAACAATTTCGGCGTCAGTAAAGTGATACAAGCTACCCCGCCATATTCAAAGGACCGACGTACCCTGTTCTGGGCCTTGCAGCGCTGGAAGGTCTGCTTAATGGCTTCCATTGTGAATGAAAAAAGACTAGCGGCGTAGTCTTGGTGAAGCAGTTGTTTTAGATAGAAGAACCTACAGTATATCACGACAAGACAGCGTGGCACGCAGGAGCTATTTAACCCAAAAGGTGGGATGTCTTTTTTGTGGAGTTGTCGATTTTTGGTGGGCGAGGTGCCGCAGACGTGCAGGACGGAGTTCCGGAAGAATGCCCTCCGCTGGGCGCAGAGTGCTGCAAGAGGCGCTAGTCATGCAGGTCGTGCAGCGGGCTGGAGACGGACTTGCCGCTTTGGGTAAGTGACTCAGATGGTTGTGCATCAGTGGTACAGATGCCGGCGGTTCCTGCGATACGAAGAATGTGCTAAAAATATTGTATAAAATATATTCGTCTTCTTTAATGATGGCTATTTATTTCTATGACTCATAAATGTTATATCAGTGCTACCAGGGTGGGTGTACGGGACTATACTGCAGGTGGCGAGAATGGTGGTGACTGCATGCATATTTCAAACAATGGATAATAAATCATCGCAGGAAAACATGCGAAGAATTTATTCGTTTAGAAGTAGTATAATCATTTCCAAATTTTAAATTTTTAAAATTATATAAAAAGTTAGCAATTCCAGTGGTCTAGTCTTTTGTACAAAATTATCAGAAGATTGCTAGCGTAAATGCATGATTCGTTAAAAAGAACGTATACCCAAAACAATGAATCCTTATCAGATGAACTTGACTTTACTAAAAGGCCTGACCTTCATATCGCTTCTTCTTATCACTCGTGTAGACTGGCCGCGACCTCCCCGCGTAAGCTGCCTTTTCACCTCTGACCTCGCGTGTCGTCGATCTGGCTTCCTGCCCAGCATCAAACGCTAGCTGCTGAGATCTTGGGCTCAGAGGAGGACGATCCTCTCCCGTATATCTTATGCCACCCTCTGCTCGGCCGGCTTTCGGGTTAGCCATGCCAACCAGTGCTCGTACGACACCAATCAAGACAACGATGATGTAGACAAGCAGCACGCCAGTCGAAATGAGGGCTTCTTGAATAATGTTATTCTTGAGCCAGTTCACAACATGCAGCACAGCACCAGATACCTCATCAGTAGTGACGGATGAGGGTGAAGCGAGAAACGTGTTCATATCCCCGTCGCCAGAGATGGAGCTGTTGGCACCAGCGCTAAAGATGTCACCAGGCAGAGTAGGGAAGCTAACCTTGGCGTGATCGTGGACCCATGTAAGCCCCTTTTGGACGTTTTCAATCTTGATGCCAATGACACAGTGCAGGACGCCCTTGATGGGATCGAGCAGGATGGTGTTGCCGAAAACAGTGTTGAGGCCCTTGTCCATTTCCTTGAGGAACACGTTGAGAGTGTTGTTGACGGCATCGGTGGCGTTGCTAACATAGACCAGCACGTCTTTGTTAATGTCGTCGCTCATGCCGGTAATTACGTGGTTGGCATCGTTGGCCCAATCTTGCGAGACTTGCTTGAGACTGTTGACAACTTCACCAGCAAACGCGCCGACCTTGTCCTCAATCTCGGGGACTTCTTTCTGCACAACCTTGAGAAGAAGCCATTGGCAAAAGCACGAAAAGAGACCTGCAATAGCAAGAGACAGGACGAAAACGGCGGCAGGTGAAGTAGCATATGCGACGCACCAGCGGACTAGGATCGCTCGCTGACCGTTGAACTTGGAGGCCAGCTTGATGCCGGTACGTGCGGTCCATGGACGAGAAGCGATGTATACCGTATCCATAGGATCGTATTGGTTGTTTTGTACAACCTTGGCGAGCTTCTGCTGTCGGCGCCAACGGTGAATCTCCCAGATTGTCATGGGAACAATGGCAAGCACGGCAAGCAGGACGAGCACCACAATAAAGGTAATGCGAGCTGTGTGAATGATTTGGAAGAGCTTCGTGAAGAAGTCGTTGATGGTGTTATTATCCGAGCAAAAGGTGAGGCGCTTCTTTTGTGCCAAGGGGAAGATGTCCTTTCTGAAGCGGTAGTTGCCATAGGCATCCTTGAGGGCGTCGCGGGCAATGTTGAAGGGAAAGCTGACAGCCTCTTTGGTGAGGTTCTGGACTTGGTCAAAAGTTGGAATGTCCTTGTTGAGCTGCTGCACATCCTTGACGAAGTCGTCTGAGTTGAGGTCGAATTTCTTGAGGCTGTTGATTGGGCCGGAAAAGTCTACCTTGGGTACATCTGGCAGCAGGCTACCAAACACGCTCCCCTGGATCGCCTTGACGAGTTTGTTAATTCCGCCCTCGAGACCCTTGGAGATGCTGTCAATATCGCTGGCCGCCTTGTCAATGACATCGTTGAATTCCTTGGTTGCATCCTTGGTCACGGACGCGACCACGTCCAAGCTGCCATGGACCATGGCAGTGATGAGACAGGTATATGTTGCTGTGAGGAAGTTTATGAAGAAAATGATGATACCTTCGACACCCTGCATGATGAGATCCAGAATGTCTACCATGGCATGGACCGCTGTCTCGATGCCCTTGCCAGTCAGCTCATTGACACCGACGGACAAGTAGTGTGGCATGGACGCCATGGCGCTACCAACGTCCTCGACCTTGGAGCACGCTGACAGTGCTTGCGTCTTTGCATCGCCAACATTACTTGTCAGCTGAGCAATAAGGAGCACTAGTCTGACGAGGACAAGCAACAGCAGTACTGTCCATCTGTTGATCCATATCTGAGAGAGTCTCGAGCGGAGACTCAAGTACGGTGTAATAGACGGAGCCGTATCAGCTCGATTTATAAGTTCGGGAGAGGTGATGTTTCGGTATGGCTCTGCTCGCAGAGTTTCTGGGACGTTTGGATAGGCGTTCTTTTCGCCGCCTTTGTCTGAGAACATGGTGGCCGCCGAAGAAGGATAGAATGAGGGGAGCAGTTAGGTGGTAAATATGGTGTTGAAAAGAGCGAGGTGAAAAGCCAAGATTGCAAATTCGTGTAGTATATGGTATAATGTAGAACCAGCTACAAAATGTTGCTTGAAGCCGGTGAAGAGTCTCCTGGCGTCGTGATTGCGTCTAAGTTGGTGCAGACAAGCTCGCCCACCTGACGTCTGGCACTCGGAACGGTTTTGTTGAAAGAAGAACAGCGGCTATCTGCCAACAAAGACGAAACAAGAAATAATCTTGACAAAGTAAAAATAGAAGCGTTGTGAGCCTGCCGCCTGGCAGCTGCGGGCGCGAGACGGTTCACGCTCTTTGTTGCCTGCAAAATGGTTGGCTAGCAGGCAAGCGCTGCGTGTAAGCGCCGGCCCTGGCGACCTGCTTTGGGCGGTACGGGAGACTCACAGCCAATCAAGGGCAGTGGATCTCAGAGGCTGGGGCGGTTAACGCAAGATGAAGCGTTTCAAAGAACAATAACGACTCCTTTTTTTTGGTAATAATAATATTCGGAGTAATGAATAGGGGGATTTTGGTGGCCTATTGTTGCGGCGGGGACGACAATAGAGCTGCAGAGCGAATGCGTGAGCGTCTGCTTGGTATTGTCGCTGGGTGCGCAGCAGAAGGCTAGAGTTTGAACGAGGCGCTGTAAGGTGTACTGTACTGTTGTTGCACTAGAGTGCTATGCTGTTTTGTAGAACAGCAAAACCGAACAGTCCACGAAGATATCTGATGATAGAAATTGCAAAGGAATACAAATGAGGTATCTGATTGCTCAAAGAATAGAAATCCATCCCAAATCGTCACGCAGCACAGCGGCCTCCAACATCTTTAAGCCGTTGCTACACTCAGCAGGGATCCCATCCTCTCTGCCACCGCAAATCTTTACAAGCATGCCTCACAGCGCAGTGACAACAAGGTACAAACACCGTCACCTTGGTGCATAGTATCCCTCTGCTGTAGAATATACAGCAGTGTACCACAGCAAGAGTCAGTTGCTTCGAACTGTTTTTTTTTGTTCCCTGCTTTCCTCGCCACTTGCGTCCGGTCCACCAATCATTCCCTTGTATGATCCCAGCCGCCAGCCGCCCACCGGGCACTAAACAAGGGTTCTTTTAGCGTCCTGGCCCCCTGTAGCTCAGCTACCCGTCGCCTGAACAGCCACGCCGCCGCCGTTAGGCTTCACACAACAGGTCCAAAAACCGGTTTTTACTGCATTCTGCTTGTGCCCATGGGATAATAAAAAATACTATTGAATTGGCACAGCTACAACGTTGTATTAAGGTCTCGTGTAGGGTTATTTCCGCCACGTTGGAAACAAACGACTGCAGAACGATTAAACCTGCGATTCGCCACTATGACACAACTGCCGAGGTGGCCATGCAGGTAACACATCCTGGCTCTACGTCGTCGCTTGCCCTGGCCAGACGCCATTGTGCGTGTACAAGGCATTATGTATATTAGAAAAGCAATAAAATTAAAATGACGTATCTACTTGGAAAGACAAGTTTATTCCATCCTTGGCACCACGATCAACAACGTCTCGCCCTGTAGGGCTGATGACGCTCTATCAAGGGACTCCAGGGTATGTGATCTCTTGTCCACCTGTCACCCGCCGTGTCGTTCAGAGGTTGCAAAGACAACGTTATCATTAATAGTCGCAGCTAAAGTTCATGCCATGTTAACCAGAATACATGCTAGTAAAAACAGATAGCGAGGTAGCAGCTCACTGCTACGCCTGCCGGTGCTCTGATGCGCTTTTGACGCGGCAACTAATGCTTGGCCAGCACCAATCCATCAAACATCTGCATCCCAACCTGAGTCTGATTGCCATATCATCCCGTAGAGACAAAAATCGACCTGTAAAACAAAACATGCAATTCAGCTACCCATCTTAATATAACAAAGACCTTGAATTTCTATCGTCTGAATCATTGCCTGCCGAAAAGTAAAAGGAGACCGGAACGCCGGAAACATCACTCGCAAATTGACTGGTTCGTTGCCCCATCGGCATCTTTCATTCGCTGCCAAAGGTGTTCTCGCCAGAGTATGTGATGTAGAGGAAGCTAGAGAACCGTTAGCCATCGCACTCGCACCTCTGTGCAGTAAAACAGGATACATACCCGTCCTCGTCCTTGTGCTCCTCGTAAATAGAGCTCATGAGCGCGGCTGTTGGGGGCAAGACTTCGTCAACAAAGATGAAGATGGCCTTCTCAGGCGACAACTTGATGCGCTTGCGGATGACGTAGACAAACTGGCCGACCGTCAAATCCGAGGGCACAAGGTACTTCTTCTTGTCGATGGTGGCGATGTCGCTCTTCTCGACCTTTTCGCAAATAACCTGGAGGACCGCGTTAGTTTTCCATCGTCCTAATTTCACAGCAGCTCCGTTGGCTCTAGCCAAAATAGCGCATAAATCCAGCGCTTTTTTGTCCAGGATACCTGCGTTTTTACCGCTTGATCTGGGTTGCAAACTTACGGGAATGCGGTCCGCATACTTCTGTCGGATTCGCTCGGCCTCGGCCTTGCGCTTCTCGAAGGGGTGCTCGTCCTTGAACTTGCTGCGCATATTGGGCTAATGTGTGTTGTGGTTTTGTAGGAAGAGAGTTTCTGAGGGTTGCAGGATAAGAAAAGGAAAAAAGAACACGGGTTAAAGCAGCAGAAGGTTCAAGGTTCAGTGATTCGTAAGGACGCAAGGCGGTAAGGTAGGCAGCAGCTGCGGAGCCCAAGCACGAAAGAGGGGAGCGGCCAGTGACGAGGCGGTGGCAGGCAGCGCAGGCACGAGACGCGGGGCTCCAGCGCTAACGCCGCTTTTGGGTGCGCAGCTCCCTTGTGTGAATCACTGGCGGCGCTGCGCTCAGGTGACGTCGTCAGCTAAAGACGAATGCGCCTAGTCAACAGGCTCACTTCACTGGCTGGGCCTTTCTGCTGACCTAACAATGGCTCATCATGGAGGCGAAGAGGCAATTCGGGTTTGCGTCAGCGCTCGCGTGGTAAGCTGTGGCTGTCTGTCTCTGCGTGAGTGTTTCTTCACTTTTGGGTTTGCAAAGTGTCACCAAATGAACGTGTCACAGTGCAGCGACCGCTTCATTGCATTTATCATGGGTCCGGTCTCGCACTATAACTCATTTTCTTTTCTTTTAATTGGCTGCAGTGCAATCATCTTCTGTCTCTGTTGCTGATTGAGAGAACGCCCGCAACGTCGTACCATAGCCGGGCGTACAGTTTCGCGTTTACGAATTGGTACTGGGTTCGCACCTGGCAGGCCGACAAGGTTGCCAGCTGCCATTCAAGTCGCCCCCCCGCAATGCATTGGTAAACACTGGCACCACTAATATTCCTTCCTTCCACAAGGTGAATCATCAGCTTTTAATAATAAACTTTGCCCATCGCGCCCCTGAATCAAACAAAGGAATACAACTAAGAGCCGCCCACGTAACTGTGCTTTAGCCTTCCCGACAGTGCTGTACCCAGTCATACTGCGCACCACATAGGAATGCCATTAGCTAAACTGCAAGTTGGCCGACATGTACGCCAACCCTTCCAAAGCACGCTGTATTTAAGAGCAACTTGGTTACCAACAGCAAAGAAGTTTCGCTTTCGTCCAATCTCATTGCCGTTTCCCCCACCATGCTCTTAAAATAAACTAGTAAACTCGGCCGGCAAGGATCCGAACTTGGGAGGTGGCAATGGCTGATGAACCACTACACCAGTGAAGTACATGTCCGAGGTCCACGCAACGCATATGTATACAACCCTCCTTTACTGCTTGCAGCCAAGCTCAAAGTCGACCTCGCCAGAATTCAAGCCCTCGCTTCATTAGGAAGGACGCAATGACCAAGTGCGGGGTATATCGTTCTCTCCATATCCTGGTTACTATGTATACATGTTATGGTCCGATGGAACCGATTGAGGATGCAGCGGCTTCTTCTGGCGGGGGTAAGTCGAGCTGCCCCTTTGTACGAACGATTTGCAAAGAGCTTACCCAGAATTCAAGCTTATTGGCATGGTACCTGGTAGCCACAATTTGGTGCTCATGGCTGGTAGACTCATGCACTTGAGCTGCATATTGTAACCTTCCATGTTATGCTTAGCGTTGTGCTCTTACAATCCTACCAGGATAATCCTACCAGGATAAACCTGGGATAAGAGATACAAATGGAAATATTTATAGATCCCAAGTGCCCTCCCCCGGAGGTGCGGAAAAGGGGACGATACATGCCCACGTGGGCCTGCTTCTATTTCTACTTCTTGATCATTCATTGATAATCTGGCTACTATGAAGATTGCAGCTATCTTCCTCAGTGCCTTTGTGACCGCTGCTCTGGGTGTACCCATGGGTACATCCGTGGTCCATGAGAAACGGTCACAGCTACCCTCTCACCTCTCTAAGCGCTCCGCCGAGTCTGATGTGGTTGTGCCTGTTCGCATTGCCTTAAAGCAACGTAACCTTGATAAAGGAATGGACTTGATCATGGATGTGTAAGTGGCTTTGCAATGGTTATTAGCCCCCCCATGTTGGTCAAATCAATGTTAACACTTCGTCAGCTCGGACCCTGAATCCAAGAACTCCGGCAAGCACTATACTCAAGAGCAGATTGTTGAACTGTTCAAGCCTAGCGAGGACTATGTTAATACAGTTCGCGACTGGCTGGTCAAGGCGGGTATTCCTGCTGATCAAATCACACTGCCAAATAGCCAAAGCTGCCTGGGTTTCCACACTACAGTTCGGCAGCTTTCCAAGATGCTTAACACTGAGTACAACTTCTATGTTGACAGCGAAACCGACAACGAGCATTTTGGCACGGAGCAGTACGCACTCCCTGCTACAATTGCGGATCATGCCGACTTCATCACCCCTGGTGCCTCGGCAATGAGAGTGCGAGGCAAGAGATCTAGCCCCCGTCGCAAGATGCCGCTCCGCGCGCCTCCTACAAACTGCGCTAGTTTGTACAAAGACTTGAAGCAAGTCGTATATGTAATGAGTTAATATGTATAATAGCTGCACCTCCTGGCTGTGATACCTGGGTTACTCCAGCCTGCATCAAACAACTCTACAACATCGCCACTCCGACCTCTGCCGACCCTTCCAACCGGCTTGGCATCTATGAGTCAGACGATGAGATGTATATGCAGTCTGACCTCGACCGGTTCTTCCTGAACTGGGCCAAGGACGTGCCCACGGGTACAGCCCCAAAAGTTGATCTTATGAACTATGGAAAGGCCGGGCCAGATGGCCAAAAAGCCGACGGCGAAGCCGCACTGGATTTTGAGATTGCAATCCCTCTCATCTATCCCCAAGGCACCGAGCTTTACCAGTCTCATGACAATTTCGCCTACCAACCTGTCCCTGAAGGATAACCCGCCTCGAAACTAACCGGGCTCTTTAACGTGTTCCTTGATGCCATTGACGGCTCGTACTGTACTTACCAGGGTGGTGATGACCAGGAAGTGGACGGCAAAACTCCCAACCAGATGTGCGGCACATTCAAGCCCACAAATGCCATTTCTGTTTCCTACGGGTTGGCAGAGAAGTTGTACTCGGCCAGCTATCTCAAGGTACATTAGCAGGAGCGAATCATTCCTCCTTGTTACCTACAGTGTCAAAGCTAACTGACTTTCCATAGCGCCAATGTGATGAGTTTATGAAGCTTGGTCTTCAGGGGACAACCGTTGTTGTTGCAAGTGGCGACGCTGGTGTTGCCGGTAGACACGGCGATGGCTGCATTAACGGCGGTTCTGATCGCCACCACCACAATACTGTCTTCAACCCGGCCATGCCCGCCTCTTGCCCCTACGTCACATCTGTTGGCTCTACCATCATCCCTCCGGCAAGATTGGTGACCCTGAGATTGCTACCACCCGATTCTCTTCCGGTGGCGGGTTCAGTAACACCTTTGTTGCACCTGACTACCAGAAGAGTGCTGTCGAGCAGTAAGTCTTACCCGTTGAACCTCTGCCTCCGAGGACTCGTCTAATCCCGCTGCAGCTTCTTTGCCAAGCATGACCCTGGATATGCTAGCTTCAACATCAGCGACAATGTTATCCCCGTCCCAACTGAAGGCGTGTACAACCGCATTGGCCGTGGATTTCCTGATGTTGCTGCCCTCGGCGATAATGCCGTTATTGTATTTAAGGGCGGCGTTAGGCAAATTGGCGGCAAGTCCATGTCGGCCCCTATCTTTGCCTCCATCATGAATCTCATCAACGAAGAGCGTATCAAGAAGGGTAAGCGATCCATTGGTTTCGCCAACCCCGCCTTGTACAAGAACACTTCCATGTTCAACGACGTTGTCGTTGGCGACCAACTCGGTACTGAAGGATCTTGCCACCGCAAGGGATTTTCCACCGCAGAGAGTTGGGACCCCGTTACTGGTCTTGGAACGCCGAGATACCCCGATATGCTGGCATACTTCTTGTCTCTTCCATAATTAGACGTGTAAGTGCTTTCGTTTTGTGTCGTTCTGTTTCCTAGCCTCCGGATGTCCTGGGGGTTTCTGCGTGTGTTTGGAAACAACTAAGAGTGAAAATTGAGAAAACAAAAACATGAAAGAGTACAACTTGCAGCCTGTAAATTTGTTATTTAGTTTAGCTATCTAAATAAATGTACATACTCAATACACTGTCCCCTTGACAAATAGTAACGTGCCTTGCACAGATCCGCAATCCGCACTGTAGGTACGCGCCTATAATACTGTGCCGCACGCGCTCTTGATCCCTGTTGCACCGTGCCCACACACCGCCGCACAGTACACTCACGGATACACCAGCTGCCGGTGCTACGGGAGGTCCCGAACTTTCCCCGCCGTGTGGCATGACTTTGACATAAATGGCCCGACAATATAGTTGGACCTTGATTAAAACGACCAATTGGCTTTCGGCGTGTGTCTGCTTGCATCTGCTTTTATAGCCTCCGCCACTCAAACCCGTTTCTAGACCCACGACGTATTTAACCCGACACTCCAGCACTTCGGCTTACCAACGCTCGTCGTCACTCCCATCGCCAAGTCGCAACAATGTCCGCTGTCGGCCGTAATGGCAAGCTCATGGCCTCGCTGCGCCAGGGAGCTTCCCCTATGCGCCGATTGAAGCTCAGCAATAGATCCGCGAGCTTCTCCAGCTCTGCCCAGTCCTCCAAGAGCAGTCGCTCGTCGACTCCCCTCTGGCTGGCCGCCGGCCTAGGTGTCACAGCTCCTCTTGCCTACACGCTCCTCAACTCGGTACGTCGGCATCCTGTAGGCTCAATTGCACGCTCTCCTCATACACTAACACTACTCAAAGAACTCCAACGACGCCGTCAAGCTCGACACATCCTCGCTCGCCGAAAAAGATGCACAGAAGAAGCGCGAGGGCGCCGTGGGCGACGACTCGCCGATGCGCCTGCGCATGGAAAAGTTCATCAAGGAGCAGCAGCAAATCATTGTCAAGGAGCTGGAGAAGGTGGACGGTGGCAAGTTCCGCAAGGACGAGTGGTCGCGCCCCAACGGCGGCGGCGGCATCACCTGCGTGCTCCAGGACGGCAAGGTGTTTGAAAAGGCCGGCGTTGGAATCAGCGTAGTCTACGGCTCGCTGCCCAAGCCTGCCATTGCCAAGATGCGCGCCAACCACAAGAACCTGGACCCCAACGTCGAGTCGCTCGACTTCTTTGCTGCCGGCCTGTCCATGGTGCTGCACCCGCACAACCCCATGGCGCCCACGGTGCACCTCAACTACCGCTACTTTGAGACGGCCAACCCCGACGGCACCTCGCAGGCGTGGTGGTTTGGCGGCGGCAGCGATCTGACGCCGTCATACCTGTTTGACGAGGACGCCATCCACTTCCACAAGACGCTCAAGGACGCCTGCGACTCCCACGACAAGACGTACTTCCCACGCTTCAAGAAATGGTGCGACGAATACTTTAGCAACAAGCACCGTGGCGAGTGCCGCGGCGTAGGCGGCATCTTCTTCGACGACCTTGACGACTCGGAGCGCGATCAGGACAATACCTTTGCTTTTATCCAGGACTGCCTCAAGTCCTTCTTGCCCTCGTATATGCCCATTCTCGAGCGCCGCAAGGACATGCCCTTCACCAAGGAAGAGAAGGAGTGGCAGCAGATCCGCCGTGGCAAGTATGTCGAGTTCAATCTCGTCCATGACCGCGGCACTGCCTTTGGCCTGAACACACCGGGCTCCCGCGTCGAGAGTATCCTCATGAGCTTGCCTCTTACCGCCACATGGAAGTACATGCACGAGCCGGCGCCCAAGAGTCGTGAGCAGAGGCTCGTCGATGTGTTAAGAGAGCCCAAGGAATGGGTATAAAATTTGTAGATTTACTACCGAGCTTTCTTCTTCTACTCCCTGTATTTTAAAAGAAAAAAATGAATCAGATGTATCATTACACAATTTTACAAATAAAACATAAAATAAAATAAATAAATCACACACTCACGGCCACATCTCTTAGCCAACCAAGGTAGATGGTGGTGTTGCGAACTCCACAGCGCATCGTGAACTTTCTTTGTCACATCATCAACCATTAGGATTGCCCATCATAGCCAGCGACACCTACGAAATGGGCTCTTGAAGCCGGGGATCAAAGGAGACGAAATGACAAATCCTTTACAATCCCAGCGTCAAATCATCACTCAAATCACGAATGGTCTTGCGGATCTAGACCCCGCGGATAGAAATGACCCCGCGCGCCTCGCTCTGCGCCGCAAGCTGCTCCTTACGCTCCACGTATTGTTTCCGACGCAATTGCTACCAGCGCTCGATCTTCTAGACCGCGGCCTCTTGACGAAGATTTCTCTGCGACGTGATGATGCCGAAAAGACGAAAATGATCTCTCCGCAGGCGTACATCGTCAAGTCGGCCGTCGTGAAGCCGCGATACGCAAAGAGTACCAATACGCAGTCCCAGACAACATATCTCGTGCAGCTGCACGCGTGGAATTGCTCCTGCGCTGGCTTTGCCTACGAGGCGTATGGTATGGACGCAGAGACGGCTCTGGAAACGGACCGAGTTGCTGCGGCGGATGCAGAGGCAGTGTTTGGCGGCGTCTCATCAGTGAGCATAGCATCTTCTGGAGAGATACTGCCATGCTGCAAGCATCTCTTGGCTTGCTTGCTAGCTGAAAAGTGGCAGAAAGTGTTGGTGAACAATGTTGAGGAGCGAACCTGTGCTAGAGAAGAATACGCTACGTTTATAGCATGTATATAGACACGTTACAATGGATCATTAAAAAGGTATTTGTTTATTCTCTTTTTTGTGTGTTCTACATGCTCCCCCGGCATGATGTCTATTTCGTCTTGTCCTTGGCCTCCTTGTCCTTGTCACCCTCCTTGGCTTCAGGTGCGGCATCCTTGGTTGTGTCCTTGGCCTCTTCCTTTTCGCTTTCCTCCTTCTTGTCTTCGGCCTGCTGTCTGTTCTGGATCTTGTTCTCGATGAGATCGTGGAACGCAGTGATTGCTCTAATCAAACTGCTCAGGTAGATGGTCATGAGCTGATCGTTTGTCTTGATGCTCATTGCGTGCGCAAGTTCGCCAGTGCCAGTCTTGCTGTCGCCCTCGGCCGTCGATAAGTTGGGCAGCAAGTTGAAGACGTCTTGGAGGTTGCCCAGAATGGCGTGGTTGACAGGCAGCTGACCGTCAAGAACCTTTTGCAGGTATGCACCAATGTCCCGCAGGCGCAGGTGCAGTCCTTGTAGAGACTGCAACTGATTTGTAACTCGTGTGGACAATGTGCCGACAGCGACGTCGCGGATGTCTCGTAGCAGGTGCTCGACACCAATTTCCTCTGCTTCTTCGGCCTCGATAATTGACGGTGTGTGAACGAATGTGCGGGATGTGGTAGTTCCGTCCTGTGATAATAGGTTAGCAATTGCTGTTTAACAAGCATCAAGCCATTGGCGGCGCAACTGACATCTTTAATCTCCTCCACGGCAAAGTACGCGTCCGTGGGCACGCCAGACTCCTTAGGCTGGACATCGATAATAACGAGCAGCGGGTTAGGTGTGTAGCGCTTGAAAAGTTCGTTGATTTGCAAGTCAGATGCCCGCAGCTTAGGACCAGAGTGGTACCAGCCAATGAGCTTCTCTTTGGCGTTGACCTTTTTGAACATCTCAATCATCGACTCGACGTAGTTGTGGTCAAGGAACCACACGGAGGGGTCCTTGTCGTCTTCCTCAAATGGAACTATAAGGGAAGTTAGCTTTCAATTATCCAGGTCTGCGCATGGTTTCGGCTATCAATCATACCAGCAAAGCTGTTTGATACTCTGACATCGTTGGTATCGTTCTGACCAAGCAGCACACCGACGACTCTTCTCTTTGACTTATTCTGGGCAGTTCTGTTGTAGTGGTCTACAGCCGACAGCAAGACTAGAGGTGCGACCGAGACATTGCGCTGGACCAAGGAAAGGGTTTCCGCGGTTGTGGTAGGCATCGTGAGCTGGGTTGCCGCGGAGCAGCGTCTCGATGCAGCAAGTTGCGAAAGGGAAGGCGCTCTGTAGACCAGCGGTTTGGTCTATATATCTCGAGAGGAAGGGTATGTAGGGGATTGCTTCGGACGAATTCGTTGTAGTTCGTCTTGGATCTGCTGACAAGGCTTTGAGTTGGCGGGATCAGACGTGTTGCTATCGATTGGTTAGGCGGGCAGGCACTAGCTGGGTACGTAACAACCATTGCTTAGGCGGAGCTCGAGCTCCAGCGTCCAGGTGCCTGGCCACAGTGCCATCACGTGACCGTTGGCGACCAGCAAACAGCTGCCGTTGGAGGCAATTATATATATTGGCTTAAAATATGCTTTATGGAAGAAAAAAGAAGGGGAATATAAAAAAAAGAATTCATATTGAAATTAACATCTTCGCATTTTAACATTCTTGCCACTCTATTATCCTTTCTTCCATGCACGAATGTGGTCAGGATAGATTGCCCTGGTGTAAGATGCTTACTCTCTGTTAAGTGGTGGCCGCCGTCGGCAAAGACATCTTTGTATCTAGTACAGCCTACGGCTTGTCCAATACCTGTATTAGCACCAAGTGGCTGCAAGTCCCACCCACATTTGGCTGCACCACCGACGCATGTGGATGTACTGCCCATGTACCCAATACCTTATGTTAATCCGAAAGCCCTGGCCAGCCAATCAATTCACTCGCTCTAACGGAGCTCTCCCATTCGCATCCGTAATCCCGTGCTTTTCTGCTCGCCGTCAACGCGACAATATCTTGATCTCCCGACCGACTTCAATTTTCTAATTTTTTTTTTCTTCCCTCGTCCCCAAGCCTCGCGCGACTTCCTCCTTCGGCTCTTCGTCCATACAGCCAACCGATTCCTCCGCCACAGATCAATTGCCTCCAATTGGCCTGTCCCTGATATCTAAATCACCTCAACCGTCAAGATGGGTTTCGTTGAAGATGAGCTCAAGCAGCTGAAGTCTGTCATCAGCAGCCTCGATGCCCGTGTCAAGCAGCTCGAGCACCGTGCTACTGGTGCCGCAGGCCCCGTCACTACTGATGAGATCCGCATGATCCTCATTGGTCCTCCCGGAGCTGGTAACCGCCGACCGACATCTCCAAATACCCCCGAAGCCGTCTTTGCTAACCCGCTTGTCCTACAGGCAAGGGCACCCAGGCCCCCAAGATCAAGGAGCGCTTCTCCTGCTGCCACCTTGTATGTTTCCCTATTTGAAACCGTCTCAATTGCTGCCCAATCCCATACTAACCACTGGCTTCTCTAGGCTACGGGTGACATGCTGCGCTCTCAGATTGCCAAGAAGACTGACCTCGGTCGCGAGGCCAAGAAGATCATGGACCAGGGCGGCCTTGTCAGCGATGAGATTGTCATTGGCATGATCAAGGCTGAACTTGAGACCAACAAGGAGTGCCAGGGCGGGTAAGTAATACCCCCTCGTGATTACCGCACACGAGCGGTTTCGCTAACCTTCTTTTCCCACAGTTTCATCCTTGATGGCTTCCCCCGAACCGTTCCCCAAGCCGAAGGCCTCGATGCCATGCTCAAGGAGCGCAAGCAGACTCTCCAGCACGTCGTTGAGTTGCAAATCGATGACGCTCTCCTTGTTGAGCGTATTACCGGCCGTCTCGTCCACCCTGCCTCGGGCCGATCCTACCACACAACATTCAACCCCCCTAAGAAGCCCATGACCGACGATGTCACCGGCGAGCCTCTTATCCAGCGCAGCGATGACAACGCTGAGGCCCTCAAGAAGCGCCTGGTTACCTACCACAAGCAAACTAGCCCCGTCGTTGGCTACTACCAGAAGACCGGTCTCTGGAAGGGTATTGACGCCAGCCAACAGCCTGGTCAGGTCTGGAAGCACATGCTCAACATCATCGAGGGCAAGAACTAAAGCCTGGGTGCTTTGGGGGAGGCGTTCTAAAAGAAACCCGTTGCCAGCCGCAGCTAGAAGTTAAAAAAAAAAGTTCTGTTTTGGCATAGAGCGACGGATTATTGGGAGAGATCCGGCCTCGGGCTCTCCCGTGTAGTGTTAATTGATGAGTGAGCAAGGACGGAGCAAACAGGGCTACAATGCGGAAAGTAATGTGGCACTTCTGCCCTTGCCATCAAGAATTATAAATGTAACTAGCATGATTGTATCTCATACTTGCAATTTAAATTCTTAAACCTATATACAAAGAACTATATCGACCTAACAGGTCATAACGTGAAATTATCAGGCATCCTGACGGAGGGCGATCTGCGCTACATGTAGTAAAGAACAAGTCTGTATTTGGTAGAGGATATCTATGGCAAATTAAGGAGTCGGTATAAAAGGAGTGTGACTGTCCAATCTGTCTCTATCGGCAACAGCTTGGAAGCAGTAAAAGTTCTTTCTATGAGCGGACTATGCATCCAGTGCATGACGTCTCGGTGTGAGAGGCTCTTGTCCGCCAAGAAAGCCGAAGCGACAAGTGTGGCCATGTCAAGTATGCGTGCATATAGGCCACCATCTGTGATCACTTTCGAGGGGTAGCTGGGACAGGAAGGTCAGTAGAGGTAGAGAGAGTCGCGCTGTCGCAACTGACCGTTGACCATCTGCCTCTGTTTGTTCAACCAGCTCTTGGGCGCATCAGGCCGGCGTTGCAGGACGATGTGGTTGCTTTGTATGCGGCTGGTGAGATCATACCAAGCCGTAGCCATGAGGGCATTCTCCCGCTCGAGATTGCGGATGATTTGGTCGCTTGCAGCCTGTTTGGTATTACTGTTAGCAAATTTTACCAACCTTTTTTTGCATTTGGAGAGTGTCTTGACTTACTTTTTGCGCTGCCGACGCTTCACCCCCTTGGGCTGCTTTGAGGAGCTTCTGCAGGTCGATTTTATCCTGCTCCGCTTGTTCCAGTTGCTGTCGGGACATTCATCAGCCAAGTCTGTATTGGCGACTTCCATATGGGTTTGGCGGAGACGTAACCTCTGGCCAAGTGATTTTCTTCACGTACCTGTTTCCTCTCGATAAGTCGATCTCGTAACTTCTCAATCTTCTCGTTTGCCTTTTTGGTTGCTTCTGAGGCATCTTGGTTTGCCGCTGTGATGGCCGCCGTTTCTTGAATCTCCTTCAGCTCCTCCATATCTTTTCGGAGCTTGTCTTTTGCGAGCAATGCCTCGATGAGCTGGGTCTTCTGAGCCTCCCGCTCCGTAGTGGCAACCTTGGTCTCTTCCCTGACACGATCTAGCTCAGCCTTTAGCGATTCCGATATGAGCATATCTGTGCTCTTGAGTTCGTTCAGCGCTGTAATGCCGTCTTTTTCTACGGCTGACAACTCCGTCTTCGCCGACATCAACTCGCGATCCCTATCAGTGAGCTTTGATTGTAATTCAGTGGCCTTTGCCTTGAGCTTTTCGTATTCTTGTTGAGTTTTGGTGAGCTCAGAACGAACGCGAATAAAAGTTTGAGAAGATTCGTCTGTTGAGCTCTTCATCAGCGACTCGATTTGATCTTGAACGATAGTGTGCTTTTCAAAGATATCGTTGAAGCTCTGCTGCAAACGCTCATTCTCTTTCTTCTGTTCTTCAAGCTCACGCCGGAGGGAGACGGCATCGCCAGTTGACCCAACTGTGCTTCGGAGCAAATCGTTTTCGGCCTTTAAGCGAGAAAGTTCCAGTGGAAGATTAGGCTGCTGAGACGCTGGGGCCTCACCGCTACCAGAAGCATTATTTAACTCATCCTCGAGAGAAAACGCCGCTGAAGCTTGTACTGAGTCTTCCGCTGTACCACCGCCGCCGCCGTGTTGCAATTGCTCCTGTAAATCTTGAATAAAGTGCTCATCGTGTGTTCGCTGTGCACGTAGTCGTAGCAGTTCTTCTTCGAGAGTCGTGATGTCTTTGAGAAGCTGTGTCTTTTGATTACGCTCGTCCCATAAATGCTGCTCGGACTGGCCAAGCATTTTGGTTAGCTCATCTTCTGCTTTTCTCGCACGACCGCTTCGCTCATGGTCATCTACGAGCGATCGTAGCTGTTCTTGGAGTTCTGTCTTTTCGTATTGTAAATTTTGAACTTCTTTGACCAGGTGTTGCTGTGATTCAAGCTTCTGTTTATATCTTTCTGCTGTATTGGCCTTCTTTTCCAGCTCTTCGGCTTTGTGTCGCCATTCTGTAGCCTGGTCTCGCAGCTCGTCTGCGTATTTGCTCTTTTGGGTCAACTTCTGCACTTCGCTCTCAAGTTGTGCTCGGACTTTGTCATGATTGCGGATGGTTTCTTCGTTTTTGGCGATGATCTCCATCTGCTCATGGACTTGATCCTCAAGCAGGCGAATCGCCTCGGCGCTGTTCGCTCCATCCTTTGTGGCCTTGCGCAGGACTTCAAGCTCCCGATCGTTCTTATCTTTTTCGTACTTCAGCTCTTCGTGGTTTATTTGGAGATGTTCCAGTCGAGTGATGTAGTCTGAGAGCGTCTTTTTTGTTTGCTCTAACTGCTGCCGAAGTGCAACATTTTGTTCCTCTACGAGCAAGTCAATGTCTCGAGCCTCCATGATATCATCAATGGCCTCGTCCAAGCTATCGTCATCTTTCGAGTTGGCAGCATCAATCTGCATCGACCGGAGGATCTGCATAATTTCAGCCTGTGTGACTTTGTCAAGACTGTCCTGGATTAGAGGAACATATTTATTATTGTCGGGGCCCATCGCAGCAACGGCAACCATGACAGCCAATAGCTGGCTGAGGCCCTGGGGCTCTGGATTTTCAGCAACAGCATGGTAGTCAAACTTTTTAGCTTGGCAGCTCAGTTCCGGAATCTGGCGACGGATGAACCGAAAAAGGCCCTTGTAAACGGTCTGGATGTTGCGCTTGTTTGTCAGATATTTTGACGTCGCAGATGACGATTCCAAATGCGACGGGTCGAATTCCGAGTCGAGTTCGTGTAAAATCTTTCCCAAAATAATACCATTGCTAAGTTCTTCAAGAGTTTCCGCTGTTCGATCGAGGCGGAAGAGATTGTTGGCCTAGGGGAGAGGACAGTTAGCGCAGGCGGCTTTACTCGCAGCCCATTAAAACTAACAGCTTTCAAGAGCGCCGTCTGCGCCCGGGGGGTATACGGCGGCATGGTAGCGGATTCTAATGATCAGAAACGGGATTGCTTGGAAGATGTCAAGTAGGAGGCGGCTGCTATCTGGCACGCGATAATAGGGGGAGATTGTTCGTCGCGCTTAATCTCATAGCGAACTCGAAAAGAATCAAGGATGTATAGAGATCTCAAGCGTATGCAGTAGGTCCAAGACGTTGGAGAGAAAAGGCGGTTGAAAGGGGCGAGCCCCAAGGCTATGGGCGACAATTAAAGGTGATGTACTATCTGCGTAGCTAGGGGAGCTTCTGGCTGCCCAGGTAATAAATGGGCGGTCCCAGCGAGCTGTCAGCACAGACCACGGGACCTCTGGTAGGCTCATTACCGGAAACCCCACAGCTCATAATTGTGGCGACGGCGGTAGCGTCACTGTTCAATGAAGAGGAAGGCCGAAAAGCTGTTTTGCGTATATGTTTATGCATCAGGTAAAAAAGCTTTCTGGTTGTCAGTCACATTCCGCCGAGGTGCTGCTACAACGCTTGGTTGGGAGCCATCGAGGCAACCCAAGCATCGCAAACGTGTCACAAGCCGCGCGGCCATCGAAACAAACAGCAAGAGTGTCACAATCGAATCAAAAGTTTGCAAAATATCTAACGGGGTAATAGTAACAAGTCCAAGTCCGTCGCATTTCGCTTCCAAGTCGTAGTCCCCTCCCTTTCATACGCCGCAGCAGAAAAAAATTACAATCATGGCTGTATGCCTGGGCGCATTGCCATGCTGGTTTCATGTCTCATTAAACCGTGCTCCGTATCAGTAGTCATTTAGGAAGCAGTCACAGTCTGATCCTCTTCAACTCTCATATCATGGCCGACACCCATAGTCTGGATGAACTCAAGCGCCTTTTCGGGAGCAACGACAGAGAATCCCCTGTTATGAAGTTAGCACGTGTTTCAATGCTTGCAACAGCTGTGTTACATATGCACTCACTTGATGATGGTGTAGACGTGGGTGATCTTGCCACCTGCCTGGATAATCGAGTCCTTGACCTGGTTAACAACAGAGTCGGGGGTGTTGGAATCCTCGAACCAGACGATGGCGGACTTGGTCTGGTCAACGGCGAGGGCGCTAGGCACAAGGGCGAGGGTGGCGATGAGGCTAGGGAAGAACTTCATTTCGACAGAGTGATTTTGCAGGTGCTTGAAAGAATAATTCTATGAACCGATAGGCAAGCTGATAATCGAGGGGATGGTGAGAGGTTTAAATACGCAAAGGCCAGTTGCAAGCTAAGGTTGGTTTGGGTATGGCTAGAGTGACGTCGAGCCTCGCCGCTGGAATGCAAGGGCCCACGCATGCAACTAAGCGATACTGGACGGCAGTGGGCTGGGCCAGGCTTTGGGGTAGCCAGAGCCTACGGTACTGTAGGCATTGATGCGGGGCACTTGGTTAGCGGCTTCAGCGCTGGAAGCTTCTACCCCCACGCCAACGCACAATTGAGTTAGCGCGCTGCTCACCACTGCCGGCACCTCCAAAAGTCAAATCTCACGGCCTGACAAGAGACAGAGCCGCGCCAAGCCACGCTCGAATTCCAACCAGCGAGCGAGATACGAGCCTACAGCCGGATCCGAAAGACGCGAACCCTTCTATCCTATACGCTGCAACTGCCATTTGGTATCCTCCGAGGGCTCGCCGCGGGTTACATCACCGTACACAACCTACGCACGCAACCATGACACAAGAAGCCGTCGACCTCAAGAACCAGGGCAACAAGGCCTTTGCCTCTGGAGACTGGCCTACCGCCATTAGCCTTTACAGCCAGGCTATTGAGAAGCATGACACAGAGCCTGCATTCTATACCAACCGTGCCCAAGTAAGCCTCCCTTGTTGCGACGGCCGAGTCGATCGTGTGACTAACCTACCCTCGCGCACAACAGGCCCATATCAAGACGGAAGCCTTTGGGTATGCCATTGCCGACTGCGGAAAGGCTATCGAGTTGAACCCGAAACTTGTCAAGGCCTATTACCGTCGTGGTCTGGCCCGCAGTGCCATCCTGCGCCCTAAGGAGGCACTGGAAGATTTCAAGGAATGCGCAAAGCTCGACCCTAACAACAAAGATGTCAAGCTCAAGCTGGAGGAGTGCAAGAAGATGGTGCGCAAGCTCGCCTTCTTTGCTGCTATTGAAGTTGGCGATGAGCCGTCGGCACTTGAGGGCCTCGATCTTGACTCCATGATCGTCGAAGACGAGTATGACGGTGTCCGAATTGACCAGGAAATGACACAAGAGTTCATTGACGACATGACGGAGCGATTCAAGAATGGCAAGAAGATTCACCGTAAATACGCCTACCAGATTGTTGCCGCTGTTAAGAAGATCGTATACGAGGAGCCTACCATGGTAGAGATGGAGATTCCCAGCGATGTTGAGCTTACCGTGTGTGGCGATACTCATGGTAAGTCGCGTTTCATAAGGTAGTGGTTCCAAACGCACGAGCTAACATAATCTAGGACAATACTTTGATCTTATGGAGCTGTTCCGTATAAACGGAACACCTAATGACAAGCATTGGTACCTGTTTAACGGAGACTTTGTTGACCGTGGCTCCTGGTCCACCGAGATTGCTCTTCTACTCTACGCTTACAAGTGGCTGCGACCCAACGGCTTTTTCCTAAACCGTGGTAACCACGAGACTGATGACATGAACAAGGCTTATGGCTTTGAGGGCGAATGCAAGGCCAAGTACAACGAAAGGTGAGTTCAATTGCTCAATTGTCTATCATTGCTAAATAGCTAACATTATAATAGAACCTTCAAGCTCTTCTCGGAAAGTTTCTCTGCCTTGCCTCTCGCTACCCTCGTTGGCAAGAAGTACCTCGTCCTCCATGGTGGTCTCTTCTCCGACGATAACGTAACGCTCGACGATATCCGCAAGCTCAACCGCCACAACCAAAAGCAGCCTGGCCAGGCCGGCCTAATGATGGAAATGCTCTGGACCGATCCTCAGGACGAACAGGGCCGTGGCCCCAGCAAGCGTGGCGTAGGAATGCAGTTTGGACCCGATATCACCAAGCGCTTCTGTGAGAAGAATGGCCTTGAGGCCATTATCCGATCGCACGAGGTCCGCATGGATGGTTACGAAGTCCAGCACGACGGCAGATGCATTACCGTCTTCTCAGCTCCCAGATACTGCGACTCCACGGAGAACAGAGGCGCCTTCATCAACATCGGACCAGACTACAAGCTCAAGTTCCAGCAGTTTGATGCCGTTCCCCATCCCGACATCCGCCCAATGGTAAGTAATCCTTCTTCGCAACCGCCCACCCAAGTCATCGGCTAATTTGCAATAGGCCTATGCCCAAAGCTCGCTTATGTCGTCTCTCATGTAGAGCAATAACCCAAAAATCCAACGCTGTAGTGTATAGCTGCAGCATGTAAATGATGCTTGGACGAATTAGATGTATATTTGGACATAACGGCAAAAAAGAAATTTCCCATCAAAGTAGTTGAGGTCGGCGTAGAAGGTCGTTTCAAGTTGATAAACCCCCCGTATCCCAATAGACTTCATTTTGCAGTTTCAATCTTTGTTTTTCTCTGGTGATGGTTGTGTATCCTGGGTCTCTGTAACACGCAGTAGACACATGGTCTCATCAATCTTTGTTCCACGGTATGCGGTAATCGCAGCATTGAGCTTTTTGCCATCTCCGCGCGGTACACGGATCCAGAAGCTCGTTCCGTCTGCTCTGATGATATCCACACGGATTGCTAACCCGGTAAGGCCCAAAAACTGTTGAAGAGCAGCATTGCAATATGCAATCACCTGAATCTCATCAAAGCGAATTGTATCTGAGCTGTCCGTTACAAGGGTCAGGTGCGTATAGGCAAAGGGGATTTCATCGTCGGCCATGGTAGCTATTCTAATTCGACACGTTAAATCCGTCTTGTTCAATAGAAACCAGAATTATTGTCAATGGTTGAAATAGACACAAGATTTACAACCAGCGTTGCTGGGGTCCAGGGTGGTCTTTGTTGCGGGTATGCACATAACGGGGATTTTTCTGCCCGCCGCCCATCATCCACCAAGCCATCACCGCCGACAATCGCAACATTATCGCAAAGCATCCTCCAATATCACCACCAACCATGTCGTCATCTTCGAATTTTGTTACGCCGGGACAGCAGCGCTACATGCGCGCCTGCATGGTTTGCTCTGTAGTTATGACCTACAGCGTTTGTCAGCCCCATTGCCTTCTATCTAATCGCTGCTAACTCTGCTCATCCTCAGCGCTTCCGTGACGAAGGTTGCCCCAACTGCGAAGAATTCCTCCATCTTGCCGGCTCCCAGGACCAGATCGAATCATGCACATCACAAGTCTTCGAGGGCTTAATCACTCTTGCTAACCCATCCAAGTCGTGGGTTGCTAAGTGGCAGCGCCTCGATGGCTATGTTCCTGGCATCTACGCTATTAAGGTCTCTGGCCAGCTCCCTGACGAAATCCGATCGACGCTCGAAGACGAATATAGAATACAGTACATTCCGTATGTGGACACTTGGACATGTATGTGCAACAATTGGTAGCTAACAGATTGCAGACGCGACGGAACCGAGGTTGAGGAGTCGTAAGACGGATGTGTACTTTTACGGCGAAAGGCGTTGGGTTTGGCACTGGTTTCATTTCTTTTTCGTTGCAAAAAGTTGCTCCCCATTTAAAATATCTATGAATACACCAATAACTTTTAAAGTAAAACTCCATGCGCCGCGCTTTAAATGATCCTGCAATGTGTCTAGTCGTTTCGCTGCTTCTTGAACGACATGCTGAAGCTATTGGACTCACGCCCGCGCTTTCGGTCAATCTCTTGCTTCATAATTCGCTCTGCCTCGCTGATTTTCTTTGGCTGTTCGACAAGGACAGGCTTCTTAGCCCCCCCTGATAAAGCATTCTTTTTTGCCTGTGCGAAGACATTCTTGGCTTGCGGTTTACTAGCGGCTTTGAACGAGAAGCCAGTGGGCTTCTCGGTGGTGACTTCGCTCGTTGTCTTGTCGTTATTCCCAGCAGGATTGTCGGCAGCTTTGGTATCTGTCGATACAGGTTTGTTACCAAAAGATAATGTGACCAGCTCGCCTTCCTTAAGGTTTAGCTCTTTTTCTGGCTTCTTTTCGTCATCCGCGCCTCGTTCTTTAGCGCTCGCTTGGGCGCGACGGATCTGCTCGCGGATGATTCGCTGTTCAAGTTCTTCATCACCTTGATTCTGAGCAGCCTTTTTGCGAAGGGCTTCTTGCCTTCGAAGGGCCTCTGGCGAATTATCAATCCAACTAATATGCAGCCCTTTTTCTGTCTCTTCCACCTTACAGAGACCTTCTCGACCAAGATGCTTGGCGAACTCTGTCAGAGACGGCCATTTCGTAGCATTCATATGGATATGTTCCTTGTTTGCGATATATTCCTGGTAGAAGTGATTCATATGGACCTGCTTTTCGCCATGACCTGTCCTGAGAAGAGAGAGAAAGTCGCTTTGGAACTGATTGCTGAATTCGTTGATAAACTTTTTCGGGTCTTCACCAACGACAAGCATCTGCCGTACATGGCTCTCCGATTGCGTATGCATCTTGAAGCCATTGGCGTCACGGCATTGCTTTTCGCAGACCTGGCAGTACCATCGTAGTCGCTGAAGACCCTTCGACTTGAGCTTGTTGTTCAAGTGCTTGGTCGACCCGACCTCGGCCTTGGGCATCTTGACTGGCGGATCGGACTATGGTGGGGATGGATGGCAACCTTTTGTTATACGTTGCGAAGTCGTGTAGTAGAGAGTTTAGCTTCTGAAAAAAAAAAAGAAACCAGCTTTTTAAACAATCAGAGACGCAATGTCGAACGGCGCAAAACGTGGCAAAAGTTGTGGTGGGTTTGAAAGATTCAGTCACCGTTACAGTGACGCGATACAGCACCTGGTCAGGTGATGCAGCCGCTAACAGAAATTCTCTACAGCAGGCTGTCACTAAGCGATTATGCCCCACGGTGGCTGCCTGTTGGACTACTTTTCATCATCAACGAATTTTCGCGGTCAAAGTTGCACTTTCTTCGTCGCAAATCAGACAGTTATAATATAGGGGCCGAAAATGTCTGAACGTAAAGTGCTTCAGGTACGTCTGCGTGTCGTTGTATAGCCACCATACCTTGCTAACCTGCCAACAGAAATATTACCCTCCCGAGTTCGATCCTCGCGAGATCGAGCGCCGTCGCGGACCAAAACAAACCGGCCCTCGCTTGCAGACCGTTCGTCTTATGGCACCATTCTCCATGAAGTGTCTCACATGCGGTGAATTCATCTACCGCGGGCGCAAGTTCAACTCGCGCAAAGAAACGAACCAGGAGCAAAAGTACCTGAACATCCAAATCTTCCAGTTCCATATCAAGTGCACGCGATGCAGCGCCGAAATCATATTTCGAACGGACCCGAAAAATAATGACTATGCCATGGTCAAGGGCGCCATGCGTAACATGGAGCCGTGGAAGAATCGGCCAAACGAGGACGAGACCCTAGAGGAAAGGCTGGACAGGTTGGAAAAGGAAGAAGCCGAAGCTGAAGGAGAGGAGGAAAAGAATGCTATGGAAGAATTGGAGGCTAAAAATGCAGAAGCAAGAAGGGAAATGGCAGCAGCAGATGCCTTGGACGAAATTCGCCATCGCAATGCGAGAATCAATCGTTCCGAGAAGGACGGAGTAGACTACGCGGACAGTGTTGTCCGTGTAGAGGACGTCGAGAAGATCCAACAAGACCAGGAGGATGAAGCGGCTGCTAAAGCTGCTTTTGCTGCTGCTCGAGAAAATGTTGCTGACGCAGAGGAGGCGACAGTATTATCAGCGACGCCTGCTGGACCGTCGGTGGCCTCGTCATCAGCAAGTGCCGACGCAGCTGCTATGCCGCCGCCATCATTTAAGCGAGTGGTTAAGAAGAAGAAGGACTATGGAGCTATGTTGGGCATCAAAAAGAAGCCATCGTTGGTCTGAGCACTTGGCAAACTTAGCGTGTACATTACAAGATATTCTTATGACATAGGGCGGCGTTTCAAAGGTTTAATTTTATCATTCACGTTTTTTGTTTCGAAACATTAAAAGTTCAGAAAGAGACCTCACGGATTACAAAACCAGGAGTGGCATTTGTGCGGCATTGTGCCGAAATAGTGTGTATGTAAGGAAAGATCAAGCTAGCTGAGCAGCACCTCATGGCTGTGCTTCCACCAACGCCGATTCATATGTGTCTTAAAAAAATCCCAGGAAACGAAACCGTATAAAGTCAGAAAAGAAAACCAGTACTCCAGCGCCATCATCAAAATTGTCATTGCGGGTCAGAGCAGTTCCGTTCGTGCGAGTGCCGAGTTCGTATTGAGAGCGTTTTGCGGCTGTCAAGACAAATGCTCAGCAGATATCCGCGGACCAGAGCCTCAAGCCATCGCCATTATTGCACTGCTATGCGTGTATTATACCGTGTGTTTTGTGGTAAGCCCAAATTGTAGAGAAGACGGTTGTGGTGTTTAATTGGCGATGCCATTGGAAATGGTGGATGATTCGGAAGTCATGCTGCTATTTGATGGCTGAGGAGGGGCATTTACAGACGTAGCCTCCATTAAACGTTTTGTATGCTCGTGCATGAATCGAGAGTAAGTTGTAATATTTTGAGGCGGAGGGGGTGAGTTGGGAATAGACATGGCAAGTTGCTGTCTGGTAGGCATGGTGTTGTGTATTGCAGTAGACGAGAGAGGGAGGCCAAGATGGTGTGTTGATATAAAATAGTAGAGTGATTCCCAATGTTCGGCGTGTTCTGATGTAGGAAGTAGATATGAATCCCTGAATGCTTCCAATTGTGCGAGGTTGGTCAGAAGGGAGGGTTGGATCAGCCGCCAACTTTATAAACGCACAGAGCGGCGAATCGGGCAGAGGGCCAACTACTGGGAAAGACGTGGAGCAGGATGTGCACCAGAGAGCCTGCTGGTGGCTGCCCGCCAATGTCAGGACGTAATACAGTGCGCAGGACCCCTGTGGAGTAGAAAAGCGGGCCGCTGTATCCTTTTGCTACAGCGGGTTAGCGGAGTGTTTGTCGCTGGTTGAGAGTGCGTTGCTTAACCAGCCTGTGTCTGCTAAATCTGGCTGCACCTCATCATCATCGTCATCATCGTCTGTTATTTCGACCCCTGGTAAATATATAAACTTGGCCTTGAGCAATATCACCATCATCAATGTATGTGCCACATGAACGCTACTTCTCGCACTGCGTTACCACTTGTCCAACCTGAATGCAAATCACTCCCAGGGTCGCCCTCCCTCTCGCCACACCACCTCTTCCCGAGTTTCGCACACCATCCACGCACGCACAAGCTGCTTAAGCTTTTGCTGCCAGATCTGGTACATTTCCATGTTTTTTTTGCTCTTCTTGGCCAATGGCGAATATAGCCGCGTCTCTACATAACCGAGACTATGCCATTCATGGCAGCTGGGAACCGGAGATTGGCATGTTGTCCATGCACGAGACGATGCGAAAACCTGTAATTCCCGTCAACCTGCAGCCAGCTCCTGCAGACTAATCAGGCCGCACTAGGCCTGCATTTGCCATTTCTCTCCGTTTTTAAGCAAGATCGTCGGGCCCAGAACATAACCTGGCAGAGCTTGGCTCGCAGTGGGGGTGCCCCAAGACGCCATGATGTCATGGCACTAGGCCGTGATAGGAACATCTGAGGCTGCCTGGCCCGATTTCGCGTTGGACCCTGAAAACCAGGAAAGTAGGGGTCCAGCATGTTTGATGAAACGGTCGGAGGCGACCCCATGAACCGGGTCCCGATCCATAGACCAGCAATGGGTCGCGGGCATCAGAGCCATCCTCAGCCGAGCTCCTGGACCCTTGGTGCATGGGAAGCTGCGACGACACCTTACCGCCCCGTCACAAGCCCACATTGAAGGCAAGCCTGCTACTTTACACAGATGGCACTGCTAATTTTCGATTTCAAAAGCCATACTAATGCATGCCATTTTCTGCCTGCCAATTGTCCCATACTACGGACATGTATGCGCCGAATGGGGACAGCAGCATGGCAATAGACCAATTGGACGAGATACAACGCTCGCTACAATGATAAACCTGCGAAGTCTCAAGATACCAAGCAGTGCTGTCTGGTAATTATGAGACGGTAGTAAGTCTTTAGGGCGGGCGGTGGGGCGAGCAATGAAGTCGGCTACATATGACTGAGTTGCAGGAGGTCATGCCTTTTCACCAAACTCTAGAGGAAGAACCTCTCCAGAGAGTCCGGAATTGACGAACAAGAACAAATGAGGGGCGACACCGTCTGGCATAGTTTCGCTTTGCACAGTACGGCCAGCCTCTGGATGTTAAACTGGAGCTGCGAGAGATCTGCCCCTCCAATAAGCAGCTGCGGTGGCGAGGTGCGGTCACTCCACCATGGCGTCTGAAACTGTGATGATGTAAGTGGCCAATCATGGATGGTTTGCCGCTTTCGTCACCGTTTATGACTGCGCTCCAATAAAATCACAGTTATGATGAAGCATATGATGTTTAGGCGATGTCATTTCTTGTTTTGTTTGCAGTTTTCGGGTGCATGCTCTGCATACGGCAATCGGGAACATGTATCCATGGTGGGACGTGGACCCTGGAGTTGGGGGCTCATGCCAAGTTGATTTAAGCTCACAGCTGTGTTGGTATGGATTCTCTGTGACTGCCACAAGCAAACCTGTGTTTCCACCGGTTGCACTTCGATTCCATGGCGATCAGGCAAAAACAGCTTATGACGATTGCTATAGAATAAACGGAAGCATGACGCAAGATTGGAAGACGTCACCACTCGGGCTCCGCACAATGAGCTACAGCATACATGGGGGATATGCCCTAATCATGTTCGCATGTACATTACTACTAAGAAAAAGGCTACACTGACATTGTTCAGCTACTCTACGCCAGCGCTCACGATGTTGGCGCCGTTGAAGTGATTCCTCAATAGTCTCGCTTCGCTTTGATAAGCGACCACCAAACACTATCAATCTGATTTTAAATCTCTTACAAATCCACCATATTATCCTAAATTAAACTAATAAATTTAATCTCCTCTGTCCCTACTCCGCGTATAGTGCTGTCCGCAAGCTTCCAGAAAACACAAGTCCGCCTGTTCCCGGCCCTCCGCCGGCCGCCAGGCCCCACAACACGCCGGCCGCCCGGCGTCAAGGCCGCTGATTGGTGCATCGGGCTGCGAAAACCTTAGTTCGCGCGCGGGTATCGATGTTGACAGGAAAGTCCGCCGCTAAGGGCAAGGGGTGCTTTTTGTAGTGGCTGAATTAGTGTGTGTATAGGTTTTAGAATATCACATAGATCGATTTTTAATCCTTTGTAATCGTGCGAGGATGACGAGCAGCGGCTAAATCTTTGGTCTGTGCCTACGGCCGCGCGCGGCATCGTCCAGCGTATTGACGATGAAGACATCCACAGTAGCTAAGACCTTTTCAAGATTATATATATTGTAGCAAACCCTCGTTGAGGTCGCTGTTGTAATCCTCATCATCCTTACTTCTCTGATCTCCGCAAAAAAAAAAACCAGCACCCCTTCACCTATAGACACACAGACATATACACATACACAAACACGATGAAGACGATTCTTGTCCTTGGTGTCGGCATCGCCGCCGTGCCCGTTATCCATCAGACCATGAAGACAACCGTCCTGAAGAGCAAAGATCTTAAGATGGTTGTTGTCAACCCTACGGATTATTTCCTTTGGCCAATTGCCATGCCTCGGCTCGTTGTCCCTGGCCAGCTCCCTGATTCTAAGGTCATCTACGAACTGCCCCCTGCATTCAAGGACTATCCTGCGGACAAATTCGAATTCGTTCGTGGAAGAGCTGCAGCTCTCGATGCTCAAAGCAACGTTGCTAGCATTGCTCTGAACAGTGCTGGCACCCGTGAGATTGCATACGACGTGCTCATCATCGCGACCGGCTCCTCTGCTAAGGAGAACATGCCCTGGAAAATGCTTGATACATCCGCGCAAACTTTCGACAGAATTCACAGTATTCAGCAAAAAGTGAAGTCCTCCGAGACAATTGTTGTCGTCGGCGGTGGTGCGACTGGTATCGAGACCGCGGGTGAGCTTGGCTTCGAGTATGCCAAGAATGGCACGAAGGACGTCTATTTTATCCACAGCGGTGCCCTTCCTCTCGGAGATCACATCAAGGACAGTGTACGAAAACAAGCGCGAGACGAGCTTGAAAAGCTTAATGTCAAGATCATCTCCAATACCACTGTTACCTCCACCACGCCTTCCGGAGACAACGTCGTCCTCCAGCTAACTGCTGCTGATGGCACAACCAAGTCGCTCACCACTGGGGCATATCTCCCGACTATGGGCATGGTTCCGAATACTTCGTTCCTACCGTCTTCCATGCTTGATACCTACGGTTTTGTTAAGCAGACCACCACACTTCAAGCGGAAGGCCACAAGAACATCTTTGTCATTGGTGACGCCGGTAGCTTGGAAGGCAACATGGCTCTCGCCGCCGATGCACAGGCCAACCACTTAATCAAGACATTGCCCGCCTTCCTCAAGGGCGAGACTGTTGCTGAATACAAAAAGTCTGACAAAGTAATGATGAGTGTTACAGTTGGTCGTGCGCGAGGCACTGGCCAAGTCGGAAGTTTCAAAATCTTCAGCTTCCTAGTTTGGTACCTCAAAGGACGCTTCCTGGGAACCGACTATGTCGCCAATCTTGTCGCTGGAAAGAGAAGCATCCTCACTAAATTTGATTAGATTCTGCATCAACGTTTTCTTTGTCTTGGTTCTATGCGCGGCGTCCTTGGAATCGGTTCTTTAATAGTCGGTTAGCTTAATATCACTTTGTTTCATGAGCACAACTCGTCTGTATAAACTTGAATGAATTCTTTTTGGTGAAATTACAGATGATGTACAAAGCAGGCATCCTGCTGATCCTAATGCAAAAGGGTCCCGATTATCTTTCTAATTTACAGTCTCGCCAGCGACTCGGCATCACGTCGTGCTTTGCGCTCCGCAGCTCTCTTTCTGAACTGGACCTCAGCCCTTCTGCGCTCACCGCCATCAATCTTGCGTCCTTGCTTCTGCTCCCACATGCCCTCAGTAACCTTAACAATGGCTCCATCGCGGCCAGGCAGAACCTGGGCAAACGGTCCTGCTATCGAGCGCAAGCCGCGCACAGTATATCCGTTAGGTCTGGGAAGCGTTGTCGGTGAGGCCTCGGCAGCCGCCTCGTTCTCTTTAGGGACGTTGACAACCCATTTCGCATCGCTCATGTCGGACGCAGGTGGTGTGGCTACCTTGAGAAGCGCCTCGCCATCTTGGACGAACTGGAAATCGCCGCCTGGACCGACAACGCCGCGGCGATATCTATCCATCCACTGGAGCAGGTATTTGCGGTTTCGCGGGGGTTCGATGCCCAGCTCCTTGAGCTCTGGCGACGTCAGCGAGAATAGTGCGTCCCAGGACGGGAACTTGCTGGCGTGCTTGGAGAGGCCACGGCCGATAAGGGTGAGAAAGGTAGTGACGTCGGGAACGAATGGGCGTGTCGCAGGGATTGAGGGTGCCGGTCGTGTCTTGTGAAGGCAGCGGATCTGAATGCTACGAGGCGCAGTCGTGGCCAAAGAGGCCAATGGTCTAGCGGCAGACCAAAGATGTTGTGTCTTCATGGTTCGGATTCTGCTATCCGAGACTCGGTTAGGGTGCGCTAAGATGGGCATTGGCGATCATTTGCTTACAATTTAAGAAATATATGGCTTCAATGGCAGCAGCAGAGAAAATTGCAAGATGAGCAGCGGTAGTTTTATCACGCTGCTTGCGGCTGGTGTGGTTGGCTGTGTCCTGCTGTGCTCGAGAAATTCGTTGTCGCGGATTGCTACATAGAAATTTGGTGTCTCCTGGATTTTCTTACATAATCGACATTTTTTCTAGAGGGTGCCTCCAGACCGTGAACCAGCGGCGCTAGGTGCGTGACGCCACTAACGCCGCCCACCTGGTGCGCCCCACCGCGCCAGATGCCTGCCAGACGTCACCTCGAGTCGGGCATAAAACCTCTTTTCTTGCATCATCGCCTTTGAAACCCTCAAATCGTCACTATTCCATCGCTGCAACTATATTGGGCGCATCCAAGTAGGCTATATACTCGTTTCACGTCCATTGGAAAGCACCTACAGTCTCCATGGCTCGCAGCAAGCGCCGTGTCTTCAGCGTGCCCTGGTACAAACGAACGGACCTCCTTCACGTTCGTTTAAACGGTAAGTTATATTTCTGGTTCTAGCGATTCCCAAACTAGCTTTTTGCAATCGGTTTTTACTGATTCGAATCCCTTTCTAGAGCCTTTACCTGAAAAAGTCTTTGAAGCGCTGTTGCTGTTGCCACTTACACCTGATGCCAGCGAGCCAGATGCAGGCGCAGACCGCGGCGTGAAGCGTCGCAAGATTGAAAGTGAGGCTGTCACGGGAGCCATCTGCATAAGCAAGTCAAGCTTGAAGTTTTCATCCACCCCACTACCAAACATCATTCTAGTGGACGGTCCCCAGTACAGGCACAATATAGGGCAATACTTTCGTCTCAACTATGAGCGCGATGAGTTTGGCTTGAATCCCAAGACCAAGGACCCAGCATCTCCGCCACCTATTGTAATACATATGCTTGATGATGTTCATATGAAGCTTTTTGGAACCATTGCCTCCCGGCAATCTGGTAGAGATGAAAAATATCAGCCCGGTGGAATATGGACCAACATCGACGTTACCTTTATAGCAAAAGATGGGCTTGTTGAAACGACTTTCGATTTTCAAGTCTTTTGGAACGAAACCGCTGATCAATTACAACCATTAAGAAATGGGCCGCATCGCGAAGTCAGCCAGATGATAATTGACGCCCTATTTCCGCCAAAGTCATACTCCAAAGCGTCATCGCCAATGGACTTTTACGACGCTGCATATCTGCCCTCAAAAGACGACATTTCTGCAAGTAAGATTCAAACACCATCATTAGAGTCTACACTCTTTCCCTACCAAAAACGTACGCTCAAGTGGATGCTTGGTCGTGAAGGGGTCAAATATGCAGGCTCACTAGCAGCTGTTGCTCCTCTAGATATTGACAACGATATGCCGACGTTTGATACATTGCGCGCGGTCAAAGATACTGATGGAAATGAAATGTTTTTGAGCGATATCTTCCATACTGTTACAAGAGACAAATCTCCGTATCAAGCAGCAGATAAAGCGCTCACTGGTGGCATCCTGGCTGAGGAGATGGGACTTGGCAAAACGCTCGAAATTCTCGGCCTTATTACTCTCCACAAGCTGAAAAACGGCTCACCACTGGAAGCTAGACAACTGCCAAATGGGCTATTCCAAACTGGTGCTACGCTAATTGTGGCACCGGAATCACTTAGGCGGCAGTGGATGACGGAGATTTCCAACCACGCACCGACCTTACGGCTGATGGATTACAAAGGATGCCGGAAGATGCTGGATGATGATGCTGATGAGATTGAGCTGCTGAAGGAATTGGATGCCTGTGATGTTATAATTACGACATATTCGGTCCTTTCACAAGAACTCCATTATGCGACAGAAGCACCAGAAAGATCTCGTCGACATGAAAGAGTCTACAAGCGTCAAAGCTCTCCGCTTGTCCGCTTGTTATGGTGGAGAGTGTGCCTCGATGAAGCTCAAATGATTGAAAATGGTGTCAGCCAAGCTGCTGCTGTCGCCCGTTTGCTACCTCGCATACACGCGTGGGGAATCACAGGAACGCCTGTTAAGGACGACGTCAAGGACTTACTTGGACTACTTCAATTTCTCCGCTACCAACCCTTTTCGACTACTACTTCAACCTGGGCAGCGGTCATGGAACACAAACCTATCTTTGAGCAACTCTTCCACTCTATATCGTTACGCCACACAAAGGCGATGGTGAGAAGTGAGATTCTTTTGCCACCACAGAAACGCTATGTCATATCCATGCCGTTTAGCGCAGTCGAAGAACAACATTATCAGTCACTAGTTAAAGAGATGATGGATGAATGTAAACTTACCGTTGACGGTACACCAACAATTGATGATTGGGAGCCTGAAGAATACGAGAATGAGATGCGCAGCTGGCTTACTCGGCTTAGGCAATCTGCTTTACACCCTGAAGTCGGAACCCACAACAGAAGGGCATTGGGATATAGTAAAGAAAGACCGATGCGCACTGTTGATGAGGTGTTGAACGCCATGTTGGAGCAAAGCGAGGCTAGCGTGAGAGGAGATGAGCGCTCTCTACTGTCTAGCAAATTGGCTCGAGGCCAAATCTACGAAAACAGTCCGAGAGTTAAAGAGGCGCTTTCTGTCTGGGAAGAAGTCAAAGTTGAAACGGAGAAGCTTGTCAAAGAGGCCCGCCATAAGCTGACTGTTGCTATAGCGGAAGAAAAACAGCTGATGGCAGACGTGCAGAATGGCAAGACGGATCAAGTCGATGATTCCGACTCTGACATGGACATGGAGGCAAACGGGAGACTAATTGAACTTCGTCGCAGGCTGCGCGGCACTCTCGAACTGCATCATAAGGCAGTCTTCTTCTGTGCCAGTGCCAACTTTCAGATCCGAGACAATGCAGAACTGACAGAGCCAGATTCTGAAGAATTTAAGCGATTAAAGAAGTTGGAAGATGATGGCTATGAGGAGGCCAAGGCCATTCGAAGAGAGATCCTACAAGAGAGCTATAAAAAGGCGAATGGGTTCATGACAAGCATCAAAGAGACTGCAGCGAGTCAAAGCTTTACTGAAGTTCCAGAGTTGGTAGTTACCGGCGATCGAGGTGTTGAGAGTGGCAGAGTGATGAATTCTCTGGAGGTTCTTTACGAAGAACTGAATGAGCAAGCGAATATTTTGGATGAATGGCGGGAGCATGTTATTCAACTGCTCCTCAAACCGCTGGTGGATCAGGATGACGACGTGGAAACTACTGGTGAAGAGCTTGTTGATTCAGCCAAATTTCAAGACGATTTAATGGTATATTTCCAGGCTTTGAAGAGCGCTATCGCCGATCGTCAAGACGCAATCTCGGGACAAACAAACGAGCTGGTCAAGCACGAGACAGAATACAGCATCCGTCTTGCCAAGAATGGCGGCGGTCCAGCGCCCGAGAAACTTATTGAACTGCTGCAGAAGAGAGCAGAGCTGAAGCCCAAAATGTCACACACATCCATGAGAGGGGCTATTGGAGAACTGCGCGGCCTGCAACTTCGTCTTTCGCGAGACCTGGCTACCACAAACCGCGACATCATCGAAGGTAGCCTTGTCACCAATCTATTGAATTCGACACAAAAGCTTCTATCCCAGCAAATTAAGGTCGCCACTGCTCTAGATTCGGAGGTAGATGAATTCAAGGACGCCATGAATGCTCGCTTAGAATATTACAGAGCGCTTCAGGTCGTGTCCGACGCCGTCATCCCTTACGATGGTCCCAAAACTGACGCTGTGGACGAGAAGATGAAGAAGAGCGAGGAAGATCTTAAGAAGAAACTCGCAGCTGGTGAGGCCAAGCATCGTTATCGTGAGTTGCTCTACCGCCATCTAAGTGTCTCTATCTGCTAACTTTTACTAGTCATGAACTTGAAAGAAAACGGATCTAAATCCAACGAACCGCGAATGTGTGTCATCTGCCAGACAGCGTTCGTAACGGGTGTCTTAACAGTCTGCGGCCACCAATTCTGCAAGGAGTGCATGATGCTCTGGTTCAAGAGTCACAAGAACTGCCCAGTTTGCAAACGCCCGCTCAAGGCGGACAACTTGCATGATATTACCATCAAGCCACAGCAACTACAAGTTGTCAGCGAGGTAGCGGGAGAGTCTTCTGATCACAATACGTCGCCCCAGCGCCAAGAGCGCCAGGTGCATTCCGAAACGTCCAAAAGCATCTACAAAACTTTCAATGCAGACAAACTTGCTGAAATTAAAAGCATGGAACTCGATGGCCCATCCTTTACCACCAAAGTCGACACGCTTGTCCGCCATCTGCTATGGTTGCGAGAATCTGACCCCGGTGCAAAGTCGATTGTGTTTTCGCAGTACAAGGACTTTTTATACGTTTTGCAAAATGCGCTGAAGCGTTTTCGCATCGGTCATACCTCCATTGACGAGCCTAATGGTACATCTAAGTTCAAGGAAGACCCAGCTATTGAGTGTTTCTTGCTTCATGCTCGAGCACATTCCAGTGGTCTGAACCTTGTTAATGCAAGTCACGTCTTCCTCTGCGAGCCACTCTTGAACACTGCAATCGAGCTGCAAGCCATTGCACGAGTAGATCGTATCGGTCAGCAACACGAGACCACGGTTTGGCTGTACATTGTTACAGGCACAGTCGAGGAGTCCATCTACAACTTGTCTGTAAGACGGCGCTTGGAACATCTGGGTCGCGGCGCAAACAAGAGCCGTGGTGCGACGCCGGAGTTGCTCGATTCCAACATTGAGCAGGCTAATACGCTGGAACTCGAGCGTGCAGCGCTGTCAAAGCTGATGAGCAAGGACCGGTCAGCTGGTGAAATGGTCGAAAACGGAGACTTATGGGAGTGTCTGTTTGGTAGCGTGCCCAAAGTGGACGAGAGGGATGACCGCTTACAAGAGCGTGCAGTAATGAGCTATCTTGCCGCCGCCGCGGCAGACAAGCGGGCGTAAGGCAGGGTATATATATAATCGAACAATGGAGCGGCGCTGGCGCTAGGGACAGGATGATTTATGAACAACGGCTCCTCTCTCTTCATGGGTTTACACATAAAATGATATATTTAATTTCTGTACTTCTTCATCCTCTTTGGAAGGGCACTCGCGTCTATGTTTAATCACTTTGCTTGCCCGCCGCCTTCTTCGACACGGCGCGGTTAATATGGTGCTCAGGAATCCAGCTCTCGTCATAGGTCTGGCGCCCAGTACCCGCGCCAATACTACGAGACGTGGATAGATCCGCAGCCTTCTTGGCCTTTTTGGGAGTGCGAGGCTCACGCTTAGGAGTCTGTGTGAAGAGAGGCTGGATCCAGGTCGTGAAGATAAGGTAGAGCGCACCAGCAAAGCCAGCGGACAGGATGAGGTACAAGAAAATGCTAAGGATTTGAGTCAGCAACTCGCCAAGTGTTTAGGATTTCGCGTATACGTACATCTGGGGGTCGAGCAGGTTCGTAGCTGGGTCGACTACGGAAGTAACGCTGCCGTACGCGGGGATCTGGTAAACAGCGCCCTTGGCGTCCGTAATAACAGTCATAATCTCGAGCTTGACATCGCGGGGGAGCATGTCGACAGAGAACGCGTAGCTCAGCTCCTTGGCCTCGCCGGGCTGAACGGCAGCATCGTACTGCACAGCACTGAGGTTGCGCAGAATGCCCTGCCATGCGGGTGTGTTTTCCGGGAGAAGCTCAGGGTTGGCGAGGACGCCTGCGACGATGGCGACTGTGACGGGGGCCTTTTCGTTGTTGGTTACCTCGATAATGGCGCGAGTAGGCGCGCCATTGACAAGACGCAGGCCGAGAATGTCAGAGTCTGGGAAGCTCGTCTTGGCGGTTACTTTGAGAGATGAGGCATCGCCGACAGTCTGTAGTTGATCGTGTTAGCGGGGGTGGGCTGCACTGGGATGGTGATGTAGATGTACCTGGGCGATGACGGCGATGGCCTGGAAGGCCAATCCGGCGAGAAGAGAGGAATTAAAGAGCATTTTGGGGGAGATGAATTGGCGATGGGAAAGAATGAGATTAAGTAGTAGAGGATGTTGATGAGGAATGGTTTGAGGTTGCGTGGCGTTGCAATAGGTGGCTCTCCAGTGTGGACACCTACCCACCACAGCCGTTAGCGATGGTACGGTCCGCAACCGAACTCGACCAGGCAGTGCCAGTTTGGGGGAAGCCGTAGCGAACCGTAGTGAACACATCTCAACTCCCGACAGACTCTTCAATGGATGACTGCAAATCATTACTTAACGCCAGAACTGGCGTTGTATGGAGCTTCTAAGTTTACCTGCTTCATATTGCAGCCTCCTGTATTTCTATGTATCAAACAATATTTACACTAATTGACACTAATTGACACTAATTGACACTACAAAAGAGCAACACAGGTACGCCTGATTTTGTCTTTCGACAAGCCAGTTTGCAGCGGCGTGTCTGTTTCCCGACTATATATTACCTCATATGCAGATCTGTTACCATTAATCAAATACATCCCTTTTTTATTGTTCCTTATTTTGGACTCCTTGCAATAATTCTCTTGATCAACCACTATACCGCTGAAGCGAATTGGAGACCACGGACCGCTAGCAGGGGTTAACACATTAACGAGGCTGAGGCTGACTGCAGGTCGGTGCAGACACTTCAAGATGGCTGGAAACATCTCCGCGTCTCTTACTCGTCATGCCACAAGAAAAATAACATTTTCTCGCACCGGAGCTACAATCACGTCGAGTATAAGCCGATTGCGTTCCATGCGTCGCTGTACGAGAATTCGGTAGACATGAGCGAATACAGCGATAGTGAGGGGGTCGACAGCCGCAAGCCGGGAGCTGATCATATCAGCCCGGATTACGCAGATTTTAGTGACGAGAATTCAAATCACTCCAGGGTGGTACGTCACACCACCGTATACATCCGGCGTTCTCCCCACAGAGAAAGAGAATCTCAATCGACGTATCAGGCTGGGCAGGCTGACGAGCACCGCTCTGACGTCGAGCCAGAGAGTGAAGTCGCCTTTGGAAACAATGACGACGAGTCCGGGACTGAAGAGCTTAACTTTGATGCGCGAGAAGAAGAGCGTGTTGAAGGTAGCGATGGAGGTGCAATACCCAGTGAAACCAGCGAGGATGAGAGTGAGAATGACCGCTCATGGCCGCCTCCGAATCGGTACGCGGCCAGCAAGGCCAGGGCCAGCACTAGGGTTTTCCTAGTTGGAAGGGACGGACATACTACTTACTCCAGTGACGATGGCAACGATCGACCGGCAGTGCAGCGAAACCGAGTGCATTTTGAAAGAGACACCATCCCGCCGTCCAGATCATCATCTGCGTCATATGGCAGTCGCGTGTCCGAGGGCTACAGTTCGGAATCCACCAGATTCGAAACTAGAGAGCGAGACAAGAGTACTGGGTATTATTATTCATCGCCATATAATGAGTACATTGAGCATGCTAGGAATATGTCAAGACCTCGGATAGAACCACCCCGTTCCCGCTACCAATCCGAAAATCGTTCAACCCGACAGCGTACGGACCGGCAACGAAAGGGGCTTTCAAAGACCTTTTCTTTACTAAAGTCCTCCGTCATTGGCGATACTGATACTCCGTTATATGGGAGAAACATGCCCCTCGACCGAACCTGGAGCACATTTGCAAAGAACTGGACCGACGGAGTCGCTACATTTCACATTATTCAGTCTTCTGAATACACCGCCGACAAATCAAACGCGCAAACCATCCGTCTCGTTTGCTCTAATGGGGCCGGGGCACATTCTCTACCATCGGAACCAAAGGGCACAAAGTGGATGTTAGTCGACGCTTCAGATGCCAGAGTTTCACTAACTAACATTATCTGCAGCCATCTCGAATCGAGTAACCTTACGTTGGAACTTTTAAAGGTAAGCAACCACTGCAGTGTGATAGCGCGTTCATCAACTAACAGAATGGCTCGTTAGACTTTTGTTCTCCGTCTTGATTTTCTCTTACCCCCTGCACTACGCCGCTTAGCCATCCAGACGATTGAGGACATCAGGCAAACTGATCCACTCAAGGTGCGATCTTTAGATGGAACACGCCCAAAACTTGGAGAAGTCTTGGGTCGACTCTCTGCAAACTCTGGCTCCAAAACAAAAGGACAAGACAATGCAATCTTTCTTTCCAACCCCCATCTCTTTGCTCCAGGTCCCCTAGACGCTCTACCAATACAGGGCGTACCGACCTTATTGGACAGCTTATACGAGTATAATATCGACAATGGCATTGATAGTCATGATCAGGCTGCTCAAGCCGGGGGCATATTCGTTCCCCAATTATGGTCTCTGTTGTTGAATTCAGGTAAACCCAGGCCTTTTATCCCTTTTAATTATCTTTGCTGACCGACCTTATTCAGATATTCTTATAACCTGTTCCCAGCTCTCCTTTGAGAAACTCTGTCATGGTCTAGTAGAGATGGATATGAATCAATCTACAACCGATGTCCGATTTACTGTGACTATCGTGGATCCATTTGAGAGGTCTTTCACGCTAGCAGTGCATCCATCATCGACGTATGTGGACTTCCTTAACGATGTGCTCGAAATGGGCACACCTCATCACGATTCTGTTGTCCCTTACGAGCTTCACGATTCCAGTGGTAGTCCTGTACGTCCACAGCAATGGATACAGCTCCTACAGTCAAAAAAGTTGGAGGGGCAGGTGTTCAAGATTCAAAGGAAGCCTACTGAGCTGTATTCGGAGAGTGAAGCCGCAGATTTTGATCTGTGGCCCGAATCCTCCGTCCACCAGAGTGGAACATCGTATCGAATTCGATCTATGGAAAGAGATCGGTCTGCAATGCCGTATGAAGCCCATGTGTTGAAGCTTGTCGAGTCGGCGACATTTAAGAATAAGACCGCAGATCAGGTCCGTGATGAATCAAGGTCAGTGTCAGTGCCTATGCCACCGGCTGTCAAAGAAAGCGAGAATGACTGGCAGCATAAAACGGATCCCAATGTGTTTATTGCCGACCAGTCTTCGGATGATGAGGTAAGTCCGCCCTCGACCTAGCTTGACACATCTAACGACAAGAAAAGCACTTCGAAAGGGTTCGAGAGAATGAGCCTGTAAACGAGTTTCCAAGAACAGGCCCCCAAGGTTCCTTCAGTGCCAAAGATGAGCAGTTTGACTCTGACTATCCCCGCCGCCACAGACATCGCTCCCAATCGAGGCGTTCGTCATCTGTGCAGTCACAGAGATGGCTAAATAAGTCAAAACGAACCCCATCGATGGTGGAAACGTCTATGCTTCCGGTGGATAAAGTTTCCATTTCTGTTTTGCGGGAGATGGGCTACGACTTTACAATCGAGGTTGGTTGCATAGTGCCTCAAACTAGTATGACTCTCTCTAACCGATACAGGATGACATGTACATATTTTCATTCCCTGTGGATTTGGTATCCATTCATCAGCTCCTCAACACCACCGGTATGTAGCTGTGAAAGTCTGCTGTAGCTCATGTTGTCGCTAACTACAACAGTCGAAAATATCCCCAACAGGGTTGTCAAAAGGCCATTCTTTACTTGGAAATCAACGGCTTCACTGTCTCAGGTGGAAATTACTGACGGTGTAATCAAAGTGCTAAATCGTATTATTAAGCTCCTACTCAAAGAACGCACCAGCAAACTACACCAGGACGGCTTTACCTGCACTTTGGCTGACTTGCAGACGCGTCAAATCTCTTCTGAAGTGGTTGGCGAGCTTCCCGATGTCAAGGAGTCTGTTGCAGATGGCAATCGCAATGATAATGGCTCACAGCATGGGATTACTGCTGAACAGTCCAAAAATCCTTCTTTCAGGTCAGAGCCAAACACTTCGACACAAAACAATGATTCAACGGTAAAAGAAACACCGGATTCTCTTCACGAGTCCTCATCCGATACATCTGAGGCTTCAACAAATGATAGCCAGGTTACACTTGTTGATGCTAGGCATGGGCGCTTGATTGAGGTGACAAACTTGTTTCTGGAGGATTTTGTTCCTAGAAAGGGCGATGCTACCACCCATAGACTCGTTCAACGTCTCTGGGGCTTTGTAGATACGATTTTGAGAGTACGTGATAATGCCCAGAAACAAGGGTGCGTGTCAATGCTAACTAGCTTCTGCAGCAACTTGCTGCCGCTCCCCTTCGCTCACGGGAATCAAAGCAATGGATCATCCGCAAATTCCCTATGGCCGGCAACAAACTTGCCTTTGACCAGTGTAAAGACTGCACTAGCAAAGTTACTTATGCTGGGTGTGCTGCTGCGCTTGACCATCTGCACTCGACGCACATGCAATGTTCACATGAGCACGACTTGAAGATACCCTCTGAAGATCCCTGTTTTATCTGGCTCTCTTGCATTGACGAGATGCCTCCCATGCAGACTGGTGACAGAGTCGCTATTGGAATCGATAATCTTGTGAACAACATCCTCGAGATCACAGCGCGCACCCACAACCTGCACTGCCTCGTGGCGTCGTCTACTCCCACCAAGCACAAAACACTGCCTCTCCTATCGGATCTTGTATACCTCTTTCAGGATACTGTCTCCATGTATGCCATTGTTGCCCGTGAGCTGACATACATTGTCCGGGCAGACATACAATATCCAAACGGCGCTAGATGCTCTCGGCTTGCATCGAGTCTGCAAATGTTCCGAGATAAAATCATGGTCAACATTAGATACTTGCTTGACACTGCCGAAGCGGAACTACTTCTCGGCTCAAAGACTCGCGAGTTTGACTTTGTCGAGGCTATTGGCCCAGAGTTCCTCGTCGCAGCCCTCAGTATCAATCTGCAAAACAGACCCATTGACGAAGACTCCCCTGAAACAAGCGAGCTATACCGCCAGCGTCTCTGGCGACTGCGGTATCAAGGCACCCGACGCCCAGACCGTCGACTTCATCTGAACCTGAACAAGTTTGGTGACGAGATTGATGCGCTCAGCGCGCTGACCAAAAGCCAAATACGCTGTCTGAAGGACTACGACCAGCTGATCTCTCCAGCATCCTCCCCAGTTACGGCACAAGATCGTGAAATCAACTATAGGTTCGAAAAACTATTGATTAATCGCCAAGTGCGCCATCTCGAAGACCGCGATGATAGGCTTGCCAAGCTATCCAGAGAAGCGAGACGACTCAAGGACGAGGTCCGCGCAAACATTGATATTCTGGAAGAAGGTCATGGCAAAGCCATCCGCGTATTCACGCTTGTTACGCTATTCTTCCTCCCACTGTATGTCATACTTGATTGTTCCTTTGCCAATCTTGAGTCTTGCTAACTTGTGTGTAGGTCCTTTGTCACGAGTTTCCTTGGCATGAACACTGCTGATATCCGGGACATGGACAATGACCAGCGCTTGTTTTGGGCGATTGGCATCCCCGTCACTGTCGTAGTCTTTACAGTAGCCTTTGTCTATGGGTACCAGAGTGACGTGCTGTTTGATCGCATTGCTGCGGCGCTAGAGGCCCGGCAGGCTCGTCGAGCAGCATTGCTCAAGAGGCGGCCAACGCGCGAGGATACGATGTATTCTATCCGGTCGATGCGATCGGACGATCTCAAACCATCTAGTGAGTCCAAGAGATTCGGTTTGTGGAAGCGGCATGGTAAAAAGGACACCAGTAACGGCGTTGTATAAGAAGCCGAGCCTTGTGTGTCTAACAATTTATCTAAAACAACACATGACTTTGACATATAAACTTTTTCATTGTTTCCGCTATCCCATTGCGACTTCTGTACAAATTAAAAACTAAACTCCCGCTATTTCAAAGATCGCCACCCCCCAAATCCATGCTATCCCATCCGTCAAAGACGTCAATGGTGCCCTCCAAGTCAAATAAATCGCCCTCCGTCACCGGCTCAAGTGCCAAATCTAGCGCTGTAGCATCCAGAGCGCTCGCGTCCAAGACACTGGCATCTACAGCCATAGTGTCGTCGACAGCCGCCGTAATAGCATCGTCCAGCTGCGTCGCATCCGCCGCTATAAGAGTCATCTCTGCATCCTGTAGGATAGGTTCCGGCGGGGGAATAAGCAGCTGAGCCTCGACCTTGCGGTGCAGACGGACAATAATCTCCGCGCGCTGCGCATCCTTCTTTTGCGTAATCTTCCAGTCGTCGGCCTCAGCCTTGAGGGCGCCGCGCAGGTCTAGCGGGCTCGACGCAGACGTAGGCCCAGCAGTTACATCCGGTGCTGCAATTAGCGCAACAGCAAGGTCGTAGGCGGCGCCAGCATGACCCGCGTCTGTCTGCTGCCGCACCTCGTCGACGATGAGGCGGAGTAGGCGCCGAGCACCGATGATCTTGACGCCAGCAACGAGCTTACGGTGTGTGTAGTCGGGAGGCGGGCTACTGGTGCCTGATTGCAGACTCCACTGGATGAGACTCTGCATCGTTTGGCGCAGAGCACCTGTGAGGCCTGCGGACGATGAATTTGCCCATTTCTCGAGTTCGGTGTTTTCGGCGCATCCTGTGCGGCGTGACAGCGGCACGTTTTCACGTAGAGACTCGATCAGAGGCTCGACCTCCTGGTTGCGCGGGTCTTCGCGTTGGTATGTCCGCAGGGCGTGCGTGAGGGGCTGCGCAATCAGGTTCTTGACGGAGATGAGCATGATGTTGGCCTCTTGGTTGGAGCTGGGCGTCATGGCCATGTGGAGGATCTTGATGATGGACTTTTGCTCCTTCTGGTCAACCCACAGGTAGTCGGCAAGGAAGAGCATGGCCGGGGCGAGGCACGGGAGCAGGAAAGTATCCGCAAGGTCTGTGGGAAGTTAGCTACAAGAACGATAGAAGGTTGGAAAGGAGAAAAAAAGATACGTACATTCAAACCCACCCTTGAGTGTTTCTTCGTTCACATAGCCGTGGGCATGGGCAGTCACAATACTCTGGAAAATGGTACCAATAAGCTGGTAAAAGTCCCCAGGGGGACATGAAGACATGAGGTCGTCGCCAAGGCCTCCAGCATCGCTGTCAAAGAGACCCTGAATCCAGCCGTTGACGTGGTTCTTTTCTTGTTCGGAGAGGTCGTCCAGTGAGCGGCTGGCGTGGCTCTTGTTGATGATTCTCGCAATAGCAGAATCGTTCGACGGCGCGCCAAGCGTAGTGCTCGACACTTTATACCGGTAAGCAAAAGCCAGTACGAGTAGCAGGATGGATCCAAATTCGTCATAGACGGGCTGGTACTCAGTCTGATCGTCGTCGTACTTCCAGCCGTCGAGGAGCTGGCACAGCGGCGCCATGATGGCTGGCAGCTTCTCAAAGAGAAGTAGAATATCTAGCGACTGGGGTTTCTGCGCCAGCTGAGAACAGAGCAACTTAAGCGTCATGGTCTCTTTATTGTTACACAGCTGGCGGATAAGCTCGACAAGCGCTTGGCAAACTGCGCCGACGTTGCCATCCATCTTTTCAAGCTCAAGTAGAAGGCCTTGGATTTTGGACGGGTCTGTCAGGCATTCCTGCACGAGCGTCTCCTTTGATTGCTTTTGTAGATTGGGGTTGTACGCCATCGACAGCTCGCCGAGGATTCTGTCAACGTGCCCACGGTCAATGAGGCCGTGCAGAGCACAGGCTGAACAGAACTCCTCGCGGACGCTGTCGGTGTGCTGATTGCTCTCCTGGATAGAATCAAACATGAGAGAGGCGGTTGGGAAGACATTGTTATCCAGTTGATTGAGAGCTTCTGTGATGCAGAACTCCGATGTCGTTGTGGAAAACTCGGGCGGTACGAGCTGGCACAGGAGCAGTGGGACTTTGTTGACGAGATACGAGCGTAGAAGGTTGCCGTCATTGGAGTTGGGCTTCTTCCATGCTGCAGAGGCTAGGACATCGAAGGATGCTAGGATCAAATCAATGGCGCTAGCCTGTGTGTTTCCTTGATGTCGGTTGTTAAGGTACGAAAACAGGGTGTGGTCGTCCAAGATGGGTCGACCGATGAGCTACATCCGAGTCAGCAAAGCTGTAGGTAGTCTCCTTTGTTTTCCCATTACTTACTGAAGCACTGAGATACACAAAAAGACCTGTCCGTGTTGTGGAAATGGCAATCTCGGGAATAACAAAGTTCTCCGATCCGACAGTCGAATCCAGCAGCTCGTCCATGGCAGCATTAGCCGCGGCCGAGCTCTTCTTATCAATTGGGTCCATCTGGGCAAGCGTCTCGGTCCTAAAAACTTCCAACTTCTCTGCAAACTGCGGCACCGGCTGCAGAATCGGTATAAAGCTAGCCAGGCTGTCAGACAAGAGCTTGCGCAAAGCTGCAAATATCCACGTTAGCTATTCTGCAGGTCGCAGTTTCCAACCCATATGCTACATACCTTTCGAGGTAGGCTGTGCCAATACCTTCAGCAAATATACATTATCAACGACGCGAAGTAGAAGCGGGACAAACGCCGCCCTCGCAATCTCCATCTCCTCTCGTGCCTGCAGCGCATCCAGTGCTGTCGCATTTGAGGCTGCGACAAACAGGTGCATCCACTTGCAAATCACATCCACCAGCTCAAGCGCGCCCAGGGCGTCTTTGAATCCAGAGCCTTCCACAACCGTCTTGATTACGTGGTAGAACATGATCTCTTCAGCCCAGGACGAGCTCTTCCAACGCGCCTTTGCTTTGTCGCCATCTTTGCCATCGCCCGGTGTCGCCGCATGTAGCGCCGAGTGCTTATAGAGGGCGCGAAGAATCGACGGCGCATCTATATAGCCCAATTGGCTGAGGACTTGGATATACGGCGGTATCCGCGGGTCGAGGGAGACGTTGTTGGAGGGCTGCGGGCGGAGGATGAAGTCGGCGATGGCCACGGGGCGGAGGGGGTATTTTGCGTGGACGAGGCGCACGTAATCGCGGAATTGGTCGGTGTCGAGGCGCTGTGAGATGCACTTGGAGATAAAGTCGGACCAGTAGCGCACTGCCGTCTGGAGCTCTTGTTGCTTGGCAACGGCCATGGTGATAACAGGTGTGCGGGAGAGAAGGCTCAAAGCCAGCTTGCCATTCGCGGCGGTGCTGCAGCGCGCAGCTATTTAAGGCTTTGGCACTCTAGCCTAAGACTGGGTGTCTTGTCGATTCGGATGGCGAGTTGCGCAATCGTAGCAGGATGTGCGGATGGCGGGCGCAGGAGATGAAGTTGGCGATGTTGAAGTTCGACCTATGGCGTCGTTTGTCCGGCGTGTAGCGTGCGGTGGGGCGCTACTGTACCACCAATGCAGACCACAGCACGCACATAGTGATGACACCAATTGACTTGGCAGTGAGGTGGGAATAATTAAATTAAAATTGTTACGGATTCCATCTATCATTTACAAATGATTACGTGCTTTCTAAGTAACAAAATCATAGAATCACTATTCTGTGTGCTCTGGCTTATAAACAGTTAGAATGTGGCGGGTGTCAATAATGGTCGTGGCATACACAAAATAAGTAAACGAATTAAAGCCGAAATTTCCTTTGTAAAATAAGTAGTTTGCTGTTCATTGCTGTACTTTGCGTGCATTGCCAGTGGAATTGCCTATCAGCGTCATCAAATCTCCCCCGTGGCGCCTGGTGCTATCTTTTCGACAATGGCAAGCAGTTCCGACCAAACTCTATTCATTAGTTTCTCGCCGTCCTCTCCAACCAAAATTTCTGGGTATCTCCGCTGTTCGCACGATGAGCGGAACGTGTCGTGCGAGTCCTCGCCCTGTAACGCAGAGTCGATGATTGTGCATGACGCCACTTCAGCGGTGCGCCCAAATATCCAGTTGAGACCGCTGACCAGCAGCGAGAACGGAAAAGGGACATTTCGGAATAGATCGGAGCGCACAAGTCCAGGGTTCAGGGAGTTCATGATAACGTGGCCCTTGCCCGACTCGTTTGTGGCTAAGGCGAGGCGATGCATAACAACGAGTTGTAGCAGTTTTGTCGTGTTGTACCGTGCATTCATATCCGAATCCTTGCGGAGCTCCTCGAATATCACAGGCGCAGTCTTTTGAGAAAAGCTAGTCTGTACAGAGTTAGTTCATATCCATAAAGCAGCCATAGCTATCGCCAACTCACCATGAACGCGCCGTCAGAAGAGACTGTGACAATCTTAGGCGTCGCATTATGCCTTACGCCAGACTTTCGCAGTGTTGGAAGCACCAGTAGAGTCAGCAACAACGTCGAAATCGTGTTGACAGTCAACATAGACTCGTAGCCCTCCTTCTCCTCATATTTCATCGGTAGGACGGAGGCATTGTTTACCAGAATGTCGAGCCTTTCAAGCTCTGCCGCGCGAGTAGCAAATGCTTTGACGCTATCAAAAGATGACAGGTCTATGTGCCATGCTTCAACAACATTGGTAGTGTCAGTGGTCGCCTCAATATCCCGCTTGGCGGCTTCTGCAGCCACAGTGTTCCGACACGCCAGAATCACTTTGGCGGCGCCCATACGAACAAAGCGGCGGGCCGCCTCACGCCCGATTCCTTACTCCAATGTCAGCCATATGCCTTAAACAGCGCGTACAGGGCGGAATAAAGCCGTCCTGTGCACAATTTAGCGGCCAGTAACGCACCAGTATTGGAGCCAGTGACAATCACGGTTTGACCCGTAAAGTTGCCCTGTGGCTCGTCAAGCTTGCCGAACTGTTCCTGAAGCCCCCGCCATAAGTTGAGCCTAGCCCCAGGTTGGTTTTCTGGAATCATAGTAGAATCTTTTATTTTGGGCTTCATCTGAAGCAGACCCGAGTGTGAACGGGGAAAAAAAGCATCGTCCAAGGGATGTTAGCCGTTTTGCGGGGTCGGCCGTCGCGTAACGCCACAATGCACACCTCAAGTCAGGCTAGCCGTCCCCTAGCCTTGCCTGCAATCCCCAGGGGAGCTCTGAGCACGGCAAGTATGTAGTGAGAGAAGGGGGGCGTGTGCATGGCGCAGCCGAACCCAGCTGAAGCCTAGCCAATTTCCTACCAAGATATCGCTAGGTAGTGCGCATCCAGAGAGGCCATGGGCAAAACAACTTGCACCAATCGTAGCGCTCATCCCATCGGATGCCAAAACTGGACACTATCTAGCAATCCTGCTTTCAATCAGTTGAGGTGTATGTCTTTTTTGGCCCCAGGCGTGTCAATAGGAAGCCATCCATGCACAACAAACGAGGATGATGTCTTCGTTCCCAAGCGGACCTCCTTCAATTGGCAATTCCGAGCCCTACAGGGCACCCTATTTCATGGCGCTAGACACGCAGACACGCTTTGGTGGTGATAAGTTGCTTAGGAATGCTCTTGTGCTGCGGGTGAAAATGAGGCGGACGGCCTCATCGCTCGGCTAGTGTTATGTACTTGCTCTGCCGAACCTGCCACGCCGGGCGCCGCTACGGCCACCACGAGATCTGAGCCAGCTAAAACAACGGCATTCTAACCGCAGCAACACTCTGTACTGTACATACAGTGAAAGCCTATTGTGGGCCCCTTTTCTGTTTTGAATGCATTACAAAAGCTCTCAGGAGCTTCTTTTCTGAAACAGACTGGTTCCTTTGTCCATGAGCGGGCCTTTGGCCCCCATCGGCAACGCCGTTGTGAGAGATGTGAGATGTCAACCGATTCCAACCTGTGAGCATATATCTACTCGGGCCACGGTAAATCATTCATGTACCGAGGGAAGCGGATGAAGAAACCATGGTAAAATGGTCCCCTGTCGCTAGAGCGCAAATACAAACCTATTACAGTAGCCAAAAATGGGAAGTGGGCGCGCATCGTCTGCTCAGGTCCAGCTGCGGACCCCATCGAGCTGAAAACCAAAGGCGCACTAAACAGTGCCAGCCGTCGGGATAGCACGCGGCTCCTAGACCGCAAGAGAACGCCTCCCATCGTCATTCTCTCCCTGCACTATGCCTATGCTCCTGCCAAGATCTGCGCAGGGGAGGGAAAATAGGGCCACCAGCTGAGAAGAGGTAAGGCGATACGAGGAACGGCTAACACACCGGAGGCGTGGCTGACCTTTAGCCTGCATGCTAGCGGCAAGGATAACCAACCTTCTCTTCTAATAGTTGTACGGGAAGTTGAAGCGCAAACCCCTAGCAGTGGGCAGTGCCACAAAGCCGCAGTCATTGCCTTATAGAGCACCTCAGCTTACAAGGTTCAACGATCCCATCCTGGGCAGACAGCGCCACGCAGACGGTATTGCCGTTATCATTCCCAGCGACCTATAACAGAAAGAAACAGCGCGCCGGAAGTCTATGTAGCCGTTCGCTTCCAGCTTAACCGAAGTGAAGGCGCGGGTTATTCTTGGCCGGCATCGGCACCGCATTGGGCATCATACCCCGAATGTGTGGCTTGCCATGTAGTCCAAGGTTACTTGCCAATTAGGTCGGCGACGTTCACATACCAACCATATTGATCCTGACGCCTGACTACCGAATCAGCGTGCAGGTTGGTCCCGTGTAATCAGCCAATAGCGTCTTGCTTGAACAGATGATCGCTCACACACGTTACTTGGGAATACCTCAGCTACCAGTGCCGGTTGCTGATGCGGGTGTCCCACAACCGTTCTGTCTCCCCCGAGTGCATACAGTGCGCAAGAATGCAAGAGGTTGCCAATGTATAGGCTGTGTTGTCTTTCGCTTCATTTCCGCAGCGCCGGGTTGCTGTGGCTAATTATAGATTTTCCATGCTGTTCATCCTGCACACTGGGCGCTTATATAAAAACGCCGCGTTATGATAGGCTAGCGTCGCTGGTACACTTCCCGAGATTGGTAGACCAGCACATCCAGCAGCACTAGGCCAATATTCCAAGATTGGGTGCATGACCAACATTCAGTGTCTCGGGTCCCGTTTCTTCAGCATCCTGTATCAAACGGGGGCTAGATTATTGCAGCGATTTTGCCTGCTCTTTGGACAGCTTCGTTCCGCGGCAAAACCAAGCGAATCTCAGCAGGACCGTCTCCACTGTCAGTTTCAGGCCCAGCCTACAAACGGGCTGAGCTATCCACCCATTGTCGATGGACGTTCCCACACCCATAACATAGGGCCAGCAAAAGCGAGGGTGCAGGGATCACTAGTTCCATTTTGCTGCCGGGTTGTTTTAGCGATGATACTCCGTGATATGAAGAGAGCCGCCCCGGTGTGTCCTGTGCTGTAGTTCTTCCCTGGAGCAATATTATCCAATCTGCCCGTATCTCGTATTCCCCTAGCAGCCTGCCAACTGTGCGGTTGCTCATGATCGAATGAATATTGACTGCCGAGCGCTCTCACGAGAATTGAAGGGACACACTTACTTTCAAAAAAGAAAAGAAAGCGGAATTAATTGCAAGTCGCAAGTATTCCCCATGCGAGGCTCTTGATCATGTGCGGAGGTTTGCACCGCTCGGTGTCGTCAATAACAGGCTGGTATTGGAGGACGGGCAGTGCAAGGCTGACGCCAACAGGCTCAAGAAGACGCTTGGGTCGAGTTCGCCATGTGGCTGGCCGCCCCTACAGCACCAGATCATGCCGATCCTCCTTTGCCTCTGTACCTGGTACTTTGTTCCGTTTGATGAAGCAACAGCTGCCCAAGCAAGACTTTACGCCAGTTAACCTTGTGCATTTGTATTGTCTTTTTCAACGCCCGCGCCCTGTCGGTCGGGCTGTGTTCCTGTTGGCCACGGTCGTGGATGGACGTAACGTTCACTTACATGCCCGGCGACAGGACAAGCGCATCACAATGTCTCACCTTCGTTTATAGGAGCGCTCACCTATATCCAGTATCCGCTTAAAATTAGCTTCTCCTGCAGCAGGGAACCCCACGCTAGTGTTGAAATGCAATCGTCTTTCTTCCTTGCAGGTGGATAACCCGTGGTTTGCCCGAAGGATTTGGCAGTCTTATGCCAGTTCACAAGTGGCAGACACTGGCGTGGCACTGGCCACAGGAACGAAGCGGGGAATCCCAGGAAGCTGAAGGCGCCAGCCCCCAGCTCTAGTGGCGGTAACGCACGCTGTTCTCCACATACGAAAAAACATTGAACCAGCGACTGCCCAGTCACCCACCCGTTGTCGAATCCCAACTGCAAGGCACCGGCATCAGTATTGGTCCATCTCAACCATTACCGTTTTGGGCATTCTTGTTGTATACCTTTCCCGCCTGTTCTGCCCAACCGAATCCCGTTGCTCTCGATCATCTAGATTCGCATCAAATCCCGTACTTGCTTACTCTAAAACTGTGCTGCAGAATAGACTACTGCTTTGCCGACGGCCTCGGTAGCTATGCATCGATCCGAGGAAGGAGCAATCGCTCTGCAACTTACACCTTGCCAGCGGCGAGCTTCCCGACATGCATCCCTCACACTCATGCAGTGTCCATCGCCTGAAGCCTCATGAGTCAGGCTGACGCTACTTGTACATCCAGCACCGACATTCCCCTACGGTCACCCGCACACTCCCACCTAGAGGCAAAGCAAATCATTGTGACAACCTTTACGGAAAACCTTGATCTTTTCCGCAGAAGCAAGAACCACGTGTTCCATCGTTGAAAGCGGGCCAGCAATAGCAGAAACCTTAGGCGGCTATGCAGCCCTCATCCAGGCGTCGATGCAGGCACTGTCTACCACACTCCCTCCCTAAACCAACATTGGTAAGCCATTTAGAGGCAAGTCCAGGCGACAAGTCTATTTCTGTAACAACTCGAAGTCGGTGTCTTACCCATGCCTGACCTCCCCAGCTTCAGCTTCACGTCCTGTAGCGACGGGACAGCTGTCATTCTCAACTAGCGCCAAGTGACAGACGACCAGCACCGCACCAGCAGTCTCATCTCCTGTTTGGCCGTCTAGCTGACCTATAGCTAAGCAGGTCGACGTAAAACGCAAGCAAATGGGCTCTACCCACCCCTTTGGGCGAGGGGCAGTGACTCTGGGGTGAACGATTCTAGCCCCCATCACTTACACAGTCGCATGTCATCGTCTTTCCAGTCGCTACCGCCCAAGCCGCTAGCCATCGTGTTCACCATGTAAAATGGCTTGCCAAGGTAAAAAGGAACCCTGGCCATTGTAGATCAGTCGACATCGCGTTCGCCTTACAAGTATGTGCCGGTTCACGAGTTGTGTCCCGACCAAAAAATGCAAATGCAGGTCAAGCACGTCTCCTATCGCATTGTGTAGTTGCGTTACTAGCTGTACCTTTCCCTGACATCAGTGGAGAAGCACTCCTTTTTTTTCCGTCGTTTGTTTGCAAGGCGTGCATGGTTGAGGAAAATGCGTGGATCGAATCTTGCGCATTGGTCAATCAGCCCCCCTTCCCTGCCCTGCCCTCCCCAAGCCAACTCACTTAGTCCCGTCTGCCTGCCTTTGGCACTAATAATGGAGGCGCCGAAGCAAATCTTGCATCCCGTCACCCTGTCTTTTTCTTGCAACTACACCAATACCGCAATTCTTGGTGTAATAAGCACACCCCCAGCCACACTTCCACGCACACCCCTCAGAGCAAACTTGTCCCCCACCCGAGATCCGGGCAAATCCAAGCCTGGGCCCGATGCTTGGCTGGTTTAAATACTTGGGTACATACTCAGCGGTAGCCTGGACTATGATTCTATTTGACACCATCTTGAAGCTGTATATATAATTGCAACCATCATCCGTCACAGTCAACCTTGCATCCTAGTATCCCATCCGCCTCTGCTCACCAACACAAATCCCCCAGCTACATCCATTTTTAATCTTCTCTATATATTTCCACCCCATCTTTTCATCACAAATCAAATACCATCATGGGCTCATCTAGCAAATCATCAGGTTCAGGAACAACTCGCAGGTCTCCTGGCTCTGGAAGACGGTCAAAGGAGATCAAGGAGATTGACTGGTCCAACGTTACAGACCCTGACGAGCGACGAAAACTCCAAAATTGTCTTGCACAGCGTAAATTTAGTATGATATACTCCATGTCTTATTTTTCTCAGCACGCAATACTAACACATGTGTCAAAAGGACAAAAAGTCAAAGACAGTAAAGAGAGAGAGGAGAGGGAAGCACGAAACGTTGCCAATGCTGGCAACAGCTATCGTATCCCCACGTCAGAAGGAATCACAGACAGCCCGGTATTGTCCGGTCTCCCTTGGGGTGGCGTGGACTTGAATTTAGTCATATCACGCGGTCATGAGGTAGAGAGTCGGCGAAGCAGTGGCCAGGATACCTGCAACGGCGACGACGCACGCACAATCAGTCAATACAGCTTGCAGAGCTTGTCCCTAGCACCACCCAATCCCTATCTTGGCTTCGATACCAGCCAAGGGGTCGAAGAGATGAATTACGAAGATCCAAAGTACTTATATGGAACTCCTATCTTTTCACATTATAGCCCGTGAGACTAAGACTGGTTTTAGTCGCAAAAACACATCCAAGGTTGGTCAGAACATGCTGATGAGGCACATCCCTTCGCTAACCTTTGCACTCTTAGAAGCGCGTATAGAAATCTGGTGCGAAGTTCTGTTTTTTTAAAGGGCATAGCTTATGTATTCGTGCCCATCATTGGTTCTGATTTCTTCTTCCTTTTCTCATTACTCTACGCAGTATTTCACTTGTTCAGCATTTTAGGTCAGTGGGTGCACACGCATTAGACGTTTTTATACCATGAGCGTTTGGGTCTCTTTTCTTTTATTCATTTGGCATTTTTGTTATAGACTATTGGAAGAATTGATAATTAATTGAATAACGTACACGATTCAAACCAAACTAGCAATATGTTTTTTTGGCCTTTACCGTCTTCACCTCCCACTCTCATCTGTGGACAAAAGCGGCGCATTCTCACCCTCGGGTGTTCTGGTCTCCAGCAAGGGCGTGAGCGGCCGCGGAACACGCGTGGCTATTGATCGAGTCCGCCAATTAGACTCCACTTGGTACCGCCCCGGGGAACGAGGCGTGTGCGGTGTATCACCACTGGCCGCCGTGAGTCAAGCGACGGGCGTGAGCCTTGCATGTGTCCCTCCTAGTGCTTCGTTTTTGTGACCCCAAAGCTGTTACTTAAATTTCAGGGACCAGTTTTTCTATAGCGCTGCCGGGGGGCCGCGCAGACCCGGGACCAATTCGGCCAAACTTCAGCTCTCGAGGCTATGTTCCGCGTGGGCAGCATCAGCTTGCAAGGCTGGTCAGGGACGATAAGACCAAGAGCAGTAAGTGATGCACAACATAAAATCACACAAAAGAGATCCCCCCTATTACAAGTAGCGGCACTTTGTGGTACGCCTTGCAGGTGGTGTCGCTTGTGCATTTCCGAAAGGGTACGCTAACCATGCGCCGCACTCACTACCGGTTTGGGCGTTCGAGGTGTATGGAGCCCGATGCAAGCCATGTAACGGTAAAAAAAGCTATATTAAAATAAGTCAAATTACATGATGAAGTCTGCCTCACGGCGGATAAAATGGCAACTCCTCCAACGTTTTGCTAAAAGGGTTGGCGGCTTTCCAAAACCGAAGCCGAGGGCCGAAGCCGCCCCGTTCATAATCAGCTCCTACTGGATTTAAGGATATTGGGGGCCGGGAATAACACGCCCCTCGATGCGAGAGCCGTTTTGCCCACTTGCCGAGAAACAAACTCGCTTGGGCGCAGATATGAGGACAGCGGTGCCAAATAATAAAGTGCATTTGTCGCCTAGAAAGGCAAAAAAGGATACAGTTTGTTTTTTCAGCCCTTCCAAACTCTGTGTAATACGCAGCAGCATTACAAAGCAGGCGTCGCTGTGGTGTAAGATGACGGTCGCCTCGGAAGTTGTCCGAGCGCTGAGAATAGGTGACTGACGTTTTGTGCCAGGCTGTGAAGATCACCGACGCAGGGGGCGATAGGGCGGTAAATTTACACAGCACATGAGCGCGGCGCCCTACGGCGGCGTACGCTAACAAAGGGCGGTAGTCGGAACTGAACGGAAAAACAAAACCAAAATAATGTATGAAACAGCGGTAGTCATCATTTCAATCGTTTAATCATAATAGACAGCCTTGTCTACCGCAGTTGCCCGAAAACAGGCGGTATTGAGACACCATAGAAGAATAGGGCCGAGTGCAAGGCTCAGCACAGACATGGGGGTGTGGCCGGAAGAGCCAGCTCCTGAGTGTTCGATGTCGTCTTTTCTCTCCCCGGTTTCAAATGGCCCATAGTGCTAATCTTGTTCAGCGGGATATTCCAGTTCTGCCTTGTCTGGAAAAGTGGCACATCCAGTTGAAGCACAACCCGATGTATACGAATTGTGGAGGGTGGGAGAGTTGGCGGCGGGCATGAGATGGCGGATAGGGCTGACGTATGCCCGGCCTTAAATTCACGAATGGCAAAGCTAAAGGTGATGGTCAGTTGGTATTCACGGTGGCTGTTTTATGGTTACCGTCGCTCGCCTATCCTGGGTGCATTCAATCCGCCAAACTCGTATTTTTTGAGTCAAGAATCAAAGTGCACCGCTCTTGACTACGTGCTGCCAGCGCACAGCAGCCGCTAAGCTCGTCTATGATGGTGTTTCTCGACTACAAAACGGGGGTGTGAAACTAAAACGCTGCTCTCGGGCAAATTGGCAGATTTATATGCCGTAGAACCACGATGTTGGCCAATCGCTGCCTTTGGCTCTATAGCTGTGAGCCTTAGGCTTCACTACACAATGGACGCGCCTCAAAACCAGAAGGTGGAGGTGTAAATAATACTTTCGTATTCTTCAACCACCTATAATGAGAAACTCTTGGACAAATCAGTATTTTGTAAATTTTAATATTTATTCATTTCAACATCGAGGAGCATCCAAAAGCGGAACCAGAATGTCTTGTGCCGCTCGATCGTCACTACAAAATGCGCCGCAATCGATAACGGCTGGTCCCACCTTTTCCAGTTCCACTGGCGATCTCAAGAAAAAAAAAGTGAAGCCAGCCTCTTCCAACGTCAGTGCTACCACCAATTGCCATTCCAACCAACACGTACGCGAATCAGGCGTGGATTGGTGTCAGAAGTACATTCTCAAAATTAGAATTCCCTTCTTCTACGCTCAATCAGAACAACAACCATGGCCAAAGTCAAGGCTGACCGGCCTACAAAGCCTGTAGACCCTGGTACTTTTCCTATGTTTCAAGGTCATCTAGCAATAGTTCTAACTCAATACGTACAGAAACGGCCAAAGCTAGCGCTAGACAGCGCAAGTCCAAGGCTCGCAAGGAAATCCGTGAAAAGAACAAAAAGTTCAAGGCCGAAAACGACAAGACTGCAAAGAAGACCACGGTCGACCCTACTACGCGTCTCGCCGACTTTAAGAGGAAACATGCTCGTCTTTCGAAGCGAATTACCCGGCACAAGACACTTATTGAAAAGTTAAAAACCGATCTAAGACGGTTTGAAGCGGCTGAGAAGTCAAGCGCTGGTAAAATTGCTGTATGTAGCAAAACGACAGTGCAACCCTGACCGCTATGCTAACAGGACCATAGAAACTTGAAAAAGAAGTCGGTACCGACAAGAAGCAAGACGAACCCAAAAAGGACAAAAAGACTGTAGAGAAAAAGAAGAAAGTCGAAAGCGAGAGCGAGGACGAAGATGATGATGATGATGACGACGACAAGGACACTTCCAGCGAAGAGGAGGACGGCTCCGACTCGGGCTCCGACTCCGACTCCGACTCCTCAGACGAGTCTGATAAGGACAAGAGCCGCAAGAGAAAACGAGACGATGAGCCCACACCTTCCAAAAAGGCCAAGAAGGAAAAGTCTAAGAAAGAGAAGGACTCCAAGAAGGAGTCCAAGAAGGACGACGAAGCCCCAGCGACAGACGTCAAGCTTGGAAACTGGAACATCTCCGAGCTTGAAGGCGGCAGCGCTCGTCAAAGCAAATTCATGCGTCTGCTCGGCGGCGGCAAGAAGGCTGCTGACGAGATCGCCAAGTCTGGTGCCAAGTCCAGCAAGAGGGACTCTCTCAACGTCGAAGAAGCCATTGAGAGGCAATTCCAGGAAGGGATGGCGCGCAAGTCTGACGGCGGCGGCAAGCGTCGTGGTCTCGGTGCCTGAGCTGCTCTGCATACTCGTTCCCCTTGTAAGGGGCCATTTTGCACATGTACATAGTCGTTTTCTGGCATTGGCGTCGAGTTTAGATAAAAGAGATACACTTTGACAAAAATTTAAATGAAGGATTTTTATTCTAAGTTGAACAGTTTGTGCGCCTGTAGAACCAAAGCTAGTAAGAAACGAAAACTAAAACGCCGTTTAGCAACCTAGGCCAGCCTTCTCTCTGCCTCTCTCTCTCTCTCCGTCTTCATTTGGTATCGATTTTCATCCCGTATATTTTTTTTAAAATCTTTTATACAATTCGCATTGTAGCTTAGTGGAACCAGCTAGCGAGGACTTCGAAGAAGAGGCCACCAAAGACGACAAAGGCAAGAATAACTGTGTGCGGTTAGCATCTGGCAGACTACAGGTTTTTGTCCGGGTATAGAAAACATACTCAACCAGAAGGGAGACACAGGGGACTTTAGAACAACCTTCTTCTCCTTCTTCTTAATAGCACTCTCGGGCTTGCCCATACGAGCTTCCTGCTCGCGGGCAAACTTGGCGTTGCGACGTCGTTGTTCAAGTGTTTGCGCCTTCACCACCAGTCAGCGTTCTAGATCTCGCAGGCGTTTAACAGACCAGGGGCGGGGATCACGTCAATGCGACGGCATCCCCAGCCACCTGGCGATTGACATACCATTGTGTGTTCTTGTAATATGTAACTGTGTGGTGGTGGATTGGGTCGTGGAGGAGGGGGAGGACCAGGAAGGACAGTGCCGGCTTTATGCGCAACGGTAGGCAAGTGCGTATGCGAATAGATATGGTTCTTTGGATTTCCAAATGTTGCGATTGTCGATTCTCAGGCAGCCGTGCGGGCGATTTGCGGTTTCGGTTTTGGGTGGATGAGCGGTCGCGTGTCCTGTTAGATTGCAGTTCGAACGGGTTTTGGGACTGGACATGTGTCGTTCGGGAGAGTAAGGTGTCCCTTTTCCCCACAAGGACCGAAGGTGTGGATCTCCGCGCCCCCGGCATGGAAAAGCCGCCTGGGTGCAGCCTGTCCCTTTTCCGGTTCACTATAACTGTGTGTGGCTCTACAGCGCGCATCGAAGCGGGAAGAAAGCTAGCGAAAAACAAAATTGGCTGAAAAGAAAATTCCTTCAAGCCCCCAGGAGTCATATAATACACGTCATGATGATGAGACGCGCGCTTGTGAACAAGCTGGCCTTGCCTACGAGAACCGTCGCCACACGCCGGTTTTACTCTGCACAGCCGGCCAATCCTACGGTACGTACAGGCGAGATACGGTAGAAATGCTGTCGCTAATAGGTGCAGACGCAATTTTATAAGACCTTCACGCGGCCAGTAGCCAAGGTGCTCCTGGTGGCCGTGTTTACGTATCAGGTGTGCTATTGGAGCTGGGTGAAGCTCGAGGCGGATGAGATGAAGAGAGAAACAGATGGTGAGTCTTTCATTCGCGGCAATGCGATGCACATGTTTTTTGCAGACATGAAATATGTGCTAACCAGGAGGCCAGCGTCCATTGCAGACCTGGAAAAGGCTGTAAATGAGTATCAAGAGTCAAAGAGCGGGAAGAAATAGAGGCTTTGAGGGCGCCATCAGACCCTGTGTACGATATTGCAAGAAAATATGTATAAATAGCGTTGAGCGAGAGAATTGAAAAAAATTTATATGATAGCCTATGATTGGCGAATTACGAGGCGTATTCTCAAATGAATCTGGACAGACCGCTTATGTTAGACAAAAGTGCAAATCTATTCAAGCTCGTAAAGAATTATATATGCTGATGCTAAAAAAAACCCGCGCTAATATACCATGTAATATCCGACAATTATAACATATGCACTAATCAGCAATGCACTCCATGAGCGCAACACCATGCCGCCGCTGATAGGCGTCCTTGGCTCGCCGGGATAGTTGCATGCCAACGGAATAGCAGGATCCCGCTTGCCATAGCTGGAATCAAAGGCAATCATATGCGGATGTGGGCATACAAACCCAATCTTGGCCGGGCAGCTCTGCACGACTTCGTAGCAAATCTCTGCACATGGCAGGATTTCCTTGTACGGCCCTGGCTGGATGACCTTGTCAATGAAGCTATTGCGTGACGCGTTGAATGCTGGGTTATCCTGCCCAAGCTTCACAATCGCAGGGTCCACGGTTCTGTCGGGAAACGGCTGTCCTGCATTACGTATGATCGCCCTTGGATTCGTGCTGGTAAAATCTTCGCAGCGCGGCATGCTTACAGTGCAGAGCCACTTCTTGTAAGCTGCGCGACAGTCGTCGCAGTTTCGTGCCAATGAGTACTTTTCCGTGCTAGTTGTCTCGCACTGGATTTGCATCATGACTTTTTCAAAGTTGCTGTACATTTCTTTGGCATAGTTGTCGTACTCTTTGATGAGGGCAGTTGTGTTTGGGAATTTAAAGGCATTGCCTGGGACGGCGTACTGGGTCTGGTCACAGAACTCAAGTCCAACAGCCATCTTACAATTGGCACCTAAAATAGTGATTAGTCAAGGAAACAGTTTGCCATGTAAACCGTCTGGGCAGCACATACTAGAGGTGGTACTAAAAGACGTTGGGTTAAAGACGGTGCCACCACCGCCAGGTTGGCCGTCTCGCTTGCCTGAATTGGGGAGAAGCTTCACCATGAAGCCAGTGTAGTTGGCACTTGCATTCAACCCGTTGACATAAAACTCTTGTTTCGGAAAGCCTCCTGGTCCTCTCGTTGTCAGGTCAGTATGCACTGTGCTGTTGGCCTCTTTGCTGCGTTCTAGTGTCACGGGGATCTTCGCGTTTAGATCCAGACCACAGGAAGAGTATCGCATGCCCCAGATATGCGAGTCGTTGCCGGGGTTGACGTAAACAGCGTACGGAGGTTGTTCCTTCAAAATAGCAGCAGAGTGATCGGCGTCGGTTGTCAAGTTGCGGCTAACAAGAAGTGACGAGCTAGAATCGCTATCAAGCCAAAGCAATTCCTTTAATTCGTCAGGTCGTGGTTTTTCATATGAATAGTAAAACATGTCTGTTGATGCTGCAACTCGGTAGGCATATACTCCTTGAAAGTCTGTGCCAGGATCATCCGCAGAGATTGTGATATAAACATCATCCGTCACGTTGAGTTGCAACATTGCGGCTCCTCCCTCAAAGGGTACCCGTGTGACGTTTGCTTGTTGTGCCGACGGAAGTGGGCATCCTACAGCACTCGAGTTGGAAACCGATAGAATTAGATTTGGTGGCAACGGCGCTTCCTTTTCTTTTCCAACATAATGAGGGATTCCGCAGGCGTTTGCCGAGATATAGAGCGGCTTCCTCGAATCCTTGTCGAAACCAAAGGTTCCCTTCTGAGCAACATAGCATTGTGGTTGGCCAATAACTAAATTGAGCGCTTTTGGTTGGTTATTTTCAAGTGGTATTCCTTCCGCGCGCTTTGACAATATATTATCTTGTAATAGCGAAAACCCAGCCCGGAATGCCTGGTTGAGCGCGTCAGTACCTTGCCAGAAGGACTGAGGCGCGGCGGCCAACGGTGACTCTTGAGCTTTGACACATATTGAGGATATAATTAGTATCGATAATAGTCGGAGGATCATGACGCCTATGCGTGCGCCGAACGGATATGAAGGTAATGTCGAGGGCATCAGCGATTGGTAACCCTGTCCGGCCAGGGAAGAGCAGTGCTGCGGTGCGAGGGGAACGTCGGCTTATCGGGGCATTTAACTAGTTTTATCGTCAAAATATTGTGAAATTCATTCGTTTGGCATTTTCGGTATCCCCCTGGTTGGCTCAGGCTGTTGCTGGACTCGTTATGAAGTTACGTGTTTCGGATCGGCCGTGGCTCGTCGTTGAGACGTTGCGTAGGCGTCGCCTGCAGCGCTGCGCCAGCTTGATCCACAGCCGTTCAGTCAGAGCTTCAGGCGTACCCTGTACTCCAAATTTAGGTGCAGTGCCACCGAACTGTTAAGCACATGCCTCCACTCTCTGCCAGTGGTAGCCTGTCGCGCTTTAGCGCTCTTCGGCGCGACCACAATTGTACCCGGTACTTCCATCGCTGCGAGTCCATCGTCCATAGCTTGCATGGTTTTTAATAAAATAAAATATATAAAATTCATATACTGATAGATATGAACCTGCGTAATAATATAACGCGTAGTAAGATTTTTTTTTTCCTATTAGGCGGGATGATAGCCACTCAGTACAAAGCTCAAACACATTTCACAGGAAACCGAGACAGGTAAAGCTTACACACGAACAAAAGCAAATCAATTCATTTACACCCCTTCGCACCTGAGCGCTCTTGGAGGAATATATCATTTTATCATTCGAAATCGTTCTAAAACACCAAACGCTACCTGTGTGCTGTTGGCGAAAAAGAGGTTGTTCATGTCCACGGGTGTAGACATAACCAGCGTCCAAGTTCTCGTAAGTCATTGTCTTCATGCAGGTAATGCGCCTTGCAAATCAATGCGTTCTGCTACGCTTGCTATTGTAGCAGCTGCGCATCGTAAGATTGCGAGCTACACATCTTACTCCTTCTTGTCAAAGTGCTCGCCCTTGGAGCGAAGAGTAGAGGAGGTAGAAGCAGGAGCAGCGGTGAAGTATCGGCCGAGAGTAGGGGCAAGGAAGGATCGGAAGATAACTTCGGCACCACTGTTTTCAATTAGAGGCCATATAGTTCAAAGGAGGCACGGGAAACTTACCGGAACATGGGGAGAGAAAGCCAGAGGAGAAAGACGAACTTGAAAACAAAGTAGAAGGGGAACCAGTAGACAATGTTGACGAAGCTCTCAGCGACGGTGAAGAAGGCAAATACAACCCAGTACTAGGATTATAGAGTTAGCAACTGGTCTGCGCCAAGTGTTGTCAGACCATAAACTTACTGTTAGCCATTGAGTGTCATCTTCCTTGCCGTCAGTGAAGAGGGCAGCAAGAGAGTAGTAGCCGGGAATCACGAAGCCAGCAAAGTTGGTAAGAAGCTGACCACCAAGGTTGAAGATGATGAGGAAGAAGTAGAGGGCGACAACACCAATGACGGCGTAGGCCTTGGGAACACCAGCCTGCTTCTCGAGGTTGACGAGGGCGGGGTACTTGGCCAGCTAATGGAAGAGCTATTGTTAGGTCATTTGACTCGCATAGAGCGAACAAGGCGATTGCCGCATATCACATACCTCCCGGTCGATGGTGCTGAGGTAATCCTGAGCCTTAGCTTGGGCGGAGGACATCTTGAAAGGAGGGCGTTGGCAAAGGAAACGATGCGAGCGATCCGAAGGCTAAGAGAAGTCGTTGAAAGACTTTACTGTTCAGCGAGCTGAGGATTGTCCGTTGAAGGATAATATAGGGACACGCGGAGCGATGGGATGATTTTTTTCTCCTCAGGGGCGGTGCTTGACAGAGGCAGCGATGAAGTACTGTTCCAGCGTGGATTTGGGAATCTGGCTTTTGACAGAAAGATGGGAGAGCGAATGGATCATGAGGGAATGCGCACACACACAAAACAGGGTCATCGAGCCGAGGGAGGCAGCTCCAGATAGTCTGGATGTAGCCTGCCCCTGGCGCTTACGCCGCCAACGCTCAGTTTACTAGGGGCGTAGGGGGTAGCGCTGACCTCAAGGTACATGATCGATAACAGATGAGCTTGTGCGTTATTGCGGGTCTTTGCCGTGGCCATGCTACGCCGCGCGTTGTGTGGTGCGATAAAAACAATGTGCGCCTCAGTGGCGACTGTAGCCTACCGTGTGACGACATGAGAGTTTGCGTGCTGGATAGATAGCCCGGCTCTCTACTCTTGGCTTGGTGATCGCGCCCATCCGTCTTCAACTTGCTCCCTTTTTCTATTGGAGCCTAGACGCCGTGGGTGGAGGATGCGTCTGGCCGCTCGTCTTGCGCTTGCAGAAATGGCAGCGGGTAACATGCTATCCGCCCGTCCCGCGCATACCGGCCACGAGAAATGATGGCATCTGCCGGACACATCAAAATATTTGGCCCGTCCTCTTTGGGCCAGGTCCAATTAGCTTGTGTGGGTTTTTGTTGTGTTTTGGGTTACATAGTAGATCCAGAGAAACACTGTGCTGGGCGGGGCAAATGCGTGGCGCCCGCACAGTCAAATGCCACAGTGTAAACCTGCGGCTGGCACCCCTCGTGGAATTTGCAGTAATTAGCTGGCGCGCTTGCTTACCTAACCTCCGCCATGGGTGTTTTGCTCACCAAGCGTTTTTATCTTCGTTGGCCGCGCAACAAGAACAACAACCACGCATCAACCACCATCAACGCCTACTAACAAGCAGCCTCGCGTGTTGAATAACGAGTGCGATATTGCACAAAGCTCGTCACGACTCTGCGAATTCTTTTAGCTACGTTTTGGCAGTCGTCGTCCTTGCTTTGCTTGCATTAGACCTTGTTGCTGCAAAAGTAAACATCGCAGCTCGAATGTTTGTTGTTGCCTGAGCCTTTCTCACCAAACAACAACAACGCCCATCAACCTGCATCATGGATCACGGTAAGCCAACACCACAACATCAGTCTTGCCTCTTGCGTGAAAAATATGCCCTTCAGTTACTGCTTTGATTTCTCGTCTGGCCGAACATAATTATTAAAAACAAATTCTGACGCCTTCCTCTGCAGAGAACGCGATGGCTCACGCCAAGGCGCGGAAGCGTCCCCAATCTGGAGCTTCCACTGCGTCCATGCACAACGCCCAGTCCTCTATGGACGGATCTGGCTTTGCTGATGCCGCTGCTTTATACAGCGGTCAATGGGTGCACACTGATCACGGCCACCCGAAGGACATGCAAGGTCACCAGCTTTCGCCTGAAGATATGATTCTCCAGGCTGCCACACATATGCAGGCTGCAACCCACGATTTCGGCATGGATGCCAGCATGAGCGCTCCCATGGGCCACCATATGCAATACCAACAGCACCACCACCTCTCGAGACACCCACTGCCTACCGACCAGTACGCTGGAAATGCAAGCTTTACCGAGGGCGATAGTCAGATGATGGACCGTGATGACAACGAGGAGGGTGATTCGCTGGCGAGTGCCAACGGCACTGCCAAGGCGCCTACAAGATCCTCAGCCAACAACGAATTAGAGATGCGTCAGCTCTTCGGCGCCAATAAGCACCGAAACTTGCAAGAGGTTGCTGGTGAGCTGCACGGCAATGAACGCGGTCCTAACTCTGAGCGTACCCGCCAAGTTTTCGCTATGCTTTGGTAAGTGGATGCCAGTCCTGTTTCCATTTTGATGTACACACCGCTGACGGTTTTTTTTTTTTTTAAGGATCAACTCTGTCTGCTCTAAGGGAAAGGGCTCTGTTCCTCGTGGCCGAGTATACGCGAACTATGCTTCGCGTTGCGCCACAGAAAGAATCACGGTTTTGAACCCTGCAAGCTTTGGTAAGCTTGTCCGTGTTCTATTCCCCGGTCTGAAGACGCGTCGTCTCGGTGTCCGTGGTGAATCCAAGTATCACTATGTCAACTTTTCGCTGGTTGATGACCAGCCTGATCTTGCTGAGCCTCCCGCTCCTATGCGAACTCTCTCTGAACCGAAACCAGTCACCCAGGGCTCCACGTACGTATTCTCCATCAAGTTCTAAGACGAGCAACCACTAACGTGTTTAGTGCCGTGTCAAGAGCGCGGGCCAGCCCCAAGTCTTCTTCCCAGCAGCAGACAGACTCCTTACAAAAAGATACACCGGCCACAAAATCCTCCGGCCGATCTCACAGCTTGTACAATCAACCCGACCTCGCTAGCATTGATAATATTCAGTCTACTTCCACCAAAACTCTTCTCGAGCTTGAGTTTCCTTCAAGAGCCGATGATGGTCTTGACCCTGAGATCCTTGCTCTCCCACAGATCGACGCGTTCCTCCCCCCCGGAACTGACGCCGATGCTGCCAAGTCCCTCTCGGCTTTGTATAGATCACACTGCACATCTCTTGTAGAGTGCATCCGATATTGCCGAGAGAAGACATTCTTTCACTTGTACACATCTTTCCAAGGTACACTTACCATGCCTGTTCAAAAGCTCTTTTGCAATGCAGCACTCGCTCCTTGGATTGAAGGATGCGACCTGGTTCTATACCAGCGCATGATGCGCATTATTTCTGGATTGACGCTGCAAGTCGTTCCCAAGCCTGTTTTGGATACTTTGAGAAACATTTCTGAGAGACTTGTCACACACATTCGTGACTCGTTCCAAGGTCAGCCCCAACATGTTATTGCTGCCAAGGAAGGCCCTGCCGCTATCTTTGCCGCTCTGCTGGATAGAGCGCTGAGAGTCAACTTGACTGCCCATGCTGCTGCCAACATGCTTTCCAACCCTGCCAACCGTGACCAGATGTACGTGGACTGGATCACTATGATTCGAACCCGCAAGATTGCCGAAGTCGTTCCTACACGCGGCATGGATGATGTTGTGGACCTCTTGATCAATGAGATGCGCGATTTGCTAGACCCTAGCACTGTGCCTTGGGAGGTTGAATGCTTGACTATTTATGGTGATGTGGCTAGCCGAAGCACCAAGCAGCCTGACGCCGAGACAAGCGGAACCTCCACTGGACAAAATGTCCTCGACCGATGGGTCAACTTCCTGCACGCTCTTCCCAGCAAGTTCCCCTACGCTACGCACTCTGACATTGTGTGGTGCGTGGAGCGTATTGGTACAGCTGTCATGCGCGATCTCACCCTTGCCCAAGGCAAGAGTTTCGGCTCCTGGTGGGTGACCAAGACATGGGTTGATGAGATGACATGCTTCCTCGCCGAGCAAGGTGGCTTCTTAAAGAAGACCAGCACTCAAGTAGTAGCTGCCCCAGCGGCAGCCAGCTCTGCTGCGAGTACTAGCACCAGTCAACAAAACTCGCGCTACAGTAGCGTGAGTGAAGATACAGGCATGGCGAAGACCTCTCATGCACAGCCCGGACGCGCTCCCTTTCCTCCACCCCCCACAGTAGCTGGCAACCAGCAGCCTGCTACTGGTGCCGACCCTCACGACGACAGTGGGATCGGAATCCGCACACCAGAGGAGGAGTTTCCCATGGAGAAATACACCTTTGCGGGGGCTGAGACGCCTTCGCTGATGACTGGTGGTGAATTAACGGCGTAAATGCATATTGTAAAGTCTTTTCTTTTTAAGTCACTGGGATCGGGGATTGACGGCGCATGGCAAAGGTGGAATTGGTTACGGGCGTTATAGTTGCTCATTTACGTTTCTTGGTTGATTGACAGGACGGCTCAATACCCGGTGCTTCTGCTGTTTCTTTATTCTATTCTTTCCTTTACACTTCTTCTTTTACTCTCCCTATTTTTGTTATATTTCCTACTTTCTGTTCGTTCTTGGCTGCCGAGCTGATGATGGTGCTTGGCAGCATAAGGAGCGAGCAAACGAGGCTTTCTCGGAAGCAATGGCGTTTTTGGCCTATAATGCCCAAGTTTAATGGTGTACAAGCCGTGTATAATGCGGGGGTGTGCAGGAAAATAATACACTTTTTTGGAATCAATATTATGATCCTTTCAACGTGTCTGTCCAGTAGTGGTGTCGTTGATGGCCTTAGCGTTCGTCACATGCAGTACTAGAGCCGCCTCGCTTCCGTCGATTGGCGCTATCGGTCGGACTGACAGCAGCCCCAACATACAGTCAAGTGGCAGTGTTCCATTCGCCTATGGCCAAACATGTGGCGATGGACTGCGGTATTTTTTATACGCAAAAGCGAAAAAAAAGGGAAAACATTACATAAGGACAGATGATTCAAATTTCTTTACCCTGTAATTTTTTTGTTATTTCCTTTTGCACCGGCATTTTAGTTGCCTCGACTGTCCTTTCTTCTGCTGCTGCTACTGTTTTGCATTGCCTGCTGCTCCATTCGCTAGTGCCCCAACTGTGCCTTATCGAACAACCCCACCTTCTTTTATCTGCCACAAACCGCTGTTCGCTCTCCGGCTCCGGCAGCGGCGCTACCAGAAGAGTCAGTTTCTTTGGTGGACCAGCCTCAACCCAACGCTGCCAAGCGGCTTTAACCGTCGCTTTGCATTTTTTTTTTTTCCTTCTCTTCCTCTTCATTCCTCTTTTTCGGTCGATACACTATACATCAGCTCGATCTGGTCTCTCTTTTTTCTTCCATCATTCGACGAATTGGTGCCCAGATTGACTTTGCATATTCGGCGTGCTACCCTCCACACGAGCCGATTGTCCGATTGCGTGATCCGGCCGGCGGGAAGAAAAAAAACAGCCCAGTACGGGAGACTCGCCAACGCTGATAGCAGCGCCGCCGCCGATATGGGAGGCACGACCTATAGCAATTCGCCCGAGTTCGGTTGGGTGGTACAGAAGTTTGGCGGAACGAGTGTGGGAAAGTTTGCGGGCAAGGTGAGTCAAATTGACGGTGCGCGGGGGGGATCGGGTAGAGAGACAATGCTAACAGCGAACCAGATTGCCAGTGATATTGTCAAGTAAGATTTGCCACGGTCGGCATGCGCAGAAGAGTACTAACTGGTATTGCTACAGGGCAAGCTTGTCACGAAACAGAGTTGTCGTTGTGTGCTCAGCGAGGAGCACCGGCAAAAAAGCCGAGGGAACGACGAGCCGGTACGATTGACCGCAGACGACCATAAAGATGATACATCTTTTACTGACAGTCCTAGTCTCCTTGGCGTGTATACTAAATTAAAGGCCGTCGTGGCCATTACAAATTCCGAATCAGAACAGGCCCAGCTTATCGACGAGTCCAAGGGTCTTGTTAGCGACATTTGCAAAGACCATGTCGCCGCCGCGCAAGCATCCGTCCAGGACCCTGCGCTGCGCGAGGCCCTCATCAAGAGCATCGAGTCGGAGTGCCAGGAGCTCTGCGACTATGTCGTAGCCACGAAACGCTTCAACCTCGAGGTGAATGCACGCTCAAAAGACCGCGTCATTAGCTTTGGCGAGAAATTGAGCTGTCTCTTTATGACAGCCTTGCTGCAAGACTCGGTACGCTCACTGCTACGAAAACGATTTTAGGGGCGATCGGCTCCATTGGATGAGAGTAGATTTGCTAACAGTTTGGGGTGCAAATAGGGAGTTGCCGCCGAATATGTCGACTTTTGCGATGCCATCCATGCCGACGGCCACGACTCGCTGGGTCCCGAGTTCTACAACACAGCCATTGCAACATTCACCAAGAAGCTCAACGCATGCGGAGACCGGGTGCCTGTCGTCACAGGATTCTTTGGCAATGTGCCTGGTAGCTTGATTGACGGCGACGTGGGCCGTGGATACACAGACCTGTGCGCTGCGCTATGTGCTGTCGGGCTCAAGGCCGAGGAGCTGCAGATCTGGAAGGAAGTCGACGGCATCTTCACGGCCGACCCGTCCAAGGTGCCCACGGCACGGCTACTGTCTTCAATTACGCCCGCTGAGGCTGCTGAATTGACGTTTTACGGCTCCGAGGTCATTCACCATATGACCATGGACCAGGTTATCCGCGCCCAACCGCCCATCCCGATACGCATCAAGAACGTCAAGAACCCGCGCGGCATGGGCACCATTGTCATCCCCGATCCTGTACTAGCAGCGTCGCATCTGATTCACCGGTCGCGCGGCTCTGCCTCTGACATTGCCAAGATGCCCAAGAGGCCCACCGCCGTCACGATCAAGGACAACATCAGCGTCATTAACGTGCACTCCAACAAGCGATCCATCTCGCATGGCTTCTTTGCGCGTGTCTTCTCCATCCTCGACCAGCACTCGATATCAGTGGATCTGATTTCCACATCAGAGGTCCATGTCTCGCTAGCCATCCACTCTGCCAGCACGCGGGTCGAGGCCTTTGCTAGCACCAAGAAGTGCCTTGAGGAATGCGGCGACGTGAGCGTCCTCTCCGATATGGCTATTCTTAGCTTGGTCGGTGCCGACATGAAGAACATGGTTGGTGTTGCAGGCCGCATGTTTTCTACGCTGGGAGAGCACAATGTCAATTTGGAAATGATTTCACAGGGTAAGTTTGGTCTGTGAAGGAGCAGTTGTAGAGCTATGCTAACCACGATAATGTAGGTGCGAGCGAAATCAATATTTCTTGCGTCATCGACTCCAAAGACGCGAGCAGAGCAATGAATGTTCTACACACACATCTCTTCACGTTCCTCGACTAGGCCTCGATTTTGTCTCGGAATGTGAGGCCAGAGTTTCGGCGCTTCGGACGCGTTTAATTTGTCCTCGCGCCTGTGGATCAGAGCGGCGGCTAGTTGACGTCTCTCTGCAGAAAAAAAGAATAAGGTATGACGGGTGGGATAGAGTGGTAAAAGTCTATACCGTATAGTTTATTGATAGAGTAGCGTTGGTTTTAATCTATCGGTGTATATTTTTCCGATTATTATTCGCCGTGTTTTTATCGTTAGCGGATGAATCCTTTATGAATTTGCTCGTGCTTTGTTGTCGCTGTGTTCCAACGAACATGTGTTACGTTTGATACATGGAAACTGAAGCGCAGCCGTATGCAAACCCGCCATTTTTATTATTACTGTACAAAATACACATAATCTGATATTAAATCACCTAAACGATACATCTACCTCATTTTTTAGACAGAATTAACACATAACTATCACATTGGCATAAAGCGCGCTGCCATCGCGTACTCCAGGGTAAACGCCATGGCCTCCTTATCGATATACGCAGCCTGATGCAGTCACCCCACTCCAGGCGTGGAAGCTCTTGAGCACCGACATTTTGGCTGTCTGTCACTGTTTCCAAAATTAGACTGATGCCTGAACGTTTTTGCTGCCATATTTAGAAAGAATTGTACGCTTCACACGATACACTCGAATGCAATAACCTAAACTGCGGTGCGAAAACGCTGAGGCGTCAATACATCGCAGCTCCTGCGATCCCCTCAAGATGGCCTACCAACAGGATGGCGGCGCCGCTAGGGGCAGAAGTATCCTGAGCGCCCTGGCAGCCTCGGAGTTGCTGGATTCTAAGTCCAAGTTACCAGCCGGTAAGGGCATACACGATAACGGATGCATGATGTATTGGGATACAACGGGGGCTAACCAGACATTACAGAGCTCCTCGTGGCTGTGCTTGACTATCTCCCAGTTGCCGACCAACTGCGTGTGGCCAGAACGTCCCGACGAATGCAAGAGATGGTTTACGACGATACCCGATGGGTCTCAAGGCTAAAAAGTATGGGATGCTGGAACGAGCGAGAGGCCAGACAGCGATTCGACGAAGCAATGCGAAAACGACGAGAGCAGCAAGCAGCCGCTACCGCCAACGGTGCACCGCTCAAGTCACCAGACATTACAATATTCGACGCAACAACAGAAGAAGATCGCCGAAAAAGAGCAACATCGGACCTGAGAGATGGCTTCCAAACAATGACATTGGGCGGCCCTGCAGACCCGTCGCAAGACTCGGCGGCATATCTCAATATCTTCAAGACGGCAAGGAGTGTTCGAGGCGGCGCGCGACAAGAATACGGAAAAATATACAGAGCACTAGCACCATTTTATTTCGACATCTCAAAAGCAAAATCCCACACCGATCCAATCGTCTTCAAGGCGTTCCGCGAGCCCGAGAGTCAGGCTCAGATGCTTGCCAATCTGAAGCGCTTCGCACGCAGTGACTGGTCATCAGGCGCAGAAACAAGAGAGGCTCGCCTCACATCCATGATGACCATTTTTGAAAAAGCAGTTCTTCGAGAGTTTGAACAGGGATATGAGTTTTGGGACGTTGACGGACGCATGCACCGGTACGCCGGCGTACTGTACATGCTGAGCGGCGCCAAGAGTGGTGTCAACCTCTTCCTCTCCAAACACCCGATATTCAGCGATCGAGATGTTGCTCTCGACCCGCTAGATTGTATCAATCACTCCACAGATGGCACGGTTTCGCTGGACCCATCAAGGACGTTTTTTGCTAAGACTCTAGCCAAAGTCAACGACCAAGATTCGGTAATAGCACGTATCTTTCCCAATGCTGCAGAGGTCTTTTGGGAGCTTGTTGATAAGGTCCGCGAAGAAATTATCATGGAGTACACTAACACGCTATTTGATGAATGCCACGAGCGGGGGTTGGCAGCATATCTGGCAGCGTTTTCCGGAGTTTTTGAACAAGCAACGCATTTTTACAAGTCTCTTCGACCAGCTGCGGAGCAAAGAGAAATCATCTTGGAAAAGTCAAAGGAGTTTCTTCTCAAGACTTTTGAGCCTCATATGGACCTGTACCTGCAAGAAGAGCTCGAATGGTTTACCAAGGAAGCCGAGAACCAGGTTTCTGACTGGGAAAAGAAGCTTTCAGAACAGGACACTTCACTTGAGAACTTTTACATGGCGAATATTAACCGTTCAGCTGAAAAGAAGGATTTCCTCAGCTCTTTCAAAAAGGTTGTTATGATGCCGGTGACGGTACTGCCTAGCTTTCCCATCGGGTCGCCGTTTGCTGCAAAGCCTACAGCTAGCACAGAAGTTACACCTGGTCCATCGCGCCCGGATACGCCGAGCATCATACCAGGAGACAAGGCCATTGCTAATAAGGTGCCTACGGATGAGCTTGCTGCCAAGGCGGCCATTATGGCGTCAAAGCTAGAGGGAATCAAGTCACTCTGCAGCATTGAGGTCGCCCTTGGGTTGGTCCACACGGCACAAACGAGCCTTGGACGTGCTGCTCTTCTAATTCCCCTCGGGGGCCAGATTGGCGGCGAAGCAAAGGAACAGTGCTCGAGTATCTTTGTTGTGCTGCTGCGCATTCTGGGGGAACGCCATGTGCGAAGCGGTTTTGACACGGCTGTAGATCATCTCTCACACTATAACCCACGCGATGTCAGCAAGCACGACCAGTCTGGCGTAGCGCCGCTGGTGACGTTTATCGAACTCGTCAACGTTGGCGACCTGATTTCCCAGATGGTGGATGTCTTTTACGAACAGCAGCTCGCGGCACCCAAGATTGTCGACAAGAACGACTTCTTGGACGCGTCGAGCATGGCCAAGAAGAAGTTTGAGCAGATGCTGGATGAGAGTGTCGCAGCTGGCCTCAACAAGGGCATTGATGTGCTCATGGACGAAGTCGAGTACTTAAATGCCACGCTACAGCTACCGACAGACTACAATCCGGCACCGAAGCCTGCGGGGATGGACAAGCGCGGCAGCTTGGCTGTGGACATGGATATCGGGGCGACAGATACGGCGAAGCGCATTGTCGACCTTGTATCGTCGCACACAAACATGCTGGTCGGCACAACGGACAAGTCCATGCTAGACGTATTCAATGGCGAAGTCGGGCTGCGCCTCTTCACTGCCATCACCAAGCACCTTAAGCGGCAGCGCATCAGCGTGGACGGCGCAATCAAGGTCATTGCCGACATGAACTGCTACTTTGAGTTTATCCGCACCCTCAAGAATCAGGACTTGCTGCCGTACTTTCGCGCCCTCCGTGAGCTGAGCCAGATTTACCTTATCGACCCGAGCCACGCAAAGGACATGGCGACGGTGATTGCCGACGGAGACCGCTTCAGTGGTGTCTTTCGCGCAGAAGAAGTCTACGAGTTTGCCCAGCGCCGCGCTGACTGGTACCAGGTCAAGAAGAGCGTTGAGCGAGCCATGTACGGCATGGACTGCTGTATCATGTAAGAGGATCTGAGCGACGTATGTCATGCACATACACACATATATAAACGAATAGATAGATGCGAAGCAGGATGTGAAAACAAAAAGAGAGGGATGAAATAAAACGAATAATTTAAACAGTTAAATGCTATAACGCCTACTAATGCACCTGTCCCAGGTTTTTCTTTCATGTGTCTAGCCGCTCTCCGGCGGAGTTTCTTTGTCCTTTTTTCATTGTTCATCTTTGACCAGACCTGCGGCTGCTCACTTTGCGCCAAAGTCAAGCTTTCTAGCTACTTTTGCGCCGCGATCTTCTGTCTCGCCCGGCCGCCTCTTCAAGTCTGCTGCGACCTGCTCGGCGCTGCCGCTTTCCTTGCGTGGCAGATCCTGCTTGCGAGTCGGCCTCGGTTCCGATTGCCACCACTTGTGCTGGAGCATCTCGCGGGCTGTGATGCGCTTCTTGGGATCCAGAAGCAGCGTCTTCATGAGCAGGTCGACGCCGTCGGACCCGACGGTGCCAAAGTGCATCTCGAAAAAGTCCTTGCCGCGGACCGGATGTTGGCCCGGGACGGTGTACTCGGGCAGCCGCGTGACGCCGGGCCAGTTATCCTCAGTAGGCGTGCCGATGGCCTCGCAGATCATCTTGACCTGGTCGAGCTCGTTGTTGCCGGGCATAAACGGCGCGCGCTTGACGAGTTCGGCAAACACTGTACCGACAGACCACACGTCCACGGCACCCGAGTAGTGGCGCGCGCCAAAGAGCAACTCAGGCGGGCGGTACCAGCGCGTGATGACGTTGGATGTCATGTGCTGATGAGGGTCTGCAAAGCCGCGGGCAAGACCGAAATCACCAAGCTTGACTTCGCCGTCGGCGGCAATAAGCAAGTTGTTGGGCTTGATATCGCGGTGCAGGACGAAGTTTTCATGGCAAAACCACACGGCACGCGTCAGCATGCCCATCCACGCTTTAATGTCGGGTGCACCGTAGCGAACATTGTCCGTGTCGCGGATCAGCATCTCCAGGTCGCCGAGGGGGAGGAACTCGAGAACTAGGTTGAGGTTCTGGTCTTTGGACGAGAAAACGGACAGAAGCGAGATGATGTTGGGATGCGACAGTTCTTGTAGATGCTTGAGTTCGCGCACGGCATCGGGCGCCATGCCCTCGGTGTATTCTTTCTGCACTTTGATCTTCTTGATGGCGACAAGCGACGCTGGGTTTGCGCGTTCGTGCCCGAGGAACACGATGGCGTAGGTACCTTCACCGAGCTTCTTGCCTGCAGTTGCCTGTGTTAGCTGGATTGGATACGTGGGACAGAGAATGATAACGGGATGCACACCTTTGACGTATTTGCGCTTCTCTTCGAGGTTCATCTGCTCCGCGAGGTCGAGGGTCGGCGGGGCGGATGGAGGGACAGATGTTGGAGCTGGTCGGGGTGTTCCGCTGGAGGATGTATTTCCAGAATCAAGTGCTCGTGTGGCCGGCGAGCCGATGGCGCGGATAACCTGAGGCTCATTACGAGTCGTGGTGACGACTGGCGAGAGCGTCATGGCGGGCGGGTTTTCTATGTTTGGCGGGCCAGAGTAGGAGGCTCAATAGGTCGGTACAATGTCGTAGGGGAGGTTTGTAAGAAGCGAGGATTTCGCAGAAATTAATTGACGCGCGTGGCGGGCGTTACCAGTTGAAGATGGCAAAGATGGGAATCTGTTCACGTTGCACGCGTGAAGTTGGAGGCTACAGTGGGAATAGCGTCTTATCTTATCGGTCGGTGTTTTGGTGGCGGGATCGAGGGGAGACGTGGAAGCAGCGCCAGAAATATCTTAAAAAAAGCCATGATAAATTCAGGCACACTAAGAAGGCCAATTGAACAGCTATGACTTTTTATACTATAGTCAAAACGCTGCTTACGGCCAAAGATGAGTAGGTCGCAAATTTACACCATGTACACCAGTTCGCGCCCATCCTTGCTGTGACTCTCAACGGTACAAACTCAAACAAAAAATAGCAAACCGTCGCTGGACAAACAACGTAGACCAAAAAGAGGAAGACAAAAAGAAGAAACAAGAAAAAGAGAAACACAAATTATAATCTTATTCCTCAGCCACACCACCACGTAGCCCTTCCAATGCTGCTGACTGGTGCTTCAGCACTGCCTTGTCCTGGTCCGGCGCTTCCAGAGAAGTAAGCCGTCTTGACGTCATTCGCACCCGGCCCACGCCCACTGCAACACCAAATCTCCCAAGCTTTTGGTTTAGGCTCACCCTTTTCTACCGGCCACGCAATTGCTCGAACGATACTCTTCAACGTGCGCTGCTATCTTTGCTGCAGCTACCGCGGGTACAAAATACGCACTCGCGCCGTGCACGAGGCATAACGTGCTTGCTACGACTCTACCGCTACACTCCTAACGCCAGGGCGCGCAAAACCAACCATCACCATGGCGTACAAGGGAATGGTTTCGTTTTGGGTATGTTTTTATGCTGGAAAAACTCTATTATGATCACCGCTAACATCTACATAGTGGCTTCCAGTCCTATCTGCCCTTGTCTGGATAGGCATGCTCCTCGGCATGCTTCTGCACTGGGTCGTTGATACGCACTCGCGCCACTACCCGTCCATGCCCGCCAACACACACATCCCCTTCATCAGCGATATTGGCGCTCAGAAGTTGAAGCCGCTGTTTATCACGGGCTCTGTCCTTACAACTGTGCTGCTCGATGCTTCGTTTCTATCCCAGCGCTGGCTACGGCATAGTGGTCGTCTGGTACCAAACAGGTCGCTGGGTGAAAAGATACTGGACATCTTGACTATAATTTTCGGCTTGGTTGGCACAGCCGGACTGATTTTGCTGTCCATCTTCGACACATATCGCCACAATAAGCTCCACGACATTTTCCTCCTGCTCTTTATTGGTGGTTACTTGATCTCCGCTGTTTTTATCTGCTGGGAGTACCAGCGCCTGGGAATCAGTAAGTCACAGACGCAGAGACCAGAATTGACTAAATGCTAACATTTTCATGCAGAAAATAGAGAACATGCCGTCTTGCGCATTTCTTTCTGGGTCAAGCTTACTTTTATCCTCGTTGAGCTCGCATTGGCGGTCGCCTTTGGCGTCTCGTCGCGAACACATCACCACGATATCGCGGCTGTCTTTGAGTGGGTGGTTGCTTTGATATTCACATTTTATGTCTTGTCTTTTGTCCTCGACCTTTACCCGGCTGTATGGACGAAAGAGAAGAACAAGAGATTTGCCAAGCCGGAGACTGGCTCCCCCCGTAATGAGTCGATCCTTTCGGAGCAGACACCTGTGTCACAGGTATAACTCATCTCCATGAACATAGACACAAATGTTGGATATAGATCTTGATTCTTTCAATTACTCCTAATACTACTACCTACATGATTCATGACGTTACAAAAGATACGCAAGACTTTATATTATGACATAGGGATATATATTAAGATACTCTCTAATACTACTGCGTAATTGGGATATTAGAAATCTCGCGTAGGCATGTACATGTTCTAGCTTGCGTAGCGTGACTGTAAGCAAAAAAAGGAAAAGAAAAGTAAAGGAACTCTGCCTCCATAATTAACAACAAAGGTTCAACCCGTGCAGGCGATGCATCGCTGCACAACGCTCCCCAGTCTCAAGGCGGGCTATGTATAAAAAAGGTCGTGCACTCCAGGTCTCATTGGCCATATCGTCGACCAGCAACGTATAGCTGCGCCGCTAAACCTCTTCCTTGAAGTGAGATCTGCGGCTTGAGCTGAAGCTGCTGCGACCAACGGCCTCCTCTGTTTTGGGCGGTTCCAGGCCGTGCTCCTCGGCTTCCTTGGTATCCTTGTCGCCATCAGCTTCTTGTGTTTCGTGCTCGGTACTAGCAGGCGCCTCGAGTTTCTTGTCGGCCTCTTGCGCAGGCGTAATTGGGCTGACACCACGAGAGTCCGTCTCATGATCGACAGTGGCAGCGTGGTCAACATCAGTGTCCAGCACAGGTGTTTCAAGAGCGGGAGAAAAGTCGTCCTCTGTCTCGTCCTCGTCCTCGTCCTCGTTATGGGCCACTGGAACCTCTGCCTCAGCCACAGGGTGAGCCTCCTCAGTCTCGGGGACCACTACTGCCACCGTGTTCGTCGTCTTGGGTGAGCCAAAAATACTGCGACGCTTCTCGTTGCCCTCCTTCTCGCTTACAGAGATGGTTCGTGAGAAGCGCTTCGACAACCAACGCGTCACCTTGGATTTTGACTTTGGCGTTGAGTCAACAAACATCTGTCGGCCACTCTCAGCGCCCTCTGTGTGAGCGATACTCTCACCCACGGTAGTGGTCTCAGCGGTATGCTCGTCATCTTCTTCCTCGGCCTCATGGGGCTCGTTGTGCTCAACAGCAGGAGTGGATGCTACAGCGGCAGGTGGGTGAGCGAGCATCTTTGATTTGCGTTTCTCTTCCTTGGCAGCTTCTTTGCGGGCCTTCTCTTCTTGCTTCTCCTGGTTCTTCTTTGCCTTCTCCTGCTCCTTGCGCGCATGCTCTTCTTCTTTAGCCTGCTGCTTCTTCATCCTCTCAGCATGTTTCTCCTGTTCCTTTTGCTTGCGAATTTCGTCCTTTTCTTGTCGCTCACGGGCCTTCTGTCGTTCCAACTCTTCCTTGCGAGCATCTTCAGCCTGTTTCAAAGCCTCCAGTCTGGCCCGCTCTGTCTCAGCCTTTTCATTGATATCATCTAAGAGTGGTTGCATCTTCTTGGCAGCAATGGCGTTAATTTCGTCGGCGTCCATAAACTTGCCGCCTCCAATATTGATCTTGCCCTTAGTTTCACCTCGCGTCTCGTGACGCGCCTGGGCAGCCTGTTGAGCCTTCAGCTCAAAGTCAGTGAGTCTAGTCGAGTTACGCTTGCCCGTCTGTAGGGAGGCTTTCTCATCCATGCCCTGAAGGCGGGCCTTGACGTTGCGCTGCGCCGCTGCTAGCAGAGCCTCACGATCCTTGTCACGCTTCTCTTTGTCAACCTGAGACAATTTGCTGGAGAACATGGACATTTGCTCTCTGATCTTGTTGGAGCGTTCGCGGTCGTCTTCGAGGTCGTCGGAGTCGATGGAGGTGTGGCGGCGAAGCTTGTTAGCGATAGAAAATTTGCGTCGCGGGCTGGTGCTAGTAGTATTGCCATAGTATTCCTGGAATTCGCGGCCTTGCTGATGCTCATCATGGAGCTTGGCAAGTCGCTCGTGGGCCTGCTTGAACGCAGCATCCTGAAGATTAAGGTATGAGCCTGCGTAGGGAGTGGTCGAGTCCTCGCCCTGGTTCTCCTTGGCTTGCTCCATCGCCTTTTGCTGCTGGCTATACATCTTGCGAGCCATTTCGACGGCAGTCTGGTGAAGGCGGTCGGTGTTGGTCTTCTCGTCTACTTCGGGCTTAACAGGTGGGTGAGATGTGAACATGTTCCGTGTCATGGTGGTGACTGGAACTGCACCGGTCTCTTCGATTGGGGCCTTGACCATGAGAGAATTGCGATGGGCAAGGGCGGCGCCATTGAGGGCGCTAGATGCAGCAGCTTCTTCAAGGCGGCGATTTTCAAGAGACTGACTAGCAGGAGATGCGGGAGCATGAGGCTTCTTAGAGCTAGACATGGCTCCCTTCGCAGCAGCTAGAGAACGATCTCCGCGAGACGGGGTAACGGGAGGTTCAGGTGTGCGAACGACAGAGTTGCGGTTATTTTGAAAGGCTTGCGTAGCGGCAGAGCTTCCAGGCGCCAGGCTGGCAGGCTCTACGGACGCTGGACGATTGGCGTTGAAAGCCTGCGTTGCTGCTGAGCTGCCCCATTTCTGATGTTTGTTGGACTTTTCTTTCTTCTCGGGCGTTAGTGGTGATGCCTTAAGAGCCGCGCTGGCGGAGCCGACGGCGAGTAAGGCAGCTTTGCTGGCACCTGTCGAGGCAGCAGCAGGAGCAGCCGGGATGTCTCTGACAGCCGGTGCTGTTGCGTCCTTCGCGAGAGCGGCAGCTGCCGATGCAGATGTCGCCTTGTCAGGTCTCCATGGCTCGGGGGATTTCTGATTTGCCCATCCGAGGCTTGCGGCAGCGCTCGCAGCGGCGTCACCAGAGCTCAAGCCCGCCGATGGGTAGCTAGGCAGGTCCTGTGGCTGGGCGTACTTGAGCCTGCCGGAGGACACGGCTATAATTCCAGGAAAAAGCAACGGTCAGCCGACGCTTGCTATTTGAGGGGTAGTAGAACAGATGATGATCTTACCAGACTTTGTCATTTTGTGTGATGGAAAGGGCGGGGGTGATGCGCTGCAGTACGTAGTTGGCGGGTGGGCGCGAGCGGAATTAAGCAGTTGCTTGTATTGGGGGTGAGGATGCGCAGTGGTGTGTGTGGGCGCGATGGTTTGCCGTCTACCCAATTGGCGACAATGGATAAATGTGCATCGACCGGAAATGGAAACGACGTGATGCAGAAAAGTATTGTATGTGAAGAGGAAGAGAAGGATAGCGTAGACGGCAATGGAAAAGAGAAGTAGCAGCGAGTCTGGGCGCTAAACCCAACAACCGGAACGGGACTCAGGCCAAGGTTTTCCTGTGCACCTGGCGCAGCGGGCAGCGTGCTTCCCAGTTGGCCAAAGGTGGGTGACGTCATGGAGGAGCCCCCGGCATCCAAGTTTGCGTGAGCCTGGGCCTGTTGGCTGGGACACGCCGAGACGTCCGCTAGTTCGGTGGAGAAGCATCTTGCCTGGCAGGGTTTAAGCAGTGATTTGGAACTGGGCTGCAGACCTGTGGCGGCGGCCAATGCGGGAAGGGTGTTGTTTCAAGATGTAACTGATTACATATATTCTATTGGTTGATTGAGGGTGGACCAGCAGAAGGTAGCCTGCCGCCTCACGCTCTAGTCTCGTCTATGATATCTACTCTACTCTATTTTTTCTCTAGTAAATAGACAGCAAGGCTGCTTTGCTTGCCAGGGTACCCTGTTAGGTGATGGCATAGCCGTTCTCTGTTGATGAATACTGCCTGTTGGCCTCGGGGGATGCAGTATTTGCGTCTTTACTTGCACTGTCACGCTGGCGAAGAAGGCCCGTGGGATAGCGTGTTTGCTACGGGTTCGGTAGCGAACTTCAATTCGTTCCAAAAGACTCGGGCCGTCGCGTCGCTCCAACGGGCGCAATGTCGACGCGCCTTTCTGAATGGGAACGAAGGCTGTTTGTGACCTGTCGGCGAGCATGATTTGCTCTGCGAAGTAGAGACACGCATGGCCTTACTTCGCTGCGTCCTACATCTGCCGACCGCAATGTTGTGATCTTAGTGAAAATATTTGCTTACGAGCTGTGACATATTATCGAAGCATTCAGGCTGCCGGCTTTCTAAAGCGGCCTTGCATCCAGCATCGATACATCTTAAGTTGCTTTGCTCGGTTCACCAATAAACGGTTGTCAACACCAAGGTTCTCAACGACAAACCCAAAAGGCTCCGCGTTTGTTTCATCATGCTTAGTCTTGGCTCGAGTCCATACATCTGCGAGTTCGTCACGCTCGAAAAAGAAGACACGGGTTCCATCGCCACGAATGTAGAAGTTCTCTTCCAGATAGCGGCCCTTGCGGAAGCGGACCTGGGCTAGATCACCACGGCCATAGTCTCGGAAGAGTACTACACCACCTGGCTTCAACACGCGATAAACGTTGCGGACGGCAGAATCCCACTCCGTGGGTGACAGAGCAGAGAAGATGAAGATCATGATGGCGATATCCACCGTGCCCTCACTTAATCCAGGCGGCAGGTCATCGCCAGCAACATCCCACACATCGGCTTGCATGTGTTTTTCGTCGTAAGATTCATGTCCCCGCATGACATCTACAGCGGTTTTGGAGAAATCACAAGCGTGAATCTTGAGCTCCGGGTTTTTGTTGTTGGCGAGGACTGGAAAGGCGGTGTTTCCTGCACCCGCACCGATTTCAAGTAAAACTTGAGGACCAGCGCCCTCCTGTGTTACTTCATCCAAGATTGGAAATTCTTGTCGAAGCCATTTACGATCTTTGAAAAAGTTGGATGTGTTGTTTTTGTAAAATAAATTCCACCACTTTGCTGGGTTTCCATTGAAGCGTCCTGTTGCCGCGTTAGCAAATCGTCTCTGTAGAAATATATGCGAAGACGAAAGTGGTTTTTGGGAATGGTGACTCAGATGGGAGCGAAAGACATTTATGCATTAAGGTATTCATCATCAGTTTCAGATGAGATCCTGTATTATCATCACCGCACCAGGGGAAGGGAAAACGACTGGCACACAGCCGAACTTGGTGTGAATCAACGGAAGCGTACCTTTGTCAAAGTCGGAGACCGGAGCCTGACGCTGCATCTCGAGCTGCTGCTCCGTGTACTCCTTGTATGTATCATCTGTCTCGACGTGGTCCCAAGCGTTAAATTCAAAGACATTATCGCCCTGTTCAAGGTAACGGCTACCAAACTGGAAGGGATCGCTTCGCTTCATGTTATTCTTTGGGTCGTGAGACAGATGTGGAGGAACCTCTTTAACAGACTCGGTGTTTGATTCTGTAGAAGTAATATGTAGCTTCTCATCCACCTGTTTGGACAAGTCGCCGTCGGTTGAGGAATCCATTTTTACGGATTGGCGTGGGCTGCCGTGGGATGCAGAGAAGTTGGGACGCCTCGAAAACGGGGGAAATATTTTTTTTCTCGGGTGCAGCGAAAGAAAGCCGTTGTGGTTGGGCGTGGAGCCCGGCGCGGATATTTTGTCCCTCCGCGGGAGACAGCTCATGGCCACTGGTCGATGACATGCCCCAAGCAACCCCCATCTACCAACTAGAGTTCACGACGGATATTATCCATCAATATTTCGCTACAAACCGACAGAGCGAGATATGACTACATCAATTGTGGCTGGATTACCCGATCGTGAGGCGCTCGCGCTCGCGCAGCAAGCGCCGACGATCCTACGAGCACATCCCCGTGTCTTTTCTGCGTCGCCGCTTCAACCTCTGATTAGCGGACCCGAAACGAGTGAAATATGGACAAACTACGAGAACTTGTTACTATCATGCCTCCGAACTGGCAACGATAGAGCAGCGCTTGAGTGCCTAGAACGACTGACGATGCGGTTTGGCGAAAAGGACGAACGTGTTATGGCTCTCGAGGGATTAGCCAAGGAAGCCATGGCCGAAACGGATGCCGATTTGCAGGCCGTTCTGAAGGATTATGATGATATCATGAAAGAAAATGACTCGAATATCGTGAGTCTTCATCGCCAAATTATTTGCATGGTGTTGCGCGTTGGTAGCTAACTACTTCGGATAGCCTATTGCCAAACGTAGGGTTGCTTTACTACGCTCAATGGGCAGAACAGCAGATGCAATCGCAGCCGTCAACGCTCTTATAGAATACGACACCACTGATGCAGAGGCTTGGGCCGAGGCTGCCGATATGTACTTGGAAGAAGGCCTCTACTCTCAAGCCATGTTTGCTCTGGATGAAGTGCTTGCTTTGTCTCCAAACGCATGGAATGTTGGTATTCAAGCAGCTTGAGTAATTAACACTGCTGATATTTCCTAGGTTCATGCACGAGCAGGAGAAGTGCTGCTTATGGCAGTTGCATCATCATCAGAAGCATCACCCGCTAGCCAACTTACAGAGGCTGTGAAGCGGTTTGCTCGTAGCGTCGAGCTCTGCGACGACTATTTGAGAGGATATTACGGTCTGAAACTGGTATGCCACAATACATTTCCCTGCTTGTGGATAATGGACAATAAATACTGACCTACCACCAGGCGACCGATAAGCTGTTGGCGTTACCCGCCAAGTCTAAGAAAACAGATGGTGAAGGATTTGAGGTACCGTCACCAGCCGCACTGCAGAAGCTCAACGAATTGTCTGTGAAGAAGCTTGGAGATATTGTTCGCCACTATACAGCTGGCGATCAGATGTGGATGGGATATAATGCCGGGGAGATCGAAGCAGCCAAGAAGCTTCTTGAAGGTACTGCCGCCAAGGTAGTTCGATGATGGTTGAACACAACTTGCGGAAAGTTGGCTGCGAAGAATTCGATATATAATCCGTTGAAATGCTAGTGATGGCCGTGATTCGCACCATGTGGATATTAGGTTATGAGAATCGGTTGACGAATTAAACAATACATCACATATTACCAACCACGAAAGCACATGCCCGATTCTCTCTTGCCTGGCTTACGTCGCTCAGGCGAAGCATAATCTCCACCGACCTGTGGTAGCCACAGTCCGCGCCCTACTACCAGGCTGCCTCGTCGACATGGGGTACCAAGTGAGGATGCCGAAACGGTCTGTGCTTTTGTTACCTGGTGCTTGTTGGCGTTGGCAGCAGAAGGTGCATTAGAAGAGCTAGTAGTAGCATCACACGAAGATTAATATAAGATATTATGAAAAAGATACCAGATTGCGCATGAGACAGTCTGAACAGATGTCTCTGTGAGTGGCCTCTTTTTACGTACTGCCACGCCACCCAAAGCCCACCTACAGGTACCCAACAGGGTGGCAGTGTTGAGTTTCACAGGGCACCTAGGGCCACACAACAGCACTCAAAGGGTGGTACTTTGCACCCGAGCAGCGCTGTTACCCCTCACCGCCATCCCGCCCCGCGTCCGCTTTGTTTTGCTTGATCCACAACACCCATTGTGACGCATCAACAAAGCCAGCCCTTCCGTGAATACGCTTTTAAAAAAAAATACTACGAGAATCTTCTAAGACAGCCTTTTAGCTGCCCAAGTAGTCTGTCACCGCGACCGCAGTGCCCAGCCCTTAATATTTATCTTCTTCGTGTATCGTCAGCTTAAGCCGCAGTTCTGCGCACCTTGGGAATTCCCATTGCCTTGGTCTTCAGCTCTTGGCTACGACTTGCAAGTCCCCAAAGCCTTAAGCTTTTTTTCTCTCAGGTGAGCATCTAGCGTACCCTTGTTTCTGGCGCATTTCGGAGCTGGCGCTGTCCGCTTGTTATTCTACACTGAAGCTGCCTGGTCCAGCCCACCATTTGAACAAAGGGTTGCTCCCGTGGCGGACTAAGGCGCCGCATTCTTCGACGGGCTCCCACTAATAATAAATACAGCTAGCTGGCTTACCATTCGGACATCACGCCCCCTTCCACTCTCCCTTGCGTCAAACAGAAAACTCGCCTGGCAGTATTTCTACCGCCTTGCGAAGTCGCGCGCTCTTCAACTCGTCAGGCCCCTCATTTAGGCCGCGACGATATTTTTTTTGGCAACTTTTCTGCGCAGCGCTCGCGCTTAAACGCTTATCAAGGGTATAAGACCTAACTCTCTGAGACATATCGTCCCCTTTGCTCCGACTTCCACAGCAGGATCGTCGAGAGTAAAGGTCTTTCTTGACATTAACTCTGATATGGGGTATGGGAGCAGTCGGCCGCTAACCAACGCTCGCTAACGTATGCCTTTGCAATTAGAACGCAACCGAACGGTAGTGGATCACAGGGACCTCCCTATCACCCACGTCAAGAAATCGACAGCACTGAGGAAGACTACGCCGATAGTCATTTCACGGAAGGTGAAGACGAGTCTCCCGAAGAGGACGAGAGCGTCGCCGATTCCAGATACGGAGTTCAGTCTCGCTACTACCCGCAACAATACGCCGAACACGAAGACTTTCTTCCCACTCCCCAATCAAACTACGCACCTATCCATTATCCGACGGCGCGATATACGCCGTCTTCTCAGTCCAGTCTGGATCACTCAGAGGAGGCTGGCCATTACGGCGGCCAGTACCCAACGCAAGGCCGCAACTATCGTCGCACTTCGTTACAGTACCCTCCACGTACTGGAAGTTATGGATACGTTGCTGCGCCGCAGGTGCCGGCAGGATATGGGCAGCCCAACCCATTTCATTCGGGGCACGGCCACGGCCCTAGCGGAAGAAGTTACTACCCTCAGGATCAGATGCCCATGTATGGTCATGACATGATGCACTACCCAAATTACTACAACAGACCTCCTCCCAATGCCGCTGCCTTACCAGCATATATGCAGCAGTTCCATATTTCTTCGCCTCCCGGCCCGATGATGGACCAACAGAGAAATGCTTTGGTTCCAACTAATGAGCCACCAGCACCCGACCCTGAGAAGCAAAGACTGCAGGCCGAAATCGACCGTATGATAGCCGAGCGCGAAGCAACCAAGGACGCTGAGCGTCGACGTGAAATGGAGGCTAAGATGAAGCAAGAAGCTAACGAAGAGGCTCAACGGAGGCTAGACGAGCATCGCAAGGAGCTAGAACTTGCCAAGATTGAAGCAGAGCGCAACGCCCGTCAAATCATTGAAAATGAACGAAAAGCCGAAGAGCAACGAGCTAAGCAGCAGGCTGAAGCGCTTCGACAAGCTGAGGAGAAAGCGAGATTGAAGTTTGAGGCTGAGCTTAAGGCTGCCGAGACCAAGAGAAAGCGCGAGGAAGAAGATCGTAAGCGGGCTGAGGAGCAAGCTAAAATCCGACTCGAAGCTGCTATCCGTGCCGAAGCTGAACTAAGAGCAGCTGCTGAAAAGAAGGCCAAGGATGATGCCGAGCGACAAAAGGCTTTTGAAGATGAAGCCAAGCGCAAGGCCGAGGCTGCCGCGCAAGCCAAAGTAGAGGCAGAAAAGGAGGCAGCCAAAAAGAAGAAGGAGGCAGAGGAGGAGGCTAAAAAGGAACACGAAGCTCTGACCAAAAGAATCCAAGATGAAACAAGAGCCAAGTTGGAGGAGGCCGCGCGAGGAGGCAATAACAAAGCTACAATTAAGTTCAAGGACGCTATTGGACGTAAATTTAGCTTCCCGTTCCATTTGTGCGCGCGATGGCAGGTATGTTGCAACTATGACCAAAATTATTCTAATCACCGTCTACATGGCTAACGATTCTTTTTACAGGGTATGGAAGAACTCATTAAACAAGCGTTCAACCATGAACCAGTGCTTGGGCGTCATGTCCGTGAAGGCTGGTACGACTTGACTGGCCCTGATGGAGAGATTATCCTCCCGGTAGTTTGGGAAAAAACAATTCAGCCTGACTGGTCGATAACAATGACAATGTGGCCTCAAGCCCGAATGGCTAGCGTTGGACGAGGATTCCCTATGCCCGTACCCCCAGGCTTCGTTGGTAAGGGTGGTGCCATGTCAGGCGGCATCCCCCCCGGCATTCGAGTTGTCGATGCCGGTAAACCCAGTGGAAGCAAAGGAAAAGACAAAGGCAGCAGCAGTAAAAAGAGCGGCTTTGGTGGCCTCTTTGGTCCTAAGCCCAAGAAAAAGTAAGTAATAGCTCCCTACTGAATCAAGCGCTGGTACTAACAATGGTTCAGGAAGAAGTAGATTCTGTTTAAAGCGCTATCATGCGTTCTCGCCCCTTGTTTGCAGTTCGACAGGACAGATTTTGTCATTTGGAATACCCCGGCGCAACTTTTGATTTCCCAACGTTGATGCAGACTACTCGGCTCATTGTATCTCCATTACTTCTCTCCTGGTGGCTGAGACTTTCGATTAATTTGGTGTCGGGCGTTTGTTTCTGTCTGTATATCCAACAGTTCCCACACGTTATTGTTTAGTCGTTCATGTTTATCATATGTCTTGGATATCTTCTTTTAGCTTACGATGAGATGAATTAAAGATTCTATGTTGAGATTAAAAGTGTAGCTGGCATTGAGGGATACGCCTAACACGGTATTCTATCTATCGTACAAGTCTAATATTCTATGTAGAACGGGAAGTGTGTCGCTCGTAATTACAGGTGTTGTCGCATAGACCGTGGAGACCCTAGTCTTGTCCTGGCCTGCTTCTCAAACGCCTCGACCATGAGGCCAGCAATCTTGTCAGATACAGTTGCGCTTACAGCGGCGTATAGTGGGTTGGCAAACTGGTATCTGATACTGAGATCGACTACCGTTGACGGAGATGTTGTGCTTTTGTGAGGCTGCAGAGACCATCGCGTAATTAAACTCTTGAATACTGAAGATGCGTCTGGTCCTCCTTTGCCAGATGGGTCGCCGCTGACAGCTTCAACGGAGACCTGGGGGACGCAGCGCAGCCGGCTCGTGAATGCCTCATTGAAGCCGCCCCATCCCACATGGAGGTCAGCCTGTATTGGCCACTTACGACCATTGGCATCCTCGGATGACCACTGCGTAACTTTTGACAGGGAGCAGTACGGGACAAACTGCTGGTATGAGTCGACATCGGCAATCAGGTCGTAGAGAGCCTCAGGGGGGTATGGTAGCGTTCGTGACGCTGTCAAGGTTTGCGTGTCGCTAAGAGCCCCGGGTACAGAGAAGAATTGTCGACGCTGTATTGAAGGCGCACATAATCGCCGGGGCGCTTGCTGTTGGAATAGCCGTCTTGCGAGCGTTTTTGCCGTCATTGCGGAGAGATAGAGTAGTAGTCGTCCAGGATCGAGATGGATGATGGAGCAGTTCTTGGGAAGAGGCACGAACAAGGGTCGCTATATACTCTGCCACTAAATTTGGCAAGGCTATAGCTCCAATTGGCCTGGTGGTGGTGTTGCGCTGGTGACGGCAGGTTTTCTTCTGGCGTCGTCGGCGTGCTTGGCTAGCACTTCCGTCATCAGGCACGGCGCCCCACCAGCCAGCAGGAGCACAGCGACGTCTTCCACCGGCGCCCCAGCTTCCCACACGACAGCACCACCTGCAAGCTCGCACCGATCTAAACACCCGCCAGCAGCAAAGCCGTGATTCGAAAACGTCTGCAAGATGCTGAATGACAGCACTTTATTCTTATAACACTGTGTATTGACGAGAACCGCCCCACGGCGTGCTGTGTGAGCCCCGCGCGGGGCTTCAACCGACGTCACTATGTGCGACCCAAAGCTCGAGCTGCTTATCCATGAACACAACTAACGGACAGTTTTCTAGGTTTGAAAAATCCCTATACGACCTGATAAAGGGCATACGAAGCCACAAAGGAAATGAGAAGCAATATATTCAGAAGGTTCTGAAGGAATGCCGGGCGGAGGTTCGCAGCCAGGACATGGGTTAGTCTGACCGCTCAAACTCTTGATGACAGCTAATAACAACAACGGAAACAGATGTCAAGGCGACGGCTCTCCTAAAGCTTGTATATCTCGAAATGGTTGGCCACGACATGTCTTGGGCATCGTTCCATGTGCTCGAGGTCATGTCGTCTCCAAAGTACCACCAAAAGCGCGTGGGTTACTTGGGCGCCGTCCAGAGCTTTCGAACCGATACCGAGGTGCTGATGCTTGCAACAAACTTGCTTAAAAAGGTGTGTTGTATTTAGTTATATTTGTAGTCTGTTTAGTCTGCTACTCTTGGTGCTGACTAGTTTTAGGACTTGAGCGCGACATCACCCATTGTCATGTCCCTTCCGATAGCCGCCTTGCCTCATGTAATTACACCATCCCTTGCTCTCTCGACGCTCGCCGATTTGTTGCCACGCCTGGGCCATAGCCATGCGAACATCCGGAAGAAGTCTTTGGTTACTCTGTATCGTCTGGCATTGGTGTATCCGGAAACCCTACGAGCCGCTTGGCCAAAGATTAAAGAACGTTTGATGGACCCAGATGAGGACTCGAGCGTCACAGCTGCCATCGTTAATGTTATTTGCGAGCTTGGATGGCGTCGGCCTCACGACTTCCTTCCACTCGCTCCCCGATTGTTTGAGCTATTGGTCGATGGGAATAACAACTGGATGGCTATCAAGCTGATTAAATTGGTAACTATGATACCTACTGTGAATGATTTTAATGGAGCTAACGTGATCTAGTTTGCAATTCTGACGCCCATGGAGCCCAGATTAACAAGAAAGCTGCTACCGCCTCTTACGAATATTATTAGAACAACACCAGCCATGTCCCTTCTATACGAATGCATTAACGGAATTATCCAAGGTGGTATCCTGAGCGATGAGAGCTCCGACACGGACGAGATTGCTACTCTCTGTGTTAGCAAACTGCGAGGAATGATAACAATCAACGGAGATCCTAATTGTGAGCAATAATGCAAGATGAAGACTACAGAGTGGTGACTAACAATGGCGTTAGTGAAATACGTTGCGCTGCTTGCTTTCAACAAGATTGTCCTCACTCATCCACATCTTGTATCAGAGCAAGAGGATGTTATCTTGGACTGCATCGACAATCCTGATATTACAATCCGCATACAAGCTCTTGACCTATTCCAGGGAATGGTGTCTGCTGATAATCTCACCCCCATCGTTAGCCGTCTCATGAAACAACTTAAGCTTGCAGCAGCAAATGATGGGCGAGATGATTCTGCTACTGCATCTGTTGATTCCAGTTACGATTCGGATGGTGAGCCAAAACCACCAACCCAAGCGTCGAAGCCTCGGTCTCAGTCACCGCCACTGCCTGAAGACTATCGCCTCGACGTTGTCTCGAAGATTTTACAAATGTCTTCAAAAGACAATTACGCCAACATTACAGATTTTGACTGGTACATTGACATCTTGACACAACTTGTCCGTATCATGCCCATCACGACACCTAGCAGTGATGATGAGAGCGGCCTGGCGAGAGGCTCAACAACAAGCTCGGTGTCAAAGCGAATCGGTAATGAGTTGCGCAATGTCGCTGTCAAAGTGCGCGCTATGCGATCAACTGCTGTCCGGGCAGCAGATGATATCATTTACCAACTACTCAAAATTACTCCTGTTGGCCATTCTGTGACTTCAGACACACTGCAAGCTGTTGTCTGGATTCTGGGTGAATATTGCCAACTTCTCCAAAATGCGGATGATACTCTCAGCAATCTGCTTCAGCTGATCCCTCGTGTTGGCTCAGTTGATGTCAGTATTGTCATGATTCAGGCGATTGCGAAGATCTTTGCTGCCGTGGCTGGTGATGCCACAGAGCCGTGGACTGCGGAGCGCAAATCTCGGATTGCGCTACTTATGGCGCGTATTCTACACGTAGCAGAACCATTTGCGCTGCATCCAAACCTGGAAATCCAGGAAAGAGCATCCGAATTTATCGAACTGATGAAGCTGACTGCGGAAGCTGCTGCTGGCCAGCCGGCATCAACCAACGAAGCGCCACAAGACGCACCACTTCTCCTTACACAAGCGATCCCATCGCTGTTTAATGGTTGGGAATTAAAGTCCGTTGCTGTTGGTGCCCAATATCATGTTCCTTTATTGGAGAATCTGGATCTTGATGCTCCGATCCATCGCGACTTGCCTGGCCTGCTTGCTCAAGCGAGCTTTGCCAAGCTGGGTGAAGAAGAAGTCGATGCATTTGAAGCTTATTACAACGAACGGCCCGCACCAACGAGCATTTCATCTTCGACACCAGCACTGGACCGCCTTGCCGATCCCGAGGAGTCACAATCTGGAGGTTATCAACAACAGCCTGACGAAGACGCCTACTTGGACCCAGATATTGTAGCACGGCGAAGGGCAAAGCGCTTGGAGCAAAACCGAGACGATCCGTTCTATATTTCCAGTGATGCTAACGTTGCAGAGCAAGCATCTATCCACAACATCATTCAAAGCAGTAACGGCGATGATGTGGACATCGACTCCATCCCCATTATGAAACTAGATCTTGACCAAATTTCTGTCCCAAAGCAAGCACCTCAGCGCCAGGCGCCGAAGCCTAGGCAGCAGATCACAGTGGCAGCAGACGAGATGCTACAAAGCAGTGGCGCTGGCACGCCGCGCTACGACTCCGAAGGCAATGCCGAATCTGCTGCCAAAGCTAAAGCGCGCAAACTCAAACAGGGCCTTCTACAGGTCGATTCTAGCACCATTGGTTCATTCAGCCTAGAGGGGGAGCCTAAGCATGCCCTCAGCCTGCAGCAGCAGCAAGAAGAAGAGGCAGAAATGCAAAAAGCGATGCATGAGGTTGAGAAGCTACGCTTGGAGATGCAGCGCGCAAACGAACGTATTCAAGTAGCACAGGGTGTCGACACTGCCGGCATCATTGTTAAGAAAAAGAAGAAGAAGAAGGTGGTCAAGGATGGCGAAGCAGCAGACAGCACTGAGATTAAAGTCAAGAAGAAGAAGCCCAAGGTAGGTGACGATGGAGAGGTCGTTGTAACTAAGAAGAAGAAAAAGCGAGCGCCAGTGACGTTTGACGACGAGCCAAAACCACTGGATAGTTAAGGCGACCTTCATAAAAGCGGACTATATGATACAGGCAATACAAAGGAAACAAAACATTTTATTCTATCACAGTTTTAATAAAGACTTGTTCTGCGTTAAAGTACATGTTCTCCATATCTCGTCGTTTCTTCCCGCCATCTTCTGTTTTCCAATGGGCAGCACCCCGAAGAGGAATCTGCGAATAGAGGCAAGCGTTCTTGTTTGCCCCATGTGAGGAGCCGCAGTAGTCAGGCTACTGCCATAGAATGGGATAGAAATTACTCTAATCGTCCATGGGTTTATCTTCGAGAGATACACCACGAGCCGCATCCAGAGACTCGTCGGCTAGAGATACCCGGCGCGGTGATTCCATGGGTTTATCCTCGAGAGAGACGCCGCGAGGAGAGGCATCATCTGGGGGAGAGGTGGGCACACGTCGACCAGCGACGAACTTGGCGCCGCCCTTGGAATCTGTTCTCTCGTGCCCGGTAATGGGCGATGTGCCGTTGGCGGACTCAGGGCTGTCGTCGCCGCCTGGAACCTCCAGACTGGCGCGCTTCATGGCCACATTGAGGCTACCCATGCTTGTGCGCTGACGGTCACTCTGAGGGCTTGTCTGGATAGGGAAGCGTGTCTCAGGACCGCCAGAGCTGCGGTCGCGGCGGTGACCGCGGAGACCTGGAGCAGGGCTCGTGGCGCGGCTGCGGCTCGCCGTGGCCTTTTCGAGAAGGGCGCGGTTGCGTTCTTCGACGAGAGCTTTGCGATTACTCTCATCCGTGCTAATGGCGCGCGGACGGCCAGCGCCACCACCAATAGACGATGAATGGCTGAGGGTCGACATGCGCTTAAGCTCGTTAAAGATGGCATCCTTGTGATTGAACAAATCGCGGACGAGGCGGGTAGCATGCTTCTCCTCCATAGTCAGGGAGGTTTCCGTTTTGGGACGCAGGATGCATCGTGACATGGTGCTGGTCAGTGACACAACATAATCCTCATCGGCGGAAGTGAGGTCGATCAGGCGAGTAAAGTGATTCATACAGGCATCCAGAGTGGCAATGTTAGTGAGGCGAAGCTGCGACAGTGTCTGCTGTAGGACAGAGATACGGGATGCGTCGGTAGCATCAACAGCGGTGTTGCTGTAGATTGTACGAACTATTTCGTACACGTGAGATGATACGAGAGAGTCTGCGTAGGTTAGAGACAGGGCGGTTATGGTGGGAAGTTAAGGGAGGACAAACCTGGTAGCTCTAGAAGATACTGTTTTAAAAGACCAGCAACTGTGGGAATGTCGGCATCATCGAACACGGCAGGCGTGATAGCCGGCTCATTATTAATTTTGGCCCGGAGCTTGTGGACCTTACCAAGAGGGACATCAACGAGCCAGACGCCTCGTCGAGCTTCATCGCCTTCCAGATCAGGGTAGTGCTGGTCGAGATACATCAGAATGGTGGTGACGATGACAGGAACTCGTTTCTTGTCTGCTCTTGCGCGGGCCTCGAGATCAACACCGAATACCTGATTCTCGATCTTGTTGTAGTAGTTCTCATACGTAACGACTCGAGGAGAGTAGCCGCCTGTGCGGTAGTTCTCCAATAGGTAGCGCAAATCGTTCAGAGGTTGTACGGTCTCCTGGAAAAGCATCATCTTATCTACAGTCGACTGCAGGCTAGGAATGACGTTGCTGATTGTGCCAGAAAAGTCAAGAACGACAGTCTTGATGGCCTTTAGACGGTCGAGCTCGCACTGCTCCAGAAACTTGAGGTGGATGAAGATTGCTTGTTCCAAGTCGCAGCGCAGCTCGTCAAGCTTCCTAATACCAGCCTTGTATCGTTCGTCGGACTCGCGGGCCTCGCGGTGCAGTCTTTCAGCAGGGGTCTCGTTAGGATGGGAGGTGTTGATAACGTTCCACTTCTCAAGGTATTCGCTGACCGTGCCGACGACGGGAGAGTCGACGGAGTCTACTGGGAGAGAGAAGGTACGGTTGAGGTTTTGCTTCTTCTCGGGAACTCCGGCCAGGCGGAAGGCCTTTGGTCGCCATTGATAGAAGAGTCTAGAACTGTTGGCAAAGGTGCTGCCGACATTGCCAATCAAGCGGAGGAAGCCGTTAGTGATGAGATCTTGGCCAATACGCTCGGCATAGCTAACGCTTGTGCTTCCCATGCTGCGCTGAAGATACTCAACAATGTCAGAACCAGCCGACGTGTTGATGTACGTGCCGAGAATTGGAACTTTGGTCTCCCCCATCTTAATAGTAGAGAGCATATGCGCCAGGATAGGCTTCAGCTGCTCAGTTTGGTATGCTTCGTCGCCAATCTCGAAAACTTCTTCATCCTGGTAGTTCTCTTTCTCCTCTTCCTTGTGTGGCTGGACCTTGATCTCGGGAATGGGCTGGCCTGGGTTGGGGCTTGCAATCTCCGGCTCTTGAAAGGCAAGCTTGTTCTCTTCTTCCAAGTCTTCGACGAGACGACATTTGTTGAAGTATGTAGATCGGAGCTTCTTGACGGCTTCGGCTTGCTTATCGTGTGTCTTGATTCGGACCTGGAGATCGTCCTGAGAGTCTTGTATGCGGGACTCGTGCGCATCGCACCAACGACCAAAGGGGTTTACGACGAGATCGCGAATGCTTTGCGCAATGCGCAGGTGGTTTTGGGCGGCAGCTTGCATCTCACTTCGTACTCCGTCATAAGCCTGGGCCAGTTAGTGAAACTCGTCGGCAAGAACGTCATCATGTACACTACGAACCTTGCGCACGGTGGCGCCATCATCACGGGTAAAACCACCAGTGATCTTGTCAGTTGAAGGGACAATCTCTCCCAGCCGCTGACCGTATCCTTCTTCAGCTTCGGCTCGTAATCTGGCGATTGTGAGCATTTGTCTATTCTCCATCACTCCCTGTTGAAGTTTGCCGAACAGGACGCCCAGGCCTGGATAAAATTAGCACAAGCAGCGTAGGCTGGCAATCCAGCGTGGTCTTACCTGCGGCGTAGTCGCTGGACCAGAAGGACTCAGAGAAGCCCGGCATGTTGTAAGGAGATTTCGTTGGAACCTAGTTTCTATTGATGTTGAGAACTTAGGGGGACCAGAATAGCATTCGCGTGTCGAAGTTTGCCTCCTGCTGCGGATAAAAGTATTGGCCGTGTTAGGGGTCGTTGATCGCCAGTGGTTGTGCAGGATAGGACTGGGGACGCCAAGTGCGAGATGAAGAGAAAGCAATGAACGAGGCGACAGATGACAATAAGGAAAGAAACCCAGAATCAGTTACCAGGCGATCCAAGCGTGTCGCGGTTATCAATGCGTAAAGAAAGTGGTATGGTTGCAGCAAATGGTTGCGATGACACGGTGACGCAGCCAACGCTTCCCAGTTTGACAGCGCAGCTGAAGCCCGCAAGCCACGAGTAGCTCCTGTTGGCGGCCCCTGCGCCAGCTGTCTCCACCGGCGAGTTGCGGTGGTTACGAGGCTGTCTGGAGGGTCCATGCGCCGTGAGCCTTCACTTTTATGGTTGTCGTAATTTTGTTTTTGTTTCCGGAGTGAACAGCCTGATCACCAGTGTCGAAACTTCTGTCCGATTTCTGTTCTGCTTCTCTTGGGCGCTTTGTTAACTGCAATCCCTCCATGGAGCATATCCACAGTGTTGGATTTTAGTTGGTCCAAGATATCCTTGGTGGCTACCAAGGCGTCACAGCGCCGATTGGTCATCGTCGCCCCACGCCGCAACGCTAGCTAAGGTAGACGACAGCTTCTGGAGCTCACCAAGATAAAATAATCCGTACAGCTTCAAGTGCCAGATCGCGTTTGAGAGAGAGACGCCTGTCTTTAATATGGATACGAAGTACAGTCCAGTTGGGGACGTGGAGTGCCAGCAGCAACAGCAGCCTGCCAGGAGGACGCCGCATAAGCTATTGCTAGCATGTTTTGGTATCTGGGTCGCCGCTCACATTCCGTGGATGGCTTCGTGGTCTGCTGCGCAAAATGTCTTGGAGGACCTCAACTTATATCATACGTCCTTTGAAGCTCAAGCGAGTCGGATTCTGGCACAGACTCCTCTAATCGGTATGTTTCCAACCCTGCCGGTGCAGCCGAAGGTGTACTAAGTGATGCAATATCAGATGGTCATATCGACCTCCCAATAGTGCTACGCGCCAAGCACAACAATCGCATCCAAAACGATGACTTCAAAAACCTCTTTGAGAATGGTACGCTAACTGGCCATGTCGACCTTCTGCGGCTTCGACAGGGTCAGTCTGGCGGCGCGTTCTGGAGCGTCTACATGCCTTGCCCCCCCAACAACGAGGACTTTTCAGACGAGCAATACACTCACACTGTTCAAACAACCTTCGAACAAATAGACATCATGAACAGACTTCAGGCCGAATACCGTCGCGATTTCTCCGGTCCTATCAACTCTGATGGCGTGGACAAGGCCTTCAAGGCCGGCAAGCTCATCTCTCCCCTAGGTGTTGAGGGTCTACACCAAATAGGAAACAAGGCTTCCAATGTGCGCCAGTTCTACCAGCTAGGAGCGCGGTATATTACCCTAACTCACAATTGCCACAACAAATATGCAGATGCTGCCGTTCTGGAGAATCCATCCCGGAAGGCTGAACCCCATTGGGGTGGTGTTAGTCCTCAGGGCCGTGAGATGATCCGCGAGATGAACAGAGTCGGAATGATTGTCGATTTAGCACATGTTAGTGAAGACACAATGCGAGACGTGCTCTGTGGTAATGAGGAGTGGCAAGGGTCTATGGCACCCGTCATCTTTTCTCACAGCTCTGCGTGGTCTATCTGCCCCCACCCGCGAAATGTCAAAGATCACATCCTTCAACTGGTCAAGAAACGCAATTCAGTGGTCATGGTGACTGGTCTCCCTGACTTCATCTCTTGTGTGGACGCAGGCAATGAGAATGGAATGCCCGACTTCTACCCTGCAAACTCAACATTGCGTCAAATCGCCAGACATATTGTCTACATCGGTGATTTAATTGGTTACGATCATGTCGGCATCGGCACTGATTTCGACGGTTTTTTTGGTCCTGCAAAGGGCTTCGAGGACGTCACCAAGTATCCTGCCTTGGTTGCAGAAATGCTACGACTGGGAGTATCGCGTAAGGACGCTGCCAAGGTCGTGGGTGGTAACGTTGTGCGGGTCTGGAAAGAGGTTGATGCTATCGCTAGAGAGTTGCAAAAGGCGCGTGAGCCAGTATTGGAGGATTATGTTGAGGGAATGTAAGAATAATGTCCATATCTATTCATATCATGCCCAGCATCGCCTGAATCTAGGCTGCCTCAGTCCTATATATTACAAATGTGTAAAATTACATGGAATTGCATTGTCGGTTTTGAAGAGGCAGGCATTGCCCAAAAATACCAATCGCCTCTCTATGCAAAATGTAGAAAATATTCTGTTTCGTGGGGGTCGCGCCGTCGTCATCGTCTGTCGACTCTATTGAGCTTGTTGGCCGTCGAAGTTTGGTTTCTTGTGCGTTGACCACGGACAGGCAATCCCATGGCGTGCCTTCTGCCTCTATATGTTCCCATGTCTTTTAAGCGCTTGATATTGTCCTGAACCAACTTTCTTGCATCAGAGCCTACTGTCATCTGGCCCAGTTCGGCTGTGAGAGACGTGACTGTTCGTGGCGCAAGAGATCCGACTTTGGCGAGTTTGTGAATGGAGTATTTGGCCATAATTCTGCTGGATGCATTCGGACCAAGGCCATAAAAGGCCTGGAGGGCTTTCTATTGCTTAAAGATTAGATCTTGCGTGCATGGCGACATCCAAGAAGAATAAACATCTTGTTTTGTCGTCGAACTTACCTGGACCAATTGGCCCTCATTGAAGTTAACACCTAGTATAAAAACCTATTTGATACTGTTAGAATGCACATATTTGAATAAATAGTTAGTTTGTTTATACCATTTTGAGATAACCGTGGCTGTTGAAATATTGCCTAGCAGCGTTATGCGCCCAGGAGAAGCTTGAAATGTTCCGCGCTTGATGATTATGTAATTATTCTGGGGCAGTGATTCGGCGTGGTGGACCTGTGGTGGTATTGGGCCTAGCGCCAAGTTTCAGGTGTCTGGCTCATAAGGTACAGCTGTCCTCCGCTCTCTTGTCCCACTGCTCTTCTTTCAACTATCAATTGTTGGACTTTGCACCTGCAAATCATCCAATTTGACAAGTAATCATGTTCGACTTAAAGCGTCTTTTCATTTCTGCCGCTCTTTTCCTCGGCCTCAGCATGCTGCTGTTCTCCAGTGGCGCTGAGGCTACCAAGGGTCCCAAGATCACCCACAAGGTGTACTTCGACATCCAGCATGGCGAGGAGAACCTCGGCCGTATTGTCATGGGTCTCTATGGCAAGACTGTCCCTGAAACTACTGAAAACTTCCGTGCTCTTGCTACAGGGGAGAAGGGCTTCGGCTATGAAGGCTCTACCTTTCACCGTGTGATCAAGGACTTCATGATCCAGGGTGGTGACTTCACCCGTGGTGACGGCACCGGTGGCAAGTCCAGTAAGTTCTATCAACAGTCACTCTCAATATGCATCAGCAACTGACACTCGATATAGTCTATGGCGACAAGTTCAAGGACGAGAACTTCAAGCTTAAGCACACCAAGAAGGGTCTCTTGTCCATGGCCAACGCCGGCAAGGACACCAACGGCTCCCAGTTCTTCATCACCACCGTCGTTACCTCGTACGTCTGCGCGATATTTATATCTCACCTAATGACCCAATTACTAATTCACCTGTCTTTAGTTGGCTCGATGGACGCCATGTTGTCTTCGGAGAGGTCCTCGAGGGTTACGAGATCGTCGACAAGATCCAGAACGTCGAGAAGCTTCCCGGCGACAAGCCCAAGGAGACTGTCAAGATCGCCAAGAGTGGCGAGCTCGAGGTCCCTCCCGAAGGTATTCATGTTGAGCTTTAAGCCGCCCATCACGGCTTCCAGTTTCGCCTACTCTTGCCTGGTCCGCTGATACTTGCAGAACTCAGACTCTAAAGACGACGATGGCGAGCTCCAAACACCGCCAACTAACTCTAAAAGCCCTGTTGTTAAGTCACCGGTGACTGAAGGGCCTTCCTTCTTGCACATTATTATTTTTGTTGGTGTCGTTGCTGGCGTAGGATACTACATTTCTAGCCGCCGAGCCCAGCTGATGAGAGAAGATGTTGGTTACGAAAAGACCCTGGCATAAATAGGCGAATGACAATTTTAAAGCTCGATTGGTTCTTCAGTTTCAATGTGGATTGTATCTTTGCAAGTTGCTGTGTGCATGCCTATGACGAGATCGTGTCGTGGAGCCCCAGCATGTATCGATTAGCTGACTGGCAGCGCGTCACGTGGATTGAGCGGAACCACCATTGAACTTGAAAATGTTGTAAGTCTTGAGCATACATGCCGACCAAAATTTTAAATCACAATTTATCCACTGCCCAAAATATCATATCCCTTTCGCAACTGATTTAAGTTATTGAAACCGAATATATCAATTCAAAATGAAGGTTCTTAGCATCAATTTTGTTACCTGCGCGGTCAAGGCTTGTAAAAGCTCCGCCGACTCGTTTCCCCTCCATCCCAAGGATGCTGAACTCGTCGAAGATGAGATCGAGCTGAACCCTGACATGATCCTCAACGTTTTGCCGAGGTTAGACTGGAAGGCACTCCGTACTACAGCCTCAGAAGTACGTACATAACCCTGCTCATAGGCTGTCTTCTAGCTGGTTGTGAAGTTTTTCTACAGTGGCAGCCACACGAGATAGACGATTTACTAGTAATGCAATATGTGTTCATCTGCTAACGAAATTCTAGCTGGGCTTCCCGGAATTACCCGAACAGGCTCCCTCAGCAGAGACTCTGCAGAGCGATGAGAAGACCCTCCAAGACCTTCACCATATCCTTCTTGAGACTCAGATTTCGGAGGGAAAGCTTGTCTGCGGAAACTGTGGTCACGAGTATGCTATCAAGGAAGGTATCGCCAACTTCCTCCTTCCTAGCCATCTGGTCTAGCGTATTTACAGGTTCGATTTGGCGTTTATGGGGGCGGACTGTTCCTTGGTGTTTGGGAGTACAAAATTGAACTTTCGTGTTTTTTCTGCATCCAGCGCATTCTATCATAACAATATAAGCACATCGGAATTTAGTATCCTTGTTACCGAGTGTGTAAAAAAACTATGTGCCATTCACTAATAGAGATTTGTTTTCTTGATAAAAATTACAAAAGTACAGTACTACAACCGAGATGCCTTTAAACCTTGTCGAGCGCTATTGCTGCTTCTTCTGTGCTGCAGGCCCCATCTCCTTTTCAAATGCACCGTATGATACCTCGAGACTCATTAGTCCTTTGATACCTACAGTAACAATCATCATCATGAAGGCAGCCGCCAGGAAGCCCATGAAGAGCGCTGGGGTGAAGAACTGGTATTTTTCGAATAATGGCAGCTTAACAGGCACAGCAGTGGCAGTGGAAGTAGCAGCAGCAGAGGTAGTAGGCTTCTCAGCTACAGATTTCTCGGCTGCCCTCTTCTGCGCGACTCGGAGGGCGGCGTTGAATTCGGGTTCATAGGTTGGCTCGCCAGGGGGTGACATCATCAGTATCGTGAAGCTTTTTTCGTTCGTCATTTCGTTTAACTTCGCCGCTAGCGTTTTATCTGTTATCAATTAATATAGTGCATAAATTTACCTCGACAATGTTCGAAACTGACCGTTTGCAGCCAGTCGTTGCGCGCGATCGCCACTGGACAACGGCTGGAGTGCAAGCTCTGCGATTGTAACGTGTTTACCCGCTTTCTTACACGCAGATCGAACAAATTCGACCATATCAAACTCGGGTAACTTTCCGATGACTTCGGATACAACGTATCGACCCTTGATCCTCTTGTCTTTAGTCGCTGTTTGATGGAGGAATGGCATAGCCCAGGCTTTGGAGCTTCGGAAGTCGGCCGCACTCAGACCCGGCTGTGTTGCAATCAGGTACGCATCGCTTGGGCAGTTGATTAGAAATTCTTTTGTTGATTTCAAGACGACGGGGCTAGTTTGCATTTGTTGAGGCACTTGGCCGGAGAGGCTATTTGATGTTAGTTTCGTCAGTTATTGGAAGCTTCAGTACGTACTCAGACGTTGAAAGAAGAACCCATGGTGTCGAATCTGAGAAAGCCAAAGCACTGCCAGCCAGAGCTGCGGCGCTGAGAATATTAGTGAGTAACATATTGGTCTGTAGCGAGTTGGCAAGCTTGCTAGGTAGATGTAGCTGGCCTGGCCCGTTTGGTCCACGTTTGAGTACGTCGTCACGTATTCCAGAGTCTTACGTAATCACGAATCTGCGCCAGCCGTCCGGCTATGGGCGACCTACAGTACCATAGCCTCTGCCAAAAAAAATAATTCTAGATTCAATCAGCATTCTTTGTTTTACAAGCACCACTATAAATATGTTCGCCAAACCGAGAGTAAAAAAGAGCATATTACCTTCTCATTATAAAAAACGAAAGACTACCTCGGATATTGAAGAAATTTCCTTTGATAACGATGCAAGGCACGAGTTTTTGACTGGCTTCCACAAGCGCAAACAGCAGCGTATAAAGCATGCCCAAGACATTGCAGCAAAGAGGGCGAGACAAGAAAAACTAGATACAAGAAAACAGGTACGCTTAATATGAATGCAGTTCGTTTCTGGGGTCTAACCAAAATAAGATTCGAGACGATCGCAAACGAGAACTAGAAGAGCATGTCGCCAATGTCAACCGAATGTTGCGAGAGTCGCAGGCGGCGAATTCTGGAGACATCGAGGCTGCCGAGGACAACGACGATGAAGAATGGGATGGCATCGCCGATGAACCCAATCTAGATATCATTGATCACCAGGAAGAATACGTTGACGAAGACCGTTATACAACTGTCACGGTCGAATCGGTCGTTATTTCTCGTGATGGACTTGCGAAGCCGGAACTCGTTGATGAAGACGATACAGCATCTACAGAGGTGATCGAAGAAAACGCTGATGAACGAGAGCCATCCTCACGGAAGAAGGATCATGACCGGCCGCGTAAAAAGAAGAAGCAATTCCGCTACGAAAGCAAGTTTGAGAGGTCACTCACCAACGCAAAGCAGAGGGTTAAAAAAATGAAGCGAGGCGTTTGATTCACTGGGAATTTACATTGTATGACAACTTATGCCCAAGGTCCAAGATAGACACGGCATGGATTGCAGGTTGGCGTTGCGTACGGCATATGATTTGGGCATGGGATATGTATATGTATTATGCTAGAGACATCTACCAATATCTTTCTTTTTCAGGCCTGTCCTAGACCAAATATTTTTCGACATGGCGCGACTCTGTAGCGAAGAATTGTTTGTTCTGTCCCCAGGTGCAAATAAGTTCGTCTAAATGTTGCCAATTTCGTTCTGAAGATCCTCAAGCTCCTTCTGGAGAGTGGTGTGCTTCTTGGCCATTTCCTCGTACTTTGTCACCCACTGGTCACGCTCGTTCTCGAGAGCCTGGACTTTGCGCTCGAAGTGTCCGGCCTTAACATCAGTTTGGCGGAGCCTATAGCCTTGTTAGCAGTTGCGTCATCCCCTTAGGCCGGGAAACGGCTCCCTGCCTTGCAGTGATAGACCTGTTACGTACTTTTCATTTGATTCGCGGAGAGTCTTGTCGGCATTCTCGGCCTCCTCTTCGAGGAGTTGCAGGCGTCGTGTCAAGGTCTCGTTTTGGGTGCCGTGCTGTTGTCCCTCATCGGCAGCCTTCTTGAAGTCCTTAATAGCGGTCTCGAGCTTCTCGACTTCGCCTTCCAAGAGGTTGTTTCTGTGCTGTAAAGAGGTAATCTCTTGCTCCTTGGACAAGTTCTCTTGCTCCAATGTTTTGACCTTGGCGGAAAGTTCCTCAACTTTGGCAGCAGCATCATCTGCCTCCACGCGGAGGGAGTTCATTTTCTATTCTCAAACGGTTAGCTCTGACCGACATCTCTTTCGGCGCGAGCTGCACTGGGCTGCAAGCAGGCTTCCCGGTCTAGCATTTACCTCCTTAATTCTATCCATTGTGAAATTTGAAGCTCAAAAGCTAAAGCGTCGATAGGTCCGATGAAAAAAGTGTAAACGCGTGGAGATAACCTGTCCAAACTGGTGGAAGTTAAGCAGGAGAAAGGGGTGGGGTAAGGAGTAGATGCCCCTCCATGAAAACGCGGCCTCATTGTGTGGCAGCAACCAAAGCTAGCCGCCACAGGCTTAGCCACTTTCTCTCGTCGCCCTGCCAACGCCACAGCTTAATCAAACACTCCGTCCCCTGATGTCACACCTTCCAGACGTCAACTCGATCTTTCCATCCCGAATTCATCAGATTTTATTTACAGTCTTATCAAAATCGGTTTACTCATTTTATTTTGTTAAATTCTAACTCAAGATGCTCGCTGCTCACCGCGACCAAGAAAACCTGGTGCGGACGCACGTGCCTACAAAACAAGCGCCCAAGACTCCAGGGGCGAGATATCCAAAAACGCCGTTGAAGTTTGGAGGGGATGAAAACGCTGGTGGCCTTTTCACCAAAGGTGGTCGCGCTGGTGGTGAAAAGCTTGTAAATCAACAATTAATCACTCCTGCAGGTAAGCAGCTTGATGCACTATCTTTTCTTGGTCGATGGTCTAACCTCAACACAGCAAATACAGTCAGAGCTCCGTTGGGGAATAAAACGACAAATGCAAAGGCCATCAGGGGTCAGGCTACTGAGAAAAGGGGTTTTGTTAACGTCGAGAAAACCCAGTTCAAGCCTCTTACAGCGCAAAAACCAAAGCAAAAGGTCACATCAGCGCCTCCTTTGTTTGAGGTTCAGGCAGATGTGCGTAACAACGACCAGGAAGAGGAGCCAGAATATGCTCCAGCAAAGGCTCCACGTGCTCTTAGCTACAAATCCGACGTGCTACCAGAGAATGGCCTAACCTTTAAAGGCCTTCATCGCAAGCATATACTCTCAGGCTACTTTGAACACTTTTATAACGATGTCGATGCTAAGGGACGGTCGAGATCGGAACGAGCCCTTCAAGCAGAGAAGCGCAAAGCCCTTGACCAAATGGAACAGCAGAATGCACTGGATATCGACGCTATGACTTGGAATGTGGCCGACACTACAGAGAACCACATGTCAGTCCTTCAAACAAGGCCGGCATCTAGAGCTGTTACAGGAGGATCAAGATCAAGTAAAAGACCTACATCAGCACTCGCCTCCCGACCGACGCCCAGCAAAGCAGCTAAAGCAAAACCAGCACTTAGCAACGTGACCGTGTCAAATCATAATAGGGCGAGGTCTATCCAATCCTCAATCCCGAGCAGGACCATTGGCACTGCTGCTTCTGCCGGTGAGATTGCATCGAGAAACAGCCTTGGTTACAGAAAAGGTCGCGCGGTCTCCTCTATTTTACAACCGAAGGAGCGGCCTAAGTCAATCAATCGACTGGCACTGTCACAAACAGTTAATGACAGGGATACAACATGCCAGAGAGATCCTGGATTACGAAGCGCCATGGAACTTAATCATGAGCTGATGAACAGTCTTTGTGATGATGACTCTGACATTGAACTGGCAGGAGTGCCAGCAATATCAGCATTGTCATTGGAGGATGCTTCAGATGCTGAAGAGGATTTTCAACTCCGTTTTGATTTTTAAGATATGAATAACGTGTATAATGCGTGCGAATGGTTAATGTACAAGTAGACGTGGATTATTCTTTATATTAATGACAAGCTTTCCTTTACTCCCTTTGAACTATCACACTCCGAACGACCTGTAATTTTCGTAGATCGGTATGCAGTGTCGCGTCACTCTCACGCTGGTGTCTTCCCGGATCATCTCTATTCCGCCGCAATCGCGGGCTCTGCGTCAGGGTGGGGCAGAAACGCGGATGCGCCGCCATACTTTGGCTTTTCGATCAAGACCACCGGGCGACATCATCATCACCCACGAAATCGGAGGCGAGAGCGCTGCCACCACCAACCCTATCAGAACACTCCAGCAGTCGCAAATTAATTGCAGAACCTCGCGGTCTGCTGGCCGTATAATCTTGGTCTTTTGGCACGCTTCTTTAGCCGGGTTTTGCGCGATCGCGTGCACTCTCCCTCCCGAATTTCTTTGGCGGCGCAGTCGATTTTACTTTGGCCTCTTCCACGACCTAATCGCTTACAAGATACCATCAGTCTGGGTGTATTATTCCCATACTATTGAGCGCGTAATATCGATTGCTTGGCCCTCCAGTTTCTCTGTAGGGCACCACGCCTGGCGCGTTTGTTTGACGTCTGCCCAACAATCCGCAGCTATTCGACGCAGCGCCACTCGACGCTGAGCAGCAAGCTTCTACAGTTATTGAGCCAGGCTCACAAAAATTAGGACTTTTTCTATCATCAGATACGTCGCTCGCCAACCTACTCCTGTCTGTGACATATACGGCATGCACATCCTTGACTGCGCTCACTCTACCCCCGTTACGCCTAGCCGACCCCCTCAAGTATCTCACCACTCTATACCATTTTGACACCATTAGACTCTACACAGATTTTAATCCAAGTGGTTGCTTGGGCGTTCGCAATATCCTCTTCTACGGTTGAGACTGCCTGGCGCTAGCGCGCCGTTTGCTGCCGAAACGCACTTCATCACTGCTTCGATCCAATGCAGTCGCCAAACCCAACACCTCCTGAATTGCAGGCCTTGCAACGGGTGATAAAGGGCTCGAAATGCATACGCGACCCGCTACTTGACCGTGCCCGCGGGCATGCGTCTCAGAAACACGCGAAGCCGGTTTATAAAGAGTTCACATATGCAAGTCACGATAAGAAATCCCAAAGGTGTATTATGAATTGTGTGCTAACTCGGGACAGGCTACTGGCGAGACAATATCGGATCCACGACTGCAGAAAGGCGGCCGGCTGGCGTATATCAACACTGATTACCACCTCCCAAGGTCACGGTTTCGGCCGTCTCTGGAGAACTTACGACCATATGCATATGACGTAAAGACTTCGATTGGCCCAGGGCCACCAACTCAGATCCTCGTCACAAGATATAAGCCGCTAGTTCCGTTCCACAAAGTAACGGCAGTTTTTCAGGATTTTGGCAGCATCGCTGCTTCAAGCAATAAAATGCATCCAGAAACAGGTAGCCCCCTGGGATTCTGTACTATTAGGTTCGCTGATTCGACCCGGATACGCGCTGGTCAAAGGGCTGTATCTGGTGCCGATGCGGCGCGGAGAGCTGTCAACGCGCGTGGACTGAAAGTCGAAGCCGATATGATACGAGTACAATTCGATCCCGATGGTCAAAAGAGTCGACAGATGATGGAAGATTATATGCGCCGAGAAAAAGAAAAGCTAGACCGAGGGCGCCGCGATGTACCAGCTGCAGGCACACCAACTGGGCCAAAGTCAGGTACATCTCAGGAATTCATTCGACCACCACCGACGGCACCGAAAGGGCCAGCTTCGCAACGCGTATTTACAGTACCAAGTACACCATCTGTGGTCGCGACGGTGAACGAGCCTCGAAACCTTGCGACACAACTTATTAATGACCCTTATATCTTTGTCGACACCGAAAGCGTCCCGCCGATCCCGAGTATTATCCCACATATGAAGAAAAGGTTAAAAAATTATGCTTTCGAGGACATTCTTCTCGATAAGCAAGCCGGTTACTATATTGTTTTCCGCCAATCTCTTAATGGAGAAAAAGAGGCAGAGCGGTGTTTCCGTGCAGTGAACCACACCGAATTCTTTAACTATAACATGTCTATGCAGCTTTGCGTACCTCCAGCGAACCCGCTGCCTCCACGAAATCGACGAACACCAAGCCCTGAGCGGCCGACAGTTAGGAAACCTGTCAAGACGAAGGACGATGAGGCGCGACGACGTCGTAGAGAGGAAGAGGCCGACATGGAAGAAGAAAAGAAGCAGCGTGCTAAGAATTTCGATCCAGTCAATGAAGCCGTCGAAGCTGTCCGGCGTGAGATGACGGAACATCTTATTCGCCATATCCGAACTCAGGTTGCAGCTCCTTATTTGCAAGACTTCCTCGATCCTTCGAATCATCTGGCGAATAGAAAGAAGTTTAACATTGATATCGTTGACGACGATGATGATGATGAGGGCTTCAACGTTGAGAAGGTTAAAACGAGAATCGGCACTCCAAACGCCAGAGCTGATCCGATTGAGCGACGTACGAGCCGAGCTGAAATCAAAGCACTGCCTAAGATCCGCAAATCGAAAGTCAAAAGTCAGCCACCCCAAAATCGGTTTAGAGACCCGTTTGCTCGGAAGCCAATCTCGGCTTCTAAGCCAGCTTTCCGCTCTCTTCACCATCGCCTAAAGAGTTTTGACAGTGACTACGAGTCGGATGATGATGCTGAGATCCAAGCGGCTGCTCTCAAAGCTGGAGACGTCACTCGTCCTCACAGCCGCCTTAGCAGTGATGACGAGGCTACTAAAGATGACTTTGTCATGTGGGACGAGCCAGAAGATGACTCTATGACAGAATCTAGTGTTCAATTCCACCCATCCAAAAAACGCAAGAATGATCAAGCAAATCTGCTACGCCAGAAGCGATTGAAAACAGCAAGCCACTTGCGGTTTGATAGCGCGGATGATCGGTCAACGCGAGATAACTCTGAGGATATTGGTATTGATGGCGACGTTACAGACCATGAAAGTAGGCTTTCCCGCTCCGAGACCCCCATACTTCCCAGCAGTAAAGAGCAGCGACGTCAAGCGCTAAAGGCTGCGAAGCTTCGTCGAGACAGTGACCATGATATGGATAGCCCTCTCAACGCTTCAACAGGTGCGCCGATAGAAGGCGTAGAATCACTCGATGACGACACAGCCGCAGCAGTAGTCCAGCGGAAGAAAGACCGGCAGGCCATCATGGATCGATACAATGACAAGATCTTTGCTAAAAAGCCTCTCACACCCGCTCTGAAGCTTGCCGATGGCTTCAAGCTCGACATAACAACTTTGCAACACCTCTCCTTATATGGCACGGATAAGCCAGATACAGGCAGGCTAGAAAAACGATTTCATACAGCTTCCATTGGTAATCCGCAACTGTGGTTATGGAGAGCACAGCGCGTGCGTGAGCTAAATGCCTCAGAAGACACGCCGAATGAGCCTATCTCGATTGAAGGATACTACGTTCCCAACCCCTCCGGGTGCGCTAGGACTGAGGGAGTCAAGAAGATTCTCAATTCTGAAAAGTCAAAGTATCTGCCACATCACATCAAGGTGCAAAAGGCCCGCGAGGAGAGAGAGGCCAACGCCAAAAGTGGCAAAGATGCTTCTACAGCTGCTGCTGAAGCCGCCAAGATGGCTGCTGAGAAGCTCGCCAAGGGCAACTCGCGTGCAAACAGGGCAACCAACCGTCGCTACGTGGCTGATCTCAATGATCAAAAGAAGACACTGGGACAGGACTCTGATGTCTTCAAGTTCAACCAACTGAAGAAGCGTAAGAAGCCCGTCAAATTTGCTCGCTCAGCTATCCACAATTGGGGTCTTTATGCCATGGAGAACATCAACAAGGACGACATGATTATCGAGTACGTCGGCGAAGAAGTCCGTCAGCAAATCTCCGAGATCCGTGAGAATAGATATCTCAAGAGCGGCATTGGTAGCAGCTACTTATTCCGAATCGATGAAGACACAGTCGTCGACGCGACAAAGAAGGGTGGCATTGCAAGATTCATTAATCATAGTTGCATGCCAAACTGCACCGCCAAGATTATCAGGGTGGAAGGTAGCAAGCGCATTGTCATTTACGCCCTGAGAGACATTGCCATGAGTAAGTATCTATCTAGCTTTGCCGATGACCACGGTGCTGTCAATGAACTGCTTTTATGCTAACTAGTGACATAGACGAAGAGCTTACGTACGATTACAAGTTCGAGAGAGAAATTGGTAGTCTGGACCGTATTCCCTGTCTCTGCGGAACAGCCGCTTGCAAGGGATTCCTTAACTAACTGGTCAGCACGGGTGGCGTACGGTGCAATTGTGTGGGCTTCTATCGTCAACAACAGGCACATGAGAGGGAAAGGGGCCTGCCCATGTATTATGAGATAGCGAAAAGTTAATCACCAATATTAATAATGTACTCAAACTATTTTCTTGATATTCAACACGTGATATCTCTTTGAGGTATTGATGTATGTATACATGTATACAAAATGACAGGGTGGTATAGTACAAACATTTGTGAAAACTTGAAAACTCTTGACATGACCTGTACATGTCAACGGCTCGCGGCGCCAATGTCAACGAAGTGATTAGTATACAGTTGGTAGAAAATGCTAGCCAACGCTATAAAACTGGTGAAACGACGGGAAGTAGATGCATCAACTTGTTGGGCCGTAGGGCGTAGTCAACAAAGGAGCACGCAGCAGCATGCTATTAGCCATTTGTGCGAGGTGAGGGGGGGATCTGTTTATATAACGTTTTCTGTTGGCGCAGCGAGGTTTTGATCTGCGATAGGGTCTTTATTGGCAATAAAGGCGGGTGCCTTCCCTCGAGAGCCACGCTTCATCATACGGCCCAACACCGTCACAAGCTCGCAAGCGTCTTGAAACATATCATCGTCCATGCCCTCAGTGGCATCGTATACCTCGGTAATGGTCTGCTTGGCGAGCTGTCTGCTTGCTGGTACATCGTGAACGCACTCGTAGAGAAAAGCGACATATTCTGTCTTGACTGACAGGCGTAGTGAGTGGGAACCCCAGAGTAGTTGGTCAGCAAGCTCAACGGCTTCTCGGAAGTGATCATGTGCGTCCGGGAGGTAGTTCTTTTGGGGCAGTAGCGCACTTGGTGGTAATAGAGCAACCTGGGCTTCAAAGCCCGGAGGCGGCCCTAGAGGGCCGGATTCCAAGGGGTGCGTCGGTTGTATCGATGATGATATTGACATAGCGTCACCGTTGTGGTCGTTGTACGGTTTCGCTATGGGAGCGAACGCTGCGGCGGCCATAGCTTCGGGGGTCCAGCTTCCTATATTCGAAACAGCAGGTTTGTTGTGGAAGAGCACAAATATGTGGTGGAAACTTGCACGCAGTTTGTATGCCAGGACCTTGAGCTCGACATAATTTCCAACCATTGGAATAACATACTGCTGTAACATTATCAGACCTTCACGGGCGAGCCATAATATGTGAAGCACGCGACGGAGGAAGGCTGGGGAAGTTGCAGCATCCGGTTTCCGTTGCCTTTTGGCAGCAACGAGTTGCTCTGAGAGGTTTAGTGAAAGACCGAGAATCTTAAATAGTATGGACGATAACAGAGGGTTGTCTCGTTCAACAGACTTGGCTAGCCTCCCGAGGAACTTCTGGTCCACCTCAGACGATGCCATCCAAGCAACGATCTCGTCAGCCCTGAAGAGGCCTGACCTCGGCTTGGATTGGGCACAATCAGAGCTGACACGAACAGCGTCTGAAGTTCTAAGCTCAGCAAGGCTATCCCGCTCAGGGGAAGGCGAATTGGTTTGCTATAAGGGTAGGTTAGATGGTGATGTTACTGTAATGATCTGGATACAACGTGGCGAGCCTGTGCTGCTAGGGGAGGAAAAAGGCACCATGTTTTGCATACGTGGGCTTTGCATAGAGCGAGTGCCCTGACATGGCAGCAGGACCCAGTGGTGTGTATCAGGGCGGCGTCGAGCTCTGCATAAGAGCAACAGTTGGCGGGCCATGATTGGGTATAGCCCCAAACAGGATGCGGTCTAGCAAGAGAAGCTCAAGCATGCACAACAGCAAGGATTCGGCCCCTGTAATGACGCCGATGGGCACCAGTCCAGCCACCGAAGAGCGTCTTGTCATCTGCTGGCTGATCGCCTACCGCTAGAATGCGTGATGGTTCCATCTTTCAAGTGGAGAGAGGGATCCAAGCTTGTGTCCATCTCCCCAACAGACCCCAATATTCGCACGTTTACCGACATGTGGGATGAGGGTATAGAGGGAAGCGAGAGAACTTACAGGATGCATGATGCAGAGATGGGATCAAGTGGATAAAGAACAGGGTGCCCCGAGATTGAAGAGAGAAGCTCGTGGAATAGTCACCACTTGGCCAGAGGTGGCTGAGAGTAAGAGAGGGGGCTTATGGCGGTTAATTGATGAGCATCGGGAGGAAGATAGCGACCAGGAGCACCAGCAAGTTGTATCAGAGCGCACTCTCAGCCTGTGATTAGGGGCACGCGACGTCTTTGGGAATGAATTTGGGTACCCTTGTCAGGACAATAGCGAGAAGACGGCAGAATCAAAAGGCCGTCAACTGCGTTGTGTGCGCGGTGCTACGGATGGTTGCACTGGCTGCCAGCTGTGTCTGCGCCAATCGAGTCGGCGCGTCGTGCAACGGCCCAGCGCTACCCAATGCCCCTGTCGTTTAGGGGAGACGGTCCCCAGCCACTCGACTTTAAAAAAAACAACGTGCGTCCAATTAGACGGCTATTGTGAGAGTGGCCGTGAAAATAGGTCAACATAGTACCATGAATGTTTATACCACCGATTAGGAATACCAAAGCACAGTGTACAGCATAACACAGCCCCAGAATGCGAGACGTGCTTCTACACTTTGACAGGCATGGACTCCTCAGACCACGTCTTACTGCAGTTGAACAACAAGTGTACCGATGGGTTTAGAGGCTGGCGAAGCAGGTGTCGCTAAAAAGATACCACAGCGTATGGTCTGCTGCAAACCAGCAAATTAGCCTGACGGCCTGCAACATTGGCCGTACACCGCTAGTTGTTCGGCGCACGTTCCCAGTAACACACGGACGCCGAAGACGCCATGCGGTTGAGCTCACCACGCTGTAATTACCTGGAAGCGCAAGTAATTAGCAACTGCCTGCTGCTGCAAGTCTATATAAAAACTGCGCTTTGTGCTGCCTTTCGTCCTTACTCGCTAACGATTAAGACAGGGCACGCTAGAGGGTGGTGGTTCGTTATAAATAGCCTACTGTCTAAGACACACTCGACCCTGTGCACAACCTATTCCCTATCAGGCTGGTTCGATATTAAACTAACTAGTATAGTGTAACTTATAGCATGGATAGCATTCGTCATGGCATGGGCTATTTTTTCGCAAAGGGGGGCGGGACACGCGCAGCCTTGCCACCAACCTACCGCCAAAGCATCAAAACGACGACGAGGGCTTGACCCACTCGAGTTCTGAGAGGGCCTGCAAAACATCCATTTTCAAATATGCATGTTAAATCTAAACGTTAAATACTGCCCAAAAGACATGGATCGAGACAATTGTATCGAGCAGCTTATAACTACATTTAATGAACTCAACAGCAACATAATAGACGAACTCGAAGAGGAGCCAAGCCCATTAGAGTTTATGCGCTATGTTGCGCGCAATGTCCCGTTTGTTGTTCGTGGCGCATGTTCGTCTTGGAAAGCTGTCCAAAATTGGAGCCCCGAATATCTAAAGACGGCTATGCAGGATCAAAATGTTAACGTTGCCGTAACACCATATGGGTATGCGGTCTAAGCCTGACTTTTGGGCTGTTGAGTAGAGCTGACGATGTCTGGTGTTCTAGAAACGCCGATTCTCCAACTCTCATGCCAGAAATTGGGGATCTAGTGTTGGCAAAGCCCCATGAAGAGCAACAGTCATTCTCAGAATTCATAGACTATGTTATGAGCCAAGAAAGGGATGCGGATGATCCAAAGTATAGCGAGGTCCGCTATGCACAAACTCGTATGACACCGGAATTTACACCCCTTGACCATCCTAAACTGACGTATTTCAGAAAATGATAATTTCAGAGACGAATATGCTTCGCTACTCCCGGATGCACAAAACGATATTCCATTTGCTAGGATTGCACTTGAAAAGAAGCCAGAGGCTATCAACATGTGGATTGGCAACTCCAAATCAGTTACGGCGACACATAAGGACAATTTTGAAAACATATTTGTCCAAGTTCGGGGGAAAAAGCACTTTACATTACTCCCACCACTTTGTTTGCCCTGTATGAATGAGCGGAATATACCAGGGGCGACATATACACGACTTGGCGACGACTTGGTACTAACCCTAGACAACCCTCGTGCAGATGTTCCCTTTGTGACCTGGGATTTTGGTTCGAAAGAACACTCTACCAGGTTCTCGGACCTGGCGCAGCCTATGCGCGTAACTTTAGAGGCTGGTGATTTGCTCTATCTTCCTGCCATGTGGTACGTTTGCTCAAGGCCCCGTACTACATAAATCTAACCAGTCGCACCAGGTATCATAAAGTAACGCTCTCAACTGCTAATGATCACCCAGATGGACTTGTCGTATCGCTAAACTACTGGTATGTGCATTTTTTAAGAATATGAAACAACCGTTCAGTGGTGACTGAGCAGAGAATAACAGGTTCGACATGGAGTTTTCGGGGACGCTCTATCCATTAACATCATTTCTTCGCCAAACTTGTCTAGATACAGTATAATATAAAACAATCATGCTCATGTTTTTCCCGGGTATGTGTACAGCTCATTTCTTCTTCTTGGCTATCCTCTTCTGTGCCCTCAATTCCTTCTTCATTCTTGCATCAACAATTCTGTATCGGCCCTTGACACCGTTGGGGCGACCCTTGATACCCTTGTTGGCGCCTCTAGCAATAACCAGGCGCGCTGGTTGGCGAAGCCTAGGCTTGTTGGCCTTGGCAATCATACGGCCAATCGTCTCTGCCTTCTCCTTCTCCGTCAATCCTTCGTCCGCAGCCAAGGCATCAGACTTCTTTTTAAGCTTCTCCAACTTGCGAGCAGCCTTGTACTTCTTTCGTGCTTTGGCTTCGCGTACCTTCTTGATCGGTCTGGCATTGAAAGCTCTAAGTTTCTCTTGGATGGCCTGCGCAGCTGCCTTGGTAATAGGCTTTAGACGCTTATCGTGTTTACCTTCGTCATCAAGAAACCAGTCGGGGAGGCCGTCACTGTTTCTGAAAGAGTGCTTGTTGTATCCCTCATCAATGGTATCAGCAGTAGTCTTTTGGCCAGTCGCTAGCTGATGTGCTAGCGTCATGGCTTCTGCAGTAACAATGTCGATGTCTAAATGTCTTAGTGGAATTGCTTTCGTAGACGTCAGTAGATTGTAACTTACCAATCTTGCCGTCCTTGGTACGCGCGTCGTCTTTCTCCCAATCAGACTCGGAGTCGTTATCATCGTTTTGGCCCATGCTATAGTCGCCGTCGTTGTCAGAGCCATCAGAGCCATCAACTGCCACGCGCTTTTGAATCTCAGGCTTGGGGGAGCTCTTTTCCTTATTCCTGATCTTTTCTTTATTCTCTTGTACACCCTGAGTCGCAGGTGCAGCACCTGTCGTAATGCCTTTGAAAATGTCTTGATCAAAAAACGCAGCAGCACGCTTAGACAGGCCCTGGCCCTGGTCGCTGTTTTCTGTAGAATCAAGATCCATCAACAAACTTCTAGTCGGTTTAACACCTTCGTCTTCATCGTCGTCATCAGACGACTCTTCTTCCAAGTTTGAATCGGAATCGTCGTCTTCTTTATCGCTTCCAGAAAGGCCCTCCCATTCATCGTCACCGCGTTGTTCTCTCGCTTTCTTTGCTCTGTACTTGGCGTCTGATTCGAGCTTTCTGTCCTTGTACTGGTCGTACATGTTGTCTAGTGCACGGTCCAGTTCATCTTCCTCCGAATCACTCTCTTGATCATCGCTGTCAATCCCCTCCCACAGTGGCTGCGGTTCCTCTTTTGCAACAACCATTTTGCCCTTGTTAAGTCTGCGCATGGCATCTGACGTGTCAGCTTTTTTGAGCGAGAACATGGCACCCTCGCCAATAGGGCCGGCCTCTTCGAGACCGATATCCATCGGGCTGATCATATGCAATTGCATGCGAACAATTTCTTTTTGCTTCTTCTCATTCTCTTTGCGTCGTTCCTTCTTCCGCTTCGAGCTCTCCTTGTCCTTCATCGCTTGTAGATCCTCTTGAATGCGCAATTCTTCATCCATTGGTTCCACGGCCACTACTTCGGTCGACTCTTGCTGTGCTGCAGTCGATTCTTTCGTTGCAAACCCAAAGATTTCTCTAACTCTCGTTCTCCATTTCAGAAGTAGTTTGAAATCCTTCCTGCCTAGCGTCTTGAGATCGGCACAGCAATCTCTGATTTCAAGCGTGGTATCTGGAAGCTTATCTAATGCAGCCAGCGCCACATCGCCGTTCAGTGGCTGATCAAAGGTAAGCTTATTGCAAGTGCCTAGAATAGCAATGGGGTCCATAGTTTGGATAAACTCGCTGGCAGGAACCTCTTTGTATAGTGTGTAGTCTCCTTCTTCGTAGCCGTCTCTCTTTCTCTTCTTCACTTCAGGGTTGTAAACCTTGGCTTCGTTATTCGATTGTACTCCAGAAAGTTCGGCAAATACAGAACGGGGGTCGAGAAAGCGTGGATCGACGCGCTTCGGAGCCTTGTAGCCCAGACACACAACAAAAATTTCTGCTGAGACGTTTCGCGACGAGGGAGGTTTCGTAGCCTCAACCTTCTCGAAAAGTTGGTTTAGAACCCAAAGCAAGGGGTTGTAATCCTTGGAGCGGAAGACCTTGGTAACAAACGTGCCTCCTTCAATCAAGAATTCTGTGGCGAGCTTCAACGACTGCAAAGCCAGTTCGGCTTGGTTGAACGAATCCTGGTTCCAAGATGTTCCTACGTTAGGAGCACCATCGTGAAGAACTGTATCTGCTTTCCAAGTCTTCAAATGTTGTCTAATCGTCGCTCGACACTTTTCGGTAGTAATGTCGCTTTGGAAAGTGATAACTTTTGGGATTGGTTTAATGGGAGAAAGATCAACACCAACAATCAAACTGTTTACCGGCATGACCTCAGCAGCAACCTGGCACCAAGACTAGAAATTGGGTTAGCAGATATAGAAGACCAAAATCGTCAGGTGAAACGTACTCCAGGCGCAGCGCAAAGATCCAGCAGGACCTTGCTCTTTTCGAGGAAGCCATACTTCTTATTCAGCTGTATGAGTTTAAAAGACGCTCTTGCTCTATAACCCTTTTCTTTAGCAAGCTTGTACCATTTATCAAGACGGCCTTTGCCGTGCTTTTTTTGAATCGCCATGCCGCCTGCTGCGAGAAGTTGATAGTGTTGAACTTTTTTGATGTCGGCCCCACCAGTCCTAGAAATTTTGTCGGATGGCTAACACGGATAAGAGAGATCACGTGCTGATAGTTCCAACCGCGCCAACTCCAAGATGACGATGACGCAAAAGGGGAACAAGAGCACCACCCAAAAAAAAAACAATTTCAACAAACTGATCATCGCATCAGCTATCTGCCTAGTAACGCGTTAAAGTACGCCGGAAGGCCGTATATTTACACTGCGATGGCTGGGCGCATGCTTGCTATGCGGCTCCGCCCGCTGTCTGGTCGCGGGTCGACCGCGTCGGCAAGCGTCTTATATCGACCCCAAACAGGAGGGCTTTTGCGCGCAGATGCATTAATTCGTGCAACGCAACGGCGTCTTTGGTTTGGAGAAAATGCTTTCCATAACTCTGTTATCACACGCAACGCTTCCTTCGCTAGGTTCCTGCCCAAGTTAGTCATGAAGTTTGCCAGAATACCAGCGATGTTCGGCGGGTTAGCAATCGGTGCTTTTGCATGGGTCCAATACCAAGCCACACGTAAGTCCTCAGCTGTTTGCATCGCTGTTGATATATTAACAAATAGTCAGAGGCTGGTACCTATGCGATAAACGTGTTCAACAATACAAAGGATGCCGTAGCTGACGGTGCCTCACTTTTCTACGAACAAGCTCTGGCTGCCGCAGCTCAGACAAAGAAGGGCTGGGAAAATACCAAAGAGCAAATAGAAATGCCGGAGTGGCTCAAGAAAGTTCTACGGCTCGATGAAGAGGCCGCCTCCGGAGGGCCTGGAGGCCCTGGTGGTGCGCCTGATCCAAGGCAGAGCAAAACTGGCCCTGTGGCAGCTGCGGCAGCAACTGTTGCAGCTTATAGTTATGAGAGCGACTCTGATTCGGACCATAAAGATGAGTCCAAAGATGACCAAATGATGATTCTTACCAAGAAGATGATTGAGATACGCAACATCCTACAAAAGATTGGCCAATCCGACTCTCTTATGCTTCCTTCGATCGTGGTTATCGGCTCCCAGTCATCAGGCAAAAGCTCTGTGCTAGAAGCTATTGTTGGGCACGAATTCTTACCCAAGGGTTCCAACATGGTTACACGCCGACCGATTGAGCTGACTCTGGTAAACACTCCAGGCGCTCTCGACGAATATGGCGAGTTTCCAGATCTCGGGTTAAAGCGAATTTCCGACTTTGCATCCATTCAGAGAACCCTTACAGAGCTCAACTTAGCGGTTCCTGATTCTGAATGCGTCTCTGACGATCCTATTCACCTTACTATATACTCACCAAACGTACCTGACCTGTCTCTGATAGACTTACCTGGCTATATACAGGTAGTCGGCCACGATCAGCCTCTAGAGTTGAAACAGAAGATTTCCGATCTTTGCGACAAATACATTCAGGCTCCAAACGTCATATTGGCTATCTCCGCCGCCGATGTAGATTTGGCAAACTCAACAGCCCTACGTGCATCGCGTAGGGTCGACCCACGGGGCGAGCGAACCATTGGTGTCATTACCAAAATGGATCTTGTCGATCCCATCCGCGGAGCCGGAATCCTGAACAACAGACAATACCCCTTGCGCCTCGGATACGTTGGTGTTGTGTCCAAGGCACCGTCATCAGCTGGACTGTTCAAAATGGGCTCCTCCAATCTGCTCACATCCATTACGAAGCATGAGAATGCGTACTTCACTTCACATCCCATGGAATTCGGCACTGATTCTGGCGTGAGTGTCGGAACCTTGAGTCTACGAAAAAAGCTCATGACCGTCTTGGAGCAAACGATGTCTTCCAGCTTGCAGGGCACAAGCGATGCAATCAGGCAAGAACTTGAGGAAGCGTCATACGAGTTCAAAGTGCAATATAATGATCGGCCTCTTTCGGCGGAGTCATATCTTGCTGAAAGCCTCGACGCCTTTAAGCACCTATTCAAGCAGTTCACTGAAGAATTTGGTCGGCCTGAGATGCATCAGCTGTTGAAAAGTGAGCTAGATCAAAAAGTCCTCGACTTATTAGCTGCTAGGTACTGGAACAAGCCAGTCAATGACCTGCTTCAGCCTGCGGCGGAAACCGACAAATTAGCTGACCTTCCGACCGCTGCAACCGACTCTCTTTACTGGCACCGCCAACTGGACGCGTCTACATCATCTCTTACAAAGCTCGGCGTTGGACGATTGGCCACAACTGTCATCGCTTCCTCGTTACAGTCAAGCGTTGAAAAGCTCCTCGATCAGTCTAATTTTGCAAATCACCCTTTCGCCCGCAAGGCAATCATGGAGGCGGCATCTACCATCCTCGACGAACGTTTCTACAGCACAAGTGACCAAGTCGAAAACTGTATCAAGCCCTTCAAGTTTGAAATTGATATTGATGAACGTGAATGGGTCCAAGCAAAGCAGCATGTGGGTAGCACACTCAAAAAAGAACTGCAAGACTGCGAAAAGGCGCTCGGTTCAATTCAGGATGCCGTCGGTGGCCGTCGTAAGCTCAACGAAGTAATGTCATTTATCGACAAGGCTCGAAAGGGGCAAGTCTTTGTCGAAGGGGATGGTAGAAGTGGTGCCGGCGGCTTCAGTGCCGCTCTTCTCGGTAAAGGTATGTCAATTATGCTTGTTATCACTACTCACACCACTAACATAGCACCAGGACGTGAGGCGGTCTTCCTCCGTGACCGTGCTGACACAATCAAAATGCGCATGTTGGCAGCGAAATCCAAGCAATGCTCGGTTCAGAAAAACAAGTATTATTGCCCTGAAGTATTCCTAGATGCAGCTGCCAACAAGATCGCATCCACCGCTGTTCTCTTTTTGAACGTAGAATTGCTCTCTGAATTCTACTACAATTTCCCCAGAGAGCTTGACTTGCGTCTTGGTAGACACCTCTCTGACGCGGAGGTTGAAATGTTTGCCAAGGAAGACCCTAAGGTTCGCAGACACCTCGAAGTTATCCGCCGCAAAGAGCTCCTGGAACTGGTTCTCGAGAAGATGGACAGCCTACGACAACTTGAAGGTCGCGAGCGAGAGCGCCTGGCATCGAGCACTCGTCGTGAAACTGGGAACGAGCGCGGCCGATGGGGTCTATTTTAACTTGAAACGGACGGTCCATGGACATTGACCGTTTTTAACGACAAACTTGTACTTTATTCTATAATATGCTAATACCACCTCCACACAAGGACACTCGCCTTCAATTGATTATTTTCAACACCCTCTGGCGTCGTTAGTAAAAGTATTTGTACTCTTCTGAAGCAGTATAATCTAAAACTATTGCATCAATATATTTCATTCGTAGCTTATAAGTTATATAGTGTATTTTTATCTTTCTAAACCGTTTTAAGCTTTATGCGTCCGTCGCAATTTGAAAGGTGGTTTCCCAGCGAACATTCCCCCCCAACCCATATCCTTCGCCGAGGGCATTTTGTACAAGGGAAGCGACACGTGTACGTAGGCGGCTAACTGAAACCTCGTCACAGCCGCGAACAACAGTGATTTTGAGATTTGCCATGCAGAGGCCGTAATGAACTTGCCAGAACTGAGCATCGTCTACGCGTCTAATATTTGGTTCTGCTGCAATCTCACGCATGACAGTTGACACTCCATTGTTTCCGCCCTGTCCTCCGTAGGACATCAACAACATTAGGCCCTGGGAAACAGCTACGCGCATTCCCAACGTGAACATTGCCAATGAAATTGTGGCACAAATTAGTCTATCAAGCCAAGTGTAAAGCGAAATAGAAAAGAGCGGAAGCAAGGCAATGATGCTTGAGAAAAATAATGTAAGAAAGTGGAAAGGATTTGAGAGAATGCTTGGCAACGATGAGAGGTAGGAGACTCTCATGACTTTAGCGATTCTTGTATGGTTTTTTAACCCATATGCGGAGGCAAGCGTGCTGATTATGGCTGCGGCTGCCACTAGATCGATAGATCCCGCCGAAAGTCTGTCATGAGAATGTTCGTGATGAGGCTCATGGTGCCCCAGAGTCTCGAGAAAATGTTTCAAATTGTGTGAGACGAGATCAAAGCCGCCAAAGAGGAGAAAAATCGACATGGCAAAGCCAGCGAGCACTTCTGCCCTCTCGAGGCCGAACGGATGCCGAACACTGCTGCGCCTCCAGACTTCAAAGTTTCCAAGCACCTCCACAACCACGCAAACTGCAGCACTGCCAGCATCGAAGAAGACGAGGTGAGATAAAGCAGTTGCCGCTAAAGAACCCTCAGAGCGGAAGAATATAAACGTCGATATCGCAAGGTGGCACATGCTCCAGTATAATCTCATACGCTGATCTCGGCGCATACTAGCCCATGCCTCCTTCAGTGTCGGTATCGGGAGCGAAGCTGGGAGAACTGGCGGGGCCCTCTGTGGTGGCTCTTGGAAGATTTGATGCTGGGTTGAGATACTACTGTGTTTGTATCTATGGCCTCGACGTTGGCCAACATTCTATAAAGCATATTTTTAGCATCAGACCCGCCTGGAACAAAATTGGCTTGGAAACTTACCGACTTAACTGGGCTAGTAGATATGACTTGTGTCTGAAAGTTGAACGGATTTGCATCGGACTGCTCGTGGCTTACGACTTCGGTCGCATCATCACGTCCCATTATGGAGGGAGCAAGAAGCCTTCCACTTGATCGAGTTGGCGAGGGTGAGCCTCGATTCAATGATTCTGGACGAAGAAATCGTTCGGGGCGGTCGAGCTTGGCTGGGCCGTCCTCTTCGAGGATAAAGCTTGGTAGACTAGAGTTGGAGGTATTCTTCCAGCTCTTGTACGGGGATGAATCCATCACAGACGCGATCTACTACAAGCGTTGCAAATTACCACGTCTGGGCTTGAACCGGTGTGTTGGGCGATATATACAGATTTGTTGGCTAACGCGAAAGGTCCCTCCTGGCAAACGTGTTGAGATGTCGCAAACAGTGGCCATGTCAGTGGGGCGGCGCCACTGGGCACATAGGGGGACGAGCACGCGCGAGCGCCAATCTGGCCTACGACGCTTGCATGTGGGACCGGGCGCCGCTCAGAGCAGGCATCATGTCGGCTATCACGTCTCCTTTTGAGTTTGCAAACCCTCCGCTACATATTTAGAATTGAAGCTGCTGCAAGATGCGCTTCTAAAATACATTGCCGATGAGGCTCAGCGTCAAATGCGGGCCTTCTCTCCCGAATCTTATTTATTACACACACGCCGACCAAGCCGCACCTATCCAGAGCGATGGATGAGACAGCCCTCTCTGGGACTAGCCACAGCCTTGCTCCCTTGCAGCACCAAAAACCACGACCTCGGAGAGGCTCGCTGAGAAAGGTAGCTCTGCTGGGCAAAGACTCCCAGCGTCCGCGGCGCGATAACAGCCCCCTCTCTGTCTCTGTGAACGCATTGGCACACACCAACACAACTTCGGAAGGCGATATCAATACCAGCGCGTGCCATCAACACACCGAAAACAACGCCCTTGGGTTAAATATCCAGGGTCGAGCACCTAAATCGAAGATCGAAGATCAATTCACATCCGCCTCCAGCGCTATGGCATCTTCAGAACGCATACCAGATGCAGCTGTCCAAGATACATCAACCACCGATGACGATGATATCCTCCAGATTTCGCAGGCACCACCTCCGCGGCCATCTGCTATAACTTCCTCTGTATCAGACTCATACTACTCTGCTGGGACATCCCATCAGAGACGGTCGTTCCACCAAGCGAAATCGCCGCTCTCATATGGGGGCATCTCAACGACAGCATTACCTCCTCCAGATACGGACTGGGATTATGCTGAGACTGAGTGGTGGGGCTGGGTAGTTTTGTCGGTGACTTGGTTTGTTTTCGTTATTGGTATGGGATCTTGCCTCGATATCTGGAGCTGGGCGTGGGACGTTGGAAAGACTCCGTACGCACCACCCGAGTTGGAAGACGACCCAACGCTACCTATAGTGGGTTACTACCCGGCCCTGATTATTCTCACATGCGTTATGGCATGGGTTTGGGTGGTTGTAGCTTGGGTAGGGATGAAATACTTCCGTCATGCCAAAATCAGTGGTGATTAAATGATAGGTGGATGATGTAGCCTTTTTCTGCGTTTTAGTTATGTATATATGGAGTGGCTTCGGTGTATCCTTTTTGGTACCTGGGTTTTATTCGTATTAGTGGACTCTTTGCATTTGTTTTTCTCCCTGGCTGTACCTAATGCAATACTATGGACAGGGTAGATTATAATGGTTGTGTGCGTTAAAAGCTTTAGTCAGTTTAGCGGCAAGGGGAACCGCGGCAGACTATAACCAAAGAAATAAAGAAAGAAGTTACCAACCCAGACAGAATAAAACACAAATACACACACAAGAACGTAAAAGATTCGCGTTACTGTTACTCGTGGACAAGAATCATTCTGGTAATTGGGCGCTCTAGGTTAGGGTGCCAGTCTACCATAACTACTGTCTCGTCAAAGAACGACAAAAAAGACGGCATGTCAATAAGGACGATGCATGAATGTGTTGATGGCCAAATATTCCAAAAAACTATGAAGTCAAATATAAATTCATCTGATGCAGTTTGGCCAACAAGGTTGGTAGGCCGTATAATCCCTTCCCAAGGAGACAACGTACAGTGTCTGTTGGGGCGAACTCACGCTAACACTGTATGAATACTACGCATCGGCCAGTCCGGCCAAGCTGGCTGCCCGCCCAGACCCCCTGGACCACGCACGGTATTACTGCGGGTTGGCCACTTTCTGAGCCGACCTCCCTTCAGGCCGGTCGTCAGCAATTGATTCTCGCCAGCCTCCTCACGCCCTCGCCTGTCCTACACCAAAAACCCATCTCCAAACCGGGGCCGAGTCCGGACATTTGTCGCCGTTTCTTTGCTTCACGTTAACCAATAGCGGCTTTTGCCCCAACACACGCACTTCTTCCGCTCGCTGCGGTCGGTAACGCTCTCAACCTCATCATTTTGGGTGGCGGTTCCGACCCAAGCCCTGCCTGAAACACGCACAGGTTCTCATCGCCAACTTCAGCCCATCTACTTATCTATCGCGGCAATTAACTGTTCTCATCATACCCCAATAACCCATCCGACTACCTTACGATTTACGACACTCCAAACAACCGCCCGTGGCCGATTCCTCCGCACCATCAATATTGTCCGAGTTGACCCCCATTGCACGCGATAACTCAACATCATACTGCCCTGCGCGCCGTTCCCCCACCCAAAGCACATAGAACTGGCATCCGTATCAAAAAGAGGAGCAGATATTCTACGATTTCCTTTTTTGAAGGGCCGATATAATCTCATACCTCAACCACTTCTTCACACCACCCACAACCGGCAAACATGAGAGAGGTCAATTTCAGCATACCGAACGTCAATAAGGCGTCCGTGGGAATTACCACTGCCTTATATGATCGCCGGGCGCTTGACTGTACTTCAACATTACCTCTTATCGACTCACTCAATCATCTCGCCTACCTAACTACATCCTCCGCAAGAATCCGCGACATTCTCACCGTCGATGGAGGCATAGAACGATTAGTCTGTATCCTGAAAGAGGGTCGCAGCAAAGATATGATGGGTATATGGAAATGGAATCTCGCATTTCAGTGTGTAGTAAATATCGGTGTGCGTGGCACTGTTGACGTTCGCACTCGTGTCGTTGAAGCCGATATGGTACCAGTCATCGCCACCATTCTCGATAATTATATGCAAGTCATCGAAAGATGCCGGGTCAAAGCAGAAGCTCTTAAGAAAAAGTTGAGAGAACAGCAGGAGCAAAGCAAGGTCGTGGATACACAAGTTGGAATCCATAGCGCTGCTACTCTCACACATGCCGCGACTGGAGACGAGGGGGCCTCACTTATTAGACGACCACCGCCGCCCTCGATCGATATTGCGGCGGCCCACGCAGGCCCCTCAGTGGGAAACATATTTAGACCAAGGGAGAACACTACCTCCTTCAACACACCTGCAACGGACCACCTCGCTATGAGATCAGGCTCTTACCCAACCAGCCGTGGAACGGATTCTCAGCACGGATCCACACCTACCAGCAGACAAGTCGCTGCATCAGCAAATACACTGCTAGAAACATCCGATGGTGTGGTACGGCCTGTAAGAGATGTCGAACGTCTCGCATCGATGACTCCTTTCGGCCGATTGGATACCTCCTCAAGATCCAACTCTCCTACGACGCCGCTACCCCCGCCCCAGATGCAGTCACTCACAGCCCGAGTTACGGAAGCCATAGAAACCAATGCAAGACAGCGAAGACCTTCGATCAGACACCAGGATTCCACTGCTGAGCAGCTCGAGAGCAACACTGATAGCCTACAATCAGCGGAGTCTCCTGATGCAGATATGACTGGAACTGCAGATATACGTTCTCCAGTTGGGATCCAAGATATTTCCATGGACGATGGAGAACGAATTCTAGCTGATGAGACAATTGAACTTGAAGTCCCTACTGGTTCAGAAACGCAAGATCCCGACACATTTAATATATCCCATCGCTCACCTATGGACGGAAGCATTGCGAACAATGCCACTACAACTCCAGTGCCTCCAATCGGCCTCTCCCCTGGCCCAGGACCACTAGCGACGCCGCAACCTACAATGACAAACCCCTCTCTACCGCGGTACCTCAATGACCAACTAGTTATACCTGGACCTCATTTATTATCTGTTATGCCGCGCGAAGAAGATGTGCTCATGTCTCTTCAGCTCCTGGCATATGTTTCGAAATATGGTGGCCTCCGCTCCTACTTCCAACAGAGCCATCTCGTTCCCCGACTTACTATTGGTAAAGAACTTGCCAGGCTTGACAAGGTTGAGAAGGAAGAAGATGAGCCAAATGAGAAGGTCGTCGTCTCGAAGGATGGTTGCGACCATTGCTGTCATGACGAGGAAACGCACTCCGGAGACTGCCACGAAAAAGACGACGAGACTCTCGCAGATGAAGAGTATCTGCTTGAGAATGACTTCAACCTCTTTCCGCTTGTTGAAAAATTCACAGTCAAATATAGTAACCCCGATATGCAACGATATTTTAGCACAGACATGCAGTATTGGGCGGGAGTTGTAATGAGAAATCTTTGCCGCAAAGATGAAGAGCGAGGCGGTATCCGACAATGCGCCTACTACCAATGTGGAAAGTGGGAAGAATACACGCGACAATTTGCAAAGTGTCGACGCTGCCGACGGACAAAGTATTGCAGCAAAGAGTGCCAGAAGAGTGCTTGGGCATACCATCGTCATTGGTGTGTCGCAACTTCCCAATAACCTAGATGATACTGGATATGCTTCTCCCACCAATGACCACAACCGGTCAACTCGATAACTCTTATTTTCATATCTTTTATTGTGTCTTGCTGTTCTATTTTACAGGACAGCGAAAGCATGGCATGCGCAGCGGCTTATCATTGCCAGGTACTTAGTTTGATACCTAGGAAACCCTTCATATTTACGGCGCCAGGGTATGCATCATAACTCTAGAAAGAACATACCAATAAATATACTGCTTTTTTTTCAGTTTCACATACACGTCGTAGATTTGATTGTTCTGCTTGTCAACTTTTCAGTGAAAAGTATAGATATTTGTTTTATGTAGTTAGCAAACACTGAACAAGGGATGCGGCCAGAGGAGCATGGTAATAGCAAATGCAAGTATGGCAAATATCAAAGACAAAACCGTTCCTATTTAACTACAGAAATAATCTACTTGGATGACATGGCTTTTCTTCGGCCTTTGCCTGGTCTGGTGGCTTTACCCTTGGTCTTCATTTTCTTGGCATTAAATCCGCTGAGGTCACCGGAGCTCATAGCATCGCCAGACTTGCCGTGTCGCTTTTTACCACCGAATCCGTACTTCTCGTTCTTTTTGACTCGCTTAGCGTTGACACCGGCACCAGTTTTGCCACGGCTAGGCTTTCCAATCTCATTATCGATACCGATATCAAACAGGTCGGCCTCGGTAGCACCTCCAGTGTCGCCGTTAGATTCTTGTCGCTCTTAACAGCCAGTTAGCAGGTTGCTTAAATACGTAGCCCATGTTAAAGGGTAATGACTTACTTCTCTTGAGAGTCTTGATCTTCTCCAACGTCTCCTTCTTAGCCTTCTGGCGTTCCTGGAGCTTAGCGACCTGCACCTGCTTGCCGAACTTTTTCAAGTCTCTCAATTTACGGGCCTCAGCTGCAGCCTTCTTGTTTGAGGCTTCTTCAACAAGCTTGGCCTTCACCTTCTCCATATGAGCATCCTCCTTAACCATTTCTGCAAAGTAATCCTTAGGTCTTGAGAAAGGAACACCTTCTTTGATGAGCTTAGCTCTACCAATCTTGGCAGCCTCCAAACATTGCGAGTAAAAGGCCAGTTCTCTTTGAAGATCATCGGATACATCGGGGATGGAATCAGAGGTCTGGGCTTGTGAAATAACACATTGATGTGAGGCGAAAGGAACGGAACTGTCGGTAGGTATCGATATGCGCTCGAGAGAAGTAAGGAGGGCTGAGGTATTGTTGATGGTAAGGCGAGTATGAGGAACTAGGTCTTCTCGGTCTTCCTCATCGAGATCTTCAAGATCAGAAACAGGAATATCGTCTTCTTCTTCGTCTTCTTCTTCATCATCGTCTTCGTTGGTTACTTGTTTTGTCGCCTGTGCCTTGGCATTGGCTGTAGATCGACGGGGAAGTCGTTCTTCCATGTCAACCGATGAATCGGACGTATCACTGTCATTAACAGCGTCGAGATCAAACTACAACATTAATAGTTAGTATTGGAGCCCTCATGGCAAGAATTCAGAGTCTGTCCCATACCTTGAGTTCTTCATCAGAAACGTCGTCGTCAGACCTCTCAGCGCCAGCAGCCTGCTTGGAGTTGAGCTTATCGTCACGGCGCTGCTTTTTCTTCTTCATATCAATTCCCTTTTCGGCAATAATTGCCTGGCGGAGCCGACTTTTAACAACCATCTTACGGTTTTTTATTTCTAGCGAAAGAAAAGTTCTGTAATGGTGACGGCGTAGGAACTAGACTCGCGGGCGCTTTGGTTGGCGCTATGTAGAAAAAAAAGTTGAGAATTCTGCCAACTGTGTAGTTTCGACCGCCTGCCAAAAGCGAGTGCCTTGCTTGTGCTAGCCACATTTTCCTTCTGGAAGCGGCGGGCGGCTACGTGGGGCTTACACAAGCTTCCACATTCAACAGGCATCTTAGCACCCTAGCCAATTCGCGACCGCAGTACTATTTAGACATAAAATTGAATAGTAAGAACAACTCTGGACTTTTCTTTTTATAACTGTATTAATATAACGGGCCAGGGCTTGGGTGCCCAGCACTGGTGTGCAGTGTGGCCAAAACGTGAGAATGAAGTGAGATAAGTCGCCATGTTCGTGGATTTGCGACCTCTTGAGATCTTAATATCCTTTCTACAATATGCGTTGAATAAGTAAAAGTCCATCATAGGTATGTATATGGCCCCTTCTAGTGGCTAAATGGTCTTCAGTTGTTAGTCATCGACAAAAGGGCTTTTCGTAAGAGATACTGACTAACTGGACCTCTACATGATAGTGCAACCACCGTAGGCAACCATGCCAGATTTGGCATCTACCATTGACTCGGGTTTATTGTTACCCAACTTTGCGGGAGCAGTATTTGATAATGTATTGGTGGCATTGCGTTTTGTGCGGGATGCGCCGTTACCGGCCCCTGCCGTCTTGGGCGTGACTGGGGACATTCTGAGAAGAGCTGTTACTGAAATTGAGACGATGAGATGTAATTTTTGGTTCTATGGTTAATCTTCTGCTTTTCATATAAGCTGAAGAAGTATGACTTTATACCTTTACTCCAAGCCGCGGACCGTTTGGTCACTGTTTACCATGTTATTTCTTCATCCGCTCCTTTCAGATCCTTTTGAAGAACAATACTAAGGATCGCATTGTAGTTAGCTTCTGTGGCCGCAAGCATGGCAGGGCCGCTGGCTAAAGTCAGCATGATCCGACGAACAGAAACGTAGGCTGGCAAAGGCATTCCATCTTAGGCATGAACAGAACGATTACATGCGGCAGCGGGAAGAGTTGATGTGTGCCAAACCATGTATGCGACATACGCTAACTCTTAGTATTGTTCACTACCTATTGTTCTCTCTGTAAGGATCTGGTGGGCGCTGCAAGATGGCTATGCAGGGCGCAATTCTAGGTGGGGTGGTGACCCGATAGGTGGTGGCTATTACAGATGTCCTAACACTCCAAACATTGTTCAATTGACATAATCTTAAAACTATTGGAGCCTTGGTACCGGTATTAATACTAAAGTATTTACGATGCTTAATTTGGCGATGAATCAACATGAGCTGATTTTACCGCAGTTCACCTGTGCATGGGCAAAGGGCGATTGGCGAACGACTACGATACCAAATATAGTGCACTATGTGTAATGAACGGAATTTATTGGTTTGAATAATCCTTAATACCACGTAGTGTAGTTTTTTCAACATTAATGACATATTCCCATCATTGCTGCCCTATACTTGCTGTGCAGATGCTAGGTAAGGCTTGCTTGCTTGTCCAAGGTAGAGAGGACTGACTTGCTTGATGGTGGGGCGGCTCCAAAAGTTTCCCCAAGCCAGCGGTTGGGTGACGCTACCAATTTTTTTTTTCGCTTCGGATTCTGCGATCCGAGTCTCTAGTCAACAAAACGCTGTAACTTGTACGCTCTAACTCAACAAGAGTTTCTAGGACTGCTTTCGCCTCTGCCATATTATATCATTTCGACTAATTCTAGAACATAACCAAAATGCCTCATAAGCATAAGCGAAAGAGAGGTGATGAGGACAGCAGGTATGTCGCCCAACCAAGCATTTTGAAGGCATTGAACTCATAGTTTCGCTCGTTCACAGCTTTGACCTGCCTCCTACCCAAAAAGCCTTGCCACTACCAGTTACAATGGATTCGAAAGCTTCAAAAGCTTCAAGAAGCTCAAAGTTTAAGAAGGGAAAGGCACCGCCACCCACGAGCAACAAGCGTCACCATGCCACGATGAAGGACGACACACCAAGGGCATTCAAGAGATTAATGCAAGTTGCGAAAGGAGGACGGATTAGATCGGGATTGGATGATGGGCTAAGTAATGCAGCACAACCGACAAACAAGCCCACCACCGAAACACCACAAATTCGACCAGGTGAAGATCTACGAACGTTTGCTTCACGTGTTGATGCTTCTCTCCCCATATCAGGCTTGACCAATAAAGCGGTAGTCAAGGACGGAAAAGACGTAATAGGACTTAAGGTTCGCCAAACTAGGCGCGAGAAGAAAATGCATAAATTATACGATCAGTGGCGAGCTGAAGAAGCTAAGATCCAAGACCATCGAGAAGAGGAAGCAGACTTACGAGCGGAGAAGGAGTTGGATGACGAGGTCGCTGGTGTCTCATGGAATAGTGTTATGGGACAAGATGGCGCTAGCCGAAGATCGGGGAAGAAGAAGAACAAGTCCCGTCGCGATTCTCAGGATGAGGATCCTTGGCAACAATTGAAAAAGAAGCGAGGTCAAGTTAGTACTGGTCTACATGACGTTGCTCAAGCGCCACCAGAGCTACACAAGAAACAAACACGTCTTCTAAGCGTGCGAAATGCAACTGTCGATGTTGGAAGTGCGCCAAAGTCTGCAGGAAGTTTGCGCCAGCGAGAAGAGGTCGAAAAGACTCGAAAGCAGATTGTCGACGCATATCGACAGATCCGTGAACACGAACAGCGCAAACTGGCAGCGAAACAAAGCGAATGAATTTATTCAGGGCATATTTTACATAGCAAGGTACATACTTTTAATGAAACTTTTATGCAGCTGTTTACTGAAACCCGTTTGGTGCCACCGCCACGTCGAAGAGCCGCATTCCTAGGCGAGTTTATTGGGCTTCGGGGTTCGCTCAAACTGATGTGGTGTGATTGGAGCAGATACTAGTGGTGGATCAAGGTTATGGTTGGTGGACCCACTTGACTGACATCTTCATCAACACGTCCAAAAAAGCGTTGTCGCGATCGCTTCCCGCTCTATATCGCCACCTCTCTGTTTCTTGAAGAAAAGGGTTCGCGTAACAGAACTGACTATATCCGTTATTTACCAAAAGATGCCTAGCGCGAAAAATAAGCCAGAATGGCAAAGGAGCTTGAGGCGCTGATTGAAGATGCGCTATTGATGTTATCATGCGCCGGTGAACAAGGTAAGATACCAGTCCACTGCTCTATCGCCCAAAGAGCACAATTTAACTTCAAAGTCAGGCTACAACATAGCTGGATTTTCCCATTATATTCAGAATTATGCCACCGAGATACCCATAGGCGAAGATCGGACTACCCTCCAATTCGGCGCACATGACGCACAGTCCATCTCTCAGCAAGGCTCACAGCTTTGGATGTGGCTCGTATCGAGGACCGATGTTTCTGTTGGATCAAATCGAAAATTCAACCATTTATCAATCCAGGATGCGCTAAGACTTCATCATCAAGGCACCGAAACGACTGCAGATTCCAAATCGGATATTATGCAGCCATCCGAGGAGGCGATATGCGCGTCAACTAGTAATGTCTTTATTCCTAGGAATCACAAACCCGATCCTCTAGACATTTGTATATCTGTGTCAGAGCAAAGGATGTGGGAATCGCTAACTGGCCACGGACCAGATCAGAAACGCGTACCACGATCAGAATGGGATCTGCTGCTGGGGATCGCATCAATGGCAGAAGCCGGCATCCTTCAAGGTGATCTCGGTCGTCTTGTTGGACAGGATAAACGATCAGTCCCAAAAAGAACCGACAGCCTTGTGGGTAAAGGCTATATTGTCAAGCACTCAACACTGGTTCGTGGTACGAAGACGAGCAAGCTTTGGCTCAAGCCTTTTGCGCCTCAAATGACCCAAACTCAGCATCCAAATACCGAGAATGCCGCTGAAATGATATTATCTCGGCATTTATTAGTCGGAAGCTTAGAGCCCGTCCCGTGGCATGTTCGCTGGACCCGAGAGTCGATTGACTATCCGGCACTCGTTACTACCATCATGGCTCTCTGTCGCGAATGGGGAGTCTTACGTCTCCATGATCTCAAATCAAAATTAGGCATTTTGGGGATGCGCTGGCAAATGAAAGTTGTCGCCAAGTTATGCCGGTTCCTGAACGCTCGTGGCGCGATTCGTTATGTGGCGGCGAAGCTCGACAACCAAGTATTTAAAGATTGTATCGGGTTTCACAGAAGCTTGACAGCCCGAGACTGGTCAATGTATAAAGCCACAGGAAAGCGTATGACTCAAGTTGGTGTGCAAATTGCTAAGAGCGATAACACGCCGCGGCATAACGAACAACTAGAGCCATCCCGTATACAGAAATATTTCTCTTGCGCCGTTTGGGATGTTGATATGCCCCTTCTTGTGGCAATTGAGAGAATATTACGCAGTTTTGGTCCTAGTGGATCAGGAAATTTAGATGTCTGCTTCTTGTCTATTGGTCCGCTCTTTACGCGATTCATATCGGCAGTTACGTCCACGATCTCAGCTGATCAGATGCAACCTCAATATTTGGATCACTTGGCGGTATTATGCGAGCACCGCAGATTTGGCAAGATTGCATCATTTCAATATTTCTTGAAATATCCGGTGATTAATGCTACAATGTTGGCTGTCGTATCGTCGTCGCTTCGGAAATGGCCAAACGAAGGAGCATTGGAACCATCAGCATTGCCACTCAGCCCGAATAGTACCTATGCCCAGATTATTGGAGTTGATATTTCGAAAACCTCTACTCAAACGCCACAGTCTGCTCCAGCTCTAAATACTGAAGCTGAGAGAACAACTTCCCAAAAAACAATAGAATCCTCAGCATCAAAGAGTAACGCCACGATAAAGCGAAAAACAAAACATAAGAAAAGATCCACTAATGAGCAACATCGCTGGATGTGTGATAAATGTGGCGGAAGCTGGAAAAATGACATAGGTCTGAAGTATCACCTGGAGAAGTCTAATACACCCTGCAATCCTAATGTGAAACCGCAAAGCGCGACCAAGTTGAAGCAACTTGAGGGCCAGTTCGCCGTAACAACGAATAGAACCGGCAATTCTGATGGTGCTCTACGTCAGTATCTATGTCGCGGTGCCCTTTATTCTAATTGGATCAAGAGAACGAAGCAAGCTGAAAACCCGTTGCTACCGGCTGACAGCAGCACACGCCTGGTTGCGCAAGTTTTGGATATCCACGTGCCGCTTTCAAGTAGCATTGCGGAATTGAAAGACGAAGGGAATCTACTGGTGGATCATTCACGCAAAAGACTTGTTGACACGATCAAGGCGAAAGAACAGGCACCACAGCTCGACACTGACCAAATGATCCTCCAACTGCGCCAGTCAACAAATATCAATGACGCACCACAGCATCCATTATCGTCTGCAGTTGTTGCAACAAATCATGGTTCTGACTCAACCGGCCTAGGATACAAGGAGGTAGCTGCAGTTGAGGAGCCTGTTGGTGCAACTATACAGAGCCTTCTCGGGCAATTTGGTGGAGCGCTGCCTGGTTTACCTTCGCTGGCTACATTGATAGCGCAGAATTGGAGCATTCGGTTTCCTGTTGAACAGCCACCAGAGACACGAAAGATTGAGGCTGCCGTTAAAAGACTGCTGCTTAAAAATATCATCATTGACCATTGGCATGGGTTTCGCACTCACACTGGGAAATTCGACAAAATTCAAATTTTAATGAGACCAGGCAGTAGTATCAGCTCACCAACGGCTGTCGCATGGATTGAGCGTCTGAAGTTAGCGTATCCAAGCGCCCTGCAGGAGTTTGACGTCTTTCTCACAAACGCCGAATCAGACAAAGAGGCAAAGCCAAATCGACGACTTTTAAGCTCCGAAATAGCAGTGTTAGATGCGCCGGTGTACGCAGCGCAATCATCGGCAAAGCGTATCCGAGAGGAGTCTGACCGAGCGCCGAAGCGACCGAAACAAGATCGTGTGTCTAACATTTCAAATCTTCAACCTCAAGGTGTGGAAGGCTTCCCCGCTGATTCAGTCATTGACTCCCCAAGACTAAGAACCGGAATAGCTTCTTTTTCGAAAGTAATGATTGACATCCCGCAACGTTGCTCTGATGGTGGAGTTGAAACAGGCCACTTAGATGAAGATCGGCTGCAGTCTTTGCTACGATCACTGCCCGACTCCGGATCTATTAATGGGGTTGTCTTCGACAGTGGCTGGGTTCGCTTGCCAGTGATTGGCAATTCCCACGTTGTTTTGGAAAAACGCTATCTCCCAAGTCGACATGCACATCAAACAGATCAAGACTGGGCATTCCAGTTCTTCAACAAGTGTTCTCGTCAGGAACAAGCAAATACAGAACCGTCACCAACATCACACGCTAAATCACACCGTATATTCCTTAATTTTTGTGCTGGAACAAACCCAGTCACCCAAATGCACCAAACAATATCTTGGACAGCGCCTGTCGGACTCGATCTGACCCCCTTGGATTTTGTCAGTTCCCATACTGACTCTAGAAATGGTGCCACCCCGAGCCGTCTCCCACTACTATCTGATATTGGCGAAAGGGAGGAAACGCCCGCGACTCTCATATCAAGACGATTGACCTCGCTAGCATTTGTACAACAACAGAAGTTGAAGATTGATGAAGACGCCAAGTCTCTATCAAATCTACAATATAAAGTGCTAATGGCAGGCTTCATCGCAGTTCGAACGCTGCTTGGTGGAGTTGATAAGCTTTTGGATTGGGGTCTTTTACTAAGGATATTCCCTACTTATAGCCTTGTCCAGCTCCGCAGTTTTTGGGCCTCTGTTAAAAAAGAAAATTGGTCATTGGCAACGAAGTATTCCGAAGATTTCCAGAGGGCCTATATAGAGTGCATACAGCGGAACGAGCTTCAATTACCTGACTTTGAGCACCCCGAAAAGCATGACTGGCCTCGAATGGTTGATTGGACTACAGAGCTATTATTTGACGAAACTATTGACCTACCTGCCACACGACTCGCGCTAGAGAATAAAATGGATCTTTATCACAGCCCGGCGTCTACCGAAGACTGGCGCGAGAGATTTTTTCATCCTCAATCCTCAATATTTTCTCGTCTGGACTCAGCGACTGCAGATTGCGGGACAATTCCAGTACTTCAACATGAAATAGCTACGACAGGTCGCGAGATATCTCTATCTCGGTCTTGGATACGTGCTCTTTGTGCAACATCTGGAGCGAAGTACTCTCGTCAAGCAATGAAAATACGTCTGGATGAAATCCCAATAACAGGGTTAAATAAAGCGACTTCTCTGAACATAGCTATTGAACAGCTAACAAAAGAGAAGGTCATTTGCAAGACGAAACGTGGCACAATTCCCAGCCCACCATATCGATTAAATGAGTCATATATTACGCTTTTATCAAAGCTTGGGCAAGGGAAAAAATTTGATGAAGCAGCCAAATTTAAAAATGTTCTTGACGAGTCCTTCCAGAGAGATGGTGGTTACACAATTCCGTACAGCCTCAGTGATGGTGGTATCATTGCCCTTATGAACTTACATGCGTCCGGCAAAGTCAAGCTAGAAGGGGCGAATATCCCTTTTATACCACTGGGTTTTGAACCTGGAAATTACGAAAGCCGCAAATACTCTAAGTCATCATTCAACTTTGACTTGAGGGTGGAACCAACAGCGGCGTATTTAATTAACCAAAAGATTGACACAATCAAGGCGCTTATGATGGAAAAGATTCCCCTACAGGACTCTCTTGGGCATCTACCACAGTGGACTGACCTTTTCCAAACTTTGAACAAAGAGAAATGGGTTGAAATTTTACGCGCAGTCTGCTTTATGCTTGCCACCAGAGGCTGGATGACAGCAAGCGGATTGCGTGAAGCAATGAGTCCTGTACTCGAGCACTTTGAAATCAAACTGATAGTAGAGTGGGGGAAACAGACAGGCCTATTGGTGGTTGAAGATGATTTAAACTTCACGGTAAATGAATGGTGGTGGTTGATAGCGATGTAAAACAGCTCAATGTGTACGATCACGAATTCAAGAAGGATACAGAGGGGTTGATAAGCAAGTAAACTGTACTATTACACTGCAGCTCAACAAATATCCGTTGTGAGTGCTTCTTTCTATGTGATGTAACGCTGGGTATAGTGTTGTAAAAGTGATATCCTCTCTAAGGGGGCGAGCAACGCTATAGAGCAAATATGACCTTGAAAAGCAAGACTGCAAGAAAAATTGCGAGAATTACAATGGCTCTGTCAATCCAAATAGGTATCGGTGGACTAGTCGCATTATTCTGGGGAGCGACTAGCGGCGTTGGAGAAGCTCTAGGCGCACTAGTATTTGGTGCAACAACTGCGGTTCGAGGTCGCTGGCGCGGCATTGACGGCTGTACGATATCGGCTTCTGTGTCTGGTTCAATCACTTCTCTAGATGTGCTAGATTGTGAGTTGCTCTCGAAGGATGGAGCGCTTGTTGCTGCGCTTTCCTTTAGATCGTCTTTCATCACCATCCTTAGCTCCTCAGGTACTGTGTCATCTATAGTCGTTCCAGACGACTCAGATGTAGCTGCATACAACTCCTCGCATTCTTTTATGATGTCGGCATTCGATTTGGAGCAAACGGTACATGTCCACTTTGCCGACTTGAGAGCAAATTGCTGGCGCGCTGAGTTTGTCGTCTCTAGCCCTCCAACCTGACCATTTGCATTCGTTTCCATAAAGGTACGTAATCTAATTCAGTGTTAGCTTAATAAAATAAGTCATAAATGAATTTAAGCACTATTGGCCAACAGGGAGACTTACGCGACAAGTGCAGTACGAATACCCCATGCTGGCTGCCATGTTTCTTCATGGTGGCCGCTAATACTCAGACATATTTCGCTATTTACTTCAAATCGACCACTTGGGGTCATGAATTTGAACGTCGGCGGGCGAAGGGGGTATGTTGGAGGCAAGATTATCTTGCCATGATATATACCCTCGCCGTATGCTGAATTTGGCGGCCCTCGGAGAGTGAAATGCCATTCAAATAGGTCTTCTTCGAGGGGAACAGCAGTATAGTCAGGTGAGATGGATCCTGAGAGCTCTGCGGCTTCTCGGACTATTCAATAATATCGCGGTTAGCTCGGCGATGCCTATGTGTAGCGGAACAACGGTGCGACTCACGAATACGCCGTATCGTAGGGGACTTTCGGTTTACTGATGGTGACGTCGGCATAGTTGTAGATAGTACTTTCAGCGTTAGACACGCTTCGTATGGTTTGCTCACAATTATATAGAGCTTTATAAAATAATTTTAAGAGTAGTCATAAAAACAACAAAATTACTATGGCTGCGACGATAAGACCTGTAGTTAATTGTAAAAGGATGGCGAAGCTGCGTCTCACATCGGGGGTGCTTGACAACACCGTGTTCGAGGTGGGGTGCCCGGCCGCAGTCGCAGCTTCAAGCGTGTCAAATCTTGCCACAAGGACAGAGGGAGGACAGTGAGTACAGCAGAGCGAAACTGGAACGAACTGTAAAGATATAGAATAAAGATATCAAATAGCTGTATTTTACAAAGGAATATAGCGAAATAATTTGTTATTCCTCTTTCAACAAAGAGTGACAAAGCAAAATTCTTGACCAAGCCTGGCAGCTGGGCCAGTCCAAAATTGGCTTAGTCATCGACGCTGAGCGCTCTGTTCGTCGACAGGGCATTTTCCATGCTTCTCCCCCGTCACAAATCGTACCACTACGACGACTTGTGGCACACCATTGCATCATAACAAAGGTAAGATTCGATCTGTTACAACCATTGAGGGCTAGCAAACCTTGTATTGGTGCCTCTAAGCCGCAGCGACTGACACAATTCGACGATACAAAGCCGATCTTCTGGCGCCATTTTCTCAACACTTTCGCGATAACTACAACGATGGGCCCCCCTAAGCCTCCAATGCCACACGTGGCTCCTATCTATCGCATTACAGCTACCGCTCTTGGTGCCGGCATGTGGTTCTGGGTATGTTTTAACGGCTTCATTGAAGCGACTCTCTGAGACTGACGCACTGCTTCTAGTTAATGTATAGAGCTAAGAAGGACGGTATGTGGAACGCGCTGCCCAAGATATCGAAACGAAGCCTCGAATCGACTCGCGCTAACAAAGTATCTAGGTGCCGTGTTAATTGGCCGAAAGCATCCCTGGGACCACTGAGGATCGATTACACTTTGAATTTCAGAACTGGCGTATGGGATGTGAACTTGTAAACAATATGGAACAATAAAGGGCAGATGATGCTAGTGTCAGGATACTCGCGGCAAGTCGTTGAATGCGTCTACGCACCATGTGCGGTTGTTCAAAACTATGTATAAAGGACTCCAGATATATTCGCAACGACAGCGTGATTAGACTAGCTAGCTGCACCAAAACACTAAATACCAATTAGACTTCACTCTAAGAAGGGATATATGATGTGATCTTGTCAACTTTGGTGTAATATTTCTATAAAAAAGAGTCTTAAGCTCAATAGATGGACTTCAAAATTTCGCCATTGTGTTGGTGAGGTAATGATCCCCTCAGTAGGGGATACTGTTTGTCGCTTTGCTACAGAAAGCGCTGCCGTGATAGCCTCAAAGTTTGTCTAGCCGTATTTCCTCCTCTATGACCTTGTATTCTTTCCGCTGTTTCCGCTTCCCCGTCATTTTCAATTTGGCGCTACCAATTGCAGAAGCCAAGGTGGGGGCTCCAAATGTGACAAAACTCCATGACAGGACCAAATATACCACTCCAAGCCCAATAATGAGGAATTTAAACCAAGTGCTTATATACGTCAACTCCATGAGAGTCCTCAGCCATTTCGAAGGATTGAACAGCATGTGCACTGTTATCGTGAGAGCGGTGAGGATGGTGACAACAAATGGCCCTGTGTGCGTGTTAGTGTTAATGTGGCTTTACAAGTAAGTAAATGGGCAATCTCTACTGACAGTTATACTTGACTCCCTGCCTAAATGGGGCACCAGCATTCAGTATGACGCCTGAAAATATATATTCAAAGCATGATGTCAAGAATAGTGCCGTGTTTTCTGAGTTTTCTGTATTGGATTCGTCGTGGTCAATCACTGGAGGGATGTACCACTTTTGTCTCTTGACCACGGTATACGATATAGCTTGTATCGTGATACAGATTGCCATTAGTCCTAGGAGAGGTGTGAGAACCTTCCTGGAGACAAGGTCAGACCGCGGTCGCTTGCGACATAGAGTATCAGCTGGTCCAGCCCAACCCATAAAAATAGCGATGGGAAGAATGAGAAGTAAATCAATGAAGAGAAACTGAAAGTCTCCCAAATTCGAAGCTTTGGCATAGAGAAAGCTGACCGAAGTGAACTGGATCGCGGAGTACAAGCTCATGTAGTTGAAGCAGCTAAAGCTGGTTACCAGCGCAGCGCGACCCTCCCTGTGTCAAATTAGTGTTTTTATCCTCGACTATGGCCTGGCGCATCATACCGGATGACTTCTACCACGCAGCGAATATCAAAAACGCGAGAAGTAAATGGAGCAGCAACTGATGCTTCTGCTTCGCTCAAGGAAATGCCAACATCAGCTGCCTTAAGCGCTCCGCAATCATTGGCGCCGTCGCCACAAAATCCGCAGGAGAATCCAATACTCTGGAGCTTCTCCACTAGTTCATGTTTTTCATCTGGAGACATTCGAGCGAATACTTTACCTTGCACAAGCATCTATATCTGATCAGCCACATAATTATACACCAAATCTAGATAGAACCGGCTTACCCTTCGTAACACGTGGGCCGGTGCGTAGTCAATAATCCACCGAAAGACGTCGCCAGTCACAGCGAGAGAGTAATTTCTTAAATTTGTTATATGATATGGTAGAGATGTTTCCATATCAGGTGGTGGGGAGAGCGGCTACCGGTCAGTCAGCAGAGTGGTCATAGTCAGCAACGGAGGCTCACTTACTACAAGGGTATTCCCGTCAAGTCTGTACGAGCTATTCTCAATGCTGTCCCACTGAATCTCAGCATTAGGATCAAGGCAGTCACCTAAAGATGTTAATAACCCGAAATATATGGCATAATAGCGCACTTACCCCGTGTGAAGTGTGGTACGAAACAGTGTGCTGTTGGGTCCAAAAGGCTACATTCCCTGGCCACGCTAATAGCTGTCAAAATGTTATCGCCTGTCACCATGGCAGTGCGAATATTGGAACTTTGGAGTTCCGTTATGATACCAGCTGTACTTGGTTTCAGTTTGTTCTCAAAAATGATGAAGCCAATGAAATCAAGATCGTTCTCTGCTTCGCTACGTGCCATCTTCTGAACCTTTACCCAGCTGACCTTCGGAATATGGCGCGTGGCGCACCCGATTACACGGTATCCTTTGTGAGTATAGTAAGAAAGTAGCTCGTCGTAGTCGTGGGGAACTGGCTATCGTTAGTTGATGGCTTTGGGTGAGGGTCTGCATCTACCTACAGGTATCTGGTCGGCAGATGTCACGCATCGCTTCCGGTGCGCCCTTCACGAAAATATCGCCACTCCTTTGTCCGAACTGGCGAACAACAACGCTTGCTCGTCGCAACTGAGATACAAACTCAAACGATTTGAGGACCCCAAGTTCCATAGAGCGCTAACAGAAGTTAGTAATCAAAATTACAAGGTAGTAGATCATACTGACATTTTTTGGCCTGGCAGTGGGAGGGGCTAGGCTTGTTTGATCGGCGTCCTCCCCTTCCCCTGTCGCTTGACCACCCTCTTCAAAGTCCCATGTGGTAAATTCAAACATCTTCAAGTCTAGTGGATCTCCGACCAAGCTCCCATCGACTGATCGCAGAGAATGGCAAGTTGCCATGGTATAAAGAATAGCGGCTGAAGCATCTGGTACTGAACCAGCGGTATATGGAGCAGTCGATAAGATTTCAGGGTTCTTGAGCAAGTCAGAGAAACGACCTTGAGCTTTGGAAGCTACCTGTATACCAAAAACGTCGAGACCCTCTTCCGTAAGAGTACCAGTCTTGTCAAAACACATGATATCCAATTTTCCAGCAACAATTACCCGTTGTGGGCTTATGCAAAATATCTTCTTGCTCTTCAACCTCGCCAAGGCAAAGTTGGTGCCGATCGTGAGCGTTGCAGGAAGTGCCGGGGGGACGACAATAGTAATCAAATCCAGAGCGCGAACAATGATGAGGTGCCACTCCAATTCTAAACGGATGAAGTTGACCAATGATGCTGCAAACCCAGCTAGCGCAATAACTCCCATGACGCTGATATATCGAAATGAATCTCTGTAGAACTTGAACCCGGATGGTTTTGGGAAGAGCATGGATCTAACAAGAGATCCTTTCGTGGTGTTGAAGCCGGTCCGCACTACCAGTGCAAGAGCAACCGCATCTCCATTCTCATCTTCTTGTGGCCGTCGAGCTCGAATGATTTTGGTTCCGCAGTACAAGAAATGGCGAGCAGTATCAGGTGAGACAGAAGCTGCTCCCAGGTTCATATCTTGAAGGGTACCGTCGGATGCTGGAAGCTTTGAAACAGGTACAGACTCTCCTATTATCGCATTTAGTGCCAAATCTCCCCTATAAATGGATCAACGCGTAGACTTACCAGTCAGCATACTTTCATTGACAATGCAGTCCCCTGTAAGTAGTACACTATCGCTGGGAAATTGGGTAAGATTCGGGTCACTAAGTTCGTAGACATCACCCGGCACAAGTTGGCTGGAAGAGACGTATTTCCCTATGGAAAATGTTAGATGTCGGAAACACAGGTTTGATGTACTTGGACTTACAAAATCCACTTCGAAGTACACGGACATCACATTCAAATCGAGAGATCTCCCGCAATCGTTTCATTGTCTGTTCGGTCAGTATTGGTCTTCAGGCTCCAGCTTTTCGAACTTACTGCACGGGTCTCAATCAGCGTAGCGGCAATACTTCCTACAGACATCACAAAAATGCAAGCAGCGTAGTAATAGTACGAATCCATAGACCACAGGACCAAGCTGGCAACTTGGAAAATGTAGAAAGGATGGAGCACCTTTTCAGTTTAGTAGCAATCCATAAAAACAGGATTAAAGGCTTACCTCATCAACCAAAAGCTGACCCGTTGATTTTTGTTCAATATCAATGAGGTTGCTTCCAAACATTGTTTCGCGCAAGAGCTTTTCCTCACCATCCATACCAGTTCTAGCCAGGCGTACGTCAGTCCAGTTAGGGTCTTTCCAACCACCGCAAAGCACAAATTTGTCCTTGAGTGGGTGAAAATAAAACCGGACATATCTGTAGTCCACTGTTCGTAGAGTATCCATAAGGGGATCAGTCTCATCGTCAAGTCCGTACATAGGGATTTTGTCTGGAAGTCCAAAGACAGTTGAAGCTGGTCGCCCAAATGGCTGTTCAATAACAGGAACCAAGGCTAGCTCGCCCCATTGGTTCTCAATTACGACCCAGTCGCATTCCTTTAATGCGCATGGTCGACCAAGAATAGCCACATACCAGCGAGGGAGCCACCTACAAAGTAGAAATGCAAGCCCAAGTGTACATATGCACAAGCAAATGTATACAATAGATCTGATTGTCCCTGTACGAAAACCAGCTACAGCGATGGTGAGGTCCTCATTGGTCATGTACACCTTTTGGCTGTTACGCCCCACGACCCTTGAACTCCCAGCAGTAGCAGAGCTATCTCTTCGGAGAAGCGCTGCGCGAACAGAGATTCTAGAGTGGGTAGAAGAGCGGCGACGGAGGGCGTAGTCACCTTCTGAGGCTTGGTAAGTCGCGTCCGCCGAGTCTTCGTCAAAGTCGTCAAAATCGTCGATAACATCAACAGCGAAGTCAATATCACCGACATCGGCACTTGGACGCCGTGAGTCTGTATCCCACTCTTCAACCGCGTTTAAATTATTTGGGCGTGGATCAGGGTCGTCTTCCTCGTCGTAATAAGCAAAACTGGCATTTGAATCAGTGCGACGTCTTCGATGGGAGAAGGCTGAGACGCTAGAAGGAAGACTTTCTGCGACTGGTCCAGAAAACAGCTAAATACAGGCGTTAATTGGAAGTCAATTGTTTTAATTTTGGGAGGCACACCTCTTCCTGAGCCATCTCTACGTCATGGAAGACGCTTGACGAGCTCTGGTTAGACTCTAGACCATACAGAGGCGGACGGGACAACGCCGTAACGCGGCCTGTTTCATCCATAGTATCGTTTGAGCTGTAACCCATCTATAGTGTAAGATTGTGGGCAATATTAAGGCATCACTCTCAACGGAAGCGTGGGTTGGCTGGCGCAACAAATTTGAATGACGTGAAGGGCCACTGTCGTCCACGAACATTAGCAGGTCCGATAAGATAACGGTCCGTAGACGCTAACTAGAACAGGTGAGCAGGACCTGACATTACCTCTCCCAGCCAAGGGGGGCTGCAATCAGCAAAGCCTGTAGAGACAGTGCCAACTCCGTACTTCCATACGACACAAATATATTAAAAAAATTATATAAATAATCTTAAAACTATTCTTTCAAAAGAGATTACATCAGGCCGAAAGATAGAAGGCAATTCAACTACCCACCAGTGCTGATGCGATTACTAACGCGTGGCGGTGTACCTACAGTAAACTGAGTTACCTCTGCCTTGTTGACACTGTACGGGTCGACGGCGCAGAAGCGTGGCCCAACAACCCGACCAGCCAGGGAAATTTTTGCGACACCGTGCAAGCAACGCCCCTCCCCCCACCAAAACTGAGTCAACCCCAAGCAAGTAACCCCAAGCCAGCGGGAGGGCCGCCAACAAGTTTCTTCCTCCGCACTAACCATCTCGCTTCAACGCGTCGTTCGCTACTTTACGTCGACTTTCGTCAAGCAAGCATAATGGCTGAACCAATCAGAAACAAACGTCCAGACGTCACGGCTCCGTGAGTATTCATTAGCTTTCTAGATAGGATTCCCCTACTAACAACCCCGCCTCAGCACGCCTCAAAACACACCCTCTGTTGCGGCTCCTATCTCTTCTCATGCTCAGCAACCAGGCATCGCCAGCATCAAAGAAGGTGCGTACTTAGTACCGTTTTCATAAGCTTGTCTGCCTCTAAACTCTCCGCTCAATGATGACTAACTGTGCTGTGTAGAGGAGATGGACCGTGCCGCTGCTGCTTCAATCTTTGCCCAGAACCCTCAACTGGTGCAGATGATTCAAGGCAAGCTTGGCACTTTGATCGGCCGACCATCCGGTTATATTGAGTCTCTCCCTCCTGTCGTCCGTCGACGCGTCTCTGGACTCCGTGCGATTCAAAAAGACCATGCGAAGCTGGAATCCGAGCTGCAGGAGGAAATCCTTCAGCTTGAGAAGAAATACTTTGCCAAGTTTACCCCGCTTTATGAAAAGCGATCTTCAATTGTCAACGGAACCGTTGAGCCCACTGATGATGAGGTGAAGGCTGGCGAAGACGAGGACTTTGATCAGCTGCAAGCTCAGACGATGGGTGACGAGGACGCCAAGAAATCCGATTTCCCCGAGAATGTTGCCGGTATTCCCGAGTTCTGGCTCTCTGCCATGAAGAACCATATGAGTCTGGCTGAGATTATCACTGACCGAGACGGTGCCGCTTTGAAGCACCTGGTTGATGTTCGCATGGAGTACTTGGAGGAACCAGGTTTCCGTCTCATTTTCGAATTTTCCACCAACGAGTTTTTTACAAACAAGACGATCACGAAGACTTACTTCTACCAAAATGAAAGTGGTTATGGTGGCGACTTTATCTATGATCACGCCGAAGGTGACAAGATTGAATGGTATCCTGGCAAGGATCTGACTGTGCGCGTTGAGGCAAAGAAGCAGCGTAACAAGAGTAAGTCTGTCTTTCGGTCATTTTAGTATTCACTTCTCACCATTATTGCAGACACGAAACAGACACGAATTGTGAAGAAGACCGTCCCCACCGAATCCTTCTTCAACTTTTTCTCTCCCCCTAAGCCTCCTACCGATGACGACGATGACGACGAGAACTTTGACATCGGATCTGAAATTGAGGATCGCCTTGAGCTCGATTACCAGCTTGGTGAGGATATCAAGGAGAAGCTCATCCCTCATGCTATTGATTGGTTCACCGGTGAGGCTCTGCGTTTCGAGGAGCAAGACGATGGTGAGCTTGATGATGGCTTCGATGAGGACGATGATGAAGACGAGGATGACTTGAGTGATGATGGAGATGAGGAAGATGAGTCAGACGAAGATGTAAGCATTTTAGAGCATAGTCAACAGCAAACACTAACCACCGAGGATAGGACGAATCTGGCAAGCCGAAGCAAGAGGCTGCTGAGTGCAAGACAAGCTAAATTGGTTTAGAGGCACTTTAGTGGCGCGTTCTTGAGCAAGCTGGCAACTGTTGAGGCACTGATCTGTCACACATATCAGAGGTATCGGTCACGTACACCTTGAAAATTTACTGCCAGTTGGCAAGCACCAGGCGTAGACCCGGACGAGAGCTTTGTATCTGGCCGCCAACCTTTCGCCGCAGCGGGGATCAACTAGCAGCATGGTGCCAAACAATATTTAAATTACTTTTGACTTGGTTTATAGTCAAGATAGAGTGTGAATGGTTCTGGGAGATAATACAATATACTTGCTGTTTTGTTGCAAATTGCCATGATGTTATATGAATTGAAGTAGGCCATTGGTTGTAAAGTGTTAGCATAGGGCGGGGACAATCGGAATCAGTTGTTCTTCTATCCGGCACCGGCACTTGAGGGAAAATCGCCGAATCATCGGGGCCTCCCTAGTTTTGGATCGGAAGAAATTCGTGACTCAGGTCCGCCCAAGAGGGCTCCAAATTGCAAACCATCCCCCAAGGTTGTTGGCCGCACACGTTGTTGAACACGCAGAATCAAACACTGATACAATATTACCGTCGTTGTTCAGTCTCAATTTTGAAGAACTGAAATAGGTGAAATCAATAAATCTGGAAGTGGCCAGCCATATTTCCTCAGTATCTGACTGACCTGAGCCTTGCCGCCACCCATTGGTGTCCGGAACCGGTCGCGCAATGGCCTGCCTGTGACAGTGCATCCTTATCGCTCACCCGCCCCACCATCCCACTTCTTCAAAAGTTATAAAGACTTGACCCTTCCTCTGCGGCCGCACATCACTGCAAACCTGCCACTGGTTAGTTTCTGGTTAATAAAATCACTCTGCTACGAACCATGACTCCCCCCCGTGATATTGAAGCGAGCGCGCCTGTCGCAACCGCTAGGAAATCTGTCTCCTATAGTTGGGAACAGAACCTGTCCACGTCCCCAAACACTTTCCAGTCTCCACCTCCAAGCTCAAGCTGGGTTGCGCATCTTGCGCAACGCGATGCGCCGAAGCTTTTAAAGCCGTTCAACACGCAGGACATCAAAATCCTCCTTCTAGAAAATGTCAATGAGACTGGTCGAGATATCTTAACTCAGCAGGGCTACCAAGTGGAATCTTTCAAATCGTCTCTTCCGGAAGATGAACTCATCAAGAAGATTCGGTAAGTGGCCGCTCAATCCTTGTAACTACTGCAAGCGCCTAACGTACAAAAGCGAGGTGCATGTTATCGGAATTCGATCGAAGACGAAGCTCTCCAAAAAGGTTCTACAGGCAGCAAAAAATCTCCTCGTCGTTGGCTGCTTTTGTATTGGTACAAACCAAGTTGACCTTGACTATGCCGCCACCCACGGAATTGCCGTCTTTAACTCGCCGTTTGCAAATTCTCGAAGTGTTGCGGAGTTGGTCATCGCAGAAATTATCACACTTGCAAGACAGCTAGGCGATCGTTCCAATGAAATGCATCGTGGAACGTGGAACAAGGTCAGCACCAAGTGCTGGGAGATCCGAGGCAAAACGCTGGGTTCGTAACGTGAAGAAATGGCATAGGAGTAGAATGTAACTAACAAATTGAATGCAGGAATTGTTGGATACGGCCATATCGGCTCCCAGTTATCCGTTCTTGCCGAAGCTATGGGCATGAACGTCATCTACTATGACGTCGTCACGCTGATGGCACTCGGAACGGCGCGCCAGGTTGGATCACTTGAGGAGCTTTTAGACCAGGCCGACTTTGTTACGCTCCATGTCCCTGACCTTCCCGAAACGAGAGGTTTGATCTCAACAACCCAGCTGGATCTGATGAAGACTGGATCCTATCTGATCAATGCCAGCCGCGGTAGCGTTGTTGATATTCCAGCTTTGGTCCAGGCTATGAGAAGCGGCAAAATTGCTGGTGCTGCCTTGGATGTCTACCCCAACGAACCTGCAGGCAATGGAGACTATTTCAACAACAGCCTCAATCACTGGGCTGAGGATCTGCGTAGCGTGAACAACATCATCCTTACACCTCACATTGGAGGCAGCACTGAGGAAGCCCAACGCGCTATCGGAGTTGAAGGTAAATAAAATAATCTTACCCAAACAAAGGATTCTGACTTACTAACACCTGGTAATAACAGTTGCTGAGGCTCTGATCCGGTACATCAACCAGGGCATCACGGTCGGAAGTGTAAACCTACCAGAGGCCCAACTGAGATCTCTCACTCTAGACGAACCGAACCACGCACGCGTATGTCCCACAACTAAACATCCAACCATGCCCGTAAATCAAACTCTAACCCCATTACAGGTCATTTACGTCCATCGTAATGTTCCTGGTGTTCTGCGCAAAGTGAACGAGATCTTCGGTGATCACAATGTCGATAAGCAGATTAGCGATAGCCGCGGCGATGTAAGTAAACCTGTCATTATTTGTCCTGTAATCTTCCGTTAATAACAATACGTCTGCAGGTTGCATATCTCATGGCTGATATCAGCAACGTACAACTTCAGCACATCAAAGAAATCATCGGCGGGCTTGAAAGCCTCAGTTGTAAGTGACAGTGATCTCCATAACCGCGGACGAGTTTACTAACGTAAACCAGCTTGTATTCGAACTAGAGTGTTGTATTAGCTGGCATATCGATGATACAGCTATACTGGGATTTGGGTACCACCAGTCCTAATTAAAAGTCGGGTTGAGGCAGGGGGATCCTGCTTAACCATTGAATTTCATGCTTTTGTCAAACATATAAACGCTAGTAGCTTCTTTACTGAGGTGTTACATTCTGCCTTCTATGATTACTTGTAATATATATACACATATAAATAACAACAAAAAATATGTCCGCTTCGAAACATCTGTTGGCCCGCAATAAAAAGAAAGCTCCTAACAAAAGAAAATCCTGGCGGCGGGTGTTACCGCCATTCAAGTCAACAAAGTCATACCACTTCGTTGCCCTTCTCTACAACAGAGCATGATACTTGAGGGCCTGAAGAATTTCATTTTAAAGTTAGCAAATGGGCTCCTTTTTTTCAATTTTCCATACAATTCCTTTATGACGTAAACATCATATTATAAGGAAGTGGCTGGACTGAAATGCAGGCATCGCACGCACCGCCTGAGAGTACCGATACCACCACCTGTTCACTTGTGTCAGGGGTAAAAGCTATGGGCGTGGCTGGAAATGGCGGTACCCACAGGCCGCGTCTCAGTGCGGTGACCAGGCATAGTGCCAACGCCAGCTCCTATCGAGCCCCTTGTTTTACTCGCGGGGCCGGGCTCAGCCAGACAGGTGTTCATTCGTAGAGGGCACGTAAACGCGGGTGCCGTAGCTTTTCCGACCTTCTACCCCTTGAGGCAGCGAAACAGCATCCCACACTTCTCCATCATCTTCGAACTTTTTTTGGGTTGTTTGTTTGTTCAACGTTTCGAAACTTCACCTATCCTTTTCAGACAACGGTTCTGAAGGAGCTTGACACAGATTTGAGCATACAGATTAAGGCATTTTAAACACGACCAAGACTGCCAGCTCATGGTTTACGTCGAGCTTGACGACGCAACCCCCTAAACCTCGTGCGATCCTCTTCCGACTTCATAGCTTTTGCTCTACCCAAAATTCACCCCATGGCATCAACTTATGATGTCGGCACAAAAGCCTGGCAGCCTGATGCTGCTGAGGGTTGGGTAGCTTCCGAGCTTACCAGCAAAACTGTCGACGGCAGCAAGGTGAAGCTTGTCTTCACACTTGAAAATGGCGAGGTACGACTACACTTTTACTTGCGACATCTTGTACAGTACTAGCTCACTAACCATGGAAATTTTGTAGACAAAAACAATCGAAGTCTCTAGTGAAGGCTTGCAAAATGGCTCCGACCCTGCCCTGCCTCCCCTGATGAATCCAACCATGCTGGAAGCCAGTGATGACCTGACGAATCTATCGCACCTCAACGAGCCAGCTGGTAAGAAATTACACCCCTTGCCTTGCCAATGATAGACTAACGATTTGAGACAGTGCTACAAGCGATTCGGCTACGGTACATGCAAAAAGAAATATACACATACAGTGGAATCGTCTTGATTGCTACAAATCCATTCGCTAGGGTAGACTCGTTATATGTCCCTGGCATGGTACAGGTATATGCCGGTAAACACCGTGCTTCCCAAGCACCGCATCTATTTGCAATCGCTGAGGAAGCTTTCATGTGCGTTAAGGACTACTTCAAAGTTTCACGGCATCTGCTGACATGCTGACTGATAATAGGGATATGGTCCGAGATGTCAAAAACCAAACCATTGTCGTATCGGGTGAATCTGGAGCTGGTAAAACCGTCAGCGCCAAGTACATCATGCGATACTTTGCCACAAGAGAATCACCCGATGAGCCAGGCCGCGCTAAGCGAGGCGCAGAGTCCATGAGTGAAACCGAAGAACAGATCCTGGCTACCAATCCTATCATGGAAGCATTCGGTAACGCTAAAACGACCAGAAACGATAATTCTTCCAGATTCGGTAAATACATCGAAATTATGTTTGATGACAAGACGAACATTATCGGTGCCAAGATCAGAACATATCTCCTCGAGCGATCCCGTTTAGCCTTCCAGCCTGCCAAGGAGCGAAACTATCATATTTTCTATCAACTTGTTGCTGGCGCCTCGGAGAAGGAGAAAGAAGAAATGAGCATCTTTCCTGTTGAACAATTCGACTACTTGAACCAAGGCAATAGTCCTACCATCGATGGCGTTGACGATAAAGCTGAATTTGAAGCTACCAAGAAAAGTCTTCAAACAATTGGCGTCTCCGAGGAAAAGCAAGCGAGCATCTTCAAAATCCTGGCTGCGCTCCTACATTTAGGAAATGTCAAGATCACGGCTTCTCGAAATGATAGCGTTCTCGCTCCTACCGAACCTTCGCTGGAACTTGCTTGTACCATTCTTGGCGTCAATGCTACTGAGTTCTCTAAATGGATAGTTAAAAAGCAGCTCATTACGCGAGGTGAAAAGATTACATCAAACCTCAGCCAAGCACAAGCAATTGTCGTTCGAGACTCAGTCGCCAAATTTATCTACTCAAGTTTGTTCGATTGGCTCGTGGAAATTATCAACGAGAGTCTTGCAACAGAGGAGGTCCTCAATAGAGTCAAATCATTTATTGGTGTTTTGGATATTTATGGATTCGAGCACTTTGCGAAGAATTCGTTCGAACAGTTTTGCATCAACTATGCCAACGAGAAGCTCCAGCAAGAATTTAATCAACACGTGTTCAAGCTCGAGCAGGAGGAGTATCTCAAGGAGCAGATTGATTGGACCTTCATTGATTTCTCGGATAATCAACCTTGTATTGACTTGATCGAAGGCAAATTGGGTGTCCTTTCTCTTCTCGACGAAGAGTCGCGACTACCGATGGGTTCTGACAAGGGTTTTGTAACCAAACTGCACCAAAATTACGCATCCGACAAAGCACATCCCTTCTTCAAAAAGCCCAGGTTTGGCGATTCTGCATTCACGGTGTGTCATTACGCCGTCGATGTCACGTATGAATCTGAAGGCTTTATCGAAAAGAATAGAGATACTGTACCCGATGAACATATGACAGTGCTCCAAGCCACAGCAAACCCCTTCCTGAAAGAAGTTTTGGACGCTGCCTCTGCCGTCCGCGAAAAGGATGCCGCTTCTGCATCATCCAACGCTGTAAAGCCTGCAGGTGGCCGCAAGATTGGCGTGGCAGTCAACAGAAAACCTACTCTTGGTGGCATCTTTAGATCTTCTCTCATTGAGCTAATGAATACCATTAACAACACCGATGTCCATTACATTCGATGCATCAAGCCGAATGAAGCTAAGGAAGCTTGGAAATTCGAGGGCCCGATGGTGTTGAGCCAACTTCGCGCCTGTGGTGTTCTCGAAACAGTCCGCATTAGCTGCGCTGGCTATCCAACTAGATGGACTTACGAAGAGTTCGCATTGCGATACTACATGCTCGTTCACTCTGGTCAATGGACAAGCGAAATTCGACAAATGGCAGATGCCATTTTGAAGAAAGCACTTGGCACAAGCACTGGGAAGGGCCTGGATAAATATCAATTAGGTTTGACTAAAATCTTCTTCCGAGCCGGTATGCTTGCTTTCCTTGAAGGGCTACGCACGAATCGATTAAACGAGTGCGCAATCATGATTCAAAAGAACCTGAAAGCGAAGTTCTATAGACGCCGTTACCTTGAGGCTCGTGATTCGGTTATCCGAGCACAGTCAGCTGCCAGAGCATTTATGGCGAGAAGACAGGCTCAAGAACTTAGAACCATCAGAGCAGCTACAACAATTCAGCGTGTCTGGCGTGGTCAAAAGCAATACAAGAAGTTCCAACAGATCAAGAAGAACTTGATATTGTTTGAGAGCATTGCCAAGGGTTATTTGAAGAGAAAGGCTATTATGGAAGCACGCGTCGGTAATGCTGCCCTTGTCATCCAGCGCGCGTGGCGATCGCGTTGCCAGCTTCGCTCCTGGCGTCAGTACCGCAGAAATGTTATCCTCGTCCAAAATCTCTGGCGAGGCAAGACTGCACGCCGCGATTACAAAAAGGTTCGCGAGGAGGCCCGCGATCTGAAGCAAATCTCATACAAGCTGGAAAATAAGGTCGTTGAACTGACGCAATCATTGGGGTCCATGAAGGAGAAGAACAAATCTCTTGCGTCTCAAGTGGAGAGCTACGAATCTCAAATTAAATCGTGGAAGAACAGACACAATGCTCTCGAAGTCAGAACTAAAGAACTTCAAACGGAGGCCAACCAAGCCGGTATTGCTGTTGCTAGACTCCAGGCCATGGAGGAAGAAATGAAGAAGCTCCAACAAGCATTCGATGAGTCTACCGCTAACATCAAACGCATGCAAGATGAAGAGCGCGAATTGCGGGAGTCGCTACGCGAAGCGAACTCAGAGTTGGAGTCATCAAAACAGGCTAGCAGTGAGAAAGACAAGAATAACACTAGTCTGCGCCAAGAACTCGAAGCGCTCAGAGATGCCTTGGAGGTCGCCAAACGATCCGCGCCTGTTAATGGAGATAGCAACGGTGCTCAAACTGCGCCGGCCGCTACTGCAGGCCTCATCAACTTGGTATCTTCCAAGAAACCAAAAAGACGCAGCGCTGGTGCTGAACCTCGCGATCTTGATCGTTTCAGTGGCACATATAACCCTCGCCCAGTTTCAATGGCTGTTGCAAGCCATGCCCATCGCCAAAACCTCTCTGGCACGACGTACATTCCAGGAATTGACAATATCGAATCTGAATTGGAAAGCCTCTTGGCCGATGAGGACGGCTTGAACGAGGAAGTCACCATGGGTCTAATCCGAAACCTTAAAATTCCATCCCCAACTACCACCCCACCACCTTCAGACAAGGAAGTACTATTCCCGTCATATCTCATCAATCTTGTCACGTCAGAGATGTGGAATAACGGCTTCGTCAAGGAGTCAGAGCGTTTCCTCGCCAATGTCATGCAGTCTATCCAGCAAGAAGTCATGCAACACGACGGAGATGAGGCCATTAACCCAGGGGCCTTCTGGTTGTCTAATGTCCATGAAATGCTCTCATTTGTCTTCCTTGCTGAAGATTGGTATGAAACCCAAAAGACTGACAACTATGAATATGACAGGCTTCTTGAGATTGTCAAACATGACCTTGAAAGCCTAGAATTCAATATTTACCATACTTGGATGAAGGTCCTGAAGAAGAAGCTCCAGAAAATGATCATCCCAGCTATTATTGAGTCTCAATCACTTCCTGGGTTTATTACAAATGAGAGCAACCGATTCCTCGGCAAGTTGTTACAATCCAACTCGACTCCCGCTTATAGCATGGACAACCTGTTGAGCCTTCTTAATAACGTCTTCCGTGCTATGAAGGCATACTATCTCGAAGACTCCATTATTACACAGACAGTTACAGAGCTGCTGCGCCTTGTCGGTGTTACAGCTTTTAATGACCTATTGATGCGTCGCAACTTCCTCTCTTGGAAACGTGGCTTGCAAATCAACTATAACATCACTCGTATCGAAGAGTGGTGTAAGAGTCATGATATGCCTGAGGGTACTCTGCAACTGGAACATTTAATGCAAGCAACAAAGTTGTTGCAGTTAAAAAAAGCAACGCTGAATGATATCGAGATTATTCAGGATATCTGCTGGATGCTTTCCCCAAATCAAATCCAAAAACTGCTCAACCAATACCTGGTTGCGGACTATGAGCAGCCGATCAATGGAGAGATTATGAAAGCAGTAGCGTCCCGTGTAACAGAGAAGAGCGACGTACTCTTACTTCAAGCTGTGGACATGGATGACAGTGGACCGTATGAGATCGCAGAGCCACGCTCCATTACAGCTCTAGAGACATACACGCCATCATGTAAGTCACGAGTATTTGTATTAGATTCCCAAGATCATTGAACTAACAACACATATAGGGCTTCAAACGCCTCGACTCAAGCGTCTGGCCGAGATTGTCTCTGCGCAAGCTATTGCTCAACAGGAGAAACTGGATTTCGATGGCGATGACTTTGATAAACACGAAGGAGACCTTGCTGAGGTAGATGAGACGGAAGCGGATGAATAAATGCAAGCATATGCTGGCACGTTGGATCCATATGGATACCTCGGGTGCAATGGTGGCCGCCAACACGAATGGACGGAATGAATGTACGTTATAATTGTCAGAACATGTTCAAGTGGAGATGCTATGTATTACTTTGTATGTCGTTTCATAACTTCATTGTGTTATTGTGCGACTGGTGTAATTAACCGTATAATATTTGCCTCGTATTTTTTGGGTGTGTGTGTGTGTTTAATCTTGTATAAATAACCCAGAGCCGACTTGGTGGAATGCGTACAGTCGTGGACCACACAGCAGCACAGGCGTTGATCAAATATGCTTGGGACCCAACTAACGCCGAAAAAAAAAATTGTTACCCACTTCACATCTAGCAGGCAGGCCAAACTGGCGCGTCGAACTCAAATCAAATATCTTGACACAGCACACTGAATTGTCGTTATCATCTTTTCTCAAAATGAGCGGCGAGCGGAAATCGCCGAATATTATCATAACAGGCACCCCTGGAGTTGGTAAAACTACTCACTGTGAAAGTCTGGCACAACGACTCGGTTTACGCCATATTTCAGTTAATGAAGTTGTTAAAGACAAGGAATGTCATGAGGGGTGGGATGAGGAGCTTACGTGTTGGATAGTTGATGAAGATAAGGTCAGTAATCCTCATGGTTGACAGTTTATCAGTATCTTATCCTTTACAGCTTCTCGACGCAATCGAAGACGACGTTGAGCAAGGTGGTTGTATTCTGGACTGGCACGCCTGCGACGTCTTTCCTCAGCGGTGGATAGATTTGGTTGTAGTTTTGAGAGTGGATTCAACAACATTGTACGACAGATTAAAAGCAAGGTATGTGGTATATCATCGTTGTTCGTTGGTCGACCCTGTGCTAACATGGACGGTGTACGTCAGAAATTACCCCGAGGTGAAACTCCAGGAAAACTTGGATAGTGAAATTATGGAGGTGCTCTTACAGGAGGCTCATGACTCATATGACTCTGAGATTGTAATTGAGCTCACTAGTAATACATCTGATGAGATGGAGTCTAACATAGACCGCATCGAGGCTTGGGTGAAGCAATGGAAACTAGATAACCAGGAAGTCTAACGGGGACGGTACATAAATAAAGAGATACTCAACCCCTCTCCTAACCAAGATATAACTACGACACACCAATTTCGTCCACCAAGGTACTATTTCTTTGCTACATAGATGAAAATACCAACAAAATGGTGTTGGGTCACCCCTCCAGGGTAGCTTGCTCGCGGAATGCGCCCAGTGAAGCCCGTGGGCATATAGCAAGACACGAAAGGTGAAAATCACACTTGCATTTATCAATACTACAAAGCTACTAGACTATTATCCTGCTCACCCCTGACGTTACTTCTTTCGCAGCGACTTAGGGTCGAGACCGCGGCGTCTCATCGCACTCTTCTTGGCCCGATCCATATACTCACGATCTTCATCCTCGTCGAAGTCCGCAAAATCATCAGCCTCGGCTGCGCCATCAGTATCTGATGTATCGTGTACCAGAGCGGAAACAGTATCAGCCCGCGCCACATAATTGGCCTCCTTGCTGTCGCCATTGCGAGGGGTTACCACAGTTGGGCCAGTCTTCTGAAATTTGGCAACAAAGAAACCATCCACGTTGTAAGTGTGGGGGTAATACCGACGTGTCAATTTGAGGCTGGGATCAAAGTTCTTGCCCATGTAACTGGTAAAGCCCTCCTTTCCAAATGGGAGTTCTGTATCCACTAATCTGACGTTGGGACGTCGAGAAAGTGCATAGGCGACCACTTGTTCACTAGCAGACTGTTAGTAGAGCTCATGTTGTGACAAATTGGACAAGCTCTCTCACTTTTCCTCAACTGTAACACTACAAGTCGAGTAGACAATATAACCGCCAGATCCACTATGGTTAACAGAGTCGATAGCCGACAGCAATAGTTGCTTTTGTGTATGAGGTAGTGTCATAAAATCTTTCTCGGTTTTGTTAGTCTTGACGGATGGATCCTTAGATATGACGCCAGTTCCCGAGCATGGAGCATCAAGAAGAACTCGATCAAAACCACCCATGACACGTGGGAACTCTCGCGCATCGTATGAGCAGACAATAACATTCTTTGCACCCAGTCTATGGATATTGCCAATTAGACCTTTCGCACGGGCCTTGTTAGGATCGTTTGCAACAATAATTCCAGTATTCTGGAGCATGTTAGCTTGATAGCTCATAAGAAAAGCAATAGCAGAGTATAACTACCTTCATGAGGGCGGCGCAATGTGTGGTCTTGCCACCAGGGGCAGCGGCCATCTATATCGGTTAGCGATATGTCTTTTCACCTGGAGTATATACATGTTCAAGTTACGTACATCCAAAACCCGCTCATTACTAATAGTGCGGTTAGTAAAGTCGTTTATAGATTATGCGAGTTAAAAGACTTACGGCTGAGGAGACAGAGCCATGACAGGCAGAAAAGACGACGCAGCTTGCAGAATATAATGCCCAGCTAAGTATTCCGGAGTGGCACCAAGAGGGATGGACGATTCGAAAACTTGTAGACCAACCTTGCTCCATTTACCAACAGGCTCAAGTGTAACACCCCGGTTAATGAGCGCTTGAGCAAGATCCCTACGATGCGTTCGCAGAGTGTTAGTGCGGATAACAATTGGCCTAGGAGCCTCGTTAGCCTCAAAGAAGGCGAAGGCTTCTCTTGGAGTAAAGAGGTTGTAAAGCTTTTCTGCCAAATAAGGGCTGTAGTTATAATAAGCGCAGATATCGGCCAGTAATTGTGCCGTGTAGTCTGCCCGAGAACGCCCACGTTCGGCTAAGTTGGAGAAGTCGCCTAGCACCCGAACAATGTCCGTGATTCGCTGACGGAGAAGTTGGAGGTCAGGAGCAAGTTCAGCAGAAGGCGCGTTTTCGGAATCCTCCTCTACATCCCCTTGAGCGCCAAGGACTTTTGGTCTGTCATCGTCAAGATTGGTTTGAAGCGCAGATTCCTGAACCTCGGCGTTGGCAGCTTCCCGATCTTCCTCCAGTTGGAGGTCTAGCTTCGTGGATAAGCCTTCAATATTGGCCGCAGTGAGTTGTTCTTCCATGTCGGATTCATCTTCATCATCAGAGAAAACAAAACGGCCCTTTTTCTGTTCAGTCTCGTCATCGGAATCTACGACGGACTCGTCCGACCCAAGGAAGTCGTCGCCAAGCTTGTTCGGCGTGTCTGATACCAATTCATCGTCCTGATCAGATTGAGAGTCGCCCGTGGAAATATGCTCTGGCTGAAAATCAATTCCTACTCTTCGTAATTTCTTGTCATTTTGCGATCGGGAAGTTTGCTTCTTTGCTGTCTTGCGTTTCTTCAGCGGTTTTGTAGATTCGACGACGGGTTCAACTGGCAGACCAGCTTTTCTTTTCAATCGTGCAAAGTGCTCCTCAGAGAGGGGCTCAGGAGGCCCCTGTTTTCTTTTCATTCGACGTCCAGCTCCCATTGTGTAAGGTAATTATAGTCTCGCCAACTGGTGAAAACGGTGCTGTTAGAGCGAGGTTTACTTGGCGACTTCGAGAGACGATTTTTTTTTCTAGATGTCTTATCGATAGCCTGGCATCGTACTAAATTTTCCAGGCGCTAATGGGTGGGTGGCGCTTTCAGACCCACTGGACGAACGCAGGTTAACGTGGACTCATTACTGGGATGGGAGATCACATATGGCAGGTCTGAGAGCCTCGATTGACTGCTATGTAGTCTGTCATAATTATTCTCACGAATATTTCTATATACAAAATAATTATCATGATACAAAATTTTCAGTAGATCTCAGCAGGCGTAAATCCTGAACGAGCATTTCCAGTTCATCAACCTTGGCATTCGTTGTGCGATATATCCCGATGAAATCATGTATTGTGCTGATAAGCTGAAGGGTTCCAGGCCAATTGTCATAGTGCTTCATCTCCAACCGATTTGATGTAATAATGTAAAAATAACCAACAGCAATGGCCAGATATCCAAACGCGACGCTCAGTTTGGATTTTCCGACTGAGTCAGCCTATATTATTGTTATTGGTATGTTAAAGGTCGATAAAAAGATCAGAAGAACTTACGTCATGGAGAGACGAGACATTTTTGGCCCAGATTGCCGACAATTGTTTGAGGGAAGCTGAGTCAACAGATTCTCTGGCCAAGGAGCAGTGCTCTAGAATGTTTATCAGAATGCCAAGAAGTAGTAGCAATTGATCGTATCCATGGTCCAATGGGTTTCCGTGTTCCACATCTCGCTGTGCTTGACCAAACGCTTCGGATATCGATGTCGATAGTTTTGTTAAAATGGTCAAATGATTGAATTCTGAAGCGGCACTTTCGTGATTTGTAACGTTAATGGCTAATTTCAAGGTCACTACTGTGAAAGGAGATTCTTCGTCAACAGTTTCTAGCGCACTGCGGAGAAACACCACGACTGCTTTGGCGACTTCCCAGTCTTCTGGTATCGAGATATTTGATAGAGCTTCGAGTATCGAAACAACCAGATATCGATCGGTCTTATTATCCTCGTCTTCTGCGAGCTCTTTCGCAACCATTGTAAGGGTGTGTTGCAGATCCCGTTGGATTTTACCGATGTCTGTAGAGTCTGAGTGTCTACTCAGGGTACTTAACAAATGTAGACCAAGGGTTCGAGGTGAAATAATATCAGGCCTGTACCCATGCCAAAGAGGTAAGCTTTGGAGCAATTTTTTCACCTCGCCTAACATGGACCGTCCTTGACGAGAGACATTCGCTTGCCTTTCAAATGCGATGGCCATTATATCATCTGAGGTCGGCAACAAGCGACATATCAATTTGCCAACCCTCTCATGCGATAATTGATGAAGTAGATGGGGAGCTGTGCCAAATGACAAAAATATGATAAGCGCTGCAGCTAGCAAATAGCCACTTATTATGTCATTTTCTTCACCAATGCCCTTTATAACATTGTCCCGGGCTGCGTGATCTCGAAATTGCCGTTCAAACTTGTCTTGTTTGAGGCTAAGAGCTAATTCCCCCAAGGCATTTCGTCTCATTGAAGCTGGCGCGGCTGACGGCCGTCCTATTCTGGATAGAAGATCGTCCATCTGGTCTGAAAAGCGATTGTTCGCACCGGCACGACGAAGTTCATGAACACTTCGAATGCCCACTGTGTTCGTCGTGTCATCATCAGACATATCCAGGGGGTCATGAGGTGTGACAGGTGTAGTATATGCATCCAAATCAGAATGTTTATCAGACTCTCCGTCATTGTCGTTGCTAGCCGTCGTACTCTCTGGCTGAGAGCGACTTGCGCTGCTAATGCGTGGCATTGCATATGTTCTCTTGATCTTTTTATTTTTGGGTATCATAGGGCGTCTCTCGGTGTTCTGTACATGTCTTGTAGATGGATTCGCAATCGGCAGGCTATCGTCTGGCTCGGGCAATGGGTCGGCTTTGTCAGAACAGTCATTTGATTCTGAATCAGAACCAATGTGATCATCTTTTTGTGCTGTCAAAGCATCTATGAGACGTGTTCGCCGTTTATATGTATTCTGAGGGTTTGTAATCCGATCGCGTGGCGGCTGAGGTTGGAGGCTGCGGGAGGATTGTCCTCCAGTCCCTTTCTGCATCATGTTAGGCTACATAAGATAAACTATCAACGCGGGGACAAACATTAGCTGGAGTTCTAGCACCAGGTCTCGCCATATTTTCAGGCATCACTCGGTTACCATTTGCGCTGGGTTGGGTAAACGCAGATTCGTGGTTTCGCTTTCTTGCGTCGATCTTGTGCTGGTTTGTTGCCTTGTACATTCTCCCATGCGAGTTCATTTTGGGAGATGCACCACCAAATATGGTCCCTGGCGATGTCTTGCTGTATAGACTTTCATAGTCGGTGTTCGGTAGTGGATGGGAATGCTCGCCTGCATTAGATCGCGGATTGGAGACTTGGCGATCATTCGATGGTTTGTACGTGGTCAGCTGGTTGCGTTTGCTATCTTTCGTCGAAGTTTTAGAATTCATAGCTGCTGGATGTGTCCAGCTTTTGGTGGACTCGTGCTGCAAATAAAATTCAAGCTTATCATTTCATAATTTGATGCTGTGCATAAGCTAGGGATCTTGCGATAAACAATGGACATCGACAGCGCGCCGGATTGGGTTAAAGTGCTGGTTGTAGACGCTACGCGCGTTACGTCAGCATACTCCAACTGGACGATTCCGCCCGTCCAAGGGAGCCATAACCATCATATTCTTACCCTACCCTAAGGACATAGCCTTAAATAACCATGCCGACCCCAAAGCAAAGAAAAATTGCCATTGTTGGCAGCCGATCCGTTGGTAAGTCAATTCACCAGCCCATTTCTACCTCATAATAAGGTTAATTTGTGTATGTTTGCTAATGACATTCCTAGGCAAGTCATCCTTGGCTGTGCAATTTGTCGACGGCCATTTTGTTGATAGCTACTACCCAACGATCGAAAATACGTTTAGCAAGACAATCAGATATAAAGGACAAGATTTTACAACGGAAATAGTCGACACTGCTGGTCAAGTCAGTTATCAACAACTACAAGTCTCCTCTTCAGTTGCTAACAGCCGATATCTTACAGGATGAATATAGTATTTTGAACTCGAAGCATTTTATTGGTATTCATGGCTACATGCTGGTATATTCAGTATCGTCTTTACCGTCATTTGAAATGGTTCAAGTCGTTCGGGAAAAGATTTTGACACATCTGGTAAACAAACTTTCATACGCACGGCTTTACACTATCTAACCGTTTTTTTAGGGTACAGAGTCGGTCCCAATTGCAATTATAGGCAACAAAAGCGATTTAAGACCTGAACAGCGACAAGTCAGCGTTGAAGATGGCAAGAAACTCTCAGAGAGACTACAATGTGGTTGGACTGAGGCAAGCGCCCGGTACAACGAAAATGTCGAGCGAGCATTTGAAATTGTCATAGAACAGATTGAGAAGTTACAGAATCCTGGAGAGGCGCCAGAGAAGAGTAATTGCATCCTAATGTAAACAGCTGATGCGATTGGAGGTTGTCTTGTTCAGAGCTCAGCCTCTGCCTGTTCAAGATTCCTCAGGCTAGACTACCTGTTGATGAGTCATGGCGCATACCTGTACTAGTAATTGTATTTCGGAAAAAATACTACGAATATATGATCAAAGCTTGTATGTCTGCCGATACAGGAACCTAAATATTGCACGATGATAATGGCTCTGAGGGTGCGGGGTGACTCAAACAAGTGACTCTTGCCCCACCACTGAGAAAGTCGTACCCCTCCTCCCCGTGTGCGCAACGTTTTTCACATCCACCCATCCCAGGCAAAAGCACCAGAGTTGACTATTTGTTTCAATCTAATTTCAAGATGTTGGATGTAAACGATTTCATTACTGAGCGAGGTGGCAACCCTGAAGCCATCCGTGACTCTCAACGTCGCCGTTTCGCAAGCGTTGAAGTTGTGGATGAAGTTATTGCTCTTTTTGAAGACCACCGAAAGAGTAAATCCTGGACTTTGAGTGCCCGTATCTTGGCCAATTATGCTGATGAACTTTTTAACAGCGCAGTATGGAGCGACCCAAATCAACTCCCAAATCAACGATGTCCAAAAGCAAATCGGAGCGAAGAAGAAGGTAGCGGAACCCCCAGACACGATACTCAGGCGATGTTCTAACAATACTTTAATAAAAGGCCAAGGAAGATGCTACCGAGCTTCTCCAGCGAAAGATTGAGCTTGAGAAGGAAAAAAAGGCTATGATTGAATCTGCTGCGGAGAAGGAAAAGACTCTCAAAGCAAAGGTTTCTACCATTGGCAATATCGTCCATGCCAGTGTCCCTGTCAGCGACAATGAGGTAACTATTCGATCGATTGTATATCAGATAATATATGTTAATGCTTTTGCAGGATAACAATGCAGTTGAAAGAACTTGGGCCCCGGAGGGCGTTGCTGTTGAGAAACGGGATGTCCTGTCTCACCACCAAGTGCTTCTGCGATTGGACGGGTACGATCCTGATCGTGGAGTGAAAGTCGTTGGCCACCGAGGATATTTCCTCCGCCAGTGGGGTGTTTTCTTGAACCAAGCTCTTATCAACTACGGTTTGGAATTCCTCTCTCAACGTGGTTACTGCCCACTTCAAGCTCCGCAGTTCATGCTGAAGGACCAGATGGCCAAGACGGCCCAGCTTGAAGACTTTGATGAACAACTGTACAAAGTGAGCGATGGAGACGCCAAGAATGACAAATACCTTATTGCGACCTCGGAACAACCTATTTCTGCGTTCCATGCCGACGAGTGGCTTGTTGCTAAGGATCTTCCCATCAAGTAAGTGCAGCGGGAACTTTTTGCCACAGTATAGCAAAATTGACCATGCAATCTAGATATGCCGGCTATAGCACCTGCTACCGTCGTGAGGCTGGTTCTCATGGACGTGATGCATGGGGTATTTATCGCGTACATCAATTTGAGAAGGTTGGTTAAGCACTGAAGCAATAGTCTGTCACTGGCATCTTGCTGACTATCTTTTATTTTAGATTGAACAATTCGTATACACTGACCCTGAGAAATCCTGGGACGCATTTGAGGACATGATTAAGGTGTCCGAAGAATTTTACCAGTCTCTCGAACTTCCGTACCAGGTTGTTGCCATTGTTTCAGGAGCGCTGAACAACGCAGCCGCCAAAAAGTTCGACCTCGAAGCCTGGTTTCCATTCCAGGGCGAGTATAAGGAATTGGTTTCTTGTTCCAACTGCACTGATTACCAGGCCCGCTCTCTTGAGATTCGATTTGGAGCTAAATCCCAGACGGAAACAAAGAAGAAATACGTCCACTGCCTTAACTCAACCCTCTGCGCAACGACACGAACGCTGTGCTGCATTCTTGAGAACTACCAGACTGAATCTGTAAGTTGCCCTATTGACACGTCGCCGTATAATAAGAATCGATGTTAATATTATGACCTAGGGCTTGAATGTTCCTAAGGTTCTTCAAAAATATCTTCCAGGATCTCCAGAATTCATCCCCTTTGCTAAGGAGCTAGCTAAGGAGCCAGCTGCGCAGAAAAGCCTCCCTCAGCGACCCAAGGAAGCTAAATAAATCACGTAGATTGAGAATAGTTTTACTTGAAAAAAAGGGTAAACTTGTCCATAGCTATCTTTAATGCTGGCCTAATGGAAGGTGATTTGATACGCTTTGCACAGCCCTGTTCATGTTCGCTCGTTTCGTGGGTGTATGTATATGAGTGCGGGTGTACATATGTGTGTGGGGGGCAGTGGTCAGACGACATTTCCACTAGCCAAACATCAACGAACGGAGCACGGGAAGACTACAACAGCTAATGGAACCAAAATTGAACCAGAATGTGTCGCAGAGTGAGAAACATGAACGTTTGGGAGTATGCAGCCCTGTATGCAGAATTATTCCATTACGGATATTGACGGTGTCTGTAGGTTGCCGAACTGGGTAAGTTTGGCGAAGAAGACCGAATGCCGCGATGGCTGGAGATGATGCTACAACTTCGCAGGGGGCATGTTAATAACAGTAAGATTGTGATGCTGGTGTGTGTATCTATCTAGCTCATGAGAAATCCAGATATGGTATCCGCCATAGCCTCAATACTGGCGATTGATCCAACTGTGGTGACGGCCCATCTCTGCCATGAGGCCACACAACACATTTCGAAGACCGCTATAGAGGGTAAGACGGTATATCATTCCATATTAAAAAGAGCACGATATGTTGAAGCTGACTTGGGTTTCTTTTGGCAGAGACATTTTGTGGCTATCGAAATATCCAAATGATATTGTCTTGCCTAATCGGCCATTCCAAATCTCTCTCAATGACTGAGGTCCCTTCCATTCTTGACATACAAGTGCTCATAGAAAAAGCATGGGATAATGGGATATTATCCGAAAGTCGCATCCAAACAGGGGGCATATTGAAATCACGCAAGTATATCGGCACGCCAGAAGTAAGACCCAGCCCAGCATCCCTGCCGGCTCTCATATACGCCAGTCATCAATCTGCTAAGACTGTACCGAATAGGTCTGCGCACTTTTTACAAGTCTTAATATTCGGTAAGTTTAAAATGGTCTATATCGAACAATGTCACCCTTGAGTTACCGATATTTCTAATGATTGACGTAAAAGTAGGAGCCGTACCCATCGATTCATCAGCCAGACAGGAAAAAGTTCGTATGCGCAACTAGTCGATGTAGTTCAGGCCTACTTCAGTAATAGCAGGCAGCAAACATCGATACACGGAGAGAAAATCCATCAAACGGAGCTATCACCAATTTTTCTTCAGCGGCCAGGTGCAACTATACATACACAACGCACACAGCGTTCCTGCTAACTGGCTGGCTATAGGACATTCGCTTTTAATCATTGGTGTCGAAAAGCGAGACAATGGTCATTACAATCTATTAGTCTTTGATCCGGATTATAGATATCCGGACAATATAACAAAACTTTTGGCTAAATTGAGAATCTCCAGATTCTCAAAGCTTCGCGACCATATCACATCTTGCTACAGGCGCAGTGACGAACACTTCGCCAAATACAGCGAAATTGAGATTCTTTAGTACGTGCTATCTATATGCTAAACAAAGGTACTGATATTTATGTGTCTGAGTAGCCCGGATCCAATTTGATCACACTTTCTTCACGCAATGGTGTCGCGGGGTTGTTCACGAAGCCACGACTGGAGTTTGTCTAATGCTTTGCCACGATGCGATATCTTTGTTTTTTCAACAACGTCCATCTCCGCAAAACTGAACTAAATTAGTATCTGTAACCCCAAAGATTGATTATACAAGTGAATAGTGACGTACGTTTTGCCTTCGTATTCAAAAATAGGGTCCCAACCTAGAGTATAATTGTGTCTCGTTAGCAAAGCAGCAAGCAAGGTACTTTTCATGAACCATACCGAAGTTTCTGCCACCACGTGGAGGGACAATCTTTCCCTGCAGGACCATTCAAATTTGATTAGCAATAGGCGAATTTATGGATAGAGAGGCAAATGTGGGAGGCCCATACCTGAACTCGACCTTGAAACAGGATCGGTGGCTCTCCTGGCCCAGCACAATACCCGAATGTACAAATGGCTTCAGCTTCCTTGTTAGGGTACGCAGCTAACAGGTTATTAAGCCCGTCGAGACCAATATCTGAAAGAAACCATTTGCTAAATGACACAAGATGTTATTAGTGACACGGGCCAAGCAAAATTCCATGAAAAGTGCAGGTACACCTACATGTATGGGCCAGGTAGACCATTCAGTGCGTTAAAAGAGAGGGCTGTATCTTCAACAAGAACAGGTCCATTTGCCTACATAAAAAGCACGTAGTTAGTAGCTCGTCGCCCTCCTTCGGTCTCTATGATATCACACACCAGTACAGCCGCCTTCGTGCATTTCGCAATTGTCACCTCCTCGATACTGCCTTGAATTTCTTCGAGGTCAATAGCCTGGCTCGATACTTCGACATGCGGCTCAAGGACAGCTTTCACCTCCTTCAGCTTATTAGCATTGCCAGTGATGAAATATACAGACGCCATAGCGTTTATGTAGCTTGTATCCTTTGAGATTCAAATGTTCATTGTACAAGTATGGCTAGGCCACCGGATTGAGAGAAAAAGAAGCCAATATTTTTCTAGTAAATATTCAGTGACCTAGCGATGCAGAAGAATTAATTTACAGTGGAAATTAGAAAGTAAAAGCTTTTCAACCAATGAGGTGCGGGAGGCGGTGAGATTGCAGAGTGGCGCAGAATTTATTTTTAATAAAACCAATTATTTGCGAAGACTGGACCCAATAAGCCGCACAACGCCAGCACATTAAATAAATAAAATATTTAACGGGAGGAATGAACGTTAAACAAAAAGAAATACGCACAGAACAAATAAAAGCATTTACAAATACAATAAAAACTCAGTAGCATATAAAATAAAAATACATCAATGCATGCAGAATTCTAATAACACGTATTGTTAAAAACAAAAAGAACCCCAAAATAAACAAGAAATTCATTAAGAAAAGTGGAGCCGATTTTCAACCTCACCAACGACGAGAAGTCAGGTTGACCAGCGATTAGAAGCAACTCATCACCTCGTCAACATGGCCTCTCAACGTACTGATCTGTCGAATCTCAATGCTACATTGTCTGTCAAGGTTCCCTTCGACAATGTTTGCGTTTTGCCCCAGACTCCCCAGCTGATTGCCCTCCTCTCGTCAGTCAACTCCCCAGGCTGCTCTCCATCGTACATAGCTACTTACGCACTGCAGAATCATCCGTAACAAAGACACGGAAAGAGCTGATTTCATATTCTATTCCAACCGTATTATTCGCCTTCTAGTTGAGGAAGGGTTGAACCACCTCCCGGTGAATGAGCAAAGTATCACGACACCAGTTGGTCGTGTCTACGATGGTCTCACCTTCCAAGGAAAGATCTGTGGAGTCTCAATTATGCGGGCCGGCGAGGCCATGGAACAGGGTCTACGAGACTGTTGCCGGTCAGTCCGTATTGGAAAGATCCTCATCCAGCGAGATGAGGACACAGCTTTGCCAAAACTGTTTTATGACAAGTTGCCAGAAGACATAGCCAACCGATGGGTTCTGCTACTTGATCCAATGTTCGCGACAGGTAAGGCAGTCGAATCTCAATCACTTCTTGAACATATCCGACTAATCAAATGAGATAGGTGGCTCTGCTATCATGGCTGTGCAAGTCCTTAAAGCACGAGGCGTTCCCGAGGAACGTATTCTTTTCCTGAACATCATTGCCAGCCCTGAAGGTGTCCACAACTTTGCAACAAAGTTTCCCCGCCTGAAAGTTGTAACAGCATTTATTGATGAAGTGAGTAATGTCTGCTCTTGACCAGTTTTCCAATGTGTTACTGACTAGTTGCTCCATTAGGGCCTTGATGAGAAGAAGTAAGCAATTCAGAGCCTTCGGCTCTCAACATTCGTTTTGTTTTGTCATTGACTCATTAATTAATCTGCTTTTAGCTACATTGTTCCCGGTCTCGGCGATTTCGGTGATAGATTCTACACCATCTGAGTGTCGTCACCTTGCATGACGATCGAGAAACGACGAAGGGCATGTCCAAGATTGCTCTAGGTTCTGTGCCTATTAGGGCGTCCAGTTATCCATTTCAATCGTCTATATCATCGGCGGCGAGACCGTCGCTTTCGTATCTGTCTTCTGGATCATGACGAGCACCTATATCACCATCATGCCGTAACGTCGATCGTCCGGTACCGGAGTATGTGGCGTGTGCATTATCTTCTTTGGCAACCGCCTCTGTGCAAAGGTGAAGCGCAAGTAGTTAGCTATGTATAGTTCACAATGGGGTAGCACGTGGGTAGCATCTCTTACCAGCAGCATCTACCCATTCTCCGTAAACATCAACGGCAGCCGAGAGGTCTGTTTCCAGGTGGTTAGTTAATAAAATGACCTTCACTGTAATCGCGAAGAACCCACAGTTAACTGCACATTGGAATTTCTGCCCGCAGATCCGACAGTCAAGCTGCCCGACTCCAGCCTTTCTGTCCAACTTGACTGTCACTGACTTTTCGTGGTTGCAGAACAAACAGGTAAAAGTTGTCGGCAAAGGGTCGGCCTAGTTGAAGTTAGTACATTGTACATTGCACATTACCAGAACAAACCAAAATACCCTTTTAGGGCCCATTGGCTTTCTTGACGATCCCTTGCGTTTGCCCATGGCGGTAAATCGAGACAGAAGGCTTCCCAAATGGAGTACGATGCAGTCGCCAAATGCGCTGGGGCGCGTGTAGCAGTTTAGTTTAGCCTTCACGTGAGTGATGCGATGGTGTAAAATGCGCACTGTGTCACCCCACTATTTGGATGTACCCATCTCTCGGCAGCCCCCGATGGGTCGAGAAGCCCCCCACGCTGGTTAGTGCGGGCTGTCAGTTGATGTGCAACAGTAGTTAGACAACCAACTGACAGACGAAGACCGGTGGATGATTCATGAAGTTCATAGCAAAATTTTAGATACGTATTTCCTGTTTGTAATCTATAATATGGGGATTGATAGGAGCTCTGTAATAATAGATCCTGTGGTTTTGTCGGGCCCCTGTCGGACGCCGCCGTAGTTGGTGCAACGTCAAAAGGTTAAATAAATCAGAAGCTCAGCGCCTGAGCGGGGAACAACTGGTCGTAACTTATAAATGCAGCCGCTCGCCTGTCCATCGCCTCCCCCTCAAATCATTCGTACTTACCGAAGTGTCCAGCAGTATTATCTTGTGGCCGTATTTTTATGCTTTATATTGTCTTACACCCTAACCGTTTTTTCTTTCCCATTTATTCTATTTGCAATGTCTCAGCGCCTGGGCAACGACGCTTCCAAGTCGGAAGCTATTGAGAACGTTCTCAGAGCGCGACGGTATCTTGATGATGCCCTTCGAGATCTCGAGGGTCATCCTATGTCCACAGCGTTCCAATCTAGATCACATGAAACTGCTGTAGGTGTACACTCAGATGCTAATGTAAATCAAGAGCTACAAACACAGATGCCGACAACTACCGATGGTCCCGCAGAGGAGCTACAGGCTTCAGTGTCGCCTTCGCAAAAGTCTGCCTTCACTTCACGTATTATCCTAACGTATGTAATATATACAGTTGCGCTTGGTTGAAGTTTGTGACTTACGAAGCCGCCAATCGTATCTACAGCACCTACCCAAAACAAATTGGCATCGACCCCATACCTTTGGACTGGGGCAACGGCGACGGTGTTTCCCGTGGCCCTATTGTTGTCTCAAGGGCATCATCGACAGTGAGGAGACGCAATGGTCTGTAGCAACGAATAAACATGTCATGTCTAACATCTGCTCACATTTCGCATAGCGATTGGAGGTAAGCTTCCCAGCCTCAACCAAAGCGCTCTCTAATCTCCCAGCACAGCCTAGTAAGTCGTTTGGGCCTACCAGAAGGAAAATGTACTGATAATATTAAAGCGGCGGATCCTACTCTATTTATTACGCTCTCGCTGTTGCCAGCAAGGAACTGGATGCCGACCACCGGTGAGAAATTTCTTTCAGAGAACATAATCTGAGCCGTAACTAATACTTCAGAGACCTGATTTCACAAACACAGAGCCTGCCGTTACTATTGGGCCGTTCCCTCAATGGAGCGACCCAAAGAAAATCGTCGCCATGGACCCTTGGGGCCACCTTGCGCCATGGCTGTTCAAATCCCAAATGAGTCAAGAGAACCGTACGTCACGTCTCTAGCATCACCGCAGTTTGCTGATTTTGCCATAATAAAGTGGATTTAAGACCTACGATTGCCGTTACGAAAGCCCACATGAAGGTATGCCCCTTTATCATATTGCAAGAAAATTATATAACAAATATCATCATCCATAGCTCCCTGAGTTGGCTGAGAGTGTAAAATCTGGCAGGCTGTGAGTCTCTAGAGAGCAATTGCCTCTTTACAAGAGGGAGGTACTAAGTCTTGTATCAGTGTCCCCGATGGCAAGGTGTGCCTGAATGAATCCGGAGAATTGGCAGTAACAAAGTTTGCTGTAGAGCCGGTCAGTTTTGCAATTATTAAAGAGACAGATAATTATATCTGACTTGAACTAGGTTTGGTATTTACCTGGCGTGGCAGAGAGATTTGGCATCGGTGAGAAGACAAAAGACCTCTTACGCTGAATCCAACCTTACACACACTAGATGAAGGGACTCTACGACGGTCTTTATTTGAACACACCGGTGGAAGCTACCCCGAGGTAAACGGACTCGTTGGTCATCGTGTCGTCATTTGCTAAGCGTGTGAACCAGCTTATAACCCGCGGTGACATCAAAGTCTTTTTGCCACCCATTGGTCAGTATCGTCAATCTAAAACATATACTCTTTTATCTAATAGGTGTAGGCGGACTGACTGTTTACTGCTTTGGGGATCCCGCAAAGATGTCTGATGAGTCTGTTAGGCTTTCTTTGAGAATTCATGACGAGGTATGTGTAGACAACGACCTTGGCTATCGTGGCAAAACTAGCTAACCCCTTCAGTGCAACGGTAGTGATGTCTTCGGCTCTGACATCTGCACTTGCCGCCCATATCTCATTTTCGGTATCGAAGAAGCGGTAAGAGAGGCTCAGAATGGGGGCAGTGGCGTTGTGATATACTTCAGAAAAGAAGGCCGAGCCCTCGGTGAGGTGACCAAAGTACGTTTTTAGACCGCAAAATACTTCTCATGCTAACAGTGACGTACAGTACTGTAAGGACTTTCCCGGTTTCCATTACCAATCGTTGCGATAGTCGATGCTGACGTGCCTTGGTAGTGGTATACAATGCTCGGAAACGCGGTCAGGATAAAGCATCCGATTACTTCATGCGCACCGAAAACATTGCCGGTGTAAAAGACATGCGCTTCCAGGCCTTGATGCCAGACATTTTGCACTGGTTGGGCATCAAAAAGATCGACCGCATGTTGAGCATGAGCAAGTACGTGACGGATATACTGAAGCGCTACCAGAAATGCTAACAATTATAAAGTATGAAATACGACGCAATCGTTGGCCAAGGGTATGGCATATTGGGTAGATTATACTGTTTAATTATTATACTAACCTTACTAGAATACCCATTAAAGAGCGAGTCGAGCTTCCAGACGAGCTTATACCTGCAGATTCGCGCGTCGAAATCGATGCCAAGATCACCGCTGGTGGGTCTACCGTTCCAGAATGTCGTTTAATTGGTACTAACGCAGCAAGGGTACTTTACGGCCGGAAAGCGCCTTACCGCAGAGGAGCTTCAAACAGTTCAAGGCCGTATTTGGGAAGAGTAAGTCTCTGCCACTCTGTCAACATTGCTGATACTGTATTAACCATGTCTTTCTTGCGGCAGCATCGATCATTGAGCGTCAATACAACATCTAGCTAGCTCTAACAGGAAGAACACCGGGTTTATGTCGTGAAATCTCTAAGTAGCCAATCAGTCCTTCTCACTTCTTCCCATTTCATCGCGAGCACAGGTCATCGCCTCGAGGCCTTTGCCAAGTGGGTGTCGTGCACGTGAGCCGGCGCGAGCCAAGACAGGGTTTCACAAAATTCATCTGTGCGAGTCTAAATATTTTGCTGTGATACATCACGTGACTCGTAATTTTTTCACCGAGATTGTGGTAGTGGGGCGGGTAAACATTTTTCCCGAGTTTTTCAGAGTGGGCTCGCTTAGGCCCATCGCTGCACACAAGTACAGAAATTATTCTCGCCCCTCCACGAACTTTCGCAACTTCAGAATCTCCAATTGCTCGTAGATCAGACAGCAATCATGGCGGTCGGAAAGTAAGCAAACTTGAATAGCGTCTGCTTACTTGAAACAAGTCTAACATTATTTAGGAACAAGAGACTCTCCAAGGGCAAGAAGGGCCTTAAGAAGAAGGCCGTCGACCCTTTCTCTCGCAAGGACTGGTACTCGATCAAGGCTCCCAACCCTTTCAACATCCGCGAGTGAGTCTTTCTCCTCTTACTTTCTCCTTCAACGATGCGACCAATATCGAAACTAACAATTTTTACTAGTGTCGGCAAGACTCTTGTCAACCGCACCGCCGGTCTTAAGAACGCGAACGACGCCCTCAAGGGACGCGTTGTCGAAGTTTCCCTCGCTGACTTGCAGAAGGATGAGGAACACTCTTTCCGCAAGGTTCGCCTCCGTATCGATGAGATCCAGGGCGACAACTGCTTGACCAACTTCCACGGCCTCGACTTCACATCTGACAAGCTCCGCTCGCTCGTTCGCAAGTGGCAGAGTCTGATTGAGGCCAATGTCACCGTCAAGACTACCGACGACTACCTCATCCGCCTCTTCGCCATTGGTTTCACCAAGCGCCGCCCCAACCAGATCAAGAAGACCACTTACGCCGCTTCTTCCCAGATCCGTGCTATCCGCCGCAAGATGACTGATATCATCCAGCGCGAGGCTTCTAGCTGCACTCTCACCCAGCTCACCTCTAAGCTTATCCCCGAGGTTATTGGCCGCGAGATTGAGAAGTACACACAGGGTATCTACCCTCTCCAGAACGTACGTATTACCAGATAAGCAGCTTGAACGAACTGGAAACTAACTCGCTTTTAGGTCCACATCCGCAAGGTCAAGCTGTTGAAGTCCCCCAAGTTCGACCTCGGTGCTTTGATGGCATTGCACGGAGAGTCTGGCACTAACGAGCAGGGCCAGAAGGTTGAGAGAGAATTCAAGGAGCGTGTCTTGGAGGAGGTTTAAACGAATTCAATGTGGGCAATATTCCACTGGCGATCAGGTTAGGGGGGAAAAGCATCCTCGTCATTCTGGCTCTTTCCTTTGGTAGGATGTCATGGTACGGCGTATTATCTGTGATGATTAGGAACTAGATAATGTCGTAATAGCTATGGCATATTTGGTGTTCAATCTGTTACTCAGTGCTGTAAAAGCTACTGGGACGGCTGCTAGCCTCCGTTACTACATCCGGCCATTTTGTGTTCCGTACAAATTACCCAAAGATGATGATTCGACGTGAGAATAATGCTGTTTGATACGTCGAATTAAATTTTCCAATACGTACGCCCAAGACCACAAAACAGTACCTCAGTCTCTATCGCGTAGAAATTCAACCGCCGCTTTACACCCGTCAGCAACCATTAATTGGATAACAGACATCACTGCGGCAATACTTAGCTTACCTCGACGGAATTCTTCCGGTTGTTCAGATATTAACCAATGGCCAGCGTCTACGTCAACGAGTCGAAACTTAGGGAAGAAGCGACCAATAATTGGAAGCGCTTCGTTGGGGACATAGCGGCTCTGCGTTCCTCTGATGAAGAGAGCGGGCTTGTTGCAACGAACTTCGTCTGGGTTTTTAAACGGAAAATCTCCCATATGGTCAAGAGCCTTCCCCAATATGTCTAACGGTATGGAAAACTGTTGTGTCGTTTGTCCTTTTGGCTTATGAAGGTTTCCGAGCAGAAATTGTCGAATTGGTAGAGACTTTGACTACAGTCAGCGAATACGGTAAACCAACTCAGCCGTTATGCAAACAAACCTCTTCAACCTCTTGTAATATTTTATCAGCTTCCGAAAGTCGCGTTACTTTTGCATTTTCGATCTTCTTCATGCCGCGCACGTATGATCCAAACCCAGATGCTAAAACGGCATCAATCGGCGCATTATCTACTGCTATAATGTTGCTAATCTTTTCCGGAGATTTCAGAGCTATTGTCATCGCAGTTTTAGCTCCCCTGTATTCATAATTAGTGAATATTAGTAGTAGAAGTGTCTGTGGAGGGTTACATTGAATGCCCGATGATTGTCGGTTGCTGGAGCTGTTGTTTATCAATAAATTCAACAACGTCTCCTGCCATTGACAAATAGTCGTGCGTCGCATTGTGAGGTGATTCTCCGTGATTGCGCAAATCCTACCGAATGTTAACTTAGAATACACGGTCGATATTGCGTGACTGGGACACTTACCAGTGCAAAAACTGGTCGTCCGAGGTCTCTCGCGAGAACCCTAGATCAGAATAAGGTTAGTAGGGTTCTGAATGCATCTGATTAAAGTCTAGGCTATTTCTAACCTGCTCATTGTCCTATTATTCTTTTTTGATCCAAATAACCCGTGCAAAAAGAGTATTGGTTTGCCAGCTTTTCCGGCTGGGGGCTCGTGTTTGTCAAAAGCGAGATTGGACATAAGTCGAGCATGAGAATTGAGAATTGCTATTCGGGATTTTAAGCTCGGTCGCGACATATGAAATGGGGTTATCATTTTTACAGACATAGTGAGTGCTGCAGATATCAAGATCGCTAAAATTGTATCAGGAGAAGGGTCGGCTCACAAGGCAGCGCCGATTGCTCAGAGGGTGGGCTGTAGTGGGGCAACGTAGGCCGAGACGTCTAGTTGTCTTCTTCACCACCACGCTGCACAACATTTCCCCTCGCCAGATCAACATCCTTCCTGATCACCACAGCCAATTTCGGCCCACCGTACCCGCGCCGCACACGGCTAACAACCAAAAATGGATTACGAAGCTCTTAAAGAATCTTGGAGCGAAGTTGAGGACCGCGATGGCGTCCGCCTGAGTTGGAATGTTTTCCCAAGCTCAAAGATGGTAAGCTTCTCCGCCTAGCCTACGCAATGCTGAAAGAAGGGGTGACAGTACTAAACAGATATAGGAAGCTTCACGACTAGTCGTACCTATTGGTGCTCTCTACACGCCGCTGAAAGAGAAGCCAGAAACCCCCCTGCTGCAATTCGAGCCAGTCACTTGCAAGCAGCCGTGCCGCTCCGTGTTAAACCCTTTCTGCCAGGTCGATGTCCGAGCTCGGGTCTGGATTTGTCCGTTTTGTTTATCAAGAAATTCCTTGCCGCCTCACTACAAAGACATCACCGCAAATGCTATCCCACCCGAGCTTCATCCTGCCAACACAACCATTGAGTATCGACTTTCACGACCAGCTCCAGCTCCTCCGATTTTCATGTACGTTGTCGACCTTTGCCAGGAGCAAGACAGCCTCTCTGCTCTAAAGGAATCTCTTGTTATGAGTTTGAGCCTATTACCCGAGAACTCTCTTGTTGGCTTAATTACATACGGAACGATGGTATAGAATCTTTCAACCCATCATTCTTGGGCATGCACTAACATTTATTCATAGGCTCTAGTTCATGAAATTGGCTACGAAGGCTGTGCTAAATCTTATGTCTTCCGGGGCAGTAAAGATTATTCTGCAAAGCAAGTCCAAGAAATGCTTGGACTTGGTTCCTCGGCAGCTCGTCCTGGCATGCAACCTCAGCAGGGTCGCCAACTTCCTGGAGGACCTGCATCTCGTTTCTTACTTCCTGTCGAACGAGCAGAGTTCCAGCTCACCAAAACTTTGGAGGCACTTCAGAAAGATCCATGGCCAACAGCAAATGACCATCGTAGCTTACGTTGCACTGGTGTGGCATTGAGCGTTGCCGTTGGTCTGATGGAATCTTCGTTCCAAAACGCTGGTGGAAGGATCATGCTATTCGCTGGTGGTCCGGCTACTGAAGGTCCGGGCATGGTTGTCGGTCCTGAACTCCGTGAACCCATCCGATCTCATCATGACATTGATCGAGACAACGTCAAGTACTACAAGAAGGCACTCAAGGCAAGAAAAGTCTACCTAACGCTGTATCGCCGCTTCGCTAACATGACATTAGTTTTATGAGAACTTAGCAAAGCGAACCGCACACAATGGCCATATTATCGACATTTTCGCTGGATGTCTTGACCAGGTTGGCCTTCTAGAAATGAAAGGACTTTGCAACTCAACAGGTGGACATATGATTCTAACTGATAGTTTTACCTCCTCCATGTTCAAGCAATCATTCATTCGAATTTTTGAGAAAGACGACGATGATAACTTGCTTATGGGCTTCAATGCTGTTCTGGAGGTGTTGACAACAAAGGAACTGAAGGTTACCGGTCTCATCGGACACGCTGTTTCATTGAATAAAAAGTCTGTTTCTGTCGGCGAGACTGAATGCGGTATTGGTAACACATGCTCCTGGAAGATGTGTGGCATCGATCCAAAGGCCAGCTACGGCATATATTTTGAGGTCGCGAATCAGGGTCAAGCGCCTCATCAACAGACACCTCAGAAGGGCATGGTGCAGTTCCTAACTTACTACCAGCACTCTTCTGGACAGTTTCACCTCCGAGTTACCACGATTGCTCGGAATTTGAGCGGCCCTGCCGGTGATCCGGCTATTGCACAATCATTTGACCAAGAGGCAGCTGCCGTCCTCATGAGTCGCATTGCAGTCTACAAAGCAGAGGTAGATGATGAGCAAGATGTTCTGCGCTGGGTAGACAGAATGCTTATTCGACTCTGCTCTCGCTTTGCCGATTATAGGAAAGACGACCCGTCGTCCTTCCGTTTGGAGAAGAACTTCACCCTCTATCCTCAATTCATGTTCCATCTTCGTAGGGGTGCATTTCTTACCGTATTCAACAACTCCCCCGACGAAACAGCATTCCATCGACATGTGTTGAATCATGAAGATGTCAGCAATTCGTTGATTATGATCCAACCAACCTTGGACTCTTACACGTTCGATCAGGACGGCGGCCAACCAGTATTGCTCGACTCCGCATCTATCCAACCAACACATATTCTCCTTCTGGATACATTCTTCCATATTCTGATTTTCCACGGAGAGACGATCGCAGAATGGAGAAAGGCAGGCTACCAAGATCAAGAGGGCTATGAGAACTTCGCCTCTCTTTTGGAACAACCCAAGGAAGACGCCCGGGTGAGTCAAATGAACATTGAATGAACCACTATAAATGCTAATATGATATAGGACCTTATTACTGACAGATTCCCGCTGCCGCGCTTTATTGTTTGCGATGCGGGAGGCTCTCAGGCAAGATTTTTGCTGTCTAAACTCAACCCTTCTACTACTCACACTACTGGCCCATACGGTGGCGCTGGCGCCGCATCGGCACAGACAATCTTTACTGACGATGTCTCACTTCAGAATTTTATGGAACATCTGATGAAGTATGTAATGCAGTCCCAATCTTCTTCAGACCAGTAACTAACTAAGTATACACAGGGTTTCGGTTACCGGCGCTAACTAAAGCGGTGGTCGTCGCTAATTTGTGGTATGGAGGGATTGAACGATATCAATAGACATTTGGTAAATATAAATTAAGATATTCACCGCGTTGAATTCAAACACATTGCCGACCGAGATATAACGATGTAGCCTGCATAGCCAATACAAACCGTCATGACAACTTGTTTTGAGAAGCGAGAGGCACCATGACTTCTTCCCACTTTAACTGGGTTGGCATAAATTACAACTTACTTCTGCCTGCTGGTGCTATACAACTGAGTATATTATAGTTCAAAAATACATAAAGAATCTGTAAGAAAGATATATTTTGATAATAATTGTTAGTATATTTTGAAATGTATTTGCTACAATGGTCATTTACCAAGTAGTAGTAAATTCTAACAGGAGAGATAGTCTGCTTATGTAATCAGGTAACATGGCGTAGGTGCATTTTTCTTAAGTGGGGTTGGCGATGGGACCAGATTAGGGCAGGCGACTGGGGCACACAAAAATTTGCCTGCTCCGCTGAACGTCCATCTGACTACATCAATCACGAACCCAAGCCAACGGTACGCAAACCACGAGCCTCTGCCTAATACTGAATCCGACAAAATGCGTACGTTTGCACAAAATATTTCATTCACGGATTAGTACTGACTTTCGTGTAGCTCCCAAGATCGACCCCAACGAGATTAAGATCATGTACGTATCCAACTACTACAGTCGACGCTTGACGATACAAATTTAACGGCGCTTCAAATACCAATACTAACTCGCATTAGCCACCTCCGTGCCACTGGTGGCGAGGTTGGTGCATCTTCTGCTCTGGCTCCTAAGATTGGTCCCCTCGGTCTCTCTCCCAAGAAGGTCGGAGAAGACATTGCTAAGGCCACTGGTGACTGGGTAAGAAAACTTTTAGGCCCAATCCAGCGCACATGTCGAACCACTTGGTATACTAATACATGCTACAGAAAGGCTTGCGCGTGACTGTCAAGCTCACTATCCAAAACCGTCAGGCCGCCGTCTCGGTCGTTCCGACCGCCTCTTCTCTCATCATCAAGGCCCTCAAGGAGCCCCCAAGAGACCGCAAGAAGGAGAAGAACATCAAGCACAACAAGTCTGTCAGCCTTGATGAAATCATCGAGATTGCCCGTCAGATGCGCTTCAAGTCTTTCTCCAAGGAGCTGAAGGGTACCGTCAAGGAAATTCTCGGCACTGCCTACAGCGTTGGCTGCCGTGTCGATGGCAAGCCTCCCAAGGTTATCCTCGAGAAGATTGATAACGGCGAGATTGACAGTGAGTACCGACTGCGACTTGTATAACAACTCCACCTAAATTCTCAACTAACCAAAATTACAGTTCCCTCGGAGTAAAAAATGACATGGTGAAATGACTCGAGGATCACATTCTCAGTGCATGCATATGAAGCTATGTGCTAGAATGTCTTTAAATTAATTTAGTCATGAATTAACGTGTTTCCTCTATTCTTTTTTGTCCCTCGTCATTTTCTGTTTCAATTGCACGAATACTGTCGAACCTCAGGAGGGCCGAGTAGTCGAATTAACTGGATACTTCGTGCTACATGTAACCCAGCGACTGGGCACATACCAATAATTGGGGAAATAAGTGATGGGCAAGTCAAGCTTTTCTATATGTAGGTTTCAAATCTATTTCAACTTATCAGCTCCGCAGCATATATTTTAACCGTAGTCGTTCGCAGACGCGTCCCGCTCATAATGTTAGCAGACGGGAAGCAGCTGGCACTAAGACCGGGCGGCGTCGTCGCGCAAACCCACTTTAAGCCCAGGCTTCGCCCCCTCCACATCTCAGCTACTGACAAAGTGACCAATCTCTCAACACCCCACGCCGTTCGCGACAACGAAGAATATAGGTCGCTCTCGACGCATAGGAAACGTTTAAGCCGTCAAAATAGCTTTCCATACACCGACCTAACTGCTCCGGCACAAGGAGTGGATTGCCATAAAGCCGAAAGCCTCCGACTGACGCACGACATGACAACAGCAACAGCGGAAATGGGAGGCTCATGAGTTGCCAACAGTATATGCTGGTGTATGTTGCCCTCACATATCCGATTTCATACTCCCTCCTTTATACCCTGATCCCCCTGTATGACGAAGATGTCGCCCGTGCTCCAATCAAGGCGGCCTCTCGAGAGTCCTCGCCCGGTTCACACGAAGCACGCTGCTGTTGGGAATACAGACGAAGCTGTAGTTCGGCATCAAGATAGTATACCGCATATTACAGCCTTTCCGATCCGCACTATTCAACCCGAAGTACGCACAACATTCCAAAACCATCAACTTCGAAGGAAAACGCCGAACGGAATAGTTGATGCTGGATACGATGCGTCCTCGAGACTGGAAAATGGAGAGCCTCCTGCCAAACATTTGGTTCTTTCCGCAACCATGGCAGGTTCACAAACGCCAATACTCGACCCATACCATGTCTCTGCTACCGACATGCTATGGTCAGCCCATTCACTCGCACAAAACCCTATAACAAACCACACACAGATTCCATGGTTCAACCCTTTCTCTCCCAACACCACTACCCACTTTGTCCAGGGTCCGTTTCAACCCACCATCCGTTCCAATGACTATAATATGGGAGCTTTCTGTCCTATGCCTCAGGAGGTTGCGTTTGGACAAGATCAGCTTCACTTTGGCCAGATATACGAGAATGGGCCGGCTCTAGCTCCCCACGATGCATCTCAATTGGATCAAAGATCAGAATACTATCCGGGTATCTCATTACAGAACCCTTTTCTGCCAACCCCAATACAAGCACAATCCATTACCAAGGCAGTCAATACCCAGCCTAATATCATTGGATATCAAATACAGTCGGCACCAGCTTATAGCCAACCGCCAGATACACAGCGCCATTTTAAAGAAAGGGCCTTGATTCAATCATACAAAAGATATATGAGCTTATTGGCTTATATACAGACAACGACAAGACACAATCTAGGGAAAGATAAAATAAAAGCTCGATTCAGACATATGGTTTTCCCAAAACCGCCTAAACCATATAGTCCCAACAGCATTCTCTCCAGCATTGCCCCGCCTCCTGTATCAATTCCGACAAACTCATCTATCGTCAACCATCATAAGCACCACTACTCACCCCAACCACCTGTTCAGACTCAGGTTGGTGCTCCTCAACATCTGTGGGATGCGCCCAAACGAGACGCTAGCTTACTGAGACAACCCATATTTCCGGATGTTGGTCAATTGCAGACACTACAATCTACGGATTGTCATCTTATACCACGGACCATCACCATGCAGAACGAAGATGACGGTGAAATGCTGGTATCCGATGTGAGATGCTCGTTAGAAGTGATAAAGACTATGTGCGAACAGGCGTCATGGACCTGGGTGGATGGCATGCTACTCCTTGGTTGTATGTATCACGCCCTTGAACAATTTGAAAACGCACTGTTATGGTTCGCGAGGATAATAAACATGAATTCAAGGTATGGAAAGATTTATATTATAGTTACGAGTACTACTAATGATACCGTTAGCCACGTTGAAGCCATTGCCAATATGGGCGCAACATTCTATTGTTTGCAGCGTCATGAAGAGGCTGAAAAGCAATGGCTACAAGCTGTTTCACTCCAACCAAGTTATTTAGATGCAGCTGAGCATCTTGTTGGACTATTATACAAGAGCAGAAGCCAGGAAGCCGTCAATATTATCGATGGAATACAAGATACTCTGAAAGACAAAGGAAATAATACTGCAGCCAGCGCGTTTCAGTTGAACAATTTTGACAACCCGCTGATAAATACCCGATCGCAGAATGGCCATGACAATACGGTTAGCTCATCGCGTGGTTATACACTCCCCCCCGAAGAGAATGGTCGCATGCTTGCATTGGTTCACGCCAAAGGTACGATGCTGTACGGTTTGAAACAAACGGAGCGGGCTGCTGCTGCATTTGAAGAAGCGATCATGATAAGCACTGGCCATATCCTTGCCGATACATGCGACTTGATTCAGCATATTCGATCAAAACTTCACTCTACGCTTGCAGTTGATTCATCCACAAAAGCAATGCAACCACTCTTGTTGACGCCTGATCAAGCCCGGCGAACTGCAGAACTTGCCTTTGGTGGTAACGGTACTCTACCAGGCCTTTCGCAATTGCTAGATCCGGTTCAGTTTAAAGGCGCTATACAGACAACAAGCAATGCTCTGTTATCACTCGCCAAGATTCTACAAGATGCATGGGCTGGTGGCCACTCGCGTGTGGGTTTGAGACGGTCTCCATCTGGGGTAGGGGATATTCTTACCTTGTATTACCTCTCCCTGTCATTGCAAGAAAGCCCCTCCACGGCGAATAATGTCGGTATTTTACTTGCTGGGATACAACAACCTATTGATCGGATATCCAAACCAGCCTCTTCTCGAACAACACCAACCCGAATACCAGGAATCGCCGCTGGTAGTGGGTTAGAGCTCGCTCTACTCTACTACAACTATGGGTTGCGATTGGATCCGAAACACGTGCATCTTCATACCAACCTGGGCAGCCTACTAAAAGATGTTGGTCAGCTGGATCTAGCAATTCAAATGTATGAGCGTGCTGTAGCATGTGATGGGATGTTTGATATTGCCCTCACAAATCTCGCTAATGCAGTCAAAGATAAGGGAAGAATCAACGAGGCTATCGCCTATTACAAACGAGCTATTGCTGCCAATCCCAACTTTGCTGAAGCAGTATGCGGCTTGTTTACGGCGTTGAATTCTGTTTGTAATTGGCGTGGTAGGGGTGGTGCTGTGCTGTATCATGGATTATACGATCGATGGCACGTCAGTGATGATGGCAAGTTGATTGACTCGGCCAGCTGCCGCCTAGCGTCAGGGTTGACAAAGGCAGTGATTGATATTATCCATAAGCAGCTTGAAGGTGCTGCCACATGGGGCGTAAACACAATACGCCAACCCTTGATGTCTCAAATTGCCACTTACTGTCAACACCTCTTAACCGAAGCATCCTTCGACATGCTGTCAGCTCTCCAAGCTTGGGCTGGATTGCCGTGGGAAGGGTCTCGGCTTGTCAGGTTGCTAGAACGTATCACTCGTGTTGCTATGCGCTTTGCATACCGCGACCTCTTCGTCAACCGCAACTCTGCTCGTCATGATTGGCCAAGGTTGAAGCTACCTGATGACTTGAGTGTACCAACGGCACCAACAGTCTTGCCATTCCATACATTTACGTGCCCGCTCTCGGCGACAGATATTCGGATGATCTCACAGAGAAATGCTCTTCGAATATCATGTTCTACGCTGCGTGCATCATGGCTCCCTCTGAAACTCTTGCCCCCACCTTCGCCGCCCTCTCCGCACCTCAATGTGGGCTACGTCTCGTCAGATTTCAATAACCACCCGTTGGCACACCTGTGAGTTTCGTCCAATTCGTCTATCAAGGTGTATGCATACACCTTTCCTATTCCTGTCTCACTAATTTCAATCTATAGAATGCAATCTGTCTTCGGCCTGCATCGTTCTAGTCGAGTTCGTGCACATTGCTATGCAACTACTCCAAGCGACAAATCTGCCTACCGAATGCAGATTGAAAGAGAAGCGCCATGTTTTCGAGATGTTAGTAGCTGGTCGCTTGATCGAATCGTGAACCAAATATCAGCCGACAATATTCACATTCTAGTCAACCTGAATGGATATACACGTGGTGCACGGAACGAGATATTCGCCGCACGAGCTGCGCCTCTGCAAATGTCATTCATGGGCTATGCCGGCACACTTGGGGCGGAATGGTGTGACTACTTGCTGGCAGATTCAACATCAATCCCGGAAAAGACCCTTCGTCCGTGGCGGAACAATGTCACCATTGAAGATGTATTCCGGGATGACTCGGAGGGCACTGATGGCAATTGGCTATACTCTGAAAATATTATCTTCTGTCGTGATACATTCTTCTGTTGTGATCATGCACAGTCTTGTGCAGAAGGCGAACGCGGGCTATCCTGGGCAGACGAAGAACGACGGCGCTGGGAAATGCGAAAGCGATTGTTTCCATCGCTGGCTGACAATACCGTCATCCTTGCTAATTTTAACCAACTGTACAAGGTAAGGCTCTTAACCCCGTCTCTATAATAATGGGTCCCGCATTATTCGTCTGTTTCTTCACTAACACACGCAGATTGAGCCCACGGTCTTCCGATCTTGGCTAAGAATACTGGCCCATCTCCCGAATGCTATTCTGTGGCTTTTACGGTTCCCGGAGGCTGGTGAAGCTAATCTTCGACAGACCGCTTTGGATTGGGCCGGTGCTGAAATTGCTGGTCGATTGCATTTTACAGATGTTGCTCCAAAAGGGCAGCATATTGCGCGCGCTCGTGTCTGTGATCTTTTCCTTGATACTCCAGAGTGTAACGCGCACACTACCGCAGCTGACGTCCTTTGGTCTAGCACCCCTCTGCTAACTTTACCTCGTTACCCATATAAGATGTGCTCACGTATGGCTGCGTCCATTCTCAAGGGTGCGCTGCCAAAGACTACTGAAGGGGACGCAGCTGCGGCGGACCTTATAAAGGACGACGAATTAGCGTACGAGAATGCAGCCGTTCGCCTGGCATCTGACCTGGAATACGTCCAGTGTCCAACAGCAGATTATTTTACATGCAGTGGACGCCTCGCTGATATACGTAAATTACTGTGGGAAAACAAGTGGACATGCGGTCTGTTTGATACCAAACGCTGGGTGTCTGATCTAGAGTCAGCATATGAGCTGGCGTGGCAGAGATGGGTCGATGGCGAAGGTGGTGATATATATATGTGATGTATGACGGATATTTCAAGATAGCTTATATATTTTTGAGGTAATTCTGTTGCATATTCTTGTGGGCCGGAATAGACTACTTGAAAGCAACCATGCGGCGTGAGTAGAGATAAAGGTACTGGCATGGGCTCTACAGAGGGACAACAGCGCACAACACAGAGGGTGAATGAGGTTGTCTATTATATATACCACAAGTTTGCTATGAGATTTATATCCCAAGTATACTCATGAAGTTTATAGGCAAATATTAATCAACTAGCGAGTTGGTGAGCATACCGAATGAAGCTTGCCGGGTAGCAGTTGAGCTGTCCATTATGGAAAGTATTTTCAGGCGGGCCAAAGCCGAAGAAAGCCCCAAAAATAACGGTCGGGTGGGCTGCATTGATGGGAAAGAGCAAGAGGGGGAGTGCACGGGCGCCAGAGCGCGCCAAGCTGAACTGGCGCCCGACTCGCGAAAATCGAAAATTCGCGGCCTCTGGCGGTCAGCATGGCTTGAGAATCGGCCCCCAAGGTGTGGTGGGCCAGGCGGGGTGTCAATATTGACCCAAGAGAGTGGTACAGATTTGCGCTACAGACAAGGTTGCCGCACTACGTGTTGGGTCGACCCGGCCAGGCGGTTGGCCAGCACGGCCCGCGACAGGAGGAACAACAATGCGACACCAACAGGCTCGTCCAAGTGTATCCGAGGGCTCAGCGTTGCCAGGCCTTGCGATACACAGTGGAGCAGGGCAGAAGGGGAGCTTCCTCTAACCAAATACTGGGCAGGAGAAGAAAAAAAGCGAAACGGCCAAAAGGCTGGCCAAGACAGGAAGAGAGAGGGGCTGGCTATTTGGCTGCCTTGCTACCAAGGCACCGATGTTTGCGGGGTGTCAGCGTGGGTTTTCGGCGAGCTTGGAGGCTTCGAGACCTCCGCGGGTGGATCGGACCATCAGGCGTTGCAGTGCAAGCCAGCTGAGGCAACGCCCTGGGCGGGACGCCTGGGAAACGGTTTCCGCTATTCTGCTACAGCGCGCCAATTTCTTTGGCCAGCTACCATGTAACAGGGGAGGCGTGGTCCTGCCGGTTCTGCTCGATGAGATGAATCGCACTCTGTATATGGACCCTCTGGGAGATGGCGAGGAGAGCATGACTGAAACTTCTCCGCCTGGAGACCAAGCTTTTTCCGTGACATTGTGCCAAAGTCTGCTCGGCGTCTTATCGCCAAAGGCAAATAAACAGGACCAAACCCAACCAACAGCGGAGAAGTTGCCTGGCATCATACGCCGTGCTCTCGACGCAGCGCCGTTCAAGGCGAACGGCAAGACAGCAAGGCGTTCTGGACGAACCCAAATAAACCTGACATTGCAACCCGAGTCAGCGCAACGGGCGCAGTGCAGCGACCGGTAGACGTCCAAGACTAATCATTAATTGCACAGCGAGCATCCACGTTAGTACGCCATTGCAGTGGTAAGCCCCACGCCTAGCGTCCAAAAACAAGAGGAAAAAGGAAATACAGAACAAGGGAGGCCAACAAACGGTAAGGGAGAATGCCCTGCTGGGGACCACTAGGACCACCTGGAGACCGCTAGAGACCGCTAGAGAGTAACCTAGGAGGGGCGTAGCAGCCTTCGGCACTGAAGACGGCGCTAGAGCTGATTCCAAAACACGAAGCACACCCCCTCCTCCTTCCACTTTGCTGGCACCGTCAGTTAAGTTCTCGCACGCCTCTTCTCTGTGGATCTCCGCACTCCACAGTGGACTCGACACGCCCCCTACGTCCATTCAGGTGGCGCTCAACATCCCATCGCCATGGCCGCCACAGAGCAAGGTAAAAAGGTTTCTGTGCTTTAAAGTTGCCTCTGGCCCCCAGACAGTCCCATATCCTTCCTCATCGACTGTCATTTCACCCGTTAGTTTGGCCAAACTTTTACCGCGTGCAAATACGTATTTTTTATCATCACTTCACAAAATTTTATGCTTTCATCGACCCTTCTAGCTATTTAATCCTACAGGCTCCCGCTATCTCTCATTTTTCTGCCTCCTGTCGCCAAGCCTGGACAACTTCGAACGCACATTCAACCAAACCCTTTCACACCACAATTCCGCAGACATGGCTTGTCATCGCCGTGGCCCCTGGTCCAATGCCGAGGACGCATATCTCATGCAGCTTGTTCAAACTCACGGCCCCCTCAATTGGGTCCGCATCGCACAAACACTAGGCTCTCGCACACCAAAGCAATGCCGAGAGCGGTATCATCAGAACCTCAAGCCTACGCTCAACCATGACCCCATCACACCCGAAGAGGGAGTTCAAATTGAGCGCTTGGTTGACGAGCTAGGCAAGCGCTGGGCGGAAATTGCCCGCCGTCTTCACGGTCGCAGTGACAATGCCGTCAAGAACTGGTGGAATGGCAGCCAAAACCGTCGCAAGCGTATGGACCGTCGACGAACTGTGCACGGCGTTCACACATACGACAGCATGGATTCGTATCACCACGCTGGTCCCTTGCCTAGACTCGGTTATCCCTCATCACCAGTCGATCGTCGCCATCAACTCTCCTGGTCCGAGGCTACGTTACCATCACCATCCGCATCAGAATCGCCAGAGTGCGAGCCGTCCAACTATACCACTTCTCCTGCCAGACTCCCAGGCCCCCCTATGCAGGCTGTCGAGTTACCTCCTCTCCGCGCTTGGCCGACCTCCTCCTCCAGTAATGACTCCGCTCTACCTAGCCTAAGCTCATTAGCAAGCTCAGCTCAGAGAATGGGCCCTACCGGGCAAATGCCGCTGGCCCCCAGAGCACAGCTTCCTACGGCACCAAATTCGCCAATTCAACACGGCCAGGATGGCAAAGAGAGAGATTCCAGAATGAATGTATCTGCTCTGCTCGGATAGTTGGTTCTGCTTTGACAGCAGCTCCGACAACGAAAAAGAAATTCACGTTTAAAATGAAGAGATGGAAAGTCATATTTCATCCACTGTATAACTATGATACAACAATGATACCCGCAACACGCTTTTTTAGAGGTGTTTGCTTCGGCCCGTCTCACAGGAGCGGCAGTTTTACTAGAACCTAATTAATGAAGACATTGGAAAATTTAAACTTATTGGCCTATTATGAAAGTATTTAACTACTGCGTTCTAGACACATCAAAGATATTTATCCTACCCTTCGTCAATAGGAATACATTTTAAAAAAAAATGGTTACATATCGGCTATATTCTCACTAAATCGATGCCATGTCTGTGCCATGAGCAGCTCTCATCGGTCTCGACTGACAGTGGATGCCTTATCTTACGTCAACGGCGCCAGGGCGGACAAGACAACCCTAGCTCTCCGGAACACTCGTTTGGCCACCGTTATTTGCATTGAAGAGCACTTCGTCTCGTCCAATACCCTTAAGTGCAGCACTTCGGCGACTGAGTGAGCCGCCCCACCATAGACCACTGAGATTAAGTTGGGACGGCGAAACTTGGCCAGTGTCTCTGGCCATTCCAAATACTCTAGCTCAAAGGCGCGCCATGGCTGAAGCCCCGCTGGCCTATGCCAACCACAACAGAACGACACTAGGTACCCACAGGCAGAAAATACCTACCTCCATACCAGTTCCAATATGTGATGAAATGTATCCAGTAAATATTTCGACTTCCGACGAACTTCGGTCGGGCCGGTGCCGGCACAGTTCCACAGGCCCGACGTTGTGTCCCAGATGAATCTCGATTGGAACTTCGCCGTTTTTCTTTCTTTTGTTTTTTTATTATTTTATTTTTTGATTCCGCCGCATCCTTGCTTTCCATTGCTTGTACGCCCCCCGACATGGCTCGGGGTGCACCCGCCACTTATGCTCAAATCTTGCCAAACTTGCAGCCTGTCACAAATGACGCTGAGTGTCTGGCTCGATGACAGAGGCCGTGACGGTTGGTGAGGATGAATCACGCCCACCGGGGCCCCTGATTGCGTTTCTCCGGTGCTGCACGGCAGTAAGATGGAGATGAGCAGGTTAACCGAGTCAGCGGCGCCGTTGATTTTCGCAGGCCCTCAGTCATGAAATGGCGTTGAGCGACAGTAACGCCGCCAAAATACCCAGCGCCCAACACCAGAGTGCGGTGAGGGACAAACATGTAATCTGAACAGCCAGTGCACACCTGTCATGTGTCAAGTGCAGGACGGCTGCTATCGAAAGCGCAAACAAGAGCCTCGTTGGTCTAGTATCAGTTTGTGCTTATCCGAAGAACAGCCATCGAACAGGCCAGCTAAAGACAGACTGTTGGCACCGTCCCGACTCTCGGGAACCGTTAGATCCAGTGTGCTATTTACAGCCAACTGCGCCGGTAGTTGCTTGGTCCAGCACACAGCTGTCGCCTTCAGGCGCCTGCATACGACAGTCATGGGGACATGGGGGAGGGGTGTTGCCAGCCACTCCCCGCAGCTGCCCATATTTCCCAAATGATGTGCGCGTACGTACGAGGGGCAGTGAATTGAGTCGGGCGTTGCCAAGAGGCAAACGAAGAAATGAGCCAACGGTGAGCGCATCAGGACGAGCACGATTGTAAGTCCGGCCTAACGGGCCCTCGCCGCGAAAGAGACCAAGTCCCTTTGGGTTCAGCGTCCGCCGTTGACGCTGTCCGATTTAGGCAAGGTGGTGTTGCCCATCAGTAATCCAGAAATCTGGACCAAGCTTGCGAAGCCGCAATTTAATTGGTCCAAACTACGAGAATTTCTAGAAGCGGTTAGACAAACCGTTTGATCAACCACAGGAATGGATGAGAAAACAACGCCTCCGAATCACGTGCCCCGGAAATATCTTACGCCCGCCGTTACGAAGGGGCGCACCAATCATGGGCCAACCTTCAGGCGTCTGCAGCCCTAGCCGTAGAGGTCTGTCTCCGGACCGTTGTTTGGAGGAGGTAGTCGAAAAGGGAGGCACGGGAATGGATGAGGAGCAAGAGCCTAGAGGCCCGGAAGAACCGGTTCTTAAAAAGGACCAAGCCAACTTTGAAAAAAAAAAAAACAATAACTTGCAACGGCTGATAAGATTGGCCGGCTGCCTGAACAAAGGGCCTGTGATAGTCGTGATTAGTGATTTTCTATTTTTTGGCGGTTAGACCTGCCACCGTTGAACCACTCCCACGGAAAAATTAGCAGGGGCTAGGCAGGAGGGGGGGGTGCGTTCAGCCGTTACTCACGCAGCACCGTTGGCGTGGCGTTGAATCATGCACCTGGAAAACCGATAAATTTCGGCCTCGGAGCGGTTAGTCGTCACCCGCTCTTTTCAACGGCTTGGGCAATGCTCGCACTTGAAACAACCAGGATGAGTACACGGGCCCGCTAGTTATCGTTTCACTGGGCCAGAACTGTTTACCTGGCCACCAACCAATTTCATTTTTGATTACTGAATGGCGCCAATTCTTCTCGCCGCAGATTTCAGTCGCTCAACTAGGCACCAGCGCCGGCCGCCCGAGCATGCGCTTCATAGTTTGTGAATTTATTGATAATGAATCCAGGTCTGTACAGCAATCATATTTTCCACAGTTAGCTTGCGTGTACTGAAGTTTTAGACCCATCCAGCGACACAGGCTAGTTTGTGTTGCACTGTTCACTGGTCACTGTCACTGTCATGCCCAAGAGCTTTGAGTGGTAACGTTATATACCCCCAATTTTCGTAGAACCTGTCGCACCGTCTGCTACCACGAACAAGGTCGTGCTCAGCGGATGTACCATGGAGTGGCGAACATGTTCTTGATCCTGGCTATTCCGATGTCTCCCTGTATCCCATGGACTAGATCAAGACGATGTAGTTCCACGTAGCTTGACGAACATCTTCAGCAAATCGCCATGCCCGAGGATACCCTTCAGTTGTCCAACTTGGAGTCAATGCCGCGTAAGGCGTGGATGCAACCAAGCACGATGGGCAACATTGATCGCGTATCTGTAGCCCGCCAGCGACCTACATTGGTGCGAACGATGCCGTCCGAGCTTAATGATCGTTGGCCTTCACCCCATGCGTCCAATCTATGCTCATTGCTCTGCAGGTGGCCCCAAACTAACAATGTCATCGTACGGGTAGTCACCTTTTCTATTACTCACAAGGACCTTTGCTACTGTGCAAATTGAGTACTATTGCCTCCTTTCTGAGCTTCACTCAGCTGATTCGCTCCAGTGGATTACTGGATAATTTTCACATGTCCTCCTTCACCCTATGCGACAAATACTGATCGAACTGCCCTGATCACGAAGTAATCTAATAAAAATATTTAACATTCCTTAAATATCACTCATATGTAGCTCCAGGTGGTATATAATGTAGTGACGTCCGATGATTTTGCTGAGGGGTGGCCATCTGTGGTGTCGGAAGCCGGTTTCTCGCCTGGAGCTAGACAGACTATCTGGTAGTGCCCTGCACGTACCAGTATAGCTTTTCTGTAAGCTACTTACGAGCTACTATTTTGCTAGAATATGCTATTATTACAGTACACCGAATTGCTGCGTAGCTCACGAAGAGTCTCGAACATTCTGGGGGCATCACATACAACTGGGCTTTACCAAGGTAAATAAGAAAAATCCACAAGGAGCATATGCTGACGGGATTCATGCTAAACTCAAGTACCTTAGACTAGAAAGTAGATCCTGTATATAATCTCACCTCGTGTATATCCCGCAGTCGAGAAACGGACAGGCTGGCCGAGTCGATTAGCTGGATGCATTGTGTGTCACTTCAGTTGGCAGAAATTCGGGCTCTGATAATTATGTCATATTGAGAGCGTGAAAGTGTTGTTGGCCATGGCGGAGACTTTAAATACAGATGCTCTCGTCGCCCACCCGATGCCATTGGTAGCACTGCCTATATTTAGCATTCAGCATATCTACCTTAATTCTCTCATTTTTCTCCCAACACCGCCTTGGTATCATTTTCTTTTCCAATCAAACCCAAATTTCTTATCTGCCCAGCGCTAGGGGCATCGTCTCGAGGTGTCGCGGCTTCGGATCGAGCATAGGCGGCCTGCATTGCAAGAGCGCGCGCATGCTAGATAAAGGTCAGTTTCATCCGAAAGGATCACCATTCTGTCAAAACGCACCTCCTTTTTGTGATGTAAGCATTCGTAATAATCTTCAAGGGCCAAGCCGCACTTTTTCTTTCCCGAGTCGTCCTCCGCGGTGGTATTTACTACATAGCAACCCATCACCTCCTGCCAGAACGAAAAGCATCGGCCGACGCCTAGTTGTTCTTGTTAGCAAAATGTATCCGTCTACAGTATCTGTAGCATATATTATGTACTTACCACCGTGCATACCGTATCCAGATGACATATTTACTGACAAACGCAATCAATTGGTTGTTAAAGGTCGCGCTTGCTCACAGTCCACGTTGTAGAAATGGAAGAACGTTGATTGGGTTTGGTGATGTGAGTTTTGCCGTAGTTTTGCCGGGACCCACCACGTTAGCAGAGAGTACATATTGTTGTTATGATGACTGGCACGGAGACACTTGTACCATCAGGCTGATAACGATAACGATAATAGCGACTCCTAAGACGTGTACCATAACTTAGCTGTACACCTGTGAAGCAACTAACGCAGTGCTCCCTCGTGGCAGGCGCCTACATCCAGCGATAGCAATGGATTCACCTTTATCGGCGGCCAAGATTTTACTACTTGCTGTAAATTTGGCGGCACATTCAAACATAGACAGCCTTAGCCTTCTAGCTCACCAGTATTCGCATGTTCTCACGGAGCGACTTCTCCTTCGAATCTTACTTTCATATCTTCCCGAGACGATCAACCCTACTGAATACATACCACTTCTGCAATACATTAGCATCGACAAAAGAATCGATTTTGTATCTCTAGAACAAGGCGGCATTGATTATACATCGATTGAACAGTTGACGGACGAGGGAGCAGAGAAGAAAGTTAGGAAGTTACATCTACGGCAACTCCATAATATCGACAGCAGTACACCAAAGGATGATGACGATATTATAAGCTTCTTGAAACAAAGGGTCTACAGAATCGACTCGCAGACCAGCCTATTATCATTCATACCGACTTTACTGGCTCCTTTCGTGAATCGAAGCGATTCCTTTTGTCTTTGGGTAATATCAACTGTTGAGCCGTTCGTCAAACGCTATTCCACATACTACACCAATGATCCCGATCGGATCCTTCTCGAGGACTTTGAAAAGCTCTCTGATGGAGCTGCCCTTACGACACTACTTGGCAAAACCGCCCATACAGAACATCCCTCCGACGCGTGCCGTGACGTATACAACCTTGTCCTACCTTGGATTAGCAACAAGGAACGCTGGACAGGCCTTGGTGGCTCTAGTACCAGTAACGAAGCAGTCAACTGTGTAGCATGGCGGCATTTTCTTGAACTCATGTTAACATGGAACTTGCACTCCTGGTCTACCACGGTCAATCTAGTTGAACACTGGAACGGATCCCGGTCTGTCAAACTATCCAATATATCGTCTTCATCTCTAGACGAAGCACAGTATAATTTCTTGGATAATGCATGGGATCAGGCCATCATCACTTGCGTTTACAATATGTCCAACACTGGCACCGAAGCAATACATCAAGCGTATGGAATATGCACTAAAATGTTGGAATCGCGGGCCATCTCGCCACCTTCCGAATTAGAATTATATTTATCGTCCAGCGAAACACTAGCACCTGCAGATATCGGGTTTTTGACGGACACAAAACTGAGTTCTTTCCTCCGAAACCACTCTCTGGATGCGAAAAACATTTTGACGACTCCAACATCGCAATCACTATCATTTCTTTCGAATCTTATTGGAAGCACTTATATATGCAATAGATTTGGCCTGGGTCTAACCGTACGTCAGGTGGCTGACTTGGTCCTTTCGCAAGATCTGAGGGAGCAAAAAGCATTGTTATCAAAACTTATCCGAGGGCTATGCAGCCAACCTCTTCATGATGACGACTCTGGCTGGTTACAAGCCAGGACATCTTTTCTTTGGCTACGCCACTGGAATATCAACAAGAAAATTGACGTAAAGGGTCATGGTCTGCTTGGCGCTGTTGGGGTTCTTGAAATCGAAAGCGAGATTTTGAAATCTCTCTTGGAAAAGTCTAGTATGTATAAAAGCAAAGGTCATATGAATGTGCTTATTCATCTAATGTTCCGCCAGAGTATTCGATTGCCCGCTCAATCTACGAAACAAGTTCAACCAGCCCCCTTCCACAAGACACTGTTTGTGGTATTTTACACAGCACAGCCTTAAACGCCTTCGACAATGCGTCTAATCCCAACAGAACAAGAGGCGGCCTAAAGAAGTGTGATGAGATGTAAGACGTCACTCAAAGACATGCCCCTATCTATGCTGTAGTCACTGTACTAATATAATGATTCTCAGCATTCACTCCTTACCCAATACCCTACCCAGCGGCATGCAATTCAGCAAAGAGATTGAGGCTCTTTTACGAGCCACGCATGCATTGAGTGATTATCGCCTAGTTTTGAAACAAGGCGAACCATTCAGCCCTGTTGTCTTGCGTGTACATTCTGATCCTGTCAGCATCATTTCCAGGGCCCTTGAACAAAACCCCAAGGCGTACACTCGATTACAGGAGTTCATTGAAATCGGAGCCAATTTGGTGCAAGCTGGATTAGTAGGAGATCGACGAAATCCAGAGACTTTCGATGAACAGGTGATACTGATGAGTTCTACGCTAGTAGAAAAGCGCATTGTTAGCATGTGCATCGAGGCGGCACTAAGAGAGGACGACTTCGAGACCGCGTATTCATACGTCGTCAGCAAGCTTTCCAGTCCCTCTGATAATGATAAACTGGCCCAAAATGAATGGGTATGGACTGCCGCCTTCAAGGCCGGTCAGTATGTTCGAACCGAAAGATCACAGCGTCCGACACACCTCGGAACGGCAAGCGGCAATCCTACTATTCGACACTTCCAGCAGCGAATCGAATGTTTAGCGACCGCTCTGAGAGTTGCCCCGCCTGCCGAGCTTCAGAATATCCTGAACTTGTTTCGGCGTTGCGAAGAGCAGCTCGATTCCGCTATCAAAGAAGAGGCTGCGAATGAGGCGGCATGGGATACGACCACGGAATTGAACCCCATCCCAGGTACTTTTGATGCTCCCAAGGACATCAACAAAATATCAAGGAATTTAACAGCAGCTGCTACAGCACGACAAGGGGACGACGCCCCTGTATCTCTCTTCGATCTTTCCCGGGCTACGGCTCGTATTGCACAGCGCAATTTTTCAGCCCTATCAAGAAGTAATGATTCAACACAGGCGGTAGATGTGGATGAGTCGGAAGATATGTCTAAGCAACGAGTTAGAAGACGAGACCAGCTTCGGGAAGCCGCTACTGGAACGCTGGTGTCTGGTGTTGGATGGCTAATTGGGGCCAATCCTGCTCGTGATGAAACGCAGGATTGAGTGGACTGTAGTTGATTGCGTTGAACTGGAAAAGGCTCAATTGAGGCGATGTATGATAGGTTTATAATCCATTTTATATTAACTGTAGAGGCACGTACTTCATAGTGAACGACGAAGCTGTGTAGGTCACAACTCTGTGTTATCATTGGATATTATTTTCGAACACGATAGCGGTGAATCTACGAACTGTTTGATATTACAGCAGTGTGTTTATAACAGATCATCCTCACTGGGCTCCCGGTTTCAGATAACATGATAGCATGGCGCAGAGGGCAGTCTCAGCCGCCACGAGAACAGGTACGTGGGTTTGTGCTGTGTACTCCGTCTGGGGGCAGTTGCTTCATCGCTATTATTAGCGCCAATGTGGCACCTGCATATATGATATTAGCACAATAGAGCCCTACCTTAAGTTAAAGTTGCTGACGCATATTCTGATGGATGGCGTCTGAGGTAGCTACCAGGAGATCCAGAAGAAGGTTAGCAGTCCGAAGTCGCAGTTTTGCTTGCTTTCTATATTTGTCCATGAGTGTCACGTCGGTCTGAAGTCGATTGATGCGATTGGCTGAGTTGTGTGTTGGAACTGGCTAATAAACAAGGTGGCGCAGGGACTGAAAAGTGATAAACCGTTTTGAATGTCGAGATTCGACGTAATCCACCCCAGCAATCCGATATTCTTTCATCGCCATGTATTGAGCGATGTGGATGCTCTAGAACGCAGTGGCCGACCCAATCCTCCTCCATAATATACTGTAAAGGACTCGAGCTTCTTTTCTTTCTTTCCACCGATATCATCACAAAATCTTGGTGATGCTACGATGTGACCGAATATTACAACCAGCAAAATTAAACGCGCATAAAACGTCGAATATAGTGGTGTGTAGCGATGAGTAGTGCTGGGGGTAGGTCTTCGAATTGAATCAACTCAATTCTTGTAGACCACCTCCACAGACCTACTCGGTATTACACGAGATAAACTCTGTGTCACGTTAGCGCATCAGTCACACATCACATTTCTAGATGTATAACTTACTACTCTCGGTGCTCTGAACGGGATCCCCCTTCAGCGTAACCGGCACCAGAGCCCGATTGGGGCTCACGGGAACGCGCACCATCACGCTCAGGCTGACGTTCATAGCGGTCACGATCATAGCCTCCAGGGCCGCCACTACCGCCACCGCTGCCACCCCGGGGTCCATAGCGATCACGGTCTTCACGGCCGCCAGCATAACGGTCTCTGCTATAGCCGTCGTCCCGGTCTCGGCGTTCGTAGCCACCTCGTTCTCCGTCTCGACTGTATCCTCGGTCCTCGAAGCGGCGTTCGTCCCCGCGGTATCCTCGATCATATCCCCTGTCATCATAACGACGCTCGTAGCCGCGATCATAGCTTCCTCCTCTGTCTTGGCCCCGGTCATATCCTCGGTAGCGGTAAGGGTCATCTCGGCCGTAGCCGCCGCCATATCCTCCACGGCGGCGATCGTCGAATCGAGGTCGCGATTCTACAATCTTGTTAATAATTGAAAACGAATGAGGGTATATACGGTAGCAAATACCTCGCTTGGGGGGGCCGAAATATTTGCCTGGTGTGGGGGTTCTAGGACGAGCGCGGCGAGCCTTTTCGATGCTCATGGTTCGACCTTCAATTTGCTCGCCTTGCAGGCCTTCCTTGGCGGCTTCAGCTTGATCAGAAGTAACCATTTTCACAAAGCCAAAACCTCGGGATTCTTTGGTGTGGGGATCGCGCATAATCTGGCACTTTTCGACGTCGCCATACTTTTCAAACATCTTAGTGACTTCGGCTTCTGAAAGACGGGGGTGAATGCCAGTAACAAAAAGGTTCGAACCAGGGTTGATTGCACCATCATCATCATCCTTGGACGCGGAAGAATCCTTGGAGCCACTGTGACAAGTTAGTATATCGCGTTGCTCGAGAGTCGAGTTAGCGTTACCTGTCCTGGTGGTGCGAGGGAGATAGTGAACGGCGTCTACCGTTGTCGCCTTCGTCACGAGCAGCGCGAGGCGAGGCACTGCGATTATCACGCTCATACCGAGGGGCATCATCTGATTAACACATTAGCATCGCGTTTTGTGGTGATGCAGCTAGGGGAGCCTTAGTCGGCGACTGATCAAAGTACCTTCGTAGCGGTCGCCATTGGGCGCCTCGTAGTCCATACTAGTGCTCGCCATGTTTGAAGATGGTGAATTATTTGCAAGTTCTGATACAGGGGCAGAAAATGTTGAAAGATTCGCGTTGGAACAGCTCACTGCCTTTGGTTCGTGATTGCGAAGGGTGAAGCTTTTTGGTTCGGTGGCGCGAACAAAAAATACTTCCTATTTGCCGAAGAATATGCGAGGTATGGTCCACTCTATAGTAAGGACTAACAGGCTCCAGGGGAACAAAGTTGACCCGCTCTTGCAACACTAGGGTAGCGCACGGCGTAAACTGGTTCGTCTTCTTAAGACATCGAATGAACCGTCGTTTAGCAATATGGATGCTTAAGGTTATACTGTATTTTATTTGTTATGATTTGACATGTTTTACATTTACATTTTATATTATAGTTGGTATTAGATACAATACTAGACTGGGTGGTTTCCCGCGCACAATGTTAGTGTAGACGACCACTCCACGTGGGCGATGTAATGTATATAAAATCACCAAACATCTTCCGGCTGCACATCATGCAACTTCCCATCAGATCTAACGTGTTTATTTGTCGCATCTCGTTTCATCGACTTGCGCATATCATAGGCATCTTCGCCAGACTGTGATGGATCTAATGCATGGTCACCATAATAGTCCTTAACGACACGAAAAACGCTGTAACCCATGCTCTCATAGAACGATATGGCTCTAGTATTGCTCTTACGCACAAACAGATCCATAAACCAAGAGTCATGAGTGTCTGCAGCTGCTTCGAGCTGCTCAGTTAATATCTTGCCTATTCCTAGTCGGCGGGCTTCAGGCGCGACAGTAAGGGCTGTTATATGAGCATGCCAAGGGAGGTAGTGCTCCGAAAATTTGTATGCATCAGGGCTTGACTCGACTTTTCCCATAACTTCAGAGGTTAGCATGACAGGCCTAAGGCAGAAGCGTAGATATTGAGACGTGGAAAACGTACTATACCCAACAATATTGCCTTGCATATCCTCACAAACTTTGAAGAATGAGGGCCATTTCGAGTAGTATTGAAGATAGAAATTGAGGTCGTATGTTTCAGTGAGAGGATCAAGGTTACATTTCGAAAATCGATCGAGATCTTCTGGGCGAAATTGACGGAAAGTTGTCATTGTTTTACTTTTTTTCCTTTGGCACTGGTGTGGCTCTTTTTGGAGGTAGAGCGCAGCGCCTCTGAGGCGGCAAAGGTTCGGCGGGGTACTTGTAACTAGCGGGCCTTCCACGACCGCACGCTGTTAACCCCGTTTTCTGACGGTAGACTTTACAAGCCAACAGGGCAATACACAACCAAGTCATATTCTGTCGACGGGGTGCCAATAAATGATCGAAAAATAGAGCCGAGGGCTGTCTATTACAAGTACTGACAAGAAAACACGGTTGCGGCTCGCAAGCCGTGACATCTGCGTGTGGTAGACCAAGCGGTGAGCCGCTACCATGAGCGTGCCATCACATTCTCAGACCTCTGGTCATTCCAAAAACTCATCTATTGATGAAGCCTTTTCAGCCTCCGAGGATTACAGAGTCTCCAAATCCTTCTCAAACGACACAAATCTCCCGTTTAGAAGCAGTATAATGCAACAGGATACGATGGACATCAGCGAGATGTCTAATGGAGGGGTAGCTGGCACAAACGGGCTGGGCAATCTCGCAGATGAATTAGCTGACGCATTCTCTGATACCGGAGACGAGCTAGACGACGAGCACCACCAGTCAAACGACGCCCAAGAACACCAACTAGACGAAAATACACAGAGGGAAGAAAATGATAGACATGCCGGTCCCAATCAGGACTTTGCTGATGGGATTAGCGCCAATACCCTCAGTCTGCCTCAGCAACAACGAGGACATCAGCGAAAAGGTAGCGAATACGACGGCAGCGAATATGGATCGGAGTCTGACCTTGATGCTGCCGGGCTCACTACAAGTGTTCTTACCAAAATCGATGCCATAGAGTCTTTAGCACGTCGTGGGGTAGAGAATTATGGTGGCCCGCAAGATGATGTGTTTAAGAGAGTCACGGACGGCTTGAGAGATTTAGCATCACAATCCAGCGTGGAAGGCAGCGCGTCGAGGTAAGTATCAACTACTAGGGAAATGACATAGTGGACTAACGAGGGCCTCACCAGACTTATCACTGCACACTCTGCATTAGCAACACATCTTGCTCACCAGACTCGACAATTACATAACCTGACCTTTCCCCTGTTATCGCCGCTAGCATCACCACCTAACCCGGATACAGTTGACGACTTGATTCCTCTATTGGTTACGCTGGCTGAAGACCTACCTAAACCGTCGACGGTGGCATACAATTCACTCTCCGCGCTGCATACTATGACAGCTGAATTAATACAAACGCTGAGCTATTTGTCTGATACTCTTCATATGTCAAGACAGACCACAGTAGCGGCAACAAGAAGGTTGAAGAGCGCAAAAGAGCTTGTAGCAGAAATGCGTCGAGAAGATGAGCTTCGTGAAGAGGGTGAGCGGTGGCTCAGTAGGGGAAATTGGGGGGAGAGACTACAAAAACGAGAATGTGCGGGGGTTTGCGGGGAGGTAATTGGTGGGTTTGAGGCCGTTTGTAATGGTTGGCGCGAGAGATTGCTTGCACAAGAGGAGTCAACTGCTTAGACTTAGACATGGATTAATTAGAGAGCTGGTGGTTTAATGAAGCACACAAATTACGAACACTTTCTCGCTAACGTACCAAGGCACCGCCATGTGACTAGACCTGTAAGGCGTGAAGGCAAGGGTTAATTCCACTACACGGAAGCTGTGATGTCTTTGGCTCCTGCAGTTGGAGGCGCCTACGGCGCGGCATCGGCGACACGAAAGTCGCGCGTTCAAGAAATCAATTTACGCGCCCTAGCGAGTGCCAGTGGGTGGCTCAGACGGGCAGGCCGCGACTGGTTAAAAAGGGGGGGCTGGCTTTCGGCGGGGTTCTCATGGCAGCGTCGAATCATAGCCAACCATCTTGGCCCTGTCCGGCCCAAAGCGCGTACGCAGGCGCTGAACAGGCGGCGGTAGACACCAAATCGACGCCGGATTTGAATAGTGAACAACAACAACAATAACATCGCGAGAGAAAGACCCGTTTTGTGTTTCAGGGTGCTTTGTTTTCTTGTTCTGGCACTTGTGCGATGGTGCCTTTCAACGCCAACTCGAAAAGCAGGCAACCTGGGGCATCTTCTTGGATGGTGGATGGGCTGTAGAACTTCATTGCACGCCTTGCTACGCGCGACAGGTGGCGGAAGAGGTGAGAGACAAGGACAGTAAGCGAACCAAAAATAGCCCCAAACCACTCGGTTGCTACATTTTGTCCTCTGCAGCAATCATATTTAATTACATTTAATAACAATGATTCCAAGCTACTAAGAGGGTTATCCGATTGTGCATGTTGTTCTACTTCGATGGCGCGTACTAATTTCCTTATTGTTCAGGCGTCTTTCGGGCATACACGCGCCCGGCACAGCAAGTGGTCTCCATTTTTTTGGTGTATGGCTGGCCGTTGTGGGCCATCTCCCACTCATGCAGCCGCCCAGCTCCAGTTGCTTCCCCCCGTACCCTGCGATTTGGTCCATACTGAACCTCCCTCCAACTTCCCCGTTAAACCACAACCCCATCATCGTTTACTCTTTACAAGACTTGCCTCTGAAGAGAACCTCAATAATTACCACTAGCGCATCACAAATAAATTTCCAGACATACGACACCGATTCTACCAGCTTTATATTCACCAATATACACCGACTTTTGCAAGTTGTCACCTAGGCAACCTCAACCTCGGAGCATGCGCTGTTCTGCTCTCACGTACTGAATCTACGCTGCGTTCGGCTACTAAGTATACTCTCTGTCATTCTCACCAGAAGAGCATTACCCAGCGGATCGAATACGAGGACGGGAAAAGTGCGATCCTACGTTCAAAACATTACATACGCCGGCATTGTCTACTATACAGGGCGTACCGCTTGGCTCAGATCTGGCTGCTCCTAGCCTAACCTAAGCGACGGAGCTTTCTGCTATGGACGAAACCGGCCTCAACCCATCGGCACTAGCCGATGCGGACTCTGGCCTGGATAACCGGCGCGGACGTCTGGACTTGCAGCACATACCACACCCGCCATCAACAAGCACGACGACGAGGCAAAGAATCAGCACAAGCGAGGTGTCGCTAGCTGCAGGTAATGGCGGTGACGATATGGATAATTCTATAGTTCGCGACGTACAGAGGCAGCACCGAGAGAGTTTATCCGGCTCAAGTCCCCATCGAAAACGCCAGCGGATTAACGGCGATAGGTACGCCTGTAAATTTTAATACCTGAAGCCTCGAACAGTTTACTAACTGTTACATATCGAATAGGTTTATCCCTAGTCGATCTGGACAAGATCTACAAGCTAGTTTTAGTTTACTACATGAGGATGGGTCGCCGGCGACACCTTCTAAGCAGAAAAAACGGACTCCGCATGGAGAACTCCATTTCCAAAAGAGTAAGCTCTGAAATATAAATACTTCATTTACACCGCTAACAGCCGCTGGTAGCGGAGGAGGCAAATCGAACCTTTTCAAGCCTTTTACGAGCAGAGTTATTTGAACACTCTGTGCCACAAGCTGCACCATTAGCTGCGTCACCGGATGCGACCCTGCCAGTATCATCGGCACTTGATACAAACGATGGCACACGATCTCATACACCACCAAATAACACCAACAGTCCATCTTTACCCTCTACTCTTACGCCGTCAACCCCGCATAAAAACCTTTTCTCCTATATGTCTCCGCGCCATCACACCCAAATTCGTGGCCACCCGACTCCATCCAAGACTCCTCAAAGCCGACATGGGCCCAACCTAGATACCAGAGCGGAGATATACAGCTTATCGCCTGTTAAGTTTGGTAGCCAACAGATGCTATTGAGCCCAAGGCGACAGCCACGAGCAGTCAGCAAAGTTCCCTATAAAGTTCTCGATGCCCCTGAACTGGCAGATGATTTCTATCTCAATCTGGTGGATTGGGGTAGTGCCAATGTTCTTGGTGTTGGACTAGGTTCCAGTGTCTATATGTGGAATGCCCAGACTAGCAAAGTCAACAAGCTTTGTACCTTGGAAGATGACACTGTCACAAGCGTTTCTTGGATACAAAAAGGAACTCATATTGCTATTGGAACCGGCAAAGGACTAGTCCAGATCTGGGATGCAGAGAAGACACGCCGACTGAGAACTATGACCGGCCACACAGCAAGAGTGGGCTCGCTCGCATGGAACACCCATATTCTAACGTCAGGGTCGCGTGATCGTCTCATCTATCATCGAGATGTCCGTGCACCTGACCAGTGGATGCGCAAACTTGTTGGCCATAAACAAGAAGTTTGCGGCCTTAAATGGAATTGCGAGGATGGGCAGTTGGCGAGCGGTGGCAATGATAATAAACTCATGGTATGGGACAAGCTTTCAGAAACGCCGTTGTGGAAATTCTCAGATCACACCGCTGCCGTGAAAGCAATTTCATGGTCTCCTCATCAACGTGGCCTTCTTGCATCAGGAGGAGGTACTGCTGACCGTCGAATCATCTTTCATGATACAGTCAAAGGCTCTGTCATTAATGAAATAGACACAGGCAGCCAAGTCTGTAACATCGCGTGGTCCAAGAACTCAAACGAAATCGTATCCACACATGGATACAGTCAAAATCAAATTGTTGTTTGGAAGTACCCTTCCATGACACAGGTTGCCAGCCTTACTGGTCATACATACCGAGTTCTTTACTTGGCCATGAGTCCTGATGGGAGAGTTGTTGTCACTGGGGCGGGCGACGAAACACTAAGATTTTGGTCCGTTTTTGGTCGGCGTCCTGGCGCTAGAGACGACGCTGAGGCTAGTGGAGGCCGACTTGCCGACTGGGGAATTATTAGATGATAATGTTGATGATATCAAGCCATACCCACGTCCCCTACTCCCTCGGCTCAAGAAATATTGACGGTTGCTCTAACGCGTGGTACTGGATACTGTCACCACGATTTTATTTGGCGCATTCATAGGAGATGTATAACGTTTAAGGGCAAAAGTATGAAGACTTTGGTAGGCGAGCTGATTGTTAAGCGTGCATAATTTTGTACAATCAAACCATAGCGTAACTTTGTAAAAGAACTCATTCATTGAATATATTGGATCTTTGATTGCTGGTACTGTCTAAATACTGATTAAGGAGATGTGTTGTGTATTAATAGCTGCTTAAGTGCAGGCCCAAAAACCAGTAAAACCGTGCGCTCATTTATTCATTCTTCAACATATTACTAGGCGGTGATTCGCTCTCTGGCTACGTCTTTCGCCCCTCCATCGACCCCCGAAGCACTGGCCTTAGCACAGTCGTCTAGCAGTGGGATTCGGTCAATGCTTGTAGTTCGGCCCTTGCGGAGATCTTTACGTGATGGGTGCTGCGGTTCCGTGACCGTCTCTCCATCGTAAGTCTCACCAGATGGTTTAACTTCTGAATCCACTGCTCGCCCCTCAGGAGACCCCAAGCTTTGCCCCAGCTCCTGCTGGGGTTGCATAAGGGGTGACTGAAGCATTAGTTCTGGCGACTGCTGCCATTTTACAACTTCGGCCTTCATTGCCTCCAACTCATGTTGGAAGCGTTTTCCAAACACATCGATGTAGTATGTTGAGCCGTTGTAGATGCTCCAAGCGAAGACGATTATCAAAAATGCAGAGGAAGCATAGCGACTCATGAACCAAAGAGGACAGGGAAGCATGGTTAGGACAGCATAGCAATATTGAATCATCATGAATGCGGGCTCCTGTAATGTATCAGGCAGAGAAAGGACGAACTTTCCAATCCATGTTTTTGAGTATGATCGTCGGAGCCACGTGAAAGAGGTTGGTCTGCCGGCGGCGATCTTGTCACGTCTCCGTACGGTAATGAAGAAGTAGTAACTCAGCTGCCAAACAGCATATGGAATAGTGCTCCAAGCAAGCATAGACAGAGTGTTGGCATATGCAGTAGGCGAGCCCGATGGTGAAGTTTTGATTGTCCATATCGCTGGAAACCTGTCTTTAAGGTATTCATTTGGAAGAAGATGTACAATGCAGTGCAGTGTGGCGCAAGGCATGATATGAATGAATAGTGAGGTAACTTTGTCGAAACTGTGGAAAACCAACGAGTTACGCCACATAATAATAGCAACGGCGTTATTACCAAATGCGAGACAGTATGCTGCCGTAAACAGACGCTTTGATTTCGGGAATACCCAGATGCTCAACATCAGTAGCATGTTGACGAAGTAGCACAAATCTGCTAGGAAGTAGTGATAGCCTCTGCGGTGATAGGTGAAGATTCGAATAGGCATGAAGTAGATGAGCTGTGCAGTGTACCAGACATGAAAGTACTCAGGGTAGGCGCCAATAAGATATCCACAAATGAAGATGTTCATAACGCCACAAATGAACGATATCTTCTCTCGCACACTGATGGCTTTCGTATCGTTCCACTGACGGCCGAGTTTGTCCACGCGCTTTCGCATGCGCTGTCGGTATCGATCGAACTGCTCGTCAGCGGATGGGACTCGTCGGCGCCATTCCTCGACCATGCGCGTACGGGCATGCTGAGTTTTCGATCTTAAAGCCTCGCGAGACCGTCGAACCTTGTCAGTCTGCGCTGAAATGCCCTTTTGAAGTTTCTCCAGCTGCTGGGGCAGGGCAAAGTTGTCGAGAAGATCAAGAACGGTCAATCGATCCAGGGGAGGAAGCGCGTCCCAGTCGTCTTGATACGTGCTGCTGCCCGAGAATGATGGATTTCGAGACAGTTTAGGACTTTTCGGCGTCGTGGCACCCAAGTTGGGAGTATCGAGAATGGCTACATCAGCAGGTGAGGAGCTGAGTGGCGAGTTTGGGTCAACATCAGCTGAAAGCTGAGGGTCGGTGGTATCGTGCGACGAAGGCCCAGGAGTTGGAATAGGAGACGCCATTAGAGAGTCAGTCGCGCAGTCCGCGCAGACGACAAGACTGACTGGACGCTGTATGTATATAGATAGCAGGTGGGCAACAGCGAGAATTTGACAATAGGGTTGAAGAGGTTGGGCGAAAGCAGACCCAAAGAAGCGGTAAACGAGGGAGGGTTGCAGTAGAGAACCCTTGGTGTCGTAACTACACTTCAAGATTCTAATAGGTCGTTGGCATGCGGATAAAAAGCGGGTGTTAGGTTCATCGGGTGGAAGCAGTATTCGCAGCGCAAATCTAGGCTGACGGGGTTTATTTGAAGCGGAAGCTAGGTAAGTTCTGGTCGGCCGCGTGGTCGGCGGCGTGATGAAGCATGTGGCAGGGGATCTCCGTGCGGCTCTCATAAAATAACAGTGTCGTGACGGTGAGTAAGTGAATGTGATTCGACACAGTGTGTGCACTGTTGCCTGATTGGCGGCTTACCTATCGGCGTCACCACCTGAGCACACGTGGTGGCTCAGCAGTTTGACTTTAGCGCAAAGGTGGCCGGCACATGATAAAATTGGTTCTTAAGCTGTAGGCAGCCCTTTGTAGCCTATTTATTATATTTTCAATTTATGAGAGTCGAAGCATTATCGGATTTTCCTCTTGTCAGAAGCTACAACAGCACAGGAGATTCGTGATCACCGTGTAAGGTATAGGCAAAAATTGAGGTAAAGGGGGAAGCTGTGACTGAGTTTTTTTGTTTTGGCAGTATATAATGTATTAGAATACTAGAGATCGGAATTATGAGATTGAATTTCAATAAAAAAAAGCAATAAATACAAATTTCGAAGGCGATAGGTTGGAGAAATTCAGACGCTGTAGTAAATCTGGATGAAGCAGCGCGAGACAGTGTGTAGACTTTCCTGCACTGCCAAGATGGTCCGTGCGTCAGTTTAATCGCAACCGGCTTCGCGCGTGCGACGCGTTGAAGAACATCACCTATCGCAGCTGAACTGAGCAACGCGTGAAGCATATACTTCCTTGGCTTAACGCATATTTGCGTTATGCGAAGTAGCCTAGCGATTTCGGACGATTGGATCTTATACTTCTAATCACTCCATCCCAACAGCGGTAACATCACACCTTTACTTCCTACTCACCCCGCGAGGTCTACCTCGCAAGAAAGACAGGGAAGATGGGCAAGCTTATCAGGCTCGAGCTCTTCAGTTAGTAGCCCTACTTCAGTACAGCCGGAATAATCGTTGACGCCGTTGATAGATTTCAAATCATACAAGGGACACCATACCCTTTTGTTCAGCGATTCATACTTTACGTCAATCATTGGCCCCAATGGCTCTGGAAAATCCAACTCGTACGTGTGTTTTGTCCTGCCATCTTTCTCGATGCTAACAGCTTCAAAAGTATGGATGCGATTTCTTTCGTGCTAGGCATCAAGTCATCACACCTCCGATCAGCTCATCTGAAAGATCTGGTCTACCGTGGCCGAGTCCTGAAAACATCGAAAATTAATGACGATGGATCTGCCGAAGCAAACCCTGCTACAAATGGGCGCGACACGAACAATGACAAGGCCTCAAGAGGCGACCCAAAGACTGCTTGGGTGATGGCAGTCTACGAAGACGACGCTGGAGACGAGCAAAAATGGAAAAGGTCCATTACGAGCCAAGGTGCAAGTGAATACCGCATCAATGATCGCGTTGTCAGTGCGCAGCAGTACAACGATGCGCTGGAAGCGGAGAACATTTTAATCAAGGCTCGTAATTTTTTGGTCTTTCAAGGCGACGTCGAAACGATTGCTTCTCAGTCCCCTCAAGATCTCACCAGGCTGATTGAACATATTTCTGGCAGTCTAGAGTACAAAGCGGAGTATGACCAGTTACAGGCCGATGCTGACCAGGCTCTTGAGACCCAGAATTTCCAGTTGCATCGTCGACGCGGAATCAACTCGGAAATCAAACAATATCGTGAGCAGAAAAGAGAAGCCGACAGCTTCCAAAAGAAGTCAGAAGAACGAGATGATGCAATCATCATGCACTGTCTGTGGAAATTATACCATTTCCAGGACGCCATGAATACGTCTAGTGCGACGATAGCCAGCCACCAAGAAGACTTGAAGGAGCTCCGACGTAATGTGCAGAGCTTTGAGGAACGTCTTGAGACTTCTCGCAGAGAGCAAGCATCAACTTCGCGGCAAGTTGGTCGTATTGATCGCGAGATCAAGTCCAAGAGACGTAATATTGAAGACCAAGACAACGCTTTAGTTCCCATTGACGAAAAAATCAATGAATGCTACAGACAGATCGATACCTTGGAAGCCCAATGCCAAAAGGTGGCTAAAGAACGCGACCAGCAGCATTCAGCAGTGACGAAGGCAGAGAAGGATATTGAGAGTGTTAACAAGGCTCAACAAGTCTTTGAAGCGGATATCAAAGAACAAACCAAAAAACAGGGCGGTGCAATCAGCGAGGCAGACCACAAGGAGTATGATTCCCTCCGTGCTGAAGTAATCGCCCGCTCAGGCTCGGACTACTCGAAGCTTGAGAATTTTGAGCGTCAACGCAAGGCAGACGAAGTCACTCTCAACAACCTAAAGGGCAAGGTTGATAGCTTGACAGCGGCTGCCGAGAAGAAGGATACCGAGCTTACAACTATCTCGGAACGACGGAGTGCTGTTGATGCTATTGTGAAAGAGCTCACCACCAACATTGCCACAAAGAAGAGAGAATTTAACGAACTCCAGTCAGAACGTGTTAGAACCAATCAAAAGCGGACAGAGCTGGAAGAAAAGCTTGAGGATGTCGCCAGAAAACTGCGAGAAGCAGACGATGGCCGCCGCCAGAACGATCGAGAAGCCCGCTTAAAAGAAATGGTGACATCGTTGAAGCGGATTTTCCCTGGAGTGCGCGGACGCATTGGCGATCTTTGCAGCCCCAAGCAAAAGAAGTACGACGAGGCTATTATTGTCGCTCTCGGTCGTGATTTCGACTCGGTGATTGTCGACACTGAGAAAACCGGTGTTGAGTGCGTCCAATATCTTAAAGAGCAGCGCTTCCAGCCCATGACATTTATTCCCTTGGACAATATCAAAGTTAATGCTGTGAATACAGCCGTAAAGGGAATCAACGGAGCCCGCTTGACGATCGACACAATCAACTTTGATTCTGTCGTGGAGCGTGCCCTAGCCTATGCCTGCGGCAGCTCTGTTGTTTGCGACACTTTAGCCATTGCTAAACACATCTGCTATGAGCGAAAGATCCCAGTCAAGGCAGTTACACTTGAAGGCTATGTCATCCACAAAGCGGGCCTGATGACTGGTGGACGTGGCCCAGAACCGAAGGGAGGAAAGCGCAAGTTTGAAGAAGTTGATGTGCAGAACTTGCAGCGCATGGCGACGAAGCTTCGAGACGAAATCAGTGCTCTTCCCCGAGCAGACCGTCGAGGTACAAAAGAAGAAACTCTGCAAATCGACCTTGGCGGTTTGGAAAGACAGCTAAAGCTAGCAAAAGGTGAACTCATGGTATTCCAGGAGAACCAGGCTAGCAAAAAGCGCGAAGTTGACAATGAGAAGAAGCAGCTCAAGGAGATGCAACCCAAGTTTAAAGAACAGTCAAAGCAGCTGGATTCCATTAACTCGACGGTGCTGCAGTTCAAGAAGTCGATTGCTAAAATCGAAGACCAAGTGTTTAAGTCATTCTGTGCGAGACTTGGCTATGCTGATATCCGCGCATTCGATGCCTCGCAAGGAAAGCTTCAGCAAGAGATCTCTGAGAAGCGCAACGATTTCGAAACCCATCGCAGCCGACTTGAGAACCGCCTCAAATGGGAAGTCGCTCGACAAGGAGATGCAGAGTCTCGAATTAAAAGAATGCAAGATCGGGCTAAAGCTCTAAGGAAAGATGTAAAAGCTTTCGAAAAGGATAAATCGAGCATTGAATCGAATAAACGCAATGAAAACGATGAAATAGAAGCCCTGGAAGAAACTATGGAGGAATACAAACAAGAGCTTGCAGGTAAGGTTCAAGCTGTAGCTGAGGCAAAGGCAGAGCTGCAACAGCGGAGCAAAGACATTGAGGCTCTTCAGAAGGATATCAATGTATTGGAGACCACAGTTCAGAAGAACAGTGCAGGAAAATCCGCGTTACTGCGCAGATGTCGTTTGGAACAGATCCAAGTACCTCTTACTGGAGGCGCTTTGGACAACCTGCCTAACGAAGATGACTTACTCCGACAAGATCATGACGTTCAGGAAATGGACGAAAACGACGTTGATATGATGGATATTGCTCTTGACGACCACGGTATTGAAATCGACTTCAGTGGTCTAAACGAAGACTTAAAACAGGTACGTGTGTGTAATCTTCTACCAAAATTATGAGTGCTAACAGCTGCCAGTCGGATGATTCCAGCATGGAAGAGACTCTGCTAGACAAGGTAGCGACCTTGACAACGGAGCTTGAGAACCTCAATCCCAACATGCGTGCTATGGAGCGACTAGAGCATGTTGAGACGCGACTGAAGCAAACAGAGCAAGAGTACGAAGACTCCAAGACGGCCGCTCACAATGCCAGGGAATCTTTCAATAACATCAAACAAAAACGGTACGAACTCTTCAATAAGGCGTTTACCCATATCCAAGAGCAGATCTCGCATGTCTACAAAGACCTCACGCGATCCGAGGCGTACCCACTTGGCGGACAGGCATATCTCGATATCGAAGAAGATACTGATATGCCTTATCTTTCTGGTATCAAATATCATGCGATGCCACCGCTGAAGCGATTTCGGGATATGGAGCATCTCTCAGGTGGAGAAAAGACAATGGCAGCACTGGCTCTTTTGTTTGCTATTCACAGCTTCCAACCCAGCCCTTTCTTTGTCTTGGACGAAGTGGATGCGGCGCTGGACAATGCAAATGTCGACAAGATCAAGAAGTATATTCGGGAACACGCAGGCCCTGGCATGCAGTTCATTGTTATCAGTCTTAAAGCCGGCCTTTTCCAGGACAGTGAAAGCCTGGTAGGTGTGTATCGTGACCAGGAAGTGAATAGCTCGAGGACGCTCACTCTTGATGTAAGTGGAAGTTTTATATCTACAAAATGCACTATTTTACTGACCAGAACGCGTTGCAGTTGAGAAAATATGCCTAGTCTAACCACACGGAGGCATTATTTTTTTTGTTTGGTAGTGATTATGGGAAGGAGGGCGTTAACAAAGGTCTGAGCGGATTCGGATTCGAATACTAGTGATGTAAATTGATGCGATTATATTTGTTATTGGCTATTTTCTACCAAGAAAATTCGGCGTACGAGTTCTACTTCCCTCTATTACCTTGTTGTCTAGTTTGATGCCTTCTGGTCTGTCTAGTACTTGGTTAGCTAAACGGAGCTTTGAGCCTTAATTCGTTGGGCGTGTCCGTTTTGTTGATGACCCGAATTTTGTCTTGGGCGGCTAGGAATGGTTTATCCTGGTAATGCCGAAGCTAACATTTCCTCAGTGGTGGCATAACGGTAACAGGCTTGTAGTAGCAACCCGACTAGGCACACATATATATCCGTGTGTATGAAGGCAAACCTTGGTATTTTCAAATTTGTTATTAATTTTGAAATATTAGCAGCTCAATTCGAAGAGCTGGTGTGAGGTAAATCCCCAACTCTTCATTGGCATATGGCGGGGTCGGCTGGAGTGCTACCCCACGTTGATATCCAGTTTGGGAAGGTGTTGAAATTCTACTTTATTCCTGCTTCAACCTATTCTTCAGTCTTAAACCTAGACAAATATCGCCACTGAAAAAGTAACTCGTCCGATCTAAGATTTACTACCATGTGTGTGGGATCAGCATCGAATGCCGCTTCTACATCGGAGCGTGAGCTGCTCCCGACCGTTGTTGTTCCGCGCCACTACCGGCTCTCTTTAGAGCCCGATTTGACATCGCACACATTCCAAGGGACTGTCTCAATCGACCTTGACGTTCAGCAAGATACAGAAACTATAACTCTTCATGTGTGGGATATCGTGGTACAAAAAGCGGCTCTTTTACAGGATTTGCAGACACTCTGGTAAGCCATACAAGTTCAACGATGCGCAAAACGGGAAGCTTATGAGTTTGTGTCAGCACCAACCCTACCGTCGCATACGATTCCTATAAACAGACGGCTGAGCTTAAATTTACCAAGCGAGTTAATGCTGGAACGAAGGCTCGCGTTGATATTTCTTTCTCTGGCAACCTAAATGACGAGTTGGTTGGCTTCTATCGATCTACCTATCGAAGAAAGGATGGAAGCCTTGGGGTTATGGCCACAACCCAGATGGAGGCTACCGGGGCTCGCAGGGCATTCCCTTGTTTTGACGAGCCTTTGTTGAAGGCAACCTTTGACGTCACGCTTATTGCAAGCAAGGGGCTTACCTGTTTATCTAACATGGACGTTGCTAGCGAGAGTGAAGTCATCTCGTCCGTCAACAATGAGGCTAAACAGAGTGTTTCCTTTAACACAACCCCGATTATGTCAACATATCTCATCGCTTTCATCGTTGGCGAACTCAACTACGTGGAATCTAATGAATTCCGAGTTCCTGTCCGAGTCTATATGCCCCCAGAGTTCGACGTTAGCCTCGGCCAATTTGCTGCCAGTTTAGGCGCGAAGACCGTCGCCTTCTATGAAGAGAAATTTGGCATACAATACCCTCTACCAAAGCTTGATCAGATTGCTCTCCTCGACTTTGCGCAGGGGGCTATGGAGAACTGGGGCTTGCTCACTTATAGAGCTGTCTATCTCCTCTTTGATGACAAAACTGCGAGTACCAGTAGCAAACAACTCGTTGCGTCGACTGTACAGCATGAAATCGCTCACCAATGGTTCGGAAACCTCGTCACTATGGACTGGTGGGAGGGCTTGTGGTTGAAGGAAGGGTTTGCGGACTGGGCTGCCTGGGTAAGTGATCTAAGTCATGTTTGTCGTAGTCAAATTATTAATGCAGTTGCAAGTATGCCGGCGACCATTTCTTCCCCGAGTGGAAGCTATGGCCATCTTCCATCATTGAAGGGTTGGAAAATGCTATGTCGGCTGACGCTATGCGCAGCAGTCACCCTGTTGAGGTGCCTGTAAAGAGGGCCGATGAAATTAGTGAAATTTTTGACCACATCTCGTACGAGAAAGGTTGTGCAGTCGTCAAGATGACAAGCAATTATGTTGGCGAGGATATCTTCTTCCAAGGCATACGCCACTATCTTCAGAAGTATGCATACGGAAATACGAAAACCACCGATTTGTGGACTACACTAAGCGAAGTGAGCGGTAAACCAGTCCACGATATTATGAACGTCTGGACAACGGAGATGGGATATCCAGTTGTTTCTGTTACTGAAGACTTTGAATCGTCAAAGATTCATTTGAAGCAGAATCGATTCCTCCGTACTGGAGACGTAACAGAAGCTGAAGATGCAATTCTGTACCCGATTCCTCTGGGGCTTCGGACAACAGACGCGATTGACCGTGAGCTAGTTATGACACAAAGAGAGATGACGGTCGAGTTGCCAGAGGATAAATTCTTCAAGTTGAATGCGAACCAAGGTTCCATCTTCCGCACGCTTTACACACCAGAAAAGCTACGTCGTCTGGGCGAAGCTGCCGCAGCTGGCTTGCTCTCTATTGAAGATCGTGTTGGTCTAGTTACAGATGCGAGCGAACTGTCAATTGCTGGCCACCATCCAACCTCTGCTGTCCTGGACTTGCTCAAAATTATGCGTTCCGAAACAGATTACTTTGTATTAGCAGCTATGTCTAGGTTTCTAGGCAAGCTCTCTCTGGCTTGGAACGATGCAGAGGCCGATGTTAGGAATGCCTTATCTGCCTTTCAACGGGATTTATTCTCAGAAAAGGCTCACCGTATTGGCTGGGAAATCACAGATAGCGACTCTCTTTTGGACCGTGAGCTCAAAACCCTTCTCTTTAGTGCAGCGGGCTCGGCAGGTGATGAGGAAGTCATTGCCGCTGCGCTGAAAATCTATTCCGAGCTTTTGAATGGCAAAATCAAGACCATTCAACCAAATCTTCGCATCCCTGTGTACAGGTTGGCTTTGGAACATGGAGGAGTTTTGGAGGTAAGTCAAGCCTTGTAGTGGGCAATTACTAGCAATTACTAAATCATTTACCAGTTTGAAAAGTTTACTGAAATTTGGACGACAACGACGAATTCCGACGAGGTTCAGAGCTGTAAAAAGGCTCTTGGTGCTGTAAACGGTGACCTCCAGCATCGAGCTATTGAATTCATAAAGAGCGATTCTGTGAGAAAGGGAGACTTACCAGCAGTGGTTGAGTACTTCACGTCCCAAGAAGCATCTGTATCTGTAACCAAGTTCGTCATGGAAGATTGGGATTGGATAGTTTCGAACTTTATCCCTGGTCTCCCGCTACTACCGAAGATTGTTGAGAATAGCATGCAGAGTCTCTCGACGGAGGGGCAGCTGAACGAAGTAACTGCCTTCTTTGAAGCTAAGAAGAACGATGGATACGTCAGCGCCCTGGCAAGGGCTAAGAACAGTATACAAACCAAAGTTAACTGGCGCAAACGAGACGCTGTTGATGTTGCGGGATGGCTGAAGGCAAACAACTACCTGGAGTAAAATATTGGGGGATGCTACATTCCAGCTATAGTAAAGGCCGTTTTGTTAGAAATATAGTATGCTCGAATTTTGCAACAATTTATTCTACCCAGTGCATCTTTCTGACGGATGCCGCCAGACTAGCCCGAGGCCATCAAAGACTCGCCGTTCAGCCTCCAGCTCCGTTGTTGCACTGCCCATATCGCTTGACTCTACATCTATCCACATACCCGTAGATCTGGAACGGATGCCACTGCTGTCAAACTTATAGCCTTTTTCTTCCTTACAGTATCGGCGCAAATCGCGCTGAAACGTGGTCTCTCCGCTCCAACCCAGGACTGCACATCCCACTGTCTTCCAGGGACTAATGATGATGTCCACACGCCGGTGCAATGAATCATCATCACCTGGATCCTTCCATACGACCAATGCTTTGTCAAGGGTGTCAAAACCGCTCCCCCATTCGGCACCATTCTGCTTCCAAGGAAGCGGCGCCTGCCCTCGCTCACTGTTTGTGTGCCAAAGGCTAAGGGTATGCGTGATAAAATTAGACCGCTCGAGCGCAATGACAACTTTATCAATGGCGTCAGTCGTTTTTGATTCATCTTTGTGGCTTAAAATGACGTCGACGTCGTTGCTGTCATCCCGGCCGCGTCGATAACTGCCGACAATAGTCATTTGGAAACCAGCATCTAGCGTGCGAGCATGCCGCAGAATCTCATGTCCAATCTTTTCAACTTCTGCCCTCGGAATACGTTGCGCAAATTCTGAATAATACTTGGTGCCTATCTGCTGGACTCTACTAAGAGAGTTCCAGCCGTATTCGATAATATCATCCAGATCTCGCCAGCCTAGTGACCATTAGCATATACGTGGCTTTCTAGGGACTCTGTACCTAGAATCATACCTTTTTTGTAAAACTCCCGTGCCGTTGAATCCCCAACACCCCAGATATTGTAGAATATCTTTAAGCATGTCACTTGCGAGTCGTGCTCCGCGTTTGACAACTCCCTGCATGTTCCAGATTGCTGCCATTCATGGAAAAGCTCGGCGATCTTAACGCCGCATCCCGGCAGACGCTCAATCTCTATAGCGAATATTTAGCATATAAGCATTTACAACCTTGTGATTATAGAAGAAGCATACCATGGCGGGTTGTAATCAAGTAGGGGTATGCTGCAACGGACGCAATGGATGTTGAGTAGGCTCTCGTGCCTACCTTGTCGCCACCAAGAAGCCTCAATGTTCGAATGTCCTTCATTATCTTGATGAAGTCGGCATTGGGCGTATTTGCTGGAGTAGAGCGCTGACAGGAGTATCTGGTTACCAGCGATTCTGGTACAAGAGGGAGATCGGTTTCTGTCGTCGAACCAGGCGTTGAACTCCTACTTGTATGTAACGTGGTTGGTTTCAGTGTACCAGGAGATCCTGATTTATTCATATGGATAGGTGAAGAGTGCGTCTGTGTTGCCTGGGGACCTTTATCACCTGATGTTTTGTCCGAGAGGGGTCGACGGGCAGTGCACAGCAAGAATCGGTCTAATGGAAGAACTGTATTTTTGGCCAGGGACTCTGTGAGCCATCCGAGGCGGACGACGGACACCATATCAAATGCATCGTCCGATTCCCCTTCTTGGGATACTAGGTGCGTCCTCTTCTGTCGTTTTGCGTCTGGGTCGTCACCTCCCGTGGATGTGGACGCCTCTTTTGCAGCAGGCTGTTGGGTGACATTTCCGGTGTCTAACCCTAGGCGTCTAAGCTCAAACAAGACGCGCTCTCTTCGAAACAATTTCCCTACGATGACAGACGCGTCGGAAATGTTACTAGTTAATGTTGCGATGCTGTTGTGAAGGTGCTTGAGCTCGTCGCTGCTGAGGTGGGTTGGCAGCAGGAAGATGGTTGGAAATGCTAGTTCGTGGGCCATGCTCAAGGCTGGGGCCTGCGCATGGACTCTGGTCAGGGCATTTCACAAAATTATAGTCAAAGCAAGTCGGTAACTGCGGGTGTTGTTGTAGTTTGGGGGCGCTGTGAACCAGAAGATGCACTTGCGACGACGTTTCTATTCGGGTGGGGCGACCATTGCTTCATCGTCAATGTAGCTGGAGGCGAGCTACGAGAACGAACAAAAGCAAACTGCCTTTCAAATTACGTGCCAATGGGCTCGATATGTTTTAAAAATTTCAGATTGGTCAATGATAGAATCTAGAATGCACTGACAGCCATGTCTTCCGCTGCCGGCTTCTCATTGCGCTGGATATCCCTCTATAAAAGCGATTTTACACATCCTCAAACTCCATGTCTTCGTCCTCGTCGTCTTCAATGCTGTCCTCTGCAGGATCCTCTGTCTTTATTATTGTTTGTAAGGGGGCTGTCCCGTTTTCGGATTTACCATTTGTTGCACTAGGCGTTCCAATTGCCGAGACGTCCGTTGTCGGGGGAATGTCCTCGAAGCTCTCGTCGTCTTCTGACTCGTATTCACCTTCCTCTTCATCCTCTTCGGCGTTTGCAGCAGCTAACTGCTCGGCCTTGAGCTTGGCAAAGATATCGTCCACACTAGAATCACCAGCATCAGCTGTTTCCCTCTGCTCCTTTTTACTAACGCTAGCTGTTTGCTTCACAGATGAACCGGCACCTGCGTCTCCAGCAAATGATTCACCCGTAACAGTACTGTTTGCCATCCATGAGGGCAGCGCATTCTGCTGGGCAATCGCCTCCTTCCGAGCACGTTCCGCCTCTTTCTCGGCTTCGGATGCGCCTTCGCTCGTCGATATATTGACGTTGATAGACTGCGGCCCAACGTTGGTAAGTCCTCTGACGGCCGCTGGTCTAGAGGCCCCTGAGTCAACCGCAACGGTTTCCTGGCGCTGGTGGGTGGCGTCACGGATAACAGGACGGGCCTTGGACAGGGCTCTATCAAAGTCGCATTCAGGTATGCGGACAGCATCGATCTTCTGTAAGAGATCTCTGATAAATTTCAGCTGATTGTTCAATCGAGTCGACTGTTCGTGTCCGCCAGCGTTTCGATCAGCTTCGTAGGTAAGGACGTTGCGACAGCGGTGGCAGCGGAAGCCTTCTGGGCTGTCGTTATCCAAAACTTCCATCATAGTCCACTCGGCTTTGCAAAGGGAGCAGAAGAATTCCTTCTTCTCTGAGACGGGCTGGGTGGTGCCTTGGACCTCCTTGTCCATGGTGTACACCCGCCATTTGATCGCGTCTATTGTATGGCGGTAGTTGACGTAGTACCATGTTCGGTTTCGCGGGCGCGTTTCGCCATGCCGTAATTCCGATCGTGTATGTCTAGAAGGCCATCAGCAAGTGCGCAGAAGCGAGTGCGGGTGTCTACACCAACACTGTGAGAAATCGGTCCTCTCTGAGCTTTCCGCAGATTCGGTGCAGATCTTTCGTGTTGATGCACATGAGGTATGCCAAGTCGTCATCTCGGAGACTGTTCACTTATTTTAATACTCATTATTTCTAGGATTGGAGGGCTGTGGTTTATCCCATACGCTTCATGAAGGATCAACGCATCTATCACCAGGATCTCGCGAGTAGCGTAGAACGCCCGCATTACCGACTTAACCAGGGTGACGGCGAGATCCATGGCGGCTACTGTCGCAATCGCATTAAAAAGTTAGCTGCGTCCTGCGTCCCTCCTCTAAGATCTGACAGATTCCGTGATTGATTGGCCAAAAAAAAAAAGGTTGGAACGATGTTGCGCGTTGCGGATGTTCAATGCCGGGCCTGCTATTGCAGCTGAGTGCCTGAGGATGACAGCGTCGGCATCTATTTGGCCCGGGCACCGCGATTCGAGTCTGGGCTGCAAGCGTACAGTGCAGCAAGGGAGGGGCACCAACGCCAGCCAGCCCTCTCGCTCACCAAGTGGTTCGCAGCCTTTTCACTTGGGAGCGGACTTGCATGCCTCGTACAGCCCGTATTTACGTCACAGGCGGGCGCCTAGGTCAGAGGTGATTGCGTGTTCACTTTGATATTTTTGCCTTTTTGGCTATGCAGTTTTTGTCTTGCTGGTGATCTGCCTCTAACGCGTCTTTGCCTGGGCCAGACAGATACTCTACAACCGGATTTTCCCTCCTTCGAAGCTGTGAACTCTATAATTTTGGCTCTAGAGTCAGCGGACCATGCACTGACTAGGAGTTTTCGTATCATAGTACAGTGACTGCGTATGGGACGAATGCGATCGCAGCAGGAGCTGGGCCACTAATAGGGCCATCGGCTCCTTAGAAAGCCACGCCTACTATTGGCCCAACGGATCATCGCCAGGGGCACGTCGCATTGCTCGGCATGCCTAAGCTCCGCAGACAACCGGACTAAAATGTGCAACCTCCGCAAGTCCCCCGTCGCAGCGGAGTAGAGTAGAGTAGAACCGGAAGACGGTGGAACTCTGCTTAGTTTGCCTGGGGATTGACTATAAACTAGGACGCTTCCCCCCTTTCGTAATTGGCTCAGATAGCTCTACAAACTTCCAACACACAGCCAACCCGGAACCAACCATATTTTTCCCCCTCTACAGCCAACCTGCCCCAAATCGCAACAATGGTTCTCACGCTTGTTGTCCCCGATGAGTACAGGTGAGGGAGGATTGGCGCATTGCGCTAGAACTAGTGGCTAACACATCAATACAGCTACGTCCTCGCTGCTGTCACCTCTACCTTCTTCGTCAACACTGTGCACATGTTCCGCACCTCCAAGCTCCGCAAGGCTAGTGGTATCAAGTACCCCAATGCTTATGCCTCCGATGAACAGGCCAAGAAGGACCCCGCTGCCTACACCTTCAACTGCGGTACGCGCTGCCCCCAGCCACAACGCCCATAACACCGCCATTACTAACTTTCCTTGTTAGCCCAACGTGCACACAACAACTACACCGAGAACCAGACCTCACTCATTGGTGGTGCCCTGATTGCCGGTCTTCGCTACCCTGTCCCTGCTGCCGTTCTCGCTGCTACTTGGGCTGCCGGCCGCGTCGTGTACCTCTTCGGCTACACTAGCAGCGCTGGCCCCTCTGGCAGAGTCGCGTAAGTGATAACCACAATTTTAAGTCTTTGATTTTGTGCAAAACTCTCAATAACTAACGTACTACACCAGCGGTGGCATCTTTGCCAGTCTCAGCGACGTCGTGCTTAAGTGCATGGCCGCCTACACCGTCTACAAGATGATCGTCTAAGGCAACGACGTAGATGCTGAAAGTCTTGTAATATTATTTAAACGATTCCAATACATGTGATGCAACTATTTTATTCAAAATGTTCTCTCCACCCGCCGCCTCAGCTCAACCTCGATCTCATTGTCACTATCGACGTCTTTGTGGTCGCTGTTTTGTGAATGTGTCGTCTGTGCTCGTTCAATACCGTTATTACCCAGTAGGAAATCTCCTACATATTTCATAGCATCAAAAATCTCCTCACCAGAAGGGATAATCTGGTCTTTCGGTAAAAGGAAGCCATAACTTCCAGTGTCGCGGAGCTTAATTTGATAGCTGAAGTGTGCGCTCATATCGTGATAGAACCAGTCAATGGCGGAGCCACCTCCGGGCTCTATGCGCGATGCAAATCCCCCAGAGCCTCTAAGGTTGTTGGCGGATGTAGCTTCACATGCAGAAGCCACGCTATAGCTCTGCCCGTTGGAGAGGCGGATCGCTTTGGCGATACCGGCGGCAAGCTCTTCCAGGTTTTCGAGGTTGGGTGGCTCGACGGAGCAGGAGTGTGAATATGGATAAAGGATTTGCTGAGAATATGAGTGCAGATCTAAAACTCCCACAAACTTTACATTGTTATTGGCGACTTCGTTGCGAGCCCAGTCTGCGATAGATGCAGCTTCAGCGGCTTGGAAAGGCTCTTCGCCGCCATAACTTTCAGAGCAGGGGTCAGAAACACTAGATGACCCCCATCCAAAACCAAAGGCGTGGTCAAGATCGAGCCCTCGGCAGAATCGGAAATTGGTGTGCTGTCTTGACTTGCGCCAAAGTCTGTCAACATCCCACGAGTACTTGACACCATCTGGGTTCATTACGGGAATGAACAAAACCTCAAAATTATACAAGAATTTTGTGATCATGGGCTCTTTGTTGAACGATGTGATAAACGACCAAGCAACGTAGTTGACTGTTGTGGTGGAGATCCATTCACGAGCGTGGAGGCCCCCCATAACAACGAGCGTCTTGCGAGGGCCACGCTCATTAGAGCGAGCAAAGCCAACTCTCAGAGCAGGGATTTCCCGACCTTCATAAGATTCTCCAACGGAGATGTATTCGACGTGTGATGGAAACATGGCTTCCAAAAGTCGCATCCAGCGCTCAATAACGTCCAGAGGCTGATAATCTTGGAAGAACAGGTTGTCGATGGCAGATGACGAGAGAGACGCTAGCTTAATGTTCACTTCCGTAGGAAACTTTGGCTCATCGTGGGGTATGCCTTTGTAGACAGCTAGAGCAAGGTCGGATATCAATGTAGTATGTGATGATTGTAGGGAAGCTGGGAGGAGGCCGAGGAGAGGACCAACTTCGTCGGTGTGAAGGCGAATATCGATGTAATCTTCTGCGACCGACCAAATGTCGAGGAAAAGTTGCGAGGAAGATTCTGAAAGGGCTTTCGCCTCATGGGTTGATGAAACATTGAAGCGCAGAACGACTTCGTTTGCGTATCGTTGTCGCAGGGTATCGAGGGTGGGAGCGCGATGAGCTTGCTGTTTATCAGCGTGTTTGCCGCCGAGGAAGCGCAGAGTGCCGTCCTTTAGTCTTTGAAACCAAGTCAAGTCTGGAAGATCTTTTTCGGCTTGATTATGTAGGCTTTGGGAGGCGACTGTCGCTGTGAAGGCAAAGGCGAAGATAGTGAAGAGAGCCACTAAGAAGCGGCTGGATGAGGCCTTCATGATGACAGGATTAGCTATCGCCTTCGCAATCCAATGTCGCTGTGCCGTGTTAAATGGAACAAGGCTGTTTACTTGTGCATGTAGGGCGGTTGTTGTCGATGTCTGTTGTCGATAGTTCTCCTTCAACCAGAGGCCGCAAAGGTTAAAAGAGTATTTTTGCAGCACGGCAGTTTTGGCGGGGTCCTTTTTTTTCCCTTCTCCGACGCGCGGCTCACCAGCGTTCAACGGAAGTGCCCCACTGAAACCGCCCTTCTGGCGCAATCGCGTAGCAGGCCAAGGCAAAACCACAGCTTAAGTTAAGCCCCCAGCTCCATCCAGCCCCTGGGAGCGCCTCCTCCGCCTGAAGCACAGCGCTCGCACCAGTTCCGCCCCCTGCCACAGGCCAGCCTTTTGGAAGCAACACTATCAACACATACATGTAGAATTCCATCAACACACGACCCCTTGATGGCCATCTATAAGCGATACCGATAATCTTGTTACCATATATTTTTCTTTTTGCATCCGTCCCGCTTGCATCACCACCACCTTCGCCCTCGGCTACGCTCTCGCCCGGCACGCCATGCTCCAGCTTTGAGGATGCCGTTCCTACGACGCCGCGGCAATGCTGCCAGCGAACTCAATATGAGGCAGCATGCGGATGCCCCTGATGCTAAAGAACCACAAGATGATATGAAGACCCCGACCAATGTCAACCACGACCAAGATCAACCGGACGATCCGTCGCGCGAGTCTGAGGATTCAGTCCCTGACCGGCCGAGTACCCCTCCTGTCCAGCAGCAGACTAATCGACACAAACGCTTTTCTGTCTTGCGCTTCCGAAATGCATCCGACTCCCAGCTCTCCTTAAAAGCGAAGCAGCAAGCCGAAAAACTGCCACCAATCCCGCAACGTACGACCACCCAGCCGCCGGCCACTCTGAAGAGCTGAACATTGAACAATCATGCTAATTTGCCCTAACAGCACCAGCTATCATCACTACAGCACCTACCAACGACCTCACAGGCCCTAGAAAAGCGTCCTCTCGCTTGAATCTTGGTTCACGGTTCCGTAGATCAAGCGACATTCACCGCCCAGAGCCCAACCCTGCCAACGGAGAGCTCAGCCGCAAGTCGCTCGGCGACGAGAGAATACGAACATCCTTTTCAACTATAGGATCGTCTTCCCCCAGAAATAGTCGAAAGGAACCGGCTGGATCGAATGCCTCTGGTTTCGGCCCTACCCGCCAGTCTGAATCGTCACGTTCCGATCTAAGCTCGCTCGATACCACTGGGCTTTCCAGCCCCAGTGTCACACCAAAGAAGACCCCAAGCTCTTCAATCTTTAGACTCCGCCGAGCTAAAAACACCCCCGAGCCATTTTTCCCTATTGGTCACCTCCCACAGAAAGGCAAACTTGAACCGTCTTCAACGTCACAATCTCTGGTCTCCAAATTGAGCACTCGCCCTGCATCTGCTCGCAGTGCTGCTCCTACCCAAACCGGTACCGATAATGAGTTTCCAAAGGCGAGTGCCTCTACAGCCTTTAATACGGTTTCTGGTAAATCGGGTCATTCCTCTCCAACCAGGGTTAGCATGATTAGAGGGAGATCCTCAACACTTAGCTCGCTGGGCCGAGACTCGACTGACGACTTTCTCGCACCACCCACAACTAGAACTTCAACATCGACTGGCCGGAAGAGCTTTGGAGATTTATTGGGCATCAGCAGGCTTCGCCAAAATTCAGAACTTACGCGGCAGGGTACCTTAACCCCAGCTACACCAGGGTCCATTGGGTCTCAAAACAATTCCTTGCAGCTCGCTCGCGATACTTTAGTATTACCGGAAAGGCAGGACGAGGAATCAGCGGCCAAATATCTAGCCAGGCTTGAAGATATGGCGGTAATGGGCGCCATTGCGGCCGCGTTATCCAAGAGTAACGATCAGTTCTTTCTCAATGTTCTGCGAAGTTACATGCGCAAGTTTAGCTTTTTTGGAGATCCTATGGATATGGCTCTAAGGAAGCTGCTCATGGAAGCTGAACTGCCAAAAGAAACGCAGCAGATCGACCGTTTTCTACAGGCGTTTGCCAACAGATACCACGAATGCAACCCCGGCATCTATTCCTCTCCAGACCAAGCATACTTTATCGCCTTTTCATTACTCATTTTACATACGGATGTCTTCAATAAAAATAACAAATACAAGATGCAAAAATCGGATTACATCAAAAATACCCGCGGAGAAGGCATTGTTGAGGATGTATTGGAATGTTTTTACGACAATATTTCTTACACTCCCTTTATCCACGTCGAAGATGACATCGATATTAGCACAGATCGAAAGACAAACGGCAAGTCAAAACGCAAACCTATTCTTCCCGGGGCTGCAAACGAAGCAGCTAGACGAGCGGCTAAGGAACCTATCGATCCTTATATGTTGATTATAGATGGAAACCTCGACATTTTGCGTCCGAATCTCAAAGATGCTATGTATCTCGACGATCCTTTCAACTATCTTGGAACATCATCATCTCTTAATATGAAAGATTTACAAAAAACATTTTTCAGAACCGGCGTTTTACAGATTGTTTCTGCAAGATCCCGGCCCGACGCGTTCATGTCCGAAAAGACGGCGACAAACCCTCAAGAAGCCGATCCAGGAATCGTCGATATCAAAGTTACAAAGGTTGGCTTGCTTTGGCGAAAGGATGCCAAAAAGAGGAAAACCAGGTCGCCTTGGCAAGAATGGGGTGCTATTCTTACTGGCGCACAGCTGTACTTCTTCCGTAACACCAGCTGGATCAAGAACTTGATGCACCAGTACGACAACCACATCAAAGCCGGTCACGATGGAATTCCCCTTATCTTCAACCCTCCACTTGAAGAGTTTAAGCCTGATGCGCTCATGTCCACAAATGGCGCTGTGGCGCTAATGGATACGACATATAAAAAGCATAAAAATGCATTTGTCTATGTTAAGCAGGGATGTCTTGATGAAGTCTTGCTGGCAGACACTGAAGATGAGCTCAACGACTGGATGGCAAAGCTAAACTACGCTGCAGCTTTCCGCACCACTGGCGTCAGAATGAGAGGTCTTGTGGGTGGTAGCTATGACGGCCAAGGCCGCCGTGGCTTACGCCGTCTAGATAGCTCTGATGCTTCGCAAATGATTCAGACCCCAAGCGGACCTGTTACAATCGCCCGCAGCAAAATCGACCGTAAGATGGTTGAAGATATCCAATCAGCGAGAAGAGATATCATGCGAGAGAAGATCGACGAATGCGATACTAAGGTCGAAGAGTGCCAACGACAACTTGATGAACAGCTTCGAAATGCACGCCATCTGCAAATTTTAGCGCCTGTTCAGCCTAGATCAAGAGACCAACTCCTCTTGGCGGCTGCTCGTATGAGCGCACAACTAAAATGGACAAGAATGGAAATTTGGAAAGAAAAATGCCATCGTGACATTCTCAGGCAAGACCTTGCGGAAGACGCCGTTCCTGTGGGACTACCAGCGTCTGCGTCAAATAGTGCCGTTGCAACAGATGAGACCCCGACAAACCCTACCGTGCCGAAAATTGCATCACCAGCGCCAGCATCTCCAGCTCGTGGCGGTCCAGATAGGCGACTGTCAACATCTACAGAGAGCTCCAAAGGAATCAAATCACCATCGTGTACCACTGATGAAAAGGAGGCAGTAGGTGATGCAGAGGCTGACCAGGGCGGAAATGCGGACGTCGAGGAGGAGCCTGATTTGCCGCATGACACTGTTACGACTCCAAAAGCGTCTAAACATCAGTCGAAGGTGGCCACTGAGGATGACGAGCGGCCAGCATCAAATAGTTCGAATCACCTTGATGAATACGATGCGAAAGAGCGTGCATTACTGCGCCGTTCTGGTGTGCTTGAAGGGTCGCCAACAGATAAAACGTCGGCTACCAACGAAGCTTCTGAAACTGGCGCCGGGCAAGATCGCGATAAGGGTGATAGAACTAAGGTGCGCAGAAGCCTGCATCGCACTCTTAGAGAAAGTGCTGGCCATCTCTCTTCGCACCGCAGCAAACGCGGCAAAGATGGCACATCTACAACGACTGACGAGACGACTAAAGAGAGCACCCTGGCCCGTGGGACTGGTAGCTTTGTTGTACATGGCAAAAAGGCCTCTGTTATTAACCTGGGCACTGAGATTTCCAGCATGACGAGAGATGACAAGCTTGCCACGTGGAAGCAACAGCACCAAGCAGAAGCAGCTCCTACCTCACCTAATTTGAGCATTACGGGAGACGAGGCGTTTACTTCTGCGTTGGAGACGCAGATTGAAACTGCTGAAACTAAACGACGAGAATCGCAAGCCAGCGCTAGCACAGCTACAGCAATGAGCTTCCGCGAGCTACATAGAAAATACTCGTCAGCCCAGGCTGCTAGGCATGTGTCAGCTGGAGGCAGACTCACTGTTCCATCTGATGGCGACAGTGATATTGCCATCAGCGTCACTGACGATCGTCGCTCATCTCTCCCACCAATTGACAACAACTCTGAAGGTGAAGAGACTTCCGATTTCGATTCCGACGAAGGATCAGTGGTTATTGTGAAGACGGCTGCTAGTGATAGCTCCAAGAATGGTGACGGAGACAGTGGTGAGGAACATAGCGAGACGGACGACGAGCACGACTTGCCTCCCCGCAAGAATCAATCTGGAGATGGAACAGAGCAGAGCTCAGACGAAGAAGTTGGAGAGGAAGTATCTACACTGGCAGCCCCAGCGCTGCGAGCTGTACAAGTATGAGAGAGGAAGATGGCAGGAAGCGAATATTATACATGTTTTATACAGAGAATGGCTGGACAGAACTGACAGAGTAGCGAAATGAAGCGAACGAGCCTATACAAGCAGCATGCCCTCAAGGTGGTCGGAGTTAGAAATTGTTTATAGACTCTTGCTTTTGAATTATGAAAAAATCTTTGTCTTTTTAAACAGAATAAAATAAATTCAAATGGAACACCGCCAAACCATATGCTAGTGCATCATAGCCATAAGCTCATTTCTTGCCCTTCTTCTTCTTCTTGGCTCCTCCCCCAGAGGCCTTTTCAACCTTGACGCCACCACCGCCGACCAGCTCGAGTGTCTCTTCATCCTTCACAGGTCCTCCCTGAGTGGAATCGGCCATCTTCTTCTTTCCTTTCTTGTTCTTGGGTCTGTAGGTCGAGCGGTCACGCAGGGGCAGCCAGCGCTCAGGGTCAGGAGTTTGACCTTCCACAAAGTTCTTGGGCAGTCTTCTCCTTCTGTGCTTCTTTGCGGCAGCGGAGTTGCCATCATCGGCGGCATTGCGCTTCTTTGTGGGGGCTTGGCCGGGCAAGACGGCAACACCGGCCTTGAGGAGGGCGTCAACGTTGGCGTCGTCGACAAGGTCTTCTACAGCGGGTAATTCGGTGGCATGCTTGGCAGCAGTAGAGCCATCAAGGACGGCGAGGGAGGCGACGAGGCCGGCAGATGCGATCTCGCAGTTGCTGTCTCTCTCCAAGATCTTTTCAAAGGCAGCACCGGCAAGCTTGAGCTCATCGGTGTCGGAAGAGCGCATCAGCTGGACGCCAGATTCGGTGAGGATGGAGGAGGAGTACGCGGCAGCGTCCTTGCGAGCGATCCAGTGTTTGGCGGCTTTGGAAAACTCGGCCTTTGCGGCGTTTTGGCGGCCATGCTTCTTCATTAAAGACACGGACAGCGCAACGAGGCCTGGGCTGTATCGGACGTCGCGCGCCTCATCTGTATCGATTTTCTCAAGACGTGTGAAGAGGGATTCGAGAGTAGCGGTGGCAGCGCCAGCGCGATGCTGGTCAAGCTGTAGTTGGATAATGGCGAGTACCAGGCCGACATCGAGAGAACGCTTGGTTGTGGCATTTTGAAGGGTGCGGATGGCTGTTTGGGCGGTGCCTTGGTTGACTGAGGCGGCAGCATTGATGACGCCTGCGAGGGTGTAATTTGACTGGATGGTGGGCTGTGTTTCTTTGGCTAGCTCCTTGCGCGTCTTGGACCGCACACCAGTGGCCTTGTGAGCGTTGAGATCGGTCACATAGACATTCTTGGCTAGTCTCAAACTCTGGTAGCTGAAGAGCTTCGCTTGCTTTGCTGCAGCTACAACAGCTTCCATCTCACGTTGCTGAATGTATGGGTTTTCCGTGTTGCCTGAGAGCAGAGTATGGTTATTTTTGGCGACGGCGGCAAAGTCGGCGTCAGAGTCGCTGCAGAAGTTCAGGTTAGTGCGTCATGTACTTGATCTGGGCGAAGCGCGGACTTACTCTGTAGAACCAAGCAACGTATACAAATCCAAGGCTTCCTTCATATTTCCTTGACGGGCGTAAACATATGCTTGTTGGACCCAGATTGGCCTCAACTCTGCTTGCTTGTCCTCGTCGCCAAGATCTTCAGAGGCTTTGCAAAGGGTAGCGGCTCTCTGTAACAGCTTCGTGGCTTCATCGTAGTTTCCCTTTGCGATTTCAAAGCAGGCAACATTGTAGCAGAGCTCAAATGTCTCGGGGATACCACCACCAATCTTGGATGAATAGCCGAGCCATTCTTGCTGGGCGCTGACGGCAGCAGCATTGATTTTCAAGTCACAATCATCGTCGGTAGCTACCAGCTCGTTGTAGATGGAGGCGGCGTCCTGGAATCTTTCTGCACGGTAAGCTACCTGAGCAGCCAGATGTTTGAATCGAGGGTCGTTATCTCCGCTATCGTTGATAATGGCGGCCGCTTCATCAATCTGGCCAGCCTTGTAGAGGGCATATGCCTTCTCCAAGGCGCAGTGGCTGGCGAGCGAGTCTCCACAGCCGGCTATGAATCGAATAGCATCGTCGAATCGGTCAAGCTTTAGGAGAGCGACAACTTTCGTTTGTTGGGCGACGATATCGTTCTTGTTGGAGCTGATGGCAGCGTTGGCGGCCTGCAGCACCTCGTCGTCGTCAACAATGGACGAGGATTGCAAGAGCGAGGCCAGGCTTTGCGGCATCCTAGTGGCGTGTTAAGATGCTGAATAGGCCTTGAGTTACGTCCAGATGCTTTTCAAACAGGCTCTGACCGTCAATGAGAGCAGATGTCGACGTTTTGGCGAGAGGTTGGCTGGCGCGGGACGCAAGTGTAGATGCAGTTGTGGGATGAGATGTGGTTGAATTTCAGTCACGTGGGGACAGCAAGAATCCGGCCAGACAGGCCAAGAAATTGTGGAAAAAATATTATCATAAATGAGAGATAGTATCTATAAGTATAAGATATAGTTTTTGCCTTGTATTATTTTCCTTTACGTTACTGCCTCCGCCAACAGCATGCTCCGTCTCACTGCCCAACATGCGACACAACGCTGCAAATAGCGCCAACCCCGCGGCGGGGCAAAATATTTCCAGTGTCTCCTTCAGTGCGCAGTGGGTCGCCCAGGCTGTGGTTTTCGGTGGAACAACGGCAAAGCAAAGCCAACTCTCGGCAGGCTTTCTACAGTGGACCGCCTCGTGCTGAAGCTACAACTCCAACACCTGGGGTCTACGCCGCAAATTGTCAACAGCACCAGCAGCCGTAGTCGTAACGCACGCACGAAGGCACGCAGTCGGTCGCTACTTTTTACAGAGCAATTTCACTCTGTGATTGCTTATCTCTTATTATACGGTCATCAATTGCATCCTACCTGGCCACTCTCTCTAGTATCATCATCACCTACAGCCACCCACGCAATCAACGCCAAGATGGATTTGGACATTGAAATGGGCGATGATGTCCACGCTGGTGACCTGGAGACACATGAGCCCATCATGACCACAAACGATGACATCCTCGTATGCTTATTCCCCCTATAGATCGCTGCCCAAACCACTAACCACCTCCCGAACACAGCAAACAGACGAGCACGCTGAAGACGGTGAAGTCGCTGAAGAGGACGAGCCCAAGCCGAACAACGACGCGACCACTCTTGTACCCAACAAGATCCATATTCGCGGCGTCGATTCGCTACACACAGACGACATCAAGGCGTACGTCAAATCACATTTCGGCGACGTCGACAAGATTGAGTGGATCGACGACACTTCAGCCAACCTTGTCTTCAGCTCGGAGCCGACAGCTAGAGAAGCCATTGCGGCTCTGAGCGCCGTTGAAATTGCCGACGCCTCAGCTTTACCCGTTGGCGAGGTTGTGCCAGCCAAGCCTCTTGCCGACAAGCCAGAGACGACTCTGACGGTGCGCTTCGCTGTGGTCAGCGACCGCAAGGAGCGCGGCGCCGCCCTACGCAGCCGATACTATCTGCTACACCCCGAGCACGACCCCGAGGAGAAGCGAAGAAGGCGAGAGGAGCGACCGCGATACCGTAACCGGGACAGCGACCAGCGATCACACCGGCGCCGTGATGACGACGATCAAGATGCGTTTGACGCCAGTATGTATGACGACGCGCCGCGCCGGCGGTCCACGAGCCGCGACAACCGTCGGAATTCGTTCTCGCGCGAAAATAGAGGCAAGGAGCTCTTTGCTGACAGGGGCGCGCGCCGTAATCGCTCAGCTTCACCAATGCGCGATGACACCGTCATGGGCGGCAGCGACGATGTCGTGCGCAACCGAGAGGCCGCCAGGTCTATTCGTGACAGAATATCATCGAGCAACAAGAACAAGGAGCTGTTTCCCTCAAAGACCTCGTCTAGCGTTGGCCAGCTCGATAAGCTCGAGCGCGCCATTGGCTCGGCACATCTGCGCGACGAGGATATGCCCAAAATGGCACCAGAAGCCGGCTTTGCTATCAAGGGCTCAGCCAACCAGGACTCTTCGGTTGGAGGCTTCTCTATTAAAGGCACTGCCAACGCCAGAGAGCTGTTCCCTGCGAAGCTTGGTGGTCAAAGCAACGCCGGCAAAGAGCTGTTTGACTCCAAGTCGAAGCAACGACAAAAGGCGCAAGATCTGTTTGGTTAGAAGTTGTGTGCTGGGCTACATTCCAATATCATGGTTCTTAGGGGAGGGGAGGGGGACAAAATAGTGGCTAATTCTTTTACATTTGCTCTCAAGATATGGCGTATTAAATAGCGATTCAATCTACTTATTTTCAACTACCTACCACCACTTTTCAATACACACATTGTGTGGGTGTAGCATATCTGCGTACCTTGCCGCCGTTAATTCTGCATATATGTCATCCGTCATAGTTGGAGGACCGCACAGATATACGGCCCTCGACTCTACCGAGCCGCTCTTTTGCAGCTCCTGCAAGATATCATCTAGCGTTAGACGCCTCTGCTGCAGTGACACGTCGATGCCATGAAAGTATGCAGGAACCGTGGCCGGTGTCTCTGGCGGTGTGATAAATAGCCTTACGCATCCGCGAAGCTTCCCTGGCTTGAATATAGCGGCAATTCGGTCCAGAAATAAGATTTCATCGCCCAGCAAGACTCGTACTCCAAAGAGCAAAGAAACCTCGAGGCCCGGAATGCGCTGCTCCTCGAGATATCCCAGCATACTGATTAGCGGATTGATCCCCACTCCAGCAGCTACAAAAATAATTCTTTTTAGGCTAGAAAGCAGAGAAATCTCAGGCAAGACGAAGCTCCCTCCTATGCGGACTTGCAGCGTTTGCCCTATAATCTCTGCCTCACCTCTCCATAGCCAGGCCGCGGCAGGGTTCCCTGGAGAATCTTGCACTGCGAGCTCCAAGTACGGCCGCACTGAACGCAGTGCGTCTGCAGGTTGAGAGACTATAGTGAAGCCACCAGCTTTGACGACTCCCGGGACATACGTATCAAGCCATTGGCCGGCGGCAAACTACACAAGTTAGCATATATGGTTTGTGTTCATGGTTCAGAACCCGTTTACCTCGATTGGGGTATGGAGCTGTAGTCTGAGTAGTCTGACTCTGTTTGTAATATTTGACACGGCGCTTAATTCAACATCCAAAAGATTCTGCGTGGAACAGCAGAATATTTTAGTATTTGCCGACAGAGGCGTATGAATGAAAACTATACCTTCTGCCGCGGCTCTAGCGCAGTCCGCTCTAAATGGCTTTCCTTTGACGACATTACTAGCTGTCATTTAGAACAGGAGAGCATTCTGGTCAAATCCAAAGCGTTTCAATGAACTGGAAGAGACGCAACGTATGAGGGTGAGTGTTCTGAGGCGTCGCCGTTCGAACTCTAACAATCCCCACTTCCCCGCGACATCGTCCTTTTAGGTTAAGACGCCAGTTTAGAGCACAGTTATGAGATATATAAATGTCTTTTTTTCAACGCCTAGATTATCTACCGCGCAGTAATATATGTCTGCTCCTACCCAATGCTCTACGCGCTTTCTGTCCAGTTCACCTGCTCCAATACCTGTCCTGCGGTAGGGTGAGTGTAGGAAATTCTCAAGCGTAGACGAAGAGGCTATGTAATGGTTAGTCTGCGGACATGGAAAGATGAAAGAGATAGACAAAAATACTTACACCCTTGCATCCGGACACTCGCATCATTTGTGTTGCGGTCTCCTGGGAACCCAATGTTGCTGAAGAGATACCAAGCAGCTGCAGCTTTTGAGATTTGGGCACAGCAGCTTGCAGGCCAACATTTGTCAGCGACGCGCTTCCTGACAAGTTCTGGAAGCGTGCGGTAGCCTGTATCGTGCCCTCGGCATTCCTCTGGATCTGGAACGTCACGTTGAGGTCGTTTCCGTTGTAGCAGGCCTGGTCTGCTGAGCTGGGCGCGGCTTGCTGAGGCGTGCTGGAGGCGCCAGTCATGAGAGACGCGGAAGGAGTCGCTGCAGCCGGGGAAGGGTCGGAGCCAAAGAGGTCCATGATGGATGACGTGTTAGAAGAAGCGGGAGCAGCGCTTGGCGCTGGTGCGCCGCCGCCCAAAATGTCGGCAAGCAAGTCCGAGTTGGATGCCTGTGTAGCCTGCGTAGGAGAGGTGACGGTCTCGTCTCCACCCATGAGATCGAGGAGATCGTGTTCCGTGGGCTTAACAATTCTAGACTTGCGGTTTGCTGCCTTCTTCTTTGTTGGCGCGGGGCCGAGGACGCGCGACTCTTCCTTGATTTGAGGTGCCGGCATCTTCTCCAAGACACCGCGGCGGATCTGGTCAAAGGCGAACAAGTTGCTATATTCTACAGCTCGCTGCTGAACTTCAACATCCAAGCTAGTTTGGTGGCTCTGTAGAATGCGGCGAACTCTCTCAATTTGGCTGTCATCCGAAAATCTCGTTGTCAGCTTCATCAAAGCTGTGACAATGTACTCCGTGGAAATCTGTGTAGCGTAGCTGCTGCCAAGGATCATGTTGAAGAGGTCGACAATGTCGCTCTCGCTAACGTTGGCGACGAGCTCTTCTTCCTCAAACTGGCCACCTCTTAAGAGCGAGTCGGCGTACTCTCCAATGCACCATGCACCAGCTTGGGTCAGAGATTCCTGCGTAATATCCTTCTTCAGATTGACGAATAATTTCTGGACGGCGTAGGGCTGCAATTCCTGTGTCGTAGCAATGAGGCGAACAAAAGAAGAGAGAATCTGCTCCTTTACATAATTTCCAGCAAGCGACAAAACGCGAAGCATTGTGTCAAAGTGCCATCTCTTGTTGGGGGCGAACTTGTCAGCAGCAATGCCGATCTGGCTAGTCATGGTAGGCTTGAACTCGTTATCCGCAACTTCGAGGAAAGCGAGCAGCTCTCTGATCAGGACCCGAACGTTACTCTCATTGATCAATGTGAAGCTCAGCTCTAGAGCACGACGTCTAATACTGATATCAGGGTCTCTCAAACACTCGAGGATTGTGTTGCGATGTCGCTGGACGGCATTGGGTTCAATAGCCACCACCTTAATCAGGGTGTTCAAAGCAACGTATCGAATGTTGTTGTCCCGGTTTGTTAGGAACTTGCCGAGAATGTTGACACCAAGGACACGCAGGCCAGAATCAGCTTCGATATCGAGAATGGTGAGAACTGCTTCGTATAAGATAGAGTTGCCCACGTTTTTGGTAGAATCAGTGTTGGTTGCAACCTGAGCGAGGATATCGTTGATTTGTTCGCTGGTGTGCGCATCGCCAACAGCGAGCACACGTAGTAGTCTCAAAATCTTTACTTGAAGGAAGGGATCCGTGATGCCTGTAACGTCGTGTTCGGGAGCATAGCCAGATGTCGATAGGCTCTTGAGGATCTTGACAAGGCCAGGAACAAACTCCCGGAACTTTTCGACAATGCCTTCTTCACCGCCCTCCTCCTCATCTGCTTCGCAAAGACTTGTCACAAGAGTAAGGCCACAAAGCAGAACTCCGTGGTTTCTATCGGAAAGCAGTTGCGTGGCCTTTTCTAAGAAATGCTCTTGTAAATCAGGGACCTTTCGGCATATTCTCATCGCACAGAGAGCAGCCTTGCGTCGAATGTAGGGGTTCGAGGTGGATATTAAGGTTTCGACTTCGGGGAAGAGATCACGCGACATTTCGATGGAAGCTATGTTGCCGAGGGTGCAAAGGGCCAGTCCAACGATATACTGGTTGGAGTGGCCGAGATCACTAATCCGATGGTTAGTAGAGATTACGGTGACCAGAACTATCTCAAGAAACTCACTTCTTTAACGAGTTTGTGACTAGAGTGAGCACTTCTTGGTTCTCATCGAGCAACAAACTGGTGGCAAGATGGCCAAGTCTCTTATCGGCGAAGCGGGGAGAGGCAAGAAGCTTCAGGCACTCAATCTGCCCAAAGTGTGTACGCTCTCCAAGTGTAAATAGATATAAAAGCTTAGCGACATTGTTTCGGCTATTCCTCTTGTTAGTCTATCGTTTTCATCGTGAGCTTGCTAGATATGGATCCGAGAGGCGAGCATACCGGATGCCATGGTCGGCGCTCTCCTCACGAAAGCTGGCTCGAATAGCGGCGCTTTCTTTCTGAATGACAGCTCGCTCATCCGCAATGGTTTTCGCGGCGCGGACATTTCGAATGAATTGTTTAACTAGTTAGGGATACAGCACATTAGTCGCCGTGCACATGTAGTCCGCTAGCTGTGGCCAGGGACGAGGGCATCTTACGGGAGCTCATGCTGGCTAGCGGCAGCCCAGCCTAGTGGACAAGATGGTCGTGCGTATCGGTGGGTTGTTTTGACTATCGCAATTCGGTACAGATTGCCGCTTGAGCCACTGCAAGACTATACTCGAAATGTCTTCGGCGGTTGAGGCGGGGTTTGCAGAGAGTTTGTCGAGGGTGTCGCGGCGCAGGTAGCTTTGACCGGTGTTAGGGAATGGGTTACGTGGGGTTGTCTGCCCGCCAACGTTGGCTGGCCGCAAGAACAAGGGGTGAGGGGAGGAGGGCCCGAAGTGTATCCGGCCACCTGGCCCGCAGTGCCGCAACTAAATCGTGGCCCCGGAAACTAGACGGTGGCTGAATACTCTTGGCTCTTTTATTTCCAGAAAATATTAATAAATATTGTGATAAAATTAAAACTCATAAAGAACGAAACAACTGTTCAAATTGGAAGTGTGGCTAGCCAGTAAGGATGAAGAATCGCCGTTTACAAGGAGAGAAGGCCCACGCGGAACTAGTGCACTACTAAGATGCAACTCTCACGCTTGGCGTATACATGCACAGTTGGCACATGAGAAAGACATCTTAGCGCAATCAAGGCAGATATTTCATTCATTTTAAATCGTACGAAGCTAGAACACACTCTCTATAGCGTGCCAGCGAAGGGCACATATTCCATGATGCAAATCGCGTACCGTTGCGTTGCGTCTATTACGCCGTAATCCGAACCAATATTGCTTTGCTTATTTCTGCATCATGAGCTGAACAAACTCGTTGTCTTCAAATTAAATAGTTAGCATAAATCGAATACCGGGAGATATGTGCGTATCGCACTAAACGTACAGTCGATACGGCCGTCACCGTCCTGGTCAGCCTCACGGATCATCTCATCAACCTCATCATCGGTGAGCTTCTCTCCAATAGAGGTCATGACGTGGCGCAGCTCAGCGGCAGAAATGAAACCGTTGTTGTCGCGGTCAAAGACCTGCACTTGTTAGTAAACTGACCGAGCTCGCCTCATGCCAATGCCGCATACCTTGAAAGCCTCACGGATTTCCTCTTCCGAATCGGTGTCCTTCATCTTGCGGGCCATCATGGTCAGGAATTCTACCTATTGCATTAGCCACGATCCGGGTCACATGTAGAACCAATCGATAGGCGACGTACCAGGGAAGTCAATGGTTCCGTTGTTGTCAGCATCGACTTCGTTGATCATATCCTGAAGCTCAGACTCGGAAGGGTTCTGTCCCAGAGAGCGCATGACAGTGCCGAGCTCCTTGGTGGTAATCTGGCCTAAAGAGCGGTGTCGGTTAGTAGTCGTGATGATGGATAATTGGCAGCCAAATAGACGCCGTTATCGTGTGACGCGAGCGCGTCTCGGATCGCCTCGAACAAGCAGCAGCAGCGTCTAGTATTCTGTTCGCCCGCGTTCTGTATGTAGACTTACCATCGCCATCCTTGTCCTGCACGTAGAAAATGACGAGTTAGCGTTGGCGCAGCTTCAGCAACCGCCCAGCCGCGGACGGGCCAGGGAATATATTACTTACAAACAGAGAGAAAGCCTCCTTGAACTCGGAGACCTGCTCTTCGGTAAGTGAATCGGCCTGTTTTGCGCCCAAAGACGGGCAGTGTTAGCAAAATCTTGACTCACGGGCGTCTGTTACGTTTGCGTGGCAGCCCCTCATTGCACCCGCGGGGTCGCTTGCCAGCGGCAAGCTGTGCAACAAGAGCATAGGGAAAGGAGCAGCGAGCATACCATTGTGAAGAATCGAGAGTATGAAAGGAGTTCTAAAAGATGCGGTGGTCTCTTCGAAAAAAGACTCGGTCGCGTCCGGGCTTCGGTTTTAAAGGAAGAAATTCGGTGGAATATGCGAGAGGACTAAAGGGGAACGAACAAACAAGGCAACAAAATACTGGGCTGCTCAGCTCCGCAGCTGTGCGCCACATCAGAAGCTGGTGCACGTCACAGACAAGTACAGTGAGAAGTCGAGCCTCCGTGCACTGTATCCATAGCGCACTCCACGACCTTAGCGGAAGGTATCTGATTTTCCGGACAGCCTAAATACTGGCAAAATACACTCGTACAAACGTATTTATTCGTACGTGTGATTATCTCAAGCATTCTAAAATATAACAATGTTTTCGTCTATATAAAAAAACGTTGTTTTATCTTGGAATGTCCAGAAAATCAGTATCTCTCCGCTAAGGTACAGACTGCAACCTGCAACCGGTAAGCGCACTGTGGCCCTCCCTTCCGCACAGGGGACCCTCCACGCAATGGTGCGCTAACTCAACGCCTGGACTGGCGTCAACCCAACTGGTGCTCGCATGCGCATTGACACTACGACTCACGAGACAAAGGCACATTCTCCAACACTGCCAAAGCTGAAGCTGCAAGTGAATCGACAAAATACACGTTATCTAGTACCCTACGACTACACCAAAAAAGGCCGCTGTCCTTTTTGAGCGTCCGCCATGTGGCGAGATCGCACCAACCTGTACGCAACCCACGCAATCAACCCCCCGATCCGCAAGCTCCGATGTCAACAAACGACCACAGACTAACGTATGTTGCAGCTACATCTCTTACCGTCAATCTTACTCGCATCATCCAACACAACGGAAATCCTATGCGAGTGGCGGCGGCGATGGGTTCGCGACAAGCAGTTACGCCAATGAAGACCAACGTGGCCTCCTATCTCGAGGTGGCTTCGACGACGATGGCGATCTCGTGATTGAGATGGACTTGCTACCCCCTCGCTGGGCAGACACGTCTGACGAGATCACCGAAATTTTGGAGAAGATTGCAATCAAGAGTCAGACCCTGTCAAAGCTGCACCAAAAGCATGTTCTGCCGGGCTTCAATGATGACGACGCAAAACGAAGCGAAGAGGCGCAAATAGAGAAGCTGACACAAGAAATTACAAAGGGCTTCCACGAGGCTCACCGTTGCATCCAACGAGTTGAGCAAATGGTTCGCGAATCCAAGCAAGCAGGAACCATCTCCCGCGCCGAGGAAACGATGGCCAAGAATATTCAAATCTCATTGGCGTCTCGTGTCCAAGATGCCAGCGCCAGCTTCCGAAAGAAGCAGAGTGCGTATCTCAAAAGTATGCAGCCCAAAAGCCCCTCACAGATATACATCAGAATAAGCATAGACATTAACCTATTATTATAGAATTGCGTGGCCTTGGCGGCATGTACACCAGCACACCAGACACAGGATCGTACTCTGCCGACCCGTCGCTGCAAGAATCCGACGCCGACAAAGTATTTTCAGAATCAGCATTACGCACAGCTACACAACAGAAGATGCTACACTCCAACGATTCGGCAATTGCCCAGCGCGAACGAGAAATTGAAGACATAGCACAGGGCATCATCGACCTCGCCGACCTGTTCCGCGACCTTCAGACGATGGTTATTGATCAGGGCACCATGCTCGACCGCATCGACTATAATGTCGAGCGCATGAATACAGATGTCAAAGGCGCTGACCAAGAGCTCAAGGTAGCTTCTGGTTATCAGCGTCGATCGACCAAGCGCAAGATCATGCTGCTGTTGATCCTGTTAATTGCTGGCCTCTTCATCCTTCTTCTCATGAAACCGAGGCGGTCATAGACCACTCGCTATTTAACGAGTGTATTCTTTGTTATACCACATGTACATATATATTCGCTTTCCTTACAGTTGCTTCCAGCGCCAGGATTTATGTTTTTTGAACAAAAGGGGGGGGGATTCATACGTAATCTACTTGTCCAGTCACAAAGAAGACCAGGGGCAAAGAAAATGGGCTTTAAAGGTATTCATGCTATATTTACAAATACATTATTGATACAGTGCTATTTTGATATATACATGTACGCCAGGCCATGCTTTTTGTTGTTCTCCCGTAATAATACAAAGTGTGCTTTCCACAAACAAGTCTTCTTCAAAAACCAAAAGACCAAAACGCCAGTATTACAGCGTCTTCGCGCCTCCGACATTGTACGTATCTTTCCGTTTACGTCGCTCTCTCTTCTCGAATAGCCTTGAGTACCGATCCCAAGTCTGCACCTTACTAACCTCGACGCGATCATTCAGCTCAACTGCCGATTCGAACAGCTTATCCCCCCACGCGAGCTCCATAGATCTGAGCAGATACTCCATGGACTGCGCTGTGGTATCTCGCGAGCTATGCTGCAGACGGCCGGGGATCTGGCTGACAGCAATGCGCGATACAATGCTTGCGCAGAGCAAATCTTGGTCAATAAGAACCCCTTGATCCCGCAGCAGAGCGAGCATGCGCACGCCTGATGCAAAATCCCACGACTCGCCGCGCAGCAGAGTGTACTTGTTAACCTGTGCAGACTTGGCGCGCATCAGCTGGTCGAAGCTCCAGCGAATGATGCGCCGTTGCATCGTGCTATTAAACACCTTCTGTAGGGGGTGCTGCCGATGGCTGAACGGCATATCGGCAGGGATGTACTCTCGCTCAGCCAGCGGATAACCGTAGTAGCTTCTGATGATTAACTCTTGGGGCCGCGGGCCGGCGATTCGCTTGCTTGCTTGCTTGCCAATGGGCTGCGTAGGGCCATCGCTTGCCATTAATGCATCAAGTCGCTCTGTGGCAATCTCCTGTCGGCTCTTCTTAGATTTTTTCACTGTTCCGTGTTCGTGCCTTCTCGTAGAAAACAGGGCGTAAAAGTCGTCAGCAGAAGTAATTTCACCAGCTGTTGAACTGGAGATATTGGTACTTGAGTTGCCGTCTTGGCTTTCAGCTTGAGGTACCTCGTGGCCATCGTTACTCTTGCTGGTTTTGGTAAATACCTGCTGCAGGCGTTTGAGAGACTCTTGCTTGTGGTCTACAGAAGGCATACGAGCGGCAGTGTCTCGAGCTGCGAATAAGTTGTTGTAGTCATCAGTTGATGCGGCTTCGCCAACCTCGCTATTCATGGTTTGCTCGTAAACATCGTCAACGACTTTCGGTGATGCATGTAGATCAACTTCCAGTTGTGCTACCGATAATGGTAACTCTTCTATATGCTCGTCGGAGGCTTCTGCCGAATCCTCAGAACCATTAGCATATCGAAATGACGACCGCGGCACATCCGTCCCATGTATTAACACCAAGCCACGGTTATTGGAGGTATATAGTTTGACAAGCTGCAAGCTGATGGCCTCGAGGTCTTGTAGCCTGCCACTACGGCCCAGAATCTCCAACAAATGGGCCCAATATTTGGTTGGGATGGCGAAATTCGACCGCGTAATACGGAACATTGCAGCAATCGCAAGATCAACATGATCTTGCGTGTGCTGCTTGAGTAAAATCCGCTTATTATGCATTGAAATGCGGCCAAAAATAGACTGCAGCACAGCCATAGCCGCTTGTTGTGAAACAGGCTCTGTGGTAGTTATATCTTTTGGTACTCCTTGTGCTGACAATGTCGTCTCCGCTAAGGTCGGCGCTGGCGTCGACTCCAGTGTTTGAAGTATACGTTCGACTCTTTCCAAAAGATATTGTTGAGCACTGTTTCCAGTACGTTTGGCTGCATTAATAAGCAGAGCTCTCGTTTCACTGTCGTCAAACTCGTCCGGATGGATATCACAATTGAGAATTGCCGTTAACGATTCATCGTCTCTCTCTCGAGCAAACTGTGCGATGGCAATACCATAGGTATTAGTCGGGATGCCGATTCCAGCTGCATCGAGTTCTTTTAGTCGAGCAAACAAATCACTCGCATTAGCTTCACGAAGAGCCAATGCCTGCAATGACCGCGGTCCAATTGCCGGAATGCCAATCTGTGCGATGAAGTTGATGGCAAACTCCACAGAAGTCCAAGAGCTGGCAAACCAGCGGGCGATAATACCATCACTATAAGGCCGACTTTCTGGAGGTGCTAGACCTGTATCGCTAGTCGTTGTTGACAACGGCTCAAGATCAGCCAAGCGCCGCTCCTCGGCCGAGAGTTGTATTGATGGGTAATATGATGCAAGATATCGTAGGAATGGTCGACAGCGAGCCGATTTTGGGTTATCCTTACCAAGTTTAAAAGTTTTTCGCCATTTCCTTGCCAGATTCGACTTTCCGGCGGCATAGAGTTGTGGTATGACGACGTCATATACATTTCGGCCAGGGCTGAAGCTGTATATTGACCGTAACGCCGACTGCACGTCTTCGTTTGGGTCTTCAATAAATTTAATTAATAGATTTCGGCCAGTAGCTTCCGTTGGCGGGAATTTGGGGCTCAAATTCAGATGCCAAAACACTGCGAGATCGCCTCTCCCCTCATGTAGGTGATGTTCGATGAGTCTGTGATAGAGCTCCGGCCATTCAAAGTTATGTTGGTCACGCAGGTGCTCTGCAATTTGAATAATTTCCGCTGTCCACTTTTGTTTCGTAATAGCCGAGTCTAGTATATCGAATAATATGGGTTGCGCTGCCTCGCTTGTAAGGAATCGATCGTTTTTGTTGCGAATGGCCCGAAGCGATGCCATCACCCCATCATGATCTGCGTCACGTCGCAAACGGGCCATTGAATCTTTCCATTGAATCATTGTTTCAATAGTTTCTTCGTCAGGCTGATCGTCGCTTTGTATCGTTTGTGGTATAGACAGTGTGCCTGCAGAGCGCGGATGCTGTAGCTGTCGACTGGAGCTAAAGCATTGTCTTGAAACCGTTGTATTATGGTAGCAGCACCGTAGCGCAGCCCGCGAACGGGCCAGCGCCATGCCTTTGTATTTAATGTGAAAATTAATATGTTTTGGTTGTTGCAGCGTAGACAATGGCGCGGCGCATGCTTTTCGGATTATGCTGGGCTGTTCCAGCAAACGGGGGTTCGGCGTCGTTGGCTGCTGGTGCAGCCTCCCCAGCAAGCAGCATGAGATCGGAACAGCGATTCTGGAGGCTGAACACCAGCGCCGCCGCACCTCTAAGCTTCGCATTCGGCCGGGAACATTGGAAGTGAAATTAATCAAATCCTATGGGAGTTTGCCCTGGCATCCGTTGCCATCGCGAGTGCAGAGCAGCCCACTATAGAAATCGGGTCACAGCAAAAATTTGCTGAGTCATCAACCCGACACCTGTCGACCAATCAGATTATCGCCTCATTTTCTGCAACCACCTCGATTGAATATCCTCGCACTCCCGACTAGTCGACTTTGCTTCCGAAACACCATACAACTCCGTCCAGCTGTACGCAAAATCGTTCAAAATGGGGTAAGGCCACCTATTCCGAATACCGCCATCGAGTCAATTCCTTCGCATGCCCAAATTCGCCGACGCAATTGGCGGAAGCTGGGCAATTGGCTCAACCTCGGTCGCGTTGTCCCGTCATGCTAACCCTCGATCTACAGTATCATCAACGCCGCCAACCGAGTTCCCGAGAACCAGCGCTTCTACCAACAAGCCTACAAGGCTCACACCCGTGTGTGGATGATTGTATGTCAACAGCCCAAACTCGCTCGCGTAGCCACACCTCCCGAACGCTCACGACATGCTGACACTTTGATTGCAGGGCTCCCGTAGCCGTTGGTACATGACTCCCTACCTGTTCGTTCTCTGGGGTACCTTTGGAGGTAAGAAATAGCCCACTACGACCAAAACAATTCCTACTTTTCTCAGATGTGCATGCTAACTCTCGAGGTAGCTACCATGTGGGCTGCTGGCCGCAAAATCACCGGCCACAACACCTGGATCGGCAAGGACTAAATGCCCATAGTCTAGTAGACAAGGTGGAGAGTAGGAGGAGGTTGGACTGTATCATATCCAATAAATAGAATCCATAAAAAAGCTACAAGGACAGCTTCTGTTTCTTTTGTTACCATTACCAAAAGCGGCATCCCCTTATTTCTGCGTGTACTGCTCGCGTGCTCAGTAATTAAACATTTCTCTTCATATAGCTTAAGCAGCCGCTCCTCAAACTAAAAGAAGTGCCATTGCTGCAGTGCTTATTCTAATGGTAAGCTAAAATCAATATCCTGTAGCGCCAGGGGCCTTCTCATCCTTGCGTAGACTCGTTAACATGTCGCGGAAGCGGTCCTTGCCGGAGCCCGCAGCACCGCCCTTGGTGCCTTTGCCACTGACGTCGACCAGCTTCGAGATACGATCCCAGCTTGTGCCACCAGAGACAGTATCGTCCTGGTTTGCCAGGAACTGCTCGGCGTCTTTTCTTGTTTGGGCGATGCCCTTCTCCTTCTTCGCATTGTAGTTATCGTAGAAGTCATCAATGTTCTTCTGTGCCTCCTTGATAGTCTCTTCGCGTTGTGCCGAGAACTGCTCTGTGCGCTTAGCAATGGCAGCGTCGCGCTTCGCTCTCCAGTCCTTAATAACCTGGGGCTCCTCTTCGTCTTGCACCTGAGTCTGGTATCCCGAGTTGTAGTTGACAGAAGGTCCGGTGATGGTGGCAGCGCCGCCCATTCCCTAAAATCGCTGTTAGAAACACAATTGCAGCTAGCGAAGGCAAACCACTTGACATACGGCAGAAGAGTCGGCAAGGTCAGGGAACTGAGATTCAAAGGTCGACCCAGCTGCTGGCGCATCTACCAGGGCAGCCGAATCATCCGTTGTTGTGAACAGCTCGGCATCGTCGCCAAGAAGGGCCTTTTCACGGGCCAAGAAGTCGTCGGCAGTTGGTTGTGCGGAGGGGTCCTTGACTTCAGTTTGAACTGTGGTGATGGTTAGCTAGTGGCAGTTGGGGCACAAGGTGCCATCATCGCGGAAGCTTACCACCCGAGTCGAACTCGTCCAGGGAAGGGAATCTGTCGGCCATTGGTGCGCTTTTTGTACTCTCTCGATACCTCTAGGTAGATTTATTCTTCGTTAAATTAGAATCGTGACGTGATAACGCAGGGTACGTAATGACGCAGGAGTTCACCACCTAAGCGCAGGTCCCCCCGTTTGGCTACCAAGTGGCAACACTTGTTCCAACCAAGTGGGCCAGGAATCTGCCGGGCGGTGAAGCCCAGGCGCGTCCCAGCTTGTCCAAGAGTCGCATGCGTTCGGCCCCAGCATTAGATTCCTTTGCTTTTTATTCATTGTCGCAGACAAGATTAAATGATAGGTGCATTGGCGGTTATTAATGACCGTCGGGTTGCACATCACTACTAAAGTCTAATTCTATCATCAGTGCAATTTCAAGCGACTATAACAGCGCTAGTCCAATCCTCCAACAGCTCCAATCGCATTGCGAGTCCACCAACTGCATCCATCGCTTGCGCTACCACGATTTACAACGTGTTTTATATCACTATATTCTCACTGCCCGAGTTCGCACATAATTTACGGACTTCATAATTGGCAGTTAAAGCACAATGGCCTATACCGACGACTCAGTCCTGGCTCGCCTGTCAGCACTGAACGAGAGCCACGACAGCATCGCAACAGCTGCGCAATGGATTATGTTTCATAGGTATGGTTTACAAATCGCTGGTTTGTACTTTAGTGCTCACTATAGTTGTAGGAGACACGCGGATCGTACCGTGCAGCTCTGGCTTCAACGATTGAAGGACTCATCAGCATCCAAACGCCTTAGCTTAATGTACCTGGCCAATGGTAAGCCGACGCCGATTTAACATGCAGTAAGGCGTGTACTAATACTTTTCCCATCGATAGAAGTGGCTCAGCAATCGAGAATTCGACATAAGGAAGACTTCATTACCGCATTCGCTCCCATCATCGCAGAAGCTGTCGCCATCGCATATAAAGGAGCTCCAGTCGAGCTCCAGAACAAGCTACGCAGAGTACTAGACGTATGGAGAGAGCGCTCTATTTTCGAGGCCCCTATACAAGCAGCAATTAATTCAAGATTAGAAGGTAGGACTTCATTGCTCTTCTCACGCGTATGGGGTACTGACAGAACTTTGCAGAATTAGATAAAGCCCGTGGTACGCCAAAATCCGGCTTTGGTAATTCTCCATTTAGCGGAAATGCTATCCCTACGGAATTCGCCAAAGTTATCGCCCAGCGTAAGAAGGCACAAACACTGGCAACCCCTCTACAAGCTACGATTGCCTCTGCCCAACAGGAATATGAGAAGCAAACCGATACGTCTGTTGCAGTTCCATCTGCTCCGGTCTATGCAGCTCGCCTCAACGGTTTACTCAAAACCCTCGCCAACGCTGAGCACGCGGTTGCTGAATGCGTCAAAACTCGAGAGGAGCTTGTGGCTGAAATGGAAGCAATGCTCGCCGTCGAGAGGTCCGCTCTTCAAGCAGATACTGCCAGCGCTGCCAGTCTGGCCGAAAAGAAGCAGGAAATTGAGAAGAAGAAAGAGATGGTAGAAGTTGCCATTATGCAAGCCCTAGGACCGGCTAGCAATGGGGAGCCTGTACTGGCTGACGGCCAGCCTGAGAATGCCTCGTCGGAGCCCAACCGGCCTGAGATGGAGGCCTTGACACCTCCTTCTGTTGAGCCACTCAGCCCTATTGATGCGCCATCTCCTGGGGCTGGATTTGAGGCAAAAACCGGCCAACCTCGCTCGATGACCATCAACACCAACGGCTCAAACAAGAGGCGCCGAGTAGAAGATAGCGGCGATTTTCCCGATCTCGGGCCCAATGATGGCATTGATGCTGATGTTGCAGAGATGCTGGAGACTACAGACTAATTTCACAATCCATGGGTCGGAGTCGGCGTCTGGGTAATGATGTTTAAGTAAAGTGTAGACCATTTGCAACAGAGCATTCGGCTAGGCCAAATGGGAAACATTTTCAACACGGTTTCAACATATATATGTATAACTTTCGTGACTTTCTGTTAGGCACAATTATGTCTTCTGCGTAGTTTCATCAACTCCGGTATACAATCTATTTTTATTTTCTTATGGACCTAACGGCGTAATACCTCTTCTGTTGTGAACCACATGGGAAAATCATCCCCGACAAGGCCGAAGTCCGAACCGACGCGGGCCAGCTCCACCCACCAACCCCCGTGGAGCTCTAACAAGGAAATGCCGCGCAAACGTCAGGCTTGCCGCAACTGGATCTCCTTTCTCCTCTTAAAAAAAATCTCCCCGCGACAATTCACCCCCAGAACAACCGCATTGCCTGAATACAATCGACATAGGCGGCGGTATACGATGCTACAGATACCGAGATATTAACCTGTATCATTGAAATGTCTCTAGGACTCTGGCGACGGGCCGTGCAACCCGCCGGCTTCGGCGTGCAGGCTCTGGTCGCCCCTCGCAAGATCCTCAGTCCAACAGGATCAATCGGCATTAACCCGCTGCTTCTGAAGCAGTCATCGGCTGCCTTCTCAACGGCCAAGACATCCCCCATATCCGTCATCAAGTCCTGTTTCGAGACCTCAAGCCGATCACCTACCGCCTTACATCCGTCACGGAACCCATGGAGATCGATCCAGCGCCAAGCGTTTGGTACCACCACAGCGGCTAAGAAGGACCCAGCTCCTGAAGGCCGCAATAAGATGAAAGAGGCCCTGGAGGAGGCCCTGGAGGAAGACGGAGACCAGGAATTCAAGAAGAGCGACCGTGCGGCTAAGGCTGCGCAAGTCAACCTAGCGGCTAAGCTTTCTAAGGAAGGCAAAGGACCAAAGGCGGGCGCGAATGAAATCTGGAGATTGGTCAAGATTGCAAGACCTGAGCTACGCTGGCTTGCTGTGGCATTTGTCTTCCTTGTTCTGTCGTCTAGCGTCACCATGTCTATTCCCTTCTCCGTTGGCCGCATCTTGGATCTGGCGACCAAGGGTGAGGCGGAGGATATTCGCATGTTTGGATTGACTCTCAACCAGTTTTTCATGGGACTTGCCGGTATTTTAACCCTGGGTGCCATGGCCAACTTTGGTAGAGTTATTCTTCTGCGAATTGTAGGCGAGAGAGTCGTTGCACGTCTTCGCTCGCAGCTCTACCGTCGCACCTACGTGCAAGACGCCGAATTTTTCGATGCCAACCGCGTTGGTGATTTGATCTCTCGACTCAGCTCCGATACCGTCATTGTTGGCAAATCCGTCACCCAAAACCTGAGCGACGGCCTGCGCGCCCTCTTCAGTGGTGGTGCTGGCTTTGCTATTATGGTCTGGACCAGCCCGAAGCTGACGGGTCTGCTGTTGCTTATGTTCCCTCCCATTGCCGTGGGTGCCTTTATCTATGGCCGAACGATCCGAAACATCAGTCGACAAATCCAAAGAAACTTGGGTACACTGACCAAGATTGCGGAAGAGCGCCTCGGTAACATCAAGACAAGTCAGGCCTTTGTTGGAGAGGTCCAGGAAGTTGGCCGCTACAATAGACAGATTCGTCGAATCTTTGCACTAGGCCGCAGAGAAGCAACCGTCGCCGCTACCTTTTTCGCCTCGACCGGATGGGCTGGCAACATGACCATTCTTGCTATGTTGATGGTTGGTGGTAATTTTGTCAGAAATGGGGCCATGTCTCTGGGAGAGTTGACCTCGTTTATGATGTACACGGCATTTGCAGGATCTAGTTTGTTTGGCCTGTCTGGCTTCTACTCTGAACTGATGAAGGGTGTCGGAGCTGCCAGTAGACTGTTCGAGCTACAGGATCGCCAGCCCGGTATTCATCAGACTGTCGGCTCGCCCGTCAAGTCTGCCCAGGGCCCTATTCGATTTAACAATGTGTCGTTTGCCTACCCAACAAGACCAGCAGTTCGCATTTTCGACGGCCTCGACTTTGAGATCCCCTCGGGAAGTAATGTTTGCGTTGTCGGTCCTTCTGGTGGCGGTAAATCCACTGTTGCGTCGCTTCTGTTGCGCTTTTACAACCCGACAGCTGGATCTATTACCATTAACGGTGTCGATATTTCCGGCATGAATGTCAAGTCATTGCGACGCCGAATCGGCATGGTCTCGCAAGAGCCTGTTCTCTTTTCCGGTACTATTGCTGAGAACATTGCCTACGGTCGCCCCAAGGCGCCGAGAGCAGAAATCGTAGCTGCTGCGCGCCGTGCCAACTGCAACTTCATCAGCGATTTGCCCGACGGCCTCGAGACGCAAGTAGGCGCCCGTGGCTCGCAGCTCTCAGGTGGCCAGAAGCAGCGCATTGCTATTGCCAGAGCGTTGCTAAAGGACCCTGATATTCTGATCCTTGACGAGGCAACATCTGCACTCGACGCGGAATCGGAGACGCTGGTAAACGAGGCGTTGGCCGGCCTCTTACGCGGCCACAACACAACCATTTCCATTGCGCATCGCCTGTCGACAATCAAGCGCTCGGACCAAATTATTGTCCTCAACACTGAAGGCAAGGTGGCCGAGATTGGCAGCTACACACAGCTGGCTGCAAACAAGGACAGTGCCTTCAGCAAGCTCATGGAGTGGCAGATGAGCGGCGGAGAGGTCCCTGAGAAGCCGGTTACCAATGGTGCGCATATTAGTGAAGCCGAGGAGCTCGAGCAGCACGCGGAAGCTGAAGAGCTGCATGAGGAGCTTCATGAAGACGAACTACATGAAGAAGAAGTCGAAAAGCGCGATCCCAGCAAGGCCTCACAAGGCCGTTAAGAAGAATTGTTTTGTTCGGTCTACAAGGCTGAGAGGTCTTCATAGACACGGGGGGATATCTAAGACGGCGCGGATTTTACTGTGATGTAGAAGAACGCCACCATGTTTTGTTGTATTAGTAGTGCGGCGCTATCATCTTCTCTCACTTGGTTTCTGTTTTTTTGTCTTTTACATTGCGTGTACATATATACACAGCAATCCCAAATAGCGGTTTGCCATCTTAAAAAAAATAATACTACTAAAAAATTTAATAATAATTCAGCAGTCGTCCAATGTGCAACACACGCAATATATCGGGCTTTGTGGATCACATGCTGAAAGCCCGACACGGGGTAATCGACGCCGATATTAGAGGGTCTGGGCGCTAACGGGGCGCCGAAGGACTGGCAGCTCCCGTCAAAAAGTCCGCCGCAGTGGAGAACGGCGCAAACTGGTTGCATTCCATAAAGTTCGCAGTTCGCACTCTCCCGTCTTTCTTCTCTTTGGTTTAGCATTTTTCCTCACCTAAAAGAGCATCCTGCACAATGTCGACCGTCACAGAAGGCCAGTTCAAAGTTGGCAACACCAACCTCTACTCCAAGACATGGACGGTACGACGGCAACCCCGGAGCTGCGATTCGAGCTTGGAAGAGGAACGCTAGCTAACGCAGTCTGTAGCCCGAAGGTCCCGTCAAGGCGAAGCTGATCTTTGTGCATGGCTTCAGCGAACACATCAACCGCTACAACGACTGGTTCCCCAAGCTTAACGAGCACGGCATTCAGGTGTTTGGTTGGGACCAGCGCGGCTGGGGCCGCAGTGTCAATAAGCCCGCTGAGCGCGGACTGACCGGCCCTACCTCGCAGGTTGTTAGCGAAGTAGCTGCCTTTATCAACGACAAGCTGCCCTCGGACGTCCCTGTATTCGTCATGGGCCACTCGATGGGCGGCGGCGAGGTGCTGACGCTGGCTAGCGACCCCGCGTACGAAAAGACCATTAACCAGGTGCGCGGCTGGATTCTCGAGAGCCCCTTCATCGGCTTCTCTCCCGACGAGAAGCCCAGCACCGCCAAGGTGTTTGTCGGACGTCTGGTTGGACGCCTCCTGCCCAAGCAGCAGATGAAGCACGCCGTGCCGCCCGAGCACCTGAGCCGCGACCAAGAGGTCGTGGAGTCGTACCGCAACGACCCGCTGTGCCACAACACCGGCACGCTCGAGGGCCTGGCATCTCTGCTGGACCGCACAGCGGCGCTGTCCAACGGTAGCAGGCCGGTGCATGGCGGCGTGCGCAGCTTGCTGCTAACACATGGCAACGGCGACATGACGTGCAGCTTCGACGAGGCCATGAAGTATTTCAATGCGCAAACTGTGGCAGACAAGACGGCCAAGCCCTATGAGGGCGCCTACCATCAGCTACACAACGACCATTGCAAGGACGAGTTTACAAAGGATGTTGTAGACTGGATCTTGGAGAGAATCCAAGCAGGCGAACCGGTGCAACTTGAATCGAAATTGTAAGCGAGCTTCGCAGTTGATGTATTTTTGGGGACACGGTCAGGTCTTTTTTGTCTCAAGCTGTGTAATGTATAGCTCCTGTGTTCTGGTACGAGCCCTGTGACGAATTTTGGGCATGTTTTTAACGTTTGTCTTGGCTACCAGCGTTGACTTAGGAACAGTAATGAGAGAGAATATGCACTCCTTAACCACCTTGTAAGACTCTGCGCTGCATACAAAGTGCATTGGATACATCTCGGCCATCAAGGTCTTTTTTTTTCGGAACGTTTGCCTCGCTTATCATTTATTCCAACAGTCAGTTGGCACCAGGGCCTACTGCAGGGAACCGACAGAGAGAAAAGGATACGCACCAGAAAGATGGTTCATTGGGTCCTGCGGAACAATGCAACATTCTTCTTTTTATAGCAGACGTCATTGGCCATCGGGATCTTGGCGGCCCCATCCATTAGCCAACGCAACCGTTCTTATTCCATAGTCCGAATTCTACACCCAAATCAATTCGGACTAGCATTTTGCCCACATTTAGGTTATGGCGGTTGTCGAAGATCCTCACCACAAATGGAGACAAGCCCAAGCGAAGGCGCCCTCCAAACACGTTGCCCACCACCCCCGCCGGCTGGCTGGCAGCTGGCAGTTGGCGGCCGCTTTGCTTTTGGCTCGGTCACTCTTTTTTGTCTTGTTCTTGTTTAACCGTCAAACCGACTCTCCCTCCCGCTTCCCCTCCTCTGACTCTGCTCTAGCACTGTTTTGCTCTTACTTCTTTTTTTCTTCACGAAGGACGCATTTGTTTTATCCTGCGCTTATTATTCCCTTGGGCCTTGCCTTATCCTCTTTTTTTAACCCTTTTCTGTTTGCTTGAATAAGCTCTGCATTGCCAGGCCCCGACGTCACATTGCAGCGCGGAGCCGCATCAGCCACCACAGCACAGCTTGAGAGCTTGGGGACAATATGCGTCCAGACGCTAGCAACACAATCACGCATCACCCCAGCGTCTACCGGCTGCAGAACAATGCCACCCCGAGTCGCAGCAGCTCCAGGTCGGCAGGACGAAACAATGCGTCTAGCACGGCCGTGTCGCCTACCGCAGAGACGAGCGACGCCATCGCGCGCCATGCTTCTCATGCGGCGACCGACGTGGAGAGCCAGATGACGCTAGGTCGACACTCGCGATTCCCAAATGTAAATTTGGAGAGCGACCCGTACGGCTTGTCCTTGTCGTACAAGACAGAGTCGGATCTAGATCAGATCAAAGCGAACTCGTCACGCAAGAGGAACCCTACTAGCCCGACTGTGGCCAATGTCGAGGCCCCCAAGCGCAATGCCAAGAAGCTGCGCGGCTTCTACGAGAACCAAAACTCCGTGATTGAGAGGATGCTAAAGTCGGTGGAGGAGCACGTTGCTGAAGCGCGCCAGGAGCAGGGTGAGGACCAGCTCAAGTTCCAGATTGCCGTGTACGGCTCTCTGGCGGCCAACGTCATCTTGACTGGCCTACAGCTCTACGCGGCAATTACGTCGGGCTCCCTATCGCTTTTTACTACTATGGCCGATGCGGTGTTTGATCCTCTCAGCAACATTGCCCTTATCCTGTCAAACCGAGCCATCAACCGCGTGGACCCTCGCAAGTTCCCCGCGGGCAAGGCACGCCTGGAGACAGTGGGCAACATCATCTTTTGCTTCCTCATGACGTCGGTGTCGCTCATCATCATTGCGTTTGCGGCGCAGGAGCTGAGCCAGCGAACAGACGAAAAGGAGTTTTCCCTGCCATCTGTGATATCCGTATGCGTGGCATTTATGACCAAGTTTTCCCTCTTCTTATACTGCTGGTCCATCAAGGATAAGTACAGCCAGGTGAACATTTTGTGGCAAGATCACCGCAACGACCTGCTAGTCAACGGCTTCGGTATCTTGACATCGGTGGGAGGCGCCAAGCTGGAATGGTGGATCGATCCGATGGGCGCCATTTTGCTATCAGTGCTCATCTCGGGCATTTGGCTTCGGACGGCGTTTGGCGAGTTCCTGCTGCTCGTAGGCGTGACGGCGTCGGTGGACACGCAGCAGCTTATCACGTACGTGTGCCTGACGCACTCTGAGGATATTCAGGGCATCGATACAGTTCGCGTCTACCATTCAGGACCTCGCCTGATTGCCGAGGTGGACATTGTCATGGACCCAGCCGTGTCCTTGATGGAGACGCACGACGTCGCCGAAGCGCTGCAGATGAAGCTGGAGAGCTTGCCCGATATTGAGCGCGCATATGTCCATATTGATTACGAGACAACGCACAAACCCGAGCACGCCTACAAGAAGGACCTGTAAAAGCGCAGGCATAGGCGGGCAGTCCGTTGCTGGTTACATTTTCTTACACGTCCCTAGCATCGCAGACTGCAACATAATAAATGAGCTTTTCCTTCTCCTTTTTTCTTTCTTTTATCTTCTCCTTTACTCATATAGCAAAGCAATAATCATGAATCCTCTCTCTTCTTCTTCCTCCTCACTATTTAATATATGCGCTGCACCGTGTTCGTCTGCATATGCATGAACATGGCGCTATAGAGTCTGTCGTGCTGACCCCAACCAAAATAAAGTGGAAATTGCGTGCAAACCAGGTTCCAGCGCATTTTACCCACCATAGATAGTGCTGTATCTGTTCCTTGTGACCCTGTTGACGCGAGGCTGCAGCACCCCCAAGCTAGGACTGGGTTCTACCTGTGGGCCGGGTCCACTGGCCTGCAGCTACTGCGCTGTAACTTTAGCGTGCATTTCACCAGTCGACAGCAGCTCAGGCCTGATGTTGGGGGTGCGGGGCCGGCCAATCACGCCCCAAGCCTCTTTGGTCCTGTTTGTCATCTCCAACTCCTCCTCCGCTTCTGCGTCTTCTGCGTCTTCCCAGCACAACGCCCGAGCCTAGGCGATCTGTCCCGCGGTTTCTTTTTGTTACTCTTTGCTTGCTTTTTTTGTGGTGGCTGTTGATTTCCCGTTCGTCCGCCTCCTCGTGTCCGCTGGCCGTTCTTTGGCCGTTGTTTTGTATTATATTTCATCCGAGACCGGCAGCAATGGCCGCTCTGCCCGGCGAGCAAGTCTACGCCACGGTTGGTGCTGCTTACCGACGAATTCCGCTGCCAGTACTAATTGTACATGTCCTCCACAGCTTCTGTTAAACGATTCGTATCTTCCAGGTATGTTGCGCCCGCAATTGCGCCAGTAAACAGCTCCCGCTAACAGCTCCCCAGGCGCTCTCGTTCTCGGCCATTCGCTGCGCGATGTGGGCACTTCAAAGCGCCTTGCGCTCCTCTTCACCGAGGATACGGTGTCTGGCAGCTCCCTGTCGCAATTGAGAGTAAGCTTCATGGCCCAAATAGCCGCAACGTATGCTAACTGGTCAGCACGTATATGATCTACTCATCCCGGTGCCGCGCATCCAGACGCGCACCCCAGACAACCTCTACGTGATGAACCGCCCAGACCTGCACTCCACATTTACCAAGATCAATCTTTGGAAGCAGACGCAGTTCTCCAAGATTGTATATGTGGACGCCGATGTGGTTGCCTACCGCGCACCAGACGAGCTGTTCGACTTGCCGCATTCCTTTTCTGCCGCGCCAGATATTGGATGGCCCGACATCTTCAACTCGGGTGTCATGGTGCTGACGCCCAACTTGGGCGATTATTATGCTATGCTGGCCATGGCTGAGAGAGGCATCTCATTTGACGGTGCCGATCAAGGCCTCCTCAACCTGTACTTCAAAAACACATTCAACCGCCTGTCCTTTACTTACAACGTCACCCCGTCCGGCCACTACCAGTACACGCCTGCGTACCGCCACTTCCAATCCAGCATCAACATGGTGCACTTTATCGGTGCCAACAAGCCCTGGTTCCAGGGCCGATACATCGATCACGGCGAGCATTCTCCGTATGGCGAAATGATTGGGCGCTGGTGGGCCGTCTACGACAAGCACTACCGAGTCCATGTGAGTTATCTCTACCTCCAGCTACCACTGCCTGCGCAGCTAACACCCTCATGTAGGAGCCGCAGCCAACAATCTCATCGTCGCAGCTGCCTACAATTCAGGAACAACCACCGGCAGCTGAACACCATCCCCATGAGCAAGCTGCTCATCACCAGCCTCAACCACAGCAGCCCGCCCTCCGCGCTCCGGCCATATCTCTCTCCTTCCCCTCCCCCGAGAACAAGTCCCCCGAAATCATCCAGCCCATTGCTCGAGCCCCCATTGCTCCCATCCTCCAGCAGCAGCACACCGAGCCCGATCCACCCGCCGACCAAACTTGGGACGCTCAAACGTAAGAATCCCTCGTCCCTCTCTACTCCGCGCCAATGCTAACCCTTCCCAGACAACCGCCACCCGTCGATTCCAAGCCTGAAGCCATGAACTTCCCCTCCACACACTACGACATGTCCTCAGACGTCACGCCGTTTGTAGCGCCAGTCCGCTACCCCAGCCCACCCAAGAACATGTGGTACGAGGTGCCCAAGACGAAACCACCTCCTGCAAGCGCCGCCCCCTCTACAATCTTCCCTTGGGAAGCCAAGCAGCCTGCGCCAACCCGTAGCTTTCCTGATATCGAGCCTCCTCCTCCAGAACCCGAACCCGAACCCGAGGCTGTTACTGTTGTTCCTGCTGCTGCTACTAGTCCTCCAACCACCACACAACCCACATCCTCAGATCCATGGTCGTCCTTCCAAACCATCAACGCATGGGACCAACACCCCGCCATCAACAGCTACGTCGAGCGCATTCGCCGCAGCGGCCCTCGCCAACCGAAGCCTCCTCGCAACCCATCTCCTACACTTGCCATGCCCAAGGCCATTCCTCTCAAGCTTACAGACTTCCCCACGGCTAAAGAGCGTCCCAGTCTACCCGTCACGCCGGCACCCATACGCAGAGTCTCAGTGCGTGACACAGACGACGACAACGACGACAGCAAGCTTGCTGCGCAGTCACACGCTTGGGTAAGTCCTGTTCCGCCGTATCCTACGAGACCCGTTATGAAAACTAACCTAGCCCCTTTGTAGAACCCCAATGAGCAGCTGCAGATGCTAGCGACACAGCAGTCCGATGAACTCTTGCGTAAGCTCGAGGCTGCTGCGGCAGAGATGCCATCTCGCGATTTACCGTTTGGCTCTGAGCTTCCCGTCAAGTCTGAGCCTGTAGAGGCTTCCCCTGTACAACCCTCAACGACAGCAGCTTCAACTTCTAAATCATCAGACGCGCAGTAGCATACCTGTGCTCTAGCCTTCTTCTTTTTTTATGTTCTTGTCTATTTCTCATGTATTATAGCAGTTCCCAGCACTCGATATTGTTTTAAGCATCGTCATATTCATGTTTGATAGTCATATAGTTCTATTATTAGTCAAATACGCTCCAAGTTACCAAACGCTACTCTGAATCTTCTGTTTCTTCTACCGTTGTTGCACGTCCCATCGCCTTGAATGAAATGACCTCTTCATCAGATTCCTCCTCGGATTCGTCCTCTTCCTCTTCTTCTTCTTCTTCTTCTTCCTCTTCTTCTTCGCTAGACTCAACAGCCGCTTTAGTCGGCTTTGGGGGGGCAGCATCACGAGCAGGACCTGCTGCACCGGAGCTGGCTGATTCGCCTGCTACTTCAGGGCGCCCAAGTCTCTGACGAGCAGTGCGGGAGTTGAGCTCTGAGCCGCTCGCAAACAGCTGCGATGCGCCTCCCCAGTTAGGGAGCGTTGGGTTCGGTGCAACAACCGATGCCGGGCCGCTGGTTGGCGCTTGCGTTGGCACCTGCGTCGTCGTCGTCGGTGTTGGCGCTACACTTGTCTCCGGGATACGGAATGGGTTTGGTGTCTGGCTGCGCTGGCGCTCAGGTGGACGGGTTGGCGAAGACGACACGCTACGGCCATCAGTTGGTCGAGCCTGTCCGCCATCCATACGCTGCACAGGCAGCAGAGACCATCCTTCGGGGATGACAACGCCTTCTGGGAGATCAGGGCTGCCGGCTGGAATAGCTCTCGAATTTGGCAATGTTCCATGGCGGACCATGGTCGGGCCTGTGGGAGGTACAACAGGAGCTATTCCAGGTACACCCGCCATATTGGGGACTGCTGGGGGGAATGTGGGAAGATTTTGGAACCGATTCTGGCCGAGCTGAGCGGCGAGGTTTGGATCTTGCGTTTGAACGGGGATGTTTGCCTGGCCCGGAGCGCCTGCCTGATTGCGTCTCATGCGAAGCCTGTTGAGTTCAGCTACAAGAAGCTCTACGAGCTGCAGCTCCTGTTGTGTAGTCTGTAGGGCTATGGCTTCACGTTGAACCACTTGTGTAGCCTGCTGCAGCAAGTCACTTACTTGCTGGAGGTTTGAGACAGTGCCGTTAAGGAGTGGCTGTGCAGCGGTGCCAGGAGCAGGTTGTGCCGGTGCCGGTGCCGGTGCCTGAAGACCAAACTGCTGTGCAATATTTTGAACTTGTTGTCCATTTGCACCAAAACCAAGGCGAATAGGGCCAATGTTAAAGACTCTTCCAGCACCCTGGGGCTGTGGGTTGACTCCTGGCTGGCCGTTTTGGCGAGCGTTTGGAGCATTGCCTGCTTGTGCTGCACCGGGCTGTCCCTGGCGGTTACGATCAAGAGAGACAGGGCTGCGACATGTAGGGCATACTTGCTGTCTCTCGAGCCAGCTCTTGAGGCATCCAAGATGCAGGATGTGGTTGCAAGGCAGTTTCTTGGGTCTGACGCGGTCAACTGCTCCGGCATTGTTATTGGGGTCCCAGAAACGCATCTCCTCGCGGCAGATAATGCAGGTGTTTTCTTGAGCCAGCTCTGCCTCCGTGGCATCGGGGTATCTGTTCATCTCCTGGATGGCACGGCGGTATCGGATGATGGCGTTGAGGCGCTTGAGGAAGTCTCGGGCCGTCATAAGGACGTCTCGGATAATATGGATTGGGAATCCATAGAGATACCATAGCATAACAAAGAATGCTACGTAAATAACGAGCTTAATGATATCGGTCGTGAGGTCAAGCCATAGTACCAATTCACCCTTGGCGGCCCAGCCGGGAACTTCAATGTCGATCTCGTCAATGTCGTCTTCTGATGGTAGAGGTTCTCCTGCTCGAGGGTGTGTTGTATTGTTCGCGGCAGCGAGTGCCAATTCCTGTTCCAGCGTTGCCCGCTCTTGTCGAATTTCTCTGCGGCGCTCGATGAGTCTCGTGGCGGTTTGAGCCTTAACAACCCGCTGTTCGTAGAGCGAGAGCATGTATCGTACAGTAGTTCTGCCAGAGCATGCTATCAAAATGGCAAATTCAAACATGAACATTACCATCATGCTCGGCTTCGCCTCTTGTACAACCGTATTGAGACAGTACCGGAATATCCAAGTATTGTACAGCAGGCTCATGGCCAATGATATGCTCAATCGGGCGTGGAACAATCGGGGGTTCGCCGGTGGTTGCTGTTCGAGGAATTCGACCCGTCCGTCACCAATCCAGCCCCATACCTTTCCGGTAACAAGGGCCGTGAACATGACAATAAACCAAGCTCCTAGCTCGTCTCTGAAGATGGTCATAGCCAAACATGTTTCTGTAATGGCAAACCACGCTCGTTCCGTGAGCTGTTCAACTTCCGCCGTACGCAATGTCCCAAAGCAGAGCTTTGTAAGTCCATATATGAAGGCGCTATATACAATTAGGGAGAAGTTGACAAGAACCTGATATCAAAGTTAGAAGGTTGGCATCGCGGAGGGGGGCCAATGTTGAGGAGCGCGTACCAGCAAGCAAAAGTTGCTTTGTGACAGGTATACCATAGCCGAGTAGAAGTTTGCCCGTTTTTCAAACGCTGAGAGGACGACAGCAGCTGCCAGGGCGGTTGATGCCTGCGTTCCGGTTAGCTATTACATACCGTAGAGCATCGTCTCATCCGAGTTCCTTACCCCGGCGTACCACCCCAATCGCATTTTCGGCATTGCTGGCACTATACTCTATGATTTAAACGATACTTTGGCAGCTCATCAGCGCTTTCGCGATAACTTTGGCTGCTGATATGGCTGGTATAGTGGCTCCAAGTCGACAAGATGGCCCCCGTTGAAGCCACGTTAGGCAATCGGTCGTGCAATGACGCAGCAGCTTTATCATCACGTGATTGGTATGATAAGCCTACCCTGTAGTGTTGAAGTTGATATTATCGTGAATATATGTTATACATATAGCATGTATATATCTTACTGATTTTGCTTAAATATATTTACTAAATCTTCCTGTATGTTTTTAATATCATATTGGGTGCATGGCCGTAGCTGGCAATCTGAGCATGTAGGTTTACAGTTACGGATTGTCGGCAATCTGTTGGCGTAGAATGGCGAAAGCTAAGACAACGGCAATAACCATCGAGCTGAAATCTAACATCGCTAAATATCAGATAAAATATCAAAGCCATGTACCATAATGCTTAATTATTCCCCAAAAAACATTTTTTTTTGGTTATAGTTACCAATTGATACCATCGTCTATGCATCAACATACTGGCGGAACACCTTCCGCCCTTAAGCGACACCAGTGGGCCTCGCTCTGGACCAGCCCGTTCGACGGCGCCACAGGACTCTCTGGTTCCCTGATTGGGAGGCCACTGTAACTGTACAACTCCTGTGAATTAATTGGAGCATCAAGATGGCGCCTGGGCAGGCGTTGCACAACACACAGCACGCATGTGGTGGAGATGATGAGACCATTAAAAAACGCCGCAGCCCATTTCCACCATTGTATCCTACATGCGGCGGGCTGTTTGAGGACAATGCCAATGCTTATACTGCAGTAGCGCGGTGGGTGGCTACGGTTGATGAAGGAGACCCATTCAAGCCAGCCATGGGCGAGGAATGGATGAATGGATGCGCCAGGGTCCTCACCTTGAGCCGTCATAACGGTGATGAGCGTTTGCCCAAATATTGGGCGGCGGGTTGACAGGCATCTTCGTTTATCGAGCGCCACCCCCTTCGCCCAATTGCCTTTTCTTCTTCGTGGCAGTACTTTGATACAGTATGGTAGTCTACCTACTACAGCATGTCTTTTGGTCTGTGCCTCTCCCGAGGTCAGCGCGGCACGCACAGTAGCCATGCGCTGCAACGAAACGAGGCGGGCAGACGCTGGCTGAACATCGCGCTGGGACCCATTCGATCTGAGCCGAATAACAGCGCGTTGCTTGCTAGGGTGCTGTGAGCAACAACACCAAAGCAAAAGCAAGCCTACGCGCACTAGTGCTATCCTCTGCACCCAATCTATCCGGCAGTTGGTGCTTCCTTGTGGGCATTTTTATGCATCCCGCCGATTTACCCATCCCCCCCCGCTCACACCAATCTTGCTTGGACCAACAAGCAAAGCGGCAGGCAACGCGTTCTGCGTCCGTTTCTAGTATAGACTAGACCCGCAATAGGTTTTCTGTACCAATCTGTAATACCTAATAAATGATTTCCTTGGAGTCAAGGTCAACCTCGTCAACAAAATGAGGCGTTTTATCCCTTCCCATCGCCACCGCGGAGACGGTGGTCTGCCCGCAAGCCGACCCAGTAAACGGCATAAGTGGTGGCTGTTAACCCGACTCCTGTTTGCGTATCAGAAATAGATAAATTGCAAAAAAAGAAAACGCCCAAAAATGCGGCGCCGAAGCAGTAGGGGAGAAAACAAGGAAGGGCTTTCTGCCGCATAGCGCCCGTAGCGGCCCTGTAGTGATGCTAATGCTGGGTTGAAACACATTGTGTACCAGCCGCTCCCAGGGAGACCCTTCTCTCGGCCGATAGGTTTTTTTAGCCCCCCCACCACTGTAGAATCAGCAAAGTACCGCCCGTAGAGGGCGCACCGGCACTCAACACCTCTACGCGGCTGACTGGTGGTGCAAGCGAAGTGGAAACTGGATGCAGACAGACGGGCATGCGTGCAGCGAGTCAAATGCAGGCGAAGCCGTCTAGAAGCCTGCCAATTCACCTCATCTACGCTACAATTGATCTACGGGTGCATTGCATACAGTAGTCACTGCGCGTCGCCTGCCAGCGCACGTCAACTCGCTCACCAAGTCGGCCACGTGGCTGCGCAGCCTCTTGCCTTCTGCACTCACCTGGCCAAGCAGATTCCCTGACCAGCTATCCCCCTCCTCCACACCATTCCACGCTTCCAAGGGACTAAATGCATTGGGGCAAAACATATACACGGGCGATTCAACAAGTATACAATACAGATCAACGGTATAATCCAAGGACATCTGAATCAGTTGAGGCGCGGCCATCTCCGACTCTACCATTGCCCAATGGAGTCAGCATGGCGACGATTTGCCGTCAGCAGCATAGCATCTCATCGACCCCGTGCCGTATTTACCACCGTAAGTGGCGGCACTGTAGCTTGTACTAACAACCACCAGTGGAGTTTTTTGGGTCTTATTCTCCGCCAGGGCTCTGGGGAAGCCGAGTGCAAAGTACCCTCCTAGACAAAGGGCACGCAGGAGAAGCGCTAGACATTCTAGCGCTAGCAAACTTACATGCGCTAGAAGCCCAGATGGGACACAACCCACACACCACTCACGCGGCCAACCCACTCGGTACCAGTACTCGAATCGACAGCGACTCCGCACCGCCTCATCCCACGCGCCATGGCTTCCTCTTTCGGGGCATCGAGTATGCACCACTAGAGCCTTACCCAAGTACCATCTACATCCAAGCGATCTAATAAGCCCTCAAAAAACACCACAATCTGTACGCTAAGTGCCCCCAGAGGGCGCGCGCGTGGGTTACAGCACCCCCTTCACCCCCAGGGGATAACGCATCGCCACTTACACACACACACACGCAGGCCGCTTGTGAACGAGGTCTCTGACCTCGGGCTCAAGTTTCTGCTTTGTCCAAAACTGCATCTGCATCATGACATCCAACCTCACATCTTATACACCATCTATCCTTATGTCCATGTGTGTTGTCACCCAGCAATCGTTGATCAACGGTGTTGTCCCCTAAATCGGGTCCCAACCGAATGTCTTGCCCAGCCATGACGGACACTGTCCAGACTGATGATGCTTACAGGGAACATTCCCACAGCTACGAGCTGAACATTCCGCACATGGGCATCTGCATGCATCGTTCGTTGATCGCTTGGGATCCAGGGGAAGCACAAGCCGCACGCTCTTCACGTCCGCTGTAACCACTCGGTTTCCAAAGCAGGCAAGTATGCTGTTTTCCAGGGAACCATTGCTACTACTTGTGACACCGGACAACTATAGGCTAGTCTTGATGCATTGACGCTTGGACCTCGTTCTTTATCATGCGTGAATACGCGGTAGCTGACTGACAGTGGCAGCCAGTTGTGATGCTGAATTTGTTTGTTTGTCTCAGCACAACTCTACCTATCAGCCTTGAATAGTCGGGTTGGCCAGCATGTTAAAGCCAATGCAGGTCACTTGCCACTGACACTGGTTTGCCAAATACGAGCCGTGCGGCCTTGGCATATGATTGAAGCGGAGAGATTTGGCTTAACCTTCATTCAAAGGAAGACTGAGAAAGGCGGCTGTCGCGGAACTTCGGACAGTGGTGCCGCCGCTGGGCTTGAGGTTGGGGCTGCTTGACCGCCAGCTTGTTTACGGCAAGGAAGCCTGACCGTCCACGCTTGGTCGTGCAATTGAACCGGGCTCACGGAAAAGGGCAAGATGATCCACGTAGATCGAGCCGTGATTCGCCCAGGCAAGGCACTCCCAATATGTTCAGCGTGTTAAAGCCACGCCACATATATGCCATCCATCTATTGTGGTTCGTGTCTCGACGCTTTCGTGTCCCAAGGGGCGGGTTACGGCGCCACGGGAGTGGCCTCATCGAACAGCACGAGAAGGGCTTAGGTTGGCATGCCCATGTGGCATATCTACCAGTCCAAGCAGCACACCACCTTGGGACGGGATGCCAAACCTAGCGTCTTTAGTGGTGTGGCAACTCAGGGCTTCCACGGTGCTGCGCTATGTATACTGGTACAAAGCAGTGCAGCGCAAACGACACCTGTTTGCAGGGCATGAAACACAAACATACCCACTGGCTGTGCTTTGTTGCGGCAAAAACCTAATTTCATCTGGAAAGGGTAAAAAAAGAAGAAGCCCAGAGGGTCAAAGTGGGAACGAAGATCCTGATCAAATCAGAACGCTTCTAGGGCGAGGCATGCCACACAAATGGCGGCGCCTCCAGCCAACTGATATTAGCCGACAGCGGAGTGGTGTTGACCCGAGAGCCACTACGAGACCGCCCACTGCGACACTAACAGCGCTGGAGGTTCTGCGCAGGGGACGCACCCCCGGCCCACGTCTGCAAGCCTGCTCCCCGCCCCAGTGAGAGGGTGCGCCATGCCGCCGGCACTGCAGCAGCATTGGCAGGCGCCTTGAGCACTAAAGCAGCACCAGCAGGGAGCTCTGCCAGACAAGGCTAGCGCTTCGGCGAGTCCGATGCCCCAACCTTATCACATTTTGGAACTCGCCAACGGTAGCCAATCATGGGCAACGGCAGGGATCGCCAGGATGATTGGCATCGACAAGGCCCCGAAAAACGTGGCCTGAGCAAGCCGTCGAGCCCTCTACTGGGAGCTTGTGGCCCGCTGTCAACCACCAAGCACCACCACCACCACCATCATCTCGGGTCATGATGCTTCAAACAGCAACATATCACCAAGTTCAGCCTTCTGCAAGCACATGGTTCCGAAGCCAGGGAAAAACCAATCTCGACTGTAATTTACGCCGTATTCCACCAAGCCACACCCTCTGCCTCTACTGAACCAGCCAGCACGGCAGTCGCCTTGTAGGGAGAACACAAAGACGCCTAGCCGATCGATGTTGTTCCCCTTCTGGAAGCGCCATGCCTCGTTCCCAGTTCATCGCATCCCCTACTATTTCGGGACCGTGAGGGGAGATGGAGGGGGCGTCTGGCTTCAATCTGCCTCGTGAGGGGGCGGAAAACCCACAGCAAACAGAGGCGCATGGGCTAATCTGCGGTAAGGGCGTCGGGTTAGTGGGCGGCATCCACCGACACTAGCAGACGAGTGCCGGTGCCCAGTGTAGAATTTGGAGACG